TGATTAAACCAAAACGACGTCTCGTGAGTAGCAAAAGCAAAACAAGAATTAGAAATTCAAATATGCTATCATTCTCGTTTTCATAGTCAACAGTTAAGAAAACAGGCGTTCATTGTTCGAACTGTAACACGAGTACAACAACATTATGGCGTCGAAATGGACATGGTGAAAGTGTTTGTAATGCTTGCGGATTGTATTACAAACTTCATAAGGTAAAGAAAAATCATTCGGAGACAAAGATCACTTGAATTGCCAAGACAGAGTGGAAAAAGAAAGAAAACAATAACCAGCGAATGTGTTGATTACGGGAGGATACAATTAGTGTAAAATCGCTTCTCACAATTAGATGTGTGAAAAGATTCGAATAGTTTAAACATGCTCCTAGATGATTCTTTTCTTCTCTTTCAGGTTAATCGTCCAATAACATTGAAAAAAGAAAATATTCAAACACGTAATCGCAAGCCCAACAGCAAACGGAATGAATCATGTAGTAGTAAAGATAAAGATCCATTTCCTTATGGACTCTTAATGAAGAATGAAGCTGCATTTAATGGTTATCACGCTCAAGCAGCTGCAGCCATGGCAGTCAATAGTGGATCATCATCGCCCTCATCATCAGCTGCATACGCAGCTGCAGCAGCATTTCATCCTCTATTTTCAACATCCATGCTCTCATCAATCGGCACAACAGGTACATCAACATCGTCTTCATCAACATCATCATCACCGATTAAATCCTCGTACATGCCAAGTCAACAACATCATGTTGGAGTTTATCCACCGTACTTTTGAAAATCAACATTTTTCGTTATATATGTATATGTATACCGAGGAGTTCATCTTCTTATTTTTTTATTTCATCTCCTTTTTCTTTCTGACTTTCTTTTCGATTTCTTTCGCATGTTGTACATTGTGTTTGTTCATTTATATCAAAAGTCTTGTTTTTCTTTTTCGGTCTTCATTCTTCAATACAGCAGTAATAGATTCTGCCTCAAGCTTATTCTTCATTCCATCAAAGATAAATATCGCAAATATGCAGCAAGCTGTTCTAGTCTCTTTCTCTCCCCTTGCTTTCTCGCCACATACATACACATCGATGTATATAACCGTTAAACGATGATCACTACTAACATGGATATCTATCTATTTATCTATCTATCAATCGATCTATCTATTTCTTGTCGCCCGAGGACACTCCATCATCATCTTCTTCTTCTCTTTATACGACGTTTGTTCATTGAATCACCTAGGTAAACATCACCATATGGACACCGTTATGGTTGAGTTCATTAGCGGTATATTGAAGCAAAAAAAAAGACACGATATGGGCGGGCAAGTCAAATGAAAAAGAAAATGAAAAATCTCATTTGCCATGTACTTTGAAAACGAGAAGAAAGATTAGAAATGATAATGAAAAGAATGTAAAGTTGCTTGCATTAAACGTTTCGATCTACATTTATCAAACAGAATGCCATGTTCGATGGATTTGATAATCTTTTATGATTGAGTCATGATTACAGGTAAGTGTAAAGTTCGCACAGAACAATCATTTTCATTCTTTTTCATCTTCTACACACGCCACTGTTGTCGGCATCGTTTCTAGTAATTTGCTTTCGTTTTTTTTTATTGCTTCCATCGACAATCACCATTCATTACTCGCTGTGTGCTCGACATAAATGTGCTAACGATACAAAATGTAGAACCGATAATCGATAGGATTGTTTGATGACGTGATATTCTCTTTTCTTCTTTTTTCTTCTATCATTATCAACTAGTCTCATCATCATCAAGGCTGTATTGGCATGTTCGTGTTAGTTACGCATCAATCGCTAGTGGATCCACAGGTTCTTCTCTTTCAATGTCGGCAGGGTGTGGTTATCACTATCTATTTTCTCTTTTGTAGGAAAGAAAAGAAGACGAATATGAAAAGCTGTCTACACAACATGACACCATCTGTAGACTTGACTTTGACCAGAAGGCAATTGAACACGACATCATGAAGTCAAGGTATCATATCCAATAATGTCTAAACACGAACGATCGAGTGACAAAATCGTATTTATCTTTTCTTCAACTTCTTCTTTTGTTTTTCTACTTGTTTGATCTTCTTTCTTGACACCTAAACACAACAGAATGGATGTGCTTCAATGAGCGCCAAGTCCAATAGTTCATTAGATTTGACACATGTACTGTTTGCAATGGATGGGAAAGAAAAGATAAAGAATGAATGCTTCTGAATCAAATGTGTCAAAATTAAGTTGATACATTTATATACATATTCGACAATTTGGTTTTTGTTTCTCTTTATAAACAAAGATTCAGCAAACTCACATGCTGAGCAATTAGCGAGACTTTTTTCTCTAATATAAATATTGCCGTTATGTTCAATTCATTAGTACCCAACGGCGAATTCTATTTATCGTTGATCTCTATTCAGCTAGTAGATAATCGTCATGTAATTCCATAGAGAAAATAGCTGGCTGAAAGAAATAGACTGGAATGAAAACATCACGCAGATATGGTGAACAAAGATTGATCCCTAAAGTACAACTGATTGTTCATCGGATCTTCTTTTTCCAAGTGATTTATTAGATTCTCTCTGTTGAACAATAAACGAAGTAATTAGCTTTTCTCATAGTGATAAAAACAAGTCATGTGTAAGACAAGATAAGGAAGAACAGAAGACTTAGAAATAGTCTGGTCGATGAAATATGACAGAATGTACTTATGTTAACAACAGCAGCGGAATGACTTTGATCAATAAGCGTAGAGGAGAAAATGGTTTGTCTATTAAAAAGCAATAAGAAGTTAATCAGAAGTCAATCTTTGACAAGGGCCAAAAGTTTGATGAACTTCAAAGAATTGCGCATCATGGGCTTCGTAGTCACGGATATGATGAAATTGATCCTGAGCAATGCTGTAAACAACATTTATTTCAGATATTANCTTATGTTAACAACAGCAGCGGAATGACTTTGATCAATAAGCGTAGAGGAGAAAATGGTTTGTCTATTAAAAAGCAATAAGAAGTTAATCAGAAGTCAATCTTTGACAAGGGCCAAAAGTTTGATGAACTTCAAAGAATTGCGCATCATGGGCTTCGTAGTCACGGATATGATGAAATTGATCCTGAGCAATGCTGTAAACAACATTTATTTCAGATATTAATGAATGAAAACGATAAAACCCAACAGTGAAAAAAAAACACACTCATCATGGACACATCGTACGTGTGATACAACGATAGGAGTATAGTAGTCATGTATAGTACACAGCAAACATCTTTCTTGTCTTGAGCGACATCTACAAACAACGCCGAATCATTTGTATGTCGGATATCAAATACTTTTTATTTGCGAATCCTCTACAAGTTCGCCAAATGTCGCTGCTGTTTTTTAAACAATGTCGTGATCCTTCTGACGTTTTTCTAATATAATAATATAGATTCTAGAGAGCGGTAGTAGTAACATTTACTAGCAACAAAAACAACAACAACAACATCAATCATAGCAAGGAAAATAAAGACGATTAACCTCTCTTGCAGGTAAACAATGTATTTGTAAATTTCTCAAGAAAAAAAACAAACTCTTTTTTTTCTTCAAATCAGTTCGAAAAACACGACTATGAACAACAACATGAATATATTGAAATAGCTTGTTTTTGTATGCATCGAACGGATCACAAATCTGATTTCCTATCCCAATGAACTTTCATTATTCAACAACTACGACGCACCGTCCGCAAACTACTTCTTCACAGTAAATCACATATTTTTCTCGTCAAATGTTCTATTGCGTATATTACTAATTAGTTTCAACGAAGACGCACGCTGTGATAACGAGGTTAATTTAATTTTGGAAAAAAACTACAATCAACAACTTTTCGAACAATCAACTCATTCAGAACAACAACAACAACAACAAGAGCAACAGCAACAGCAACAGCAACAGCAACAGCAGCAGCAACCACAGCAACAACAGCAACCAACAGAAGCACAAACAAGGTACCTAGTTGCATACCTTTCTGCGGATGATTCTTTATTATTATTTTATTTTATTAAAGTGCTGTCGTAAGTCAAACAGATCAATACTACTTCATGCCGATTCGGGAACAAAGTTCAACGATGGCCTTACATACAAATAATAACTCAAGTAAGAATTTTTCCTGAATAATAACTGCGCCATCTTCCATGAGGCGCTAATTACAGTTTTGCACACTTCATATAACATGAAGACGTTCACGAACAGATTATTTTGAAACCTTGTGACGTAAATGAAATTTAATATTCCTGGTCTTTGTGAACGCCAAGGGGGTTTTCTTCTTTTGGATTTGAAAAACTGTTGATAGAATGTGACTCAAAGTTATTCATCAATGTTTTAGCAGTGGATAATACTTCAATAATGTCAGTCGTGCATGATAAACCGCCCAAACTTGATCTGTTTGATTACAATGCTACGACTAAGTCGAATACAAGTTCTTTTGCATCGGCAGCTTCAATGAAAGGAAATACGAATTACTTAGACGATACCGATCTGGCGGGTTTGTTTGCCTCATCAATTGTTTCTATAACTCGATCAACGACATCAATGGATAAGAATGATATAACAGATAATCCGAATACATTGGATGATATCTTTTTTCAACAAGTTAGTGAACTTGTTTGTGCATCGCAACAAAATCCTCTTGGCCCACCCCCTGGATTTGAAAATTTCCACTTTGACACAACGTCATCGTCATCGGATAGTTTAACTACAGTTTCCTCCATTAGCACTGCTGCTGCTATTGGTCAATCAAAAATTTCTACTTCAGATACAACTAATTTTAGTCAGTTATTACCTTCGACGAAAGTCGGTAAGTCATTCGAGATGTTCTCCATTTTTGTCGGCAGCACACTGTCCCATTGCTCGTAGATGTTAGCCAACAATCAGCACTCATGAACGGCAACGTTTGCTCATCATCATCCTCTCATTCGTCATTTGCATCTGATGATCAAACGATATTTTTTCCATTGGGTGCTCATCTCTATTCATCATCAAGTCAGATTTTTCCCATCAATACGCTCTCGTCCGGAACAAGCAATTCAATGGATTCGAATGCAAAACCATTTCTACCCAATAGTCTTTCAACGAACGCGAAACATTTCGCTGCATCGGATAAAAGTGGTGGAACGAGTCCAAAAGTGACAACACAGATTGATAATGATACCTTATCAAAAGATAGAGATGCAACGCCAAACCAAATTTTCCATTCGCCTGATTTATTTTTCACAAATGGCCAAGCAGGTATGAACCGACTTCGCAGACAGATACATCTTTTCGGGCACACATGATCACGCAGTTGAACGAACGCAGATAGTTATGTCAACGAGATTAATGAGTTGAAAGTAGAACGTTTGGATAGAGGAGTCAAACAAATCGACATGAACGCTGTGCATGCTGAGTGATGAACGAAGAAGATGAAGGTCTCTTCGTGTTGTTAGGAATTTGGAATGACCACTTCTTGCATTTTTTAAATGAGATTACCGTGCTTAATTAATGATTAAAAAGTACGATATTACAACAGGAGACTCTCAAAGATTGGTACGATAGTACAGACAAACAAGTGCATCAGGAGTTTTGTTGTTCGTCCCTGGTAATGTTTAATTTTTGCAGATTTTCCTCCAGCGAAACCATCATCTAATAAAACTTCATCTGCATCAACGAATCGGCAATCGTCATCATCAGCATCGTCGTCAACATCATCCTCGATCGATGATGCACTCATTCAACTTAGCCAACAACAACAACAACAGTCACAAACACAAGTGCCAGCAGTTAACAAGCTCTTCTCAGATGATTCGCTTTCAATATTCAATTTTCCAACATCAAAACCAACGACACACATTGATAAACAACAGCGCGCGGTTCATGATAACATCAACGTTCTGGCTTCAATGGCAGCAGCTTCAACGCCCATCACACCCGAATCACCTTGGCAACAGCCAACAACTCATCCTAACATGAATGCTCAAGCAAAACTGCCATCGATGCGTCAGCAACAACAGCCATCTGTTGTTCCACCGTCGCCATCAAAAAATTGTTCTTCAAGTATGCAAGAGTTAATGGAGAATCTAAATGAACTTTGCTATCGTGGCTTTGACGAACTTAACGCACTTATTCAAGAACAACGATGGGTAAGACCGACTCTGTCTATTTGAAAGTAGATTAATTAATGTCATCCCTTCCGCGAGTCGTTCACGTTACCCATCTTCGAAAAAAAAGAGACATCGTATATTTCATTCCGAGATACACAGCAAAAAAAGAAAGATCTCTGCCGGATACGACCTCATTAGGCATGATGAGTGCTCTCGGAAAACACCGACGGACATTATTGAAGAGGAAGAAATTCTAAGAAACTAATATTTATTATGAATTATTCTCAATAACCAGCTGCAGACTGAAATCTGTCATATTTGCCCCTCCTCTATGAATGATGTGTTTATTTGAAAAGTCTTGAAATGCATGACTTATTCTCTCTTCCCTAGGTTCAAAATTATCTCAATATCAGTTCCTCGTCGTTGCCTTCATCGAATTTACCATCAGGAAATCTCAATGATGTGAAATGTTGCTCGTCACGTATACTAATCGTACCCGAGTATTTTATCTTCAAGTGTAAAAAGGTGGAAGTTACTGTAAGTGTTGAGTATGGCATTGATAAAGAACGTCAGTGTTCACTTCGATATGCTCTTCTCCGTTTCAGGCAAGTCACGTTTACAATTTATTAGCAACAGGCCGGCCGGAATTACGTTTACGAGATTTGATGTTTGTGTTCAAATCATGGAGAGAAACGATTGCTAACGCGGAACATGTTCATCAGGAAGAAGATGTCAAATTGCGACTAAACACTGAACATTTCCCTTCGTATTACATGAATGAAACTATATTACAAGCAGGTAAGGAAGAGATTTTTTTCTCATTTGGAAACGTTTCAAATAATTTTCTTTTGATGGCACATGAAACGAGTTGCTCATTTTATTCTTTCATTGATGACATCCTGTGCAAAGCTAGAATTAATATTGTTTCTCGCCTGTGCGATATGAAATTATAAAGTGGAACTTTGTGCATCGTTTGATATACCTAAAACTTTTCCCCCATTCGGGTACGTTCTTTTATAAAGCTGATTAGAACGTACTTTGCAATTTTTCTTCGAGCCATCACCCTCTTCTCTCGATTATAAACGCAATCGGGTAGCTTCATTGACAGTTAAATTTTACAGGTGGAGAAACGGAAATTAGTTTATTTCGTAGCGGACCATTACTTTAACATCCGAACCTCTCATGAGTTTCCAGTGGGTTAAACTTCTTTTCTTCTTTGAGACATCGACTACTCAGTGTAAAAATAACATACCCTAACAGGAAGAAGTAATGGGCATTTTTCATGAAAATATTTCATAAAAAAACGGTCTACAATACATCTATGAATACTTGAGAAGCTTCTTCACAAAGAATGACTAGCACGTTTGTTACTTATAATGGTGAGACAACAACGAATAGACACAGTGTTCTCTTGAGTTCGTTCACACTCCTTAACTCCCGTGGATCATAGAAATTACAAATTAAAAATAAGCCATGTCTATCATTCGGGAACATATGACACCGAGTTTTTCCGCTGAACAATATGATCTCTCTCCTTTCGTCAGCCGGTCAAATTAACCTTGATAGATTCGACGGTATTTTCAGACTGTATTATCAACTACAGGATGGAATCATTCATTTAGTATCTGATTGACAATGATAGGATTTCAGATGTAGTTGACAGTATTTGCAAAGCTTAGAGACAATATGTAATTTTCTTCGGTTTCCTTTTGTCACTTAACATGCAATAACGCTTTGGAAAAATTAGTTGTGGATAGGAAAAGGATAACCTTTATGTTGATCTATCATTATGAGCTCGATTCTTTTCCCAAAGCTCAATGGACATATTTTGATCTAGGAGAAATCTTTTAGTCGAGATAAAAACAGGAAGAATTCTCGGCGGTGTAGGAATTATGAAATAATTAACACTCTTCGTCTTGTGTGTTGCAGTTTTTGAACGAGCTTATCTCGTAATTCGACAACTTGTCAGTATGACACAACAAGCTCGTGCTGCTTTTCAATACGCTACATTAAATGTCTTTCAAATGTCGTCTCGACAACCAAGTCAAAGCTCGTCGAATCTATCCCAGTCATCCAATTCCATAGGTCTCGCTCAAGTACAAGGAATACAACAGCCCAAATCCTCGTCGATTCATCGTCTAAGTGGTTCTATGCGAACAACACCTTAGTTTAGTAATCTTCGATAGATAGGAGAACCGGTGATGAATCGCGAGAAAGAAATTCTCCAAAGGCCAGAATTGTCTTGTTTTTCTCAATAACATCTCGTGTTTCCCTTTTGTTTTGTATGAACACTTATTCTTTCTTTCATGAAATTCCCGACCTCAATGACAAATGAAAACAACAAAAAACTGCAGAAGTATTTTCTTCTTATCGTTTTCTTGTTTCGTTATTGAAAATTGTTTTTGTCTAGAATATCGAGATGTGCATCTTCTCTCTGAATTGTTCCTTGTCTTTTATGTGTAATAAACGAAAAGTTAATCGATTGGTTTCTCATTCTTAAATGTGTTTCATCTTTTTCTTGCTCTATGATTATTATTATTCTTAATGTTCTCTCTACAGTCGCAGCACGTTTTCTTTTTCTTTCCTTCTCTTTTTTGTAATAAAAACACAAGAAAATAGTAGGCTTTTTTTTCATGAAAAAAAAATGTATTCGAAGAAAGTCTTTTTCTTTCTTTTATTTAAGATAAAATATGATTTGTTACTCTCCAACGGTACGTTGCAACGTTAATGCTGGTAATATGACAATATTTATTCGTAAATAATCGGATTAATCGGTACGTTTAATATAGTAAATGTTAACTTTGATAAAGAGAGAAAAACTTGGAAAATAGATTTTTCCTGTTACGTCATAAACTGTGTCGACATGTCATCCCTGATTATGTCGTTGTTGTTTTTGCTTACTAGAAACGTTTTTCATCGACTTGAGTGGCTTCACATCGAAGACTAAAAATAATTACTCTTTCCTGGTCTTGCAAAGCAAGCTTCGATAAGATGATAGGCAGTGAGTAATGAGTGTTTTTCTCGTTCAGGCCTGAGAAGTTTGGTGAAATATTAACATCTATTCATGTTTTATATGCATCACAAAAGACGTTCTTTCTTGTCTTGAGTCGTCGCTGCAGAATGGAGTCTGCTTTTGCTTTTTACTATCTAACATCTTAAATGTCAAAGACCGCACTCGAACGCGGAATGTGAACTTAAGAATGAAGAAGAATTTCATCATTTCATGCTCGTTCTTTTTCTTTCTCTTACAAACGCTACTGCCTAAATGAAGTTCAGAAGGATTCTTTCGCGTAAAAAATATAATTATAAGCGTTCAGTTCGCTACACACGCGCCGCTTGCTGGCGAAGAAATTCTACGTGGAAAAGAATCTAGATTTTCGCATGAGTTAAAGCTCATATTTTCCTTTCTGTTACGTTTTTATAACAGGATGTATGGATGTACTCTCCGCTATGTTGTAAATATTTACCTTTCACGATTATTGAACATTTTCTCGATGTGTTCTGTCTGTTTTTTTTTTGAGAAAGACTAATCATGAAGTGGCTGTACCAGAACTTTTTCATATTCGACTGCAACGAATGGAAAACGCAAGAGAATTACAAAATCTTTCATTTTAGATTTGTATCGGACGATTGAATGTGTTTATAATATATTTCTAATTGAATATTTATCCCCATTCAAATATATATGCATGACAACTAGATCCCTTGGCCCCTGTTTGGTATGTGACGCGCCAGCCGTTGGAATCAACTTCGCTGTTCCAACATGTGCTCCGTGTAAAGCATTTTTCCGCCGAAATGCCGTTAAACTTGGCGTAAGTTTCTTGTTACTCGAAAGATGAATCCGAGCTTTCAAAATTTCTTTGTCTAGAGACGAGATTACATCTGTCAACAAGATGGTGATTGTCCCGTTGCGTATAAATCACGTCGGTTTTGCAACTGTTGTCGGTTAGCGAAATGTTTTCGAGTTGGAATGCAAAAAACTTTAATTCGATCAGAAACTGAACGCGAAGCAAGGAAACAACTGGTTGAACAAAATCGAAAAAGACGGTCTCAATATGATATGACAACAACAACTACAGATCTGGTAGGAAATGACTAACATTCATCGATCAGAACTCAGCTTTGTTGGAATTGCTTCGCTAAGTCTTCGTGTCACACTAGCCGGATTAGTAAATGAGGTGTTAACATTACTTCTAGTCGAAAAGCTTTGATAAATGGCAAAAAAGAACGCGATTTTGTATAGATGACACTGGTTGACGTTTCGCTGAACGATTTTGAGTGCAAGAGAGAATTTTGTGTATCGATTTACTTCAGCATATTTTATTTGCTTTCCAAGTAAGTTGGCCATATGCAATCAGCAATCTCATGAGAGATACAGTCGAGACAGCTACCCCCAGAGATCTCCATTCTCCAGATATTAATTATTAATCAAAAACGTATTCGTCATCATACGTATGAACGGAATAAAACTGAGTTGTAGAAATGCTCACTGCATATTCCAATGTACCGAATAAACTATTCACCCTCAAGTCTTTGTTTTCGACTAAAATTTCCCATCGGAAAGCCTGTAACTCACATCCTTGTCTCATCTGTTCTATTGTGCTGTTTTGCATTGCTTGATACCGTAGTTATATTTAATTCGCAAACTATTTTGGTGACTTAAAATAATTATTTTAATTAGAGAAGCAGATGTCTGGTGAGTCAATGCCATCGGTGCACATACATCAGTTCTATCTTTGAGTATATCTCGTAATAGATCATAACTTTGATGTTTTTTTTAATAGAGAAAGAAAAAAATACCTCAGAAAATAATTATGTAAAATCGAATGTAATGAAATCGATTTTAAAATCATGACAATGGTTTTACGAAAGTAATTATACTTAACCACCAGTTGCTTTTAGATACTTCAAGAGCTTTTCAATAGCAACATTCATAACTTTTATCTAGCATTCTGTAGACCTCTTCTACCATTAGTAATAGAGAGCTTTTCGGCGTTTTTTCTTTGATTAACTAAAATTACATTGAACCCATTATGTTTCTTTTCAATATTCGCAGATTCGACCATCAAACTTATTGATTGTACCAAGTAGTCAATCTCGATGGTTGTCCTCGCATGATCAAACTCTTCTTACGAATATCATGAGTGCATATGAGCGAACATGTATAGCAGCAAAATTATCTCAAAGTCCGGTGTTTCCACGAGCACGTCATACTACGTTGCATATGTTTCTTAACGATTATACCGAACGGCAAGTTGCTCTGGTCAAATACTTCAAACTCATACCAGAATTCGATCGCTTGTCGATCAGTGACAAAATACGTTTGATTCGAAATCACTTTTGCTTAGCACTCTCTATCAATGAAGCCACACTTTCTCTAAGTATATCCCAACAATTAATCGATTCTGTGTCAGCGTTATATGACACTCAACTAGCTGGCGAACTCATTAAATGCATTGCATTGCTACACGCATATACCAGCGATCGGATGTTGCTTAAACTACTTCTAGTCGTTATCAGCCTATCGAGCGGCATAAATCGATATAGAAATGATACAGATATGGATCGCATTTACGATGATACACTATCTATTTACCTTGCTCAAAACGTTTACGTCGAGCTCTTGTGGAAATACTGCTTATCGCGTTTTCCATCCGAAACATATGTGGTCAAGTTTTACAGTAAACTCATTCGAGATCTACTTTGCACACAACGTATTTGCTTTATGACGGAATCGTACGTCAACGGTTTAACACATGAAATTCAACAGATGGAACCATTAATACAAAGTATGTGGCCAATTGAAAGCGCACCGGAAGAAACGGATATTGATCATAATTATTTGATCGAGATGTCATGATTCAAACACAAAATCGATGTTGTACAACTGTATCTCTTTCGAACAGTATTTTGTTTTCATTAAAAGTAGTAGAAGAGGAAAATCAAGGCAAGTGTTTTTTGGAAAAAGCCAATGAACCTTCAAAATATCTTCTATACACCTCATTGTAGACGAACTTTTTTTCTGTTCTTTTGTCGATGTACTTCTAGTGAATAAAATACAGCACGAAACGTTTTTCTCTTTAGTTCGAACACATTGTATAATCCCGCACCTATTAAATATACGTCTATGATTATTTTAATAAAGAATAACGGTGACCAGACCTATTTTTTTTTAAAGCACAAGTACTTTTTAATGCACCGCATGATCAACACGTCGGTTTGACCAATCGAGTTTGATAAAGTAGCCAAGCAATTCTGCTGATCTACTTATCATTTTTACACATTTTTCCTCTCAGTAGTTAAAGTTCATACAGAGTAAATTAGTTCACAAGTTTCAACCAGCTTGATAGCAATATGTGCAGAAGCAATCACCACACTATGCCAACTTCTGAGAAATGAACTGCTGTCTTTGTGTGAGGGTACATTGAAGTGTTACATTTTCCACTCGGAGCAGTACTAGTCATTTTATTTCTCTCGCTTAAAGCAGGTTAATAATGTCATTAGCAATATCTAGAGTTGCTTTATTACCGTCAATAACATGTAAATTACGACTGGGTATATGATTTCGATAGAGAAAATCCAGTCGTCGACGAAAAGATGCTTGTGCAGCGAGTTGTTTTTCTTCCAATGTAACGGGAACCCGAGCTGCTCGTTGAGCGATACGTCGACATCGTTCGATTTCGTCGATTTGTATGTAAATGATCAGCCTTGGCTGAACTAAATAAGGTGGCCATGTAATATTAATCTGCTCATTGTCATCTGTCTTTGCCAATTGATAAGCTATCGTTGACGGCCAATAGCGATCGAGAATAGTGATTGTATCTTGTTGATTTCTTAGTTCATAGGAAACAATTAGATTCCCTAGATTGTAAAATGCACGACGAATTGATTCGGGCTGAGCGTCGAAATAGGTTCGAAATGAAAGCAATTGACTAGGTGGTGTAGATAATAGACGTGCCTTTTGTCCACTTGCATTTAATTGCTGCAGTAATTCATTTGCTAATGTCGACTTTCCACAACCGTCAAGGCCTATGTAAAAGCAGAATTTAATTTCAATAAGTAAAATTTGACGTTCAATAGTTACCTTCAAGGTCGATGCAATTCACGGTTAACTGATCGTTATGCAATTCCTTGTTATGAGGTCGAAGATCAGCTACTAACTGTTCTTCGACGCTGTTTAATATAGTGGAGAAAAATGTTTGATTGAACGCGTCGCAAGTTTGGACAGTTCGAATATGATCACGTAGTAGTTGCAAAATTTCCATCCTGGTGTCTTAACCGAAGATAGTACATTACACTCGACATAAATAAACGGCGTTTTTTCCCAGAACTTTGTCTTTCTGTCATACAGAAAAAAAAACGTCACTGGGTAAAACACGCTCGATGAGTCATCAGTAAACACTCGTACTCATTTAGAAAGTACATTTAGCTCGCGGCGATTGCTAAACCATCTCAATTCATTCATTATTTATTCTATATATAGAAAAAAAAGGACGACGTTTTATATAAAACTCAAATAAACGGCTGGCAAAGTCGAGCGATTGTTAATGAACAAGTATTTGATTGTCTTAAAGTGTTCTTAACTGAGTCGATGTTGAAATTCCAAATAGATTGTTCGTTAATCTAAACAAAAATTCCTTCGAACTATTATTATCAACTCGAGTGAAATGACTACCTTCAAGATAATATCATTAGTTTGAATGCAGTCTGTACCCGTAGAAGATTCAATAGCTATCACTTGATATGTATGTCTGTGTTGTCTGGATCGGAATCGTTTGAAATTTGTCTCTTTTGACCGTTCCAGTAACGGACGACGACCGACGAGAATCGAATACGGAACTGTACGAGATAGACTCAATTGCACTGAGCTAATTGTCATTTTATATAAAGAAATATTCTTTGGATTATCTATATTCACAACAAATGTTGTATAGTAATCTTGAGATGACGCTGAGGATTCATCGAATAGGTCCGGGAGAGTAGCAATGTTATCTCCATTCATACTTATCTCATCGTCATCATCGCTATCATAAGTGTCGCGATTGTCATTTTCTGCAGATCCATTGTGGCCTTGTTCAGCTGCCTGGCCAAAAGATAGAGGTAACCGATCAAGCATGAGAGTGAAGTCAACAGGAGTGCATTGATTTTCTATCCTATCGAGTAAATTGTACAGTTGGGCATTATCATACTGTTTCATCGGTGGCGATGACGAACGTGTTTGCCTAGTCGAGTTTTGAATAGCTGATTCATTTGATACTAATGAGCGTGGAAAAAACCGTCGATTAAAAAGTGAATCCACTGATCTCGCGTTTTTTAAAGGATCTACTGCTGTCGTAGATATCGCTTCGCTTCCATCAACACGTCGAGCTACTGGTTTGTATAAAGTTTGTGTTACTGGTAGAGCCGAGGAAGATGCATGAGATGTTTGTGAACTATCATGTTTAGTCTCTAGTTGTGTAACTTGTGGTTTCGGTAATACATTTTTCGGTGATTTTTGAACATGCCCAGTGTCGTTAGCTTTCCGAATATTTGAAGGTTTCCTGATTGAACGTTTTAGAGAAGATGTTGAAGTTGAAGGCTCTTTGACAGATTGATTGGCATTGAGTTGATGAGTTTGAGAATCATGCGATGGATTTGCCGAAAGTACTGAACTGGCATGCACGTGTTTATCGGACACATCGTTAGAACACGCCGAGATTTTTATTGTTGAGTGTTCAGTGTGTTCAACGTCAACATCATGACGAATAGCAGATTTTTGCATAGTAATCGACGTTCTCCGACTTGAAGATGGTGTCGATGTTTCTTCAGCACTGTTTTCATGCTGAAGTGTAGCTTTATTTCTGTTTGTTTCCCCTGGAAAATTTGAAGGATGCGATGACGAGGGTCTCATTTGGTTCGACTCTTGATGAACGTGTCCCGAAGCTATTGCCGAGTGGAGCACAGACGAAGTAAAGTCTTCGGCATCTTCACTACTATCTAACCGTTGAATATTGGGTTTCTGAGGGTGTTTTATCAATGAACGTTGTGATGAAAGTACGGTTGAATCGCCCATCTGCTGACCAGCATCTTGTTGAACGTCTGCTTGGGTTGCGTCGCGTTGTAATGAAGATATATGGCGTTCTTTGGTCTTTTCAATACTATCGATCGGTCGTGGCATTGATTCATGTACTGTTTTTGCTACTGTTGATAAGGGACCAGATGTCATTGTGGTTGATTCGTCTGATGAAGACTGACGGTCAGCAACATTGGATCTAACATTCATTTGACTTGTATGAGAAGGCATACTGGACAATGCATTGTTATCCAATGTTGATTTAGACAACGTCCAACGCTAAAAGATTCACTGGACGTACTGTTCGCTTAGATTGAAGTTGCTTACTCGGCTTTTCATATAGTCGTCGAAATCTTCTTCTCCGATGCTATGTTTGACTTGTGTATGTATGGCATTCAGTCCTTCATCAGTGGACTTAAAATTTCTCGATAGTCGATTGTTATTCAAAGCTCGCAGGCGTCGATCGAATTCGTCTAAGACATAACCGTCATCACCTAAATTCGATTTCGTTCGAAGAAATCGGTGATATCGATCAGTCACACCATTATCATCGAATGTATCTCCATCACTTCGTTGATTGAAAAGTTCCTGCAGAAATTCATTCGCTTTCCGGTGTGTCTTCGTTCGACGATGATGTATTTCTTCGCCTGTCTTTCTCATACCAATCAACGACGACGTCCATTCACATTTGGCCATGATTGTGCTATTGAGCCGTTGAATATTGGCAAATTTATTCTTGTCAGTCATGTCGGTTTTGTGGCTGACGAGAAATTTTCGAACGTACAGAGAGCAAAATGAGAAAATATTTGAATCAGTATGTTAAAACACGAACGAAACGTGGCAGAAACGACGAACATGTTAAGTAAACAATCGGATGAGAGCAAAGCAATGTAGCGAAAAAAAAGACGACTTGTGATCACGCTAAATTTACATACGTGTGTGTGACGTTGTTAATGAAAAAGAAAGAACAAGCCAAATAAGACATCGAAATCATGAAAATGAAATTCATACATGTCGTGATAAGAAGGTCGAATTAATAGCCGATATAGATTGAATCATTTCTTTCGAATTCAATTTTAAAAAATCCGTTCGCATACTCAGTATGATCAAGGATTATTTTTCAAATTCTCGGGCAGTTGAATTGCTTTTAACTTTTGTTTGTCTCTTCAAAGGCTTCGCTTGCCTAAAACAAACGATGAATTATGGCGGTTGAGTTTTTTTTTCACAAGATATTTCATTGCCATATCTGTGCACAACAGGAAAAGATCTATAGTAAAGATCTGCTAAGTATTGAATGCGAAAATAGATTCTCGGTCATCACCGTGCCGTGGCATATTCAGTTATAACTGAATTTATTGATACGATTGAGTCCTCGTCGAACCTTCTCTATTTTAAGACCTTTATCAATCAGTTGGCAACATATTTGCATCTCGTGATCGAGCGGCGACCTCATTATCGTAAATACTTTTTGCAAATTGATCATCAAGCTAGTAACACATGTGGACGTTTGCTTAAAAGAATGAAGCATTTGATTTTTTTTCTCATTCAACTGATAAGCACTATTAGGATGGCGAAGAAAACATCAAAACTTCGGACTTTTCCCGTTATGTGACACATTACTCTCGACAAGCAATGGTGTCGATCTATTGTGTATATTTTGTATTGATACTCAAAGTTGCCCAAGTATACTCGAAGGTATGCGATGAAAATTCTCTCCATTAACATTAACTAGCAAAAGACAAACCGAAGCCGATGAAATCTAATATCAGTCCTAGACATTTGTATTTGATTAAAATAAGTAGAAATGGCTCAAGTTCATATTGTCATACCACATCAACAAAAATTGATCATGAAATCAGGTGGAAAACATGACATGAACAGTGCTGACAGTAGAGAAAAGTACGTAGAGTGTTTTTCATGCTCATCAAATGCATTCTATTTATAAAGTGTCATACACAAAGTAACATCTCTCTTATGTAACTGAATCTAGGTCACGTATGCGACGGTACTTAGAGAACGACGACATATTCGTTTCGATTAAAACATTGGGAGCGTTCTATTTAAGAGAAGCCAAAGAGGGATAGCACGTGTATGAATCACACGAAAAGCTCGGCGAAATATGTAACATTAAGAATGCAAGAATTTCTAAAAATAACGCGTCGGGAGTTCTTTGTATTCAACGCACACAATCAAGTAATCATTTGAAATTTTGCAACACAGTTGTGGAGTTGACAACATTCTTTTTCTCTTATTCCCTATTGGCTTGTATAATGACGACGCGTCGAGTCTTTCGGGTACATTCTGTTTATATGCACATAGCTGATAGATAAATGTATCTGATTCGCTTAATCCGGCAGACGTTCTTAAATTCAACCTGCGAATATCATAGGACTATAGAGAGTTAACCCACCCTCGAGTTTTTCTCGTTCTTCCTTTTCCGACGGGATTCTTCTGCGTCTTTTCTTTTTCTTCTATTTTCTCCTGTTCCTGTGCACTAAAGAAACTTCTAAATGTCGAGGCAAATGATAAAGAAAAGAAGAAAAAAAATCGAAGGAAGAAAAGAAGTCCGTTAGTACATTGTCAGACAAGTACAAACTTATGTACGAATAGCAACAACATAGAATATACCTTGAGAAGTGCACGTGTTCGCATACATACTTATGCGTTATTTTACGCTCCGAGCAGTCTTTCATTGCGTACATAATATAAGTATACGGAGAGAGAATGAAAAAAATCGCGCATTTCTTCTCTCTAAGGATCACAGAGTACATCGTTTAATTTGTCTTCTTATTTTATCTTTGCAATAAGCACAACCCTTTCTCTTTCTCGCTTCGAATGAAGAAATCGTTTCACTCGTCGTGATGAAAGTTCATCTGATTGTTCGTACGTATTGACTCCTAATGTCTTGCCTAATTACTATCAATTTAACCAGACATAGGAGTATTTGAGTGCAAATTACTTCTTTGCAAAATGTCTTTACTGACACGAAAAGGGTGGAATGTCATTTCGAAAAAAGAGGAAACCATTAGCAACTGAAGAAACAAAAATAACTTCTGATACTTTTTTCTTTTCTTTTATAACCATTTTGTTATTCTAGATGGAAGAATAGAAATATAGGACGTACTACATTATATAATACACCTTCGAAGGACACAACTCGTTGCGATCAATATTTCAATGTTAAAACGATGAATCGATACGACTTTGATAATGTAGACTATCGACCATTTATGAAAAAAGGACACAATAGCGACAACGATGACGATGTTAATGACGGTGATGATGATAATTCGTTATTTACAAAGCGTATACCGAAAAAGGTAACTAATCACAGTTTGAATTACTTCTTTCCCATGTATCGTAGGTGAAAAATGAATCACAGACGTTCTGTTATTTACATCTATGTACATATAACCATCGACACAGTATACGGAGACGACATGCATTACTTTTTCGTACTTTCATAAATACGTAGATAGTTTCAGTGCTCGCTAAATGTTTTTATCTTCCTAGCAAAGAATGAGTGCGAAGAATGAAAATGTTTTTCTGTCCTATGACTTCGAATTTTCTGAAACGAGCATGATTTTTCTTATTATTCCATTTTTCATCAATAGATGTACTCAAGTTCATACAATCCCAATGTTCCTGGTGATCCATGTCGCGTTTGTGGGTTTGACAGAAATACAGGACGTAATTTCGGTGTAATAACTTGTTCCACATGCAAAGCTTTCTTTCGAAGAAATGGCCGCACCGGTTCTGTAAGTTGCCATTCTAAGCAGAGTAGCATCAAACTAACTGGCACCTCGATGTTTAGTCATTACCACCTTGTCGTTTCGGTGGTCACTGTGCTGTCAACGAGCGAACGCGTCGTCAATGCCCGACGTGCCGTTTAGCCAAATGCTTTGCTGTTGGCATGCAAAAGGATCTCATACGAACAGACGAGGAACGTGCCGCCCGTCTACAACTAGTAAAAGCGAACCGCATACAACGATTGGAGAAAAGTCAACAGCGGCTAGTCCTTGATGCAAATGAAACGATTTTACCTACAGAAGCGTCTCCCTCCATACGTTTACCGACAACCAACGATTGGATTCAGTTGACAAACATTCGTAATGCCTATGAACACTTCTGTTTGAATCCAATGTTACAAGCCGAAGAAGAACGCGATGAATATTTAAATGCACAACCTGTGAAATGTCGATTAAAAGAACATTCTTTTCTAAATGTATTAAATACTCGTTTGACATCATTAGCTGCATTTTTCCGTACAACTATACCCGCATTTTCCATTGGAATGAATGGAAATGACCGACAATGGTTGATTCGAACGAATCTACATTATTTATTCCTTTTCTCTTCGATGGATTTAATGAGTATCAATGGCAATCAACCTCATTTCGTTGAAGCGAAAGCTTGTCACAATGTTTACGTATATGTTTACGGACAAGAATTACTTGAACGTGAAGAATATCTTCTCTATAAGCTTAATAATCTAATTGGTTTCGACAGCATGATTAGTAAAATGATGCAGATAATTTTATTTCTTTCTCCATGTTTAGTCGCCAGTCACATGCCAACCGTGAATCTTTATCAACCATCTGTCGAAACTATTCGACATATTTTCCAGTCCCAAGAAGAATATACTCGCATGTTATGGTCGTATTTAATCTATCGCTATGGTGAATACAAATCATATAAACTATTTATGAAAATTATAGGACAAGTACTCGAACATCAACGATACGGTGCCGATGTGGACAACAGTCTGATCGAAAGGCAGCCATTTGGCGGTCTTGTCTACTCATTATTAACATCGTTTTCACTAGATTAAAATCCGACGATAGATGACTGCCAACAAGTGTTTATATTTTGTTTGTTTTTTTTTCTAATGTTTTTGCGTTTCTAAAGGTTCATGTATGTATTTCATTTAGTCAGAGCAAATATATTGTTATAAAAAGGAATCGGGCGACTTTCATAACATTAGAGCTATAAGCTGCAAAGAGCATATTTCTAAACTTCGAGTGCGACTATGTTATTAAGGCTAATTGAAGTCTTTTGGAGTTTTCAGAAACAAAAGACATGATGAGATATTTATATCCGACCTGAAAGGATTTTAAATTAGAAGTAGGGATGAATTTTAGTTCAGCATGGCGTAATCACAAGGCTTTTCAAGGTCATTCAACCATTCCTTTATATGATAAGTACCTGGAAGTGTTCTCCGCGTTCGATAAAATGCACAGTCATCGTATTTGCTTTTCACGAACGGTCAAAATGATATAAAAGTATCTAAAAATACGGTATACTTTGTTGCTTTTGTTTATCTATTATGGAGCGTGAAAAGTAAATTTCGGTGATTTGCTCTATGGAAAAGAACTAATAGAAGGCTTATTTTTAGTCGTCTCTGAATAGAAAAATAATTAGTTTAATTTTCAGGCTTTCTCCGAACTGACTAGCAGCGAACTAAAAATAGATATCCGCCGACTTTTCATGAATTTTTCGAAGCCAGTAGTCTAAAAAAAAGTATATGATTTAATAAGATGTTCTTGTCTTCATGTTTTCTCTGATCACACTTCGACAACTGGAACTATTTCATACGTTAGGCATGTGACAGACTGTTAACGGTTGTCTATTTCAAGGAACGATAGATCGATGTGTAGCAAATCATCTATTGATGAATAATGGAAGCAAAATTAAAGCAATGCTAATGAAGATACACCGGTTAAAATTCATACGGATGTAGTGTTATATAATACTTATTAAACATCAATGCCTTGTGGTTGGGTTCTTTGCCAGCTCATTTAGGTAAACAACCGATAATGTGATCAAAACAGGCAAACAAATAATGAATTTTTAAGACGGCAACAGGTTTATGAAGGTTTCCAGCGATGATTGGTGGAAAAGACCATAGCAGAAAAACAAAGTGTTTGCTTCACTTACCATGCATACACAGACACACACAGCCATAAAAATGCTTTCATTCTATCAAAGTATGGGGGTGCGACAAAGAAAAAAAAGCTTAGTCAGTCAAATAAATACGAAGTATGACGGTGCAGAAAATGAGTAGTAAATAGAGAAAGAAACGAGGAATTCCGGCAAGTTCAGTATTTAATAGCGGCAACGACAAAGCATTTTAAGTACACACAGTTCGTAAAGTAGCGTAAACGGTTGATTTGCAAGATGTCCCGAGCCCCTAGCGCATCGAAATCTCGTCCGATGTCAGCAAAACCCGATGCATCTACTAAACCACGGATTCATGTGATCTATTACTCAATGTACGGCCATGTCTCTACTCGTAATGATCAACTTTGTGTACCTCTAAAAATCTATTGTTGAAATTTTGTTTCATCTAGTGGCCAAACAAATCGTTAAAGGTGTTGAATCCGCTGGTGCTGAAGCACATCTTATTCAAATTCCCGAAACTCTGTCAAAAGAAGTTCTAGCTAAAATGCATGCACCCGAAAAAGATCATAGTATAACGACAATCAGTTTCGGAGCAGGCGGAGAAAATACAATTACATTAGAAGATGCATTGGTGAATTGTGACGGTATTCTATTCGGGTATCCTACCCGTTTCGGTGGAATGCCAGCTCAAGCTAAAGCTTTATGGGACGCAACTGGTGGCCTGTGGATGAAAGGTGCACTCGTTGGAAAACCGTTCGGTGTGTTCATTTCTACAGGTACTCAAGGTGGCGGGTATGATAGTTGACTATCGTGTCAGTTGAGAAGTATTCAGTCTTTGTTCATAGACAAGAAACAACGATATTGACATCGTTAACGAATTTCGTCCACCATGGCATGGTTTTTGTAAGTATTCTTTATCGAAACTGTCTTAATTAACATTTTCTCGTACAGGTACCGGTTGGTTATTCAAGCCCATTACAGGCAAATATGGATGAACTTCATGGTGGTAGTGCTTATGGAGCAGGTAATTGTCTTTTAGTTACATGCTCAATTTGAATGTAGCTTCTATTGAAGGAACATTTGCTGGTGGCGATGGATCACGGCAGCCCAGCCAGCTTGAATTGAAAGTAGCTGAACATCAAGGATCGCATTTTGCTCAAATAGCAACGGCATTAAAAATAGGCCGAGCAGCTTTGCCACCGAAGGAAGCGAATCCTCCCGATCCGAAACAAGACGATGCAGCGAAAAAATCCGATCGCCCACCATCTGCTAAGAAGTAACTTTTATCCAATGATTGGTTTTGACTTTTCTTACACGCATGATTTGTTTGTCAATATACATAGGCAGCTTTTCTCAGGCGCTAACGTTTCAATAAAAATTAGTTTCTATTGACTTTCGTATGATTTTCTATAATAGGAATGCAATGCTCATTTTGAAATGTAAACAATCCAAGTTGTGATTAGTCTAGTGTGTATGAGTACTCAGAATTAATATAGCATCTGCCGTTTCTGTGTAGCACTATAATTAACGGATGAAAATAGAGAAAAAACTTCTTTTTTAATGTTCCTGAACAATAACTTTTAAGTGTTCACTTGCCATAGGAGAAACAGAAAGTGTCGTCTTATAAAGTAATACATAGTAAAGAGTCAATCAAATAGTTCTGGCGGACTAACAAACATGTTTGACTGACCTTCCTTGATTTATCAATTGACTTCTGTGAAATTCGAATAACATAATACAAAACGATGCATGATAAATCCTAGCATCATACTGTCTTTGTGATGTATATACAAGTTTACTATCAGATGAAATATATCGCCATTCTCTTTGAAGACGAATACTTTCGAAAACAGTGTCATTCTCATTGGTCAATAATCTTCTCTTTTCATATGATTCAGACCAGACAAACGAAAATAAAATTGTACTTTGTCAACCATCGATAATTCTCTATTGAACCGATTGATTTCGCAAAATTAATGAGTGCTTACTCGTCTTCAACCCATATCAACAATGGCAAACAATCGGGAGATGATCGTTCTTCAACGACGGGAGCTGATGAAAACGCTTCATCAAAGCACGCAGTAAATGACTGAATTTCATTCGAATTCCATTTAATCATCTCACCTGCTTAGGGTATTACATTAACTCTACTCTTTGCTGCGTTTGCAGCTGTGACGGGCACATCGTTTCATTTTGGTTATGCTTCTGGTATTATGTAAATTCATGAAAATGACTTATATCCAGCAAATATATAATTTTTTTCTCTGTTTTTTAGGAATGCTCCACAGGATGTCAGTTGATTCACAACTAGTAAACACATTTTTCTAACGTATTTTTGTACAGGTCATCCAAGCATTTATAAACGAAAGCAGCCATCAGCGAAGTCAAAACTCATATCTCAGCGAATCCACAATCACACTGATTTTGTAAGTGAACTTCTATAATCCTTTCATCACGACAGATATCCGTTTTTCCTTGAGTTCGTTTGCTGTATCCATCTTTGCAGTTGGTGGTATCATCGGTGGCCTTTTTGGATACTTTATTACTGATCGATTTGGACGGTAAATTCAGTTTATTAGTCATACAATCACCGGCTTTCTATCTGTACAGAAAAGGTGGAATGCTGTTAAACAACATTGTCTCTTCCATTGCTTGTATATTGATGTTTATTTCGAAACCTCTATGTACATACGAACTTCTTATCATCGGCCGATTTTTCATTGGAGTTGCCTGTGGTAGTTCTCTCTATGATATGACAATTTTTTATACTTACGCGATCGTTTTCTTTATGAAGGATATGGGTCATCAGTTGCACCGACATATATCAATGAAATTTCTCCAAAACAACTACGTGGAACTTTAGGAGTCATTTTTCAGCTAGGAGTGGTACTTTTTATATTCGTTTCGCAAGCAGTCAGTCTATATCCAATCTTAGGTTCCGAAAGTAAATGGCACTATGCTCTTGGTAAAAGTCACACTCGTTGGTCGAATAGTTTGAACAAAAACCGAATCTCATTTAGGATTGCCCATCGTGTTTAGCATTGTACAAGTGGTGTCATTGATGTTTGTACCGGAAAGTCCCAAATATTTGTTGTTGAAGAAAGATAATATCGAACAAGCAGAAAAAGGTTTGAAATAAATTTCTAGCCATCTCACCGAATTTTCTTTTCAGCTCTTAAATGGCTTCGACAACACTCCGATCTTCAACATGAACTAGACGAAATACGAGATGAAGAAACACACCAAGAAAAATCAGTATTGTTTCACTGAGTATATCTGTCAAGATAAAAATTATCTATTTAGGTTCGTTGGATCGATCTGTTTCGAACGCCTATCGTTCGCTGGGTACTATTCATCACTATTTTCCTTCAATTATCTCAGCAACTATCCGGTATCAATGCAGTTTTCTACTATTCAACTGTCATATTACAATCAGCTGGTTTTAACAAACAAGCAGCCGAATATGCCAACTTAGGTTTAGGTGGTGCGAATATATTCGTAACCGTTCTAAGTATTTTCCTCATGGATCGTCTTGGTCGACGTCTCCTACACTTAATTGGTATTGGCGGTATGTTCATCACAAGTATTGTACTTTTCATCTCTTTGATGATTCCGTCAACGGCTGTTTGGAACAAGATTTCTTTAATCGCGACATTTCTCTTCGTGGCATTCTTTGCAGTTGGTCCAGGTTCGATACCCTGGTTGATTACGTCGGAATTATTCAATCAGGCTTATCGAGTGCCTGCATCAAGTATCGCCGTGCTTGTGAATTGGTCTGCTAATTTCGCAGTTGGTCTGGGTTTTAAACCGCTTTTCACGGTAAGTGAAGACCTCCAACACTTGCTGGAATCTTTGATTTGCACTCTAGGGTGTACTTGATAAATATACATTTCTTCTGTTCACTGGTTTTCTGCTCGTCTTCTTTCTTCTCACATTTCTCTTCGTACCCGAAACAAAAGCAAAGACAGTTGATGAAATCTATACAGAAGTAAACACTGGACAAGTCTGGCGTCGATCTCATTCGAAACATTGCAATGATCGCGCTACTACCGATGACGATCATGGCATCGGACATGACAATATAATGGCATTAACATAGATTTTCTCTCGTCTCAATTCTTTCCTTTCTCAATAAACCTTGAATTCCACACTCGATTCTCAATACATACCGCCATCTGTCTGCACATGCAAATATATTTGCTCGTTTCTATGCAAATGAAGATTCAGTAGGCAAAGCATCATCATACATACATTTTTTCCCATTCCAATCATTTCCATATTTCAATGTGATGTCTTCGTTACTAAAAACGCTAGCCGATCAGCTTCGTGAACATAATGATACAAGAGCAGGTGAGATCGCTTTCGACCATTTCAATCAGTCCGATCAACCGTATGATGATCTATTCAAATATCTTTTATCTTTAACTGAAACAAATAACCAGAATGTGAGATTAATCGATTGCTTGATACAATCTTTTTTACAATGGGAAACGCAAGCAAAGCCTACGTACGCACGGCCGGCATTCGATGAAACTTGCATAAATAATTTAATTTTAAGTCAATTGCCGGTTGTATTTTTAAACGATTTCTGTCAAATATTTCGTATTTCAAAAGAACAATTATTCTCTCTGCTACGAACTGTACTACGCCAGTCAATGAACGCTCCGTTATACAAACGTGCCTTGACTATCATTGTCAAACTCCAGTGCCAATCTGAATTTCTCGACGAGGAAATTCTCTTACCGTTAATATTGAATAGCAAAGATCATCTTATCCATCTGTTTGTCGATAATCAGCAGGAGCTAGAAGAAAAGTTATTGACTATATTGAATCATTTGTATCGATATGGCGGCAGATCACTCGGGAGAATTTTAGCTGAAGAGTTTAACATGAATGTTCCTAATATAAACAAGAAAGCACTGGGAAAGTTAGCTGTTCGATACTGGAACCTGTATGGACACAATCAAGTTGAAAAGTATCCAAATTTAGCTTCATTGCAGCATAAACGAACGTTGAACTATTTGATCAATGTCAAATATAGCGGATCAAGCGAAGAAAAACCGATGAGTGACGAAGCTTGGAATGAAATTGTCGCCGAGGTTATACAAGACGACCAAGATTTATTAGAATTTCTACTGGAACAAATGATCAATCGAGACGATATTGTCTCTGTCAAGTATTGGAGTAAGCACTTTTCATCTTGCATACGTTCACCTTAATAAATCGTTTTAGTACATCAAACCAAGCGCTCAGTCGAGTCATTACCTAACTGGGTATATGCAATTTACTTCTATTTATATTATCTATACTTCTTTGTGTTCTGTAGATGCAGAGATATGTTTATAGTAAAACAAATTTCGGAAGATCGACAACATTATCAAATCCTGTACGAAGAGCATCTCCTAACTTCTATAAAATCCCGCCAAATGATACGCAAATCATTTTTATTGGCTCGAAGTCTGAATATGATCGTTTACTTGATCGATTATTCACCGTTAAAAATGGCGAAGAAGACATATACCTTGGTTTTGATTGTATGTAATTGAAAAATAAAAACTTGTGTGTAAATGATATATTTATCGATCTAGGTGAATGGAAACCCATGTTTACTAATGCAGCTAGCGAGCAACGAATCAGTGTAATGCAAATTGCTTTTCCCGACGAAATCTTTATACTTGATATGCTGCATTTCTTTCGCACCTGTGATTCGGAAACTGTGCAGCAGCGTTTAGCAGATCGACTATTCGATGACGATCATGTGACGATACTCTGTGAGTGAACACGATCAATAGCAAATATTCGAGAGTTATCCGTTTCGAACGATATCTTAGGTTATGGTTTTCGATCGGACGCATCGATGTTAACTTCGTCTTATCCAGTATTCAGTCGTGCGCTTGTTTCAGGAAAAACTCTATTAGATTTGTGTCTTGTGCACTTCGATGTAAGTATCAGTCTGACTCAGTTCTGTCTAATTTCATTTTTCTAGTTAATGAATACACAACGTCATGTTTTTCCGTATGCTTCGACGAACAATACTCCGTCGAAAGATAAGGGCCTTAGCGAGTTAGTTCGCTTGTGTTTTGGAATAGCTCTGGACAAATCTGAGCAATGTTCTAATTGGGAACGACGCCCGTTGCGATCAGCCCAAATTCAATATGCTGGTAAACAATATTTCTACGCTAATTCTCGTCCTCATCTGTTTATGTCAAATTTAGCGACCGATGCATATTGTCTATTAGCTATTTACAATTTTCTGAAAACTCGTGTCGAGTCTGCTGACTATTTTCGTTCGTTTCGTGGACAGCATACGAAAAAGCCTGATTCCTCGCCAATGCCGAAGGCTATGAATGAAACAGACTAACAACTGGTACGTATTTTTCAAACAATTCGCCTTTTAATAGTAACTTTGTGTAAAATTTCGATAGAATTATTTTCGTCATATTTATGCCTGAGTACTATTAACAGTTTTATGTGAATACGAGTATTTCAATTTGAAAAATTTTAATGGCACTTTACATATAATAAGCAGATTGTATCTGTGACAGTTAAAAATAACTAAAGGATGTCTTTCGTTTTGCTTAGATTAGAGAAATTTTACTTTCATGAAATAAATTCACTTAACAATGATTTATTAATTTACAATTGTATGAATGCTAATCCAACACAGTGCTAAAAGAGAAGGGCATGCTTAATTATGGCCTGGCAGTAATAACTTGGCAAGTGTTGCTTCATATTCTTCATCTAAAGTCACTAATTCTGCAACGACATTCAAACGTCGTTGTGCTAAATGTTTTAATTGTGCATAGGCATGATGCCGTTGTTCGTTACGTGTCTTTTGTCGTTGAATTGTAGTTGAGAGATGTTCTGATAAGCGACGTGTTTTCAATGGAGCTTCAATTCGTGGTGTCGATGATGTTGATGACGAACGCATTCGATGATTAGGCACTTCATGACGACGAATGTCCGATTCATGTCTAAAAATGAAAGCTGTGTTCGGAATTCAAATGAGACTTTTCGATTTCGACGTACTTAAGCGACGAGATTGATGTGTCAACATGTGCAGGAACAGAATGATTAAGTAATTGTGCTAGAGTTCCCATTTCATGTGTTGAATCATGTTGATTCTCTTGGGCGTGGTCAATTGTGAAAGGTTTAACCTTAATCTGTGATGGATATTCATCTGAACTTATGTCACCACTTTCACATTCACTGGCGCTACCCGCATCCGATGAGGCTATTTGCAAATGTGCTGCACTATTATTAACACTGATGACTAGAACGAAAAAACAAAGGAGGGATTCAATTGATGAAAATCTTTTCTCGAACCTTCTTTCACATAGATACATTTTCTCGAGAAAGTCGTGGTCGCTGCTACTGATCCCGTATTAATGTTTGTGGATATATCCGACAAAGGTATCGATGGACGATGACGATAACCATGCGTCGCTGAAATCGCTGATGACGTATGCGTTGCTGTCGAATGCCATTTATTACTTGAAGATAACAAAGTTGAACCTGAATGCGACATGATTTCCAACAGTCAAAAAGCAATCAATTTCATGTCTTCAGATGACAAACAAAACAGATGAAATGGTCATTCGAGATTTTGTATGCATGAAGAATAGAATAGAGAACGACAAAGAGAAAAACAGTCGAGAATACACATTGTCATCACCCTCGATAGATACATAGAAGCGAATTCGACTGATTTCTTCCTTTGCAATCTCCTCTGTACAATTAATGAACGAAAGTATTTTAAAAAAAAACAACAAAAATATTCATTTATTCACCTGATAGAAGTTCATCGGTAAAACACTCACACAAACGCAAACAAAAAAGTTAGGAAAAGTAAACAAATATTCATTGTTATTATCTCTCGAAAAGTTACACTGTTAATCAACTTCTTCCACACGTGGTCCCGAATAACTATCTTGTCCTTGACCATTATAATTTCCTGCGTAACCGCCACGATTACCATTACTGCCGCCGCCGGCGCCACCATGCATCTTTGTCATCACTCTTTGACATGTTCTTTCCAACGCACTATATTGATGATCGATTTCGTCCTTTTCTGCCAGTTGATTTCTATCTAACCACCGTTGTGTTTCTTCGCATGCATTCAATACACTGGATTTATCTGAACTGGTTATTGCTGAACCATTATAGTTCTCGACTGCCTGTTTACATGAATAGGCATACGTTTCGAGACGATTTCGTGCATTGACACGTTCACGTGCCCGTTCATCGTCTTCGCGATATTGTTCAGCATCGTTGACCATGCGTTGAATTTCTGCTTGCGACAAGCGTCCTTTATCGTTCTTGATTTCGATTTTCTTATTTCGACCGGTGCTCTTATCTTCTGCGGTGACATGAAGGATACCTACAATGAAAAAACAATAAGATGATTCACGTGTATGAATACGGAGTCGGATCTTACCATTGACATCCAAGTCAAAAGTAACATTGATTTGTGGTACACCACGCGGTGCTGGTGGAATGCCTTCGAGATTGAATTTACCTAAAAGGTGGTTATCTCGCGTCATAGATCGTTCACCTTCATAAACTTGAATAGAAACTGCAGGCTAAAAACAAGAAAACATCATTTGAAATTTCTTTCCGTTACAAAGGTTCGCTCTACTTACTTGATTATCCGAATAGGTTGTAAATGTTTCCGTTTTCTTGTGTGGAATACGTTGGTTTCGTTCAACCAGTTTCGCCATTACACCACCAGCTGTTTCAATACCCATAGATAATGGTGTTACGTCAATAAGTAAAACGTCTTTGATCATTTCACTTTTGTCACCTACGATACAAATCGTTCAAATATAATCTTCTTCGGCTATTCTTCTCTTACCAACTAAAATAGCAGCTTGGACAGCAGCACCATAGGCCACAGCCTCGTCAGGATTGATGTTTTTATTTAGAGTTTTACCATTGAAAAACTCCGACAATAACTGTTGCACTCTTGGGATCCGTGTAGAACCACCAACTAAGACAACTTCTTCGATATCACGTTTGTTCAGTTTGGCATCTCGAAGAGCCTGTTCAACAGGTCCGAGTGTTCCTCGGAAGAAATCCTACATGAAAAGAAAAACGCATCGTAACTAACCATCAAATCTTATTGTTTCACGTACCATGTTGAGTTCTTCGAACCGAGCACGACTAATTTGTGTGTTGTAGTCGATGCCTTCGAAGAGTGAGTCGATTTCGATCGAAGCCGTTGTCGATGATGATAGTGTACGTTTAGCCCGTTCGCATGCACTTCGTAAACGACGGACTGCTTTCGTATGTCGGGAAATATCTTTGCCATGTTTGCGGCGAAATTCGTCGACAAAATGTTGTACTAAACGATTGTCAAAATCTTCACCGCCCAAATGAGTATCACCGGCTAAACGAAGAAGAGACGTTTACTAATCAAGTTGCATTCAGCAAACTTACCAGTAGATTTAACTTCGAAAACTGAACCACCTTCATCACTACCACTGATGGTTAATATCGAAACATCGAAAGTGCCACCACCGAGATCATAAATAAGAATGTTTTGATCGCGTTGAAGTCTCTTTTCGAGACCATACGCAAGTGCACCAGCCGTTGGTTCGTTAATGATACGAAGCACATCAAGGCCAGCAATTGTACCTGCATCTTTTGTTGCCTAAAGTATAATCAAGTGACTATGATCGAATTTTTAATCCAACGAAAGACAATATTTCAGTAGTTTAGTATTTACATGGGAAAAGAACCAATATTTACGGCATGCAAACGTCAATATTATGTTTTCATCAAGAGAAAGAGAGATTTTAATAAATTTTCTCGTTTCTTTTCCTGTGATCGATTACAAAAACGAGTGATTTCAACGTACCTGTCGCTGTGAATCATTGAAATAAGCTGGGACTGTGATTACCGCTTGTCTGATTTGTGTACCTAAGAAAGCTTCGGCAGTTTCCTTCATTTTCGTTAATACCATCGATGAGATTTCCTCGGGCGAGAAAAGCTAGAATAAAAACCAAGTTTCTAATGAACATTTTCATCGTTCGTTTCGACATACTTTTCTTTCTCCTTTGAATTCCACTTCAATGAATGGTTTACGATCTTTACCACTGACTACTTTGAACGGCCATAATTTAATGTCTTTCTGAACAGTTTCTTCGTCAAAACGTCGACCGATCAAACGCTTGGCATCGAAAACTGTGTTCGACGGATTCATTGCTGCTTGATTCTTCGCTGCATCGCCAATTAAACGATCTGTATCCGTAAATGCGACATACGATGGTGTTGTCCGATTTCCTTGATCGTTGGCAATAATCTCCACTTTCCCATGTTGAAAGACACCAACACACGAATAAGTTGTGCCTAAATCGATTCCGATAGCAAGGTTTCTTCTGTTACCACTGGCACGAGACATGATCTGAAGTATATGTAAATGCAGTCAAATGTTTAATTGATGTAGCAAATGAGAAGCGAACGACCTTTTAAATAGGCTAATCGAATATTCTAGACCTTTCGCGTAGGATCATTTGCATACGAAGGTGAATTGGTGGTTGTCGTTACACCTTTCACACAAATCGGACTACGCTGCGACGCAATTTGGAAGGAGAGAGAGAGAAAAAGAACAAGAAGAAGAAAGCACATGAAGAAAATGATTGGATTTCGTTTTGCGCTGATGTGCGTTTTACCGATATCCACATTGACGTCTATAGTACAAAATGTATTATGAATTACGATCTTGCTTATAAAGACTCGCGAATTTGGAAAAAGTTCACACGCAAGACGGTTCTTTTTCTTCCGACTAGGAAGAAGTCTGTTGGCAGAATGACTGTCGGAAGTATCAGGAAAGCAAAACAAATTCTTTTAATAGTCGAACTAGCATATCAAATAAGAGATCTTTTTATTTATTTTCAACAAATAAAGAATAATACATAAGCACATACATTGGAACACAGATATACATAGACAGAAAGAAATAGAATAATATCAAATATGTATTCGTTTGTATTGAACAAAAAAATTCTTTCGCCAGATTTCTCTAATTATGTTCATGTGAAAGTAAACGAAGTTCACTTGGATCAGCATTACCGTTAGCTAATAAACCATTTGTACTTGATGAACCTGCATGTCCATTGCCAGTCGGGTTTGAGCCTTGTTCGGAGTATGTGCTAATTTTCGTTTCTTTACCATTTTCATTGATAAAAGTTGTCGTGGCTGTTTGAGACGAGCTTGTCACCGTCACTCCGTTTTTCTCCACGAGAGCAACCGGTGTTGGACTGTCCGGTAATTCGCTATAGTAACGACGACGGCAAAGTAGATAATAAAGGCATGTTAAAAGAAAGATTATTGCGAGAATAGACGATAATAATCCAACGAGCTGAAACATGAGAGACAAAGAAAATCATTTCAATTCAGCCCACATCGAATTTCACTTACCACAGCATTCCATCCCATGGGCGAATCGTAATAGAAGGGTGCGAAAAAAGTTGGACATGGTGTTGAGAATACCGTTGTTCCATTCGGTAATAGAGTATTTGTAACTGGCATATTAGTTGGTACTATTGCGGCCATTTTCCGTGAATAACGAACGATTGTCTACGTCTAGCAGAGGAATAATGAAAATGGCAAGCGAAGTTTGCTTTTCCTTCTATGAATATGAAGTGAATCGAAGAAGTCAAGCGACCGAAAAAAGAGGGAAAGAGAAGAGAGTGCACAGATGAAACGGGCGAATTTATATAGACTTCGTCTTTTGTTTTCAATGACTGACTGACTGAATATGTAGGAGAAGAAATAACAGCGGACGAACGAACGAACAAACCGTTGGACAGACAATTTGAATTGTTCTATGTCGAAGAAAAAGCAAGCAGAGCATGTCAGGCGTTCATCCACTAATATGAAGAAATCATGTAGGCGAAAGTTAATTGTTCTTCCCCAGGCAGAAAGAACAACACACCATCGCTTGTAATGGATTTTCACACGAAAATTCTCGATAGAAGAGATAGTATCAATCATTTTTGTTCGCTGAACTTGCTTGATAAAGTCAATATGTTCACTTTGAGATAGCATGATCATGCTAATAGAATTTCATTGATTAGCTGGAAGTTGATTGAGAGTTACATTATGAGGATGTACGATGTTTTGATGACGACGAAAGCAATAGCGATTTATCTGTTGACTTAGAAACATTTTGATCGGTGTTGGTGTTGTATAAAAACAGATGAAGGGTGTGAGTAGTGGAGTTACGTACGGCCCGAAAATAAGAAAGCGTGAGATCGATTCATCACTGAGAGAAACACGATCATTCGATAGTAATTGAAGAAAGATCGCATAAGGAGCCCAGCTTATTGTATACACAGCACAGATCAGACCTGTTTGTATAGTTAGTTTTCTTGTCTGACGCCATTGGAAACGTTGCATCGATCGCTTTTGCATCACAAACCGTATGGGTAACAGGACGCCGGCAACAATCGTAACTACTGTCGGGAAAAATACTTGAAAATAGACATAAAATAAAAGTAATTCTGGTACCAGAATTGAACATGTATAATTACATAAGAAATACGAATAACGGAAATGCAGTTGTGGACAGGTAATGATGATATCTGTTACAAGCGAATAGATAACTATCCAAAGAATAATTATGATCAATGGTACAAAATGATATAGCCAACGCGTACGCGTTGTTCGATAAATTTGTGCATGAAAGACGAGAAAATGCCGTTCGATGGAGAGAAACGCCATAAACATTCGATTCAAACCGCAGATGGAGAACAATGCGAAATTATAAAATCGACATGCCTCTGGAGTTTTGATTGGAACAGCATTAGTCCAGAAATAAAACTGCGTTACAGGTAAATCGAAAGTAGTTGACCATGCAGATATAAGCAGTAGACCAGCAATCAGATGGTTTGGCAAACTTCGTATTTGACTTCGTTTCTTTCCAAACTCGAATAAGATATACAACGTACAGGTAAACGAAATGATCTGTATGATGACGAGAAATACGAGGCTTGTAACATCGCCTTTCATGATTAAAAACAGAAGTGAGAAGCGCGTGCCTGAATTGAATGATGGTGCTCAACAAACTGTCCAAACCAGACTTCATCAGGAAAAGAAAGCGTTTTCTTTGAACTGAGTTGCGATGAATGAATCGTTATTCATCCTATGACGCTCAGCCCATTATCTTGAAAACACATCTCGTTAGTCATGTGTCTTGTTTTGATAGTTAATATAAAAGTATTTTCCTTTCCTACTATTCTTAGATCATAGGTGATAGTAAACTTTATACTTTTTATCTTTATGAATTTATTTGACAAACAGAAAAATGCAACACATTGTACATGCCGTTGAAAAAGAAAAAAAACCTAATGTTGTCTTTACAACGAGAAGGAAGAGAAATTTTCCCGTCGAAAGAATCCACGTGCGATACATATATGTAAATACAAGCTACACACTTATTTATTTTTCTTTTGTCATGTCTATTTTAACGTTAGAATCTTTACCGAATGAAATCTTGGTTAAACTTTTCGAGAAATATATCGATGGCACAGATATTATCCATGCATTTGCTGGTCAACAAAATCAACGTATTGACGACATCGTTGCTATATGCCAACGACTGTGCTTCAATTTCCAGAGTTGTCGAAAAGATGATTTTCAAGTTTGGATTGGCTTAGTACCGAATTATGTGACAAAAATTCATGAATTGATTTTATCTGATTACAACTCGTTCGGTCAAGTTTGCGCTTTCCTAACTGCCTTTCCAACATTCCAACAATTTACTGAACTTCACAAACTTTACATTCATTTCCATGGATGTGCAGTCGACTGGTCGGTCATTCAAACGGCTTTGCTTTCACTTACAAACACACCACTTGAGACTCTTATTCTGAAGAAATACGATCGTGAAAGAATGCCGTTTAGTTTGCATGTTCCTGATGATGACGATGGTGTACGTTTGTCAAGACTGAAGCAACTTTACTTCGCTGGGAATTTTACCTGCAGACAATGGAATTTCATTCAAGTCTTGTCGCCAAATCTCGAATATTTAACGAATTTAAATATCAACGTCGAATTTTCCTATTTACAACGAATCTTTCGACAATATCCTCGTCTGAAATATCTTAATGTTCGATTTGTATCAAAATCATATGATGCTGTAGTTTACAATGGTTACTCTTCGGAAGTCGAAGTTCGACCGTTATCTACTCTTCATACGTTTATTTTGTCGTTTCCACAGGATCATGTGACAGTGTTCGAGGATTTGTCGAGATATTTGGACCTGATGCCAGCTTTAAGCTATTTAGATATTAAGGCACATCGCGCACTTCTTAATGCAACACAATGGAGAAGTTTTCTTCACACAGCATTATTTTCACTTACGCATTTTCACTTGAAGACACTATACCGTCATATACATAATGAACTTGATAGACTTTTAGACGCATTTGAAACTCCCTTCTGGATAGATATGACGAATTTTTACTTCATTATAACTGAACACCAACATTTCGATTCGGATTCATTTCGAAGGGGCAAGTCGTCTGATGGAGATGAAGACGAATTCGATTATCCAGTCACTCGATGGTGGATAGTTCCTTTTCGTGGTCTTCATGATGATATTCCTGTCAACGATATCACCAGTTTTGGTATCCCACACAGAATGCATTCTTTATCACCGTATTATCAATTTACTAAAGTTCAAAGTCTCACAATTTGTCGACTTGATGAGAGTGTACTCGCATGGCTTCAAACGCATTTGAATCTTTCCGGAATAAAACATCTTGATCTATCAAACATACCAGATACAAGTGATACATTGAATTCGCTTGTATCCAATATTCAAGATATAGTTTCATTACGAGTCAGTCGTGATCAGCTACGCGGTAATTGGCACCTTATTATAGATCAAATGAAGTCGCTCAAAGCTTTGTATATTTCATCCAGATATGAATCCGATGTTTGTGATAGAGATGTTCAATTAATTGCTCAATTATTTCCCACCATAGAGCATTTAGCAATTAGAACAATAGCATCGGGAAATGTGTCAATCGCACGAATTCGAATACCATCTATTCGTTTTATTTCAATTGAATCAGCTGATTCAGAAGGGTTACCCGACTGGACGAATATATCCAACTTATTCTATCGTGATCTAATAACCTATGATCGGTTCACATCACGACGAAGCCTCAAAACTATAACAACTTGGATTGACTCCACAATGCAATCAGATCAGTCGTCAGCAAGAAACAGATTGCAAAACTAGACATTTGATGCACACTTTACTGATACTCAAGATCATTGAAAATCAATATTTATATAATGAAACATGAATTGGAATGTTCTTGCATTATTTTTTCTTTTTACGATATTGCTTTGTAATAAAAACAATACTTTATGAACACGCATAATACATGATTATAGATATTTTTTTCTCCATGAAAAATGCCAGCAAGAAAAAAAAACCGAAAATCCTAATTTTTATCAAATAGGATTGTTTGAATTTCCATAGCTGCTTCTTGCATACTTTTCATCGTTCGTGGCATAAATGAATCATTCGAAATCTTTTCGTTATTTGCTGCACTTTTCACAATATTCATCAATGTTTCGTCTGTAGGAATCATTGAACGATACTCTTCATGACAGGAAATACGCCAAACGACATTGAACAGAAGAACGCAAGTAAAATTATTCAACGGATTATTCTCCAAAGATAGATTCGGGTAGAACTCTGTCAAAATCGAAGTAAAAAATTCGATGATCTTATCTGTTGTCATCAAGGGTTCGACTCGCGTTCTACACAGAAATTCAACAAGGATCTTATCATTGTACAGCAATTTGGTCAGGGCTGTTAACAGCTCACAAATGTGAGCGCCAACACAACGATATTTGCTATCTTTACTCGCGTTGATAATCGATCGAAAAAGTTCATCCAGAATTTTGATCGAATCGAATCTCATGTGTTGAACGCCATTTAGAAGAAAATCGATCATAGAACGTTGTACGAACTGATCAGATTCGTTTGGTATATTCTCGATCGCATTCATTGTGTCGAACTTGTTAAATTCATCAATTCCATCATCATGTCGTAAGATATTAACGAGAATTGATAACAGAGCGATTTGTTTATCTTCTCGAAACTTCTTTCGGCAAGTTCTAATCCAATCGATGATACTTTTTGCATAGCCGGTTTTTAAAAATAGAGGCACGAGCATTGTATTATCTGTTAAATTCCAAATAAATGATAAGATTCCATCTGTTAAATTATCGTGTGTCAAATCTTTGTCCACATACTGACGCATGACATCGAGTAGGTGAATTTCATTTTCAGTGAACAGGTCAATGTCTTCACACGTTAGAGATGAACTTATTGTCGATGAAATTAACATAATAAGACATATATTTGAGACGAAAAACGTGGAATTTTGATCGACAAACACATTGACATAATCAGTGAGAAGTTCGAGACAAATGCGAAGCACGTAACGGGTAAATTCGTGATCAGTGTCGTAAAAATCTTTCACCAATGTAAGTGTAAAACATTCGGATAGGGTAGCACGACTTGTGTTTAAGAAAAATAGTTCATCGTCTGTTGCATGTTCAGCTACAGCGAGAACTTGACACCAATCCGAAAGTAATTTCGTAAGAGCATATTTGATTGTTTCACCCGACTTGCTAGCATCGATTCGAGATAGTTCGTTAATTTTCGAAAGTACTTGAGATGCTGCTGACAAATTCATGTGTTCGAATCGTTACAAGTATCAAAATAACACCGAAAGCCACGCGTGAGTATCAATAGGAAGTAGTAAAACGTTCTTATCTATATCAAATAACATTGTTTTTCAGTATGGTCAGAAAGAGAACACGTGGATATTAGTATGTTTTACATAATCAAAAACATTGAAGCAGAAAAATGTATAAGAAAGCAAGAAACGTTATACTTCGTGTCTCGTTTAGTAAGCGCCTTGACGAAAATTCAAATGCTTCCCGTTGTTCCTCTCTTTCCAAGGATTTCTACGATACGTCATAACAGATCAAATATCAAGTTATGCGTACACAAGGTGTTCCTCTGTCATCGACAGTATTGAATAACGGCACTTCATGTATAAACTTAATTTCGTTGCTAATCACACGTGAAATTTGTAATTTCATGTATACCATCGGCAAATGACATTTAGTTAACTTACATAATTACAATTTGTGCCCAGCATATATCTTCTACATGGAAGGATTTTTTTTCATAAAACCGCGTTATTATCTACGTTAATTGTACGTTCTACATATAAGATCTGAAAGAAAAGGATTCTTTGATTTGTGAACGTGAATAGCATTCTTAACAGTTCAACAAACAAAACTAATGAATTTCGTTTTTCTAACATACATCTTCATTATATAGAACGTTTAATACGAAGAGTTATGAATCACTGGACATTTTCAGGCTGAACTGTAGTTTGTCGTGCTGGAAAAAGATACTTTTTGACTATATGTAGCATTTGATGGTTTGCCCAACCTGGAATCGTTTGTTGTACAATGAATGGCGTTAATAATGGTGTTAAGTATGGCCCATAGATGAGAAACTGACTGATGTTATAGTCATTAAACGATGTGATTCCATTGACAGACAACTGAAGAATAATTGAAAAGGGTAACCAACAAAGGATGTATGCTCCGGAGATTACACTTGTGTGTATGATCATTTTTCGAGTACGATTCCATTCTAAACGTTGCAATGTTCGTTTTTGAATGACAAACCGGATTGGTAACAATATACTTGCAACAGTTATGATTGCTGTCGGAAGAAAGACGTATAACCACACCAAAATTAATATGAAGCTTGGTACGCGAACCGCACATGTATAACCACACATGAATCGAGTGTAATCATAAGACGCAGTGGAACAAGAGACGAAGATAGTCGTAGGAATGAAGTATAATACAACGGCCAATATTGTAATTATGAGTGGAATATAATGATATAAAACGCGTGAACGAAATGTATGATAGAGTTGCGGGCGAAAGACAAGAAAATGTCGCTCGAGCGACATAAATGCCATTAATGCACGATTCAAGCCACTCATGGTAGAAAACGAGATGTTATAAAAAGTACACATAGAAGAAGTTTGAATAGGGACGAAGCCAAGCCATAGAAATGCCTGAGTAAATGGTAAATCAATGGCAATCGCATAGAGTGAAACTATTAATAGACAAACAAGAAGATGATTGGGTAGACGTGTTAATGGATTGTTTCGTTGCCCGAATCGAAGAATCTGAATTGCACAGAAGAACGACGGGATTTGAACGATTGTCAAACTGATTAGTATCGCTAGATTACTGCTCATTCTTGCAAGGCACAAGATGAAATGATTGACAAAAAGCGAAAAAAGTCATGCCGGCGCGCGCATTTCTGCATGCTTGCATCACGCGCAGAGGAAGGTTGAAAATTCTCGGTTCATTTTTCTGATTTTTTAATTAAAACGTCAAAGACTTTCTCAAGAGACTCATGGTTAAGTATTACTTCGCCCGAAAGCATCTCGGTAATTTAATTAGAAAACCGAGAAGATGCTTTTCTCACTGATTACCTGAGATACGTGTCGATTTATTATCCATTGCCAGCAGAAACAAATACACACATCATCAATGCCCGCACCAGTCGGTCATTGAAAGAAAAGTAATAGTAAGGCAAAAGAGAACTGAAATAAATACGGGGATAAACACACAAGCCTGAGATAATAAAATAAATGAAGAAAACAGAAAACAAGCAGAAAGAACAATCTGAACACCGGATCATATCTTTGCTAGTTTGATCTACAGCGATGATGATACGAGTGATTGTTGGTCAGTTTTCTCACACTTGATCGTTGGTGATGATGTCGAAACAACATTCATTTTCAGAATACATGGAATGATTTTATGAATTTGCACTGAACCTGAAGAGAGAAATGAAGCAAATGACCACACAGTGATAAAAATGTTAAAGTGAATGTCAACGTACCAATCAAACCAACAAAGAATATCTCCTCGATGATATTTGTATCGAATTCAGGTAAGGATGATAACTTGAGTAAGATTCGACCTATACGACATTCATCAAACGATGTTGAAACCAGACGATCATTTAAATAATCCTGTAGTTCTTTGTACGACAAGATGCGATAGGCATCAATTTGATCATAAACTCGCATACATTCTAAACCGACAGAGTTTTGACGTAGTCACTCGAGAAGAAAATCTTTACCGACGCTGTTGTTTGGATTGAATATTGAAATTAGTTTCAAGTAAGCATATTCGGTTGCTGTGACTTGTAATCGGTCGAATTCGTATAGAAGAGATTGAATACGTCGTAATTGATGGTACTTATTCGAATCGAAGTTATCAGCTTTTTCTAGACGAGTAAAAACACCGGTCAATGCGACCAAATTAGGAGTTAAGGAAAATAATTTACTTGTTAGTAATGTTGACAAGATATTTGTTAGATTAACAATCGATGAACATTGAACAAGACTAAGAATGAACATCGCCAACCAATTATTCTGGATGAGAGTGATTTGAATGTTTGTACTACGAAAAACAAAGATAAGAAATTAACTTGAAATATGCAGCAAGCAACTTACTCCAATGTTTGAAAGCAAGGGTTACTTTTAATCCAATCAATCGATTGAAATAGAATACGTGATGCTGATTCACAAATGAAACTGTTCGAGGGTTGAGTATCACGGTTCGATGGTGGGCTTGGCGGCGTGATTGTGAATGTGCTCGACTCCGCTGTAATTAGTGGCCCTGCAATAGATTTATGCTGACATTCCGCTTGACTTCACGTGTAACTTACGGTCGACTTGTCGCCAATAGTGTTTTTCGTTCAGAAGATATTGCTGTTGTATCAGTGATAATGCTTCATTGTTCGTGTTTGATCGCGACTAAACTTTCGAATAGATGTGGAGATAAATGAATGAAAGGATTACTTGTAAAGCGGCTTTTGCCAAATTATCAAATGCGCGTGAAATTGCCGCGGCATTTTGATTGTTTGTTGTTTCAGTTTTTATGTTGCAGTCAATATGAAGACTAGTGGTGGTTGTGCTCAATGAAGATGAAGATGATGAGGATGGTGGTGAAAGAAAAACCGCTGAAAAAGAATCAGCAAGTCATTGACCTGGAGAAATATGCGAGAAAAAAAATCATACGTGTAGTAGGTGTTTCAACTCTCGATGTTGCCGACGACGATAAAATACTATGTAAAGTTTTGTTTTCATTAATAATTCTTATTGTATCATTTCGATTGTTATTTAAATACGTATGAATATCATTTGACGCCGAATTTAGCATCTAGAATTCGCATAGACTAGTGGGTATTTACTCAAGAGTGATATTTTACTATCGTTTCATTGGATTTTCGTAAGTGCTGATCATGATTTACACTAGCGAGCAGATCGTGTTTGGTCGTGTAGGGTCGTCGTTCATTTTGAACAGCTTCAACGCGCATACCGACTTGCAGACATTTCTGTAATCGACAATATTGACATCTAACAGCCAAGGATGCAAAAAAATAATTTGGACTTTCACGATGATGGAACTTACCGATTTCGCATGAATTTATTAATCGGACAATCTTTTATACTCAAACATGTATACAAAACCTGCTTACGTATACTTCGTTTAAAGAAACCTTTACAACCCTAGGAAAACAAGGCAATTGGTGATTTGGTACAGCGAGATCACTGAAGTTTTCTCTTACTTCACAGGAGAGAACACCGTAGTGTCTACCTGATGCTCGATCTTGACATACACAACACAATGATGTTAGATCACCATTCGTAGTAGATATTGTTGTTCCATCACCAATTGGAATATTTAAATGACATTCATTAAGTTTATCATTCGATACTAATAAAGAATCTATTCAAATTGCGAAAAAAACATAATCGTAATAAACAATCATTCAGGTGAACAAGCGGGAATTTACTTGAAAGACTTAGAAGACCATTAGCGGCTGCGGTGATCTGGTTCGAATGAGATATTGTCGTGCTATTGAGTGCATGAGCCTCATCATTGTTACAATTATGAGCATCTTCCTTGAAATAGAAAAAAGGAAAGGATTATTTGTTGATAGAAGAGGAGTTAATGAGTCTTAATCTGTTTTGATTAAGTAATAAAACACGAAATAGCCTTGATTTTCTTCTCGAATAAATACGCCGATATTTGAAATGTTTGTTATTCTATTATCTCCTTTCTATTTGTTCAAATCAGCGGAGTACTTTTTCCACTTTCTCTCTGTTTTTAGACAACTTTATTCCTTCTAGATCGATGTTTATTAATAGAACGAAGAATGAAAATAACCTTGGACTGAAATGTATTTTCGTAAGAATGAAGATTATCAAACATTTCTTATTTTTCTGCACCCATCAACTTGTTTATGTCGTCATTTCAATAACTAATCAGAATTGTTCAAGGCGCATTTTTATTTGTTGATGATATGTGCTGATGTTCTCATTGAAATACTAGTTCACCTTCGATAATAGACTTTTTTTCCCTAATAATCCAGATAATATAAGTTAGACATCATAGCAGTTACAACAAGGTCGCCGCCAGTGTTTTTCGACCTTCACCGACGAAGGCTGCCGCCCTCACATCTCGTTTATCGTCCTTGCCATCTCATTCTTTTTTTTTCGTCAATTCTACATCTATACTTTCTCTTTCTCTTGAGACGCTACTATTGCTTACTAAGCGCGTTCAAGGTCAGATTTATGGTTATGTTGTTGTAAAGTTTACATAATAATACATACGATTAGAACATGTTGATAGATTTGTCACTCGAATGAACGAAACATTCAACTTACATCATCAAGTTTATAACATCTTGTCAAGGGTTCTGAGTGTTGATGTTGAACGTAGAGTTGTTGCTGCTGCGGATGTTGTGGTTGTTGAATTGATAGTAGAGTATCGCGACGAATACGCTTGCGATGAGGTAGAACAGTATCGTGTATTAAAAGATCGTTGTCTAATTTGTCTTCGTCGGAGTTCGTGTTCGGATTGGTTTGAGATTCATGTGCTAATCGCGTTGATGAGGACGACGTTGTTGATGAAGTTGACTGTTGTTCATCATCATCATTATCAATGTCTGTTCTTCGTCCCATGACAAATCGATATGTGTTAACGAATTTGTATGCGAGAGAGAGAGAGAGAAGTGTTTCGTTATGAAATATTGTCTTCTTGTTTTACCACTGCCAATTATTAATACATACCTTCTGGTACAAAATAACGGTGTACGTGTACGTTCGAGAAAGGTAACGTGTTGTGGCTGATAAAGTGCGTCAAAGACGGCGACAACAGTGTAGACGACACAGTAGAAAGAGGTGACCTGCTTTTTGCTCTTTCTCTCGATTGAGTCGATTGTTCGTCCGCGTTTTTTTTTCTCTTGCTTTTTTTTTCTTTCTTTCCTCGTGTACTGCTGTTATGTCTTCTTCGGTTTCCTTTTGCCTTCTAGATTATATATCTGTATGCGTAGAGTTTCGTTCGTTAATGCCGGTAACGAAGGCAGACGACGCCGATCGGAAACAGAGACGTGTGAAGATCTCAATGTCGTTGTTCTCTCCGATACCAGAAATAGATTGTTATACTATCAGCAAATCAGAATGACACCGTTTGAAATAGCCAGTCATCGAATTTAATTATTTTTTCCTAAGATAAACAGAAGAAGAAGAAGAAGAAGAAGAAGAGGAAAAAAAAGAAATGTGAAGGTTATTCAAAAAACAACAACAACAACAACAACGAAAGTGATAGTCACTAACGTAAGATATTGAAATGAAGAGAACAACTCTGAGTAAAATAACGAGAGAAGGCAAGTAGAAAAAGGTCAATAGAGAACTGATAAAGAAGATGATTATCAAAACTAATCAGAATGACTGTCGCGTCAAATAATAGAACCTTCGAATCCACGTAATAGCAACAAGACAACATAACACAAACAAATGCAGGTTTTTCTCCTCTTTCTCTCCCCTCGACAAATTGTCTCCTCTTCATTTTTATTCTTATCAGCAATTGACTTTGAGACTTAGACGTGTATACATACATATATATGCAGTCACATTCAAGGAAGAACGAGAGAACAACCTTTGATCGCTTCAAGGTTCAGTTCACGTACTTGAATTGGGGTCATAACTATCTATTATTCTCATTCAATAGTTTCTTTTCTCATATGCGAACTTTAAGAAGAATTCATTTTATTTCAGCTTCCATCTTCTCCACTGTCTTTTACCTAGAAAAACCAATTCATATACATTTTTCATACATAAATACAAATTCGTTTGTCCCACAAAGAAAAGCCAAAGAAACGAAACATACGTGTTTACAAAACAAATAAGAACATTTCTCGCACAAATTGAGAGTACAATATAAAAAGAAATCTCATGAATGATATTTCTAATCTACTCCGTTCAGGAATGCGCACTTTCAGTACAAATACTGACAATGCTCATTCCCAGTCCCTTTCCTATACGTCTAAATACACAAGACAACAAGCAAACATAAAAGAATTTAATAAATAACACAGAAAACATCTGAATCACATGCAAGTCGATGATTGCAACTGGAATTGATCGTAAACTGTTTGAAGATCAGTCAGTGGAAACTGATATAGAACGACGACATGCTCGAAATGTTTATCATCTTGTAAAGCACAATCTAAACAACGTACTACATGTTTACGATCCATTTCTGCCACGAACAGAATGTTAAACACTTCACAATCGCATGTAATACAATAGTGTGCAGGTTCATCTGGTGTACGAAGTTGTTTTCGTAGGCTAAGTGTATCGGCGAATCGTTGTGTTAAGTAATTCAATGTCGAGTGAACATATTTTAAGGATTGAGTAAGAATAAACTTAACCACGTCGAATAATTGTCGATCATTTACACGAATATTACGTGCAATATTCCAAGTTAAATGTATAACAGGTACAATTGATTTACATGCATTTAATTTATTCCATTCGTATCGTTCAACAGCAGCGTAAAATTGATTGTAAGTCAGTGGACCGATATTCCAAGCGATATTGTTACACCATCCGATTGCTTGTACCCAATGAACACATCTAAAAGTTCATATATTTTATATTCATACAGATAACGTTCTGCGAGCTTTGACAAATTCACAGACGTGACGCTTACCCTGTGTTGACAAAGACAAGATCGCCAGGTTTCTGTATGAAACGATAAACAGGTACTCCGGCATCGTACAGATCGTCCAATATTGGCCACCATGATCCCGTGAGATAGTTCACGCCATTCTTTTCACATAATGTATGTATCACACCCCAATACTCCATTGCAACGCCGAACCATTCGCAGTCCCCTGGTCCAATATTGATATTCACCGAACAAAAATTATTGTTTTCTTGATGTCCCGGTGTTCGTGAGCCAGGTACTTTCATATATAATTGTACACTATTCATTCCTAGGATTGTATATCCCACATGTGACAGAAGATTGCCTGGTGATACAACACGCAGAAATGGTGGTAGTTTGGTTAGCTCAGCTAGCTGTACCGCCCATTTCTTTTCGTCGGATAAGTCAAGATTTGTACCGAATTTAATTGTTCGCGCAGATAGACCTAATGACACGTGACCTAAATGAAGAGAAAAGTAACGTCTTTCTAGCTCAAATAACGAACTCATAGTGCTTACTCGATGACTTTTTCAGTGATCCATTCATCGTCGATGAAACCAAAGGTTCATTGCACTCTTCTTTGATCATGTCATGATATGAATACGCTTGGTATTGAGCATATTTAGCGATGGTTGTGTATGATCGATTTGATTCACATTTCCAAATGTTTTTCAACGGAGCTGATGAGGTAAAGTCAATATTTTCGTCACTGGCTTGTTGTCGTTGGGTGCGCACTTCAATTTGATGATCAGGTTGAGTTTCCACCAACGTTTTCGTCGAAAATAAACCCAGATCGATTTGAAGCACATTAGCGATACCACGCACAACAGAAATCGGTTGGGACAAACAATATTGTTGTAATTGTGCTGATAAAGCTTCGCTTGCTGTTTCCAAAATAACAGTTGGCGTGGGAGGATTTAGATCGAATGGAGAATATTTTGGTGGTTGCGGTGGCGTTGGAATTCGACCATTGGGTAGGTAAGAAACTGGTGATGGCAGTGGAATCGTCGATAGAGGTAAATTTGGCGAATGTATAGGTTCAGTTTTAATGCGTTTTGTTTTCAATGAGAGTTCATTCGGAAAAAGGCGTTTGTCAATGCGAAGAACACTAATTGGAGGTTTGGCCGGCTGCATTTTAATTTTGATGAATGTCTTATGAATACGTCGATGTCAACGATTGTTTTTTTTTGCCAATGAGCGAATAGGAAATGAACAGAGGCAGCTAACTATTGGACAGTGGTGATAGCGATGAAGAAAGAGGACAAGGAGGTTATATTGTTGATGAACAATGATGATGGTGATCTAGTTGATCGCGAATTTTCTCAATCACAGTACTAGAAGAAAACTTGTCCGATTTCTATGTGCTGGATTGTGCTACTTACTCAATCAAATATCAAACGTCAACATTTTGATTGCATTAAAAACGTCTACCTGTTTTTTCAGTGCATCTTTTGCAAGTTTATCGAGAAGATTTCTTAGTTTAATCTTCGCTTGAGTGTTCAATGACTTGCTATCGTCCACTAAAACTTGGATGGATGCAAACGTTGGTGAATATACACTTGATTAAAAATTGCCACAAATTGAAAAAGAGTTTGTCGATAAGAGTACGACTAGGACAAACAAAACCGCAGATAAATGAGAGAGAAAAATCTAACCGCAGTCGTGCCCCTTCACATAAACGACCTTCTATTGACAACAAGTAAGAACGCCGAAGTATTTTTTTCCATGTTGTTGTTATTATAGTAGTATTCTGTCTCTCGCCCTCGAATCTCGTATAAAATAAAACGAGGAAAGGAAAAAAAATCCGCTGTACTCCGATGAATAGAACGACAAGAAGACGAACAAAAATAGTGCTTTCGTCCAAATGAAATGAGTTCATTTCAACATATGTAGATGGACTGGAGATATTTGCCGAGAATGAACGAATGATATCCTTATCTGTAGTTTACATTTTCGGTCTGAAATCATTCGACAAGTGAAAGCTTTAAGTTTCTTCACAATTGTGTTGCACACCAGCATTGGAGTTCTTCATTTCGAGAGAAATTTTCTTCATTTAGCTTTTTATTCGTTCATATGACAATCAAAATGAAAACTCAATGAAACAAGACAAGGCAAGACGGTTGCCGGAATATTCAACAATAAATTGTATTGTCTCTTATGTATTTCAATTCATCATATCACCCTTTTGCAAAACAACGCCGAAGATTTTTGTTTTAATATGCCTGATTTTCGTTGAACAACCAAAACTTCTCATCATACGCATACTTTCTGATACTAATCTGGAAAATCCTGTAGTAACTTAGCATGACATTCTTTATTTCATTGCATCATACATTTTCGATCATATGAAATAAATCAGATCAATTACTAATTCGCTAAGATTTCATGAAGAACAAACTTTTCCTTTCCGACTCGATACTGTTCATCGAAACAAAACTAAGAACGAAATGATATAGTCACATGAAAATCTTCAATCTATGATACGGAGGGAAATTTTTTGATTCAGATGAATCATACCATCCATTTTTGCTTGGCCATCTTTTCACATACTGTTTTTCGCCCTCTGTGCTCATATATTGTCGCTACTGTCAACGCAATGTTTCGATTGATTGTGTCGCTAAGCGTAAATCTTATTCTTTCCCAATGTGTACTCCATGTTCTTTCTTCATTCATCCAGTTTATCACACAATTCAAATGCAAGCATCATTGTCATCAATGGCAACGGCATCAGCATCTTCCGTCGCATCAACAACAGTTGCAACTGGACCAGCTTTGCCAAAAGTTCGATTTAGTTGGATCTTTCCAGCCGATAAATTTGCTTCCACACCGTCGAATCGTGATGGAATACCAGCTGAAGAAGAGTTAGCTTTACGGCAACAAGCAGCTGTTTTTATTTACGAATTGGGCACGAATTTGAAAGTGTACGTATTACGAACATTTTTCCGTTGCAAAATAACTGATTTCAATTTGCTTTTAAGGCCACACTATTGTATCAACACAGCGGTTGTTTATATGCATCGTTTTTATATGCTCAATTCTTTCAAACGATTTACTCGTCAAGTAGGGAAATCGATGTTTCTCGATGGATTCAGTTCTTAGATATGGATGATCTTTTAGCGAGTATGTGCGGCGTCATTGTTTCTAGCGTGCAAAGTTGAAGAGTGTCCTCGAACATTACGGGATGTAATCGAAAATACGGGAAAAGTACTACGCCGAAAGAAACCCGAAGAACTCACACCTGAAGTAAGTAAAACTAGCATTGAAAAGATATTCTGATAAGGCTCTGTGTATTCCTTTAGATTATCGGGCAATATACCGATGATATTGTCCTTCATGAAAATGTACTCTTGTCGACATTGGGTATGGCAACGTCGAATTGAAATCAGACTGATATTTTCTCTTCTATAGGATTTTCATTGATGGTAGATCATCCACATCCGATCATTATTAAAACCATTCAAGCGCTTGGAGGTTTGCTATATGAAAACAGTGATGTGTATTAGAAATCTTGTTTGTTCGATATCTTTTTAGGCCAAATCCAGTCACTACCAGAAAAAAGTAAACGAATTCTTTTGAATTTGTCAGTAGTGAATGAATATTCTCGTGTTCTTAGCACCTCGTGAGCTCGCTCAGACGGCATACTATCTAGCGACGAAAAGGTGGTGATTTTGTTGTGAATAAACACACCTAGTCACCTAATCGTTTCTTCTAGTATTCTACTCACTTCATTTTGTGTCAAGTATCCGCCTGATCTCATTGCTTGTTTCTGTATTCATCTGGCGGCGGCTTGGTTAAAGATCGAAGTAAGGAAAGATGCAATGGAAACTGAATAGAGTTGTCCTAACTGGTCGTATATTCATTTTAGATTCCGTCGCCACCAGCATCGACTACGGGCGCAACTACCAATGGATCTGATACAACAGTAGCAGAAAATGCACCAAACAAACGCTGGTTTCATACTGTGAATGAGACTTTCACTGAAAAGCAGCTGGGAGGTGAGAAAGAGACAATGATTTCCAATCTGTCTCACTGAATGATTCGACTTTGTTCGTTTAGAACTTGCGGATGAATTCCTTGCAATTTACGAAAAATGTCCGGACAAGATTAAGAAGAAACTTGTCTACCAAAGTGAACGAGTTTGTTATTTTCATTATTTGTGATCTGCTGTAATCATTATTTTCTTTTGAAGCAACCACAAGCAGTGTTAAATGAGGGCGCATCCACGTCACAACAACAGCAGCATTCGTCGTCATCAGTCGCTTCATCTCGTCCAGCAGATCTTGCAGACAGTGTCGTACCTCAAGGGGCCACACATGTTAAAACTGAACCCCGCGTTAATCAACCACCACTATCACAAAATCGACCGGTTCAACCGCCACTTCCTCCGTCCTCACAAATGTTATCTTCTGATATAAAACGAGAAGCATCAACACCTATGTCATACCCACCATCGAACCGCCCACCCATGCCACCTCATCATAGTTCATCATCGTCGTCGTCATCGTCGTCGTCAGCTCGACATCCACCATATCCACATCAATCATCTACACACTATCAATCTCATCATCCGCACAGTAATAATAATTATAATAACAACAATCCACACTCTCGTTATCCACCACAACAATCTCGGCCCGGACCGCCACCTTCAAATCGTTCCTCACAGCAACCACCACCAAATCGTCCGTCGCAACAACAGCAACAACCACTTCCTCCTCCACCTCTACATGGTAATGATTGATTTTTTATTCGCAATCTGCATTTTGTTCAACTTCAGCTCGAAAAAGATGTTTTCCACTGATATTGATTGCCTTTCTTTATTTCTAGCCGGTGATCGCAGACATCAACAACCTCCCCCTCATGGATACGATCATTCTTCTCAGCCACCACTTCCTCCGCCAACATCATCATCGTCATCGAATCGACCACCATACGGTTCACAACAACAACCAGCACATGGTGGTAACCACTATCCGAACGTTCCGATGTCTGCTGATTCTTATCATCAACAAGGACCATACAATCGTTCTCGTCCGCCATCACTGATGCAGGGTGGTGACAAGCGTGCTTATGATCCGTCATACGATCCTAACAATTCAAACAAACGTCCTCGACCATCTTAGTATTCATTACATCGCAACAATCGAATATTCAATGAAGAAAGAAAATATTTTTTTGTTCAAGTCAGATCAAAGACAATTAACATTTCTTTTTCCGTCGAAAGAATTCGTTTTCTCTCTTGGTTTTGTCATTGTTCTAATTATTGACATTTATTTCTTGATTTTGTATATGAGAAAAATGCAAACAAAAAACTTTAGAAACGCAGAGCAAACCAGCATGTATATCTACCATTTATTCGATGTATTTCAGATGGATAAATTCGAAATCAGTGCTTGTGTGAAATGGATTGGAGAAAAGAATTTCCACACGGTTGCTTTACAAATGCCCGATGATGATCTTGATAAAGTTCACGATTTAATTGAGAAATTGAAGTCTGAGATTCAAATTGAAAATCTTGAGTTTTTTCTTGTTGGTGAAGGATGCTCACCATGTTGTAACGATCTATTAAATGCTCAATATTGTCAAGCACAAGGTTTAATCCATTTCGGACATTCATGTCTTTCAACAACATCGAGTGATCAACAGCAAACAATACCAGTGTTCTATGTTTTCTATCAACAATCGTTGCCGTATGTTTACTATGTTCTGCAATCTTACTAATAATCAGACTTGTGTGTTTTTGCTGTGATCAGCATAGACGCGTCTACTTTTCTTTCAACAAACAGTGCTGATGATAAACCTTATTGTCTGGTATTTTACGACCCATGTTTCCAAACTAGCGTCGAACAGTATTCGTCATCACGTTACATTATTTCAAAAATAAATACGGAAAGTACAACTGATCCATCCTGCTTCTCACTATATGGTCGTTCAGTACAGCTTCCTGTTGCACTTGATCCAACGAACTATTCCATCGTTTTCATTTCTCATTCGAAAGCATCATTGCATAACTTTGCTCTGTACTTCTATGCTTATAGCTTCCAGTAAGTTCAATCAAAACTTTCTTTCAATCGAATTAATTTCACATTTTTTCTAGTTCATTTCCATCGAGTTCAATTTCAAGTAGTAAACTATTAAGCAAACGTATGTATGCTGTCGAATGCGCTCGTAATGGTTCATCTTACGGTTTATTAATCTCGTCGAATTCTTTACTTAATCTACCTTCGACTATTCATACACTACTTGATCGAATCAAAATAATTTTCGACAAAAACGATCGTCAATATTATACATTTCTCATGAATACACTTTCGATAACGAAGATGAATAATTTCGAACGAAATATCGATACTTATGTTCTTTGTTCATCATGTGCGGAAAGTCTGTGGTTGTCACCGGAACATAAACAGTTCAATATTCCACTGATTAGTTTAGCAGACATTGTACACGCATTTGAAACATCAGATGAAGATCTACCGATGAACTATTCGTTTGACTTAAGACAGATCTTATCAATGATCAAACCGATCAGCGACGATACCACGAAGAACGAAGACGATGTCAGCAAAGCAATAGTTTTGAAAAATCCCAATTCACTCTTGCTGCAACAACGTGATGGAATTACGAGGGGACTGGATAATAATAAAAAATGGTGGGGTTTACAGATGAACAGTGAGAGTAATGAAATTCAAGAGAAACTACCTGTAGCTGAACTGAAAGAAGGAAGAACTGGGATTGCTGCTGGTTATGAAAACGAAAAGCTTTAAGGAGATTTATAACAATTTTTCTGCTATGTTATGTTATTTCGTTTCAGATCGATTGTTTATTTTCATATCAAATCTTGTGATAGACTTGCTTTAATAGTGATAATTTTAGAAAGTTCGTTATTTCTTCGTTTCTCAGTTGAAAAGGTCATCTTTCATTTCTATTTTAGTTCAATATTTGCTTCGAATGGTTTATTCTTTTTCCTCAAATTATGTTATGAGCCATTGATTATCTTTTTTACCAATGGCAAATAGACCAACGGCATATGAGAGAGATTCATCAGATACAGATGAATCAACTAATACTAAACGATCAAAACAAACACAAGTCGCTGTGGAACAACCATTGGCGACAGTCAATTTAATGCAGTTCGTTGAAGTAACACCTTGCGGTTCAAAGGCGCAACCACACCCACGCTCGGGCCATCGTGCAGTGGCAACTTATTCGGACTTCTGGATATGGGGTGGCTATTTTCCATCGCATAATCCAGAGCGACCACCGATGTTTGCTGAAGTATGAAAATAGTATTCGTGGCAGAGTGATTCTTTGTTAATAGAACATTGTTTTATCTAGTTGTGGAGATTTAATTATGCGCTTCGACAATGGACATTAGAACCTACGACTGGTGATGCACCGGACTCTACAGTTGCTTCACATTCAAGTAAACCGACAGATTTCTGTTCGTAACAGAGAAGTTATTGAAACTGTCTTCTTTCTGTTTCAGTGTGTGTGCATCGCAATCATGTCTTCGTCTTTGGTGGTACTGGCTACCCATTTGGACGTAATGTTTCCAATGATTTGTTCATGCTCGATTTGAAACGACTGCAGTGGAAAAAACTGCAACTCCAAAATCAACAGCCACACCCTGTCTATGGCGCAGTTAGATCAATTCATTACTCATTAATCGCCTAAATTTTTCTTCTTTGATAGAGTCTGATTGGTAAAGGTGATTATTTATATGTATTATGTGGGACGGATAGTTGGCGTTACTGTTCTGATGTATACGAGATTCACTTACCAACATTGTGCTGTACACAAATTGGATATACATTTGACGAACCAGAAGATACAACAGGCAATGGAAGGTACACAAGAAATTTGTTTTTCTAAGAATACGAAACGCCTATTTTTCTCGAACTGTTGGTAGATATCGACAAGAAGCACTTATCTATGGAGATAAAATATTCCTATTTGGTGGAGGTAGCAACTCTGGTCTAGCGTTCGCTTTCGAACTTGTAATTATATGCAACTGTTTGTCGTTTGTACTAATAGAGACTTTCGAAATTTAGTTGCCAGTGTTTGATTTAAACGAACGTCGTTGGTCATTTGTTCATACGAATCCAGATCCAATTCATAGTAAGCTTTCACTAAATATGTGAATGGTCGTCTGATGAAATCTCTATAGATTTTCCGACGGCGAGAAAGTTTCATTCGATATTTCCTCTCGGTGAACATCAGATTCTGATGTTTGGTGGTGCTAACTTCGATCAAACAGCGGGCATTCATACGGTTACTGAGGCTTATGTATGGATATTTGATTTTGAAAAGTTGGAATGGTCGAGATCGTCTTCATCTATGATACAACCAACTTATTTTCATGCAGCTGCAATGAATCGCGTAAGTAACTCTTCTATCGTGTCGTATCAATTTTATCATGTGACTCTTCTGTCGTAGCGCGGAGAAATCTGGTCTCATGGTGGTGTTATACAAAGATCGACACACGATTTGCCCGACGAACGTATCACATCAATATATAAAATGCATACTAAAGTACCGGATCTTACAGAAGTGTGCTGGGATCGTTTTTTGAATTGTCTTGCTGATCGAAATGTTCTGATCAGTCAACCACATTTACTCACACAGCTCAACATTCCCGTACAATATCTCGAACGTATTCGTTGAGTACGTTACTCTTGGCTGTTATTTATCATGACTGATAAAGGTGTGCCGGTACAAAAAACCCTTGTGAAACATTTACAATTTCAAAATGAAATAAAACGATTTGATCTTATCTTTTTTTCTATATAAACCAAGAGAATTTGTACAATAAATAGTTTTATTCTTAAATACATTCAATGGTAACGAACGGAAAGATCGCGATCTGTACACGGAAATACATTTGTGCATGCGTCTTGTAGAATAATCTCTGTTAGAGAATGAATAGGTGTTTCTAATTACTTGATCTAGACAGATATTCCAACTCGTGCGCTCAACGATGTGAAGTAGCGACATCTATAATTAATGAAATGATCGTGCAGCAGTTTAAAATAGATTAAAATGAAAGGAAAAAAATTAGTTGAACATGTGGGAACTGGTTGAAGAAAGTATTTACGTAAAGGGGTGATCATCAATTTGTGATTGGTCTGGTAATGACATCTAGAAAATAATAATGGCCGTTATTGACCCAAAATTTTGCGGCTTTTAACCAGTTGATGTCGATATTGAATTCTCTTGTTCTTTCTCTACACATCATTTCGTATTTCAAATAGATTAACCTTCTATTTATATGTTTTCACAAACTTGATTAGCATTTCTATCTCTCGAGTAAGTCCTATTTCCAGGAAAACAATGGCTCATCAAATGTTATTTTTTAAACAATCGATTTTATTCTCTCTCTCGCTCTTTTTTCACATTGAACTCTAATCCATAATATAATCACATCAGACTCTTGAGAGGAAAATTAGATCTCTGGCTGGTAACATCTCCATTCGCCAAGATTATCGTATCTTTCAGACATGTTTCTTTTGCAAATATCGACACCTTCGTGTCTATTCAATCTTATGTTGATTGATTGTTTGATAAATTGGGAAGAGAAGAGACGATCAATACAGAGAGGGAAAGAGAAAGAAAGAAGAGCAATCGTCGTCACTAATGAATGTATTATTTTTGGTTTCCTTTTCTCCCTCTCTCTCTCTCTCTCTCCCTTCCTTTTAGTCTTGCAGACTAACTAGAACATCTTTTTTTTTCGTCTGTTCTTTTTCTAACCACCATCACCATCATCGTCAAAAGATAATCGCTTCTTTATGTTCCGTTTATTGTATAGGCGAATGCATACTTGCACATTCGTTCTTTTCTTTTCTTCTCCTGTTTGTTCACATCGCTGCCGCAGATGACCTCGCCTTGACTGATACTGGATATGTGTAAAAATAGTAGTACATATAGTAATGCTTTGCATATTCTTGTTGTGGACGACGCCGTCGTCGTCGCTGCGTCTTCATCATTGTATTCTTTCTGCGATCCGCTTTTTTTCTTCTATCAGAAGAGCTTATTCATTGAAATTGAATATGAAAGTATAGAAAAAGAAACACTATTATGTCTATACAAAAATATCGATTTCCCCTGCAAGTGATGTGATGAGATAGTACGAGACCATCTGGCATAAATCGTAATAATGATTTGTATTTTTTTTTCTTCTTCTCTTCTTTCTACTCGATAATGTAACTGAACACTAAGTATACATTTGATGACAGTTTGCGGCAATTTTAGTGCATCAAATTCGTAGTATACTTGCGCACGTTTGAACGTGACGAACACCGAACAGGGTGAGAAGAAATGTCTTTATTTTGTGTTGTTTTTAGATAATATGCCAGGTGAAAGCGATAATCAAGCAACGTTAAACGGTAAATAAAAATATTTGTGTAGATTTAGTTGTTGAACGAAAAAAAGAAACGAATGGATTGGATGTCAATATCATAGTTAAACAATGGATTATAGACGACTGACAGGGTATCTGTTAGCTACGCTTCTTCTCTAGCTATTAGGATATTACATATTGAAACGATCTTCTTACCATTGAAACTCAATGGATATAAAAGGTCGTAATCCGATAAATAATCGTCTTTCTTTACCGTCTACATTACGCGATGAACATATGGCCTTCTCAATTGTTATTATTTCGCATCAAACGATGATAGAACAGTCTCCTGTTAGACATATATATATATATAAGCGTGTCTGTAAAATAGCTCACGTCTTCGCCCATCAAATTATTGATAAATCATTCAATTTTGAACCTACTCTCTTTTCACTATTTATTGCACCAATCCAATGGGTTAACCTTTGAATATTCTCAGTAGAACTGTTGGCGTGTCTTGCCTGTTGTGAGAAACGTTCCTATACCGAGAAAAAAATCAGGTTCAAGTATGTTCTTTACATTTGGCCTCCAATGCTTTCGTTTAAGACGTGTACACAATTTTCCGCTCTCTCTAATCTCAATAGGATTAAATAACGAGCATAGTCCTCACCGAGAAGTGAGCAATTATTTTTAGAGGATTTCACTATAAACGAGCTCTGAGATTGTAATTCTTGGAGAGTTCTAGCGGATCTGTCCTTTTCTAGCTATTTTCATGGCATCATCCATATCCAAGGATAGATGACTAGGATCTCTGCAGATAATTAATGATGTCATTCGATATTTAGATCGTCCTTCGGTAACAACATTATTGAATTCGCCTGAATTTTATACTGAATTAAACAATTTATTGATCAGTGACGGAAATAAAGAATCACTTGAAACACTTTCGAACTTACTTCTACCAATTACTAAGCTTGACGCAACAGTTTGTAAAGGTAAATGAAATGTTGTTCAGGAAGGAAGAACTACAATACAAACTTGTACTTCTAGGTCCTGTTTTGCCCGTTAATGATATACGAGGTATCGATAGCCGTTCGTATTCTAAAAATGAACGCTATTTACGATGTAAATTAGCATCGTTGTATCGTGTTATTGATCTTTATGGTTGGAATTATGGTACATGTTATAATCATGTTTCTGTAAGATTCGCTTTTGATACAAACTCGTCTAGACATTTCGTGCTTCTCTTAGGTCCGTGTGAATAATAGTACAGATCAATTTCTTACTAAACCGAATGGCTTAGCTTTTCATGAAGTGACTGGTTCGTCGCTGGTGAAAGTTGACTCAAATGGTAAAAACTTGCCAGCAGTTAATGAAAAGAACACATTTTGTTCTTTCTAGGCTCAAAGATTGATCCCGGTAGCACGACGTTCGGTGTTAATGCACTTAGTTTTTCGTTATACGCATCTGTTTATAAACATCGTCCAGATATCAATTGTATTATTCATGTTCAGACGCCAGCTGTTGCAGCTGTCGCTGCCATGAAATGTGGTTTCCTTGCACTTTGTCAAGAAGCACTCATCTGTGGTCCAGCAACTAGTCATGAAATACAGATCGACTTAGATACCAATCGTTTGTCGGTCGATGAGGGTGTTCAAAAATCAACGGCCAAAATCCTTATCCTTCCTAACCATGGCATACTAGCTTGTGGAGCAAATATCGAAGAAGCGTGGCATATAACATTTCATCTTATTTTGGCATGCGAATCACAACTACGAGCAGTTGCAATGGGCATTGATAATTTGATTATTTCTTCAGATCAAGCTGCGAAACAGGTAAATGTCAATACCTTGTAATTGTGTGAGAGAGTTCTTCTTTGACAAATTTTAGGTAACAAATACTGTTGCTGCAGGTGGCGGTGGAGTTAATACAACAGATGTCAAATGGGCTATCGGCGAACTCGAATGGTCAACATTAATGGTTGTTTTAGATAGGGCAGTATGTATCTATTTTGTTTTCGAATTGCTCACGCCATCAGATGGAGTCGAAATAATACATTGACTCGCTTAGCGAGAAGAAATATCCAACTGCATTGTTTGTTCATTTTAGGGTTATCATACTGGTTACATCTATCGTGAACCTTTAATTCGCTTTATTGACAAACAATAATAAGATATTCGATGATCTTAGATTTATCTATATATACATGTGTGTGTGTGTGCGTGCGCGTCTATCCCTTCCCCTTTGCTTTGTTTTTTTTTCTGATATATTAATCTCTGAAATTAATAATTGGTTTTGTCGTGCAATGCACAAAGTCTTTCGACTTTATATTCATACGCCGAACCCCTTTCACATAATCTGTTTGCTAAACAAAAAGGAATGAATATTTTCTAGATCATTCTCTTTGAAAAAAATCGTCTTTTATACAATGCCTATAGCAACAAACGGTGCACATATTGGATCGCCTGTCAAGAATCAATCTTACAATCAAGATGTCGACGATGATCGTCGAGAACTTGACCGACCAGCTGATGTCGTCGAAGATATGCGACAAATGGGCCAACGACAACGTGTCAAAACAATCCTCAATTCAAGAGAATTTCGTGACGAACTCGAAGCGATTATCACCGACGCATTGAAACATGGTCCACATCCCGCATCGTTGATCGCGTTACAACAAATCTCCGAACTATTATTACCACACACATCGCGTTGGACAACCGTTTCTTCATTATCGCGTGCAGGTGGATCTGTTATTGTGCCAATCAATGACATACGTGGTGTAGACTCACAGGGGTACTCGAAAAGTGAACGTTTACTTCGTTGTAAACTAGCATCACTTTACCGTCTCGTTGATCTTTTCGGATGGTCACAAGGCATTTACAATCATATAACGGTTTGTTTTCGCGAAATGAAATAGTGTTTGTAGCTAATTTGCATGTTGTAATGTATTTCTAGGCTCGTGTCAATCAAGAGCAGGAACATTTCTTAATTAATCCATTTGGTTTAATGTATCACGAAGTAACAGGCTCAAGTTTAGTCAAAGTTGACATTGCTGGTAAGTGATCATAGATAATTCAACACATCTGTGATATTCTTATTTCTATTCCTATTTTTTTCCTTAGGTAATGTCATTGATTCGGGCAGCACAACGTATGGAATAAATCGCGCAGGTTTTACACTTCATTCGGCTATTCACAAAGCACGACCGGATATAAAATGTATTATTCATTTACACACACCAGCCGTTGCTGCTGTTTCTGCAATGAAATGTGGACTGTTACCATTATCACAGGATGCTTTATTTTGCGGTAAAATCTCCTATCATGATTACCGTGGCATCTTGATCGAAGACGATGTTAAGAAACTTCTTGTGGAAGACTTAGGTCCAATCAATAAGGTTATGATCTTACGTAATCATGGATTTGTTGCATGTGGTGAAACGATTGAAGAAGCTTGGAAATACGCTTACAATGTTATAAATGCTTGCGAAGTTCAAGTTCGTGCCGCACCCATCGGTATTGATCAGTTGTACTTACCATCGAGTGAACAACAGAAACGGGTGAGATGCGTTTTGAGTTTCAGTTCAACAAGTAATAGAAGCTTTCTTTTTCTTTATCCGGTAGATATCCGATGTACTCCAAGGCAATTTAAATGAAGCAACTGGAGATAAAAAATGGAAAATAGGTGAATTAGAATTCGAAAGCTTGATGCGCATCTTGGATAATGCTGGCTTCCGTACGGGTTATGTTTACCGTCAGCCGTTGATTCGTACAATTGATAAAACAACAACATTCAAAGATATCGAGGTTCCACCGGCTGCTTCGTCGGCGACAACATTTGTCGAACAACTACTTCCCGAAGCTTAGTAAGTCTTTTCGAAGAAAAATGCTCTGAGTTCGAACTGCATCTTCTGATTTAGTTCACCAACACGTCAAGCTCAACGTACAACTGAATGGCGTAATTCACCAAATGCTTATTTACGACAAGAAGTAGAAGAAACAGGAACACCCAATCCAAAGAAGGTTACTAAGGTAAATCAATCATCGATGTTTATTCAAATCCATATAATCAATGAGAATACACGAAAGTTGTGCTTTGATAGATAAATCTAATACACAAGTGAGTTCTCCATTCACTGACACGCAGCTCTACCCGCTAGTCTAACAACATATGAGATTTCAATAGCTTCGAATATGTTAATAATCACCCATATGATTTTGAAAAGTTATTTTCATGAACGGACACATCAGAATCGATATTGTAACAGCAAACAGTAAAGAAGCGGTGCTTTGCTAATGCTTCTTAAACAAATCTATGCTCTCAATACCGGAATGCGACTTTCCCAGTTGATTTACTACATTGATGAATTCTTAACTTTAGTGGGTACCGGACACGGGCTTGAAACATTCAACTCCAATAAAAATTGATACAAAACATCAATTTGCTCCAAGTAACGTCGATCCCAAAGAATTGAAGAGTCATCAGAAACAAATAAAAGAAGATCGCTTCAATGAAAAAGTCTCTGCTGGTTATCAATCGAAACTTCTTGACAATGGCGCTTGGGACGATGCTACACAAACAAAAGTGAGAAAGAAGATGTTTCCGGTAATACCACAATTCGTTCTTGATTACTTAGGATCCTCATCAACCATCAACGGAAGCTGTCATTGTTGTCGGTGCAGCATCGAAAGGTATCATAAAACGTGATCAACAAAACAATGCTGTCGTTTACAAAACTTATTACGCTCAAAATCCATTTGCTCACATGGACGATCAAGAAATCGAAAAATACAAACGAGAAGTTGAACAAAACCAAATGCGTGAACAAGGTATGTTTAAGCAAGATTAACTCGAGTTTGCAAATCTTTTCTTCGTTCAGCATTTAAGAAGAATGCACTCTTGGATGACATTCGAAAGGGTATACACTAAACGCTTCAACTTTTCGCTGAAATGCAATCATCGATTTTGCTACTATTTTATGTTCGTTAGGAGGCAAAAAGTTACAAACAAAATCGCCTAGTATAACTCACACCGGTGTGCAGCCGATTTATTCTTTTCTTGCTTGGAGTTAATAAGCATGCTTGTATATTTTCCTTACCTGCACAGCTAATAAGCGCCAGAGAGATTTTCTCAAACGTCATAATAACCGAGAGCCTTGTTCGTGTATATACACGGATTGATTGATAGATTTTACTTGAGGATAGTTGCTAAAACTATCGAATACTAATTGGAAAAAGAATCCATTGAAAAGGAACTGATTGCAGTGAAAAAACAGACTTATAACTCAGATTGACCATCTTAGTTCACATATTTGAATACACACGAATCTTTTGTTTCATTCCGCACGATTTTTTGCTTATACAAAGCCTGCTAATCATAACTTGTTCTCAAGTCGCCTTGATATACGTTTATCTCTTCCCCATAGCCACGATTTTGTAAAGAAATATTTCCTTTGAAATCTGATCATATCTCCAATCTCCTATTTGATTTTTTTTCAAAAGCATGGGTTCAATTGTCAACAGCAGCACTCAACTAATCTGAATTTATTTATTTTGTAGGAGGTGACTCGCAATATGATGATCACAATGATAGTCGAGGTAAGTATGACACGAGTCAGTTGTACTGCGTTCTCTCTCTCTCTCTGCCTGCTTTTCTGATGATTCATTGCAATTATGAATCAAACATTTTGGCACAGAAAAAGAATATATTAGGTAGTGTACAGAACGTGATTCATTCTCTTGCGCGCCCACTTCTGTTAAGATCAACACAAGTTTTATGTCCGTTGTTCTTCACGTTTTTTTTCTCGTTTTTTTTTGTTCTTTCGCTTCTTCTTCTTCTTTTCCTCTTGTCTTTACTTAACAAAAAAAAATGTCATTTATGTTACCGGCACCCACTTTCTATGCATCAGTTTTTATGATTCATCATTAAAAATATACTTATATTGGAATTCAATAAACATGGCAAGAACAAGTTAACAAGTATTCAATATCAACTGAAGGTAAGAACGATTCTTTCTTTTGATCATTGCAATGAAGACTTAGTGTAGAAATAGAACGAGAATAAAAGAAAAAAAGATAATAGTGAGTGTTTCTTCGAGACTATTGACGGTCAGATAAAGTGTCAAGTACCATCTAGTTTTCATTTTTTTTTATTATTCAATTCACATACACAAATATTTAACATTAATGCGGCGTGTACGGGTAGTTTGATATGGCTTTTGAAGGTTTCCTCGATCGGGAAAATAATCCAAATATTTTGACGATTTCATAAGCAAAAAAAATAAAGAATAGGTAGAAAGAAAGAAGGAAAGAAGAAAAAAGGGTCCTAACAATTGTATTCTTTGAGTTCTAATTTTGACATGACGCTGAAAATTTTCTTTTTCTTCGTTTTCTTTTCCTTCAGTGTTATAGTGAGCGACTCACTAATCCTGACTGTGCGTTGTGGTAGCGTTAGCATAGTAAAACGAGCGAAGAAAAAGAACATTACATGTTCTTAAAGAAAAGAAAAAGAAACCAGAGATGAAGAGGTGATGATGATTTAAATATGTCTATATACTATGAAGAGAAGATGAAGAAGAAGAAGATCCATACGTATTTAGTCAATATTCTTTTATAGTGTGAAATGCAACAACAACAGAAAAGATTTCAAACATCGTCATCGGACGATTCCTTATCTCGAGTGTTCATCCATAGTGCTGAACAAACGAGTCAACATACTTTACCGCTTAGTATTACACCTTTAACACCTGCGACAGTACGACGTACCAGTGAAACACAAACAGCTGAGAAGAACTCAACACCAAAATCTGCTCCGTCGTTTGCCGAAACTCAGCTTTTATCTGTTTACTACCCAAGTTTAGACCCAAAGAACCCTTCAACAAACGACAAATGCATATTTGTTGAACAGCAAGATCGACAACCGATACGTTATCGTGCTGCATATGATCCCTTATCGTCGTCAAGGTCGACGCAAACTTCCCCATCTTTATCAACCTATGGTTCAACATTGATTATCGATCGAAACCAAAGTACAGATGTTAAATACGACCAACATGTGAAAATTCATTCCGGCAGTCAGAACCTGCCAGATACTATTCATGATAAAAATGCCCTGCCTAGCGAACTGCTCGAAGAATCGAAATACTCATACGAAGAATACATAGTACATGTCGAAAGGGAACACAATCGAACACCTTCATCCTCGTCATCATCAGTGACAACGGTTATTGCACAAAATGGGGAAGTTGACTCTGATCGTACGTCGAACTTGAGTTTTGATGTTAAAAACAATTCAAAATTAGTTACAAGTACACCAATCAAAGAAGAAAATAAACGAGTATCTAGTTGGCCACCTGTACCAGATGATATCATATCATTGGATGTTCAGTATGAGAACGACGAAGCGAAACGTTCAGGACGTGTGCAGTTCGCTGAACAACTAATTCACGTTATACCACCATCGACAACAACTAGTTTAAGTGATGAGTCAATAACGCCACCTGCAATCATCCCACGAACAAATATTAAAGAGCAAACGAAATCAGTCAATACTGATCCTCAACCTGTTGAAGATCAACTGCAAAGACAAGATTATCGACCTATGAATCAATCGAAGTGGGTTAAAACACAGTTGGATCAGTCCGAGACGCAAACAAATACGACATCGCATCGAGTCGATACCTTACGTTCAATGTTCGAGCGACAGAATTCGCGCTCATCGGATTCATCAACAATCAGCAGTCCAACTAGTCAAAGTCGACGAAAAGAACCTGATGAACGGCCATCACGTCAAGGAGACGAGATCCGATTTCGTGTTAAAGATAAGAATTCGTCCGGCATTCATCACGCTGAACCAGCCAAAATTATTCAATACACAATAACTCCATCGGCAATTAACAACCAATTGGATTTACTTCCACTACATCAAATACGTCAGATTACTGGTAAACAATTGAAAAGCCTTGACGATGCCGGACATTATTTACAGGTAAAACTCCTCTTCTTTTTCCCTTCTATTGAGAAAAGTGATTCGAAAATGCAATTGTAACATGTTGTTAGGCAATTAATAGATTTCTAAATAATTAAATCCAGTTGAGTCGAACCTTTTGCTTTAATGGTTAGAAGAAGAGAAAAAAAATCAACCACTGAGAAGCCATTGACATATTTCTTTTCAAATCAACTACACCATCTGGCATCTCAACAAGAAAATTCCAGTCTCCTATTGAGCGCTCGTTTGCTTCTCGTCTCTAACGTATTTTTTTTACGCATCATAGGATGGTTATACTTGGCAATGGAATGAAATCTTTTGGTTAAGTTTAACAACGTCTCAGCGTGATCAATTGAAAGAGCTCGAACGTCAATTAACTATTCGTCCACGTAGCGCCGAACAGACATTAGCTTCAAACGATTCCGAACTCTCATCAGTATCATCCAATGAAACAAAACGTTACAAATCAACTATTAATATAACTGCAGCTGGTTCGTGGCAACTACAAAAGCCAACAGCAGCTCCCTCGGGGATAACGAAGTATACAGAAACGAGTACTATACATGAAAGTCAGCCGACAGTAAGCGTCTTCGGCTCAGCACCGAATTCGACTTCATCGAAAGTTGGCTCGCAAGAATCGATTACTTCTTCAAGTGCTCAACAGCAAGTATTGGCATCGAATAAGCGAACTGATAGTCAACTTACAATTATCGAGTCGGGTTATGGTTCAGCAGATGATCAACAACGTTTTAGACCGAACTCCAGCACAATCATCGAAGAACCGCCTGCTGCACAACAGGTTGGCAACAATATTCGAACGAATCTGCCGCCAAAACAACCGAAATTAGATCCATTAAGCTATGAACAATTCGTCAATGATTATCTATCAACTTATGCGAGATCAACACGTTCGACCGACGGAACATTACTTCTTTCCATTGATGATCAGCAGATTCATCTTCCACACATTCGGTTTTCTTCGTCGAACCAAACAATCATTCATTCCGATGCTATCGACAAAGCTCTTTCACCATTCGAAACTGAATCCAATGAGTTAGTTATATTCGTCTATGGAACAATTATTAACATTCCAGCTGATCGATGGCTCATCCATCGTAATAAATATAGTCACACTCGATGGGTTCAGAACTTAAAGCGTGTCAATCGAAATCTTCCGCTAAAGGTCATACCCTTCATCGATCAATGGCTTTTGAACCATAGCACGCTCTCTATTGACACCCATGAACTTAACATCGATGGATTAATCATTCCATATCTCGACCGACTAGATTCACATCAGATTCGACAATTTCAAACCAATTCATCGAATGAAACGTTCAACTATCTAATGCGAACGGGTTTTATCTCTTATGATGAGGATCAAACATTGATCCATATCGGTAATAGTGAACTTGATGCTCACCGTCTTTTCACATCTTCGTCGGCAGAGTTCGTTGAGCGAGTAACAAACGCTCTTCGTTCATTAACTAACATTCAATTCAACAATGAAAACAGTTCTTTAATCTTGGCAGATGATTTCATTATTCCCCATGAATATCTGTCCAATCTGCTCAGTCAAATCGAACATGGAGGAACTTTAAATGCTCATGAATTAGCGCAATTTTTGTGCGAAATTTGTCAAATCGAAGAGGACGAAAACGATCGGTCGCTGATTCTCACATTTGGAAAACAGATTTTACGTATGAAAACATCCGATGATAATCACGTACAAATCTTATCTCAATGGTTGGAACAACTCAATTATCAAAGACAAATTCATATCAACGAAGAAAACGATGTTATTATCTATCCCAGTCGTCCTCATCAGCAAATCTTCATTAAACATGAATACGTCGAAGAATACATGATAGGCAAGGCTGGTTTAACTCATATCTCGATGAACGACCTTGCAAATATTTTACTTTTCTACAATTTCGTTCAATATTCATCGGGGCAGCTAATATTTCCTGACCAGCAAATCGTCGTGGACACCAATCAATTAACCTGGTTACAATCGATCATCCAATCGATTCGTGTGCACGACAATACAAAAGAAACCGAAGTCGAGCTTTTCGATGGGCAGCACACACAAAACCTTCGAATTCCATACGAATACATGCTTCCGACTGATCAGCCGCAACTAGTGGCAAGTTATTTACTTCAAAATGGAAATATCCGCTTTGAAGTGAACACAGGAAACTATGAATACGTCTACGCACGACCTGAAGAAAAAGTCCTTTCGGTTGATCGTGAAAATATCGACTCCATTCGCGAAAATCTTATTGATGATTTTGTTGAATATGTCAACAATCAAGATGGAGTTCATTACGATAATACAAAGAATTCGCTAGTACTGCAAAATTTATCGAACGGTTCAAGACTATACTTAACTCCTGAACACACACAATTCATTAAGGAAAACCAATACCGACGACAAGATATGAAATATATTTTGAAAAAACATGCTCAATTGAAACGCAATGAGTCGAATCAATGGATCATGTACTACAATAATCAATCCATACCTATTTCAATCGATGAAAATGTTCTAAGTAATCTCTCACAACAAACTCCGAACGATTTACTGCGCCGCTACCATGCAACGATTGAATATATGTACAATCATGGCTTAATTACATGTAACAAACCATTGAAATTAGTTCGTTTGCAATGCACCAATGAAATTCTGACTATCCCAACGGATTTCCTACGTTCAATATTAAATACCAAAATTTTTCATTCGTCTAACGACGACATACTTCCGTTTACTAGTCAAGAGTTATCTCAATGGTTATTAGACCATTCCAGTAACATTAGTCGATCATTACAAGATTTCATTCAAATCACATACCGAAATCGCCTGTATCATTTGCCATTGATCTCGTCGAACACTGAAGATGAAGATCGAAAGTTAGAACTACTATTTCCATTCAATACCTCCTTACGTTTGCTACAGAAAACTCCGTCAACAACAACGTTAGACATTCAACAGCCCGATGAAACAAATGATTATGCGATCGACCCATTATTAATCTTGGCGAATTACGTTCATCGTGCGGGAACGATCTACCAAGACCAATTAGGTCGGTTGGTGATTAAATTAGACACGAACGAAATAGTCATACCTCGTGCGGACGCTGCTAGTGCTATCGAATCGATTAATACTTCACCACAACGAACTGGTACGATCATTGCACGTTTAATACATCGCATAGGCAAAGTCCAGTCAAATCAGTTGGGTGGACTGACCATTACCGTTGGTAAAAAGTCGATTGACATTTCGCAAGAATCGATCAATCGTACCAGTACCAATGACTCATCTTTACATGCTCAAAACTCCAAATCAGCACGCAAGTCCTCAAACCTACCTGTCTTACAACAGTCAAAATCAGCGAATAATTTATCGTCATTCTCTGATGATCAACAAATCCTCTCCACCAAAGATAAACGAACTGATATAAAACATCTACCTACTATTCAACAGGATAGAACGATGAGTAATCCGACCCAAACATCTCGGCAATTAAAACCACGTATAATTATTATACCTGATAATGATTCGAATGCTACTTCGAATCGTGCGACACGTTTCTACGTTCAACATACATCTGAATCGAACTCGACGGTGAATATAAATTCCAATTCCATCCAACAGACACAACCGCAATTGATTACTCCACAATCATTTCGTGATGCAACGCTTCGAGATGCTCCAGTCTTCGTTCGGCAACAAGGCCGAGAGATTCACTATGAGAATCTCGCGCACTATTTAACAACAGAACAAGTTGAATTGGCATCACATACCGTTCGTCATATGTTGAAATTCTCATCTGATGACGAGTATTTTGCTTATTTGAACAAGAAAATGTCATCTAGCTATGCGAACCAACTTGTCCGAGAAAGTGAAGAGAAACCTCGTCGATCATCGTCATCTTCTCACCTGATCGATCGACAAACGAGAGCATCGAACGAGAATCTTGTTCGAGATCGCTCGAAATCACCAGGCAATTCATATAACGTTCAAAATGGCACTGCAAGACGGGAAAGATCTCGATATCCTGAACGAGATCAGCGCTATGCATTCGATCGCAGTCTATCATCCTCGAGTTTAAATTCTGGAATGTTAATTGCGAACACGTTCCCATCATCTTAAACTATTCCTCGCTCGCTATTATTCATTGTGATTTTCATGTTCTTTTTTGTATTATACTTTTCTATTTCTATCATTTCTATATCTACTTTGAGCAACACAGAGAGAGAGAGAACGCCACGTTTTTATTTCATTGAAATGTATCTTATGAATATCTATTGAATTTTTAGGTCGATCACCGTTGACAACGAGCACAGGTGGTCATAGTTTAACAACTCCTGATAAGAATGTGACATTGCCTCGCACTTTATCAGGACAAAGTATGTTATTTTGTTGATTGATTATTTGTTGAGCATGAATTCTGCATGTGCATGTGTTTTTTCATAGGCAATGATGGAGAGAGTGAAAGTCGTGCAACCGTTTCGCGCAGCGCTAGTGCTGCTGCAAGTATGGATTGATTGACAAGTTTATCGCTGAATATTAAAAATACTCCGATTTTGTTTTTCTCTTTGCAGAAGTAACAAGTAAATCGGATACAATCAAATCGACAACGTCATCATCAGCTGCATCAAGTCGAGAAGTATGTTTTCATTCAGTTTGATATCTGCTCTTAACATGTTGAAAAAGTAAACTATCGAGCCCTATTTCTCTCTGCAGCAGTCAGCTGTCGCAGCACCGGTAGGAAGAGCTCAAAGCTTGGTCAGTATATAATGATTACCCTGAATCCTCTTTTCTTGCTTCTAATGGGACGCTGATTACCCGTTGACAGCATGGTTTTGGTTTTCAGTAGTTCGAGCCGAGTCTATCTTTCTGTTTCTCATTTAGGCTTCGCCCAATCGTACAAGTGGTAGTAAAACTGCCGACGATTCAACAAAGAAAGAAAAGAAATCGAAATTTCGTACACCGTCTTTTCTTCGAAAACGCAAAGAAAAGAAAGAAGCTGCTGGTAAAGACAAAGCTGAAAAATGAACAGGAAAAACTTCGCTCATTATCATCTAGTGTTGTCGTGTTGTTCCTTTCTTTTGTTTGTTTTTTTGTAGACAACTCGTTTTTTCTCTCTTCTCTCGAGATACTCATTCGTATATAATACCCGCATTTTTCTCGTTTGTGTGTAGCTCTCGGCTTTCATTGTCGTGTGCGTGTGTGTGTGTTCAATCTTAATGCATCTATTGATCTCTACTGTAGCAAAAGAAGGTTTGATTGAAAGAAGAAGAAGAAGAGAATTGTATTGATTTTTTTTCTTTTTTCCTTACGTTTTCCTTTTTCTGTTCGATTTACTTAGTTTCTTCTGTTTCCATCGAAGAAAATTCAATTGCTTTGTGTCCTTGTATTAATACTCTTCTTTTGCTTTCTCTTTTCTGTTTTTCTTTTGTGAGTTGAACTCATTCAGTTTGTTTCCCTTTGTTTCGTTTCTTACAATGATAGCGCGCGTGAGTTTAGACGCACACACACAAATCATCTTTGGTATAATAAACATATGTACACATTACCTAGAATAGCGTGAGCAACACTAAAACAAAATTGAAAACATTCATGTGCATCTCTACTTGGATCAAAGGTCAGGAAATACTCCAGATCGGAAAAACAACGATTATCTTATCTGTACGATATGTCACATGAGGAAAACAAATGATCGATTTAACAGCAGAGAATAGCAAGAAACCGTGCTTTTATTCATCAATCAAACCGAATACACTAGTTGAACTACGAGAGTAAAATATGCGAGAGCAGAATAGAAAACTGTTCAGACACACATGGTTGGACAAGGTTGTTTGTATTTAGAAACCGAAATAATTGCTCGGAGAAGTTGTTGATAATTGGTTTCGTCTTCAATATTGGACTGCGGAAAAGTTTGAGTATAGACAAGATAACCGCATCTAAAAATAGCATTTCGGTGGAAACAATCTAAATCTGAGGAAGTCATTTTTCCCGTCTCACCTTCCAAAGATAAGATTATTTAATCGTTGACCGTAATAACCTAATTTTTCGATGGCACGATCTTTGTAACTATCTTGAAATAGTCGAATCTTGCCATAATATACTCCAGGTAAATACTGAGCTGCGGTTTCTTCATTAACAAGAACTAAACGTATATCCGGATCCCGTATATTGTGATATTCAAGGTCCCGATAAAGATCATTGTATCTATATTGAACAATTTGAAAGAATTAGATTCAAACAAACGTACGCAATCTTACCGAACTGCTTGATTTCGACAAACTTGACATCCAAGATGTGTCACACCCACGACCAGGATCTGTTTCCGATAACTTGTTAACAAATTCGTTCCATTCACAACAAAGTTCCGGAGACATACTAATCCTCGGTCGGGATTTGCTTGAATAGAAACAAAGCAAACTAGAAAGAGAGCAACTACTTGTTGTCGGTGCATAGTCCAAGCTTGAAATGATCTGCAACTTCATCATCGAATGGCGATTAACTCATATCATACTGACAACCGACATTTTTCTTCATTATACCGAAGAGAAAACTGTATACATAATACGGTTAATGTTCTGTATTGCATTAGATAGCACATGTTAGTTACAACATTAACCTTTTAGTATGAACTAAAAGATAATGATGACGATAGTTAATTGAATCGATTCTTGAATGTGTTGAAGAGAGAGTAACAAACAAAAACGAAATTATCTGGAATGATTTATGACACAGAGTGATCTATTGGCCGGTCATCGAAGAGCAAGTGTCAATTGAATTTTCTTCTCTCACTCTCTCTGTTTCTCGGTCGCTACATATGGAACTTTTTTCTCACACAGTCAAAATAGAATCAAAATCATTGTCGAAGACGACAGCGTCCATACATCATTTAATGCAAGTAGCCTCAAGCAAGTTGAATCTACGAGTAAAGGCAAATACAGACACAGACAGTTTCCAAATGCGAACATCTCGTTATTGTTCATTCGTCGTGACGATTCAAGGATGTTTTCAAACTATGTATGAATGGTGCATCGATGAAGTTGGATTGTAACCTCGGGTAAAAAAGGAGAAGATAGTCGAACAGGAAGTGACCATCTAGTTGACCTTTATTGAACGTACAGTTATTGATTGTTTAATTGGTCTAGCACGTTGTCATCATCGTTCGGAGAAGTAATAAGAAAGAAGAAGTTGTCACGCACGTTAATCTTGTTCAATTTTCTCTTCTATCCGCCTATTTCCTTTCTTCTATATCGGAGCAAACTATCTGCTTAACTGAGTCAATTAGAGACAACATTGTTGTCCGCATTTGATCGCTAGAAATGAATTTCTTCCTTTCTTTTTCCAAAGACAGCCAAGGTTACTCTTGTTAAATCCTTGAAAGTATCTTTCTAACACATTCCTAAATATCTATTTCCGCTTCCTAGTCTCTTTTCTTAAGAAACACAATTATCCTGGGAATGGCACATCCGTTCGATGGTCTCGCGATTAATTCTATTGTCAAATGACACCTAGGCAAGGTTAATATGTGTAATCAGCAAACGATGCCTTTCTTGTGTTGTCGTTTAACCTGTAATAAATAAATATGGAATTCCAATGGGAATATTTCATTGTTTAATTGGAATGAATCAAGGTTGACTAAGCACAAGAAGAGATACATAAATATTAATATGTGATACGCCCTACTCTTCTCTCTCTTTAACTTCCTTCATTTAGCTTCTTTTGTACGAAGACGTGGTGTGCCAGGAAGCAATGAAGATTAATCACTTTGACAGTTTGCGGTGGTTCTTTCTTACGCAACAATCTCCTTCCTTTTCCCCTCTGTATCTCTTCTCTCTCTTTTTTTTATATATGTGAAGGAAAAACCTCTTCTTCTTCTTCTTCCTCTTCTTGTCGTCGTCGTTTTTTTATAAGCATCTATTTTGCTCTCTATTGCTCTTATCGGCAGTGACATGAACCAGAGTAAATGAACGTTGTCTCGATGCCAGACATATGCTCCATTTCTTCTTACTTTTCATCAATGAACGCTCGCTATACATACGTACGTAAGTTTAATAATACCATTACAACTGATCAATTCAATACGGACTGAAAAATATTTTCATTTCCCATCCTATCCTATTGAAGAAGATCGCCTTGTCACATCGCAGCGGAAATCTCTGAGTAGCTGATTTAATTGATATATTGATATTGTATCAAAATAGAGCAGCTGCTAAGCAAATAGTAATAATAAGGTTGACTTCTGTTTCTCTCTTTCTTCTCCGATAACCTTCGTGTATATCTGATCTGATTCAATGTAAACATCATTTATGTTTATTGCATAAATCGACATAAAGATTATGAACATGGACAAAACGTCATCATTACATGTCTACATTGACAGAACTTTTCTCGAATGACATCATCGACGATTAAACTTTTTTGCGATCATTTCTGTCTCATTACACGCTGCGATTTGAATTCTTCAGTGTTACTTGACAAATATATGCATTATAAAAGTATATAGATATTGATAAGCGCAATTACATTCATCAATCTATGTTCAACACTTGAAATATGTTCGTTTTAACCTTCAATTCGAGTCGAGAATGAAGACGATGATGAGATATTTGAGTATGAGATCGAATGCAGATAAAACTTTACAATACATGACTCGATTCGATTCAGTTTCAAATTCTAATCTATCGCGTACAAAGAATCTCTTTCTATTGTTCGTTATTGCTATTCGCAATCCTATTACAAATTGTAATGATCACTTTGTCAAGTGAAAATGGTCAGAGCGGCTTAGTACATTTGTTCTCTTTGTTCATAATCCATCTTTCTCTCCCTCTCTCTTCTCTCATACTCAACTGCTCTCTAATTGTTTTGCAGTCTCATAAATCATGTCATCATTGTCTTCGAACAAAGTTAGTCTCAATCTGTTTAACATTTCCTCTTTGGAGTCGAACCGAACAGATGAATTCGTTCTTGAGTGTTTGTATACACTTACCTTGTTATGTCTAGTTATTTTCTCTTTTGTGATGAATGCAATTCCGACTAGAGACATATGTTCCCTCAAATTCCATGGACAGCTCTGCATAACTTCATTAACAAGATCATTTTGCGTGTCTGTGTCATGTCGAAACTTTCCTTTCCTTCCTAATCAATTCTTTGAATCATATATAACGAAGAACTCGTAATTATCGGTGCAAGTTTCTTACTATTTAAATGTGCCTATGGATTCTTACTAATTCCGTTGCATGCCGACAAGTGAGTTGAAGTATAAAATGATTATTGAGATAAAACAAATTCTTCCACTCTGATGCTTTTCTTCTACCCGAGCATCGATACTTTTTTTTTCTAACATTTGAAAGAAAAAGAGAAGAAAACTTCTTGAATTGTCCATTAAACTATGATCTAGAGTGTTTGGCAAGTGTCATTTACATTTATCACGTCGCGATGATGTACGTGTCTAATAGAAAAATGTTAATTGCAAGTGAGATGGACATGTGATGACGCCGGAGAGATGTCCGTGACTGTGATTCATGTAGTTCGTTGTCTGTCGTCTCTATCTTTGCTTTCTCTTTTCTCACACGATTGTGCAATCTTTTCTTTCTCTTCTTCTTCTTCTTCTGTTGACAAACGCGTCGAAGTTCGATGAGATGAGTATGCGAGACAAATATCATCATTGCATCGTTCATTTATATTAGTCTTTTCATCATGATTGTCTGCAAAGCAAATGAATACTGGACCAGCAGTTCAATGTTTCTTGTCGGCATTCCATCTGTCTTCATCGTCGCGGCATCAGCCCGAGAATAAATTAACGATTATTAATCGTTTTTCTTTTGGACATTGGTCATTTATATTCGATACTTTCAATCAGTCCCATTGGTAATACGAAACCTCGTCTACTCTCTTTTCGATTCTAGATTGGTAATTAGTATTATTCAATCACGATGATCATTCAATTTCTCTTCCTTCTCTTCGTATTTCGTAAGTAGATTCTGAAAAGACACTTCCCACGGCTTTGTTCTTCCCTATTAAAAATTGATATATCACGTTCTATATTAGATTTATGTCACAGTAGTAATAACCCGCCGGTTATTATCGAACAGCCGCAAGATATGATTGCCGAATTAGATAAACCCATGGCCATTCATTGTCGAGCCGAATCATCTACATTTGATGATCTTCAAGTTGATTGGTATAAAGATGGTCGATTGGTTACAATAGATCCAAATGCACGTATTATCACGGAATTTATGGCTTTACATGTCATAAATACGATGCCACAGGATGCAGGTGTTTATCATTGCGTAGCAAAAAATTCGCATGGACGAACCGAAAGTCGAAAGGCACGAATACAATTTTTGAGTGAGTGTATTTTTGAATAGGAGAAAAGAATACCAGAAAGTTTAATTGCGCTTATTGTAGAACTTGATAAAGATTTCATTGTTTCTCCTGTTTCAACGAGTGTTTCAATCGGCGAACGTGTCCGTTTATCTTGTCAACCACCGTTCGGTTCACCAAGTCCGCAAGTTTACTGGACCAAAGACGGCAAGAACGTGTCCATAACTCTTGATCACTATGATTTAGTATTTCCATCGGTGCAAATTGCCGATTTTGGTTTATATCGCTGTATTGCATCGAATGGTTTGACTCGAGAATCATCTCCAGCCTACTTAACCGAATTTCACCGGCCAAAACTGACGATCCAACCATCATCATCACGGGTTGATCTACGTCGTGGAAAATCGATCGATCTACAATGTCAAATAGATGACGACGAATACAAACTGGAGTGGCATTTCCAGAATACCTTGATTCGAAGCTCTATCCTCAACATGTCGTCAGTTGAATTCAATCAAAGTGGATTGTATACATGCACAGCTCGGTTTCAACGGCATGTTTTTACCAAAGAAATTCTTCTAGCTGTATACGAACAAGAAACTCTCAGAGATCAAGAGATTTTCTATAGTCAATTGAATCTAACAGTATTCGCTGGACGTTCAGCAATTGTTGAATGTCCACTACCATATAATCCTCAAAAGAAGATTTCATGGGCAATTGTCAATCAAACTGAAACGAATAATTTTACATTCGACTTTGTCGATCAACCTCAATATCGATTTCAGATCAATCCTGTTAAGGAATTTCACCATAATATTTTATTTCAATGTTCCTACGAGCAAAGTCACGGTTTAATACAATTGAATGTGGAACATATTCAAGCACCGCCACTTGTTTTCTTTGTACCAAACAATCAAACTGTGCCGATAAGCACTCAAGTTATATTTCCGTGCCAATCTAATGATGAAAACACCGTTCAATGGTGGTTTACACAATCTCATCGTCCGTATAAAACGATGAAAATCGATAATAATCGGAAATATCGTCTGGAAATCAATAACGATTTGGTCATTCGACATGCAGAAAAGTAAGGAAAGGGTGGTTGACTTCAACCTTCATAGTCACTCGATATTTTTAGAAATGATGCTGGCATTTATAAATGTGTATCAACCAATGATAAATACGAAGAATCGGTGTGGACTGCTGTTCTAAAAATTGACGATAATCGTTCACATATGAAATATAATCGTCTTGAACGAAAGGACCTTCCATCGGCGCCATCTCAACCATTGCTTGTCACGGCTAATAGCAACTCAATCGAATTATCTTGGGATATCCGCTCAACGGATATTGTGGATTATCTCATTGAGTATTTTGATCTTAATCCGATGAATAAAAATCTTCAATGGGAACGTCATATAACAAAGAATTCAAATTCTCAACAAATGATCAATAATCTAAAATCAAACACAACGTATCAGTTTCTTGTTCGTGCAAGAAATTCATTTGGCTATGGTCCACCTTCAATCTTATCAGAATTAATCGAAACAAGAACATATCCATCATCGAATGACGATTTAATCTATCTCTACGATCCAATAACTGTTCAAGAAACAAGTATAACAATCAAATGGGATGTTTTACAAAAACATCAGTTAGTTAAACGAATCTCAATCTATATTATCAACGGCAAGGACGCCAATGAACGTATTGAAACAATTACAAATGCTGTCACAAACTATACAATCAACAATCTACGACCAAATAGAGATTATTCGATTCATTTAGTACCCTTACTGGATGCACCAGGTCGTTCAAGTAATAAAATCACGATTCGGACATTGGAAAGCACACCAGCAACAGCACCAACGAATATTCATGTTCAATTATTGTCTACAACTAGCCTTTCTATTCGATGGAATCCACCGCTAGACAATGAAACAAACGGAGATATCATCGCTTATAAGATTCACTGTTTGACTACTAACGAAACAAATTCTATTCGTTTGACGAATATCAGTTCCGATGTCAAAGGCCTATTTATCAAAAGTCTCATCGAAAACGCAGAATATTGTATTAGCATAGCCGCACGAACAAGAACAGGTTATGGACCTTATTCTCAACCAATATGTGTCACAATGAGTAAGAATCCATTTTCAGTCAAGTTCAAAATCTTCTACAAATTTTCATTTTTTTAAAGATGCGAAATTTTTACAGATCGATCAAAACGGATTTCGATATCGTTTGCGCGAAGCTATATCTCAACCATGGTTTTTGCCAGTCATTGTTCTCTCTAGTATTTGTTTCACCTGTGCTTTTTCCTATGGTATTTGGTTATGTTTTCACTACTTGACGCAACAACACCGTCATCCAATGAAGTTCAACAATTCACCATCGTCATCCAATCAATCAGTGGAACTACCAATTCATAAAACTTTGAGTAATGGAAATCGTTATGATCTAATCAAAGATGCTCCACCACAATCATCGACCGTATGGATAGATTCGATACCGAAGAGTATTCGTCTGCAATGTTGTTCGACGACGGCAGCATCAGCTGGTAGCAATAGTGAACATTACTCGATGGGTATACATAAAAATCCGATAAATGCTTTGCTGCAAGAGTCTCGACAACAGCAACAACAACAACAGTTAAACCCATATGCAACCACAGGAATATTTCAGCAAACAACACCGAGTTTTGTACATACATCTTCATGATTTCCGTGACTATTTGATGATGTGTGTGTGTTTGTATTTTTCTAGTCAGATACAATTCACTCTGCAATCTCATCACCTCATCAACTATCCGATTCTCAACAGCAAAGAGCAATATCACCATCGTCTGTACAATATCAACCGCCCTGGCTAGATTATCCTGCGCCATCAACATTACAATATCGTTCTCAATCTCATATATCATATGGTCTACATCGTCATCATTGTCTACATTGTACATCACAAAGTCATCCTCATACACCATCTTCAACACACCGAACGATTCCATCATCTTTACTTCAACAAGACCATAATACAAATCCAATGATCAAGTTTTCAACAAATGAAACTAATCCATCAGTAATAAACAGCCATAAGATGTAAGTTATCACACATGTTTGAGTACATTCTGTATTTGTCTTATCTTTCAAGAATGGAACATCAATCTTCTAATCCACCGATGATGAAATCAGTAGGCGAAGGTTCGTATCATATATTGTGCTTTGATGACAAGATAAATTGTATTTTTATCTAATAGAAACAGTTGTAACATCGTGGGCGAGTTCACTCAATGGTAATCAGCCCGAAAGTATGTCGTCTTCATCAACTGATAAACGTAGTCATCCAGTCAAAGAGAATCATGCCAGTAGTGAAAGTTCGATCTTTTCCGATACTGATATTCAACAACCTGTCAATTCAAATTCCTCACCATTAATGAATTTTGAGCGTGGACCAAGTTTTCTTATCCCAGATGTATAACTGCCATCTGCCTCTCGTGTTTTTTTTTAAAATCTAGTCATTTCATACATGATTAATCTTACACTCAGTAGCTTATTTTTCTCTCCTGGTTTCTTCTTTGTTGTTTTCAATAACGTGCTCCGTTTTTCTGTTGTTAATATTGTGTAAAATCAGTGATGATCGTTACTCTCTTATATTTGCTTGTGACAATTCAAACGAGTAGATTTCTTTTCATCCAATAAAGAATTTGTATAGGTAAGAAAAGATCTTGTGAATTTAACGAAGATTTACTAAATCTCGAGATAACATGGAAAACAACATGCGTCTACTGACTAAATATCCATCTTGTGAGATCCCTTTCTTTCTTCAACCGATTCACACTAAGAGAGGATCTCGTTCATTGTTTTCAATAGTTTCATCAGTGTCCACATTCGTTTTTAATATTACTGCCGACTTGATTTCAGTCTCCGCTTGTTTGGCTAACGATCGTAGGTGTTCCGCTTCACTTGGACCAGTTTGCTCAACCAATGAAACAAAATAAGATTTCGCATTCGCTAACAATATCGATGGAGTATCGAATTCCAACACTTCCCCATAACCCAGAACCTATGAAAATCACCACGAAATGAAATCTTTTGCTTTAAACAACAAAATATTTACCAGTATTCGATCGCTGTCGATAATCGTTCTCAGTCGATGCGCGATAGTTAATACTGTACAGTCTCGGAATTTACCTCGAATCGCTCTTTGTATCAGTTCATCCGTTCTAAAATTCAATATTACAAACACATATTTCAGGGTAATGAGTCGTTTACATACACATTATCGACATTGGCTGTAGCTTCATCAATGACAAGGATTTTACTTTTTTTCAGAATTGCTCTTGCCAAACAGATTAGTTGCTTTTGACCGACACTTAAATTCGAGCCATTTTCATTAACTGTTGAATCTAATCCATTGGACATGACATCGTGTACAAGTGCCTTCAGTTGTACCTGAAAGACAAAAATACATGAAGAAAGTATCATGAAAATTTTGATCACAAACTTCTTCGAGGGCATGCCATATTTGTTGATCAGAATAATCGTGGAATGGGTCGAGATTACTTCGAATCGTTCCTGTGAATAGAATGGGCTCTTGTGGAATAATGGATATTCGACTTCGCAGATCGTCCAAATCAATTGTCGAAATGTCAATTCCATCGATTTCAATGTGTCCTTCGACAAGTATTCCCATACGAAATAATATTTGAATGAGAGAACTTTTGCCGGCTCCTGTTCTGCCGACAATGCCGATCTTTTCTCCACTTGCAATATTTAGCGTTATGTCGTGTAAAACGAGTGATGACTTTTCGTCTTCTGAATAGGCCATCGAAACATTTTGAAAACGAATTTGACCTTTGCTTGGCCAGTCTTTTGGTGGTCGATTTTTCGGTAAGGATTTGGTGGATGATGGTTCTTGATCTAGCGCACAATATTCTAGGATTCGTTCTACTGCCGTCATGTGAGTATCAACCATAACCGATTGTCTAGAAGATATACTGTCTAAGGAAAACCAAAACGAGTTTTCAATGTCAAACCTGATCGTCCATTGAAAGAGTCCCATTAAGTTGAGACTGTAGGAGAGTATCAATGCAATATCTGCTGTGGAGAGTTCGCCTCTGTAAATATGCACTAGAATAGAACAGACTGTCACCATAGTTAAGAACATCAATGACACCCAGTCGAAACGTATAGCAGCCCATCGTTCAGCAACAGCGGTTAAAAAATAAGCTTGGATGTGATGATCAAGATAATTAAGGAATTGTTTTGAGCACAACGACTCCGCATGATAAGATCGGATCACTTTCAAGCCGTGAATAGTAGATGATACATACGAAAACATGGGTGTTCGTGAGTGTTCGCTGATTCGTTTCAAATCGCGCAATCCAGATGCAAAACGATATCGAACTACTAGCATTCCCACGACACCTACAGCTGCAGGAATGAACGACCAGGGATTGATAATACCAATTAAGATGATAGTTCCCAAAACCGTTGATGCACACTAAACAAATGCTACTCGAATGAAACATTTCGGAAAATGAATACCTTCACCTCAAGAAAATCCGGAATATCCATTACAATATCGGTATCCATGATCATCACATCACGAGCGAAACGATTCATGATGCGACCTAGAGAGAAATGAACATTCGATCTGTCACTGCAAGTCAACAACATACCAATGGGATTCATGTCAAAAAATAAGATTGGACATCGCACGATTCGTTGAAACATTCTACAATCGATAGAATATTAAATTGTTGACAAAGCTTTTTCAATATTACTTATTATGAAGTACTCGTCCAGCATTCAAACACATTGTTTTCATTCCTAATGTACACAGGAATGTCAGCATTAATAACAGCGCGATAATGCCTAAAAACTATCGGGATCAGTTGGGATTTGTGTTAACTGATAAGCTTACCGCAAAACATAAAAAATTTCGTGTTTCGATATTCATTCCATTGATTATTACTCATTAAATACAGATTAGTAACATTCGTCGTAATACCTGATGGACAATAACTTAAATTACCGTACCGATAACCTTCATCGTCACTCCATTTTGCTAACCACCAAGTGCTATACATGAATGTTGCTTGACGAGCAGTCAAAAGTATTAAGATCGCCACAAAACCCAGTACACAGCCAAGACCAGCTCGAACATATGAAAGATAAACGGATAGCTTAATTGCACCCTGTTGTTTTGTATCGGTATGGTCAAATAAGTCGTCGTCTTCGTTCTGTTCTGAATAGGTAGAACTGATGACTGATAGTTGATGATGGACTTGAACCAAAGATTCTTGTTCTTGTTGGTGGATGTCTTCCAGAAGATGCGAAAAGGATGCAGATGAAGACATCAATTCATTGTAAGTACCAATGTGTATCATTTCGCCCTTGAGGATAAAAGGAGAGCAATGCACATGGAATATTATGCTTTTTCTCAGTAGAATTACTTTCTCGAGAACGATGATTTTAGTTGCATCTTGAAGAAATTGGATTTGATGAGTGACTAAGATGCAGACTTTATCCGAGAGATAATTCTTAATTGAGCTGGAATTGAGAAAACGATGAATATAGTTCATGGTGATTTAAATGATATTTACTCTTCGAAGATATGTTTTGACACTTTCACATCAACAGCTGAGAGTGGATCATCAAGCAAATAGATGTCCGCTTTTCGGTACAATGCTCTTGCCATGTTCACTCGTGCTTTTTGTCCCTAGATCACAGAAGACATTGGAAAGAGACGTGGATATGTGCCTTTCCTACTCCAGATAGCATCACACCTTGATCACCGACAAGCGTATTAGTACCTTGTGGTAATTGTTCGATATCCTACATAGAAACAGACATTACTATTGAAAGAGTAGATTTCAAATCAATTTACAGCATCGAGAGCCGTGGCATGTAGAACTCGTTGAAATAGTTTGTGATTGTATTCTTTTCCGAAAAGAATGTTATTCTTTACTGTTGATGAAAAGATCCCTGTAGAAATGAAACGAATATGCCAAACGTTCTCTTTGTCTAGGATCGTACTACTCACAAGCTTCTTGAGGTACGTAGCAAAATGTACCGCGTAATCGAACTTTTCCGTCGAAGTACGCAATTTCGCCAGTTAATGCTTGTAGAAGTGAACTCTATATTCATAGAATAGAATTATAAAAGACTTTTGAAAAAGTGACGAACTTTGCCGCATCCCACTGGACCAATAACACAGATCAAATCGCCAGGCCGAGCATCGAATACAATTTTTCGTAATGCAAATGTTCCATCCTACACAACAAGTTTTGCATATCAATAGCTTGTCAATATTCGAAATTCACTTTTTCCCATTGTGCTGTTTTCAAATCACACGTGACTTCGATGGCTTTCGTAACGTTTTTCTCGACAAGCGTTAGCTCATCCGATGAAGAATTTTCTGTGTTTGAAAATGACGACAGCCGAGTATTACGTTCGCACTCATCAAGGAGCAAAAACGCCTAAGTTTAGTAAATTTCATCGTAACATGCGTTCCTATCTTCTGAATACGAACTTCAATTCGCTTTTGAGCAACCAAATAATTCGAAAGATCACGAATCGCATTGGAAAAGAAATCAATGGTAAAAACTTTCATGAAACCCAATATACATGAAGCAACAGCGAAGAAACGTGCATCGAATCGAATATTCAATGACCACATTGCCCCATACATCATCAGAAAAGTGATCGTACTATAGTTGTTCGTGAAGATCACTTGAATAGCATCACATATGGTATAAAACGTATAGTAAAGAATCTCTCGTCTAAATATATTTTTAGAGTTGATATTGAACAGAAAGATATGCTCGTTGACATACCTTCGTATAGTACACACTTTTTCAACAAATGCGGATTCCCAACAGTACATTTTGACGATACGCATGGATTTAATGATTTCGGACATGACTTTCAGACGTTCATCGGTTATTTGAAGAATGCTCGTTCTACTCACACGACGTTTTCTTTGCGTTCAGAACAAAATCATTACAAACTTACCGTAATCGAACAAAAAGACGACTGTAGAGCGGTTGTATCAGCAAAAGACACAGCGAGTAACCAACGGCAATCAAAGCAATATATCTTACAAAATACCAGAAGACAAAAGTAACCAGAATGAGTTGTATAGGAGCAATCTACGATAAAAAGTAGGATTGTTATGTAAACTCTCAGAGATCGTACCCAAATATAATTAGAAAACATGAGTAATAAATAAACTTGGAATGCGTCATTTGATATAATATTCGTAATTTCACCCGATGTAATTTTATTCATTGAGTAGAGCGATAATCGAAGTATCTAGCAATGAAATAATTCAAATCCATTCAATAGTTTCATTCTTCCTTACTTTACGGTATATTAAACCTGTATAAGCAGCAAAAATCTGCATACTGTAAATCTCGTTTAGCATAACATACTATACACATCAAAAGTAAAGTCAATTTTCATTATTTACACTCAGAACTTACATGATGTACGACGAGACTTCCAAAAAAAGTTGCCAGTACCGTTCCTATGGCAAAAAACCAAGCATGTGTTGTTGATGTAGAAGAACACGGTTCGAAAAATCGCATCAACATAATTAAAAACAACGGTTGTACGATTTGGGATATTCCCTAACGAGATGGGAAGAGAAATAAAATCGATCAGGTGAAGTTAGTGCTTACATTAGCGAATGCGAAAAAGCCGGCAAATAATTGCTTCCACCCAAGTGTCCGTATCGTTGCCCGCAAGAGACTCGGGTTCGTCGGGTGTTTATTCACCTCATCGAACCAATTGTTCTCTAGTTTATCAGTAAGCTCCGCTGACTGAAGATAAGGTGGTAATTCATAGAGATCATGAGGGTGCAGCACACCTTGTTTTCGACTCTTTCTCAGTAATGCCGACAGCCAGCTGAGGAAAACAATTCAACAGTAATGAGAACTAGAAATACGAATACCTACTGATGAAAGTATCGAGAGCTTGCATTGGCATCCACAATAGGATTGTAATCGCGAGATGTCGGTGGCATCTATGTAAAAGAGTAAAGTGTTATTTTTATTCTGTCATTAGAGATTCTATCATTGTTCGTTTACTAGAAAGAAAAAAACTGTTCTGTGTCTGTTGCACGTGGCTTATATAGCGTTCTTATTCGAGTAATATTTGTAAGACTACAATATAATTGCGCAAGGCAGTGACGAAGTAGAACGGCTTTCATGAGTGCGTAGAGCCTTATCTAAAATATTAGTATTGACTCAAATACCAATAGTAATGCAAATAGAATATTTTGAAATTTTCAATCAAATTCGATCATAGATTATGTTGCATCAGCAAAATTTATTTTTAGCCGATTTATTATCTTGTCGCATCATCAATATTTATTGGGATACCTTTCCCAACACTTGCTTGGGTTAGTTTATAAAAAAAATAGGTCAGCATATTTAGTATTCATCGGCAGCTTCTTCGGTATCCTAGATATAAGAAATCAAAAATGAATTTTTTGATCAAATTCGAACATAATACTACTCACTTCAACTGAATCTGTACCGACTTCTTCATAGTCTTTTTCCAGTGCAGCAAGGTCTTCACGAGCTTCGCTAAACTCTCCTTCTTCCATTCCTTCGCCAACATACCAATGAACAAAAGCACGTTTTGCATACATTAGATCAAATTTATGATCAAGTCGGCTCCATGCCTCTGCAATGGCTGTTGTATTGGACAACATACATAGAGCTCGTTGAACTTTGGCCAGATCTCCACCTGGAACTACAGAGGGTGGTTGATAGTTAATTCCGACCTTGAAACCAGTTGGACACCAATCAACAAACTGAATAGTTCGTTTTGTTTTGATCGTCGCAATCGACGCACTAACATCTTTCGGAACCACATCGCCTCGGTATAACATGCAGCATGCCATGTATTTTCCTAGAGAAGAAAAGAATGAAAATTAGCTACTGAATTTGTTGTCAATAGTGGTAGATACCATGACGTGGATCGCATTTCACCATTTGATTTGCTGGTTCGAACACAGCGTTGGTTAGTTCTGCTACGGATAAGATTTCATGGTAAGCTTTTTCCGCTAGAAAAGGATTTAACAAATGAAAAGTATCCATAAGATTTTCTCGATACATACCGCTTATGATAGGTGCATACGTTGCTAATGGAAAATGGATGCGTGGATATGGTACCAAATTCGTTTGAAATTCACACAGATCAACATTTAAGGCGCCATCAAATCGTAATGATGCCGTGATTGAAGAGATCACTTGAGCTAATAAACGATTCAGATTAGTATAAGTTGGTCGTTCAATATTTAAATTTCGACGGCAAATGTCATACAGTGCCTCGTTATCAACCAGAAATGAGCAATCGGAATGTTCCAATGTGGTATGAGTAGTTAAAATTGAATTGTAAGGCTCAACCACTGCTGTCGATATTTGTGGAGCAGGATAGACAGCAAATTCGAGTTTTGACTTTTTACCATAGTCCATACTTAAACGTTCCATGAGAAGAGATGTGAAACCAGATCCAGTACCTCCTAGAATATGCTCTTAGAATTCTCATATACGATTTCTGGTTTCGATTTACCTCCGAATGAATGAAAAATCAAAAAGCCTTGCAAGCCTGTGCATTGATCAGCTACTTTACGTACACGATCTAAAACTAGATCAATAATTTCTTTTCCCACTGTGTAATGTCCGCGTGCATAGTTGTTAGCTACATAGAAGAGAACGTACAATGACCGTTTTTCGAAAGAACCCTTCTTCGGTTACCTGCATCTTCTTTGCCAGTTATCATTTGTTCGGGATGAAATAATTTTCGATAAGTCCCAACCCGGACCTCATCTAAATTCGATATATTATCCTATTTGATTAAAAAACAAAAGACAGTTACCAACTACAGTAGGCTCCAAGTCCATGAGGATTGCTCGTGGAACATGCTTTCCGGCACCTGTCTCATAGAAAAAGGTACTGAATGAGTCATCACCAGAGCCATTGATGGATACATTGGATGGCAGTAAGCCATCTGGTTGAATACCATGCTCTAAACAGAATAATTCCCAGCAAGCATTGCCCATTTGTACACCGGCTTGACCGATGTGGATTGAGATACATTCACGCATCTTGTCTTGTGTTTTGGTTTTAACAAAATTTATGTCTCGTTATCTCCGTTTGCAAGCTTTATATAGGAAGAGACAAAGAGTGAAAGAACAGAATAAAAACCTATGAGTGACTCATTAGCGTTAGGAAAAAGCAAGTGATCGATGAAGTGCATCGTCATGTGAGTAGAAACTTACACTGATATGAATCAAATAAGCATCCTGATGACTCAATTGCTTCAGAGAGAATTTCTTCGTATTGCAACACTTGGAGAAATGTTCGTAAAAATCAAAATGGTGAGTGATTGCATTTCTCTACCATCATTGAAGTATTCTGAATCATTATCTCGCGAAAAAAAAATTGGATTTTATTCACCAACAGCTTGTTTAACTAGTTCAATCCGTCATTTCAATCAAATATTATGCAATAACAAAACAGTTGATGCACTTGAGGAACTATTCAACTAATGATCAGCCGCAATTTCGACTATCCATATTGACAGATCATTGCTTTGCAATCATAATTGAGTTTCTTGTAAGAAAAAACATCGAGCTATGCTATCAAATGCATTAAAGCTTATTCATTCTCTCGAGTGGATATTATAGACAAAGTACACTGAAAATCTCGACGGGGTGATTCATTTCTCTATGGCACTTTTTCCTTTTCTTGAAGCTTATAATTTCATACCGGAACATACGTATAACGTCGAATATGTTCTCTTCTTCAATTCATGTTCTGCACAGCTCGTGTGAAGAAAGAAAAAGAAAACATTCACTGTGCTATTCTCATTGCTTCGTTCGTATATATTCAACATCACTATTCATTTGATTACAAATCGTATTGACCGAAATGAAAACTCGACTATTGATGTACATTAGTGTTATTTTTCTACTTGATGAAATTCGAGATCTCGCTGCATCGAAAAAATCGTCAGACAAAGTAGAACATCTGCTAGAAAACGTCTGCGACCATTTACATGATGAAGATTTATCATCGACTGAGAATCAAAATTGGCTAGATCTCTGCGAGAAATGGCTTCAATCAACAAGGCATCATCGACGACAAAATCAAAATATTATCGATGGTGAGTTTAAATAAAGACAATACAAACGCAACTGTGTCTGCTGATTGAACTTGTTAAAAAGAAATAACCCGAGGTCATCGGTTGATACGAGAAGGACATCTGCAATTAAAAATGACTAGAATGTCGCTAGTTTAACTGATAAAAAAGAAGTCTGTTATTGTTTAGAAGAACACATGCAACGGATTCATCAACCTCGTCGATCCGGATCCCGTGGTGGTTCTCGTACTTCCAGTCGAAGTAGTCGAAGCAGTAGCAGCAGCAGCAGCCGCAGTGGTACCCGTCGAATATCTACAGGTGCTACTCGCTTTCGTAATACACGCACTGGTGCAGTCATTTCTCGTCCAAATGGATGGTTATGGAGTCGAAGTCGGCATGTTTTTCTTCCAGTTTCTCGTGTGTATCGCTACCGATCGCGTTCTTCGTCGTCGAATCGATATACAACATCGGCTACCACTTCTGCCGAGTATTACTATTGTACATTGGACGCGAATAGTTCCACAGAAATTCAATGTCTCACAACGACTGGAGATAATCAATGTTGTGAAGTAGAGACCAATCGAGAAGTTTTTTGTTGTGGTGGCGATATCGATAGTGATTATGATGCTGATAATCGAGGCAGAAGATTATTAACACGAATTTTCTATACTATATCAGCAATAGCTTTCGTTATGCATCTATTTATGAGACGATTTAATCGATAAGTATTTATTTATATGAGCAGAATTGTCTCGACAACGGAAAACCATTGTTTTTAAATAAACTTTTCAAATATACTTACAACTGAGCGTTCTCCTCTGAACGTATTCGAGTGTTTACAGGATAATTTGTGATTACTTACAGCAACAGTAATGTTAGTTGTAAACGATCAGTACATAAACCGATAAATTCTAAATCAATACTAGCAAATAGGATAGCTTGTAAAAAGCAAACGAAGAGTAGAACGTGATACAATCACTACTCCTATTGAAAACACTGTTACCTAAATTAGCATTTGCAAAATATACGCTCACAGATATGATTAGGCACAAGTGTAATTTTTCTAAGCTGGATTTATTTCTCCGATATGGTCACAGCTCTTCTGTCATAGTTTCAATGTTTTACACAGCTTAAATTACAACTTTCTGTTCTATCGCTGCTTAAATGAATTACGAATAAAAATAAACCATCGATTTTTCTTTTTCAATTCATTTGAACATGAGCGACATTGATTGACATTACTTTTTTGTATTGGCCTTTTCATGCCAACAAATGATTTAAATGCATATTTTACCGAGGAAACGAACGACAGGCGTAAAAAGAAAGAAATTCATTGATTTATTCTTGAAGTGCAGTTTTCAAAATGAGTTACATGCGTGCAATTGTGGTTAAAGAATTTGGTAAACAGTCGAATACTTTCCACGTTAATTATTCTAGTTTTCTTGTCGTTCAAAGGTGATGCCAATGTTTGCCAACTAATCAGAGACGTACCGATTCCTAACATTCAACATCGAGAAGTCCGCTCACTTGAACAAAAAAACCTTTTGTAAAGCATTTCTGATCGACATATCTCTGTAGGTTTTGATTCGTGTGTACGCTGCTGGTGTTAACCCAGTCGATACATACATCCGTTCGGGTTCATACAGTCGTCGACCTACTTTGCCGTACATTCCGGGACTCGATTCAGCAGGAACAATTGAAAAAGTTGGAGCGGAAGTTACAAAATTTAAAGTAATGATTCATACGATTGCTATCGCTCGATGATATAGCCGCTTTTGTTTAGGTTGGTGATCGAGTTTTTACAGTTAATACTATAACTGGCACATATGCTGAGTATTGTGTAGCTCGTGCTGATTTCGTGTTTCCTTTACCGACTAATGTTTCATTCGAACAAGGTTCAGCACTTGGCGTGCCTTATTTTACAGCATATCGAGCTTTAGTTATAAAGTAAGTAGACGAAAGAATTGTATTCATTATTTATTAAGAAAGATATTTGATAAATTATTTAAATTTCGGAGCGCTACGATCGTTAGTAACTGCTTTTCGAAGGGTTGTGCCTTGACGAATATTGTCTAGTAGAGCAGACCGGTCACCTGAATCACCGGATGACTGCGCTGAGGGAGCAGATGGCGGAGGTGGAGTTGTTATAGATTGTTTTGGTACAGGAGGTGCTGGCGGTGGTGTCGGTGATGCAGATGAAGTTGTTGGTCCTGGTAGATTAGGTTTGGGTGTTGACGGTGTTGTCGGTGTTGTTGGGGGTATTGAGGGCGAATAACTTAGATTGATGATTGATGTTTCTGTTGGTCTCGATGCCGAGGTACTTTTGCGTCTGTCCAAAGTTGGTGCCTTAACAGTAGAGTTCCGTTTTCTTCTCATTGTACCTGTCCATTGTTCCAGTAAGGTTTTCACGTCATTTGAATATTCGCCGGGCATGGCAGAAAAATCTTGTAATTCTTTCAATTTGGCCATATTATTGGCAATATATGGAAAGTCACGAAGTTCAGTCAGCGTCAAAACAGGTTGTGATATGTCGAAGAGACGTGTCAGCATCTGTCGCGCATCAGGATCTCTTCCACAGTCATGCCAATGTTTCGGCGTTAAACCACGTAAATGTTCACCTAATTCATAACCAGTTAACATTTCAAATACCAATGCGCCATAGCAGAAGACTTCTGAAGCTTGTGCCTTTGTCATTCCTTCCGGAAGTATCAATGAGGACACAGCTCGTTTCGTTAATGGATAGATACGTGAGCGTTGTTCTAAAAATTGATATTCGTACGAACCAATTTGAACACACGAACCAGACACAACTACATTTCCACTGTGTAAATCTGTGATCGGTGGTATCGATTTCGATTGAAGAAAAAGAAGACCTTCTAATAATTGACAAGAATACAGTCGAACACGATTCAGCGCTAAACCAGAACTTCGATACGAATATTTGCCCTAAATAGAAATATCAGAACAGAAGACAGATTTCAAAACTTTAAATGAGTAGACGGTGAAAACAATACATGAAAATTAGCAGTTGGTACAACACCGTGCAGTACATCTTTCAATGATCCTAAACGTTGGTATCGTTTGACTTTGACAACCAACTTTTGTGTATATAATATATCCAGCTTAAGTAGTGGTTCAACATAGGGATGATGCAATCTGCTAAAAAGATTATTCAATGTGCGAACATATGTTGCAGTACTCTCTTCGTCGACCAATTGGGTCAGTCGATCCGACTTCGGTTGTAGTGATAGAAGATGCGAAGCTGTATTCAATGTAATCGTGCTCGTCTTCGATATCGGCGTAATTAAAAACCAGTTCTTTTCTGGATCGGATCCAATTTGTGTTAACTGAGAATGAAATGTATATTCACCAGTTGTTCTGATATAGAAATGACATGTTAAAAGCGAAGCATTTTCTTGTGCTTGTGCACGTTCGATGCGTGGTCGTGACAAACTGGCCAGTAATGGCGTTTGATCAGACGTTGAAGATGCTTGTAAATGAACGCCTCGGCGTCGTCGTCCAAAATACCAGCAAATTATAAATCCGACAATGATCACAAGTAAAACAACGAATATAACAAGAAGAGCAATCAGCAAAGCATCATGGTCATCCATGACGTGCGATACTTAGGTGTTATGATGATAAATGTAAAAAAAAAGAAGATAAGAGAAAGCATCAACATAAGATTTCTTTTTTTTTCCTTTCTCTATTGTTTAATTTCATTTATCTTTACCTTTCTCTCTGTTATTGTTTTATAGAGGACACGCGAAACCAAACGAAACGGTTCTAATTCATGGGGCAAGTGGCGGAGTAAGTTCAGTTGAGAGAAATTTAGATTGGATATATGTGCATGAGAATCTTTTTCGTCAGGTTGGCATTGCTGCTGTACAACTAGCCAGATCATTAGGTATGCGTGTCATTGGTACGGCATCAAGCGAACAAGGTTTACAAGCGATACGCGACCAAGGTGCGGATCTTGCGTTTAACCATAAACAAGAAGGATATTTAAAAGAAATTGCTGTATGTTTTCTTACTGAATAACACGAAAAATCATGTATTTTGATTTAGAATGCCTGTATGGATAATGAAGGCGTTGACTTAATACTGGAAATGTTAGCAAATGTGAATTTGAATGCCGATTTACAATTGCTGAAATCATGCATTGGACGAGCGGTGGTTATCGGCAATCGAGGAACAGTCGATATCAATCCTCGACTTCTGATGGCGAAAGAAACAAGTATTTGTGGTGTGACTTTATTCAGTTCTAGTGAGGTAAGAAGATGACTTCGAAGAAACGAGGGAAAAATCATGTTGTACTCTTAGGAGGAGTTTCAAATGATCAATGCTTATCTCCAACAAGGTCTGAAGTTCGGTCATTTAAGACCTTTATTGGGTAAAATCTATCCATTAGAACAAGCAGCACAAGCCCAAACTGATGTGATATCTAATCATGGAACGTATGGTCGACTCACATTAAAAATTTAATCGTTTGCAGACTTTAAGATCATCCTTTTTTAAAAAAAACATTCCTAGTGTGTTTTCAGTGCCTATTGCTCATTCGAATTTCGATACTTGACTTTTACTTGATGAAAGATATGATCTCATCATTGAAATAAAAGCGAAATTCAAAAAAGTTACGCTCCTGGGTGGGCTCGAACCACCAGCCTTCCGGTTAACAGCCGAACGCGCTAACCAATTGCGCCACAAGAGCCATGCTTTTCACGCCTTTTCGAAGGACGAAATATCGGGTCCTACCTAAATACACTTCGAAATCAGAAAATACAAAAGTCTTATACAACTAGACTGTTTCTAATGTACTGGTGTCGACCAATTCGTACTATGCGTACAAATTCTAACGTCAACACTAAGAATTATTTTAATGATCATATCAAAATAATATTGTTAATTATTTCTTGCACGAAAATCAACACTTTGAATTTGAATTATCGTATGACTTTCCCTCATTATATAATTATATTCCCACTTTTCTGATAAACACATCTTAAATACTTGTATACAATCATCGGTTCTATTACACTATTTAATCTGTACTGCTGCTTATAAGTCATTTAGCGTCTCAAATGGATACAGTCACCATTCAATCATCAATAATTATCAACTTTACAAATACAAGCTGCTCAACACCGCTCCTCTGGTCGCAAAAGGACATCGACAGTCGCAAATCACGATTGATCGTGTGCATACTCGCAGTGTTCACTCATGCAATCTTTTGGCTTCAGCCCATCTTCTGTTCAACTGTTCGACAAAAATCAATGCAATGGATCTACGCTTATCTCATCACCGACATTTTCCTCATATTCCGATTCTTCTTCACTTACATTGTTCGTACAACGACTACGGATTGTGAGCCAGATCCAGCGTGGATAACGTTCATCTGTTACTTCGATGCAACATTCGACAACTACTTCAACGTTCTTGAGGTATATATGTTGTTGGCACTGAATATCTGCCGGTACATTCAAATAGCATATAACAAGAATGTTTATGAACATTACAAAACTCATCTGATTTGTGCACACCTTGGTATTTACTTCGGTACAGCAATCTCTTTAATCATACAATTCGTATTAGAATGGGCTCAATTGCTCATCATTTTCCGTAGTTCATGTCAAGTCACTTATACCAACATCTATATTCAAGTGTTCAATATCATCACTGCATTTGTTTTGCCTATCTTGCTGAACGTTGTTGTCATCTATATGAGCGTTCGACATGTCCGTTTGACATCGACTTTGCAACGAGCAACACATGTATCCGCTCGAGAAAAGTACAATCGAACATTGGTCATCCAGTTTCTGATCTTTTATCTCATCTGGGTATCATTGTGGTCACCGAACGTGATTCTGTATCAAGTCTCAGTTGGTCAAGGTTTGAGTAATACTTTTCGTCTACTGAATTTCATTGAGATAGCTTTGGATCCGATCATTCTTGCAGCACTCGATGTTCGTTTCTGGCAAGCGTGGCAGCGATGCTGGAAATACATGAAAGCCAGAGTATGGCAACATGGTCCAGGTCTCGCACAAATTCAACCAACAACTAGAATCAACACATTGTCCGCTAAAACTCCACAGCTACGAACGACTGCTTGTTAAAAGATAAACATACCTATTTTGGACTTATTGCTTCATTTTGTAGTGTTACCGTTTAGTTATGACACCGAATAAACTATCTTGAACTTTTTATGCTTCATCAGTTCATCATTACCATTCTTGGCAAGGTAGATAGATTGATAGAATGGATATCAGATTATGAAATCTCTTGCTGGATATATTTTCGATAGAAAATGTTTTCCAGCAAAGTCTTTTTATATGAAGAAAAACGGCGAATATTCACACAGGCATCAATTTCATCAAGTGACATTAGTACAAATGTCCTTCTATCATGGCATATGATAGTCGGATCCTCACTAGAGAAATAATAAACATTACTGATGCTAGCAATCATTCAGATTTCTTGTATAATATTTTCAATCCTACTTTACGTACAGTCAATCAAGTGCACATCCAGTAAATGTCAATGTACCCATTGCTCATTCGTTTGCAATTTAAAACTATGATTTCTACCAGGTAACTATCTTATTGAATGAATGTTTAAATCTGTTGTATTAATGTCGTGAAGAAGTATTTCTCCTGCACATCATTAAATAAACTTCAAGTTACAATTGACGTCCTGTGATTTTCAGTAGAGAGCATCGCAGAAAGGTATGTTAAATTATCCTATATTTCTGCTTATTATCTATTAATAATACCTAGTCACACATATTGAGCGTCTCCTATACATGTTTACAATTATCTTGTCAGGTAAAGATGTACTTTAAATACGCATACATACCCGTTATATTCATCTGATTCTCTTCTCGGTTACATATGGACCAGTTTTCTACACAATCGTTATCATTCAACAGCACGAACTTCACTTGTACAACACCTCTACTCTGGACTAAAGAAGCGACTGAAGATCGAAGAGCGCGGCTTATTGCTTGTAGCGTAGCAGTGTTCACACATACGGCATTTTGGCTACAGCTTCTGTTTTGTCCATCTGTTCGGCAGAAGTCTATGCAATGGATCTATGCTTACCTTGTCACCGATATTCTTCTCCTAATGCGTTTTTTCTTCATTTATATTGTTCGCATAACAGCCACCGAATGTGAACCGACTAAATTATGGTTTTACTTCGTTTGCTATGTCGAAGCAACCGTGGATAACTATCTCAATGTCCTGGAGGTCTATATGCTTCTGGCGTTGAACATTTGCCGTTATATTCAAATAGCATACAACAAAAATGTCTACCAACTTCACAAGAAACTTTTACTTGTCACTCACATTACTATGTATGTATCTACAGCGTTCTCATTCATCATACAGTTTTCAGTGAAATGGGCACGGTTAGATATCAAATTTCAAGATTCATGTCAAGTCACTTATACCAACATCTACATTCAAGTGTTCAATATCATCACTGCATTTGCTTTACCCATTCTGCTGAACGTTGTTGTCATCTATATGAGCGCACGGCATGTTCGATTGACATCAACGTTACAACGAGCGACACATGTGTCTGCTCGGGAAAAATACAATCGATCACTGGTTATCCAATTCCTTATTTTTTACATTATTTGGGTCGCACTATGGTCGCCCAATGTTATTCTATTTCAGATAGCTGGTGGCGGAACTTTAACTGCGACCTTTCGCTTGCTGAATTTTATCGAAATTGCTCTGGATCCATTGATCATAGCTGCACTTGATGTACGTTTTTGGCAAGCATGGCAAAAATTCGGGCAATATGTTCGAGTAGAAATAGTAAAACGTGGTTCAACTGCTGGACGGATTGGGCCGACAACAACGAGAGTAAATGTGGTTTCATTTAAAACAGTACAACAACAAACAACGAATATTTAAAAAAAACAATTACAGTTATCGAACTCTGTTAATGAATAGATTTTCTACTGCTTTTGAAACGCGTAGTATCGTACATAATTCGTAGTTTTTCATTACAAGAAATAAAGACAAATTCAGACCGTGCACATTGTAGACGATTGAAACAATGACCGTATCGGTTCTTTCGAGTAAACGTTTGAAGTTGATCTGAAAAATAATTCTGATCCATTTTCGCATGGACAAACAGCAGCTTTGTATATGATTTCGATGTGCTTATGTTAGATATTTATCGAAAGATCAAGAATTGATTGAAAACATTGATTTCTCATCAAGGTCGTTGGTTCACCGTTTATGTTTTCATCAGACATGAAAAACAACCTTAAAGTGGAATCGAGTTTTGTTTTTTTTGACGTCATTGCCGTATTTACTCTAAGTGTGAGATTTCTTTTGTAATATCAAAAAATTTCTCTTGATCAAACCAATCTCCCGTACGGCCCATGTTGATAATATGATTTTGTCATGTAATGAAAAAAGTCATCTTTACGATAATGGTCAATTATACATTGATTATGTTTAACAGACGCTAATGAATTTGAAAACATGTAAATTTACATCCGTCCAATTTTCTGGAATAGTTTCTTGTATGCTCAAGCTCAACTCTCTTAAGATGATCAATTATATTCGTATGTCTAAATGCAAAATTTCATAATCTGACGAACTAGATGATCTATTATATACCTGGTGACGTGAATGAGCTTGCAAATTGGTTCAATTATATATGTGATATGCTGCGATGATTTGCGTTAAAAACTATTAATAACAAATAAATACTCTAAACAACACTCGCACCTATTTTTATCTATTTACATGCCTACCCATACTTATCGTATGACGTTCAATGATCATTTGATTATCATTTCACTTTCGTAGAAAAACCATGTTGTTGGTACTTATACTCAGCCTCACTTCCTATTTAAATACTCGTATATAACGAAGACGCCGACTATTCTACAGTAATGAATCTATCTATAACATCAACATCTACGTCTAACACGACGAATGATACTTGTCCAACGCCTCTTCTTTGGCCACCAAAGGAAGTCGACAGTCGCAAATCACGATTGATCGTGTGCATAATCGCAGTGTTCGTGCATACAATCTTTTGGCTTCAGCCCATCTTCTGTTCATCTATTCGACAAAAATCAATGCAATGGATCTATGTTTATCTCGTCACCGACATTTTTCTCATATTCCGATTCTTCTTCACTTACATTGTTCGTACAACGACTACGGATTGTGAGCCAGATCCAGCGTGGATAACGTTCGTTTGTTACTTCGATGCAACATTCGACAACTACTTCAACGTTCTTGAGGTATACATACTGTTGGCATTGAATATCTGCCGGTACATTCAAATAGCGTACAATGTAAACGTTTATCAAGTGTACAAGAAATTGTTAGTTATTGCTCACGTATCTATTTACGCTTTGACGGCAATTTCTACAATCATACAGCTCGTTTTTGGATGGGCTCAACTGCTCATCATTTTCCGTAGTTCATGTCAAGTCACTTATACCAACATCTACATTCAAGTGTTCAATATCATCACTGCATTCGCTTTGCCTATCTTGTTGAACGTTGTTGTCATCTATATGAGCGTTCGACATGTTCGTTTGACATCGACTTTGCAACGAGCAACACATGTATCCGCTCGAGAAAAGTACAATCGAACATTGGTCATCCAATTTCTGATCTTTTATCTCATCTGGGTATCATTGTGGTCACCGAACGTGATTCTCTACCAAATCTCAGGCGGAACAAATCTAGTTGGCATCTTTCGTCTACTGAATTCCATTGAGATAGCTTTGGATCCGATCATTCTTGCAGCACTCGATGTTCGTTTCTGTCAAGCATGGCGTAGGATGTTTAATCGGATAAAATCTGAAGTGTTGAAACATAGTGTCAATCAAGGACGAATCGGACCAACAACAACTAGACCAAACATGTTTTCAATCAAAACTGCTCAACTACGAACAACTGTTATGTAAAAAGGATACAACTAAACCTATGTCCTTCGCTTAGCACGAACTGTACACATTGAACACGCTGCATAACCATTGTTTTCTAATGCCGATAGTGTAAACGGACAAAAACCGGTACTCTACTTTTACTTATTTAATCACACGTATGAACAGTGAACGTGATTGTGGCCTTCAGTTTTGACGCGAACAGTTCTCAACAAAAAAGAACTTGAAAAAAGTTACGCTCCTGGGTGGGCTCGAACCACCAGCCTTCCGGTTAACAGCCGAACGCGCTAACCAATTGCGCCACAAGAGCTGTCTGATTACCATTTCTTTTCCATAGTTACCCGTTTCTTTCAAAACTTCGTTTCCCACACTTTTAATTCATCAACAAAGTGCTCGTTCTAAAAATAACATCTATAACCATATTATCTCCATTCAAATTTGACACAAAGTTAAAATAGCATAGTCAATGGAAGCTCTAACTTGATTTGATGTCAATCAAAAAAAATTTTTTTTGTGTTATAGTCTATCGAGAATAGAAGTTTGTGTTCTCTATCAAAATAGGAAAGTTAACTATCTTTCATCAGTAAAGGAAGGCGTCCAGGTAAGGAACATGATCTATTATCTGCTTATCAATCAGAAAGAAGTATCTTATTAAAAAGAACTGCAACAGAGCAAATCCGAGTGAGCATTCTTTTCAGTGATTAGGACTATTGAGTCAAATTCGCCATTTCTCTCCAAATCATCAGATTCATTCGTTGCGATAGGCGAACACGGCTTGATCCGATGAAAACTGATGTAACGAAATATTTTCTGTCACTAATCATTAGCTGTCGATTCAAAAAGGATATGTATGTCATTATGAATTCCCTGTGACATTTATGAAAAGTTGTTTAAAGACCTTTTTCTATTCTAACGTTCTTCTTTTTCATATAGCAAGTACATGACAGTTGGTAAATGTTTCATCGACATACGCTCTCTGTTTACTACTACCTGTAAATGTATAAAATTCTTTGAGAATTCGAGACTAAATTACATGTAAATACGCCTTCTCGTATTACACTGCCTTAGTCGATGTTATTTTTGACTGAGTCGGTGTTTGTGAGCTAATTTCCAAAAAAAAATATGAGTCAGGTACACTAATTATCTTTTGTGATGTAGATTTCATTCGCTGGAATTAATGACATCACACTCTTTTTCTGTATCTTTGTTTACAGCGGATGTTTGAGACTGTTCAACATGATTTTGATAGACGGCTGTTTCTGCTTTTGACACTTCTTCTTTCTGCAAAGAGAGGCGTGATCGTCAATGCTAATCTGATTCATATTTGACACGCATCACCTGTTAGAAACCAATAGTTCATTTCTTTCTTCTCACACAATGATTAGATCTTTTAACACAGTATCAAGAAAAAGATTTCTGTCATCCTTATAACATGTCGTTCGATTGAAATTATAGGAATCTATTCTAGTTAATGATGTTTCAAGTATATTGTACTTCACATACAATAGATGAATCTCTAGTCACGATCCCTGTTATTTAAATGAGAAAGATTCTCCTAATATATCTTATATGAGATAAGAATCATTACGAGACAAAAGGAAAAGAAGAAAAAGGGCGAAGATCTTGTTTGTCAGAGACAGAAATCTAGCAGACTAGCTTTCTTTTCATGATTCATTTGCAAATTATCAACTAGCTGTTAGAAGAATTCATTTTCTTTTTTCTCGTCGTGGCATAGCCATGACAATTAGATAATATACTCGTCTCATTACTCATTAGTCACCATCTATATATAAGTCAAGATTTTTCTTTTTCATTTGGAGCACATAATTGAAGAGTTACCTTCGCCTATCAAACCGTTAGTAAGGAAAAACAGGTATGTATACAGATTTGCTAAATTAATGATATTCTCCGTCGAATATTCGAATTTAATTATTAATACTGCAGATTATCCTTGCATGTTACCGGGCGAGTTTAGCGCGGAAATGGGTGTAACTTTTATCGTTCGTTTCAAAGACAGTAGACAGTTGATCGAGTGAATCAACATATAGACCGACATGCATTTACGTAATTAGTAAGAATTCTTCATTTTCTTCCTTAAGCTTTCTTCGCGGCCTGACTTTCCTAGTCACATAATCTAAACAGAAAACTTCCATGCAACTGATAATGAAATTTCTGCTAAGCTTGTTTTCTCGATTACGGTTGCTATATAAGAGAAATATTATATATCCCTGAGGTTATGGCGGAAACATAGAATGTGCCTACGATCAAGTTCATCATCAAAAACAGTCCATGAGAACGTACTCTTTCGAAAATAGCAAATCTGTTGCAATTATTCAATAACATTACCTGATAAGCCCGAGCTTCTTCTGTGATGTTTAGAATACTAATGAATTGATTTTTGAGTAACTGTTACTGTTTATAACCAACTTCCATTGTTCTATATAGATCGAAATGGCAACGTCGATAGGTAATAACACGACATTGTTGTATCCACCGGATTATATGGTTCGTCGGGAAATCAATCAATACGTTGCGAAGATTAATTTTATCCTCGCATTTGCTCAATCATTCGTATCGATGGGCGGTCTTTTCGGCAATGTCTTAGTATTAATCGTGATTAATCGGAAATCTTTGAGAAATACGTCATCAGCTGTTTATATCACTTATATGGCGATATTTGATAGTGCAATCCTACTTCTGCATGCTGCTAATCTAGGACGACCACGCCGAAACCTGTTCATTCATTGTTCATTGACCTATCTGACAGATCTATTTACATTCTGTGCCAACTGGGTCTTAGTCATTATAACACTAGGTAAGAAAATAGCTTAAATCGATGAAAAATTCGCGATTGTTTTTCTCCTTCTTAGAACGTTGTGTCGCCGTTGCATCACCATTTCTCGCCAAACGATTTTGTACTGCACATTCAGCACGTTACTCTGTATATATCCTCGTATCTGTCGCTCTTCTTTTCTTTTCCACTACGTTTCCAATTGTTTACCATACCAATGAAAATTCTCATCACAAAAAATGTGTCATTCGTCCGCAGTATGGTCTTATACAGCGTGTTTATCAACCGATTATTTTCTACGGCATACCTGATCTATTGCTATTATCGAATCTTTTCACTGTTTATTGTCTATTTCAACGACGAAAACAACAGAAACGTCTGTCCGGTGACGAAAGCTCGGAATTACGTGTAACGGACGTGCATTCAAATCGTAAACAACGACAACTAACAATTATGCTCGTGACAGTCAACTTTGCGTTTTATTTATTCACAACACCTGCTTCGATCGTCTACATAGCTGAATCTTCACCACCAAAACATCGCGAGATCAGTAAACTCAAACTTTCTATTCTTTTCTCGCAAACATCTGTTCTTATTCTACAATTACATAACGCTGTAAGTTAGAAGAGGAAGACATATATCGTAATCTGTAATTTCCTTTGCTTTTAGACAAATTTCATATTTTATTGTTTCACCGGTCAACGATTTCGCCAAGCAACAATCGAAACCTTCTATGAGTATTCAATCCAATTGAAAATTTTCTATCATCGATATGTTCTCTGTAATAAATACTATCGAATCTCGTCAAGTCAAATCCAGAAACCATTTCTAACCCCACCATCGCACTCGAAACAAACCAGCGTTTAAGTACATAGTTCACATTAGTCGTTGTCGTTAGTCTTTGTTTGTTCAATGGTTATAATTACGATGTTATCATTTCTTAATAAAGTCGTGTTGTACGGTTTTTGACATATGATATGTTGTATCAAGTGGCGTGAAAGGATTAAGATTTGTCTATGGTCATCAAGCGATACGAGACTAGACATTCTGTTCATCTCGTCAACTTGAAATCGATGTGTAAGATTGACTCTGGCAACTCTCTCTATCTCTCTCTCCCTTCGCGATATTAAGATGAACTTCATCTGCAGACTGAAAACTCGTCAGGAATTATTTAGACGTTTTACATATGCCAAATGACATAAATCACCCGTAAATAGGCAAATCATGGCTGCTATTGAGTAACAATAGCCATAAGTAATTCGATTAGCACATTATTATTTCTTTCCCAGAAGACGATCGTGCCAATATCACTTTCATTTCGAACAATAACGACTGCTGTTGTCATTGATTATTGAAGTATCAATCAATTGAATTTTACAGACGATCATCGTTCTGTCAATCTTCATGGACAGATCAAACTTTAATGAGAAACTTTGCTCATTTCTTTCTTTGAAGAAGAAAACGAAGAGAGAGAGAGAGAGAGAGAGAGAGAGAAAAGAGACGAATGTTTTGTTTATAGAGTTGCATCTGTCAAATGACGTTAAGATCACACCTTGATTAAATGCATATGTCTCCCTTCTTTACTTTGATACAGTCGATATACGACGAAAAAACGCTTAAACCGATCAATCATGATTGATTTCTCTTCTCTGAATATCACTGATACTTGTCTACCAATGACTTAAATCGAAACGGTGAAGCCAAGTATGTACGCAGGTATGCATACGTACAATTGAAATAACATACGAGACCATCAATGTTATTATTGACACTTCACTTTTTTCCCCTACGCCTGACAGACATCATTAGGTAGAACATTATGTAGGCATAGATCGACCTTCTCACTATTACAATTACTATCACCAAGGCTAATTGCATATCTATACTATTTACTCAGTCTTTACTTGATGATGTACTTCTCCGAATCTTATTTTCTTTCTGCTAGTAAATGATAGGAAAATAGTTTCTCTGTAACTGAAGATCATTTATTAGCCGTTTAAGCAATTGAATAGCTTAATCGCGTTCAGTGTTTTAGATGTAAATGTCTAACGTGTGTATCGGGTGAAGGGATGTTCATTCAAGTGTCTAGCAACAGACCATGTAAATACGAAAAAAATTAGGTCATCGAGTAGTAATAATCTTACAATTAGTTTTCTTTGGATGCGTGTATTTGTTTGCTTCTATTTGTAATATCGATTACGTATGTAATATCGAGTGAGAGCATATTGTTTCATACATATATCTATTAAGATAATGATAGATCAATCGTAATGAATCTAACGACGTAGTAAACGTCTGTTTGCCTCTTAGCAATGGAAGACAAGAGGCATAAAATGTACGTCTTCTTGAGCATATATCTTCGAGTCGTGTTCTCATTTCCCCTTTTGCTGACCGTTAGGTATGAAAATTACGTGATGTCCATTTGAGATTTGTTCTTTCTTTGTTCTTCTCATTCGATTATACAAAGCTCAGAAGAAAGAGAAAACAACGCTCAGCACATCATGAGAGAAGTCCGCATCAAAGGTTAGTCAAGTTTTTTTTCTCTATACTGGACAAGCATAAATCGTTCATTCTCGTTAATCATTATCTACCACTTAGATGCGAAAGAGAGAACTCGTCTTATCAGTTTTCATCCCTACAGAAATAATCGACCGTTGATTATACAAGAATGTATCGCGTTTAGTACGCTGAACTATTTATTTGTATAAAATGACGATTTGTATTTTGTCGTCGTTTTCTTTCTTTCGTTATTAACAGCTGGTGAATGATGACAACAGACAAACATTGATGAGAAACGAAGACATTCTCCATCGATATAGGTGATGATCTAACTACGAAATTGTGTTGACCAACAGTCTTCTCATTCCTATGGTAAACACAAATACATAAGAATCCGTCATCGAATCATATTGTCAGGTAATTGAACTGCTCTAGCGATGAAACCTACTAATGAAAAAGAAAGACGACGCGTCGGTGAATATCGTTCTTTTCTGTACGTAGTAACCATTTATTTCTCATGATACATATTGAACATGATGAATTTAATATGTAAGCATATGTTCGAACATTCTTTCGTTCGTACTTACATCACTATCTATCCCTACCTTATTGCAATCAATCGTATTTGTTGATCGTCGCCTTTCGGGGACACGCTTCTTTTTTTTCTCTCTCTCTCCCTCATTTTTGTGTTGTATCTTCGTCTTTTCACCTCGACGATACGTGTAGATGGTGAAGAATATGATTGATCTCTAGGTGGATACAGACATACAGGTAGAGTCCGATGGTCATTCTCGATAGTACATCAAATTCGGAATACGTCGTCTTCGCTGTATATTTTCTTGATATTCGTTCAAAACTCCATCGGTGTCTCTTCTCTGTCAACATGAATTTACATACGTTAACAGAATAATTCAATTGCGCCTATTCACTTTTTTACGGCTCACAAGGACATTTACTCTTTTTTTTTCAAAAAAAAGCGCTGCGAAGACAAGTGAAAGTACTTGAAAAACTTTTTCTTTCTGAACAACATATCTCTAATCCTTTTCTAAATTCTATCGAAATTCTCTGTCATCGATATTAATTTATTCAAATGTCCAAGGTTTTTTTCATTTAGAAAAAAAAATGTCAATGTTTATTTCTTACTCTGCTTTTCTTTCAATTTATCTCTCTAGACGGCGAGACAAATCTCTTCTCTTCATTGTTATGTTTACCATTAACGAAATGACTCGCGTAAGTTGTATATCTTCGTGAATAGTCCCATTTCTATTGAACTGGAAAAGGTTAACCGGAGAATGACTTCAAGCAGGAATAGAGAGCGTTCATTAGCACTCGACTTTCGCTTTTTCTTTCGTATATTGTTGATGATAATTTTGACGACTGATGACCTTTCTGATGTCCAAATATTAATTGACAAATTTTGACGTTGTTGCCTGGGACATATCTCTCGAAAGTACATTAACACTTCTTCGCGACTGTCTCTTCGTAGGACTATATATCGATCAACACCGATTGGCACGTTTATTTTGATTGGCCTTGAGTGAAGGTTGCCGCCTGTCGTGCGCGCTTCTTTTTTACCATGTATGTTCTCAGCATGTTTCATTTTCTCTTCGAGTCAAACTAAGGAATTCTTACATCATATGATAATCGTTCAGTAATATACAGCTCGACCGCTCTCTCTCTCTCTCTGTTGATCTTCCCGGATAATTACATGCGTTTATATCCATGTACAGATGCTGACAAACAGCAATGATAGTGATCATTATGACACCGTCAACAATTTAAAGACCATAACAATTCATGTTAGTTTGCTGTTTTCTATTTTCTTTTTCAGATGATGGTATCTCAATGTTATTGAATGATTCGTGGAAAACACTGTCATTTCTTCTTTTTCTTACTTACAATTCAGACAATAATAAGTGAAACTAGCAACATTAGGAGTAGGAATATTTGCCGTTTCCAATGATTTACTCAAATAATTTCTCCATTCCTACTCGATTATCGCAACAGCAGCAGCAGCAGCAGCAGCAAGATCCATTGCTTCTTAGTGACAAAGAAGCGAGGATATTCGATTCAAATGATAAACTTCTCCTACCAAGTTCGACACGTTCAGTTAAAAGACGCATCAGTTTGTTAGAGAAGAGCCGAGATTGGGTAAAGAATACAAACATGCATTTTTTATTTTGATTTTCTTCCTTTTTTTTCAGGCTAGACGCTTGATAGCTCTTCATAAGCCCCGTCGAAATACGCTTTCTAACGAACAACACCGGATGCCATGCGCTGAAGCAATTAGGAAATCGCCTGAAATTAAGCAATATCCTTCTTCTTCTTCTTCTTCGAAGTCGTTACATAACTCTCAGAAGAATTTTGATGAAGATGGTTATCTATCTCCATTAGAGATCAAAGCTAAAGTAAGTAATACTTTCGATTCTGTTCGTCTCTCTATCTCGACCTGTAGATTGATTTAATTACACGACAAAATCCTAATCATCAGTCGTGTTCGAAACTGCCACATAGTTCGGAACCATTATCAACGAATTCGCTGAGAAAGTCACAGGTTATTTATCGTTATCATGATCCAAATATTTCAGCTGCAACATTACCGAATGCCAATCAAGGAGATAAACGTCTTCCTTCCACTTCATTCGTATCGGAATTTCAAAAGTCTCTTTCGATTGTTGATTACATTGACGATGATGTTGCTGATGAGTCGTCGAAGCAAGACGATGATCCACTAGATAGCGTGAAGTACTTGTTTGATTATGACGAACAACAGCAAGAGCAAGGACATTTCACTCGTCGTCTACCACGTCGCACAACAAATGTCTCATCGATCTCAACGGATTCGGGTTACAGCGATATACCAGTTTCAACCCCAAAACTTGTTCCTATACGTTTAATTTCATGTACATTGATACCGGTGAATCTCTCGACCATCCACGACACGATAAATACACGTTGTTTGACTTGTACATGTCGTCCATCATCATCCTTGTCGACGACATGTTTATCGAATCAATCCGAACGCAAGTTTTCTTCTTCGACATCACGTTCGTACTTATCTCGTCAAACATTAGCTGAGAATGGGATTACTAATCAGTGTACATGTAATCAAAAGTATCATTCGACTATGACTATTTATCCATCACTGCCGCCGCCGCCACCACCACCGCTTCCAAAGAAATCACTCATGAAAATCAACGACTACAAAGATGAGTACTATTGCAGACAACAAGGTTTTCGAGAGAATCGACGAACGAGTATGAAAAGGTTGGTGACAATTCGTTTTGTTCGATTTGAAAGGAGAAGGACAATTTCACCCTCAAGTATTCCCAAGGAGAAGAACTGTCTCGTTTCTTTCTAGACTTCCCGCAACACCAACAGATGATTTAGCAGCGATCTCTCGTTGGTATAAGCCATACTTAGAAAGGTAATTCACATCGCACGAACATTTGACTTGTAAATACAATCATCTTTCAGGGAAGCCGTATGTGAAGCTCTTCAACAAGCTGATTATGGTACATTCATACTACGCAATAGTACAACCCATGTCGATTGTTATGCATTGTCGATAAAAGTTCCGAAATTTACACACGAATCAAATATTGTTCATTATTTAATCGAAAGGACGGTTACAGATCAAACTCCTAGCTATCGAATTAAAGGAACGATTAAACAATTTCCAACACTTCTTTCGCTGATCACTCATCATTCAGTCATGCCAGAGATTCTTCCAATTACACTCAATCTCAATGAATCATTCACGATTTGATTCAACTAAGTCATAGTCCATGCGTGTAGAAACAGTGAATTTGCCGTTTACTTTTTCTGTGTATTATTGCTGTGTTTATTTAAAAACCTTTTCGTTTCTTTTTTTTTTGTCTATTTAAACAAATGGTTCAAGTAAGGGAGCAATTGTTGGATTGAATAAACAGCCGAGAACGAATTCTTCTTGAGTAATACGGCCGTCTTTGACATTTCGATCCAATCGATCGAAGATTTCTTTAGCTAGACCTTGGATATTTTTCGATTCCAAGCCACGTAGTTCATGCATCTTTCCGATCGCGTAGACCAATTCGGAATATTCCATGATGTTATTCTGATTCGTGTCGTATAGTTGAAAAGCAAAATTCAGTTTACGCTGGTAGTCTTTGCAAGATGAGAATATATAAGCAATAAGAAATTCTCCGAATGACAAATAACCGGATTTGTCGAAGTCGAATGTGTTGAATACGCAATCAGCAACGAAATCTAGCTGGCGTGGTTCGCCCTGATGTAACAATTTGTAGAACCGATGAAAACTCTCGCGATCAAGTTTACCATTCGGACAATCGTGCATGAACTGACCATACCAACGCATGATTTCTTCAGATGTTAAATCAAGTGCATTGGATAGATACTCAACTTCATCCGGAGTTAAATCTGTTTTCGATACCCGTTGACCCATGGTGTGAGAAGCAATGTATACATACGTATGTCTCTCGCTGATTACCTATTTAAATCAATCTATCGATACGCATCAACGAACGCTGACGTCAGTTCAAGTGCATTTCTTTCTATACGGTCTTGAAAAAGAAATATTACGATGTAATTCGAAAAGATATCATTGATTATCAAGCAGAGATACCCTTGCCTTTCTTTTCCTTTTCGTAGGGTGAGGTTAGAAGTTTGAGCATGCGGCACCATATGTATACACGATGCTATCAAAAGAGTGATAAGATACACGACGACACGCTGTGCTATCAAAATATCGGATGAATACAAAGATTAGCTGGAATTGGATAATAAATTGTCTCTTTAATGCTGCGAAAGAGCTGTCTTAGTTTATTGCTCAGGAACATACAGAGATTATGAGTGGCAATGTTCTTGAATTCAAGCAATTGTTGTTAATGGATACTGTGATTGAGTAGAATATGAACTCTCTTGACTTTGTTCAATTGAAACGGCATCCTCACGACCAAGTGAATCAAATTCGGAATCACGCCGTAAACCAGCAGTTTGAAGAAATCGCGGATTGGTATTTCGCATACGTTTTAATGATGTCCATTTCTCCAAAACACGCTGTCGTTGACGAATACCAATAATAATCATGATCACAACAGTGATTACCAGACATGACAATGGTAACGCATAGGATAAAATACTCGTCAAATCAATCTCCCTGGCCGATTGTGTTGTAACTGTACTATATGCATCTGTTACTGTTGCTGTGCTTGTTACATTAACAAAGATACGTGTCGTCGACATTATTTTGCATTATAAACTCTCTGTTTACTGAAAGAAGAGTGTTTCATCAGGTGACATTCAAGAGGTTACCTTCCAGGTAAATGCTTATCAGTTAGTTGATAGAAACATGTGACAGACAATGTTATACTGATGTCGCATTGTTAATGCTTTTCTAATCAATCGTAGTGTGCGCTATTCACAGGTACAAGAAACTATTTATTAACTTATATTTCATCTGACAAGAAGAGTGGATCTCATTCTGACATGAGAGTATTAAATTGAACTATTTTCCTTTTGTTGTTTGAGACGTTTAAGTGCATTTTGTGCGTTGGTTAACTCATCGCATAATTCATAATAGCGTTTGATCAATTGTTGATAATGTACACCTTCCTGACCGATGGCCATTTCGATTTTCTTGAAAGTTTTGATTTGTTCATCGTAATAATGCTGTTTTTCTTCATAATCCAATCTAAATACAACATGTTCGTAGGTTTATCACTCGTTGAAATGACCTTTTCGTACTTTTTCTTCTGTAAGACTTCGATATTTTCCATGGTATAGATGTCTCGAATGAATTCACATCGTCGTAATCTAGAAGATCTTAAACAGAACGACGTTTTTACTTGGCAAGTGATTACTGAATTTGTTTGAGTAGCAATTGGTATTGTTCTCGAAGTGTATCGATTTGATTGGTATTCAGATCATTCGCTTTGATGATTTTCAGTTGTTCGATACAAACATTTTGGATTTGATGGTTCAATTTCGAGTAAAGTTCGTTAATTGCATTGATTTGTTTTGTGAATTGAGCGTTTTTCAAGGCGATCTCTTTCCGATTTGAGATCGTTCGTTTGATTATGTGAGAAATTGTACTGGGTAATTGAGATTTGGCATTGACGCCTGTCGGACTCAAGATGAGAGAGAGATTTACTACGGAAATCATCAAAACATACCTGTACAAAGCACGAGCTGACCAAGTATTTCATTTAAGTATTCGTTTATTTGACGCTGAACTGCAACAGGTAAGATCTAATGGTGAAAAACTGGTGTCCAAAACTGAAAGACCAACGAATTGTTTGTATTCACCTACTTGTAATGAACTGTGGACTGATGAATGCGACGATGTGATCGTTGACTTGAATGTTTGTATAGCATTCAAATCTACAAGAGAATTATTCAATATATAAGTTATTTAGTTATTTCTCGTACTGATTTACCATTAGTTGTAAAACTGTCGTCTAGTAAGACAATCTGGTCGAGTATATTAACAATTAAGGTTTGCTCGATAGGCATATCTAGAAGAGACAAAGTAACAAAGATTAGTTTTTATCCAGATCCGCTGATGGAATGTCAAAATTAAATGAGAATGTATTGTCTTTTGTTGTTGATTCAGAAGCTGCATGTGTTCGACGAACAAACCGTGAAGCTAAGGGTATTTCGCTATTCTCATTGGCTCGTATTTGATTATGACCTAAATATATGGAAAAGGAAAGGTATGGGAGAGAGAGAAGTGAAAGGATACATACGTTTCTGTCGTGCGACATCTTCGTCGTGCATTTTTTGACGATAATCACCGAATAGTTGTTGCATCATCTGTCGTTTACGAACGAAAGATGTTTTTGGATTTGATAGAACTTGCGAGGCAGATCGAACTGATAGGGAATGGAAAAATGAAAAGTAAGTTTTCGTTCAGTGAAGACAACACTTACGAGGATCTTTGTCTTTGGTCGATGTTGATCGCAACATACATTCCAATTGTCCAACACACCAAGCTAGTTCACGTTCAAATCGCTCGGCCATCTCGGGATCCGTAGCGATGGGTAATGGCTACGCAAACTATCATAAACTCAACTACGATCCTTCTGAAACACTTACCGGTGCTGATGCAGAATCTTTCGTCTTTTTACCTCTCGATGCCATTTGACAATAGAAATTTTCTAATTAGTTTCAGTATTTTTTTCGCTTCTAATATAGTTCTATTCTTTTATAAGTCGTAAGAAACGAAATATATTAACCAATAATGGATTGCAATGACAGATGTCCGTCATTTAGCTGGTTCTATACGATATTACGTAGAAGATGACAAGTACGCAATACCTTGCTTGCTGACGTGGATATGTCGAAGCAAATTGCCCTATTCAGATTAAATCTTAACTTTAAGCGGATCGTTCGGCGTTTGGAACATTCTCGCAAGTCAGTCTCGAACTAATTAAAAGATATCATTCAATTGATACGATTAAGTTCGTATATGAGCTGCTGACGTCTACGGATACTTCAGTTGTAGTCTGATAAGACAAATCCTAGATAAACATAATTAAAAGATTCTTTGATTTACCAAATACTGCATGTTTCTCATGTTTTAAATGCAAAGAATGTATATTATGGTTATTTAAAGCACGACTACCTGATTATTCCTAATCAGACAATCAATTTTCTTCTGAACGACGTGACTGCACGAGTTGATCGACATGCTCGATTTCTACTGACTCACCCCATTTGCTCTACGTTTGACGTTCAGTTTCAGGGAACTCTGCAACTGAATGAAAATCTTTTATTCATAGAGAAAAACAAAACAACGATATCATCTTTATGTACAGGAAACCTTTGTTCTCTTTTGAAGCCGAACATGTTGGAGGCGAAATGACCGGTTTTCGTTGATAGATATCACAAGAGTGATTAACAACCACAACAGAGCCGCTTTAAATCGCGACGAAAACGCTTTCCAACAACAAAATAGAGTATAAAATTAATCGAATGATTCATAATCATGAACAAACGTATGATTGCATGACAGAATTGGGCGTACAGAGGTAAGTTATAACGTGCAACAGTGGAGAAATTTGTTGTTGTTTGCGGCCGAGATTGAAATGTGGTGAAAACAATCAAATTGAACACAACCGACGGCAGCGTTAATGCTAGAAATGAGAATGAGACAAAAAGTAAGAGAATAGTTAAACGTATGTTGCTCGTATTTGTTGTTTGGCCGATGAACGAGTGTTCGCAGAGATGACCTGAGCGATGTTTGATTTCTAACGATGTTTCAGTTGATAGATCGGAAAGTTTCACACTTAGATGGAATGATTGTGGATCTATATGACAAATAGGATTAGTTTTTGGACCAAATTGGCATTCTAACTTACTACTATGACCACGAGAGATTTTCGGGCTCGGTTGTTTAACTGGCATCGACCGAGTACGCTTCAGAGAAGTGCATTTTTCCATCGAAGTTGGACTCAAATCCGATATGTTTCGATGTATGTGTTCATATTCATGTCTAGAAAGCTTCTTATTATTATACGACATCCTTTGTCGAAGACGTTGAGCGTGAATCAGTCGGTGGATAATCAGAGAATTGAGTGTAAGAATAATAACAAATGGTATAAGAGCATAAACAGCAAAATCAACAAAACCCCATACAGATTCGTTCCTTTCATCGGCTATATCACAGCGAATGATCGTTGGTCTAACGTAGTGTACATCCGTGTCGTTATGGCATGTTGAAATGATATGTACGGTTTCCTGAAAGTGTTTAACGAGAATGAAAACATGACCATCCAGGACGAAGAGAAATGTTATTAACATTAGCAGAACGACATGTGTATGGAATACGGTATTGATCTTTGGTGCCAATAATGGATAACGCACAGCTATAAAACGCTCGACAGTGACACTAACAACAAGACCAGCTGATAAATGTGTAGTAAAATGTCCAAACCAATAAACAAGACGACAACATAAATCAGACAGATATTTTATATGAGCATAACGACCAACATGTGATATCCAGTCGGGTATGGCACTACCCAATAGAAATAAACAATCGATAAATGCTAATAATGTTAAATATAGATTGGCTGAATAGCCATTTCGACGAACGTTTCGAAACATAATGTAACACGACAAACTATTTCCAATGATGCCCATTAAGATGAAGATTGGGTAGATATACAACTGGATATACTGAGAAATCATGACTATGTACGAATTATCATGTCGTCGTCCGTTGTCATAAAAAGATAATCTGGTTGTTGTTATTTGACACGATTCATCGAGATCTTCTTGGTCATCGAGTGAAAATTGGCAATAGATATACTGACACACAGATTGACTGCTCGTAGTATGGCGTCGAGGTGCTGTCAGTTTTAAGATTGCATGAACAAGAGTTCTCGTTACATTGGAATAACCATTCTCCATTGATACGCTCGTCTAATTAATCTAGAAGAACAAGAAAGATGTTGAATATACATTATTTTGCTGGATGTTGTTTTTCTTTCTGCTACCTAATCAATCAGAAGAAAAACTTTTCTTTTCTTATCTAAATGACTGGGTGACATGAGTATATGTCAGCAATATTATTTTACGTAGGAAAATCATGAAGAAACGCGATCTTGAAGGTGTTTAAATAGGCTTTTATCGATCTAACTACTCATTATTTTCTGATGTAATGAAAACGCTGACAAGCGACGAACATGTGCTGTTTCTTAATGATAAGCATCAAATTGATGAAGTTATTTCTGGTTGACTGTAAGTAGTTTGTCAGTTATATATTAATCTCAAGTGAAGATTTTCTATCGCATGAAGAGTGAAATAACAAATTTCATCAAGCGGAGTAAAACGATGTGAGTACCCGTATCATCACTCGTGAAACGCACAGAAAGAAAAAAAAGTCCAATAAAAGACCAAGTTTCCTTATTCTAGTCACATTCAATCGAAGATATTTATCGTTTATGAGCTTTTTTAATAACGAAAAACAAACACATCATATTAATTGCAGCTCGATGGAACCGCTCTGACATATGTAGCATGATTTCGCAGACAAGTCAAGATGTTATTCCGATTGTGAGAGAAGTTCACTTCAACTTGAAAATATTAATCGAACTGTCTCTTCTAGTCAAATTAGATTTCCTTTTCCCACTGTCGTCTGTGTGACAGGTCTAATATTACTAACTGAAATTAGTCAACATGATTATTACTGCAATAAAAATGAATTCTCTTGCCAGGTCTCTATTGGATCGCACGAAATAACCCGCGATTGCTGATTTATGTCATTTCGGTACTCTCTAAGGTTATCTATGGGACTTACTTAAGTGTTGTTCGGTAGAAAATGCAGCTGACATGACTCGTAGGTCACAATATCAAAGTGCAAGACGGTTCTGAGATGAAGCAATCAAATCCTTTTTCTTTACTTTTTGATTAATCTATGTTGAACGACAAGAATGTCGAATGTGATGCCTCCTGTTTCCATTAGTGCATGATATAATCTATCCTTTCTCGTTTGCTTTTTCTTGAGCGGAACTTATCCAAATTAGAATCTGGTAATTTTACATCCCTAGACGTAAGCTTTCAGTCTTAACGGAAATCGTAGAATGAGAGAGTACGTAAAATCAAAGAACTGCTTTAAATAGACAAACGCATGTTCAATCTCAGTTTTGAAATTCTTAAGAAAGCTCCGAGCCGAACATCCGCGATTACTGTGCAAGCTGCTTGTTGACTGGAGTTAATAAGACGAAGAATTACAAAGCCGATCTGTTGAATAAAGTCAAAAGACCGTTGGTTAAGTGACTACGAGGTAGTTTTGTCGATTTCTTTCATGCGCGCTCTCCAAATGTAAACAGGAAATGTTTTTTCAAAGTCATTACGATCATCTGGCATTCTCCGCGAATTAACCATCTCAGAATTGGAATAATTTTCACATGGAATCATAGTAAACGTAACACTCTAGCGAAATGCGAAAGGAGGGAGACGTTCGCGTGCGAAACTTACTAGACGATAATAGATCTGGTGATGGGTATGTTATAAAGGATTTATGAATTTAGATGACAGACTGAAGTGCGTTTTTTTTGTCACTTATGCTATCCATTGTATGTAATGAGTCGTCAGCACGAAACGACTATTTTTAGTTATTTAAAATTGGAAATAAGAGAAGCGAATATACTCGATTGCATACTTTCAGTCAGCAGGACTTTCTGTTGCGATGAAATATAGCTAAACAGTCTATTTCAGGCGACCTAGTGTTCTTCTATTAGCGACGGGAATATTCAGTGTAAAACAAGAAAAAAAAATTCATCGTTTCCTCATATTTCTTCTATCCCCGTATGTCACAATCATCCTGTTTATTAGAAATCTATTCAATGGTCCTTTGTCATAGAACAAACTAGTTTCTCTTTAAAAAAACAACAACAAGTACCCAACGACAGAATTTCGTATTGAGTATCTATTTATATCACTGGAATATAAACCAACCTGTCCAAACTTACTTATTTCCATAAATGTGTCAATTGCATGAGTTATTTGAGTCTGGCTTGCAAGAAAAACAAGAGAAACTCAGCGTTAATTAATCAAACACTATTCGGTGCTTTCTTAAGTATGTGTTTATGCTATAAAATAGCTAGGCGTATGATATCGAGTTTCCTACGCTATAATTATTCTCTATGTGATTAGTATTTCTTCAAATGAACCATCATATATAGCAGGAAATTGACGGTGTTGAACTAGTTTGTTTCTATATCAGCAAGGCGGTCGGATGGAACTTTCATCGGGCGAACATGGCGGATGAGACGATCGAGTTTGTTATTCAACGCCGTAATTTCTAACATCGGATGTTGTCTAACATGACTGGAATTCGCCGATGTCTTTTATTTTGAAAACGAGAGTCAAAGATAATGCGTAGGATTGATGAACACGTCATCAGAAAACAGCATTTCCATTATTAAACAAGCACTAAATATAATAGTTATATTGCGTTTTTGTTTTAGGTACTTTCTTCATCGGGGCTCGCCAAGAGGAAAAGACCGAGAGACGCATTAATGTTTTTCTTCGAAGTGAACTTCCCGTCAGCAGTGATGGCGTAGGAAAATGATGAATGATAAGGAGGGGCATTAGATGGAGAATTTAATGATTGACCTTAAGTTCGAGAGATGGAAAAAATTATCACAATGATGATGAGTACAGAAAGAAAACAAGAAGACGAGATGTTCAATGATTACAACTATCGCCTGTGATATGTAGATGATTATGTACAAACATGTGAAATGAAGGTTATTGTTAGAAAGAACGTCCTTGAGGAAAACCGAAAGTAATTTGATCTACAGTGCGAAAAAAACGACGCTGTCAAGTAATATCTCTCCCTACGTTTAATTATACCTGGTTAATATCGGTCGACTCGTCGAGTAGATAGTCTAATCGCAATCAACGTGTGAGACAGTTTGATAGTATCTTTGTCAAAATCATTATCGAAATTCTTTTGTTGTGTGTTTATGAGTTTATTTAACGGTAAACAATACGAAAAGTACGAATATTTCAACGGTAAAATGTAAATTATTCTATACAAAAACAAAGCAAATCATAGTCATGCGACCGTGTCATTGAGTTTCAGTCAACGTTGAATTTACAAACGGACAGATCTATGCGTCGGTAAGACGTTTCTTCACAACTGAATTCTGAATGAAAGTACGAGTTTATGCTTTTCCTATCCTATTAATTACGCTTAATCATTATTTATTATCTCTTGCAAAAGCATTTTATATAAACATACACAAAAAAGTAATAAATTACTCTGATGACGTTACGCTTCACAAAACTAATCGATTTCCTTTTGCTTTTCCTAAACAGCTCAAGGTTATCGTATTTCAAGGCTGAATCACCATCAATTCAAAAGATAAATACATCAAAACAAGCCACTCAACACAATATATACCTATTGTACAAACAAAAAGATTTACACTTTCATGTATCAAGACACTATGCAAAAATCAGTTGGTCTCAATCGTCCTATAACGTCTTCGAATGCGATTATAGCTGGCCACTGTGCGACCATACGAAACACAAAGATCTCTCTCGATGCACAAACTCTTTCGAATATTTTAAATGATGTTGTTCGTGAATTGAAAGCGAGTACATCGTTTTCTGCATCGTATCTCAATTCGTTGAACGCGGTAGTTCTCTCATTGAGATCGACTCTACCGCCTGCATTGTTATCACTCAATTCACATTACTTTTTCGTTCTTGTTCGCGATGCAATACAAGTTCTTCTACAACACTTGTGCACGAAGTATCACCTGAATCAACCTGCAACATACCTACTTCGGAATTGCGTGGTATTGTTGAAATACTTAGTCAAGAATACCAAAGACGTTTCGAAACTTCTCCATTGGATAACTAATTTAACATTCATTGATACCATCGCGAATTGTTTAGACCAAATCGAACGAATAGCAAAACTTAGTAGTCATCGACTTTTTATCAAACAAATCGCACGTTTGCTGAAGATGTTCAATGACATCCAGGCACGTCTACCAATTGAGCAACACAATAGTCTATTCTCTCGTTTGCTGAAACCGGTAATCAAATGTTTGAAATCTCCGCTTTACGTCGAAACTTTCAATGGTTTAAAGCTCAATTCGAAGTTGACTAAACCATTTGAAAAATTACTTCTGGTTAAATGTCCTCAATTTCTTGAAACTTATAACGGTGCGTTGATTCAAAATTAAATCTTCTACAATGCGCAAGATATTTCGGAATTCGTTTTAGGTCCACATATGGGTGAAACGGTTGAAGAAGTTCTGGAACTGATACTACCACGTTATGTGTCAATACTTGATACGCATATAACTAGCATTACTACATGGACAAGTTCAGTTAAGCGCGCTGTGTATCATTTGTTGAAAATTCTGGTTTATGCAGAAGATTATTTCACTTTGTACTTAAATGATCAATTGCTAGAAAAGCTAACCAATCATCTGTTACGAATAGTCTCCGAGCCGACTTTAACCAAAAGTATCACTCAAACAAGTAATAATCTCCAGTCTTTGATCATCCACGCAACATTGGAAGTTTTCGATGTCTTAATCCACGAAGTAAAAGCACTCAATTATCTTAAACGATCTAAAGCAGCTGAGACTTTCGAGAAACTCCTCTCCTCGCCAAAGGCAAGCATCACCTCAAAATCCTATGACATGCTTGCGTATACATTAAATATAAATGATGTTAAAGAAGCACGGGAGTATTTTCCTCGATTCACTTGTAATGTTCTTAATTTATTGTATGAAGCGGTTGAATCGAACCATCCAGCGAATAATGATTCTGATTATGTTCAGAGAAGTGTTCTACAATTTGCAGAAACATTAGCAGGTAACATCATTTTCTTCTCTCTCTCTCCATCAACGTTCTTCTGTTCATCCATGTAGGTCTCGTTCGATATGAACAAGTCAAACAAGAGCTCATCAAACAAAGTGCGGTACCATTTCTTGTTAAATCTTCAGAGAAACTCACTGGGTCCGCAAAACAATTCGTGTTAGACGCAATTTGGACATTATCATTCGATGAAAAGATAGCTCAACAACTTCGAGATGATTCGCAATTCATTGAATCGTTACAAAACATCACGAAACCTACCAACAATTCTTTCGAAAACGGATCAAATGAAACAGCGGAAGATGGAATTTACAAAACGGCCATTGGCCTTCTTTGGACACTTCGCAAAGGTAAGGAAATAGCGTTTACATATTCACTGTGACTATCTCTTCTCACTAGAACCTCAAGTTACACAAGATGCATCCAAGACAGCACCTCCATCGAACAAATTTGATGTCGCTATCTCCTATTCTATCAAAGATAAAGATGTAGTTAACAGATTGGAAGAGACTTTGATCAACGAAGGCTATGCAGTGTGGATCGATCGGGATATTCTGCACAGACAAAGTAAGATCATGCGTGATGAAGTCAGGCGGTAGATGTGATGTGACTGTTGTAGGTATGGAAAGCGTGAGTGAAGCGATGAACAAGTCAACGGTGGTAATTGTTTGTCTATCGGAATGGTATGTGCGTGATAATCAATGTGTATGTGAAAGTGTTTATGCCGTGAATTCGAAGCGTGTTGTTGTGCCACTGATTGTGGAGAAGGGGTATGTGGTGAATAGTTGGCTGTTGTCGATGTTGAATAAAAGCGGCATAATTGAATACGATGTTAACGATTTGAAGCGAAACAATGAACTAGTGATGAAAGAAATTAGTCAGCATTGCCGAAACAAAGGTTCCAAAGTTAAAATAAACACACCAACGCCCAACAGCGTACTGAATGGCAATAAAGAAAATACATTTGCTCGCATTATTCCAACACCGGTGTTATCGGGACGCGTATCTGCTGGAAGTGATAGACAACAGCAACAGGAAAATGCTTCTCGGTCGAATTCTAGGCAAACTGTATCTAGCACAAGACCTACATCGACGACTCCTGTATCTCGCATGACTTCATCATCGACAACACCCACAAGTCGAACGCCACTATCAGCAACACCTACGTTCGTTAATGCAAACTACGAAAAATTTCTTCCACAAGACTATACGAAACGTGATACAAGCGACGCAACTTATCATTCGATGCCTATAAACGCTTGGAAAAAGAAAGAGATCTTAGATTTTCTATATGATTGTAATTTGATACTGATGATGCCACTATGCGACACGATGACAGGCCGTTCTTTGGTAGGATTCTTCCGAATGTGTCAGGCGGATCCTTCTCGTGTATACGGACAACTGAGCGATGAATTGCGTAGTCGATACCGTGGTTTAACTCTACCAATCGGTGTGTACAGTCAATTCTTAATCGAGATGGATAATTTAATGAGTTCTCAAGCTAACCATACTCAGATATTACCGTTTTCTTCCATGAACAACAAGTATCAAAGCACACCTATGCCTGTCAGTACTGATCAATCGCAGTACCCATTACCTCTACAAGCAAGATCGTCATCGAGTTTCTCAAATACTCCTAAACCGTTAGAAATAATACCGGAAGCACAGATATCTTACAATGAGCGAGTCGCACATCGTGCAACCTTTCGTCCAGGTTCGGCTGCTGATCATCCGTATAATTTCAGCTCCGAAGCGGACGAACAATCCAAACTGGTATTTGAACAGCTCGCACGCTATGAAAATCAAGTGTATGCACCACAACAACGGGCATATGATTATTGAGAAAAGAATCATATTCACTAGAAACAATCTCAACCACTAGTTCTTGTTCTTAACTGCTTTTTTAAATACTTCACTTTCATAAAAATAGAAACTATTCAATATCTTCTTCTGTTGCTACTAGCGATTTTGGTTATTCAATTCTCACCGAATGGGACACGATCAGAATTCTCTCATTGATCATATCAGAATAAATTTTGCGGAAGCTGTTAAAAGATTCTATGACAGCCAGACAACATATGAAATAAATGAACTTACCTTCTATTCTGTTCTCATTGTATAGCAAATGAACACTATTCTGCTGTTCTCATTTCATTAGATGATTTCATTTTGTTATTGAAGAAATAAAAACTCTCGACTATACTTCACAAACAATATTACCTACTTTTTCAAGTATGTGTTTGTGCTATATAACAGCAAAATATCAGTCCGCTCCGAGAACTAACTATAATTACTTTCTACGTGATGACGATTTTTCATAATTGAATGTCATGTTCGCCAAGAAATTACCGGAGTTTTACTCTTTATTTATTTCATTCATTATAGGCGAATAATGAACGAACGAATCCTGTTTTTTCGCCGAATGATTTCTACGTGACAATGAAAAGAACATGGGTGTTGCTCTTGTTCATCATTTCTATCGAAGCATATTGTTTGACAGTAAGATAGAAAACGAGGGAAGACCACATTGTGCTAAAACAAGTATACGTGTGAATGGGAGGATGATTGATATTCGTTACGCGTAATCGAGAAGATAGCAGGACGATTTTTTCAAAAGACAATCATCGATATGTCAGATTGATTTTGATCATTCTTCTTGTTTCTGTACCACAGATTCCAAACAATCTTCTCTTATTGGACAGACTGTATGAGTGGTTAAGAACTTTTGAATCAATAAATATCGTCTGTCAGCATGTATGTATTTATTATCTTGACGTAACTTTACTTCTAAAAATCATTTGAATAATTGTAACAAAAGAGCGAAGAGAAAAATATACTACTTGTCTCAGTTTACTGATGAATATTATAGATAACTAGCAAAAAAAACGAACGTTGTCATATTTATTTATTCATTCGTACATGTTATAAGTCGCAAATATATAATCATTTTCATCATACAAATGGCCCTATCAGATACGTTTTGAATATCCTTGTCATCCGAGGAAAAAAAATCGCAGACATACTCAGCCGATGTAATAGTAAATGATTGACATACCTTAGCTGCACATTCCTATGATGAGATAGAAATATACGTGAAATAGTGTGAACATACGTACATCGTTACGCATGGTGAAATCCTAAGTTTCTGTTTCAGTCGGCGTCTTTCATCCATCAAGGCTAACATACTTCGAGGCTATCGGATTCATTACTCGAACGGCTATAAACATAAGTTTATCATATTATTAAAATTATTACTCAAACACACGGTTACATTCTTGTGTGTTTTTTACCTTGCAATTAGGCAAAGCAAACGATGCCAAATCTGCCGGATTATGAGTACCATTCTGGAACTACTCCACTTCTTATCGATGCTCATTGTTCAACCGTGCAACATAAAGGCGTCCATATTGACTCGCATGAACTGTCATCTATACTAGATGATTTCGTTCGTGAGTTAAACGCAACCGCGTTCCATTCAGCAGTCTATTTTAGTTCGATAAATGAAATCGTTCTTGCATTGAACGCAGCCTCACCACCTGCATTACTCTCCCTCACATCACACTACTTTTTCGTTCTCGTCCGTAATACCATTCAAGTTACGTTACAAGGTCTACATGTAAATTATCAATTGAGTCAACTGGCGACCTATGTTTTACGTAATTGTATTCTTTTGTTGGAGTATATGGTCGAAGAAGTTAACGATGTCTCTAAACTGTTGCATTGGATAACTGATCTAACGTTGCTCGATGCACTCGGCAATTGTTTACATACGATCGAAAGAATCGCAGAGTCTAATGAGAGTCGTCTCTATATCAAACAAATTACACGTTTATTGGATATTTTTATTTACATTCAAGAGCATTTGCCCGAAGACGAGCACAATAGTTTATTCTCTCGATTGCTTAATCCCGTTATAAAATGTTTAACATCAGCGAATTATGTTCACGCATTCAAAGACTTAAAACCAAATACATCAACATTGAATCCATACCAGAAACTACTGCTAGTCGGATGTCCTCATTTTCTTGCTTCTTACCATGGTACGGACACAATTATCGTTTGTTTACTCATACGTGTATTCACATGAACTTTGTTTTCAAATCGATTTTAGGTCCACGTATAGAACAGAAAATAGAACAAGTTCTCGAAGTCATGCTGCCACGTTATGTCTCAATAATCGATACACACATCAAAACCATCAAGAAATGGCGTCGACCAATAAAACTTGCCGTGTATCATCTTTTGACCATACTCGTCTTTGCTGAAGGTTATTTCATAACATTTTTAAGTAATCACTTACTTCAAACACTGATCAATCATCTTTTACGATTGGTCAACGAATCGACATTGATCGAGGAGATACACGAAATACCTGATAATTCGGAGTCTTTATTAATTGATGCCGCGTTGCAAGTTATTAATGTTCTAGTACGAGAACCCGATGCACTCGATTACCTCAAACAATGTCAACCGACAATGACGTTTCGGCGATTATTATCGACACCTTGTGAAGCAATTATTACAAATACATATGCAATACTTGCTTATTCAATCAATGAAAACGATATTCAATACTTAGATAGTTATCTTACACGACTACTCTACGCTATTCTTTCTGCGCTGCAAAAAGCGGTTGATTATAATGATGAAACGAATGATGATTCAGGCTATAATCCAGAATATATAAAAAAGAATAGTATGCAACTCGCAGAAACATTGACAGGTAGCACCATTCTTCTCTCTCACCGTCTTTGTCCTACTGTTCACCTACATAGGTCTCGTTCGACACGAAGAAATTAAACGTGAAATAGTCAAACAAAATGCACTACCTTTACTGGTCAAGTTCTCACATAATCTCACTGGACTCGCAAAACAATTCATTTTAGAAACACTTTGGACATTATCGTTTGATAAACAAGTAGCTCAACAGCTTCGAGATGACTTACAATTCATGCATTTGATACAGAACGTCAGAAAACCTATTAGTAACAAAAACACAAGCAGTAATAACAATAATAATAACAATCACCAATCATACCAATCCAGCAATTTGTCAAAAGATGATCTCATCTCGTGGAATGAAGCAGCCGAAGGTGCAATCTACAAAATCGCTACTGGCCTTCTTTGGACACTCCACAAAGGTAACACGACAATATCACTGCTTTCATTCTCAATTCTACCTTCTTCCAGAATCTCAAATTAGACAAAAAACTTCCAAGACAGCATCTCAATCGAACAAATTTGATGTCGCTATCTCCTATTCTATCAAAGATAAAGATGTAGTTACCAGATTGGAAGAGACTTTGATCAACGAAGGCTATGCAGTGTGGATCGATCGGGATATTCTGCACAGACAAAGTAAGATCGTGCGTGATGAAGTCAGGCAGTGGATGTGATGTGACTGTTGTAGGTATGGAAAGCGTGAGTGAAGCGATGAACAAGTCAACGGTGGTAATTGTTTGTCTATCGGAATGGTATGTGCGTGATAATCAATGTGTATGTGAAAGTGTTTATGCCATGAATTCGAAGCGTGTTGTTGTGCCACTGATTGTGGAGAAGGGGTATGTGGTGAATAGTTGGCTGTTGTCGATGTTGAATAAAAGCGGCATAATTGAATACGATGTTAATGATTCGAACCAAAGTAATGAATTAGTCAAGAAGGAAATTAGTCAGTATTGTAGAAAGAAGGTGGTAAGCAAGAAAGTGACGTTGGCGAAACCAAAAATTTACGAATCAAATAGTGTTCGTTTCGCCGCTAACAGTATTGATAAACCAAAACAACAAAAAGTAGATCGTCCTCGTTCTCGAACAGTAGCACCGACTCGCGCAACAGCTCCTGTGGACCAAGAACAGCAATCTTTACACCGTTCGAATTCACGAAATACTCCTTCCAGCATCACACCTATACCTCAAACACCAATGCTTATCAATACAAATTATCACAAATACCTTCCTCAAGACTATACCAAACGTGATACGAGCACTGCAACTTACCGCACAACACTGATCAATGCCTGGAAGAAGAAAGATATTCTCGATTTTTTGTACGATTTCAATTTACATCTGATGATGCCACTGTGCGATTCAATGTCTGGTCGAGGCCTCTTGAAGTTCTATCGCATGTGCCAACGAAAACCTAGTCGTGTCCATGCACAGCTCAATAGCGAACTACGCAACCGTTTTCGAGGCTTAACTCTGCCGATGGGCATGTACACTCAGTTTTTAATCGAACTTGACAATATTCTCGAAGGTACAACCGACCCAGTGCAAATTGTAACGCCTACACCAGCGAAGAACATCCCTCAAGTTATATTCATGCCTATAGCAGCTCCGATTTCCACAGGAGCAAAGCGGTCTAGCAGAGCAACAGAAGCAAATATTACTTCTTCGAAGTCATTAAATGATCAGTTGATAGAAGTAAAATCCGACGGAAACACGATTCGAAATACTCGAATTATTGAGCGAACCATTTTTCGACCTGCGTCGACTGCCGATCGTCCATATGATTTCATTGTTGAAACTGGTGAAGAATCGCGTATTCTATTAGAACAAGTCGGCCGTTACGCTCCGCAATTATATTTCTTGCAACAGAAAGCGCAAGAACAGTACAGCAAACAAAGTTCTCGCTCGGAATAAACACTCTCGATTTCATTTTATTTGTAATACTTTTTTAAATTTTATACAAAAAGAATAGCAAACTTTGCAAGTATATCGAACGTGTTGTTCTTTTTCCTCGTATTCAATGAAGCAAACAACAACATTCAAGATCATATCACATACAAAAACGTGATTGAAAAGCACATGGAATTGCTAAAACTGAACTGTGAAATATTCAACAAATTAGTTGTCTATCATAATATAAAAGAACGTCTAGTTGAGTATCGGAGCGAGGTCTTGTAAATCGCTTTGTTCTAAACAACGCTTCAATCGGCGTTTTGTCGCGAGTCCACCTTCTTGTTCTCGCCAAACTTGTAACAATTCTAACAACTACGTGAGTAAAAGGCAAATATTTTTTTTCCTTCTTTTCTCTATGTAATCAATCGGACTTACTGCTGCTGATGAATCCTTATTATTTTTGGCAATGAAAGCTTCGATATCATATTCGAGAAAGCCGAGTGTTACAGCTAGCTTCGTCCAATTTCGACGTGATGCTTGATGAGCGATTTGTTTCATATGACTTTCAGTGACAAGATCCGATGCAGCAATGCCGTTGTTGTCGCGAAGATTGCTTGATGATGATTGTAGTGAAGGTACTGCATTGGCTTCTTCGAGAATGTGGCCCGGAATGATTTCGAATTTCAAAAGTTCTTCAAGTTCTCCCGGCGCAAAACAGCGCTGAACACCAGCAATAAACTGAGCCATATTTAATCGACCTAGGAAATATATTACAGATCTATGAATTACAAAATATATATATATCGAGCTGCTTACCTTGGTCCGTTGCCCCTAACTGTTGCATGAATTGATTAGATAGCAAACGAATATCATCCTTGAAGGAGTTTCGATAAAAATTAAAATCGAAAGAAAATTTGTCACTTACGTCTTTAGTTTCTCGATAAACATGTTTTAAAAGCTTAGCAATCATCGCCGCATCAATTGCATCACCATTATTCAGATAGATGAAGAGCGCGGAGAGTTTATCATTTATCGACGCTTCATCAAACCAGTGCATCACCAGTAAGAAGTATCCAAATGGGATACTATTTGGATCTGCTTTCGACCGTGGAAAATGTTTCAAAAGCTAAAATAATAGGCAATATCAAAGCGAAATTTTCAACTATTTCGATACATTTTAGATTGCAAAGTCCGTGATGACGTTTACTTGACAAAACATTATCGATCGATTTTGAAGAATACTTGAGAAAAACAAACTCTATTTATATTTGTTTTCTTAACCTTCTACATCGGTTTCTGTGCAAATACGCAATCTATTCACTTCGTACATAGACATCGGTCGACTTACATTTTTAACGAAAATATCGTTGGATAATTCATTAGGTAACGCATTGTTATCCGGATACAAATGCGTGTGTTCTGTGGAACCTGTTAACTGTTTGAAACGATTCCACAATCGTTCGACCTCGACAACCGCAAGTCCCGTGGCGTCAGCATGAGATGTTAACCAATCGGCACGATTTGGTGATAAATGTGATAAATTGTCCGTATCCTTCAAAGGAAGAGTATTCAAAATAGCTCCCATTGGATTTGATAAGTCGATAGAATGTCAATTGTTGCCATGAGTAGTGACATACACTAGACGATGCTCAACATGAGACTCCACAAAATTGAAAGTCCATTCAGAAAATCCTTCTGCCAAAGAAAAATAGAACTGGTGAAAATCGGATGTGACAAAACACGAAGTCACCTTGTACAATTATATTTCTCCATATTATAGAGGGAAGCACAGTCTCTTTTTTGAATATATAGTATTGTATACATAACACATGTCATTGTCGAGTGAAGTGAAAGAACTAGCTCAGTTGCTTGTTAACATAGACTATCATGATCGAATCTCAATATTTGCCAATCGATGAGGAAGGATTATAATCATCTATTACTGAAAATTCATGATAAATTTTGTTTCAGCTTTGTCTGAGATTGGCGTTTAGACATTCTCTACTTTTCGACAGTTTTTGCTCTAAAAAACATAGCAATCGCGAATGAACATTTTGTCGAAAAGATTTCTCATCTCTTCATAGTAATGAACTATGCTGATCATCGATAGAATTGTTCTAAAGAATATTGATTAATTGTAACAAACCCATTATCATGTGCCACTGGCGTCATCTCTCAAGTTCATGATTATAAACTTTGTTAGAATCGAAGAATAGAAACAGAAACATTCGTTCATACATATACGACGGCCAGTTTAGTTCTATCATATCTATTGTTTTTTTTCCTGTTAACACCGACTAGTATTGTACATATTTTAACGAAATGAGTTATCGACAACGTTCTTCCACGAAACGTAAATCTATTCATGAAAATCCTGTACCGGCTGCAAATGAACCAAGCGCAATAAATGACTCGATATCAACGTCATACAAACGACAGAAAGTAGTCACTGAAAAACGTCTCCGTCGCTACCGAGCAACAATGACCGCTGCTACTCGCGATCGGATTGAACGCGCCTTAAATCAGCGTCTTTATTTACTTGCGATCAGTAAATCAGCCGATGGCTCGATCTATCGAGAATACAAAGTACTTGGACAAACGGCAAACGTCTATACCGTCGCCATTACTCACATACCGTCATGTACATGTAAGTTTCTGCCGAGAGAATCTCAACCGTTCTGAAGTCGATTCGTAGGTCCTGATTATGGCAAAGGTAATCTATGCAAACATATCATCTTTGTTTTACATCGAGTGCTCAAAGTCAGTCGAGCTTCACCATTGATCTATCAGCAAGCATTGCTGACGATTGAACTACATGATATTTTTTCGAAAGCCGATTCTCAAAACAATGATTCATCAATTCTTGCCGAACAACCGGTAATGATATACCCGTGCTGAATGACTTCGACTTGATCAGAGATGTTCTCTTCTAGATTCTTGAAGCTTATCATGCGAAAACGGGTGATCCAGGTGTGATTTTAACAATCAAAGATGTCGAACAGAAGCCAATTGAGGCCGATGATGAGTGTCCAATTTGTTTCGAGTCATTGTTAGGTGAAGAAACGAACATCATCTTTTGCTCACGATCGTGTGGAAACAATATTCACAAGAATTGTTTCGACAAATGGCGACAGGCGAAATCATCGATGAACGAATCAGTCACGTGTCCATTTTGCCGAGTTGAATGGAAAAGCGTACTTGAAAAACACGAGAACTCTCAAGGTTATCTAAATTTAGCTGCTTATGCAACGACTGACCACTACGAAGATGATGACGATGATGACGATGACGATGAGAATACAGAAGATTGGATGTTTTATAATTACTGGTAGTTCTAAAACTGTTTTTCTTGTACCAATTAGGTTTTATACACGTATTTTTTTTTGTCGTTTCATTTACCTCACAATCATGATATTCCTTGTTTTATGATGAAAAGTTCTGATTTTCGTAATTATTTATTTGTTAATAAGATAACTATAGAAGTAGAAAATAAACTTGTTTTTATTAACGCACTTGCAATGTTGACATAATCATCAATACTGTCAAACGCGAAAGTCGAGTGCATGATATGCCCTTATCAATATTAGGCGTCAACCTAATCAGTAGTAGAGTAGATCGTTAGGTAGATTCTCTTTTTAAGCGTACATGATTTTCCGCATGCTATGATTTTGTAACTTTCTTAGTATGATCATATTGATTTTGATTGGTTTTATTGAATGACTTATCTGCTCGCTCCTCGATATCAAGATAAGAGGAAAGGTAAGTGTACCGTGCTTAGGAGTGATTTTTGTAGGATTTCATTCACAAAACGAAGCACAGTATATGGCGGATTTAAGTAAAGTTTTACTTCTGAAAAATAAAAACAAAAAATTTGCAAAAACTACAACGGCTACAACGTAAAAAGTCTTATTTCATAGAAGCAAAACGATACGTATATCGAGTATACGTTGGAATCATATCTCCTCTGGCATAGTACATTCGAATGCCACGTGAGAATGTATCGAAGTTCATTTTTTGTTTGGTCTTTCGACTTTTGACTTTCTCCCAAAGTTTAACAACTTGTGTCGGGTTATGAATTTCGAATATACCTTCTTCTTTGTCAACCCACGACGCATATGCACTGTAACTCTGATTGTTCAGAAGTAATACAAGGAATTCATACAGCTTCGGTGCTCGCATCTTTTCGTTAGGATCAGTGTGAACCAACCACTCCGTTGGATCGAACAGTAGTTCTTCAATATCGATAGCACTGAAATCAATCCTGTTTTCAGGATTTGTCGGATGTGAATCGATGAAATCCAGTAATGCCTCGGCGGAATCGGTTTCTGGCGTTGTAGTCGGAGACAAAGTAGAGTCCATGGACGTAAGTTTATTAATTATACGAATGATACATGTTTTTGAGGATATTTATAGAGGGTTGAGAGGAAACATCATTTTCTACACTTTTCAATAATCATATATTTTTTATGACAAAATAGTGATAAACGTATTTTGTAATGACGTGGAGATAGGAATGACGTATAATCGAAGTTTTGATACGTGGATTGTGAGTTCGTGTTAGAAATATAGGCGCTAATTCTACTATGAGAAGCACTGATTCGAAGAAAAAAGAGTTTTGAGTGGTTCGCGAAGAGTATTTTATTAATCTTTGATTACATTATGCACGTTGACAAGAGTAGAGTTATCTCATTAAAATGGGTTACATGTCAGTTTCTTGATTTGTTGGTTGGACAAAGCGAAATGTATATTTCTTATACGTTTTCTCCATCAATCCTTTATGATAATTCGATCGCAAGCCTCGGGAAAACTTATCGTAGTTCATTTCTTTACTAGTTTGTCGATGTTTCACTTTTTGCCATAGCCTAGCCACTTCATTTGGCAATAGAATTGTAAATAAACCAGTGGACTGATCTATCCAAGTGATATAGGAAGAGTACCGTGGATTGTTGAGAAGACGCTGTAGGAATTCATTTTGTCGAGGCGGACGTTGTCTACCTGAAAGCGGTTCGACTACCAGCCACTCATTACGATCGAATGGTATCTCTTGAGAATTTTCAGATGCTTGCCTAGATTCGTTAATACTGACATCGAGAAGTTTCAATGGTGACAGCTTGTCTAAATCATCTTCTTCGAAAACAGACTGAAAGTATATACCATCGTCAGACAACTCACAGTCAGGAGTTCGCATCGTCGCTCTTGACCCTTCATGATCAACAGATGAACTATTAAGAAACTGTGCCATAGTAATAAATGCGATGCTCTACGTGCAGATAATGGTAATGGTCTTACTGAAATAGTGTAGCTTGTAGTATGAATTTATATACTATGTCAATAAACAAACTATTCTTCCTTTCTGTTGTTCTTCGGAAGAAAAAAACATTCGGAAGTACACTCTCGTCTCGCATAATCTTCAAAAAAGGTACACGTTTAAAGGAAAGTGATTTGAAAAAAGCATGATATTGATTATGATCTTTACATGATTATTCGCAAAATTGAACCAGTTGGAAAAACATGTATCAGCGATATATTTCTTAAAAGAGCGAGTTAAATTTATTTTTAAGCGATAGAATTACAATATTAGTGTAGCAAAAGAACGGAAATTATCAAATATTAAAACGAAATCAATTAATGTTTAAGAAATCGAACGCCGAGAAACGCAATAAGACGACAGACGAAAATGTATCCAATTAATATTCCCATACAACCGCCGACACTTATATAATCGAGTCCAAGTTCTCGGATGAAGTATTCACCATTTTCGATACATGAATATCTGGCTCGATCAGCTTCTGTACATGTCAATTTCAATCCGCGTAGTTCATTTAAACTTGCACCAACATAGGTGTACTTAACATATGACAGAGCATCGAGCCACGCAAAATATTTCGGTAAACGTGATGGTGCTAAGAAGAAGCCACCGAATAAACGTGTAACTTCCAAAGCCATTGGAAGCACAGTGACGCTCATATCGGTTGTTTTACAAATGGCAGAAACCATCAAAGCTAACGATGTTGCAGCAATTGAACATAGTAACATCAAGAGAGTAAAGATGCAAAACTTTTCAACTGTCGCATCCAAGCCAATCAGAAAATAGACGATGCATGACTAGAATAAGGAAACCATTGAAACCGCTATCTGATATCGACTTCTTTTTTATTAACTTACGAATATGATTGGAACTGGTATTTGAACGAGAGTATCTGCGATAATTTTCGCTGTGAAATAAGCACTCGCAAAATACGTTCCAGAGGCACGTTCACGTAGGGTCAATGCGCGTTCCACAGGAAACGAGTTGATAACCATTAATGCACCGAATACACCTTGATTGACAGCACAAAAGAAAATTACAGGTTCACGACGGACAATACTCGACTGTGATTGACCAATACGAAGAAAGGCAGTTCCGATTAAAATAGCCATAATAATGGTTTGAATAAGTGAGATGACGATGATTTTTGATTGACGAATTTGTTCCTGGAAATTTCGTTGGAGAAGTATTTGCACTTGTTTCAACCAAGTCGGTTTCAATGGTAAACTACCCATTTGTTCCAAACGTTTGTCAACACCCATGTTTAGATCAATATCGATGGGTGGCTGAGTGGCTATTAATGCAGCGTCGGTTGCAGCCTGTTGTTGAAGAGATATTGTTTGTCCACCAGCGAGTGCATTACTTTTTGGTGGTGTGATCACATCTAGTAGATGATCGGCAGGATTTGTATACAATGGACATGGATAACCAGATATACGATAGACATCCTAAAGAGAATTTTAGAACCTTTTCCTTACTGAAATATCTTTCCTTACCATCACATGCTTTCTTGGACCTTGATAAATGATACTTCCAGCTTTGAGTAAAATTAATGAATCGAATAGATTGAAGATTTTCGATTGCGGTTGATGAATTGAACAAACGATTGTGACAGCCTTGTCTTGAGATTTACCATGTGCCAGTGCATGAAGTGTTCGTAGAAGTTCAAGCGCAGTTACCGAATCTAGGCCTGATGTTGGTTCATCAAGAAAGAGTAGCTGTGGGCGACTTAACAATTGCATGCCAACGCATAAGCGTTTACGTTCACCACCTGAGACACCTTTTCTCAATGGTGTACCAACAATAACGTCATGAACATGTGATAAACCTAGGTCAGCCATAACATCTTCTACACGTTCTTTTCTTTGTTTATCCGTAAATGTTCTTGGTAAACGTAGTTTAGCTGTATACATCAAAGTCTCTTCAACAGTTAAATATCCATTCAAGAGATCATCTTGCATAACATAGCCAGCAATGCATTTCAATTCAGCATTATCATAGGGTGCACCATTGAGACGCATTTCACCTTCAACGACAGTGTTGACGTCCAAACGACAAGCCAATGTATTCAAAAGAGTAGACTTGCCAGAACCAGACGGACCTATATAAATAGTTTTAAAGACACATTCAATGAATGATTATAACATACCCATCACTGCCCATAAGCCGCCTGTGATTGCTCCACTGATATTATTTAATAAGCATTTTCTCTTCGGAACGAAAGTTTTGTATGATTTCACGCGTTGAAAAGCTTCTTTTCTTTTATCTTCTCGAATTTGCACAGTTAAATTTTGCCATACAAGTATAGTACTAACTCGATCCGACATTGGATCGAGTACAGATAGTTGTCTGTCAAATGTATCCGAATCAAATGAACGTTGCCGATGGAGACCAGATGAACACATGGATGGTGCTGAATGAACTGTATTGATATGGGGTGAAACTTCAGAGATGGTCATGTGGTGTTCTGGAGCTGGTGTGTCATCAGCAAGTTTCTCATAATGTTTATTGTGGAATGGATGGATGTCAGGAAGATGTAGAGTGTGACTACGACTGTCTGTAGTATGGTCACATTGTCGAGCGGGTGACGCTGATTTATTAGGACTTATCGAGCTCATTTAGATTGTTAGAAGGTAAAAGGATAAAGAAAGTAAAGTGGACTGCAAGGACAAATGGTGAAAATGATAATAGAAACGAATCGATCAGTATATATATATATATATATACATGTGTGTGTGTGTGGATGATATTGTGAACTCCATCGTCTTCTCCTTTCTTTTCTCTTATCCGTTTTTTCATTTGACGGTGACTATCTGTCTACGTTCATGTAGGTGTCATCATACATTTAAAACAATACGTACGAAAAAGCACACAAAATCGTACTGCACGAAAGAAAGTGAATTATCAAAGTGTCTTTTATAACAGAACAAAAAATCATGAAGGGGTTACAATCATCGAACGTCTTTTATATAGCGACTCTAGAAAATTGTTCCTTTTTCTTGTTCTCTTGATAAGAGGTCGACCATGCTCGCTTCTCTTCCCTTCTCCTTTAGTAATAAAAACGTGATGCAGTAATACCACCATCGTTACTACAAGTGTTCGTTCATTTCTTTTTTTTTCTTCGCGTCACACACGCACTGCGTACATTTGCTGCACACCGTCTCTACTTGATGAGCAAACAAAGATACAATACAAACTTGTGGTATAGTGAAAATTGCCAGTTTTATCAACACAATACCTAAAATTGGTATCAAATCAGATTTTCGGTGAATATGTTTATCTATCGTTTCATTTCACTGCTTTCGTAGTGAAGGTCACTTCTGTCACTATGCAACACATGTGCGTATGTCTGCGTGTCGCACATCACCACGATGACTGTGTATATGTATACTAGCAAGCATTGTCTTTTTAGATGGCAACACCAGAAGCATCGAGATTTGGCGTTAAGTTTCTTTCGCGTAAAGAACGAACAGTCAAGCGAGTAACCAAATGTGAAAGCCGAGAACTTCAAAAACGTGAGCATCTATTTTTATTCCTTACTATCATTGTTGATGAACGTTGATTCAAGGCCTGGAACCACCAAAACCTGCCCCTGTGCGCCCAACTCCCAAACCGAAAGTAGCTAAGAAACTTGCGCGTCCAGCAACTCTCTCCAAGCCGGTCCGACCAGCACATACTCGATCATCTCGTTCGACAACATCGAAAACTCCGTCGAAACCAAAGACGGTCAACGTTGATCCTCGTGCTCTGCAACTGACTGATTTAGAAAAACTAGCACGTCTGAATTGTTCTCGCGAATTTAGTCTTTTTCATCAATGTATCAAATCGGAATTATCCAAATCCTATGAAAACCAGTTAGCATTCCTCCAAACGAAATTGCAGCATTTGAAAAATGAATTCACCGACAAACAAGCTGAACACTTAAATTTCGAACAGATTAAAGAGTACTACAATCAAGCTGTGGCGGATAATATACGACGTAAAATAAAGCCAGATGAATATTTAACTTTATCGAATAAATTTCGAGACGATACAAAACAGGTAAAGGGACAAATATGTCTAACTAAGAGGTTGTCTTCTATGTTCATAGGCTATTGAAAAATGGCTTCGAAAGAAAGAATTAAAACGGCAAAAGCAAGTGCCAGAATATCTACAACGACGACAAGAACGTAAACGAGATCAAATTAGAGAAACAATTGAAGAACAGAGAAAACAACAGTTAGCCAAAGAGAATCAAAATGGAACAGAAAGTTGTATTACGATTACTCCGGCAAGCACAGTGAAAAAATCGTCGGTAACAGTAGATGATGATGATGATGATATTATGATACTTGACTAGTTCATATTTGTTTTCTTTTTGGTCTACTTTATTAAACATTCAATATAAAATCTGAGCGGAAAAGAAAAACATTAGCATTTTACAAGAAACAGACGAAGGTATTATTTAATTCTTTAAAAAGCGGACTCCAATGAAAGCACAAAATCGACAGAAAATAATAATTGCAAATAATACTCCTACACATGCCCATATATTCAGATAGTCATAACCACGTTCCGTGATAAAGTATTCACCCGTTTCTATGCATTGTTTTGTTATACTATAAGTAGCATTGACAGGTATGCTTCTTGTATTTGCACAGCTTAACCGTAATCCTTGAAATTCATTTAAACTAACACCAACAAAGCTATATTTAACATAGGATAAAGCATCGAGCCATGTAAAATATTTCGGTAAGCGCGATGGAGCTAAGAAGAAACCACTGAATAAACGGGTTACTTCAAGTGCCATGGGAAGAACAGTGACACTCATGTCGGTTGTTTGACATAAGGCTGATATCATTAAGGCTAGCGAGGTCGACGACATGGAGCAAAGCAATGTGAATAGAGTGAACATAAAAAACTTTCCAACCGTGGCATCCAATCCGACAAGAAAATAGACGACACATGACTATAAATAACGAATAGATCTATGAAAAAAAAGCAAAGATTGATTGACTTACAAATGCAATTGGTATCGGTATTTGAACGAGAGTATCTGCGACGATCTTTGCAACGAAGTAAGAACTAGCAAAATAAGTTCCAGAGGCACGTTCACGCAATGTTAACGTTCGTTCAACAGGAAACGAATTGATAACTGTTAATGCACCAAAAATACCTTGATTGATTATACAGAAAAAGATAACTGATTCACGACGGACAATACTGGATTGGGTTTGGCCAATACGAAGGAAGACAGTTCCAATGAGAACTGCCATAATGATTGTTTGTAGCAAACAAACAGCAGTGATCTTCCATTTTCGTTTTTGTTCTCTAAAGTTACGTTGAAGGAGTACGTGTACTTGTTGGAACCAAGTCGGATTCAACGGTAAACTGCCCATTTGTTCGAGACGTTTGTCAACACCCATATTAAGATCAATTTCAATTGGGTTTTGACATTGAATAATCGCTTTGTCAGTGGCTTCTTCTTGTTGATGTACATCCTCCCTATCACCAGTTTTCGCCGGAGTGATGACATCAAGTAGATGATCAGCTGGATTTGTATACAATGGACATGGAAAGCCAGCTGCACGAAAAACTTCCTAAATATACAATTGTACATCGTAGAGGAATAGAAGTTTCCAATGATCATAGTTGGACTAGTGTTATTACCATGGCTTGCTTTCTTGGACCTTGATAAATGATTTTTCCCGATTTCAGTAAAGTGAGTGAATCGAATAGATTGAAGATTTTTGATTGCGGTTGATGAATTGAACAAACGATTGTAACAGCTTTCTCTTGGGATTTGCCATGTGCTAGTGCATGTAGTGTGTGCAACAGGTCCAATGCTGTAACAGAATCTAAACCTGTTGTTGGTTCATCGAGAAACAGTAGTTGGGGACGATTTAATAGTTGCATACTGACACATAAACGCTTGCGTTCACTGCCCGAAATGCCCTGTTTAAGCTGAGAACCAATGATTGCTTTTCGCACGTGCACCAGTCCTAAGTCATTGAGGACATCTTCGACACGTTCTTCTCTCTGTTTATCCGTAAATGTTCTTGGTAAACGTAGTTTAGCTGTATACATCAAAGTCTCTTCAACAGTTAAATATCCATTCAAGAGATCATCTTGCATAACATAACCAGCAATACGTTTCAACTCAGCATTATTATAGGGTGCACCATTGAGTCGCATTTCACCTTCAACGACAGTGTTGACGTCCAAACGACAAGCCAATGTATTCAAAAGAGTAGACTTGCCAGAGCCAGATGCACCTGGATGGAGAACGAGATAGTTATAGTTCATATTAATAATTGATCTAAAATACATACCCATTACCGCCCATAAGCCGCCTGTGATTGCTCCACTAACGTTGTGAAGGAGAACCTTCTTTTTCGGTGCAGCATTTTTTGATAATTTCATACGTTGTAATAATTGACTCTTTTTATCTTGTCGCGTTGAAACGATTAAGTTTTGCCAAACGAGTATAGTACTAACCCGATCCGACATGGGATCGAGTAAAGACAACTGCCTGTCGAGCGATCCAAAAATCGTCGCACGATTATTCATTTGTTGGTTATGAATAGTAGGCGGAGCTGACGTCGGCACGTACCATGTTGGTGATGGGCATGAAACATCTCTTGTGCTACTACTACTATTAGATGCAACGACTCCTTCGTAGATAACAGGAAATGTACTTGCACCGGCTGATGATATTCGAGGTAGTTGTTTGAGTGTTAATCTATCTTCTTCTTTTGTCGTCGATATATGTTGATCACTGTGGCTGCGTACATAGCTTTCATTTTCAGTTCCGTCATAAGGTTCAATATCAAATCGTATGTGTTGAGCATTTTTATCTTTCATTGCGTAGTACTGCGAAGACAGACAGAATATCAAATAAACGCAAGCACGAAGTTAAGGACAAATCGAGAAGAAATTCACTCGTCTGCTTTCTTTATCTTTCAGTCAGCCAATATATACACACATAGGTACGTCTTATCGATCTATCCTATAGATGTTCTACAATCGCTATGTGATGATTGTTCCCCTTCTATACACGATCTTATCTTATTATAAAATAGAATTGAAGCAACTACAAACCTTCATTTTAATGCCGTTTTCTCATATAAATAATGTACTGAATGTACAATACACGTTGATAATACGCATGAATGTAGCGGATCAATCACGATTCATTGAACCATATCAGTTTGATAACGATCGTCATCCACCCTTAAAATACACACATGTAACGAATGAATTGTTTTGTTCATTGAAACGGTTGACTAAACACTTCTTCTTTCTATTCAGTCGCCCAATTTGATGACTATGCTTTTTATCAGGTGAGATATGTCTTCGGGGATAGATTCACTTGATAAACTTGTGAAAAGAACTCACTACTTTTTGAAAGTATATGATCTTATTGGACGATAGGCTAGAGGTCAACGAAGATTGGCATGTAAATTAGGATTTATTTTGTGAAAAATCATAATTTAACCACTTGAAATTATCAAAGAAAAAGTAGAATAGAAATGCGTTGATGAAAAATTAGAAAAATAGTAAAATGTGACTAAAATAGTAAGAACACCAAAACAGCTGTCGATCTTTACTCTACTACAAAAAAAGAAAAAGATTTTGATTTGTCATTTCAATTTGCGTAAATGTCAATATGATTAGCTAAAGCTGGCACTGGTCGTTGACTTTTATCGATCGCATTTTCTAGTTCTTTCATAACACGTAGTACACGTTCATCATCATTGGGCCAACCAGCGAGCTGAACGCCAATGGGTAAGCCAGCTGACTCTCGACACACATCTTTTGCCAAGGAAACCATCATGTCATTGTTCGAATGCCCAATATCTTCGTAATATTGTTCGTCATCTCGAACTACAGTCATTGGTACAACACCGGCTGGTAGATGTAAAACATTGAAAAGAAACGTGTAACTACATGAACTAAATAGAGTTGAAGATTGTCCACGACGGTACGCTGGTAATGCATTAACAGGCGTCTAGATGAAGATCAGACGAAAAGACTTTCGTTTCGTTGAAATGAAAAAATAAACATTTTTCTTACAAGAAGAAGATCGATGCGATTCTTTTTCATTTCATCTAACCAACGGTCAGTATACTGTCGCAGATCGATAACTAAGTCGAAATATTGATAAGCACTTTTTGGTCCGGATGCGAGCAGAGTGTGTGCGCTACGCCGTTCACCAAATAAGCGTAGAATAAAGGCTAGCAATGGACGAAGAAAATTCGGAAGTTTATTAGCGAAGATGAGCAGAGAATAAAATGGATTCGGAGGTTCGTTCTGTAAGGATTCAAGAAAATGACGTGCGCCATCAGCACCGACAAGTCCAACGTAAAGACGCACTGCTTCTGGGACGTCAATGGGTGTATATGGTATAACTTTATGGCCAAGCTTTCGAAGAGCATCTGCAGCTTCGTTCACCGCTCGAATACAAGCAGGTGCTGGTGAAAACCAATTATCATTGGTATAATATCCAATCGTTAATCTTTTCTGTTCGTTGAATCGTTCTTCACGCCATGGTTGTCTCGGTGTCTCGGTATCTTCAGTCCACATCGTTTCTTGTAAGAATGAACGCATTACCAAAACAAGATCATCGGTGCAACGTGCTAATGGACCCACAGTCGCACGAACGTTTGTTTCACCCATATATTTCTTCGTAGATGGTACTGTTACACCTTTACGAGTGAGCCGTCCTGGAGTTGGTTTGTAACCAAACACGCCACAGAAATGTGCAGGAATACGAATACTACCGCCAATGTCCGAACCGATACCTATTGGCGCTCCATGAGCAGCGACAAGTGCACCATCGCCGCCTAAAATAAATTTTTATTAGACTTTTGCTTTTGCTTCTCCTCGATCACTCACCGGAACTACCGCCTGTCGTACGTGTTCGATTATAAGGATTAGTAGCAACTCCATAAGTTTCGCTTTCACTCTCAGGTAACATCATGCCTTGTATGGTCGCTGTGCGAACAAAACCAGCTATTGCTCCTTGTTCTTTCATAAGCTGAACAATAAGGCCGTCTTTTAATAGTGGTTGAAAATTGCGCGCTGTCATGCCCATCGAGGAATCTGCGCCCTTTTGATCAATATGATCTTTGATAGACATCGGAATGCCTTTGAGTAGAAGTTCGCTCTGATCATCAGTATCGGCATCGAATGTCTCGGCCGCTTGAATTGCTTGGTCGAAGAACTCTTCCGTCGTGCAGTTGATTTCTTGTCCGATTTTGATTGAACGAAGAGAGAGGACAAGAACCACCTGAGTGTAAGTAAACTCTTTTCTTTTCAGACTATCCAACAACTCAGTAGCCGTCGATTTGTAGATCTTCTCCGTTATTTTGGGTTCAGGCAATTGTGCTGCGTACTTAGTTCGGAGAAGATGTAGTAACTCTTCCCGACGTTTGTCACGAGCGAGTCGTTTTCTGACAGCACAATTGCGTGAAATAGAACGATAACGCGATCTTTGAAGCCATTTCCAAAAGAAAAGACTCGATAGAAGACCTATTGGCCACACATAAATTGGTATCATCTAGAAAAATCAAACAATTCACATAGAGAAGACTAGTTCGGTCGTAGAGCAGCAACTGGATCGAATGGTTTAAATGTATAGAAAGAAATGTCACCATTATGAACAATAGCTGTCAATATTTGTGCGTCTTTCTGCTCAGTATAGAGTTCTTCGAATTTCAATTCGGAATCGCCATCTTTTATCTTGACATGATAATCTGGCGTGGTCGATTGAGTTTTGCGAAAATTTTTTCTCGGTGTAAACATATCATAGACAATTTCGGATGGTAATGATGACGTAGGTGGACTCGATTGTGGAGCAAATGATGATAAACGTTGAGATATTGTACTATGAGATTGGAGATCGATCGATCGAAGAAGAGAGTACGATGGACGAGATGTTAGCGTTTTATTTTCGTACATTGATAACTGCACTTGGGAAACTTTCGAATTATATTCCGATGGAAGCCAATCAATCGATACTGGAGACAATTTGTCAGGAAATATCAAACGAGGATGGATTTTCGTCAATATTGGTGGATCATCAGTATATTTAGGAAACCATGCTCGTTGGCAATCCAATGAAGAATGAATCTGTGAAATAGGCAAAATCAAATAGAAGAATTTTGCATTGTAATATTTACCGGACAGATGGAAATATGATCTGGTTGAATCTCGGCTGTTTCGTCGTCTTCCATTTCTTCTCGTTTGCGTTTTGTACTACCGATTGTTGTTATCGCCACATCTCTTTTTTCGTCGCGTTGTACTATTGCCGAATGATGTCGAGTTAAAATAAACCCAATCCTCGTTAAATATTGATAAACGTGTAGGTGATTCAATTTATTCATTGATTGACTAAACCATAATGAATACGCTTCATCTAATGACAACGGAAAATTTGGTTTTTGATCAAAATTACTCAACGATATATGTAACAGTGATGATTGCATGAGATAGATCGCTTCTTCTGGATAAAGATAAACTTTCGAATTTTTCCGAATACCCATCGAAAGCAAACACTTGGCCAATGATCGATGCTGATGAACGATTTCAATCATATTTATCTGCGTACTCCACATACCATAGGACAAAGTCGATTTTCGACCTTGATACGGTAAACTGATTTTATTTAGGTGGATGTCAACGTCTGTTGATGTTTGCCGACGATGATCAGTCATCTGGAAAATAGAAGAACATAAAGCCGAAATTGGTTGTAAAAGCTTTGTTTAGTCATTATATTTATTTATCAATAGGACGAAGTTGTGCTATATATAAAACTAGAGTGTCGCCACATCGGATGGGATCAACTGGGTGTGTAATTTCATTTTCAGACCTTTTTTCAGAAACAGATCGAACCACTGGTTCCAAAGAACCAAATTTATACTCGTCGGGAACTATATATTGACCAAATGCATACCAGAACTGGTCTTTACATTTGATTCCTGTCTTGGTTTGAATCTAAATTGCCAACAAAAACATTGAGATGAATCGATTACTTCTTTGATAACGAACTTGTTCTTTCAAGTCATGAAGGTTTGTACCAGAATGCACGTAGATAGTCGATATCATAGGTGTTCGATTCAAATGACACTCAATGCGTAGATTTATTCTAGATAAATCAAATCAAATCAATTGGTAGAATACGTAAGTAATAACAAACTGAAAAGTAGTAGATGGTTCTGTAGTTGAGGTATTCTGGTTCTCATTACGTTCGACTAGATTCATGTGTAATTGTGCATGCACTTGAGCAAGGTATTTTGTTGCATGTATAGCATGCTCTGTGTGACCCTCTTGGATATATTTGACAAGATCGTTGGTGGCCAGTTCTGTGTGATCTATAGTAAAAAAATCAAGATGTAAACTTTTCACAGAGCGTTGCATGTAGAATACCCTCTGGTGTACGAATGCATAACGATGAAGTTGGTTGAACAGCGTCTATGTGTGAGTCGTCTATGAAATGGATGTGAATTGAGTTGTTGGAAAGCTGCAGAATATGTTGTTTACCTTTGTGAAAGAATGTTCTTAGTCTGTCCATTATACATTTCGATTGCCTCTCTTTTGGGTTATACAGTATGATAATGGTATTCAATGGTGATTGGATTGATACTACTGTGTCTGAACATGACTCTTCCATCCATTTGTAATGATTGAGCTCTTCGGATAAAAGTATCTACAAAGACTTCCGAACTCGAACGCGAAAATCCTATTTGAATATACCTGTTGATTGTCAATAGTTCGAAGGTAAACGAGACCTGAACTTGAATCTTCTAGAATTGCAACCGTAGCTTGAGTATAGGATTTCGGTGTTGTTCTATCCGATGGTTTAATGCGTACCATCGTAACCGGGGCGGAACTGATGTGAAAAGAAATCTAGAGCTAAGCTTAACATCTTTATTTTCAGTATCCTACCAACTTTGAATTGACATATCTGAAAATATATGAACAATCCATTACAATTTCACTCGAACAGAGCGAAAAAAATATTAGTTTATTTATTTACAAAAAATTCAAAGATCAAGTGGTAATGGTGGAGCACCAGTTGCAATTCCAGGCGAGCCCAGAGCTTGTTGTGCATCAACTTCATCGTCCGGTTCGCCTCCTTCGCTTTCTTCTTCAGCTTCATCTGCGTCTTCATCATCCTACAATGAAATATTGTTCTATGTAGCTTTTCTGTACGGCGTGAGAACCGATCGTACCTCGGCGCTGTCTACATCGGCCTTTCCAGGAAATGGTAAATTGACTCCTGAAATAATACTAATACGAATAGTTCAAAATATCTGCAAAGAAAAACCTTTTTCAAGACATTGTCGACGCGTCTGATCCAGCATTTCTTCTAACTTCGTCAAACTGGATTCTTCTCGACCTTAAGACAAATCATTTCGCGAATAAATCGATAAGATATCTTTTTTAGAGAGTTTACTAGGCTGTAATGGTCGATACCATAACGAATTAACTTTCGAGGGTTCTGTTGTAGGCCAAATTTGCGAAGACATTTCCTTTTGTTCGTTTCTTTGGGAAAATGAAATTCAATTGACAGTATTAAAACATTCATCACACGCTCCAACCAATCAGAAATCAACGGTAGCCCTCTATATTAAGAACAGAAATATACTTTTTTCCTTTTTACAGATGCTTTTGCATTATAACTTTCGTTATCAAATTTCACAATGAACTATAGACTCTGAAAAAGCTCTTCATCATACTTGAAGTTCTATTTCACAATGACTTTAGTGGTATACGCCGGTTGTATTAAGATTCGATGTAAATCACTTGATGGTAGTCTTCCTGTACATGAATCTTCCGATAGGTCAATAGTTCGATTGTATAAAGCAGGCTCTGTGCCTGAGAGCTATTTCTTGAAAGCGACAGATCATATAGCAAGCGAAGACGAAGTATGAATATCATTAGAATACATCATTATCAACTAATTTGTCTTATAGAAAATTATCTTCGAGATTCCACTGTCGGAACGTGATATATACAAATTTGGATTCGTGCATAACCAATCGGATGAAATATACTATAGTAACAGAATTTACACTTTGTACTTAAAACCAGAAGCAATTGCAGTTTCATGAAGAACTAAGAAGCTGCTTTGATATTGCGGGTTCTTTACCGCAAGGGAAATCAGCATTGCAACCAGAAAGGTCAACTACTATTCAGCTCAGAAACAGTTCAAAAGAACCAAGAACCATTGCTACTGTAAAAGGTAAAATCGCCATGCAATTCAGCACATTAACTAGCATTCTTTCAGAATGAAACCGACAGTAATACTGCTGCCTAGCCTCCATGGGACAATATTCAACTAATTTGCTAGTACTATGTTTAGACATTCTCAATGACGTCCATGAGTTAACTAAATCTATACAGACGGGTGAAGTTTGTCGAGCTGAAGAGCTCGCATCGAAATTAGCAAATCAGGGCGTTCAATTAACAAAGAAAAATATCAATCAAGATCAACTACATGATTCTCTTCGGTATGCTGATACCTATTATTTGCATGTATTATTTAGAAATACCGTTTGAGTTTCGTAGTATCCGTGTAAAAATCGATGGAATGGATTTACCAAGTAATTATACTGCTGAAGAACATACTCTGAATATTCATCAATCGACAACTATTCGTGAACTCAAAGCGATGGTAAACGAATTGATTACGAACATTTCCCTGTATAGCTTATGTCTTTGCCCATTTACAGTTTCAACGTACATGTGGATTCTCAATGGCGAATCAGTATTTCTTTGTCAACGGTCATCTCGCTCATGAAATGTATTCCATGTACGATTTAGGTCTAGAAGACAATGCATTTTTTATTTTATTTGTTAATGAACAAGTACACGGTGAATGACAACACCTTCCATCGGAAATTGAAAGCATTTCGATCGTTTAATAAAGATGACCTTCATTGCGAATTATTTCAGGTGTCTCGCGAGTTTTTAGCAAAATCGTATAGATAACCGGATTCAAAATCATGGACAGCTTGGCTATCAATGCACATGCTGTTACAATCCATGGCTCACCCAATGAAAAACTTCTACCAAATATTTGCGATAATGCCATAAGACCGTACGGTGTCCATGCGATCAAATAGATCACTACGCTAACACCTGTTGCTATCACAAATCGTCGGTCTTCATAAAGATGTTGCAAGCGCCGCAAAGTTTGATCGCATAAATCAGTAGAAATATGTCGTCGAAGCATATCTTCACTGTTTTGATCATATGCTCCGAGCGAAAGAACCGGATAGAGATGCGCTAAACGATAGATTGTTCGTTGAATACTAATGTTAATCGATATGATAATAATTAAAGGAATGAAGTAAACACAGACAAACAGTAAGAAGAAATAGAGACGGCTCGATAATGACCGATCGAACCAATCAAGGCCACAATGGAAACCAAGACCTTCCGGTACATACGCACTTAGACGACCGAATATAGGTGGAACGGCCCAGACGCCAGCCATGAAAGTGCAAATGAATACTAGTAGAAAATGTCTACTCTTGATTTGACGTTGGAAATGTATTGAAAACGGCGAATTAGCGGTTGTGGCATAGCGAACAAGAGATAATGCCACGAGCATATACATTGTGACGCAACCGTTGAAGAATGAATTGAAACCTTCTAGTCGACAAATGAACTGTGAACATAACCGATGACAAAGAAAACACTGCGTAAGAACTGGCGGTGTACTGATAAGAATAACGAACAGAGACGAAATGAACATTCCTGTGGTCAGCTTTTGATCTTGTAGAGAAATACGAAAGTGAGTTTTGGCAGATTTTAATGAGCATATAATGGCTATTAATGAGATAGAAGCGACAAGAAGTAGGATTATGCCAGCTACTTTGGAGAATAGACATTCATGTGCTGTTGCTTTACGGACAGCAGTGGAATTTGTTGAATTAATAACCGAATACCAACAATCGAAGGACATTGGCTCTTCAAAGAAAAAATGAAAAACGATGTTAAAGTTACGTTCGAACTCAATTAGTTACACTTACTCTCGAACATCGCGTCTTCTCCGCAAAAGATTCTTTCCCTAATGAAAACATTCATAGGAAACACTGCATACTTTTGTATATTTTAACTTACAACATAGGTTAGCAATTAAACACGAAGTGCTTTTTAAGTTTTAATTGTTGGGATGCCGCCGCTAAATACGTGTCTTATGACATGCGTCTGCAAGAATCCGACAGACAGACATTCGACTACATTGGATAATCGACATTAGTTTGTTTAAAGGATAAATTATCTCGGCAGATGTGTTTAATGCGTGCCAGGCGACGTTTTACAATTAACCGACGAAGTCATCGAGTGAAATCAAAGGTTCCTGCTTTTCTCTTGAAATGACAATTTTGAAATATCCGACAGCTATTGTATGTCAACGTGTATGACATTGAGTAACTACTGATAGAATTCCAAAGAGGGAAGTAAGTACCAGACGATATGGAGTGTAGACTATTACCTCAAAATTTCTACGCAACGAAAGCGAAGCTTTGTCGATCATTTAGTAAAATTTCTAACCTTTGTAAGCTGGTTTATTCGGCTTGATTATTTGATTTTCTACATGTTTTAACAGAACGACGGATGAACTAGCAGATAGGTTATAGATAATTGCTTCTTCGACTGACAACGAAGAGAAAAAATACGTTTTATGGCAGATTCGACTTCATCGAAATCTAGTATGATTCAGTCTAGATGAAATAGTGAGATGGTCAATGTAAACTCCAAACTATTTTATACAATATCAGACTTCTGTATTCAGCATGAATAATTAGTCGTTTCTAAGCGTTTTTTGTTAAATAGATGAATGTCGTTCTTGAGTGTGGTTGAAAATCAGTTGCACGAATTTATGTCAGAGTCATATACGGAACAAATGAATTTTGTGAACTATTTCATAATTTTTTTCTGAAAGGTATACAAATACAAGAATTTCATCTCTCCCAAGCGCACACCGTGGTATATAAATAAAAGGAAACGAAGAAAAAAGAAAAATCAGATGTCACTGTCTATGAAAACCTTATGTTTCACTGTGATCATTAGTGAACTGAATGCCGTGTTGCGAATTAAAACCATTTTGTTCGGTTGTTACCCCAGCGAATGGCGATGTGATCGAAGTAGGAACATTTGTTCGAGAAGATTTCTTCATATTCGTCATAAATTGAACGCCAGCAAAGACTAAGAGACCAACGTAAAGAAAAGCTGCAATCCAACAATTATAAGCACGTTGATGAAAAGCATCTTTGAGTTTGCTGTTGAATATGTCTATGTTCGTTTCGTTTTTGCCATCGAAGTCGAAATCATCTAAGAGAGGTGCAGCTTCAATGAAGAAAAATATTCCCATTAAGGCAAATTGAATGATGCCCCAAACCGATATGATCGAACAACATAATGATAATTTTGGTCCGCAAAGAGGCCACTTCATTTTCAACACACAAAGATCTAAAACACAGAAGAAAACTAACGAAAAGATGTTTTTAAATAAGAGAGTGAAATCTTCGCCGTCATTTGAGATAAAGATAAGAATGGTCAAAGTAAACATTGGAGAATTTTGCACCAATGTATCAACGAAGAGTAATCGATTCAACCATTTGGTTAGAGTCGATCAGAAAAAGTAAAGAAAGTGCTGTTTTAGCTGAAGGTAGTGTAAATATGTTTCTCGCTATCGATTTCCTGTTTTCTATACTTGAACGCAAAGCTATCAAATGTATGAAGAGTTCTTTTTCAGCTAGAAAAACTATTTGATCAATGTTGAGCGAAACATTTTCAATAATCATGAATCACAACTCATTCAAATACATCCGATGTGTACATTTCGAGAGAAAGATCGAAACAAAAAAAATGAGTATTCATTCGATGCAAAGGAATGGACGTGTTCGATGGGATATGGAAAAGAGTCTAAATGATGGTAATAATAATAATATATTGATCGATATCATTTTCTCTCAAAGAACACGAAATAGGAATAGCTAACACTTCTGCCCTTTTTTTGTCACCAGACGAAAAGCGAAAAACATTACAATTATCGTTTTTTTTCAATATCTTACACGTCATGGCCTTGCCAATCAGAAAACATCGATACGAGTCCATATGGACAAGAGCGGCCTCTGCGAAATTTTCGTGTTTCGATTTGTGAATAGACTTGTGAAAATGTCACTGCTTTCGAGATGAAGTAACTGAGTACAGATTATTTTCTTTATGTCATTGAAGGAGATTTATGTTCTATAACTACTTCTCAATAAAGCCTTTTTCAGTCGAATTGCGAATAAGTAAAACTAGTCTAGAGACATTGTTTTGCTTACATCGCAACTATGATGCAAATTAAAAGAACGAAAGCATGTAAATACTGAATAGAAATCGACTAAAAAGTCGGCCATATTTCCATAATCAATTCCACAAAGAAAGGTCTTTTTCTATATAAAAAACAAAACTCACTTGGAAGACTTTGCTCACAGGGTGTATTGCATACATTTTTGCGTTGCTCGGTATATAAGGAACTGTTTTATGAATACAGCGATACCTTCCAATTGCTTGCTCTTACTTTGCACCAGAAAAATTCCTATAGTGTAGCCATGATACGTGGTAGTATATTATGTGAACAATATGCAGCTCAAGCTGCTCAAACGGCTCGCCCGTCACAAATATCTTCACCGATTAGCTCGTTGGCTGATCCTCGATTCAGTCAGATCTCGACACATGCAGCCCATGAACGAGAACGACTTAGCCGTCATCAAGTCAGTCCAACTGATCTCATTCACTCACCGAGTATGGTGACTATGAATTCGAATGCTTGGTTACCACCCTCGGAAAAGAATACGAGAACTGATGGTATCAGTGCGAAAATGTTAGTTTAGTTTCGAAGTAGATCGTATTAGTTCTGATTGCCCTTTTTTCCGCCGTAGGAAAGGGTGCTTTACAACAGCGTGTAAGAACCGTTTAATAGGTTTACTCATCGGTCTCGGCATTGCCGCTGTTTCAACGGGCGTGGCTGTGGGAGTTCTCTTGACCAGTATGTCATTCATCGAAAACTAACAAGGCTTTTTACCAACGGTTATTTCATTCTTAGGACCGTCATCTTCGACAACAACAGACAATTCTGCATGTAACTACTGACAATAGTTTCCTAACGTTAATTGTTGATTGAATTCTAGGTAGTTCGCTACGATGGGAAGAATATGGGGTGATTGTAGCAGGAAATGGAACGTGGGGATCGTCAGCGAATCAAATTACATATGCGAGTGATATACATGTTGACTCGAGCGATGCAATATATGTTGCTGATTCGAATAACCATCGAGTGCAAAAATTCATGCCAAATAGTTCGATCGGTATTACCGTTGCAGGAATAACTGGTGTTTCGGGAAGTAATAGTAGTCTACTCAGTTCTCCAACAGCGGTAGCTACTGATGCAGATGGAAATCTGTATGTCGCAGATAGCTATGGCATTACAGTATGGCCAGTAGGTATACTCAACGGTACTCGGTTACCGGGTTCATCCGGTTTGGGTTCTTCTTACGACATCTTTGTTGATGCAAATAAGAACGTATACGTCAGTTACGTGTACGGCTGCGTCATAAGAATGTGGACGCCAACAGCAACTGCAAGTACTATAATAGCAGGTAATCAAATTTGTGGGCAATCTTTATCACAACTTTACTACCCCTATGGTTTTACTGTTGACTCACTCGCGAGTACACTATACATTTCTAACTATTACACTCACACAATCTTGACATGGCAATTGGGAGCTACAAATGGCACAATAATCCACGGAGAAAACAATACAGCTGGCTCTTTAGAATATCTACTTAACTACCCAATAGATGTGAAACGTGATCAACAGGGTAATCTATATGTTGCTGACGCAGCAAATAATCGTGTTATCCTATATTGCCCAAATTTACCAGACACAAGTGCTCGAATCATTGCAGGAATGCAATTTAACTATCCACTTGGTATAGCATTAGATTCAAATCGTAATTTATATGTTTTAGATTCGAACTCGTATCGCGTTTTAAAATTTAATCGCATTGGTTGACATTTTTCTTCTTTTCCTATCTTGTAAATAGTTATTTCTCAATAAATACTGCAGTGAACTATGATCTATACATACACTACTCGTATTCACTTTCAAACGATATATTTCATGAACGATACAATCCGATAGAAACTACTTTCATCCGCTGTCTCACCTTGTACGTTGCGTGCAAGAAGTTACACTTCATCTTCTTCGGCTCTTTCTTAGTACAAGCTGATATCGATCTGTTTAGGCACGGCAACTGGAATGGTTCGTTCATCATTCTAATACGGATTATCTTGATCCGTCTTAGAAACTGCCTATGAAAATCGTTGTGCGTATGCGAAAACTTGAAGTTAAGCTTCATTCTTGTTGTCGACCAGCGATAGAAATCGAGCATGGAAAAGATATAGTTCGATCAGGGTAAATTGCCATATAACTATGCAATCGATCTAAAATTAGTCTTCTATACCTTGACGTTTTTTTTTCATACATACAAACAAAGATCTTTATCGGAAACAATAATTGATTCTTGAGGTCGACACACTGTCTATGTTGTCACAAGAACGAAAGTTTACCAGAATCAATCATTGTTGACTAGTGGAGAAAACCGAAACGGAAAAAATATCTGTAGGATAAATATAAAACCAGGTATGTTCTATTTATTTTAGACAAGATCAATGTAGAAGAAACAAATCAGAGCCGTACGATAATGAATAATGAGTCTATGCTTTCAAAAAAAAGAGTAAAAAATAAATTAAATAAATGAAGAACGAATAGTCATTTTTGTATTCGATCTTCGGGTAGAAATAATGTAAACGTTCTAATCGGTATGAACATTGTGTCGATAGCTTGAAATACGTGATGAATTGCTTTCTAATCGACTTTGGCTCTTGGTTCTAGTTGGTTGTTGTTGTCTGACAACGATATCACCGTTAGCTTTCTTGATAACTGTTCGTCGGATGACTTCGCGTTCAGGTGTTGGCATACGATGTCTTACTTGACGGTAAATTGGCTCCGGGGTTGGTAATTTAATGACTTGTCGAATAATGCGCGGTTGACGACGACGAAATGTTCCCGGGACAGCATCTACGTATTCGACGATTTTATTTTGCTGCTGCTGCTGTGGTGGTGGTGGTGGTGGCGGTGCCGGTACTCGACGAGGCTGTACAACGTTTTGTTGACGAAGTGGTAAAGGCGCCGGTTGAGGATTAATTTGACCCGATGGTGGCTTTGAATAGACAGGTGCTTGTTGAGAATTAATTTGACCCGATGGTGGCTTTGAATAGACAGGTGCTTGTTGAGAATTAATTTGACCCGATGGTGGCTTTGGATAGACAGGTGCTTGTTGTTGTTGTTGTTGCTGTAATGTGTGATAATTGACTGGTTGTTGTTGTCTTGGATAAGCTTGTGCTTGTTGTTGTGATTTTGAATAAGCTTGCGCTTGTTGTTGTGCACCAGGGCATGATGGCGCCTGTTGTGGTTGTGGCTGAGGATATACTGCTGCTGATTTTTGATAGGATCTTACTGCCTGTGGCGACGAATAAGTTGGATACTGTTGTAGTCCGTAGTAAGGATTAGCCACAGGTGGTGATGGCTGTGTAGGATAGTTAAAAGGAAATGACGAATAAAAAGACGGTGGCTGTTGAAAACCCATGAATGGCGTATAAGGACTTAGGACAGCGGCCATGACAGTTTGTCTGTATGTGAAATTATTTATGAAAGAACACAATGTAATTTGAAGTTTGCGGTGAGTTATATAGCATGTCTTGTTGGTTAGGACGTAGGAGGACAAAAATAATGAAGAAGAAAGAAGAGAGACAGACGGGCCGAGAGAGAACGAGAGAGAAAAAAAGAGTCAAATGCGAAAAGCGAATACAGATTAGATATAAAAGAAACGAAGGAAGAAGAAATAATCGATCGATGTTAAGGTATAATTACACACATCAATACCGGGCGCTCAATAAAATATATGTAGAAAAACATCAGAACCCGCGACAGATCTTTTCAATGATGAATGATATCTTTGTGCATTTGTGTCAAGTAACTAATATAATTAATGAATATCTGTACACAACAGGTGAGTTACATGTTCCGTATGGATTCTTTGATAACATTTCGAAGAAATGAGTAAGCATTTATGCACGTTAAACCGTAACAAACAAAATGCGATGAAATGTGCAACTAAAACATCGAATCAAAAACATATTAATCATTTTTCTCTCTAAGACTTCGAGGACAAAAACAAAAAGCTCGTAAACATTGGTCAATGCCAACAAAATATGTTCAATAGGCATCAAACGATGAAATCAGTTAATCTTCCCATAATTTTTCTCGAATTAGTTCCATGTATACGCGATTGACTTGCATTAGTTATCAATATATTTTACCTTAATTTATTTTAATATATACATGTAAACCGACGACTGGATGCGGTAAGAAAAGAAGCATGCAATAGACTTTATTTATTGCACTTTTACATCACCATATGATGAAATAAATCATATGCTATTAGACGGATACCGTTCGATGAGCATGAATGAGGCAAAAGCAAAAAATTGATCTTATCATCAAAACGTTATTGCAGTCGTTTATTTCTCTTTTGAATACGAAAGAGTACGATCGAGATAAAAGGAAGATTATCGCATTGAGAAAATGATTGGATAAATAAATCATGAAGATATGACATTGACATGTTTTTGATCACAAGTGACAAGTGATAAACTTTGCACCGAAAGGATTCAGATTTTCAAACGAAGTGAACATCATCTAGGACCATAGAATACCATAGGTTATCCACAGTATACCTTATCAAAGTTTATCTTTGATTGTAGATGTTGTTGTTTGGAAACAAAAGTAGACCTCTTTCGTAACCGAAATGTTCCTATCAAAGGTTAATTTTCATGACTCGCAGTTGCATTTTACATGTGTGATAATCATCCTCTGCCCATTGATATGGAATATTCTCGCGCGATTGTGTCATAAATTGCTACCAAAGTACACACCGAAGTCTGTTCGATATCTCACATGTTACTTGTTGACAATATGGATATTTTCGTTCTCATCATATCGAGATTATTTAATTCGAAAAACAATTCAACACCAACCGAAAATCAACGTGCCCAATGAATATTCAGCACTAGTAGAAATCTTCGCGATTGGAATATTTCTTCTCGGGCAATTATTTGTTCTGTCATCGTTCTACAAACTGGGTATAACAGGAACATTTCTCGGCGATTACTGTGGAATTCTTATGGATGCGCCAGTTACCAGTTTTCCATTCAATGTTTTGAACAATCCAATGTACATCGGCTCGACATTATCGTTTCTCGCCATGGCTTTGTACTACTCATCACCAGTGGGTATTCTGTTGACGATTGAAGTCTATATTGTCTACCAAATTGCATTACAATTCGAAGAACCGTATACAAAATGGATCTATTCACAAAAGAAGAAGACAAAATAGATTTTTTCGCTGGTATGATCGTTACATTGACATTAGAATGTTGTTGTTTTTTTTTTCTAATAAAATAAATTTCGAAAGTACATATTAATGTCCTTATAAACATTGTCTATCGAGAACATATCCAGGGAAATGTGTTATTTACTAATTTTCTCTATCGAACACGCTGACCGTAAAAAACAATGCGCCATTTCATTGGTAATTATGTACATCTTTATTACTTATTCGGGTACAACAGTATCCGAAAACAACAGCTGAATATGAATAGTGTGTCTTTAATAATTAATCAACTTCGATAAGTTAGTCCTTTAGATACACTTCATTTTAACATGACGAAATACAGAAGTTCAGTCAAACTCTCTCGTACGTTATCACATCGTAACAACAAACATCCAATGTCTATCGCTTCATTTGCTTGATAAGAAAGCTGTCGGAATCAAAACAACTTCTTTTGTTTTGATCCGCTTGCCAAAAAACGAAGTCAATCTTATCCGCCAATATCATGTCATTTATCATGGATTCTTCTACGAACATTGCCGTCGTACCAAAGAACAGAGGTAGACATACGATCCATCATTCGAGTATATATCCAAGTAGAATATGGCCAGTTTTCTGTAGCTATGTAATGACGGTTACATCTTGCTTGAAGAAACATCTGGCATGATCGTTTGATCGCAATAATAAATGTGTAACTATAGATGATAATAATCGGTTAAATCATATGGACAATAAGGACTAAGATTTCCAATTGAACACAAGACAAGGTCGACTTATTTCTTCCGGATTCATTCGAAATAGCCGATAGATATAACTAGATCGATTTACCGCTCACCTTAACCTTTTCGCTGCATAAATATAACGAACGAGACGAGCATTTGTTTTTTTGTGACTCGTTGCTAATCATACCTTGAAGCGCACATGTCTATCAATCTGCCGTTGATAATCACTTTCGCTACTGATAGGTGATACGTCTAATTCGATAATTTTCACTATCCTAGTAAATTAAAACTAGTTATCGCGTACAATGCAGACTAATGGGCGGTCGTGCCATTAGAAAAATGAATCGTCGAAGTTGTATTCGGCTCAGTGCTTGTTGCACTTCGTTAGAACTCGTAGTAATTCAAAGTGCGACACGTTTCTTTTCCGATTGAATGTCGTTTTGCAATCGAGATTTGTATTGACAAATCAGTGGATTCATTAAAAATGATATGATTCTGTCATAACATACTATGATCATTAATCCGATCGACAAAGAAGGAGATTATCGAAAGAAAAAGTTCACTGATCATATAATCAGTTAAACTATTGTTTAGTGAACAATCATTTCATACGCAACAACAATGGCTAATAGTTCGAGCAACGTCTGGCGTGTTTTTTGGACTCTCATACACGAATGGTTCTGTGCAGCATTCATTCATCTGTATATTATTCATACATTATTAGACGGTCGAAATCATTCTCAAAAACACCATAATGAAGGTAAATTAAATCAAGATTGACGAATACGTTTCGAGAGTCTCGCGCAATGCGCCGAAAAAAACAGAGATAGAAAAGAACTGGTGAACAAGTGTGTTTTGGTTTTATTAACCAAAGAGAGTTTATATCAATTTGATCGGAAGTACAATATTTGTAGACAGAAGAGATTACTTCGTTCAAGCTACCATATGATTTTACTGTTTATTTATTTGCATTCCAATTCTAATCGTCATCAAAATTTCAAAGAAACAAGACCAATTAAGAATATTCAGTAGTTTCCGTATTGGAAATGAGTAATCTAATCCCCCGTTGTATCCATACTTCTGTCGTATGCTGACCGCTTTTCTTTCCCTTCTAGTTTTTTTCACGAGAGAGAGAGAGAGAGGTCGAATGAGTAATGACTATGGTATATTCTATTTCTCGCTTTTCTCGTTTCTTCTCTCTCACTCTCTCTTCCCTGTATATCCAATGATTAGTAGGGATACTCATTGTTTATACGTGCATGAAGCAAAGCGGGCACCATTTTTTTCTATTTCTCTATACATTTGGGCGTAGGTTAGAGAGAAGTTGTAGAAGAAAAGGAAAAAAAGCAAACGCGTACAGAAGATAAATATCTTGGATAATACATATATATGTACAACTCTCCGTGCTGAGATTCGTCGGAACAGACAGCAACATTTTATTATTGACAGAAAACCGTGTGAATAAATAATGTCAGATTTTCATGAAGAGCCATGTATGTACACGATCGATGGTTTTGATTTGAGATTTTTTTTTCTATTATAGCAATTGATGATGGTAATGAGTCAGAAGATGCATTGGAACGACTACGGAATATTACAGAAATGTTTAGTGCAAAGTCGGCTAAAGACGAGAAACAACAACAGTTGAGTAAAGTGGAGAAATTTGTACCAAGTGAAAAGATCAAAAATACCTTTCAAAAGTAAATTATCTTCATGATTCTACGAATCAATACACTTTAGTATTTCAATAACTAGATTCGAAGATATCGGAGCATCCAATGGTCATTTTCAAAGAGATGATGACGATGAAGATGAGAATGATAATGACGATGAAGGAATCCGGCCAAATGGCGTTATTCGTTCTGCACGCATAAAAAAAGCCTCCAAAGAACACGTAAAAACTCGACTGATGTTCTTGATTATTTCTGACATTGGCTTTATTTAGGTTCCTTATCATGAAATGGCGGAGGTGAAAGATAAATTTGAAAAAGGTTTAGTGGATGTCAATAAGCCTCGTGCGGAAAAACGCTTAGACTTTCGCATACAAAGTGGATTGACATCATCGAAGAAGCAAGCTTTTGAGCAGGGAGAATTTGAGCAAGAAGTTGAATCACATGTAAACAAAATTCAGATTGAAACTGATCTGGTTGCCGGTTTAACATCATCAAAAAAGCAAGCATTCGAACAACAACAACAACAACAACATATGGAGAATGACGCAAATCAGATGAATAGAACGATCATCATGGAACGTGATGCATTAATTGGTGTAGCAATGGAGAAAAAAGCAAAATTCGAAAGTGGGGAGTTAGCAGCTGATCGACCGAAGATCTCCGGACGTCCAGACGAAATCGAAACCATCGTTGGATCAGGTCTTGCACAAGCGAAACGCTCAGAAATCTTATCAAAGATCGAAAATGAACAACAAGTTCAACGTTCTACCGATCGTGTTATTGATATCGATACAGAACAAGGTTTAGCTATTGCTCGACGCGAGCAATTAGCATCATTAGCTAATAGTGAATTCAAATCGACAGAGAAACATATTGACGTAACTGCAGGATTGGCAACAGCAATTAAAGAACAATATATAGCTGATGCAAGTAAAGTAGCAGCTACGGTAACAAAAGCACCTGTTGTCACGAACGATATCGAAAGTGGCTTGGCAAAAAATCGAGCGATAGTATTTGAAAAACCCGATGAAACTACAGTGAGTTCTTTTGAAAAAAAAGCAGTGTGCGCATCTGGAGATTTTTTTAAGGTTAGACGAACAGTGGATATCGATAGTGAACTTCGCGAGCGTGGCGTTGCGAAAGAGCGTGTAGCAATGTTTAAAAATCTAGAAAATGGTAGCCAATCATCAACAAACGGTGGTTCTGGCGATACGAAGATTCGTGTTGACGTAAGTTTCGACGATCTCTTCTTTTCGATTAGCTTTTGATGATAAGACGATTGTCTGGTAAAATTTTCAATGATTATCCATATACAGGGCTTTCGATGGCACGTGAAGACGTGTCAGTTACTCAACGGTTCGACGCTAAAACGAAAACATCAGGTTTCTATCATCTCATCTATAAGATAGAACTTCTTCTTGATTCACATTTAATGGGCTTGTTCGATACTAATTCATTAACAAACTTCTTTCTTATTCTATTTTAGCGTGTCGATTTTTCTGACACGCTGATCAATATGAGTGTGAGATTGAAAATAAAATCGACAAGTTTGGATATACCCAACGTTCCAGTGACATCAGATGAAGTATATTGAACACATTTTTCTCCTGATAATGTTTGTTCATACCTTCTTTCATTTGACTATGCTCAACTGTCAAGCATACATCGAATGTCTGCTTCTTCTTTTTCCCACGAGCCTTTTTCTGATGCACTGCTGCAAAACCTTAACAACTGTTCTTGATTATAAATTCCAATGCGATGCTTTCATACCTTTTCACAAAGCGCACCACATGTGTACCTCCTCTCTCGATATCATTTGACATGACATTGACAACAGCATGAATAATTCAAGTTATTTTCTTTTTCATAGGTTATGTAAATAAGAGATTTTATTGACTTATTAAACACTCCGAAAGGTTTCGAATAGTTAGTCGCATTGATGTGAGATAATCGCTATCTCAGTAGATAATACATCTACGATTTGAGCGGTTATTATAATTTTCTTTTTCCGTTGGAGATGAAGTTCATTCTGGTATTGTCTAATTTTTTAAAGCATCATGACATAGGGAGTTTAAGTTATGTAAGAATCATGACCTTCAATCGGTAAGCATGCGAGTGCATGTATACACGTTCATATATCATTTTCTCTTTCTACTTAACCCTAAAAAAATCAAGTTAGTCAAGAGAAATGTCTTGTCCGTTCTGTCATTTCTAAGAAAAGAGAAAGTGATGACATAGACAGAAGGAGAAGAGATACACTCTCATAGATCGAAGAAAAAATTTCTGACTATACGCATATGCACATGTCATACATACATTTTGTAAGTAGACGATAACGTTCGCTTAACTTCTTCTACTAACAATAAACATGGTGTGTGAAATTTGTCCGTGTTCATTTTCTTGCTGTTCATCATCGTTTTCTTCGATTGATTAGGAACACGGCAATGTCGTACGTGAAAGTGATAAATGTGAAGAAATTTACTTTGAAAAAGGTCAAACAAAACAGTTAGTCGAACAATGGAAAACGAAACAAAATTCACCCGATCGTGAAACATCTGAACCGCCAACTATATCTGATACAGAAATCGTCCAACAAGGTAAAACTTGATCCTGACCTTCTTCTCTTTTTCATTAGCGTTTCGTCCAGGTAAAGCGAAACATCTTGTTCAAATGTGGAAATCTATCGATAAAGAAAATACTCCACCACCTGAGCGACGTGGGCTACGTGCGTTCACTCCCCCAGCTGATAACGAACGGCGTTTACCGCCACCTTCGGATAATGTAAGTGATCATGATTTGTAAAATCTGAACTCTATCATACTTGCAATGTTTCCAGGAAGAAACCGATTCTCATACACTCAATTGTACGGATGACAAAGCCAGTATTGAATCGGGTTATGCCAAAGCTGTTCGCGAAAGGTATACACACATTCGATTGTTCGAGACATATCTCTTCTTATTTGCATGTCTTGTGCTATAGTAGAAGGGAGATGAATATCGGATTTCAGAATATCCTTTCTATCACTCGGACTATACATACTAACGATGATGAGTATGTTGCTCGTGCTTCTTCTTCTCCTTCTCCTCGTTTCAAAGTGCATTTTACACAGTTGAAAGACACGATACTTTTCTATTCTTAGATTTTTACAAAATGCTGAACAGAATAACACAATTAGTAAAAGAAAGACACTTAAACAAATTACACCACCACCCGAATCACCAAGTGCCCAACGGAGGTGAACTATTTGACTTAAAGTCATATTCGAAATTTCCTCTTGAAAATTTAGAAAATCATCAGCATCACCGACTGATGGTGTGAGCACGACAGATTCTTCGAACAATACTGAAGAAATCATCTCAATCAAAGGTCAAACAAAGTCGCTGAAAAGTCGTTTCATTGAACTTGAACAAGATGCGATGAAAGTCGAAACAGCATCATCAAAAATTAAATACGTACCAAAACGTTTCGTGGTATGTTCATTCGTCAACCTAACTCATTCCGGAAGCTAATCTGCATTTGTTTTTAATTACCTTCACCCTTATCTGATGATATTTCATCTCTTGTCTGCATCTTCTTGTTGGACAAGAATAGACTAATTGCTAAAAAAAAGCCGTTGATTCAAAGTATAATGTCAATTTTCTTCTGTCGAGTGCAGACAATGCGCATACTTGATCTTCGTATCCAGTCAGTCTAATCGAGCATTGTTTTGCTTGAGTTAAACATATGTAGAGATTTTCCCTGAAGAGTATTAATTTATCTTTATTATTCTTGACAATCAAGAGTAAATATACATGAAGTGTTTATCCGAACAAAACAAAACAAAAACAAACCATATTGTCTTTCATATTCATGTAGAACACTCCTGCACCTAAACAATTACCAAGCGACGCTATCACGGATCCAACAAAATGTTCGGCATGTAACAAAACAGTCTATGCAATGGAGAAGGTAGGCGACTTCTTTGATAGACCTTCACAGAAAGAACAATGGATCATCAATTTAGATTGAAGCAGATAAGAAAGTGTATCACAAATCATGTTTTAAATGTATGCATTGCAAATCGATTCTAAAGTGAGTATTCAGCTGGAATCATCTACATTTGTTGTCTTCTTTTAGAAAATAAATACTTCAATTTCGCAATCATTTCTAGTAGGATTTTGCGTTCTTCTCTCTATTCTCTTTGCTGTGCGATTGTTTGACAAGCATGTCTATGGGAACGAATTCAAGATTACCTCTTCACTGTTCAGTTGTTTATCGAGATTTCTATTTTCTAGACTTGGTAATTATACAGCAAACGACGGACAGATTTATTGCAAACCTCATTTTCTTCAATTATTCGCGATCAAAGGAAACTATTCCGAAGGCTTTGGTCTAAACGATCACAAAACACGATGGTCAGCAACAAATGGTCCAGAATCGACATCGTTCACTGAAAATTGAAGTCTTTCTACTGCTTCGTATGCGTAATTATTGAAAAATCTTAAGTTTTCTTTTTGTTGTATAATCATTTTCTGTTTAAATGATTGCGAAATTTATACATATATATATCCCATTCTTAATCTTCAGTGTGCTATTGTCTGATGTTTCTTGTCTTGTAATACAAATAAAATAATTCTTTCTTGATTCTCATCTCTAAACACACGCATACGATTGTTCATGTCCGCCATCTATCCGATCGTATTGGATTGTTCTCAACGAGTGATGATTCATCAAAGTTTTACTCTTCGATAGTTAGTTTGGTATATTTTAGACAACGTAAAAATCGATTGTAAGATGGCTACACGTCGTACGAAGAAGTGGCTTCATGTCAAGGAACGTAAATCAAAGTTTGCCACACGTCAAGCAACGCGTTCGGAAATTTTGCACGTAGAAGAAGAAGGGTAAAATTGAAAATTGAATAGTATTTTTCTGAAATTTTATCAAAATATCTAGCTACATTGCTCCAGATACCGTTGACAATGAAGATGAACGGATTGTTGATTTAACTCAAGCAGATATAAAATCATCCGTGGACATTTTCAGTGCACAAAAACGTTTTGATCTTCAGCTTCCATTGTATGGCCCTTATCATATTGATTATACACGAAATGGACGGTTAGTGTGCTTAGAAACTAATATAGATTGTAATTAAGCTTTTTCGTGATTTTAGACACTTGTTACTCGGTGGCCGTAAGGGTCATGTGGCAGCATTTGATTGGCAAACAAAGAAATTACATTGCGAATTGAACGTCATGGAACAAATCAATGATGTGAAGTAAAGAGAATTGAAATGCTTTCTGTTCATCGATAAAAATCTCTTTCTTCGTTGTTTACTAGATGGTTACATATTGAAACTATGTATGCTGTTGCCCAACGACAATGGACTTATATTTACGATAATCAAGGTGTAGAAGTCCATTGTCTTAAAGCGCTCGATCGTTCGTTACATTTGGAATTTCTTCCGTATCATTTCTTACTCGCTGCTACAGTAAGTGACAAAGATTCGATTAAATTTCTTCTCTCTTGACGAAAATGCATTCAGAATGAAGCAGGATATCTGTCGTACATTGATGTGTCGATTGGTAAAAAAGTTGCTGCTTATAACACAAGAATAGCGAACGGAAATGGCAAATGTGGTACATCAGTCATGTGTCAGAATCCATCGAATGCAATGATTGGTCTGGGTCATGCCGGTGGCGTTGTCACATTCTGGTCGCCAAATCAACGAGAGCCAGTAGTTAAAATGTTAGCGCATAAATCAACAATAAGATCAGTAGCAGTCGAACGTACTGGAACGTAAGAGAAATAAAGAAAGAAATTTGACAAAAACAAAATCAAATCTTTCTTGGGTTTAGTTATATGGCAACAAGTGGCGTGGATGCTAAATTAAAGATATGGGATCTACGAACTTATAAATGCGTAAACGAATACCGTACAGCGTCGACTGGCGCATCAGCATTAACATTCAGTCAGAAAAATCTTCTTGCTGCTAGTTACCGAGATATTGTCGAGGTACAACAGAAATTTTCTATCACACTCGAACTAAATCTTTCTTTCCATAGATATACAAAGATCTCTATGATGAAGAATCATCATCAACTGAACTACCTCGTTATCTTGTTCATCAATGTCCCAATGGTTCGTCCATTGCATCGATCGCGTTTTGTCCGTACGAAGACGTGCTCGGCGTTGGTCATGATCGTGGATTTGTCTCATTACTTGTGCCTGGTGCTGGCGAGCCCAATTTCGATGCTCTAGAAGCAAATCCATATCAAACGAAGAAACAACGTAAACACGCCGAAGTTAAACAACTACTCGATAAGGTAACAGGAACAATAGTTTTCTTTCGCTCATGAATTTCTTCATTGTAGATTCAACCTGATATGATTACATTGGATAATTCTGTATTGAGCGAAATCGATCGAAAAGCATTCGTTCGAAAACAAGACGAAAAACAGAAAGAATTCAATTTTGTAAAACCAAAAGAGTTGATTGCTAAAGCTGAGAAGAAGAAAGGCAAGATTGGCAAACGATTAGCACGCAAAAGTCAAATTCACGATGCTAAACTTAAAGAATTTCTTCAACAAAAACAACTGAAACGTCAGAAAACGAAAAAATAATACCTGTGCTTGTTTTCTTTTGTTTTGTTATCTGTTTTGAATAAAAATTAGAACAATACAACTGACTCGTTATATTTTGTACTGTAACACCAACAAAGTTTTCTCTCTGTATATTTGCAGACAATGATTGATTGGAATTGGCTTTGGGTCGTTGGAGAACTGGGCATCTCCTATGGATTCTATCGATGGTGGAAATCAGATGATAAGTTCTTGGCTGTCCTTTCGGTACACATCTCTCTTTTCTAAAAACTTAACAAAAAGATTCTTTCCTCTGAATACTAGATGGTAGTTGAATGAGCTTAACTTGTTTAGGTCGCCCCGGATATCGATATCAATGATCTAAAGCAATACTCTTCTTCGAAAACATCGATCGACTACGCTGTTATACACGGTTTTGTTCGAAGAAACGATACCAAACCAAATTCAATCCTAACTTCCCATTTTCTCCCACATTGTCTCGGTGTTATTCATCGTTTAACGATACGTGAAAAGAAACTTGAAAAATTCCGAAGTGTTTGGTAAATCCACAAAAGCACATCCAACGATTTAGATTTCTAATATAAACTCTTTCTCACCATACAGGGCGGAAACGAACAATACAATCAGTGATGGAACGCGCTTTGTACCATTTCGACTGGCATCACAAATAGGAAATTCTATTCAGATCGATCGGCCATTATCATTCAATTCGATTGTTGATCACTTAGATGTCACACATGTGAAATTCGAACCTAACACGAACTCTACACTCCATCGAGTGTTCGATTTTCTCGTGGGAGATGTATCAACAGGTGAATATATATCATCGAACAATTGAACCATTTCATTTCGATTTCAATTGTAGGGATTGAAACTAAAGAGCAGATGCTATTGCTAGATTCGCCTTTGACCGGTGTTGGTCGTCTAGAAAAATACCCGGATGGCATGTGGCATCTCGTTCCACATGAACAATGGGGTGGGATTTTGACTCGATCATCTCGTGCAGAAATCATTTCAGAATATGAAGATAGTTCTTCAATAGCTCGATTTATCAGTATCTGCTTTGGCCTTGCTGCACTTGGTACAGCTGCTTATTTCCTATATAAATACTATTCAAACCGACGGCGGCGACCACCATCATCACGAATCACTCGGCCATTGGTAGATCATCATCCAGACGAGGCCGACCGTCCTGCGACGACTCAACTTCGATGTGTTATTTGTCTAGAAAATGAAATTATCTACAGTCTTCAACCGTGCTCACATTTAGGTCTATGCCGTTCGTGTGCCCATGCTCTACAATCAAGAAATCGTGCTGAAGAATTGTGTCCACTTTGTCGCACACCTATCGAAGAATATCAGCGTGTATTTTTACCATAGGATGGTAGTTGTGTGTTCCCTTATCTAATCTAGGTTCCTTTTACAAATTTTGTTTTGCAAAACATATTCATGTGTTTATTTATATGGAATATACATTTTGATGTGTCATTTGTTGACTAGACAAAATCATAAATCATTTACAATGCATAAAAACAATGAGCAGCTCTTTTTCTCAGTAGATAATGCTTTGTCATACATGTGTTTATCTTTCTTTTCTTTATTTTAATGCTCGATAATCATGAATGTAATAACTTTGGTGATAAACGCTTGTATGTTAACCTCTAGTTTCTATTTGCTTTAGAATAAAAACAACATCTAGTCAAAGAGACGATAGAAAGAAAGAAACAATTTATATGTGCTTCTTTTTTCTTCACTCTTTCTCTCCGTGTGATGATATAAATATCCCTAGATAAATGTAACTTTACTTTCACTTCATCATTTTTCATTGAAGATTGTCACAGTAGTTTTGCCATGGCTCCTATCGATTTGCCCACAGCTGTGTAAGAACATTTTATTTCTGAAGGAAAGTTGGAAATTTCCCTGTGTTTCTTCCTAGTGACGTGCAACTGGTAAAAAACCTTTCATCGTCATTGAATGATTATGATGCATTGGTTTTGGTGGCGACCGATTTGAATGAAATCACCCCGTATCTCGATGTTGCAGTTACAAAGCATCTGCAATCATTTCGTGAAGTATGACTCGGAACTTTGCTTTCTGAAAACGAAAAATCAATTCTGTTCTAGGTAAACAGTAGCTTTCACGATGACATAACTGTGTCTGTTCATGAGAATGTTCCCGGCAAACGTTTGGTATACATTTGTAACAAAGAAAACTTTGAATACTTATACGATGTTTTAGGTTTTTTCACCAACTGGTCCAGTGAATCGAGATTATGATGATGTTCGTCGCTTTTCGGATGCTGCATTAGCAGGTGTGAAGAAAGCAATAGGAATTGGAGCTAAAGCACCTCTTGTTGCCAGCTTCGGATCGACGAAATACAGACAAGCAAATTTAGTCACATTACTTGCAGCACTCGAAGCGACTTATGTGGTAAGACGAGTGGCGAAACTTTCTATAAGATTTGAAACTTCGTGATTTCAGCCATTACAAGTTCGCGAGGAAGTGCCAGACAAAAAAACCAAAGTGAACAAATTAGGCTTCTTTACTGGTCAAGCATCACCTGACAACGAATATGATCAACGATTGATTGATTATGCTCGAGCAGTTGAATTTGGACGAGCTGTTGGTCGAGATATTGGTGGAGCTGATCCTGAACGTATGGCACCACCGCGTGTTGCTGAATATGTTCAAGAATTATTTGGTAAATCGTCGGGAATCAAAGTAAATTGAACAAAAGGCATCTCGTTTTCTGTTCACTTGATCTTTCTCGCATTCTTTCAGGTAAACGTGATCAAGGACAAAAAGGAGTTTGAAAAAGGTTATCCTTTGTTCGCTGCCGTTAATCGAGCTGCAAGCGGTATGTGATGAAAGCTCACATTTCTACGCTAAAGACTAACTACCAAACATTTTTCAGTTGTCGATCGTCATCACGGACGTTTAATCTTCCTTGAATATGTTGGCGAAGGCGAAATCAATACAACTGCATTATTTGTCGGTAAAGGAATTACCTTCGATACCGGTGGTCTTGACATCAAAGGTACGCTATAGCGTTGATTCTTTTAAATGATAAATTTGAAGAAAATCTGGTGTTCCATTTTAGCCGGTGGTCATATGGTAAAAGAAATGATTAGTCGGTTTCTTTGTTTAATCGACTTTCTGTCGAATAGGCTGGCATGTCATATGACAAATGTGGCGCTGCGAATGTCACCGGTTTTTTCAAAGTCCTATCTGAATTGAAACCTAAGCAATTTAAAGCCATTGGCGTTTTAGCCGTAGCACGTAATAACTGTGGTGAAGAAGGCTATACAGGCGATGAAGTGATCACATCTCGCGGTGGTGTTCGCGTTCGTATTGGAAATACTGATGCGGAAGGTAAATGACAGCGAGGGGAACATATAGCGAAGACAAAATTTTTTGTTTCTAGGTCGCATGGTTATGGCTGATCCTTTATGTTACATAAAAGAACTCGCTGTCAAAGAAGTGAATCCACACCTGTTTACTATGGCAACATTAACGGGACACGTCATTCGTGCCTATGGAAGCAACTACACAGTAAGTTGATCCTTAACAAAACGATTTTGCCATGTGCAACTATAAAATGTAGGCCACAGTCGACAATGGCCCAGCTCGAGGTGCAGAAATCTCGCAAAAATTACAAGCAGCAGGCGATGAAGTTGGAGATCCATTTGAAATTTCCACTGTTCGACGCGAGGTTTGTCCGCTTACTTAGTTTTCTTATCTATAATCGTTGTTTCCATTAAGGATTATGCTTTCATTGCGGATGAAAGCGAAACAGCTGATGTTTTACAATGTAACAATCTGCCCAGCAGTGGCACATCGCGTGGTCATCAATTTCCAGCTGCTTTTCTCGCTCGCGTATCTGGCCTGGACAAGCACGGTCTCGATTCAGCACAACCCTTACGCTATACCCATTTGGACATTGCTGGCAGTGGTGGCGAATTACCGCAATCACCAACAGCTCGTCCTATTCCAGCACTATGTCAAATGTTTATCGCCGATCGTGTACTTCATTGAACCAACGATTCCTTTCATTGATTTTACTCTTATTTCAAATTTTTATTGACTAAATAGCTCTTTCATTCGATTATCGATCTTTTCAATAAATATCAAAGAGATTAGCTCTAAGCGCTGCAACGATATTTATCATATTGAAAAAGGCAAAATCAGCTTCAAGTACATTTACATCTCGCGATGAAATCGCATATCGACCGTAGTTATCGAGTGACATCTTTCATGTCGTATTTTGAACATGCTAATCCCCGCTTCCAATAGGAAAAAGAGTAGTGTTCTGTTCTCACTCAAACTCGATGCAAGTAGCGCTTCGTATAAAAATAGTTTCCTGCTGTTAGATGCACGCATCTATCGTATTTTTTTCATTCTTCCGGGAAGTCGAAGTGTGTTAGTGCATCTTCTCGTTCTTTCTCTCGCTATATCCAGCTTGCAATCAGTGTTGTGTTCATCCATATTCATACAATTTTGTTCGATACTTTCTTGATCTTGTGAAAAAAAGACAACAAGACATTCACGAAGCCAGGTCATGACCGAATACAAGCTCGTCGTCGTCGGTGGTAAATTTTTTAATGAAGAAAAAGGGAGACAATCGATACTAACACTTTCTGTTGTTTTTTTTTTCATAAAAAAAGCTGGCGGCGTGGGCAAAAGCGCATTGACAATTCAATTGATTCAAAACCAGTACGTTCATTTCTTTCGTGTCAATCTATGATAACCTTGAATTTTTCTAATAATAGTTTTATCGATGAATACGATCCAACTATCGGTATAAACTTGTCCTCAATTAATTTATTGTTTGTTCATTTATTCATCTATTCAGAGGATTCATATCGAAAGCAAGCTGTTGTAGATGGTGAAACATGTCTTCTCGATATTCTTGTATGAAAACTATATTTATATATACATATTTATGCTAATCAATTTTCCTGATTTTTTTCCTAATAGGACACCGCTGGTCAAGAAGAATACAGGTTGGAGTCCATATTAAAAAGAACTGACTGAATTCTATCTGCTTTTCATCTAGTGCTATGCGTGATCAATATATGCGGGGTGGTGAAGGTTTCCTATGTGTATTTGCCGTTAATAGTGCCAAATCATTCGAAGAAATTAAGCAATACCGTGAACAGGTAAAGACGACAGGAGAACATAAAATCTACTGCGTGTTAATCAAAATTCGTTAGCAGACTAGATTCTTATAAACATCAGTCAATGAGATGAATCGTAATTATAAAATAATCAAAGCTTTTCGCTCATTAATAGCTGCGCTGAATTATTATTTTTTTTGCGAACTAAATAACTCCTAATGAATAGTTAGCATTACACGTTCATGATCTGTATTTCTATGTATATTTAGATCAAACGTGTTAAAGATGCTGATGATATTCCTATGGTTTGTAAGTAGCGCAACGAAGATTTGATTCGCAATGATTTCGATTATTACAATGAAACTTCATTCTTTCAGTGGTGGGTAACAAAATCGATTTACCAACGCGAACAATCGACTTATCATATGCAAAAGACTTTGCCGCCTCACTGTCAATGCCATTCGTTCAAACATCCGCGAAAACTCGGCAAGGTGTCGAAGAAGCGTTCTATACACTTGTACGAGAAATAAGAAAATACGTAAGCATACAGACAAATTGTGTTTATTTGATACATCAAAACATGAAATCATCCATTTTCTATTTGTAGAAGGAGCGTACACGTAAAGATCGAAAAGGACGAAAGAATAAGAATGGAAATAGTAATAGCGGAGGAAAATCCTCGGCAAAAGATGGCCGAGGTCAAGGTGGAAAACGTGGAGGAAAACGAATGTGTTTGCTCATGTAGAAATTTATTATTTTAAGTCATTTTTTGGCAATAATCAATCAGTCATTTCTGCTCTTTCTCTCGTTTATATACAAATGACATTTTTGTTTCTTTTTTTGCTTTGCATCCCTTTTTCTCCCTTCACTGTCAGATATTCGTCGCGTGTTTCCGAGAAACGATTCATTTGTTTGTGTGTGTGGTGTTGTGCTTTATATCTTCTATATTTCCTAGTCAAACAAACATACATATTTATTCGTTGTGATGTGATAACACACAACAAGTCTTTTTTCTTCTCTCTTTGTTCTGCTTCAACGCGTGTTTCTTGTCCTTCTTCAACTATTATCGTGTGTGCAGTAGTTTTTTGTTTTGTTTTCTGGAACGCAGAAGAATGAATCAATTTTGTTTTTTCTTTTCTTTGCACAAAAGAAAAATTTTAATTCTAATTTTGTTTTAGATAATTGCTCGACGTTTTTTTTTGTATATATGGAGGCAGCCGATACCATTTCACCGTCGAATATCGAATTAGAAGAGAAGCAAAATGATGGATTAGCTGTTAATCGAGATAAAAAAAGAACAGTAAGAGCCGAAACTTATTTGACACGATCGACATTTCGTCTTATTCTTCGTTTAGCGATTTAAAAGTCCGATAAGGTAAGATGACTACTTAGTTTCTCACTTCTAGTCGAGGGATGTGCAGGAAAACTTCTTTCACTGGTTATTTAACGCGCATCAGTGTCTCATTTTACCAGGTAAACCGTACTCTATCGTTGATGATTTCTGCTCGCGTCTTTGCACCTGATGCTTTGTCATAATTTACTCGATTCGGTAACGGGAAGGAAAACCTCTTGAATGATATCTGATGCTGTAACCAAGCATGAATATATGCATGCGTCGTATTATGATTGTTTAGACATATCTTCAAGCCGAAGAAGAATGATGAAAGTTCATCATATTATCGACTTCAGGAAGAAAAACAATATTCAGATTTACAGGTGGGTGAGAAAGAGATGAACATGTGAGTTTTATTTCTTAAACTTTATCTTCTAGTTCAAAGAACCATCCGTGAAAGTACCAGTCTATGCGATTAGCTTAGCTGCCGGCCTTTTTCTTGTTGGAACAGTGATGATAACATTAGGTGCACTAATGTTAACTGGTCGAATTGAAACACAAGTGTGTTTTCTTAATTCTCGAAAATCTATTAGATTCTTTTGTTATTTCAGTATAGTGATCGCACATGGCCGTTGATACTCATAGGATCGATAGTATTTCTGCCTGGCTTTTATCACCTTCGCATTGCTTATTGGGCATGGAAAGGTGATAAGAATTTCTCATTCTCTGATATACCAGATCTCGATTGGTTCTGAAGAGATATTTTGTACACAATGGAATCTTTTTCTTCTCTTTCGTTAATATTCATTCTCATTCAATAAAATAAATCTCAACTAAATATCGTCGTATTGAGTTGCTCTCTTGTGAACAAGAAGTTAATACGCATCAGAATTGTTCCTTTGTGCTATTGAAGACAGCCGATGATGGATCTGAAAGACTTAATCAATTTTCTTTCGGTGTAGTGAGTCTATTGAAAGCTTGAACGAAGTATAATTCTTTTTCTTGCACGCTTATCATTCACTACTGTCGGTTTTAAACGGAGAGAAAAAAGGTTTCATACTCTCCATTCAGTTATTTTTTTAAAATATAATCTTCAAATCTATTGTGTCGTCAGTTATGATTCAAGGGTAAACGACCCTCCATTCTTTTCCTCTTTTCATGTAACTGCGTCTCGGCAATGTCTTGTTTTATACTACGTTTATCGACAGAGAAGAATGGAAGAAAAATAGAGCATCGGCGTGTTGTGTTGTGTTGTGTTGTGTTGTGTTCTGTTTCTGCTCTTGGCTGCATCGTCATAGATTAAACAAGGGCAACAGCGAGAAACACAAAGTATAAAGAAACACGTAGTTGTTCTTTTTATTTCTTAACAGTTCCAATTCTCAAGCTGAACGATGTGTATGCGAGTTGATTGTGATAAATGCGGCAAGCCGACGTGGAAAGGTTGTGGTCAACATATCGAACAAGCGCTAAAAGATGTTCCTGTCGATCAACGATGTCAATGTCTGAGAGGCTCCACCGATAGTGCGGCAAAAGTACAGGCAATGAAATAGCACCTGCGCTAATGAGAATAACGAATGAGTTATTATGAATTTGCTTTCGATTTTCTCAATTCGATGACTTTTTACCCTATGTATTCAATAAATCATGAGAAATGAATCAGATCTAATTTCTTCCAACGAGAAAACGTGGATTTTCTTTATTAGTGTAAAAAGTGCCTCAGTCGACAGGACACACTTTTTTCTGTTGTTTTCACCTGTAGAAAGTTGACACAACTGCATTTGGTACGATTTTAGACGAAGTGTTTTCACAATGAATTACGTATTTTGCTGTACTTTGGACAACATTCTATTTTTATTTTGTTTTTGACAAGAAATGTTCCTGTTCTTGTCGTGATCATTAATCCTTGCAGTAGATGTCTCTCTTTATCTCCGACGGAATCGATCCAGTTTTGAGAATGATCTATCTTGAAGCATTCGATTTGGATTGAAAAAGATCAATTTGTTGCTCAAATGTTCGTAGGAATGACTACCGTCTGCTTTTTTTACCGGTCATCAGTATCTCATTCCATGCGCCAAATATTTTTATTGATAAGTGGTTATGTTTGATTCAAATTCGATGTTTGCCCTAGATTAATAATCGATTTGAATCATAGTATTTCATCCGAATCTAATTCGATCTCTGCTGACATCTTTTTCTCATGTAACAAAGCATCACGTGGAGCTCGTAGCCATACAGAATCGAACTCGATTTATTGTTATCACAGCTGGTTGTCTTACGATCAAATAAGTCGATAATCGTCTTTTTTCTTTAATTTTTATTATCTTCTCGGTGACATTTATGGGTAATTTATGTTCGTGGTGTTTGAAAAGTCAAGATTCATCTCATACAAATGGTACTCTTGGTGATTACACAAACTCAGAACGTTTGTCTGAAAATACCGATCGAACACCGTGAGTAAAACAAATATTCGAACTCAATTCTTATCCCGATTTTTTCGCCAACAGACTTCTCGGTCATTCGAACAGTCGTAAAAATCTCTCCATGACATCTGCACTCCCTAATTCACCATCCAATGGTGAATCGACTTCATATCCACCGCTTCTTTCACCCTTAGTGACAATTCATGAACCAAGAACAGATTCTTCGACAAACAGTAAGAACAAAAAGTTCTTCTCACACGGAAAAACTTCCTTTTTTTCGTATTTCATTAGATGTTCTAGCCAATGAAACAGCGGAAACAAAAATGGCATTTATTGTTGAAGGTATGCTATCAAAATTAATCGATGTCGGCAATGGCGGATCGAGTGGTATTCATCGAAGCAATTCGAATGGAAATGGCTTCAATTCTCAGAATGATCACCTAAGACAAATTTTAACTAAATCTTTAACTATGCCCAAAACACTTGTCTTACCAGATGCTGGTCTCAACAATCTTCCTTCGTTGCTATCGGGACGACCCATTTCATCAGATATATGTCATTTTGTAACGCACACAGCAGCTGATTTATCACATTTATTGATCGAAGAAATCAAGATTGTTCATAAAGAAGATCTGGTCGTTGTCTTTGAGTAAGAACAGAATTTCGATGTATTTCCTGTTACGATTATTTTTAAAATGTTGGTTTTCTTTTTCTTTATATATATATACATGTATACATATTGATATAATCAGCAGATTGAGAAATGGAAAGTCAACTATTTTTTCTTTTTATAGACTAAAATAAGATGGTTGAAGAGATGGATAGTAACGAAACTATCGGTACATTTTGAATTATGTTGTCATGTTCTATCGTTCGATTTTGACATATTTTTAATTGAAAACGGTTGATCAAATCAAGAAGGGTGTTTACAGGACAGTGAATGGTATCTTCTCTTCAGATATTGCATTTGAATTAGAAGAAGAATTAGACGCTTTGCATCGTTGAGAGACTTGGGGAATATGAGAAAAACGAAAGCTGATTGAGGGTGTGAGATTTTCATAGGTCAGATCAAGATGTGGATGACGAAGATGATACTTCTTGTCAAACTTCAAGAAGATTCGAGGATTTACCAATCATTCTGTATACGCACGAGTTGCATCAGTATATGATAGGAAACAATAAGGAATATTCACCATATTTTATGCACTTATTCGTTCGCAAACAACCTTCGAACCATGCAAGTCAACCAAAATGAATTTGATGGCTAGAGAAATTAGTGTACTGCACTGCTTTGTAACGAATGAGCGGATTAATCTACTTACACGAATACCTTTGAGGCACGAAACTAACAGAACCGTGAAGATGAGATATTCAACAACACAGCAGGCGATGTTGGTTTGAGTAAACGTCTTCATTCCTTCGAATGAATGACCTACCAACCATAGATGAACCAGCGGATCAATGTATCATCAGTGATAGAATGAAAACAGCAAGGAACTTTCCTGTTTGAATTACAATTAGTTTTATGTTTTCATGACAATGGAATGGTTTTCCTATGAAACTCTTGTGTCATGGGGATCTTAGTGATAATATCTTGATCGTGTATATGTGATGACTCCTGAAATTAAAGAGATTCTTATAAACTTGGAAAAAGCTGTTGATTTTATTGTTATGCTGGAAAAAAATTCTCTTCTTCCTAGCCAAGAGTAAAGAAGTGCCATCTGTAGTGGTAGCAAAAGATTCTGGTTGGCTAGTCGATGAACTCGTGACTCATCATTGGTAGATTCTTCGATGTGTTATGTTGCATTCCTCGTGCTATTTCGTTTTATTTCCGATTGATTGTAATCTCACGTGAATTAAAGCCGGCGTGCAATTTGTGTGTCATGCCAAGACCAATAACCAGCTGTTCCTGTTCAACCAGAAGACAAGTGTATCATCTTGCACGCTATATTTATTTGAACTTGACACATACGAAACAAAACAATTGTTGAGGAAGAAGCTTTTTTGAAATTCTGTGTAACATTTATTGTTGCTTACAGCTGTAGATAAAGCAAATATGATTCAGCTCCTCTTATTCATGTGCGGCGATTATTAATCGAAGGTTTTACATGCAGCTCTGACGTTACTTCAGTATGAAATGTACTGGAAAGTTCCCGTGATTTCTTCATACAAGTGAAATGTTGTTTTTACTATCGTGGATGCTTTTATACTCATGATGAATATTTTCATTCGTTTTATTTTCTTAACGAAGTGTCTGAGTATTTTGTAGATTATATATTGAAGAAAAATGAGTGAAGAACCACGTGAACAAATCCTGTCTGATTTCCAAGTAAGTTCTCTTATTTCAGCTGTTGCTTGTTTTTTCAATTCATGACTTTTCAGGATTGCACAGGTTTAGAAAACATGGAGGAGTGTATTCAAATTCTTCAGCAACATGAATGGAATCTAATAGTAAGACTCAATTGCCGATCGTCCCTATTCAAATCGATGTCATTTTCAGGAAGCTATTCAAGCAGTGCATGAGGGGATTGGTGATGGAAATGATCATGAATCGACAGTCCCAGTTTATCAGACAATCGATGACCAGATGGTTTTGACAGGGCACAACCCAAGTATCACACGTCAGCCGAATTCATACGATTCAGATGATGTTGAAATTATTGGAACAGTATCTGCAGGAGCTCGTTTGCAAACCACTAGTGATTCAGGTACGTTCCTTTGGTCAGTGAAGTCAAGTCTACTGCTCTTTTTAGCCCGAAATTTACATTTTCAAGTTGAATACCATGATCAGACAGAACACGTCCATATATCTGAAAACGAAACAGTTCGTATGTAATCCATGATAGACTTGTTCGTTCGGATTGCTTCGAAGGATTTTGCTTTATAGATAAATTGCGTGAAAAAGTCGCGGAAAAGGTTTCCGTTCCTGTTCATCAACAAGATTTCCTCAACTGGAAAATGAAGAGTTTCGATGAACGAGTATGCATATGCAAATGAACTTGATTAGCATTAATGATACCTCTCCTTTTCTTTAGACGAAATTGCGCGATCTTCGTCTTCCATTAGAAAATATTATCAAGCTATCTTCGATAAGAGATGACTCTGCTCAGTAAGTTATTCGATATTTTTCTTCGATCGAACTGTCTTACGGAACGACTTCAGCAGAATCTACAATCATACTACTACATCATCACATAATTCAGGCGAATTTCCACTGACGGTGCTATGTGAAGATAAATTTGGCTCGACAGTTCCATACAAACTTCTTTTAGAGCCATATACAACGATCCTCGAAGTATATTCGTAACCGAGAAACAAAACAGAGGCATTGATTTCGATGTTTAGATTAAGAAACATATGGAGAACCTCGCACGTATACCTATACATCAGCAACTTTGGCAAGGTTTACTAGGTGCAACCGACTCCGTAAGAGAAATCTGAATTTTTTGACGTCGCGATCCACTTCTTGACTTTCCAGGATGCATTGCGTCAGACACAAATTGTTCAAAATGGAACACTAGTTGTTCGCCATTCAGGCACATCACCAAATCAAAAGCTATCAACGACAAGACAGAATTTATCAGTAAGAAGTTCAATAGGGACCGAAATGTCATCTGAAATCTTGCCTTTTTCGTATATGGATAGCCATCAGCAAGTACTAAAAATCATGACGACGATGAGAACATGGACACTGATCATGATATAATAGTAGAAGACATCGAAGACAATGATATCGGTGTTCTACCTTCGACGACGTCAACGACAACAGTCAGCGAAGGTCGAGAACCACTTAGTAAGTTGAAGCTGCAAATCGATCAAATACTATTCCTTTATTTTAGTACCTGACGAGTTTACCGATGAAGTATTTGCTCTTCAGCATTTCTCGAGCGTCTTTCAGTCACGTTATGGTTCATCTGGTCCTATACTACACATGGGCTCACTAGATCAAGCATTGCAAGAGTCCCTCTATGCGTCCATACACAGTGTAAATGTTTCCCTATTGAGATGAAAACGTCCTCTATCGATTGGATTCGTTTTTCAGAGACGTCCACTGGCTATTTATCTCCATAATGATCAATCGATTTGTGCAAATGTATTCTGTGCTCAGGTGTTAGCCCTTGATTCGACTATTGAATACCTAGCGAATAACTATGTCTTTTGGGCTTGGGATGTCACATCAGATGTTAATCGAACACGGTAGTCATCAACAGAGATCGTTTTCCTTGATCTGACCTTCTTCGTTTTTCTTCTAGGTTACTGGAAACACTTCGACGATGTGTGGGCAATCAATGTGCACAGCGTGTTGGCTGCATGGAAAAGAACGATTTTCCATTACTATTGATTGTCACTCGTTCCCGTGGATTGTTAGAATTGAATAGTATTATCGAAGGCAAAAGTACGCCAAGTGAAGTTTTGTTAAATCTTATTCAGTCCCATGATTCATTTGAACAACAACGATTACATGATATGGATGAAGAATTAATGAGGGAAAAACGTGAGAATCTTAAACGCGAACAAGAAGATGAATACGAACAATCACGTCGAGCTGATCTTGCTAAACAGCAAGCGCGAGAACAAGAAGAACGAGAGAGTAAATTGCGAATCGAACAACGCTCGGTAAGAATGAACAAGTTAACTTTTTTGTTCAATTGAACGGCTTCTCGTCTATAGCAACAACAACAAGAATCAAAAGCTCGTCTCCCAGACGAACCGGACGAATCAGAAAAGAATATCACTCGATTAAAAATTCGTCTACCCAACGATGAAGGTATACTGATGAGACGGTTTCGTCTACAAGACAATCTTCAAGTATTATTTGACTATTTAACAAGCGAAGGACGAATGTTAGGCGAATACAAACTCTTAACCACCTTTCCGAAACGAGATGTAAGTCAACGATTAAACTCCTTTGTTTATTTGCAATTTGTCTTCTGATATTTAGTTAACTACATTGAACTCGACAGACACATTCGAACAGTTAAAATTATATCCCCAAGAGCAACTGATTCTCGAATCTTTGTAAATTATTCATCATTATCTTCCTAGAAACCATGAACATAACCGTTCGCCTTTTATTGTTCATACAGTTGAGAAGAAATTCAGAACTCAAAATTGTCTTGTTGTCTATATATGTTTCTTGCATTTCCATTTCAACTGTTGATTTGTTTTCTTTCCTTGATGACATTTTATTTCTGCATAGCAATAAAAAGTTGATGATTTTATGAAAGTCACTTAAGAAGTGCTAACAGTCGAACACCGGATTGGTCAGTAGAAATAGACCGGATGATGGAGGTGTTACTGGATAACAAGAATCGGCGCATAATCGTGAAGGATTATTATTACCGCACCAACTAGGCACGTTCATCATTCGAATTACTCGATCGACTATATCGTCTGCACATAAGGAAGGATTTTCATTCAACAAATCGGCAATTAACAATCGAGCACAGTTGAATATATCTACGTACTAAAATGAAAACAAAATAAAGACGAAATCTATGAAAAGTATCGACATCTACATCGCATGGATTGATAAGATCTTTCAATCGACATTGAATTTGTTTGATAAAGAAATCGACGATCTACATATGAGTGAAAGGATATTTGCTATCGGTTTCAGTCGAAGAGATATTCACAGTTTCATCGGTATGACATGCATTGAATTTCTTCCGATGGATTATTCTGAATAGCTCGCTAGCTACGACTTTCTTAGTAAGAGTAACGATGTCTTACTTCATTGTTTCGATATTTTGTTGCGAAAACAAACTATTACCCGATTTATCAGACAATGTTCGCGGACACATTCGAGTGAGAAACGAATTCGCAAATCGTTCTTGTTGACGATAAGCTTTCTCTTTGAGTACATCGGGCTGACATAATGATACACGTTGATTATGATAAAATGAACCATCTGATGTCCTATTTCAAAGACCAATCAACGAATTATGTTGTGAAACTTACAATCTTGATTGATTGTTTGAAACATATTTGAACATTGAACAGGTACAAAGCGTGTCAACAGCAATTGTTGACATGGTCGCCAATCATCATTCTTAAGGCGAGTATTGAAAGAATTACAATTGAATGAATTAGATGGTTCACATATATTCATCACTGATCTACATAAACTGCACAAAAAATTTTCATAGACTATGCGCCTTTATTCAAGTAGACATTATTCTTGATCATCAATGTATAAAGTTTTTCTGATCGACATCTGTCAGTAGAGTTTCAACGAAGTTTTTCATGGAACGGGACGACAATTGAGAGACGGTCTAATAGCTCTAAGACCATCCGCTGATTGATGTGTAATGAATATCGTATAATTTTCCATAATCATCAGATTGAACAAGTTTGTGCCTCCAACATTCATTTCGCCTAGAAGTGTGTTGTTTCGATGATAAATTCTGATCCGATCACTTCTTGGTTCAACTGCCCATATTCTTTGACAATTATCCACAACAAGATCGGTCGTTGGCGCACTATGGTCAATCTTACCACTAGCATCTGTCACCCATGTGTCATTAGGCTGCCGTCTATAAAGGTGAATATCCTGTCCATCAGCATTCCAACCAACGTAAAACGCCATTTCGTCTTGGGCAACGCCAATAGCATGAAGTTCTTCTCCTGGAGCAATATTTGGTATTATTGTACAATTATTTAATATTCCGGAATTGGGAACGATATCACATAAATAAATACCAGATCCAGAGGCACCGGCAAGCATTTTCTGGGTCTTTTTGAGAAAGCGAATAGTTCGTATTTCAACACTCGTGTCCACGAGGCATAATCTCGGCCTCATGCTGCTGTTATACACACCAATATTTTTTGCAATTGTTCCAAAGTAATATCTCTCTTTGTAATAGCCAGCGGATAATAATGATGAAGTATGTTCCACAAAAATATTTTCACCTGTGAATCGATTGAAGCGGAGTAATGCATTCTGTTCAAGTTTGCTGCACGAAGTCACCGCTAAAATTGTATTGTTCTCACCTTCACTAAGCGTGAGGAATTCTTCAGTACTAATTGATGTATTCTGTAACATTCTGGTAATTTCCTCAATAAGCATCGTAGTGTTACAGCAGTCGTCTTTCTCTTCAAATGTACTATTCGGCCGCATCAAATATACATCCGCGTCATAATTTGGATACTCGATTTCATCACGCTTGGGTATAAAATAGTACATTTGACAGGTGAAATTCGACATTTCATGACGAATGCAGGTGAATAAAGCGACAACGGGATTATGAGCGGCATGGCAAAGACACTGATTACAACTGACTGTTTCGATCGTATAGCCGGTATCGTTGTTTAGATCAAACGGTAGTTTGATAGAAGCATTGCGAAGAATGCCGTATGGAGAAAAACTCGCAGTTAGATATGGAACTAACGAAAGTACGAGAAAATAGTGGAGAACTCGCATTATTTTAGAGTGAATAGAGAAGGATTTAATGAATGTGTATATATATATATATACTCGAAGAAAATATAATCGATTGTTAATTATTAAATAGCTATGTAGAAAATAGTTTTGTCACGTATTCGATGAATTTTATACATGAATAATTAAGTAATAAAAACAATACAATTTGTTTTTGACGTGTTTAATCGAAAGTACACGAGACCAACAAAACTTTTCACTAAGTACTACTTCATAGCCGATAGTCTGACTTTTCAAATGTTGTCGTTCTTACTATTTTGATTGTTTTTTTCTCAGATACATCAATACTTGTTGTTCCAAGAAGAAGTCGTCTGATTTCTCATTATTAACTTGAAAAAATAATATTTATTGTTATTATTTTGATCACTGCTTATTACAATATCATTAGTCAAACAAAAGCACATCACAAAAACGAGATTTTATATACAAAAATATAAAATTTTCTAGACGAACATTGAGACTAAAACGTGTGCTGTCGATTTTCAGATGAGATCAAACTAAAATCAACGAAACAGTGAAGCTTATCTTCCCGTATGAACAATATATTTCACTTACAAGATCTTCTTCATTTTCATCCTGGTCACCGGCGATTGATGTGTTGTTCATTACTTCATTCGCTGTCTCTTCTTCGAGAAATTTCTTTGCTTCAACGGGTATCACATTGGATTCAATACATTCTTCACTGGTTATTAAACTGATTTTCTCTAAAAACACAAAGAATGCACACTAATCTAATCGGAACCGTTCGTTCTCTCAGACAACATGGTTTCTAACTTCTTGTCACATACCATCAATAATTTTCTTCCAGAAATCTTTTCGTCCATCGACATCTGCTGCTTTTCGTTTCAATAGAGTCTCGAAGTCATTGAACAGTTTTGGTTCTAGTTTAGCAAGACATGTTTCACGTAAACATTGCACGCATTGCAATGCTTTGTCGAATAATGAATCACCATGAGAATTGTTAATAAGGTCGATGATGAGTGTGCACATTTGCTTGCAAACATCGGAGAACGAAGGTGAGCCCTGTTCAATTAAAATCTTGAAATCTTCGACTGGTGTCACAGTACCAACGGTCTTCAATGCTGCCTTCTTTTTCGCCGCTGCTTGAGCTTCGAATGATGTAGAATCGATCGCAGCTTCTTCACCATTCTCTTCATGTCGAGCTTTCTTCGTCGAACTAAAAGAAGAATGAATCCATTATCTTCATTTAAACTATCTTCTCGCTCCTACATATCATTACTGCCAAAAAGTGCATCACCAGTTGTAATCTTTTGTCGGCGATTTGTATCTCGAAGGACAAATTGATCATGAATTTCATCTATTGTTCGTTTACTTCTCGCTGCTATCGAACGAATCAACGCGTCATTCATTTCCATCACTGTGTTTGTTAATGCTAATGGTTCTTCAGGCGAGATAGCACGTCGAGCAATTGACTAAATTCAAATCTTAATGAAAACAAACCATGCGAATGAGAGACAAATTCATACTTGAAACATGCGTTGGATATATGGGTTAGAAATTAATTCTGGCTGGAATGATTGTTCACCTCTAAATCAGTACCAAAATGTTGCTTTTCATTTTCACGCTTATTCAAGTTATCCATACCCTCGATCAGCATGTGTTAAATCCATCGTTGTAATCAAATTGTCGATTGTTTTTAATTGTTCCTCACTGGGTTGGTTTCGCTTGATCGCATCAAGATTGTCAAAGTCAAATCCACGTACATCTTCTGCAAATGGCAATTTTACGTAATACATACACTAACATGAAAAACGAACAATGAATCTTCGTGGTTTTTATATTCTTCTTACAATATGATCGTGCGCAATATGTGGACGTAAGAATCCCAATTCAGGTGAGCTTCTTTCACTGAAACATTTGCGAACAATAGCTACACTATTTGTTTCGTACATCGCTTGGACGAGGCCAGTGAAAGTTTGAGCTTCTTCCTAAATGAACGAGAGAAAAAGAGCAATAGGATACAGTTCGATGATAAAAATACCTCGTATGCAGGCTCGGCAATGACTTCATACACGGTGTCGCCTAAGTAAAGACTTCGTCGCATCTAAATACCAGTAAATGAGTGAATACACTGGAGATATGTTCTCTAGAACCAACCATATTCGCATCAGAAAATCCAATAATGGAGAAACATTTTTCACTTTGGTACTTCATATCTTCTAATGTTTCTTTTGTAATCGGTACGAAAGTTGTTCCATAGCGAAAACCATCGGTTAATTCCTCTTTTTCAATTTCCTCATCTTGTTCGTCTCGAGTGTAACGACTACGATCAACTTTGATCTCCGTTGTTGGATCGCGTGCGTAGACTTTCTTTAAGCGAAATATTCCTGGTTTGTTGTCTTTAACCTAGTAGATAATGAAGTAGATAATTATCTTTTAAGCAAATGATCAGCTTTTCTCACTTGAATGTAAGTACAAATATGTAGTTTAAGATCAGCCAACTGCATCACATATTTTGTTGCTGTTGGCTTCACACTTTTCGACTGATGAACACTGAGAATACCCAATGCTTCGCTGAAATCGTATAAATCGAAGTTGACTCGTCTCTTGTTATGGTGCGACCTTACCGAAATGTAAACAGACTTCCTTCGGTTGTATTAACAATGTCACTAATGACACGAATGCCAGTTTTTTGCTGTGGTGTTAAGGGCTTCTTTGGACTCTGATGATGATTATTGGTAGTTGGACGGGCGCTTGCTGATTCTTCTTGATCATGGCCATTCGTTTGCATAGGTGAACCAGGTTGATTGTTTTGATGGCCATCGTCATCATCAGTAGCATCCTCATTTCCTTGATCTTGTTGACCCCACGTAGGACCAATTGCATCAACAATGATATCTTGTCGTCGAAGGGAGTCAACAATAATCTGAAGATTGCTATCACTAAATGGTGTAGCCGCATTGGTAAACAAGAGAATACGCTTGGCAGCATAACCACGTTTTCCCCTATGCAAAACCGAAACATATTTCAGAATCAATCGATTGAAAGGTTACTCTGTTTCTCGTCGAAGATGATCTGCAGCGACAACGACAGCATCAACTACTAGAAAAACCAATTCTTATCTCATGCCAATGCCATTCTTTTCTAACTACTTACAATCAGCCGGACTATTCCCCGGTCGTATCTTTTGAATTTCTTCAAATAGATGCCAATTGGCAGGTGCTAAGGAAAACGTCACATTAATATTTTGGTAGTTATCATCATCAGCTAATTCATTATTTGTGTCGTCAGCACCGTACAAGATCAACGCTAATTCGTCTTTACTTTGCTGAAACATCTATTTACCAAGAGGATGAATGTTTTGTCAAAATGAAGTCAACAGCTCCAGCTTACTTTCCGCTGAACAATCATTTGAAGAATATCACTAGTAATCTGTAAGGGTGTATCAAAGCCTGGTGCTGCTTGAGACATGCCAACACCGATATCCACTACAAGAGCTAATGCTTCCTACGAATACAACAAACTTATCGGAATCGAAGATGCAATAGTCAGTATGTACTTTATTGGCGGCCATGTATTTGATGTTCTATATGTTTTTCCTATTTCAATCTAAAAGAACTTTTCAGATTTGTGTTGACTAGTTAGTTTGAAATATAGTTGCTAAAGAGGTACTAGAACTAAAATGACAGTCTCGATAAACAAGAACAAAATTGAAATGTGAAAAGAGAACGAAAGAAACAAATAAAACACACGCATATATGAAAATCGAAATGATTAAAAGGAGGAGGGTGAAGTCAAAGTGAAAATTCGATTGTTCATGTTTGTATTTCAGAAAGAGGATCAGCGAAACTTATCTAAAGAGCAAAATGACGGAGAAGCGCCATGACACCAGCAGCAATGCCACCAGTCACAGGCACGGTGACAATCCATGCGACGATAATATTTCGAAATAAAGACCAATCGACGCTTTGCTTTGAACGAACACGACCAATCGCTACTACACTACCAACTTTGCAATGAGTCGTACTAATTGGAATTGAAAAATTCGACGCGAAAAGAACGGTAAATGCAGTGGAAATTTCAATAATAAAACCACTAAACGAGATTTTCCATTGTTGAGCTGCCGTCAAGATGATCAACTTTACCTCGATGGAGTAATTTTTGTCAAATCTTCTCCAATGGTTCGAATCACACGACGACCCCAAACCCAAAGTCCAACTGATATGCCAAGACCGCCAAAGAATAAAACCCAAAGTGGTGTGGCGGATTTCGCAGCTATGACACCATCGACATAGACCAACCAGAGACCAATTAATGGACCAATTGCATTACTGAGAGAGAGAGAGGTATGTAATTTTATGATGGAACTCGATGCGACAAAATGAGTACCTGACATCATTTCCACCATGTGCAAATGCTCCAAATATGGCAGTAAGAATCTGCAGATATTTAAAGATGGTTGCAATTTCCAAGGAATCATTGGTTGTATCGATCTTTTTCTAATGGAAGATTTCGTGTTCTTGAAATTGCTTATGCATACGAAGAAGAAACACATACCTTTTTTGTTGAAATTTCAGGCATTTTATCTTCCACTTCATCTAAATCTTCATTTGAACTCGCTTGATTTCCTGATAACGTTGACACATTATCATCATCTAGATAAATATTCCACATAGAACATTCGTTTCATACAATCGATACCAACTAACCTGAAGCTAGTAATAAGCTTTTATTTTCACTAAGCACAGAAGCTGCTGGTGCACTATTCGTATTTGAATATTGAGGTAAACGATAAATTTTGGTTTTCTGAGAAAACATCAACTCTTAGGCTTCATAATTTCATTTCATTTTTCTTACTTCGCGAATGATCGATGGTGCTGGATTAGCTCGATGTGTTGCGACATTTACATTATCTGTCGCTACTGGATCATATCGTACACGTTCATTTTCTCGACGTCCGCGAGACACGGTACTAAATCCTGAATTGGATAAGGTTTCCGAATCTTTCCGTATACGTTGCATTTCGACTGAAAACTCAAATGCCCATACACCAAAATGTGTTTGCCGAGACACTTACCATAAGGACGAAATTGATCAGGGTGCTGTTGTTGGTAACGAATAAGATCATATTCTTTCAGCATGGATATATGATCTATCTGCGTTTCCTTGTCACTTGTATTCACGTTTTCCAAACGGGTTACTAAATTAACAATCAACCATAGCGATTTATGATAAGGAAAGTCTTTCCCATTAATAGCGCAAGCGACTAGTACTTTCAATGAAGGACTTCTCAAAGTTTCCTCTGCAGAATTAGTGCAAACTAAATTGAGCATTAGGATCTGTTAGAAAACCATATACATACACAAATGATATATAGGCCTTGTGAAAAAGATTCTTGCATAACATCACGCTGTAGATTCAAAACAAGATGTTTACCTGTATAGGTTTCAAATCGACCTTCAGTCTTGGTCAGTTGCGGTTTCTCATCTCGACTTCCCAGTTCACGTTTCTTTTTCAATGTTTCTATAGAGTAAACCGTTGGCTTAAATCATCATTCGAATGGCTTTTACCCTCGATACTGCGTTTCAAACGTGGCTTAACAACTATCATAATAAACAAGCCTACGAGCACTCCAATGCTGACTGTGATAATAACATTTCCCCATAATTTTATCTTGTGAAAGTGCAGCACTAAATTTAGATAAATCAAATCTAATATTCGATCAGTGAAATCATTCGAACGAACTTGGTGGTGCTGAATGAATGATGGAGAACGCATTGATCATTATTGTGGCACTGTAAAAAAATGGTAACCAAGCGAGACCGATTCTAAGATGATCTTCCTACGAATACATCGAATTGATTTGTTTTCATCAAAATCAACAAGTTTACTTACTTGTTGAAGAATAAACTTGCGAATGACAAGGAAAGCGCTGATAGAAATTATGCCTGCTAATGCAGGTGAAATGAACCATGAAGCTCCTATAAGAGAACACATACCATGAACAATACAATTTGTATCAGTAAATCTTTCTTCGTACCGATTTTGCCGAATACAGCCCACTGAATACTACTAGAGCCTCGTGCGACAAGTGCAAAACCAACTGTTGCACCTACAATACTATGTGTGCCAGATACTGGTAAATTGAAGAATGTTGCAACCAATAACCAAATACAGCAACCTGGAAGATAAGCGAATAGGTTGGATTGAAAAGAACAACACTCGAAAACGATAGATCTGGATTTACCAATCAAAGAAGAAAGTTGACCAAGCATTAATTCTTTTGGATTATCAAACGTTGACAGATCAATAATACCTTTTCTTATCGTATCCGATACTTTCGCTCCTAAATATCGAATTCCAGCAATCATACAACGAATGTCATTTTTTTCATACCGATCAATATCGATCCAAGAATTTCGAAGATCGTTGCTAAAATACATGCTTGTCTTAGCGTTAATACTTTACTTCCAACACTTGTACCAAACGAATTAGCAACATCATTCGCTCCGATGCCAAATGCGAGTATAAAAGCAACGATAAAGCCAATAATTAAAATCCACAACAAATCAATTGAATATGGTTCAACAACGATCATGATATGTGTCGTGTTGACTGATCTGAAGTTGTAAGTGATTCTTTATTGACTCGAGTCGTACTTGGATATTCAAATTGTATTCATAATGACTATTAATATTGATACGGTTCCTTCTCTGAAGAAAGAAGATTTATAATTCATGATTCTACTGGTATTGCATGTTGATTATGAATATTCTCTACCGATTGGTTCGAAACAGAGGTCCAATGAAAGAACTATTTGTTTTAGATGTCACTACAGTCAAAATATGTTCCTGATGAAGAAAGAGGTAACCACAAGAAATAACTTTTCTTTCCAGCGAAATGCTACGTGCAAATTTCTTCTGTGAATACGAATAATTGACATTTTATCAGCTCATACATTCCTCAATATACATGAGAAAGATAACAACTACACATTTTTCAATATGATAAATCGATAAATATTTTGTACATGCACTGTAGTGATGATCTTTGAATCATCGTTCTGACACGAAACTGCCCAAGTCATGTTTCAATGCATATCACACGTCTCTCCAACCATATAAGGAAAAGAAGTGAATATCAAATCATTTCATGCTATGGAGAATAACCTTTACGAACATATGTTATCAAAACATGCATAGAGATAGCTGAGAAACTCGTAATTTTGTTTTCATCTGATTATTTTCTAAGAACTATCCAGAGCGATCGTTGAATGCATCCTCTTCTTGTATCAATACGACTAGCATGATAACAACAAATCTCTAATCGACTGTATAAATCAACACAACTGATATCATCTTTCTCACATCATCAACATATTTCCATCTCCTATGATCAATATTTTGTTTCAGTCGATCTATAAGCTAATATAACGATTCGTGTGCTGTTATTTCTTTATTTTATTTCATCAATATATGTTTCTCTGTTATCTACGAATAATTATAAATACATGTGTCTAGGGGTACTCTGCATTAATGATATGTTGTCGTACCACTGGCACTCACACACGCATGCATAGTTGCATGAATCAAACAGGAGAGGAAATATAACTTGTCAAGTATTGTTCAGTTTTCAAAAAGGGCATTCATGCGTAGATTTGCAATCTTTGTTAACTATCTGTAACGATTGACCAATAAGTGATTTGGTTCGTTTTGGTGGCGGTGGAGGCGTCGCACTTAAGTAAAACGCTGTCATCATTTCTGTCGATTTCGGTTTCTCATTCGGATATATACATGTCACATAGTCTTTGATTGTATTAGAGAGATGATCGCATTCGATGTGTAATAATGAATTAGGATTATTTTGTGGAATTGTTAGACATTGTTCAATCCATTGATCGACTTGTTCGTGAATCGAATGCCGATTGTTCTCTTTGGTAAAGTCATTCGATGAGAGCATTTGATCTTCTTGTTCAAGATTGAGATTGGTTATGAGTTGAATTTCATTTTCGATTTCTTCTATATGCTTTAAAATCGCACGAGAATCGGATTTTTTCAAGTTTGTCGAATGTAGCGCCGATGACGGAGATGTCGAAGTCGTATACAGTTCGTCTAATGGTAGAATAAACGGATTTTGGTGTGTTGGCGAACGCTGTTGATGTAAACGTTCGTTTTCGACAACTTCTTCGAACTGAATGGAAAAATGATCATTAACTAATCGAGGCGACGAATTTCGTATTTGACTTTGCCGGTTCATGTAAACTTTCTTCGGACTAGAGACACGCACATTTGACGGACGTTGATACCGAGAATGCGACGATCTTTTACTCTTGCGCTTTTGGTCCGACGGAATCGTTTTCGGTAACGAACACTGTTCACTATGTTTCTCATCGCGCAAAATTCCATCATTACTCGTATTGTCAGGCGATGATGAATCGATTATTCTTGAACTCGATAGAGAGAATCCGTGTCCGCTGTCACTTTGATGAAGATTTCGATTTGATGGATTAGTCAAACGTGTAATCCCATTTGCCAGCGTTTGTGGAAATGACTCGGAATGAATAAGACCGGATGTCGAATTCGGCGGATTTGCAGTGCACGGTTTCGACTGAGATTGATAGTTCTTGTAAATCCATGGATTCGTTCGAATTTTCGTACGTTGTCGCGTTTTCGTATAAAGAGAATTGTTACTCGTCGATATTTGTGACTGATATGGATATTCGTGATGAATATGACACGTTGATAATGTATTCGCATAGTGACAACTGGAAGGTGCCGTTCGAGAATGTGAACATGAATTTGTTTGCGATTGAATGTCAACGATGGCATTGACTAACTGTGCATGCTGATTGAGTAAGAATTCTGTTCGGTTCGGATGCTCATTGCTTGCAAACTTTTTCAGCACGCTAGAGTCACAAATTTCGTAATGACAGTCAGTTGCGGATAGTGTTTCTTGAGGTATTTTGAATTTCGGAGGTTTGGCCGTTGAATTACTTTTTCTTCTTGATACAAGAGAATTTAAATAATCTTTTAATTTCATATTTTTTCGATCTGAAAAACAAATAGAAATCAAAAGAAGATTTATCGAGATAGAAGAGAATTTCTAATCAGTTCGCCTTCTTTTTATGTCGCTGCTTAAATAAACATCGTGTGCACATGTTGATAGATCCACAAGCGACAGATGGAATACAATAAACGCCTAGGCTGAATAGTTAGTTATTCTAACCGTCAATAATCATTATGATTAAAACAATAATTCAAGGTTTCATTTTCAACATTGATCCATAGAAGAAGTCTATTAGTTATTCCATGAGGTTGTCATCTGACTACTATTCATGACTAATGTATCATTCATCCGAAGGAAGAAGAGATTGACATGTATAAATAAGCAAACAAAGTTTCCTTCGGTGGTCATTGTGCGCAAGACGATCAATTGCGGAATGGTAAACTCAATAGAAGACGAGCGAAAGTCATTCATTGACAAATTTGATTTATGTGTGTGTACACAGAGTCTGAGTTGAAAAGACATTTTCTGTACCTTAGTCTTTGTTTGATCTAGAGACGCAATTGTGAATTGAAGTAATAGTGCAAAAAGTTTGCTTTTTTATGATCCGGAAATGACTTTCTGTTGTTCTTTCTGGAGGGATGATGATTATAGTGGCCTTGGTATGAGCTAAGGAAGATGATAACAACGAGAGAAAGAAAAGCCGGAAAGACAGACATTTTCTTAATTGAAAGAAGACACCAGGAAAGAACGAAAGCCAGATGGAATAAGTCTATCGAAAATAGAAAAATAATCACAGCTAAGCAAGATTTTGTCTCGAACTCAAGTTTCCATCAAAAGCAAAGAAAACCATACTTGTATGTTACGATTTGAATTTACTCGTAATGAAATTTTGCAAAGAGAAACAAGCCATAGTAAAACTATTGAAGAGAAGTCGTTGTTGTTTCAACTTGAAGATTTCTTACTGTTCCTATCGGATTCATGTGATGCAAACGAAGAAGAAAAAGAAGAAGAAATGACGTTAATGCTTAAAGTATATGTCAAAACTTATTAATTAAAGAAAACTCTCCAAACGACACTATTTAATCTTTATCACGCAACTGCGCGAATATTTATCAACTTTTCTTCTCTCTATTTGCCATTTATACACATATACTGGTTACTTAGAAAGAAATAGATATGTTATATTTGCTCGACGTGCTCTCCGTCTCACGTAACGTAATCTGTTGTATGTGTTTAATAGAAACTAGAAATTATATAGTGATACGTATCAAGATATTAATAATCATAAGAATAAGAAACGCGATTACTTTCGAACGTGTTTTTTTCTCTTCAACTTGTGAGCAGAAGGAGAAAAACTCAGAGCGAGGGAATATCGATCACAGTTGGTTAACTTACTTTAACGTGGATGTTTGAAGCGAAGCATCCGAGAAATTTACGAAGAATTCTGGAATACTAACAGGCATCTTTTTTTCTCTCCTTCTCCTGCTTAAATGCTCTAGAAAGAAAACTTTTGTTTCTTCTCTCATTCGTTCAAGCATAGTATATAAATACATGATTCACCTATGAAGTGCCACTGACGACTTTTCTCCTTTCTCTGTTTCTTTATAGATCGTTCAGTGATTTTTTTTCCTCGCCTTGTCCTTCATTTTTCATTTATATGTTATACTATGGGCATAGTTACACGCACTTTTCTTCTTCATCGTCGTTGTCGTCCTTTTTTCAGTATTCTACGACGCCAGTTTGTTGCTGCCTGCCGTGTATGGAAGAACACACACCGGGAATTAAATGATTGAGGAGAGGCTTTTAATTCTTTTTAACAACAAATAGAGAAAAAGAAGTCGGTTTCAACAAGCATTCGATCGAGAAAAATTCTAATTAAGTGCTATATGAATAGAAAAAAAAAGATGAAAGAACTTGATTTCCGTAATAAACACTAATCTAGTTTGCTCAACTTCAAATGCTCGTTGAGGTCTGTGTCACATGTCGCAGAGCATTTAATGGCGACAGCAAATAACTACTCTCGTATTGAAATGTAAATTCTTCAAGGTTATCTTATTGAGCATTTCCTCCGTAAATCTCTCATCTGTCTTCTAGACCTTCTGCTTTTATTCATATACTAAACGGAAAGGGCTAGCAGGTGTAGCGTTCGCTTTCCTTGGAGAAATTACCAAAACATGTCAAGGTCAACTAAATCATACTAACAATATGTCATAAGTTGCCTTTTGTTTCATATGTCTATCGTCAAGAGAACAATGGCAACATACCTTTGTATAAGTTGTGCTATGGATTCAAGTGAATATACATATCTCGACTAAACTACATAGGAAATGTCCTAGTTTTTAACGGAATGTATCAATTGATCTGCTGAAGTAGACAGATAACTGTCAGAAGAACTACATCTAGAGCCTTTTAATATACAGATAACCTTCTGAGATGACAAAATAAATGAGATTGACTTCAAGATTAAGTACTGATAACAAGGTTCTTATTAATATCTAACTGAGCTTATTAGATAATATAAGCAATCAACGTGCACAGAGAGAGAAAAATGGTTTCTGAACAGACTTCTTCGTATGAATACAATTCGACCTATAACTCATGGATAGATTTCATTGATTATTCTTTCCTACCGATAAAAATCGAATAATTAACATATTGACAACCAGCTATTCTGTTAAATAGACAGTACATATATGTCACAAGAAGATAATTGATTACCGTTAACTCTAAGAATAGTATCCAATGCGAGAGTAATGGCGTAAAATGTCGACGACCATATATCTATAATGAATACATTCCAAAAGATATAAATGCTCTACAGTTAACTTCATCTGCATGTTGTTCATGATGTATTCAATGATCCAGACCGAACCCTTGATCGTGTTTTCTATCAAGTGTCAAATGCTTTTAGCAGACACCCATTAATACACTTGACATAGACTTACCAAAGGCATTTTGTCAGAAAACAATCGTTTGACTAGATGTAAAAGTAAATAGTCTTGGATAAAGGATGCGTAATGTACTGATTAATTACTAAAAACACAAACATCGGGAAAAGAGCTATTCAATCAGCAATTCGAGAGGAAGAAAAACATCACTAATCGAAAGAGACATGAATGAAAAGAGGAAATTATTGTGGAAATTCAAAACACTCGATCTATCAATAGAAACTTTCTTTCTTTGGAATCATTCCCTAGCGAGCATCACTCTAATAAACGAACTTGAATTCAAAACACGAAGAGAAAAAGACGTTTACGATGACATGAATTGTGCATTGCATGTTGCCTTCTATTATCGAATAATGTAACCCTCGCTATATTTTCTTGAAAAAGTCATTAATCATATGAAAATGATGATAAATGTTCATTTAACATCTGTGATATACTCAAATAAAAACTAATTCATTACAATGAGGGTTTTTTCTTTGTTGAATATAAAACTGACCTTGGCAAAAGCTGGCTCTGCCAGTAGTCCGGTTGGAAATGTTCAAAAATGCGAAAGTCTACTTGTGAGCGACATCCCCTCGTTTTACTCAGCTTTCAAAAATATCTACCAAACTGTTTAATATTTTCTAACAACGATATTGCATAATAGTTTCGAAATTATGACTCACGTCATACTATAATGCATCTTTTTCTTTGCACAAAATGCTTTCATTTCGACTCTATTCATATGGCGTCAGCTACAGAAAAATCATCTAACGATCAGGTAAAATTTCACAAGAAAAGACAGCACAAATCTAAAAATCAATTCGTACAATAGATCTCTTACTCTACTGCAGTCATCAATGAACGTTCACAGCAAAGAAAGACAGTTGCTAAGACTTTGTCTCAAAAGCAACTGAATAAATTAAGTCGGACCGTTTCAGAAATGCAGCCTGGCAAACTGCAAGCAGAACTCCGAAGGCGAAACTTATCTACCAGGTAATCATAGATTATTTCATATTGGACATCTTTCTCAGCATTATTAATAGCGGGATTCTGGATATCCAACGTATGCGATTGAAAACTTATCTGAAAATTGAATTGATGGAGCAATGTACAGATCCATTGGCAATGATCGAGCAGCCATTCGATTATATTGCTGTTGTTGATTTCGAAGCAACATGTGAAAAAGATGTACCAAACTATCTGCACGAAATTATTGAGTTTCCAATTGTTTTAGTCGATGTTAAACAACAAACTATCGTAAATAAGTTCTTTTTTCACATAGAATTTCGAATTTTAACACATATTTGCCAGATCGATCAATTTCGATCCTACTGTCGACCTGAACGTAATCCAGTTCTCTCACAATTTTGTAGAGATTTGACAGGTATTCAGCAGGTATATACAACGCTAATTATATTAGAGGCTATTTTATGTTTTGTTCTTGTTTATGTTTGCTAGCATCAAGTCGACACTGCTCCAACATTTGCCGAGGTTCTTCACAATGTTGAACGTTGGTTAAATGAACGAAATCTGTCCACATCAGCGAGTAGAAATAAATTCGCATTTGCCACTGATGGGTATGCTAACATCCGATATCAAGTTCTATCTCGCGCATACATGTTCTCACCTCTGCAGGCCGTGGGATTTTGCAAATTTCCTTCAAATGCAATGTCGTCTTAATTCGCTACCTTATCCTGAATGGGCGAATCAATGGATCAATATCCGAAAAGTGTTTGCACGATTTTATTCTATGCGTTCATGCGGTAACGATCGATGAATGTGTCATTTGTTTTTCAAATGTTAAATACTTAGGTATTGTGAAAATGTTACAAAAACTAGGCTTTTCATTCGAAGGTCAGCAACACTCGGGTCTCGATGATTCCACCAATATTGCACGTATAGCAGTGCAATTGCTGAAGGTTTGTTTTTCATCTGTCGATGCTAATTTCACATTGTAATTCATAGGACGGATGTATTTTATCCTTAAACGATGGTATACGCGACGAGCATTCTAATGATAACAAAGCAACTGACGACAATGAAATTGAAATTGTCTTTGAAGATTAATTTTTTGCTCATTTTCCAATGTCAAATAAACTTTTTCGCTAATCTTCTCAATATCAAATAGATAGATTATTAGTATTTAGTAGATAACCGATGACGATGATGATGATAGACGGATGAAAAATAAGCATGTCTGTGAGACAGATGTCTGAAGGAGAGAACAGCGATTTGGGCGTTTTTCAGCTCTTTTCGTCTTTAGAGAATCGACAAGCTTGAATATCAGTTGCTGCCATGGTATTTCCAATCAGTATACAACGAGTGACAGCTCGTCTACCAACATGTATTTGTTTTTACTTTCGAACTTTGTTGTCATGTATCACGTACGCATAATTAAACGAGTATATAACGATGTTTCGATAGACATGACGAAAATTTTGTCTCTCCATCAATTGGATTCTTATCTTGTCTATTCGAGCGGGAAAAATAGAAGAAATACAAAACAGTTTTCTTGCTAAATCTCTGTTCATTATCCACCGCGGAACAGTGTGGTACATAGTTCACATGTCGAATGTACTACATATGCCCGGTGATAGCGAAAAAAGTACTGATAAATACATGTCTTAAACGCGTTTTGAAGAAGAGAAATAATGATTGGTTTCTTGGTGTGTTGTTTTCAAATGAAAATTTTCTTCTTCGTATTAATTTTGATAAGAGAAATCGTGAGTAATTCGTCATTTCTAACAGAACAAACAAAATTCATAGGAAAAAATCGAAAGCCGCAATAGCACCTTCTTTCCACCAATCAGAAATCGGCAGTGTGCCTCTCTGAAGAAGCATCAATGAAAAAACGCTAAAGTGAATTCTATTGAAAATCTTCGTGAAATATTAATTGATAGTTTTTTCTTCAACCAAATAATCGTTATTCGAGATATTTGTATTTCAACCAATCATCGTTTGCCCTTTTCTCTCTATCTATCTTCTCTGCATACTGAGAGGTCGAGAAACTTTTTTTTTGCTGAGAAGAAACAATATAGCGCGATGTCATCAACATCTTCATCGGATGATGATAACGATGAAAATCGTTTTCATTCGAATGATAGTCAATTATTATCGAACCAAAAAAGTTTAATTTACAAACATCCATTATTTCCTGTACTTGTTTATGTACTTGAACGATGTGAACAAGCAACATTAAATCCGGCATTATTACTGAACAATGACGAATCGTATTCTTCAACATCGTTTGAACATAATTTGAAAATTTTTCTTTCGAAAAATCCGGAAATTTTGACGGCTTCAAAACAAGACAGCGGGGAGACATCAACAATTATCGATAACTTCTATATTGATGCTATGCAAGTGCTTCGTATACACCTACTGGAACTTGATAAAGTCAATGATTTATGTCGAGACTTCTGTCAACGTTACAATGCTTGCCTAAAAGTGAAATTAAACGCGAACAATATATTTACCGATGACGAAGAAGAAGATGAGGAGGAAGACGAGGATAATGGGGAAGATGAAGATTTTGGATTGAATATCAATGACGATTATGAATCGGAGGATGACGATCAATTCATGATCAATGATAGAGATGCTTTGAAGGATCAACACTGCGGGTAAGGAGAAAGTTTTTCATGATCTCAATTGAAGATAACTGTTTGCTTCTATCCTTGTAGGAAACAATCTTTGCTGAACAATAATTTTAATTCAATTTGTCAATCGTATACAACGCAATTCAATGGTCAAACACCTCTGTCACAAATCATATCAAGTGGCTCATCACATGCGCCTGATCCATCATCAACCTTACTTGATCCTTTGTGTACGAAACGACGGAAACAGTCAGCGATCGTATCGTCATCGTCGTCGTCAGCGGCATCAAAACGTGGTGTTCTTCCGAAAAGTGCGACGTCCATCATGCGTAGTTGGCTGTTTCAGCATATCGTAAGTGTTGATCTCTTGTCGTTCTTCGTTTCGAAACTTCTTTATGTCTTTTAAGGTTCATCCGTATCCAACCGAAGATGAAAAACGCGCCATATCGTCAAAAACCAATCTGTCTTTGCTTCAAGTGAATAACTGGTTTATCAATGCTCGTCGACGCATTTTACAACCGATGCTTGAAGCTTCGAATCCTGATCTAGCGGCAAACAAAAAGAAAAAACGTCATGATACGACCGTCGATGATCACCATCATAGTCACGCACGTCAAATCTCGAATATCAATCGATATTGGCCGTCAAATTTAGCTCAATTTGAATCGACACCGAGAGGGCAACGCAAGAAATAATTCTCATTTACACAGTATCTTATACATCTAATCTTTGGGTTTTAATCGTCTTTACACTGAATGCATTATTTGTTTGATTTTTTTGTATAAAACGTTTTTTTTTCTGTTTTGCAATCCAAGTCTGACGCCTGAAATCTCATTTTGACCTGTCCTCTGTTTTTTTTTTCTGTACGTATTGCATGTGTTTCATGGTACAGTTTTTGCGCCTTACGCTTTTACATTTTTTTTTTTGTTTTTTTCGGTTAACGGTGCTACGGCGTAGATCTTTTTCTTTCTTTTGAAATGAAAATATACATAATCAGCAATGAAAATGCTTGAATTTCAACATCGAATTGCACGAAAATTCATGCAACGATTGGAACTTAGATAAAAGAAACGTATATGGATTCTTTTCGAAAACTTAAGTTCCCTCAAACGACTAAGATTGTTCTTGATTGTTGTATCGATTTCAATAAGAATTATGAGAATAAAATAGAGCAATAATAGTTGAGTGATGATCATAACAAGGAACGTATGTTCAAGACATCTAAGTAATGGTTCACATGTTCGAATCTGTTTTTCGTTATTTATAATAAAAACTCAGATCGTTTACTAGGATAGGCTAAGACCATCAGAAGTGGGATTTTCATGATAACTCATAAATAGACGTAAGAAAAATATCCAAGTGGCCACTGTTTAATGCTTTTTCGAAGAAAAAGTACATCTAACTCTAGATGTTTTATCAGAGCCATTAATCAAACCACAGGGTAACTCCAAATTCCAGACTATTCAATGAAAATGGTAAATCGTGTTCAAATTCAAGAATAATGATTGTATGTTATCAGATGTGTAGATATTCACCAGTTCACTTCATATATTCATGAAGTATTCTGTTGAACACAGTTGAACTTCCCGAAATCGACAAAATATTTATTAAATAGTCCTATTACTCAAAGTAATCAAAGCAGGCTCATTTGAAACAATTTCAACTGAGGATGCTCGATTAAAATGAACATAAGATCCGAGTTTCTCAAAAAACGCTGCAGCACACCAAACCGTAGAGCTCGTAGAGATCTACCAGGGAACAATGTGTTCTGAGTTGGAAACCTGTCTCTTGTCGCATCGTAGAAAAAAAAACGCCAGTCTTTTACTAGGATGGCCTACGTAGCTATTCTAGCGATTTTACGATATCATCCGTTCATGTTCTTTTAGACGTCATCTCAGAATGTGTCTATCTGCATGCTGAAACCCGTGGGCCCGTGGGAAAAAATTGGTTCGATGCTCAATAGCTGAACTTTTACAAATTAGTTGGATTATTTCGATGATTCAATAGACTTTTGATGCTAGCTGATATCAGTACACAGCAACTAAGATATAAAATGATTCGTCTTCTATTACATCAGCCAGCTGGATTGATAAAAAGAATCGAATAGCACGGCAGTGAAAAATGCAGGCGACGACAGTCCTGTGGATTTTTAATGATCGAAGGGAGTCACACGTGGCAATAACCATGCTTATATCTTCTTTTTTCTTAAAGTAGTTCCACTAAGTATCGGTAATTACTCTTTATATATACGTTAGTCTGTCAGGAGTATATTTGATATTCAACGGAAAAAATAATTTCCAAACTATTTCATTGGAGGTTTTATTAGTTGTGGAATTGGTATGAGTCATCTACCTTTGTTCGACGTATCAGTTAGATTCAACATGGATTGCATTGTAGTCAGTGATGAGGAAACGAATTTCAGCAAACATGTTGTCAAGTAGATATTTTCGTTCATAAACTATCCTCTGTGCCGTATTTGTACTTTTAGTTCAATTGTAAATGATACTGACAATGATGAATTGGTTGCAATCGATTTTGAAATAGCTGAAATTGATAAACAGATAAATCACCTTCGTCAACGACGTTCTCAATTAGTCCAACGACAAAAGAAACTTAAAGATGCGAACAAACGCCGTCAACGTCAACAGTCGATATCAGGAAGTGCGCACGAACAGTGGAAACGAACTGGTCAGTCTAATTTAGGACATACCGTTCTTCTGAATGAGTTACTTAATTTAGATTTTTCATGGAGTGCAAAAGTAAACGAAATTCGAACGAATGTCTTTAAAATCAATACATTTCGCCATTGGCAACTTGAAACTATAAATGTAGCGCTAGCTGGTCATGATTGTATTCTAATTATGCCGACAGGCGGTGGCAAATCATTGTGTTATCAGCTGCCCGCCTTGATTTCCGATGGTGAAATGAAATGAAATGATTCGTCACAATTTTAAAGCAATGTTTTTTTTTTGGTTTCAGGAATAACCATTGTAGTTTCACCATTGATCTCTCTAGTAGAAGATCAGGTTTATGCACTTCGAAATCTCAACGTCGATGCTCGAGCTTTAAATGCGTCAACACCACGTAGTGAACAAACTGAAATTATGCACATACTCGATGGTAAAGTTAAAGACGATTCATCATTGAAAATTCTCTACTTAACACCAGGTAAGTGAACGTACAGAGCAACAAATGTATTAATTCATGTATTTTTGAAGAGAAAATTGCAAAAAGTAAAACCATAATGTCAAAATTGCAAAAACTCTATGAAACAAAACGATTTGCAAGATTGGTTGTGGACGAAGTCCATTGCGTTTCACAATTTGGACATGATTTTCGGCCAGGTTTTTAAACCACTTTTCTTTAATGTACAACGCAAACGATTACTTTAGATTACAAATACTTGTCAATTTTCAAACGGCAATTCCCAAATGTGTCAATCTTAGGTTTAACAGCGACTGCAACATTGAAAGTGATTGATGATATTCGACAAATGCTGAAGATTCCACATTGTGTCTTATTTCGAGCGCCGTTTAATCGAAAAAATCTCTTCTACGAAGTTCTTCACAAATCTGATATTGGAAAAGATGCATTCAGTGATCTCGTACGCTGTATTCAACATCGGTTTGATCAGCTATCAGGTAGAACGTTTAGCAACTTGTTCACGATGAATTCTCACAAATATTCGATAGGAATTGTTTATTGCTTATCACAAAAGGATGCCGAAGATGTCTGTTTTGAACTTCAAAAGCACAGTAAGAGTAGACTTGTATCAAAAAATGAAACGTTTTGTGAATCTCCGGTAGATATCAAAGCTGGTTGCTATCACGCCGGCCTTACAGCTCTTGCTCGAACAAAAGTTCATGAGAAATGGCTCGAAAATCAAGTACATGTTATTTGTGCTACAATTGCTTTTGGTTTGTTTGACTGACTGTTAAACTAAACAATCATATAAGTTGTGTTTTTGAAAATCCATTAGGAATGGGTATAGATAAACCAGATGTTCGTTTTGTTATCCATCATTCATTAAGTAAATCAATTGAAAATTTCTATCAGGAAAGTGGACGAGCTGGTCGTGACGAACAACAATCGCATTGCATTCTTTTTTTTCGGTATGTAACTTTCAAAAGTCAATCTTCGTTCACGATTACCCGCATTTAGATTCGGTGACGTTTTTCGTTTAGCACCGATGGCTTTTTCTGATAAATCAGGAAATGGTTTAACTAATCTTTATTCGATGATAAGCTATTGCTTAAATGAATCCCAATGCCGTCGGAAACTAATCGCAAGTCACTTTGATGAAGTCTGGCAGTCAAACGATTGTAATCAAATGTGCGATGTTTGCGCACGACCGTCGACTTACATAACGAAACGAGACTGCTGCGAAGAAGTTTTGCTAATTATCGAGCATTTAGAGAAAAATCCAAAGCAACGATTAACAGCACTTCAATTAATCGATCAGTTAACCATCAAGACGATGATCAAAATAGATTTACAACGACTTATTTTACAAATGATTATTGACCAATATTTAAAAGAAGATTTTCATTTTACGCCATACAATACTATCTGTTACATTAAACTAGGACCTCGAGCAGGATACTTTAAGAACTCCAATAATCAAGTTATGCTCGATATTATCGAAAGTTCGAAAAACCGATCGTCGGCAGCAACTAAAACAGTAGAGAAAGCAAATGCCAAGAAAAACTCTTCAACCTCGACAAGTCAAGGTATGCTCAAAACGATTTCGACTTGCTTAATAAAATTTTTGTAGCTTCACGACCCAAATTACAATGGGTAACCAACACTGACACAGTACCAAAGCCCAATCATCGAAAAAAACGAACGTTAGAATACGACGACGATGATGATGATGACGATGACGAAGAAGAGAACAAGCCGACATTAAAAAAGCAATCTACGTTGCCAAAAATTAATTCTACATCGAAGAAGTCTATTCAATCATCGGCAATCGACAATGATGAGCTTGACTTTTTGTGATTAACTACGTGTGGTTCTTTTAAATGTGTAACATGAACATAATCTGCATTTTTATTCTTAGTCAAATTTGTACAAAAATAGATTTATACACGCTAAATAAACCTTCTAGACAACATTTTATAATGCATACAGAAGATCTTGTTTATTGATAAAAAAATAATTCCTTACGAGTACGTATGGATAAACTAATCAATGTCATTTATGAGCGATACATTCATGCCAAACAAGTGGATGGTCTCGAATGAAATTCTCCATGAGTTCCTGACATTCAGGCAACTCCATGACATCAATTTGAACATTACTTGCACGAAGTAAAGCTTCATCTCCATGATATGTCTTATTCTCACCGATAACAACACGCGGTATCCCGTAGAAACGAATCGCGCCTGCACACATCGAACACGGTGATAAAGTCGTATACAATGTACAGTCGTGATAGAAGGATGCTGGCTGCCGTCCAGCTGCTTCAATGCACGATAATTCCGCATGCAGGATAGGTGAACTCAACTGAATACGACGATTGCGTCCTCGTCCGACAATGCGACCATTGTGAACGAGAACACATCCATTAGGTATGCCACCTTCAGCAAGACTTTTCCGTGCTTCAGTCAATGCTTCATTCATAAATGATGCATTAACATGTGCTTGAGTGATGCTTCCTTGTGTTGATCCGCGACGAACTAATGATATTGAACCCGTACGAGAATTTCGCCGTGTCTGAACGATTGTATTATCTTCGACAGGCAAAACACCACCAAAAATACCATGCGACATCGGGAATGATTATGACAAAAGTAACAATGGATAGAAGACGAAATAGATGATTATTAACTAAAGGTTACATTTTAATCTTTATTTAAATGACATTGATTGTTATCTTCGACTACGTGATAGCCTTCCTCTTCTCTTTTTCAGTTCCGTAAGTAATAGATAAATATTATTGAAGAAAAATAATGAAATGCACCAAAAGATTTATGTTTTTGTACCTAATTTATTTATTCAAAAAACGCGCAGATTCATTCGTAAATGTAGTAATGAATATTGATAATGCTTATATATCTCAAGATTACTAATAGAGAAAAAAAACGACTAATAAAACATGGTAGAAAAAGAATAATGAGGAATGATTTGCAGTTCACAAACGAGTAACACTTTCATCAGGATCATCATCTTGATGTTCCAGCGTGTTTTGTGATCGCTTTTTAAATAGAACACGTACATCCGGACGTGAAGATTGTTCTTCCGGTTTTGTTGTTGTTGCATATTCACCCATAGACTCAGGTGATTTCTGATATGTACCACTTATATCTTCACCTGTTATGGGAAGATTGTGAAGATGAGGATCATTGCCATGTTTGGATCCTACATTGAGTGTCTTCGCTTCATCCGTGGCGGACGAATGACGCCATGGATGGTTGCGTTCTGCAGCTGTTGCACCAGTGCCTGCACAATGAATAGAAAATCTTTTTTTTTCCTTCTTCTCAGACTACAGTCTACCTTCATTTTCTGAGTGCACCGAGGTCGAGGGTGGTGTTTGATTTGATTTCTTCGACAAGGATTTAGTACGATGTTTCGATGAACCAGGTGAGTTTTCTCGTGTTGTTGATATTGACTGTGATCGAGATTCGTGCTGTCGAGGCGTAGTTGTAGCTGGATGAGGATCAATTGCTGGTAATCGATTGGCATTATGAATAATCTTACTGATGGTTTTTGGGCCGCGCAAATGTTCTCGATCGAGTGGTGATGGCAGATATCGATGATCACGATGATGGTACGATTTTTCAAAACGATTATGTGTTCCATCATCTGAACTCGCAGTTTCATCTTGATTCCGATGATGAATAGCAGCCTAAAAAGAAAACACACTTCTGTATCTGTCTAGCCCCCTATCGAATCATCTAAGTTTCTATGTATATTTAAGCATTAGTATGGACAGTAATGATAAACGGCTTGTTCTAGGCATCATGTCTTCTTTTGCTTTTCCTTTACCCTTGGTCTGGCATTAAATAGATTCGAATCCAGAAAATGATGCATCTGGACATCATCATGATGATGATCACCACCACGGTTTTCAAAAAACATTAAATCCGGAACGGTATTTTCAGGTAGACTACAATAAAGCAAACCCGATCACATAAAAATATCTACTAACTAACTAGCTAGACAAACTTTGCCGCAATCAATTCTGAGATGTTTTCAAATCGTCGGTCCGATTTTAAATTATTTCCTGATCCGGGCTCATCAGCAGTGCTTGTTGTTGCCGCTGCGGCTGGTACAAGTCCGCGAGACGCGTCGTGAACTCGCATTGCAGATTGAGTATTGATCTTTTTAAATGTCTGTAACAATTTAATATCCATCCTGATTTCCGGAGTGTCACGTAACAACCATCGCTTGAAATAAATTCGATCGAAATTTCGAATTCTAAATGACAATCAAAAGATCAAGTAGAAAAGATTATCTCATCCAGTCCTACCGGTCACGTAATGAATTGCTACCACCGCTACCAGAGATTTCTTCGAGACAAGTCATAACATGATCCATCATCTTTAAAGTAAACCGATAACCTTCTAGGAACAAACGTAGGAAAAACACAGCGTTACTCGATTTGTTAATTTTGCCGACATTGTCGGTTCTTCAATTTGCTTTCGTCGAACGTTCAATAATTTCACCAATGGGCCAATGGTAATACCCTACGGAAAACAGTTATTGTGACTTCCAATAAGAATAGCCATTTCTCTTACTTGTATAAAAACTGTGAAGAACACGACAGCGATTGTTGCCGTGACAAATTCTTTCTTTCGTTCGATTTTTGTTTCATCTAGAACCAATGCTAATGCAAATGCGATAGCACCGCGTAAACCACCATAGGACATAATTAACATATCAATTCGTGTTAACTCAAGTAAACGCCAACAATTGGCAATATTAGTAAAGATAGCGATACCTAAAATTTACAAGTCAGCGTGTCGTTCTGTTTTTCATTCTCGCTTGATAACATACCAATAACTCGATAGACTAGACACAGAAGAATAGTCATAAGAACGAAACCTGTGTTCCATGAATGGTTATCACTGACAGTTGATAAACCCATGAACATAAAAATAATCGTTTCCATGATGCTCGATAACATTTTCAAAACGTATTCCGTTGTAGCGTCGGATTTCTTTGAGATATTGAATGACACATACTGCTTCATAACCATACCACAAAACGTAATACTAAATACGAAAGTTTCTCGTTCTAAACATCGATAAGCGCATCTACTTACGCTAAGATACCTGATACCGAAAACATTTCTGATGTGAGATAAGCTAAATAAGCATAAACGAGGATAATCAATGGTTCTAACACAGGCGTATGTTCAGTGAATTTTGTCGTAAAACATGCAATCACTCCAAATATGATACCGATTAAGACGCCTCCAAGTGCAACGACAAAAAATGATAAACAACCCAAAACAACATCCATGACAATGATATTCGCTTGGCCAATTTTAGCGAAAGATTCGAACATACGGTAGAGCACAACTGACACTGCATCGTTGAGCAAAGATTCTCCAAACACGACAATGTAGAGCATATCATTAACATGAATTTCTGTGAAAGTTGCCAAGACAGCAACAGGATCGACGGCTGAGATAAGCGCAGCAAAAACAAGACAAGGTAACATATCGAATTGAGTACCGCCATAAATAGGTGTAAATTGAAATCCCCATAAAGTTAGACCGATACAAATTGTATTGAACAATGTATTGACAATAGCAAGTAGGAGAATTGTGCCAAGATTGTCGAAGAATGGTCGATTTGGCATAAAATAACCCGCTTCGAGAATGATTGGCTACAGAAAAAAAGCCGGACAGTTACTGTGTTGTGGTACGCTCAACAATTGTCGCGAGAACGAATCGATCATATCTTTATTAGTTCCTCTTTTCTGTTTCTTTTGGAGATATCATTTCGAAAAAAACAAATGCTGATATATATACATATATAAGTGCAATTCTCTTACGTAATAATATGTCCTTTAACTCACCGGTAGAAGAAACAAGAAGAACGTTTCACTATTGAGTACATAGGCTTTCTGTTCAGCTAAATGAGTAACGTAAAGAAGAGCACCAACGATAAGACCCAGAATGATCAGAAGACAACTTTCAGGAAATTTTTCAGTTAAACGATGCGATAGATGAAAGCCTAAAACGTACGCAAATGCGTTCAATGGAAGAGAAATTGTCTCCACTGACCAACTTTAGCTAATGATCCGAGTAGAATCCATAATGTAATCGCATACACATTCGATACATGATCAAAGTTGAATTCAGCGACATGGAAACGTAGTGGTTTGCTTTGTAAATGTTCGTACGTTTGCTCTTTGCAGTAATACTTATGAATGATCAAGCCAAAGATGATAATAAAGACGATGCTATATTTGCTTCGAAGCATTTGGACGGAACATACAGAAAATCTATTGCATAGTTTATGAAATACGGAATATAAAAATATAAACCTATAAAGCAAGATAAATGAGAACTGATTGATTCACAAACGTCTTTAAGAAGGAACTTTATAGGTTATTTTGATATAAAAGAAGAGAAATGAATAACGAAAGAAAAGGAATGTTGATGATAAAGATCATAAATGACTTTTCTTCAACAAAGGTATGCATACGAACGATTGCCTTTTTCGCCCAAGACGATATGTAATGATAATGATAATAATAGATTTCGTTTTTATTTTGCCCTTTTCCTCTTTTCTCCATCACAAGGATCATAAAAGCAAGTCGAAGTGTAGATAAAAATCATTGACGTTTTCTCGCCGTTTGTGAAAGACACCATCGCATGAGATTCTGTGTTCGATGGAATAATGCTATTCAGTACATGAGCAAGCACGTTGTTTTTGCGTCTTCGATTTGCACATTATCAAGTACAAGATGAAAAAGAATGAAAGAACGGACAATACGTTACTGTTATTAAATGTATGCTATTTTCTGGAATGATAATGCTAGCACGTGTGGATATATACGCGAGCAAATATTGAATAAATGAAATAAACTCAAGTGTTTGTTGTTCGATGGCGTCGACAAGGAGAGGAGAAACCCGACGTTAATTAAACAGATGGTGTAATAAATCGGTGAAATCATCTCGACTGAATCGAAACCATTTAGTCTCATATGTTACAAACCATGTACCACAAATTTCAGATGGAATTGATGCACGCACGAGTGCAAAAAACATAAGAGTCTGCTTGTTCTTTTCTGTTGTGTGTCTGTGTGTGTGTTTTTTTTTCTCTGTGTATAGTTATCGAGACCTTCGATTTTCTTTTTTATATGTCTTATTTTTTGAAATATCAAGAGTACCAGTTTGGTCTCTTTATTGTGAACAATAAAGATTGCACGACAATGTTAGATTTTGGTCTTTTTTTTCTTTCTGTTTTCAAGTTAGCAAGAGAGAGAGACAGAGACAGAGACACAGCGAGACAAAAAAAGAGAAACTGAAATTGAAATGGAATAAAATAAAGAATATAAATAAGAAGTGAGAATATGAATAATAACAACAACAACAGCAACAACAATGAACATCTACTCATCATCACTTTCACTCTCGGTGGCGAATTCTTCATCTTCAGCTTTGGCATTGGCTGCTCCTTCATCTTCACTGAAGTCCCATTGTGGATGATTATTATCCATTTCTTTCGCTGCTTGAACATCGAACTGAAAGGTAAGAGAAAATGATTGATGGCAAGTCATCAGATGAAATCAAGTGAATTACTGCAAGATTTTCCATGACATCAACATCGAAGTATGAGTCAGATCTTAGAATGACCGAATAGACATAGTGTCCCGGTGTTTTCGGGGCAGAAAACTTCACTTCCACTTCTTCTTTATCTTTCAATGTGCACAGATAGACAGGTGCGCTGATCAATGAAAAGTGTTTACGATCAGCCACATATAACCACCAACATTCTTGCTTGACCTAGAGAATAGAGAAGAATAGTAAGAATTTTTTGAAGATAAATGAAAAATCTACTTCAGGGTAGAATGGACAGAAAACGCGATGACTAATCTTCGCTTTGGTTTCAAGTTTTTCACGTTTTCTTTGTTGTTGTTGAAAGCGTTCGAGAAATGTGTCTTCATCATTATCAGCATTCGTTCGTGATTTTTTGGGTGTTGCTGGTGGGTTATCTTCATCATTATTTTCATTATCACTGTTGTTTGTTTCGTCTTTTGATTGTTCATGATGTCGATGACGCAATGTTGATGGCGAGTCTAAACATAAATGAGCGAAATGTTCGAAATTAACTGATCAATTAATTTACCATCGGAATGTTTAGATGAATCGTCATCTAAAATAAACGAAAACAAGAAATTCAATTGCGAGCAAGGATCAAATTACTAACCACTCGAATCTTTTTCATCGACTTTTTCTTGTTTTTTATTGGCATTTGCCGGTGTGGATTGTTTATTCGCAGATGTATTGTTCGCTTTTGATGGTGCGGTTTGTCCTTTCTTTTTACTTTTCTTTTTCTTATCCGCTTTATTATTCCAACCTTTTGATGTACTCGAAGCTGCGGTTGCTTTCGGTGTATCATTCGTCTAGGAAATGAAAAAGAGACATGGAAAAATGATATGACACCATTTTCTTTGTACTTTTTCTCGGTTTTCTTTATCGTCAACTTGTTCTTCATTCGCTTCTTCGTCCATCGCATTGATCTTCGATGATTGATTCAATCCCAGTTCTTTGTTGAATACATTGGACATGTTTTCACGTTGTAGATGTATTGTCAATGTGACAACAGCGCCGGTCGTGATGATATGTTCATCTTCGTCATCGAAAACTAAGCAAAACGAATCGAAAGGCTAGATCAACTAGAAAAGCTACTTCCTATTGCGTACCTCCACATGAAATACTCATGGTTATATGTGGATAGATCGCGAGAACATTCATGATATCATCATACTGCTCGTCAGTAATACTACGTAGCATTGAGCGACGCTCTTCTCCATCCATAGCGGCAAACTGACGAACTGATTTGATCGTACGCTAGCAAGAGCATGTTTATGAATATAGATATTTTGCTCTCGCAAATGGTTTCATACTTTTTTCGTTTCGAAGAATCTCAATTGGCTCTCAGTGATGTGTGGTAGTTGCAGTAAAGGACTCTTCGTATTCCATAGAGCTTGGACAATCATTGGTGATAATCTCATTGTATTTTCGATTGTATCAAGACGTGGAGGATTTTTCACTGAAAACGAAAAGAAAATCATTTCGATTCAGTCACATGTAAACATTTGACATACATCGTCCTGCATGTCCCATAGCTACAAGTTGAGCTTCGATATTAATCATTTCATTGATTAGATAGGGAGATTTCTTCACAACGTATCGTTTGTCATTTTCCAATTCCGGACTCAACGAAGTTAGACGTTGAAGATGAGCATGAAGAAGTGTACGTGCTTTCAAGCAGTATGGCATTTGAAAGGGTCGTTCTTTTGTTTTTTCTTGTATATCTGGTAACTCTCGAAATAACTAAATAAAACAGACGAAATCCATATATGTTCGATTTCGTAGATGTAGAAAATCAAACAAACTTTTGGTAATTCTACGTTGTCGCTTAGCCGATCAACAATGAGTGGATTTCGAGTACGATCGAATTCTCTCGATGCACTTAGAATCATGATTGCACCTAGACATATAAATTAATTTTCAACGGTAAAAATTTCCAATTCATTTCGGTATACTCAGAGTTTCCTGTACATCAAAAGAAATTTTTCTCAGAGGATTGACAGATAAAATGAAAACGAAATCATCATTGTATACCGTTAGTTAGATTTGAACATGGGTACATGTCAATCTCACTCTACTATTCCCACTCGATTAACTTACGTTTAACAATAATCGATGATGTTTTGCTTAAAAAGATCCAATACAGTTGAATTGTATCAATTAAGATTTGATCGCCTGAATAACGAGCCGATTTTTGCCACCAGAGGCACTAACAGTACCAAACCATACAAAAATTTCATCTGTGATTCTGTTAAATTCGAACTTACGACAATCACTGGTAGAACGATCATAAAGATACCAGCGTAGACCAAAAGAACAAAGACCGAGTTTTTATGATCAACTAGCCATTTAGGTAAAGCAATACCAAAATGTGTGACTATAGAAAAAGGCAAAATCAAATCAGAAGACTTTCGAAAGAGATTTAACCTCCGGGTCCGTCAGGATTGCCATACTTCTTCCAATTTTCCTTCGCTTCTTCATCTGTTAATGTTTTATATGCCTTGGCAATTTCTTTCTAAACAGCCAGAAAGCCACTTTTTAACCGCAAGAGCCATCGTTCGATGTACTTACAAACATTTCGGGATCTCCGCCACGATCTGGATGGTGTTTTTTACTCAGATCACGGTAAGCTCGTTTGATATCGGCAGTTGACGCTTCCTAAAAAGTCGAAGTCGTTCATTTTTCTACTGCAAACAACTATATGATCATTACTCGATCGATGTTTAATACAGCAAACGGGTCGTACTCTTTGTGTTCAGTTTCAATAAGAGAAACACGGTAAGCTAAAAATATCAGAACTATCCACGCTACGATTAAACCGATTTTTCTAAAAGAGAAATTTGCATAGGTGCACAGCTTTGGAAAGATAACGTCATCCGTACGTGATCATAGCTCGTCGTCGCTGATTAGGTTCATTGGCATGTAATAACTGGTGTTTATCACGACATGGTGTAAAGTTCGACCTTTCTTCCGGATGCGGTGTACTTTCTATACAAAATTCAACGGATTTTAGATCAACATTGAAATCTTTCCTTACTTCTCTTTTCTACCTTGGGCCATAACCAATAGGTCGCAGGTACAAGTATCAAGCCGTAGACGGAAAGTATAAAGTAATAGAACTTTCCTCCACTTTCATCGTACTAAAGAGAATAAGGTGTGCCTTTTATGATCATGACGAACTTGTTACGTACTTCAAATTTCATTCCAGCCATAGTTGTATAGTTCCGTTCTCGTCTACAGTTGCATCTGAAATAAAATAAAGAGAATCATTTTATTTATGCTTAAATAAAAGGTCAAATAATTAAAAATTGAAAAGCTAAAACGAGATTGTAGGTGTTTGCCCATTCTCAGAAGTAAAATTGACAAATAAACGAAAAATTGCAAAAAAGAAGAAAAGATCATCACAATTAGAATTGGACATTAGAAGAGTAAAATGATGTGTAAATTGCTCAGAAGGAGAGTTCGTTGGTTGCTCAGTGGTAATTTTGAATCAATTGTTGGACGTATTTTGAATGAATGCGATTCTTATTTGATTTCAAATACTCTCGGCCACCATGCTTTGCCCACTCTTGTTCGAAGTCATTTTCGAGAATTTCAGCACCTTTCTTTCCAGTTAAACCTGTTTCGTCTAAACTTAATTCACACATATTTGTGTCATCAACACCTACGAATAAAAACTATTCGATTTAAATCATTTAATTGATACGAAAGGTAAAACCTGAGACGAGAAGTGTTGCTTTTCGATCTTGATGAATTTCCATTTGACGAACAATCCATTTATCTGAATGAAAAGCAGCGTTGCCATATGCAAATTAGAGATCATTACGAAACTTACCGTCGAAATGTGCGTACCACCAGCCCTTCTTTTTGTGTTCACTACTTGCATCGCGATTTTGTTCGTTGGGTCGGACAAATGGCACCCGAAAATAACGTTGTTCGCCTGTTTTGTTACCTCCCTTGGACGAATTGTTAGCCGCAGATGTTGTATTTTGTCCATTTGTTCTGTTCGCCCCATCGGTTAACGGTGTCGAAACGACTAAAACAAACATCGAATGTGTGCGTTCGTATTCGAATCTGATGCTTTTTTAAAATACCATTATTCAGAATATCTTTGGGTGCCCTCTCGTCATCGACAATGTCGTTTTCATCCGTGACTGCCGACTGATTTTTTGTTTTACGATTTTTTAATTTCCAAGCATGATACACTTTTAAACGTCGGTGGAATTCTTCTCGGCAGGCATCAAGCAGTTCGATGTCTAAAACATTCGTACAAATGAAATTGATCTCGATTTGTCATACGCTCTTACCACACGATGTATTGATCAGATCGCGTAATTGTGCGTAGGTATGTTTATTCAGATCGTACTTTTGATTGGTAGCTGGACGACGGGTTCGTGCCAATCGAGGTAGATCAGCTTCACTACCCATTTCTAATGCAAGACGTCGCGCTAATTCATAATCACGACGCTCGCGCTCATTCATCTCGGCTAGATAAGCTTCCTCAGCAGATTCTTGTGCTTGACGTTCCTTCTGCATAGGAAAATTCATGAAAAGTTAGTTCATATGAAAAGAACTTGAATACATACAAATCGTCGAGCCTCTTCAGCAGTTACTTTAGTCTTCAGTTGTTCTTCTTCGCGTTGCCGTTGTGCCAGAACTGAACGTCTAGATGGGAAAAAAACACATATTCGTTCAAGAAAAGATCAAATCGAAAAGAACTTACTGTCGAAATTCCTCTTGTTCTTTCTCGAATTGTTTATCTTCATTGAATTTTTTGCTTTTTTCATTTTCCAGTTCCTTCTACAGAATTTTAATTTCCAATCGGTTGCGAAACACAAGAGCAAAGACATCTACCTGAATTTTCTTTAAACGTTCTGCTTCTTCTTTCATTTCCTGTTCAGCAAGTGTTTGATTCAATCGACGAAATTCCCGATCAATCGAAGAGACAAGATCATTGTAAGCATCATCGATCTGTGTTGCAGTCATTTGAGTATTCTAAGCGAGCAAACAACACCGTGCTAATTTTCTTTTCACAAGTCAATATTTACTGTGATATTGTTGATTAACTGATCGATTCTCTGTTTTAATTGATGAATTTGTTGATAAACTTGCTCTTTATTAGATTTCATGCGCTGAGCAATATTTTCCATGGAAGCGACTTGTTCATGTAACGCTTTTGCTTTTACCAAACCTCGAATACTAGTAGAGAAAACGAAGTTTTTCTTCTAAAGATAACGATCATCTCATTCTTACCGTGGTGCATAACGCCGATAGACCAAATGCATGCGAATATGCCGCTGTATATCCATGTAACATTGACGTCGATAGAGGATCTTATTTTTGACTACAAATTCAAGTCTGAAAATAGTCGACTTCTTCTGCAAGAACTTACGTTTGATGACAGACAACGCACACCATTGTGCTGTTTTCCATCGTGTCCATAGAAGCCATTTCTTAACTTTGGAGATGAGCCCCGCTAAGTTTTGTGGGTCCGATTTCATGAGCTCATCGAATTCAGCGAATTTGCCCGGACGGAAGAAAACTTTTGTTAGACCAAATTTGAAATCTGCATCACGAAGATTCAATGCTTTAAATAAACATTTGCAGAAAAGTCGCGGCTCGAGTCGAGCCAACTCGGCGGGTAAATACGATTTGTACATTGCATATAGCTCAGCAAATTGGGTACGCGATGGAAAACCTTGCTGCATCAGATCCAATACCGAGACCATGCCTTAAGAAGAAATTTTACTCGGAAGAGCACACTTAAATTTTGTTAATTTACCACTACATTGCAATTGACTGAGAATTTGACCACCTTCGAATAGATTTGGTATCATTTTGAGATTCGGTTTGATACAACGAATGAAACTGATGCCCTAGGAGAAGAATTTGATTTAAAGTGTTTGTGGTTTTGATCTAATACTCACTGTGCTGCGCAATTTGTTCATTAATTCAGTTAATTGAGATCGAAATTTTGATCCAACGGAAATGAAATTTAATTTGCCTGTTGATGGCTCTTGTTCCGATGCTTTTGGGAATAGGTTTTTAATAAAACTGTTCTTACATTCCTGGACAAGAAGAAATAACGAAGCATGTAGAGCATCATTATTTTTCTCAATAAATTGTGCCTAAAATTGACCATGCACAAACGTAATGTTTAATCCAAGAAACTTACGGTTGAGTACACAACACTGCCAGCAAAATGTTGAATAAGAAAACCTTCGTCATCACGAATCTCGCGTGAGGTGCGTAATTTTGATTTTCGTGGAAGCTAAACAAAGTGAAGTAAAAAATACTAGATAACAATCCTCTGATTCCTTACATCGAGTCTCGGATGACCTTTATTGCGGTTATGAACTTCACTTGTGAAATGTTCCGGCCGAGGCGTTGGTAATTTGCTCTCTTCATCCAACAGATCAAAACAACCGGTGATCCTTGCTTCAATCAGATCTAAACACAATCGAGTAAACGTTTCACAAAATGCGACAACTGTCATCCATCATGCAAAAAAAAAGTAAAACAACTAAGGGATAAATTCATGCTGGAGCTACATAATTCGTTGAGCTGTACAGATATTTATTCCATCTCTACTTCAACTAGATATTATATAGTACGCTGTAGATAAACAAGCTCATGCGGACTTCACGCTCAAATATGAAATCCTACCAGATATATGTTTATAACTTTAAAGAAAATAGAGAAGAATGAAGCCCAAAGCAGCATAGACTCATACAACGACATACCAATACAATCTTGATTATCGATGTAATGAATCTTTTTCAAACCAAGACCTTCCTTTTCGTACAATATTTGTTCTTCTTTCAAGATTCGTTCATTGAAGAATTGCTGTAATTTTTCATTGCAATAACTAAATCACAGCGAAAGATTCATTTTTCAAATAAATCGACATGTGACATACTTAATACAAAATTGTTCGAAAGAATTTATTGGAAAATATTCAAAGCCCGCAATGTCCAAGATACCAATATACGAGATAGATGAACTGAATGGAATGGATTTGTTCACTACACTGACGATATAATCAAAAAGTCGAATGTAGACTGCTTTCGCCAATGCATCACGAGCATTTTGAGCTTCGTGAGCTTTCAATGGAACACTAAAGAGGAAGTCGTTCTTTTCAATCCAACTAACGAATACCGAACTACATACGAAATCAAATTATCTTTTGTATTGCTTGTTGTCTTTGTCATGATCACTCGCGTAACTAAACCATCACAAAGTTCACGAACATTGAGACCCAGCATTTCCGATGTTATCGTCAATGATTGCTCATGACCAGATGCTACTCTACAACCACCTTTCGTGCTCTCAGGATCATCTTCAAAATTGATATTTCCCAAATGAAGAACGGTTGCCACTGTACTATAAATATTGATCTTATCTTGGGCTGATAAACCCATGTGATCCATCGATTGATCGCATTCGAGGAAATCCTTAACATCGTCAAGCTGCGGATCACGTAACGGCCCTTTGCTCATAAACTAGAAAAACGGATAATAATTCTTTTAAACTTGATCATTCATAAGCATACGTCTTGACTTAAGCGATTCTTTGATAGATTCTTTTCAGTTTGTGTGCCACAGAAGTATTGTGTACAACCTCGGTTCAGATACTAAAACAAAGCAAAATACTCATCAAACCAAATAGATCTTTCCTTCTTACATGAAAATTATCCGGTGAGCCAAGTCGTAAAGCACTACGAATATTTTCAGGTGCTCCCGCACATAAACGATAGAAGATATGATAGTTTCTTTCGTCTTTCGATTGAACACAGATGCGAGATTTTTCCAATAGGTAATGAGAAATATAACCGCCGACGACACGATACTTTAAAAGAAGACAATTTTCGTGAAAAACTCGATTGGGAAAGTCAATGACAAACTTTTTCATTAAAATGAACTTCGATAAATTTACCAAAACGGCTGGAATTATTATTTCGCGTAGTTTTAGCTAAAAAACAACAAACAATAACATAGTGAACACAAGAATCACATATCATTTACCATTGCCGAACGCTTCCAATAATGGATTCGCTAAAAGAGAGGCAGTGAAATTGTAAGGATACGTTTGACTTTTCAATTACATTTATTAATTCGATCTTCGATTTGACCACTATGAGCACCATAAGATTCAGTTAAATATTGCAGAACATACTTTGCCGATTCCGTTTTACCTACAAATGCATACGAGTTTTCATCACTTTGAGGGAAATATTCATTAACAAACCAGCACCGGATTCGCCTGAAATAATTATTGATTGACTTTGTTTCGTCGTGCGCATATCACGATACGCTTTATCGCCTGAAAAAAGCACATCGACATTGAAAATATCGTCCTATTCAGTATAAATTAATTTCTAATTAATCAAACACAAATTAGAGCACAACACTTTAGAGTGATTAGAATAATTTCTTTCTCATTCAAGTCAAACACCTAGAGAAAACAAGACTTTCAACGATATTTTTCATTTTTCTGAAAGAAATACAATTTCCCAAGTAAAGATCTTCCTCGGAATTTATCCTACCGATTGCGAATACATGTGGTGGCATGACACCAAGTGATTTGCCATTGTATCTTTTGATTGTTTCGAGACTATAAAGACCATGTAGTTCTTTATACGGATTAATAGCAATTAGGATATTCGCGACGTAGGTCTAAAAACCAATGTCTAGATAGAGAAGTTTCAGAAAAAAGTCCGTTCATTTACATATATTAGATCTTTCTTATAACGACGACGAACATTATTCAATAAAGTTCCTTCATTGAGATACATGAGCGCACCTGAAATAGAAATTCAAATAAAGCCATTACATCTTTCCAAGATTGTCGTCGATAGTTACAATTATCGTCCACATCTTTGTCATATTCTTCAGCTTGAAAAACTGAATCATAAGGAACGACAAGAATCTAATTAAACAAAAAAAATCGAGCTAATTTGCCGAATGAAATTTGTCGCGAACCTTCTTCGTTTCGTTCACTTGAACGGTTACATTATCAGATGCGATATCAGCGATTTTTCCAAGAACAAAACCATGTTCATTATCTCGTATCCACACAGGTTTATTTCCATTCAATGTTATCATATTTCGATGTAATGATTATGTTCGAAAGTAAACGTCAGCATACCGTAAGAAGGAAAGAATGGGATTGGTCGGGAGAAGGTGACCAATGAGAAAATTAAACGAAATAAAAATCGAACTTTTTCTATTTAAAACTAACAATTTTTTCATGCTTATCATCGAAAAATTCACACGATTTTTTCTTCATGACAATTTGTATGTGGCGCTGGTTGTCCTACTGTACGTTGTGATTAATACGCACGCATAGATCTATTTTTTCATCGGCGATTGATGATGGAAGAAAGCGAAAATCATCATCAGGTTTTCTTATTAAAAGGCCAAACGATTGTCAGTTCAGCAAAAAGAAATGGTAGGAAATATGCATCTTTATCAAATCAAGGATTCACTATTGAATTCTTTTAGACTCAATTGAATTGTCCAGCATAGGCAATGACAATGATAATAATTCAGATTCGGGTATCAGTCCAAATGATAGCGAAGTCGACATACTGATTCCTGATCGTAAGTCTACCGAGAATAAAGAGCGAACATGTAGTTTTATTTATTCATTCCATAGAAGGTCACACGCAAACTCCTAAAACAGGATTATCGACGATGTTTGATCACAACGAAGAGAAGTGGTATATCGTAGCGAGTCAAGTTTTCATTCCGTTTATGATTGCTGGTTTTGGTATGGTAGCAGCTGGACTTGTCCTCGAACGTGTGAAGGTAAGGGCAAATTTTCACTCGAAATCTTCGGCTCATCTTGCTATTTCTATTTAGGAACTGAGTGTCTTCAAAGAAATTACAGAAATCTATATTCTAGTACCAGCTCTACTTGGCCTGAAAGGAAATTTGGAAATGACATTAGCTTCACGACTATCAACTCAAGTATAAGACTGAAAATTTCCTAACGGGAACATTTAAGTGAAATTCTATTCATTCAGGCAAATATTGGTAACATGGACAAACGATCCGAATTGCAACGTATGATCATTGGAAACGTTATTTTGACGCAACTACAAGCTATTGTGGTTGGCTTTCTTGCGGCGTTGGTTTCACTGGCTATGGGATGGGTACCACAGGGACATTTCAATATTCGGCATGCACTTGTGCTATGCAGTAGCAGTGTTTCAACAGCATCGATTGCGTCGTTGGCATTAGGTCTGTTATCTGTGGAAGTCACATCTGTGAAAAATTTGAATGATATTTTCAGGCAGCATTATGATATTAGTTGTTGTCGTATCGCATAAATGTAAAATAAATCCTGATAATATTGCCACGCCCATCGCTGCCTCACTAGGCGATTTAACCACACTTGGCATTCTTGCGGGCATTGGTGGCTTTTTATTCAAAACCATCGGTAATTGTTATTATTTCATGAAAATTTGCTGTATAAACCCATTTTCCTCTGTAGATAATTATGCATGGTTGTCTATCATGATAACGGTGGTATTTTTAGTTTTAACACCTATTTGGATTGTTCTTTCGTCACGGAATGAGTATGTTAAAGATGTTTTAATACATGGCTGGTCACCAGTAGTTGCAGCCATGCTCATCTCAAGGTAAAGATGTCTTTTTTCTTCAAACAAACTACCATCGACTCACTTTTCAAACAGTGCGGGTGGTCTTATCCTCGATTTTGCCGTACAAACACTTCGCGGTGTTGCTGTTTTTCAACCTGTCATGAATGGTAATGTTTTTGTCTCCAGTCACGACTATGAAATGACCGACGAGTTCTAGGTGTCGGCGGTAATCTGGTAGCCGTTCAAGCAAGTCGACTATCCACCGCTCTTCATCAACAGGGTAAACCAGGAGAATTTCAAGACATTAATCAATACCACGCATCAAAATTTTGCCCTAATCCATATAAAGTCTTTTGTGCGAACAGTATGTTGATTAGATTGATGTTGAAATGAAGAATATCAGTCATGTATTTAGAACGTAGTTCATCGACAACACGTGTTTTGTTATTTTTGGCAATACCAGGCCATTTAACATTCGTTTTTGTTATATCACGTTTAGCAACAGATCAGACACGACTGTCTATTCTTTTTGTCATTCTATACGTCATAGCTGCGCTTATTCAAGTACGATGAAATTCTTTAGCATCTGATTTGTGAGGATCTTCTCTCATTTAGGTTGCTATACTTCTCTATATCGCTCAATGGATGGTCAAATTTGTCTGGAGACACGAACGAGATCCCGATAATGTTTGCATTCCGTATCTCACGGCAATCGGAGATCTGCTTGGCACAGCTCTTCTCACGTGTGTCTTTCTATTACTACCTTAATTTCTTGAATTATTTATTTACTCTTTGTTGTTTCTGTACATATGAAACTTTAAAAAAGCCGAGTTTAGTTGTTGTTATCTCCTATTACTCAAGTTTCTTTTGGTTGAACTGTGATGCAATATTCGTTTATCTGTTTTTCAAGAATCTAATTATCGTCGTATATAGGACTGATGATGAATAAACGTGTAAACAAAGAAAGCCATCATATCCGCCACTACTATGAAAGTAAATCGAAGAACAAACCTGAACACAAATTTGTCTTTCTCGTACATCGCCAATATATTGTTAATGTTCTCTGGATCTATTTTTTTCCCATCAGATAAAGAAAAGCAATATTTTTTCTATTTATTTATATTCGATATCCTTACTCGACTCTAACTATTCCTACACATACGATGCATTAACGATATATGTCCTATTTAGCTAGTAGACTCCCTAGTAAAGATCATTGATCATTGACAGTATCATATATGCATTATTATTCATATACATGTATATCAAAGTGATACTGATCTAGAAAAGAATATTGACAACGGAATAATCATCGCAAAGATTGGATACATATACAAAGGATTTCTTCAGAAGAAAAACAACATCTATACGAGATTTGAATGAATAAGCTTCCTTTCAGTATTGTGCTATTTATAAGCACAATAATCGATACTGGTATGTACGAAAAATTTCGTTTTCTTGAGAGAGAAAAGTTTATCATCGAAACTTTCTAGTGTCTTCAATTTCTTGTTATCAATGCTCGTCAATTAATGGAAGTAATCCAGCGTGTGAAGATTTCTTTCATGGCGAACTGGAAGGTGTACCCGCTATGTTGCAAACACCATGTTTAACATCTTCACGAGGTCGGCAAGGTCGCTTTCTGGCAACACATTGCATCAAACTAGTCGCTTATTCTTCCGGTAGGCGCATATGTCTGCTTGGCATGCCAAAAAAAAAATACTTACTTCATTTTCAATAGAACCAAATCCTGCTCAATATGTCTACCGGACATGCAGTAGAGACGAAGGTGATGATGATAGTATCACTCGTATGAGCCATTGTGGTTTTCTTAAACTTCACTGGATCAATCCGAATCGACGATTACGTGGATGTTTACACATCTGCGATAGAGATGCATGTAACCAATCTTCTCTTCGTTCTATTTCAATATGGACGACAATCTTATCTTTTGTTGCCTCTTTTGTTTTCAAGCGTACTATCCTCAAGTAAATTTCATTGAGCCACCAATTATCCGACACACTATTCTTGCTCGACAGAGTATACTCTTTCGCTACGTTACGTAAACTGTAAAGGTGCACTAAGAGCCCTCCATGATCAAGAGTATCTATTGATAACACTGCGTCTGCCCTCTGTAATTTATGAACATAATCGCAATAAATCTTCCTGCGTTAATATGCGATCAAACTGAATGAAGTCAGCGAGAAATGTTAAGCTCATGTTATCAGTTGAGGATGCACGGCTTGCTAACATTTACTGTTTGACTGCAATCATGGTCTTGTCTATCGCAAGCTGTTTGCATCAGAGTCAGAATGTCACCAGAGGAGTCTGGATCGTGACTTAGCACAATTCGTTTATGTATATTCTTTTGGTTGTAAGTTTATTATTGAACAATAGAATAATAACATAATTCTCTCGATACACCCAAGACTTCCTTTCGTATCGTAACATGAATTTTTGTTTCCCCCCAGATGAAATTAGGAATAACAAAAGAATTACTTCCTGAACTGTAAACATCAATTAGCGTCTGACAGATCTTCGCTGTTGATTATCACAAGTATAAATCTACATACGAAAACGTTTCCGTATTGACTGAATCAATCGTATCAATTCACGACGGTACAATGGCGTTCCTAGAGTATAAATAAAAAAGCTCGTACAATGATTTAAATTACACAGCAGAACTGAATATTTGATATAGAGCATTGGGTTTTCGACTAAATTTGCTTGGTAGACATCCAACAGAATTAGAAAGGAGAATGGTAACGTACAAATGATATTAGTCGAGACATACAGGACGAGAACTTTAATCAATTGATAATCACGATAGAAGCGACGTTTACGTAAAGGCTGAGTTTTAATTTGATATTTTTTAATTTGCTTTCGACGACGGCTACTCAGCAAGATCAACGTCCAACTGGAAAACACAGTCATTAATATCGGAGGAAGAAGGCAATAGAAAACGACCAAAAAATGACCGAGAAAACGGTAATAGGATAAACTTGATGGTCGACACGCAGCTTCGATAATATTAAACTGGAAAAGAATGTGAATATAAAGTGAACAGATCAAAGAAATGATAACGAAAATGAGTCGATGCGCTGTGCGCAGGGTGGCTATCGTTCGTACCCGAGAATATTTCGACGTTCGACAAAAGCGATCGATACAAACTAAAACAATACAGTACGGGGAGATAGCATAGAGACAATAAGTAGCGTATGTTCGAATTTTACAATGCCACGCAGATCTAACTGTGAGATCAAAATGAAATTGATCATTGAGCCATTGTGTGAAAACGATAATGTAGAGAACTAGAAGATCATTGATGGATATAACTCGAAAATAGAGCGAACATGAAGCGGTTCGCAATAATTTTCGACGGTGAAATAAGATTTGGTTGAATATAGCACCAAACGTACCGAAAAGGATTAGAACCGGTTGTGTATAACGACTCCATTGAACATAAGTCACATCATTCATTCTTGCTTATAAAATCCTTCGAATGGACACCTCTAAATGTCTGTAACTTGTTGAAAGTTCTGTTGATGAATATAGAGAAAGAGAGAAAAAAATGACAGACGGCTTAGTTATTTATGAATATTTCATGAGCAATTTTCTTCATCTATGAATATAATATATGAGATACTAGAGAGTAAATGAATTGTCTGATAACTTTCTGGCCTGTTGAATTTATTTTGTTTTCTGTTACATACTCTTGCGATAAAAGAAGAGTTCTACCTACTCAGATGTGTTTAATGTAATGCTTTATGGTAGCGGTAGTGGAACGCTCGACAATGATCGAAGAAGAAGAAGAGGAAATAATAGTGTTCGTTATGAAACATAGTTTGAGCGGTGTCAGAGATCAAGTATTATTCTAATTTGAATTGATGGATGAAATCTAATGACTGAGAGGTTATTTATTGCATTATGTGTCACACATGTAGAATTTCGTTGAGCTCCTTTCACAAATTTGTTCTATTTTTACTAATATATACTGCTGAAAGATCTGAAAATTATATTGCAAATCATCACGCACGAACGAGTGACTTGTCATCTTAATTGGCCAGTAGCATGCATGCTTGGAAGTACCTAAGTGAAGTGGGCGCAAAACAACTTGCACTTTTACACTGTTTGAATTATATCTCGACGCTATGTCATTTTGTTTTCAATCACTACACAGTGAATTTAGCACGAATACCAAGATAGCTTGCCGACGACAACTTCCAGTTGTACGTGTTTGTTCAAAATTTGACAGGATTATTAGAAACATTATTTCTGTTTTGTAATATGCGTACAATAGACAGAAAAAATTAACTCTCCCATATTCCTACGAAATAATTTTCCAAGGTTCAGCTATGTTTTATTGATTATCTATGAAAAATACATGGTACTTAAGGTTCACAGACGGCTGGATTAAATTGAAAGTCTTTTGTATTTCCACACTGTTGTATAACGGCACACATAAAAGGATTTATATAATGACATTGGAGAAAATTATATTTCAGTGGGCAAGTTATTTCTTGTTGTAAACCTTCTTGCTTATCGCTCCAGGAAACAACATCACGGTCATGATAAATATTAAATATTTTTCTATGTATAGCTGCCATTGGAATATGCTTCGTTTCATCCATTTTAGTATGACTATAAGTTATACCGGGACCACTGACGGAAACAACAACTGACGTTTCATTCAAGAGAGCCGAGCCGGCTAATTTAGCTAAGCCACCACCGAGTCTAAAAGAAGGATTTTGCCTTTTTGTGTCTGATGAGCATTCAACTTACGAATGTCCAACGAGGATAAACGACCGTTTATTTCGATATAGTTGACGAATTCGTTTCAACTTGGGAACAAGTTGTTGCAAATAAAAGCGTTGTTTGTTCAATTGTCTCATGTTGACATCGATTAATCGTTCTAAGATCGACAAATGTTTGATGATTCGTGCTGTCATATATTCAGGAAATAATTTCGACCAGGGAAATAGTATGGACAAGACTTGATATAGAAATGCTTCATTCCATGTATCAAAGTCGATTAACCATTCATACAGCAATGTTGTACCTATCGAACAAATGATAATTTGGAATACAATTTTATCTCGGCAAAGTCTTGTGCACAAAAAAGTAAAATACCAAACAAGATGTCTTACCTCGTATACTAACGACTACTGCATTTTTCGTCACCAATGTAAAGTATGTCACATTTCCATAGCCATGTGCTTGAAACTGGCTGTTATTAACATCGACGAACATTGTTTTCTCTTGTTGCGCTTCCATCGGATAAAAATGTTCGATTTCATCTTGTAGCATCTCAGTCGGCTGATAAGCTAATGCTGAAAACAGGATCATATCTTCAATAGTGAAATCTTCGAAATGCCAATTGCATGCTTCCATACGATCGATATTTCTATTGATCGACAAACTATCATTTCCATACAATTTGATCGTCTCGGGAAATTTCGAATTCTTGTCAACCTCTTTATTATTCAAAAAGAACATCGACGAGGCTAATGTAAGGCCAGCGAATGCGATTAAGGCAAGTATTAGAAAAATCATATAGTACGCATTGACGTATAGAGATATGGAATAATGACATTCGATCCATTCAATGAGACCAGGTACGAGTAAATTCCGACGTTGACGATGTCTTTTGAGGATAAAATGCCACAAATCTCGTACAATGTGATACACATAGAAGATAAAGAGTAGAATGGCGTATATTAATGGAGGTGATATGCAGAAAATCATGATCATTCGATCTGCCACTTTACTTTGAATCAGCACTGTGATTCCAATGATTAATAGCACGAATATCCAAATTAGAAGGATTTGTATAAGATTCATTTGAATACGAAGTATATTGAAACGTGCGATGAATGGTGGTAACAATAAAACAAGTTCGATTGTTGCTAATATCAGAACAAGAAATATTTGCAGAGCACGTTCTTTTGTGGAAAGATCATCGGATGATCGTCGTAAAACGAATATTAATGAAGTGAACATGATACATTGGAGAACAAGGATGAAAACTTTGTATGTGAATACCCGTGTCAGACGGGTGATAATACGAGAACTAAAATGCAATCAGAAAACATTATTTAGCCTTTTAAATCAATCCTACGAACTCATAGTAACGATCCAATGGTCCTTTGAAAAATATCGAACAAACATTCACGCAGTAAATGTGTTTCATATCGTTTAGATATATAGTATTCGTCGATGATTCTATTATAGAAATGAAAAATCGATAGAGAAGTTCGATTGTGTTTGTTTACCGGTTCGTGTTCGATCATTGGTATCTTCATGAGCTGGTGCTGGTTCGCTATCATCATCTTGCGGCTTAGCAGGTGCCCATGTTTGATGGAACAAAAATGTCCAAATAATAAATGCTAAAATGCCGATAAGTACATTAACATAAATGCAAAGCAGTTGAAATATAATCGGAATTAATATTAAAACAGAGAGTATAATTAAGCCGGACATATGTGACGTTGGATGAAATGTTAATTGTTTCATAGCTTTGCTTGACTTCGTCCAGTTTGAACAAACAGTCAGTGTAACATAGATTGTCAAGCCGAGTAGATGAAGAACTAGAAGAACACAGAAAGAGTAATCGACTTGACGAAACTTGTTTGTGTTTTGTACCGTGTAAACCCCACATTAATGCTAGTGGAACTTGTCCAGATGGAACAATTAAACAGTTCAGTAGATCTCGACTTGCATAGTAGATAACGTAAGCAATCGATGATAAGCTGACGAAGAGTCGATACAATTGTTTGACATTCACATGAAAAAACGAAATTTCATTATCGATAAAAAACAGCAAAGCATTTGTCCGATGATCAGACTTCTTGTTCCCTACAAATCGATATATTTCCATGGAATGATAAATCAAGATGAACTTTAAACATACGCAATGTGGTTGTAAAACAATGGCAACCGATTTGTAAAACGAACCAAAAATAATGCGCCGAAAATGCGACGATTCCAGGCACCATCGAATAGCTTCCCAGGAACGAGAGAATGTTCGATGACGGCGATGCGCCTTGTTTCGACGACGCCGAAAACGAAAATGGGATAAACAACAGTTGAAGGATGAAATTCAACGCCGTTCCTAACCACATCACTGCAGCTTGACATATGAATGTAAATGCGAGTATTCTTGCGAAAAGACAATCCGAGAACAAATAAAAGAAGATCTTTATCATTCGATTCCATGTAGTTGGGCGTGATGAAATGTTCCCGTGCGATAATTCGTTATTTTCGATATTCTCAATGTTTAACGGTTCAGATACAGATATAGGATGGTTCGACATGATGGAAAAAATGAATTCTACTGGAATGTCGTCTGACCTCGAAGAAAAGAAAGAAATGGAAGATTGGCAGTACTCCCTATAAGCAAAAAAAGAGAACGAGCAAAGAGAATTCATACTACACTAGTCTTTATGAGTAGAACGCAAGCTAGCACTCGTGATTCTCTTCTTCTTCGTCGTCTTTTTCTCTAACAATGAATCATTTATATATTTGATTTGTATAGCAGACATTGTATAAAATGTTTCTTCCAGTGCCAGTCGGGAACGACGTACCCTAATCTAAAAGAATTGAATTTCTTCAAAAATAACAACATCATTCGTTTTTATAGTCGCATGTTTGGCCAGTATTAAAGAAACATGAATGCCTCGAACAACAGACACAATTTGTAGAGTGCGCCATGCAACAAGAAGCTGGCTGACACGTTCTGTTAGGACACAGAAAATGCAGCATTGACAGATCTTCCATTAACCCATGCTATTATACGATTAAGCACCGATGATTTGGCGTAGGAAAATCATTTTTGCAATCGAATAGAGTGTTATATCATTATCACTAGTATTAATCTTTATTTTACAAGATAGAAAGCGACGCTTTCGTCGATATTCTTTCGATAGTTAGATCGAATGTTGAACGAAGTTGTCATGAGTGAAGGATCAAATCACGATTTCATTATCAGAGACAATGACAGTCAATTCTCGGAAAGGTCGATACTAAGAAGGACATGACCTTTTTCCCCTGACTAAATCAAACCTTGAAACGAGTTCATGTCTGTCTGTTCATTAATATATTGATCGAATTCATCTATGTAACGTTCTATTTAACGATGTTACGTATCAACTGACGTTGTCGATGCATGTTTTTGTTTGTTTGCATCATTTCGAATCTTTGGAAATTTCACATAGGAAATCAGCGAAACTTCTTCGTCCATTATGAAACAATTACGTGTCAATAACGAACTTATTCGTAAATGATTTTTTTCCTATTCATAAACGAATTGAATTTAATTGGTTCACCTAGCAAAATATTATTTTCGTTTGCATCTTGATTGGTCCGAAAATGTCTCTCGTTTTTTTTTCGTTCGCTACTTCTTCTTCTTCTTCTCTTCGTACAATCGATAATGATGTTGATGGTTGAATGGTGGTGACACCAAAATGATGACACCCATCAAACAACCGAAACATACATATACAAACGAATATGAAGATTGCATCTTTCGATCATCTATGTCGGCGACATGCGAGAAAATTGCAAATGAGTATGTATACTTCTCTATCATTTGGTTAGGTAAATTGTCTTTTTCTTTAGATTTAATACGCGTGAAACTCACATTTCGCACTTTAGAAAAAAAACGAGAGAAAGAGACAGAGAGAGGGAGAGAAAAAAAGCGACAACCGATCTATATACTGGTTGTTAACTATCANGATGGCTTTCTATCTTGTTTTGCTTTTGAGTCATTTAAATAAATATTCCAAGATCTTTTACAGAGTCATAAACGATCATGTCAAGATGATTCTTTTCAATGGCAGATCAAATCATCGTCATCTACGACATTGAAAACGATAAATATCTAGTTCATTTTCTCGTTTTTGATAATTCATCATCGAAATATGATTGAGTGGACTTTCATTAATTGAGTTCGATCATTTCGTAAATATTTCCTCAACTGCTGTTTTCAAACGAAGCGAGACATGATATCAGGTACTTTCATCTAATTTATAATTGAAAACATCGCTGTACATAATAACATTTGCTCATTTCATAGATAGTTTTCTTTCGGACAATATTTTCTCATTTCCAATGTTGATGTATTTGCAGTCAATCAAAAATGATTCATTAGCCGTGATTTTCTTGATGTGAGGGAAAAGTCATAGTTGTGTCGTTATTTGATCGGATCAAATCTGCTCGTTACTCATATGAACAGGAAAACAGATGTTTTGATGTTGTAGTTCGCTATTTACTGTTTATATTTTTTCCAAACAGATTGTTTTCAATCGATCGTCACAGTCATCATTTCATTCTACTCGATCGAGATATAGCCATGTTGCTTACACATCTTGCCTGTTTACCCTGTAGGTTAATTTTAGACAAAAACATGTGTTTTCATTTAAATGCTTGTTAATTTCATGAAATCATATTATGTATGGTTAATCAACGAAATTTTTGTAAACTTGTCATGTCCAACAAGATAGGGAGCAAATATCTCGCTGTTCATCGTTCTGTCGCTGCTGACCGATCAACATACGCAAGTGATATAACGACATACTTGTTTTCATTTTATATTAGTTGGTTTGTCTTGATATGACAGTGATGTTTCGAATAGAATTTGTCTTTCTAGTATAATGCCATAACAAAACCGTTTTTTATTATTAGAATGTACAAAAACAATAGAATCAAATTGTTGAAATTGACAATCGATCACGGATTACGAAAGTAAAGCAATTATTTACGAATAATATGAAACAGATAATGCACTGAGAAATAGATTAAAAGCCCTGTCGTTGATAAATTTGTTGTTGCAGGTTTTGGCTTTTCTAAACGAACCGAAACGAAACGAATCCTAGACATTGATAGTTCAGAAAAACATTTCCACAATATTTACTTGGAAATCATAGTCAGATGAATCAACACCGGTGTAATTTCCAGTGACACGCAATTTCTTTCCGGGTGGTTGAACTGCTGCATGTTGTTGTATTAATTTCATCTAGAGAAGATTACCGTAGTGTAAAATTTCCTTCTACTTTTATCTAAATTTTACTTGTTGAGTATGTGTCTGCTGAATAATATTATTGTTTTGCTGTTGCTGTTGCTGTTGAGTGAGGATAGCTGATGAAGCTTCTGTTTTTACCGTGGTAGTTGACTCGGTTTTCGTTGCATGTGCATTCGTATCATTATTATCATCATCGAGCATAAATTCACGTTTCGGATACGGAATAGGCACAGAATCAAATACACTATACACGAAACGAAATAGACATATAATAGAGATTGTTCGGATTTCTATATAATACGTACTCATCAGTTGGACGAGGATCTTCTTTAAAGTATAAATCATTCATGGCATCAATAGCTATTCGAATATTGAAGAGATTCATCGGTGAATATGATGAGAAGAGAAAATTAGTACCTGTAATACGTTTGAGTGGATCCATTGTTAGCAGCCGGATAAGTAACTGAAATGCTCGACTATCAGAGCGAATGTTATGTTTTTCCATATATTTACTCAAGCTATTGTATGCATAACTGAAATGACAAAATCAAGTCGAGATTCTGTTCATCGTCTTTGTCCAGATACTTACGTTGCCTTCTTGAATTCTTTCGATAAACGTGCATATTCGGGCATTTTCTTTATATCTTCCCATTCCTTGTCTAAACAGCGAATCGATAAAAAACAACAACATTTGTTCGAGGAAAACGAATTTACCTGCAGGAAAACTCATCACAGAAAAAATTCGATCAAGTTGATGATAATGATACGGTGTGCTCGTTTTAATGTCCTCTTGTTTACAGTGAAAAATTGGTTCATAAGTTAACAGTTCAGCAAAGATACATCTAATTCAAATCAGCAAGCAATTATTTTCACCAGAAAGCATGCGTATTACCCTATGGCCCAAATATCAATAGCTTTCGTGTAGTGTCGAGCGCCAAGTAATAATTCAGGTGCGCGATACCAGAATGTAACAACAACAGGATCTGAAAAACAGGCACTTTCATCGATTCTTAGACATCCTCTTCAAGTGCCTTCTTACCAAGGTCAGCCATTGGTTTTAGTGGTGAATTGAACAGACGAGCAAAGCCCATATCAGTGATTTTCACTCGGCCACGTTCGTTTCCATCGCCCATGACGAGAATATTAGCTGGTTTAAGATCTCGATGTAGAACCCAATTGGAATGAAGATAATGAATACCAGCAAGAATCTGATAAAGTAAAGATTTGACCATGGCACGTGAAGACACAACCGTCTTTTTATTTTGTTTGGCTGAACGATGAAATTTTATAATATGCTACAAAATATCGAAGGAAATCTTCACAAGGAAAGTGCTTATCGCTCTTACCCATAAATCGTATTCAGCAAAGTCAAGTAGAAGGTATACGCGACGATCAGCATGTGAGAGAAACACCCGTTGAAGAGTAATCACATTGATATGTTTTAATTCACGTAATAACTAAATGCAAATAGAGTTCTTTTAGTGAAGTGAAGAGAATATTTAACATACGGAAATTTCTCGACAAGCACTTGTTGATAATCCGACGCCTAGAAAAAAAAAGATGACGTCAAAGAACAGGGACTTTGCATTACTTCTTTGTCTTACCTTCAATTTGCTTGACGGCATATTCTCGTGTATCGTTCCTACATTGAGTAAACGAATATTTGAACAAACTGAATGTCTAGTTCGTCTTACCCATCTTTTTTCTTTGCTTTATAAACATGTCCGTATGTGCCTCGTCCAACTTTACAACCAAGAAAATTGAATGCATCTTCCACCTTGATTCTTTCTTGATCTAATTGAGCTTTGAAATCAGCGTCCATTCCACGACTTTAATGTGACTTATTCATATCTATCTAAAAACAAATCATCACTGGAATAAAATAACAAATCAAAAAATGGTTTTTCTCCTATTTTAATTGACATTTCTCTTGAATTTTTTCTGCTAAATTTAAGTAAACTTTCGCAGTAGACGAATCCGGATAGATGTCGAAAAGATCCTCTCCATCATCACAACATTTTGCAATGGATGGATCGATTGGAATGCTAGAAAGCAACTCATACTGATTGGTTTCACATAATTCTCGTAAGCCGTGGTGTTTCGGAAAAATTTGACTTTCTTTATGACATTTGCCACATTTAAATATCGACATATTCTCAACAATACCAAGTACATTTAAATTGGTTTGTTTTACAAACGATATTTCTTTTCGAACATCTTGCAAAGATATTTCTTGCGGTGTTGTCACCAAAATGCAGCCAGATAGTGAGGCAACGTTTTTCAAATAGTTGACAACAGATAAATGTTCATCGGATGTACCAGGAGGTGTATCGACGATCAAATAATCTAATTCACCTTCACCCCAGTCGACATCTAATAAAAATTGCTTGATCATGTTATCTTTACGTGGGCCTTTCCATATGACTGCTTGCTCGAGTGAAGTTAACAAGAAGCCAACGGACATGGCAGATAGGTTTTCGCTGACATAAACGGGTGACCAACCAGAACCACTAGGATGTACCTATAGAACTAATCGCATGAAATTGACCGTTTTGTTCTTGAATACTCACTTGTTCATTTTCGACACCAAGCGCTCTCGGCACACTTGGCCCACAAATATCAATGTCGAGTAGAGCAACACGTAATTGAGGATTTCGTGCTAATGCTCGTGCTAGCATCACGGACACTGTCGTTTTCCCCACACCTCCCTTACCACTAAGAACAAGAATGATATGCTTAACGGACGATAGACGTTGAGCAATTTCAACGAGCGCTGGATCAATACGACGTGTCTCACCAGATGAACATATCGATTGGTTTGGGCAACCTGCACAAGCCGATACTTGTCCAGCAAGATTGCTTGACGTACCAGGACAAGCGTGAGGTGCGTCAGCTGGAACATCACTATCACCTAAGTAGATGACAAGAAAGATGTGTTTTCAGAAGGTAGGCTATATTGAAAGTCGTACTTTGATTCTCTGCAGTACTCATACTCAGTTTTCTTCTATACGAAATGCACACCCTCCATTGTCTCAACGTATAAACGAGTAGAGTGGCAGAAAAAGAAAGAAAAGCAATTGGAGTGTTCTCTTTACCAATTATAAGGCAGGAAAAAAAGAGATGTCGTGTATATAGCGTTGAACAAATTTATTTAGAAAAAAAAAGCAAACTATAAAGCATATTTATCAGCTATGACACTGGAGATTTTGTATGCTTGGTGTTTATTGTAAGAGCATAGACAACATGATGAGAGAGAATAAAAGACGACGATACACACACACACACACACACACATGTAGGATTGTAAAGGAATAGTCCCATACATATATAAGAAAGAAGGGGAGATTAATATGAATAGATACGTTCATATGATGATACTTGGCAGAAAAGAAAAAGTTCAATACGAAGTATATTAGGCGCATTCTAGCAGACAGAAACAATATTTTGGAGTGGAGGATCCTTGAAACGATGTCTTCACATAAATTCGATTAACTGAGTATCTAACCGAGAAATATGTTGACCCGTATAAGTTTCTTTCTTTCGTGTCCTTCACATCCAAAGATTTCCCAACATTTTGCTTGTGTATCGGAGTAATACGATGTACAAAATTATAGTTATGATAATACACTGATGAGAGTCAGTAGAAGGACTGTTATATGCTGCCCATTGATTCCTATCGAGTTCCAGGACGGACATTTTCGACGTAGGTGAAGTTAGCACCATATTCGTCTAGAGACCTGTTCCAAGTACAACTCGACGAGTTCTATCCAGTGGTGTGCTCACATTTGCGACAGCACTAAGTATAATTGTAGAAGCCTCTCTAGCGCCATCAATCAGCCCAAAACTTATAGGTCGTGGTAAGGGAAATCTGAGCACACCACTGAATAGAACTGGTCGAGTTGTACTTGGAACAGGTCCCTAGACGAATATGGACAGATTTTACTCGAGTCTAGTGTCAGAGTTTCAATAGAAGAATACAACATTTCGGGATTTTTAGACCCATAGTTTGAGCTATGGAAAATCGATTGCACCATTCGATAGAGCTCATTGAGTTCTATTTAGAACACTGATTGGAACAGGTTCCTGGGCGAATATGGTGCTAACTTCACCTACGTACGTTTTGGCCTCCAGATCTGAACAGAACTGCCAGAAAAATCAACAAAGCTCTATTGAAGCCCCATCAACCAGATTTTCCCATTTTATTCCTTCCAAATCCAAGTTCTTACGAATAAATTACGCACGAATTCTGTCATCGGTTTCAACAGAATCCCTTTCGTGATGCCCAGCTTATTTTGCTCGGCTTCCATCAGATTCGGTCGCATCCTGAAAAATTCTCATCCGAAACAATGTCTTCCACACAGAAAGCAACTTCAGACCATCCAGTCAATCTAGCAGCAGTACCCCGTGATCTAGAAACTATTCTCTTTCTCGTAGAGAAGAGTCTTAGAAACATAAATTGTTCGCTTGTTTGTATGTCCGCAGGGCCAAAAAAAAACATCGAAAATCGATTTTTCGGAAAAAATATTTTCAGATGTACTTCATCGCGGAGACTTCGAATCTGATGCTCGCTCTTCGAATTTTTTTTCTAAGAGTTGACTAGAGGGCTGTTTGGGTTGAGGAACTCGATTCTGATGTTAGTTTTTTGAGAATTACAACAACAAAAATTTGAAACAAAGAGTACTCATTCTCGAAAAAAACATATATAACCATATGATATCGGATATAGTCAATTGTATAAGTATGGTAAATGAAATATTCTCGTCAATCTCTGGTGACCTAATAGTTAATTATTGATCTTCATAAACGAACTCTGAAGTAACGTAGCTGTTGTTCATATACACAATAATGCATTAAAACTATGACATCTGAAATTAATATTTCTACGAAAAAGAGCTGAGCGAGTCTAACGACGAGCGTTACTTGTTGTTATCAGCGGAATCAAATCGTGGAAAATAATTCTAGTAAGAGAGAATATGAATGCGCATCAATTAAGCAATAGAATAGATTTTGAGGGAAATTATATGAACAATATGTATTTCAGCAAAAGAAAGCCGATGCTGAAGAACTAGAACAATGTAGTTCCATTCGTTTCATAATTTATTGCAGAAAGCACAGAGTAAAATCCTATGGAACGACATAACATATACCACGCATTACATAAAATACTATCCTCCACAGCCAAATATTAAATCGAGTACTGTTTTAGCTCTTCGTTATAAATGCTCGCATATGTATGTCATGGTTATTGTATTGTAAGAAACTAATCGGTAGTTATCTGCGGACAGAGCTACAGGTGTTTTAAAGTAAGATATTACAGCGTTCTTGTAGATTTGATGATTGTCTTTAAAGCCATCTGTTTGGGCATTTCGAAAAGCGGCTTAGCTTTTCCAATAAGCTAAACGCCTTGTTTCCGAAGATAATCGATAACGTTTGTTTTTTTCGAAGGTTTTCTACGTTTTCTTATTTACTAAAATGTCATGGGGTAATTAATTCATCAAAATGAATTCACAACAAATTGTTAGAGCACCTCGGTGGCGAAGTTGGCATTCTATTTATGTAAAGGATGCTGAGTATTGTAACTCACTCTTCAACACAAAAAATAGATATATATAGTTTAGGAGTGGCAATTTAACTTAACTTTAAGTATTCAAGTTAACGTCACCCCTGCGGTAAACCGTAGCTCAATTTTCTGTTTTTTGGCTTCAAAAAGAAATAAAAGATCATGTGACTGGTTTTTCAGGTTGATAAACGATAATTTTTTCTTGTTTCTTTTATCTATCATCGAATAAGACTTGGGAAGAATGAAACGAACACACTGGGAGATGCTGCATGAAGCTCTCAGCAAACTACATCGTGAAACTTATTAGAATCATGTGTTTTTTTTATCGAAAAACGTCAAATGGTGCAAATCAATCAGTGAAAACTGACTGGTTAGCATTTAGCGTTCTTGAAAAAAAATTTACATAATCAAAATAAATCTCTAATTTAAACTGTAGAGCTTTTTATCTTCCACTATACTTTTTAGCTAAAAAAATTAATTTAGAGGTGTCAATTTTTTTGAAGAAAATCGAATTGGCTTGCAAAGGAGTCAAAGGCATAAAAGATTTCCTACTTTTAATTCTTAAAATTTCTATTTTAAATGTCAAAACAGAATTCAATGAGCATGCCTGTTATAACGCCATCTTTCTGCGCACGCCAACAATTCGTAACTGTTGAAATGGTTACACGTCATTTGTTTTCGTCAAGTCAAAAACATATATAAATACGTCACCACCATGAGTTACTACTCATAACGAACAAAATCAAAAATTTTTCATCGCTTTCAGCCTATACGGTACGGTTTGCTGCACGATTGAAATTCAGCATGCACACATTTTCCACATTACCCGTCGAACTTGTCTATCAAATTATGGATCACCAGAATGAGCGGACGCTATTTTGTTCAATGCAAAACGTTTGTCGAAAGCTCAATCAGATCCTCAGCACCTATGAACGATATCGAGTAAGTTTACTTGGCACCTTAACATTCTTGTCGGCTGTGCTACACATAAGCCTAATGATATTTAACGTCGTAAATTTCTTCATAAGAAGAGGAAAGTAATCGCATAATCTACAAATAACTTGATCGAATAAGACAATCACAATGCGAAGTCATATGAAATCAAGCATTTCTCCATTCTCTCGTCTTTCTCCTAAGTATGTTGAACTATTCGATACAAAAGTGCATCAACTATCACTCTCGATGAATCTTTCCAAATGAAGGAAACTAGATCTCCACAATTTCTGGGCCTAAGCCTATATTCATTCTCACCCTCACCCACACCAAATTCAACTCCCACATATCACAAGAGTAGGATGTCAATTTCCTTGGAGCGCGCCCTCAAAAGAGATATCTCACTACCATCAACAGCTATTGATAGTTATATCCTACTTTTTCCACTCGATCAGCTCACGGTAATCTCCTGTCCGTATTACCAACACAGCACTTCTTCTCTGAACGCAGTCTTTCCTGCGCGACAACTACCATCGTCATCCACCCAAAAAACTCACATCTACATAGGGCATACCAAAAGTTTCGAGAGTTGTATTTTAGAACAGTATAGTAAGCTTGAAAAATTCTTTCTCTACATAGTGTGATAGAGAAAAAAATTCTGTATTTTTCTATGCTATTTGATCATACTTCAACTAGGTCATAAGCATAAAATTTTCAAAAAACCTTTTTTTTTATCATGCTTGACGGTTACGGGAATACGTGTGGATATTTTTTGAATAACTTTTTATAGAAACAAGATAGAGGCCTGTGGTTTTCAGCATTCGAAAGAGGGGATGAAGACGCATCGAGCCGTCCATTACAAATTTTCCTAGTATATTATCTGAATTTTGTTTAATCAATTTTCGAAATGTCGAAAAACATGGATTTTATCAAAAAAAACAGTTTTTACACAAATTGATGGGAAAATCACTCAGAGCGTGGACTAAAATGTCTATAATTCCTGAATAATTAATTCTGAACATCTGAATATTGTGCAGCTTTGTAGACATTCGATGAACTATGTGAATTCCCATTTGGAAAACTGAAAGCCCGCTGTAAACATCTTACAAAATAGGCTTTTTTAAAGACATTGATGGAAAACCTTTAAAAACTCATGTCTAACAGCTCATACTGTATGGTTCGATGCATCTTCATCTCCTCTTTCGAACAGTGAAAACCGCAAGCCTCTATCTTGTTTCTATAAAAAGTTATTAAAAAAATATCTACTGAATAGGAACTACTGTAACCGTCAGGCATGATAAAAAAAAAGGTTTTTTGAAAATTTTATGCTTATGACCTAGTTGAAGTATGATCAAATAGCATAGAAAAATACAGAATTTTTTTCTCTATTACACTATGTAGAGAAAGAATTTTTCAAGCTTACTATACTGTTCTAAAATACAACTCTCGAAACTTTTGGTATGCCCTATGTACATCTAACTCCTGCCTAAAAATCGTCCCCAAACATGACTATTTCATATCACACATATACAATCAGAAGCGTCATCAAAGGTCCTATTTGCTACTTGTTCTTTTCATAATATATTGCTTTCATGTAGACACTCACCAAACTAGATCTCGGCGGTAACGGAATCGGTGATGAAGGGGCACAACTCATTGCGGATGCGTTGCGAACCAACACGGTAACATTGATCTCGTTTCACGGAAAGTGGAGAACTCAGTCTCTCTCACACCTACAGACACTCACCAAGCTAAACCTCAATTCCAACAGAATCGATGCTGAAGGAGCACGGCACATTGCGGATGGGTTGCGAACGAACACGGTAATATTGATGTCATTTCACGAAAGGTGAAGCGCTCAGTCTCTCTCATGCCTGCAGACAATTACCACACTGAGCCTCAGTTCGAACAGCATCGGCGCTGAAGGAGCACAACACATTGCGGATGCATTGCAAACGAACAAGGTAATATTGATGTCATTTCACGGAAGGTGTGTACTCAGTCTGTCTCACACCTACAGACACTCACCGAACTAAGCCTCGGTTCGAACAGAATTCGTGCTGAAGGACCACGACACATTGCGCATGCGTTGCGAGCCAACAAGGTAATATTGATCTAATTTTACGGAAGATGAACGACTCAGTCTCTCTCATACCTACAGACACTCACTAGACTAGATCTCGAGGATAACGAAATCGGTGCTGAAGGAGCACAAGACATTGCGGATGCGTTGCGAACGAACACGGTAATATTGATCTCATTTCACGGAAGGTGTGTACTCAGTCTGTCTCACACCTACAGACACTCACCGAACTAAGCCTCAGTTGGAACAGAATTGGTGCTGAAGGAGCACGACACATTGCGGATGCGTTGCGAGCCAACAAGGTAATATTGATCTAATTTTACGGAAGGTGAAGAACTCAGTCTCTCTCATACCTACAGACACTCGCTATGCTAGATCTCGACAATAACGAAATCGATGATGAAGGAGCACAACACATTGCGGATGCGTTGCGTCGAAATGCAGTAAGGCTAATGCTTTGCTGGAACAAAATTTGGAATATCTGATTTATCCAATTCTTAGAGTGGCAATATGGTGTAGATGTTGGGCTGAATGAAATGGAAGAAGAAGTGATAGTGGATCTGGTGACTCTTTTCGTGGAAAGGGTGCGTTTCGATCGAGAATTTAGTGGATATTATTTGGTGTGTAGTTTTGGTGGCATTGAGAACTAGTGTAGGAATAGAAAATTAATTTTCTTGTGGGAAGTGGATGTGATCTGTATGAGAATGGTTTTTGTTGCGGGAAAATATATGGGGAATAGTGAAAGTGATTGCTTTATTTACGGAGGTGTAGCAGAGCGGTGTTTGATGGCGAGCTCTGATGGCACGATGCGCTCATAGGAGGTTCTCTTGGTTTGGAATTTGTTTCTGAAAGTGTGTGATTGACAAGACAACATTACTGCGGACTGGTCGACTATATTGGAGATATGGCAGAATTGTATTGATAGGAGTACAGCACGTATGCATCTTACATGTCAGTTCTCGTAAAGGCAAAGTGATCAGACCAAGGTACATTGAATGGGAGCGATGTTTCATTATTATGTAGCTGTTTTATGTTTGATTCCAAAGCCTAAATGTATTCGGAGCTTGATAATGAAGTGTTATGTTTGTTTGTAATTTATTTTTGGAGAGGGTAGTATGTATCCGTTATCTACGAATTCTGTGGTGCATTGGAAAGAAACGACGTATTATGAAGTTACTGAAATGGCACAGTGAAGAGAGAATGGTCAAAACGTAGCGCACCAAATCGCTCTGCTAAACTAATAGTTTCCCACACCCACCCACCCTGAAAATAAGTTATTTTGTCGATTATGATAAGCTCCATTCACTCTCAGTGTTGACGCATAGGAAAATATCAGAGAAGTATTTGATGCAACATTTTATTGCGGAAAAAGCACTGGAATATACTCTCGAGCTCGTTTGTTGAGGCCGTAAGAAAAGCGGAGGATAATCAGTTTGACAAAATTTCTCAGTCAGGTTCGGGCTGGTACATCTGATATCTAATGATAGGCAGCTATTTTACCCTTGCTCTAAGATCTATCTTTCGAATGATGAAAAAACTGAAACCATTTAGTTGTACGTCATTCAACATCATAGCCTGTGCGCTGAGATATTATATATTCGTAGCGTTCTTTAACATTACACCGTAAGAGAACATACATTTCGTTTGATTTGGGTACCTGTCTTTGAGTTCTCTGCACATATCGGTGATTGAAAACTCGCACGAGATGATGATCATTGAACAAAAGTGGATTTTGGCTATCTGAAGTCACCCCAGACTGATTTTATACATGTAGTATTACTACGCTTTGAGATGTATCTGAAATGGTATGTATAATTATATACCGCCTTTTTGCAAGAGGTTAACAGCACTTAGTCAAAGTACACTCATATAAATCGAGTGGACTGAAAGTATGCAAAGTGTCATCATCTAAGTACGAATAATTTTACTTTTAGTCAAAATATTTGTACACATTTAGTCTCCGTTTGTTTATCAATACAGCATCCTCAACGAATACAACCGTTTAGTAATAGTCTGTACGTTACGCAGATAAACAGTAGAATTTGCAACAACCAGCACTAGTATCCACGAAGTCCGATATACTGCTATCGACAGAATTTGTATATACGGATATATAAAACAGTCAAAGATGAGCTTACCAGTAGTCCAAGAAAGAAGATATGTGCATTTTGTTTTCAGTAAATAAAATCACATCGTGCAACATTGAAACTTTTCAGCTGAGTATACAGTCACTTTTTATTGTCACTGAAAGTAAAGAAAGCGAAAATTGTCATTGTTAAAATGAGGTAAACATGTTTAGATTAATTAATGATCTTTTGTTTTCAGTAGTTGCAGAAGCTTCTCCTAACACACGAAAAAATACCCTCCCACGTTTGTTCCGAATAGAGCGCTCACGCTCAACAGCATCGTCTTCTGCCGGTAAATCTTGCTGAATTTTCAGTTTGGATATAATATTTCCAACAAAAGCGAAGACCAAGTTCAGGATAACGAATACGTGCACAATGAAATTGGTTTCAATATACATATGTAATTTATAAGTAATGTCCGCCCATTGAACTCCCTGATCTGATACTAAAATGGTGGAACTATATCTTTCAGCATACTTGAAACACCAGAGAGGCTTGTTTTACTTCATAAACTAAACCACTTGTCTCTTTGTTAAAAGCTGTTGTTGTCTAGCCGATTATAATGATCTATTCACAATATCCGCCGCTTTTCTATTCCTGTTCTACTTCAATGAATATGTTTAGCTTTATACCATGTTTAACACCAATGGCATCCTACTGTATGTCACATGATGTTCTTTTTTTCAGCATAGAAGAGCAAGGAGTTTACGCATAATTATAATGGATCGAAAAGATTTCATTTCAAATAGGCTATATATCGACTAAGGTTTAAGAGAAAAAGATGAACCAGAAGAAATTGACGTCGAGTTTGAAGTTCTCAATCTTAATTACGCTTTAGGGGATGGTTGCTCAGAGCGAGTACACTCAATCGGATTCGATGGGAATTCGGCAGGATCCGAAAATCGGATTACTCGTTGCAGTGGCGCAACCAGAGGAGAGGCAAATGAGTAATTGCCCATTCAAATTTTATTTTTTAAAATTGATATATTGATTTATTCTCTTTCTCGTAGAGAAGAGTCTTAGAAACATAAATTGTTTGCTTGTATGTACGCAGGGTAAAAAAAACATAAAAAGTCGATTTTTCGGAAAAGACATTTCCAAGGGTATTTCAGTGCGGAAACTTGGAATTTGATGTTAGTTTTCTGAAACAAAGGATATTGATTTTCGGAAAAAATATATAACCATAGGATACCGGCTATAGTCAAGCGTTTTAGTATGATAAATAAAACATTATGTTCGATGTCTAGTGACGTAATAATTAATAGCCGATCTTCATAAACGAATTTTGAAGTAACCTCCATATGCCTGACAACAAGACTGAACTTCTTCCTGGTCTTTTACCTTTGGTACGAAACATCATATACGATGATCAGAAGTATTCGAGCGATTTAAAGATAAAAAGCGAAATATTTCCTTCAAGTGCAATCTACATACGAAAACCATTATATGCACTCGTAGAAATTAATGCATCACAAGTAGAAACAAACCTCGATGGCCTTCATCCCAAACTAATTCCTATTCCATTAATCAAGAAGCAGTTCACTGTTCCAATAAGGCAACTTTTCGGACATCTGCTCGATCGAGTACAAAATGAAAGAAGAAGTTCATAAGTCATTTAAGTCACACGAATGCAACTACCAATTGTACCTGCCTTCGCAATAAATACATATAAAGCGCATGGACTCCCGATGATCAAAATTGTAGTCGATCTTCAAGTTCCACTTCACAGACATTGCAAGCGGCGTCAGTATATGTACCACTCAGCAGAGTGAAGAGAGCGGACGACACAGTCATTCTTCGACCTTCTCTTGCTCAAGACGCTGAACTGAAACGTATGGATGAACTTGACAAAAAGACTAAACGAGAGTGTACCTCTTTCATTTCGTAACTATGTGTAAATCGATACTTTGCTAAGAGTCCAGTTTCATGGTATGGTAGCTATATAAAATGTAATATAATTTGAAATTAGCTTAAAATAATTATTTATAAATGTTCATTTCCTTTATCTTTATTTACACTGATGTTAATTATTATATAATTGTCTGTTTTTCTGCCATTGTACCAGATATTACCTATCGTATTTTCTTTGTTTCATTTTTTTATGTAATCCTCCATAATCTTTCTAATTGTATTGATATTTCTTGAAAATATCTAATCTATGCGGGAAATAAACTTATATACACAATAATGCATTAAAAATATAACATCCGCAAGCGAATCTGCCTCGACGAACGTTACTTGTAACCATCACCATGAAATCTTCGGAGTGTCACGGAACCGGCTGTTTTCGTGCCGTATTGTTCGGCCTAGGATGCGACTAGCGACTTGTACAATTAGTCACTTTGGTCGCTCAGGCTTTAGTCATAAAACATCAATTCAATGTAAACCTAGTGAGTATTGTTTGTGACTTTAATACATAATTTTGTTCAATTGGTTTTATAGATACTACGGCTTTAGGTTGATACAATTCGCGTTGGTATACTAAGTTACATGAACAATGAGTTCTTTTCATTTGTGATGAAAATACAACGATATTTGTTATTCTTAGGAATTGCCCTCTATAAACCAACGAGAAGATATTCGTTTGTTATCAAGATCCTTTTTTTGTTGGTGATTGGATTGAGATTGAGATTGAAAAAGATAAATAGAAGTGATTCGTGTGCTGAATCAACCAATCATGAGAAAACGCCATCTATCGATACATCCTTCATAATATTTTCTTGAATTTAATCTTAATGATTTGCCGAACTTAAATTGGTACTTCTGGAAATATTCATATTTTATTTTCATATAGGGGATGATGCTAAGCATTTCTTGTCTTGGCTGATCGTAATGGCTGGGTAATGTCTCATAATCCTAGTATCAAATTAAAAGAGAAAAATGGAACCGTAAGTTCCTCATTGATTTTGCTTGTCTATTGATTGAGTCTCTTTTGCTAGGTCCGTGCTACAGCGAATGCGTGGCCGACGTGCTCGTGCACATACATCTCAAGAAAGTTTAGTGAAGGATTCGAGTTCCGAAGCAAGTCCTCGAGATTCAGCTATTGCTGATCGACGTCGTCGACGACGTGCTCAACGATCACCACAAACACAAGAGTACGATAATCAAGCATACGATGGCGATGATCGACCACTTCCACCAACCATTGAGCGTGACAATGACGATGTGGACGAAGAAGAAGAAGAAAATGTTCAAAATGCTGATCGATTAGTGTCTCATGTAGCAAAACAACATCGTCGAGTTGTGAATGAAGTGCAACAGCAGAGTAAGAAACCAAAGAAAAAAGGTCAAGCTCCCGCCGACGCTGACGACGATCAAGCGGATTTGAACGAACAAATACGTGAACAACAAGAAATCCTGTCGCGCCGTGTCGGCGATACAGATGATGAACAGGTCTCACACGTCGATTCGTTACCACCACCATCGAGTACAGCACGTGGAAAATCATTGCAAGATATTCTTGAATTGGCTAGAAAATCGCGTACCAAGCCAACAACTGATGAAAGTGAGTCGAGTAAACTCTTGCTAAGCGATGCGAAGCTCTCTTCTTTCAGTAACTGTTGATCCACTGTCAACAATGGGCTCATCTCGTCGTTTTGGAACGAGTAGTGAACTAAAACTGCAAAAGATACTCCGTCGAAACGATACACAATTCGATGCGTCTCATATAGCTTCACCCGATCCTGGAGATCGTTCAACACGTTTTGATTACGACGCAACACGAGATAATTATATTCGACAGGAAATCGATGAAAAACAGAAGGTTTGTTTGGCAAGAGAGACAGAAAATATGATTGCTGTGCATTCTATGTAGGGTCGAACACATCGTTGGAAAGAGGCAGTGAAACATCTGGATAATGTTCCATTACCATCTGACCAGGAGGATTTCTTTCTGAAAGTGTGGCCAAGTGAAGCACCCGAAGAAAGAGATAAATCAACAGAGGCACCAGCAGGTGCTCGAGTTACTACTGCAGATGCTGTAACCGGAGAAACACCGCAGGTAACGCTTATAAATGACTATTCAACGAAATACCTACGATTCTGGTTCTGACTGTACTAGACTACTACCGAAGCAGGACCAATTGATGATCCAATTTCTGTTCGCGATAAAAGTCTGCCAGAAGGTTAGAGGATCAAACGTTCTTCTGAAAAGACATGACACTCGTTTCCGTATCTAGAAAAGAGACCATTGCTACCTATCTTCGGAGAAGGTCAACCAACTCAATATCAACGAGCGGATATCCCACTGGATGAAGACGAACAGCGTGATACGGAAATACAACGATATAAATATGTTGTTGGACAACCAGGTAAATTCTCATTATTCAGCGGTCAGACTCAAGTGAATGTCGCCTTTTTCAGCAACGCTACAAGAGAAACTAGGCGTTGGTGCTGCTGAACCACGTTCACTTGAAGAGGAAGGCATATTCGTTGGCAAACGGCCTATTGTTCCGATCAATTCGGTCCACCGCACAGAAAGACGTATTTTACAAGAATGTGCAGTAGCTAACAAGGTAAATGTGAAGAAAATCAAATTGAAGAAAAAAGTTTTGAATTTAGCCGTCGGATCGTTGGTTTGGACCTGACGGAGCGATTGTTTCATTGCCGGATCCAACGAAATTCGTACCAACGCGACCATTGATCGATGATCTTTTCGATCCAATCTTAGGCAGAGAATTCTGCAAAGTATGCATTCGATTGATCAAAATAAGGATGATTTACAACGTATTTGTGTCTATATATTTCAGGCATATGTTATGGACAATAAAAGCCGTGTAGCGAATGATCCGATCGGATCCGATCGATACCGTTTGGACATCGATCTAGGCACAGTGACGTTTCTTCATCATCATTTTATGAGCATTGAACATGTTTTCGCTATGAAATTGAAACAGATGTATGAACATTATACTGTTCGTTGTCAACAACGTATTGTTCAACAACTATCTGATAAAGTTCGCTGATTGAATTTTTACGATTAACTAAGCCTTCTTTCGGATTTAGATCAAAGCATTGAAAAGTGCGGAAAATAATTGTCGAGCACTATACGAACAGAATCGAGTAAAGTTCTTTTGCATTCTGAGATGAATGTCATCTACAGCTTTCTTTCTTTCTTTCTTGTCTACAGTATTCCAGTTCATCATTACCGGAAGAACTGTACAATCGTTTGATTAATTATCAGAGTGAACTTCGGTAAGAATATGAATGAGATCTGTCTTGATGATTGAGTTTCTTTGAGTTTAGACAAACACGTAATCAACGCTGTAACGAAATGAAATTGGACCGACAGTTACTTCAACGTCTGTTGGACACTTGGAAGAAAATCAAAGAAGTTCGTCGTAATTATAAATATACGACAACATCCGTCAGACTTCTAATTAAACAGTTCGTATTCTCTCATTTGATATGATTCGTTTTTGATTTCGGATTTCTGTAGAAAATCAGGGATAAAACCAAAACATTATGAACAGATGCAACGAGAAATCGAAGAAGAAATCGAAGATGAAATTGCATTGGCAGATGAGCAGTTTCGCCGAGAAAAAGAAGTCCACGCTCAGATTGTGAAAAAACGAAAATTACAAGCAATACGAAAAGTTTATTTGTAAAACTACTAGTATCTTTCATCGATTTTTTCTTTCATAGAAAGAGGCAAGAAAGCGTGTCGATAAAAAGCGAAATCGTGATATGACAGCCGATGGAACTGGCGATGGGGATTTCAATCAAGTGAATGAAAACATAAGAATCGTAATAATAAAGTGAATATTATAATTATTTCTGCGCAGGATGATATAACGATTCTCAATGAAGAAGATATTATCGTACCAGAAAAACCTGAACCTCGTAAGCCGGATGAGATTCGAACAACCATACTGGCTAAATATCAAAACGCAATTCGACCTGCAGGTAGAGAGTTCATTCAATTGTGTTTTCATAGCATCTAACGATTATTTCACTGTTAACTATAGATGAACCAGAGATTCTTCTTGAACTTGTCTACTCCGAACAAATATCAACTGATTCGGAATGCACTGCGTACGTATCATTGACTCGCATAATATCAATCGCATTTCTGCAAGTTTTTTTATAGTCGAGAACGAGCGCGTCGACACCAAGCTCAAACAGCTTCGAATATTATCGTTCGTATTGTTATAAACGACAAAATAGCAGTAGATACACCACCAATGTATGATTGTTTCTTTTGTGAAATGTTATCCAATAGTTCATATCCATTTCTAGGCCACTAACAAGTGATTTCGAAACGCATATTAGTCAAGTTTTTCCATGTTACGTTGTTCGAACACCCGACACAATCAAAATTCAATTATACGAATCTTCAACACGATTACGTTCACCTCTAGCTGAACTTTACTTACCAATTCCAGAGGCGACCATCACCACTGAAAACTATCAACTACAGCCAGTTGAATTTAGTTCCAATGTACTACGACAATTCAATCCAAATCAAACTACGGCTATCGGGGCGGGAATTCCTACACCTATCGAAATCGATGATAAAGAACGTATCTATCTGAACATTGAGGGTATTGTTAATGCAGGTGTCGCGTGGGGAGTACAAGATGGTGTCGTACTTGTGCCTCCAGACCTTCCAACATCGAAAGCATTTCAAAAGTAATTTCGACAAGAAACGAGAGTTTCGGGCAGAATAGAATCCCTTTGTTTTTCAGTCGACATATGGCAGGAGGTCTACGACAAGATGTAAACATGCAAGCAGTGAATTTGAGTAATATGAAAAATTTAATTGATTGGATCAAACAATCGAACCTTGACCCGTACGATCCTGAAAATGCGTTCTTGATAAATCTAATGAAAGTATGTTCGATTAGAGAGCGAATCTTCGGAGACTTAGCATCTTAATTAGGATTATATGGGTACGCATGGTGATGCACGATTCGAAATCAATGCTTTGCAACATTTTCGTTTGTGGATTGATGAAAATGACGAGACTGAACAGCAACGAAAACAAATGGAAATGGATAATTCACTTCGATTCAAGCTTTTGCAAGCGCGAAAAGAAAATCTACCAGATTTTCGCGATTATAAACACGTACCACCATACGACTATCTCGTTCGGAAAGAACATGGTGTTTTTAAGGTAAAGATAGGAATACTGCTGTTTGTTTTCTCTTGTTACAAACTATGATTGCGGTTGGTAGAGTTTTATGGCACGTCGTCATGAAACAGTTGAAGCAGATGGTATTGAACAACAACTTCAAGAAAAACGACAGACACATATCGATGCTGTACGACGCCAGGGAGAAAGACAATTGAGAAAGGTACATTGCCCTATTTCGGCCGATTTGAAACAAAATACTCATATCTAATAGATGCGTGAACAAGTCCTAGCTCGTTTTGCGTTAACATCAGCTCGAAAATCTTACCAACAAATGGTTGTCGAAGAGACTGTACCAAACATTCAGTAAATCCTTTGATCAATCTATTGATTGAATACGATTCGTATCTGTATGTGAATAGGGCTCTCAGTGGTTTCTTGTCTAAACTGTATATTGAACCAACACGTCCACTGTATCCTGTTAAACGTCGTACCGAGCAGAAGAAAGTAACCAATTTAGCTGTTGCAGCTAATCGAGATGTATTTATCTTGGTGAATTTAATTGGTGCGATTGATTTACCTATTCGACGTGAAGCGCTCGAAAGGTAATCTAAACTTCTTTAATATGAGCGACGTTGATTTTCACGCCGGCTTTCTTTTTTCTAGTGAGAGAGCAAAAACATCTAATCGAACAAGAGTGAATGCAGATCGAACAGTAACTTTTGATTGAATTGAGAACATATGATGATACTATGAACTGTATTCATACTTTAGACACTTGTTCGTCCTTATGTCGAAATACAATTTCAAAAGAAAACATATCGAACAAGTACAGTCGAAGGACCCAATCCTAGTTGGAATGAAGAACTACGTATACCCTTCAGGTAAAGATTTATTATCTAAATTAAAACATCAAGTTGAACAGAAGCATTATCAAAAAGAGATATCCATTCACGTGAACATAGTTCTTGTCCGTTAGTGTATTGACAAAATTTCCAAATCCATTCTTGTTTTTCATTGGAATCGAATTGTTGAATGAAATGTGTGGTAAATCGTCTTCGCGTACGATCGAATTTTAATAGCCATTGTTGACCGTCACGTGTGAATAACGTTGTATGTTGTTCGTGAGTAATCGCTTTGCCCCAAAGAACGAATTTGAATGCGTTCAGAGAATAGTTTTTCTCAATATCATACATAGGTATTAGAGAGTTTTGTTGGATATAGATTGGGATACGATCAAGACGACTTGTATCTTCGTGAATGAATGTATGGGCTTCATGCGTGACTGATGTATTGAAAAAATTAATCCAATGTTTTGTAGAACTTTTTGGTAGCCATACACGTTGAGTTTGACCCGGCGCAGGATCTTGTAGAACAGGTGCGACAAAGATGTTTGGGCCGAGAAAGTACGTATGAGTGAATAATGCTTCGATATCATCGCAAGGTCGCATTAATGTACCATTACGTCCGAGTGCCGCTTTTGTACCTTCACTGTAAAGATAGGGCACCAGTTGATAATGTAAATCGACCCACGATCGATAGATGTTCGTCGTTTCATCATCGAATTTCCATGGTAAATGTTCGCCGTTGCCACCATTTTCCATAAACGAACTTAAAGCACCGACCGCTGTCCAACGAAGAAACAATTCTTTGGTACGACCCAATGGGCCAGCTTGGTTATCAGCACGATAACCACCGATATCAGAACCAAAACCTACATAACCGCGACGACCGCTTTCAAGCATATAACGAAGAGCTGTTTTCAATCCGTCGTAGGTAGCATCTTCATCGCCGACCCAACCCATAAAGACGACTTCACGTGGTGAAAAATTCAAATCATTATCCACAGGTCGTGACATAATCAAAGCATCGGGGCCAACTAATCGACGTAGTATTTGAAACGTATCATTGTAATAAGCGTTGCGATAACGTTCCCATGTGACTCGAGGGTCAAGAAGTTCGATGATATATGGATCAGTGCCATCAGCCTATCAGAAAAAGGTACCGAATAATCAAGTTTAGAAGAAGAGTTGCATACCTTAAAAGCATGAATAGGTCCAACAGTGTCTAAAAGTCGTTCGATTTGACTGTGCCACCAGTTCACAGCTTTATCATTGAAATAGTTCAATAAACGTCCGTTTCCATGCCACCATTTGATAGTTTTATTGAATAAGTAGCCATGATCTTGAGCATATTTAAACGTTTCAGCATCAGTATTGATCATCGAAGTCATCCATAGGACAATGTGTTTATTTTTTGCTCGGAATCCATCTAACATATCTCGAATGGTCGGAAAATTCGTTGAATTGAACACGAATGTATTGAAATTCGTTGCCCAACGCGAATCGATGTTCACCGTACCAAATTGGATATTATGACTAACATAATCATCGAACATCGCTTGAATATCTTTTTGATTCGAATGAGAATTCGGTAACCAAACCATGTGATAGTGAGCCCATTCTGCATAGGGTAATGGGTCCGATGAAATAATCAAAGGACAAAGTAAAAGTAAAAATAATCTTAACACCGTCATTATCGACTAAAATGGGAGTGATCAAAGTGTAATGTTATTTTAAATTGACGATTTAAGATGAGAACTATATCATCTGTTTTCGTATTTTCTTTTATCAAGGCCACCGGATAACGACTTTGATGCCAGTTCATTACAACGTTGTCGTGATATACTTTACATTAACATCTTCGATCAACTCGATGTCGATTTGCCAACAACAGATCGAGAACGGGATCAAGTTATACGAAAACGTATTGCGAGAAATTGGCTAGGATCAGTGAAAATTCCGTTCAGTAATATCTATATCAATGGACGAGTAAGAAACTTCGTGAAGCAGATAAAAATAAAAGTGCATTTTTCTCTAGCTGGAAGGTAGTTATCGGTTAAGTGTGCCCAATCCACTATTAGGTTACGTCAGGGAAAAACTGAATCAATCCAGAATTGAAAACAATGCTGCGCAACTGCCGGCTAGTGTCCTTCGTATGTTTGTGACAATGGAACCCATCCTAGCGCCACCAGAAACAATTCAACAATCGGTAGGAATGATCTTTCATGCTTGATTATCATTTATTTTCTTCTTATTCATCATAGTTCGATAGTACAGAGTCTCTTGCTCTACTTCATCGTGCTCGTGCATGGGTAGAAGAACTAAATAAAAAATTTCCCACTCGAGATTACAAAGCAACAGTGGCGGATATCAATGGTCGAGCTGTGTTCATTCCACGTTTTCTTCGCCCGTTGCCATTGCCTCCTTTGCCAGGTGCGACAGCAGACGATGCAACAACAACAACAAGTACTGCAAGTGGAACTGATACTCAGGTAGACTTTGTACATAAAGCGTAATTTAAATTTAAATTGATCTGCGTCTTTCTAGCAACGCTTGGCTCGTTTTGTTTCATTGATTCCGTTTCTTGCTGACACAATAACTTTTCCAGGAATTTGTGACATTTGGGAAACATCCGATGTAAGTTATTCCACATAAGTTACAAACTTACCGCATTTGTTTTGCTCTTTAGCAATTCCTCCGCACAATGGCCGGCGATGACGAAGAACACGCTGTTCTATTGAATAATTACTTCCTACGACTAAATAGAAAAAGCTGGATTGCAATGGGTATGCTAAAAATCGTCGTATTTGCAGCATGCTTCTCAACACCTTTTCTGTAGGTGTATCAATCTACAGTGGTCCATGCTGTTTTGTTTTGACAAAAGAAGATACACAACGTTTTCCGACTTGTTGGAGTGTAGCAGACGGACATGATGCCGCGACAATTGATACATGGAATCCAATTCGAAGTATTTATTTATTAGCCAATGAAGAGAACGTGAGTTTAATCCTTTTCTTCATTACTAATCATTAGTATTCATTCGTTTTAATATCTTAGATTTGGGCTAATATACAAGAACAAGATTTGCCTTCGAGAATGAGCTTCGATGTCACAAATGCCAAGCAGTGGAAACCATTTTTTGATCGTTCATTTCCACGCGACGTAGCACAGTGGTCATCTGTACAGGTTTGTAGTCATATTTTTTGTTTGAATGGATATATTTTAGTTGCTTTTGCAGCCAAGCGACATAAATTACGAACAGACACGTGATGAGGATGTTCAATCACTTGAGAAGCATATCCTCGAAGTATTGCGTCACAAATTTGTCGAATGGCGTGAACCTAATGTCACACGTTGGCATTGGGCTTGTCAAAAACGCCTACAGGCAATCCTTAAACGGTAAAATGCTTTTACTATGATAAAGATTGGCTATGCCGTTTATTTTTCTAGCAAAGAAATACAGTCCTCAGTCGGACACGGTAATACCAATGATATTGAGCAAGAACTAGCTGAATTTCAAGGAATGCACGAAGTAAGACGGTTTAATTCTCATCATGCCTATGTACCATCGTCTTTTTTTTGTCTTAGATTACTGGATTTCCTCTACAAATGCCGTACAGTAATGTTCAGACGATCGTGGATGCCGTTTATTCCACTAAAATCTTCGAACATTCAACCAATGATATCGAATTCGCATTAGCTGTTCATATTCATCCGTATCCGAATAATATTCTTGCCGTTTGGATTTACTTAGCACACTTAGTACGAAAGACAGCTGTTTAAAATTCTCTCATGGGTAGCATGCTTTGTTTGTGTACTTAATCGAATTTGTTTTTTTTAAATATTTACGTAATAAAACTAGAAGATGCTATTTGATTAGTAGTTTAGAAAAGTTCGGTGTGATTGAAATTTTGATGTTGTTTATTTTATTTTAAACTGAATAGATCGAAGGTTTTTGTTTCACACTCTCACATTAGAATAAGCGATGAAAAAAAAACGAAAGAGAAAAGAAGACAAAGCGACGCACATACGTTCTTCGGATTGTTGCCTAACTAAGCCATAACAATTGGAAAGAAACGAAAACAAAACAAGCGGAAATAAATTAGTTAAGTGAACGACAGATCGACAATAGCAACAAGTAAAACAATTGACTAGTATTATCAGTTATCGTTACATGGAATGATGAATACAAAGATCGTAGTACCAAAGTTCACTTTTACAAATCAGTACGTTCTTCTACAACAAAGGAATGAAATATTGATGTGAAGATTTTCATAAAAAAGAATGCTTACGCTCGTTTGTTGGTTCAGCTGTTGTCGTTGTTGTTTCTTCACTTTCTGTCTCGGACGGCTCAGGAGTTGGTGTTGTAGTTGATGTTTCTTCTTGTTCAACAGGTTTTGTGTCATTTTGAACAGGAATTTTCGGTGTTGTTGTTGTAGTTTTGGGTTTTGGTACGAATCGTTGGGCTTTACCGAGTAAGTAATTGGTTTCACGTTTGAGTAAATTGATTTTATCGTCGAAATCAGTTGATAAATACTTTGGTGTTTCGGTTGGTAATAGTTTTGCAAATGCATCGACGACTTCATCGCGCCATGTCTGAAAAACCCCGAACATTTCATTTCTCAATCATCAAAAGGGTGAACTTACGTAAGTTTCTTTGACTATTTTGTGAAGTGCATCAATCTCTGCATCTGTGAATGGCTTTTCATCGTCTTCTTTTTTCAAAAATAGAATGCGTGTGGCTTGAACGAAATGTTCAGTAGCATTTAGTGCATCTTTGAGTTCTTTGAGTTTCTGTGGGCGTAGATCAACTTCGCGCACACGCAATTTCAATCCTTTTGTTAATGCTTTTAGTTCATCTAATTTTGATTTCAATGTCTAGTAGAAAAGAGTCGAGTCAGTAGTCCAGGAAAAGTCTTTTCTCACTTTAACATCAGCCGTGATACCATCGTCCCATAACCATGCATCAACTTCAGTTAACTTGTCGCTGATTTGTGTGTGATCGTCAGTAGTGAGTGCTTTTTTGTAATGGACATCATGTTCAAGTTTATCACGCATGTCGTAAATAAACGATTCGAGATTGTTTTTCGCAGTGGCTAATGCTAAAGCCTGTCGATCGTGTTCGTCCAAAGCAATTAATCTATAGGAGAAATTCGGTGACTTTTTTAAGTGATGGAAGGATTTACTTCTTTTGCGAGTTGGCTTGAGCTTCTGGTGTTGGATCAGCGTAATCACGTGATTCAACTTGAAACTCCAATGCTTCTCGGATGGTGATCATCTTTGGTGGTGGTTTGGTTGTAGTTGTGGTTGTCGTTTCAGTTGTCGTTGTTGTATTCGCATTTTCGGTTGAATTTGTAGCTTCTATTCGAATGAAATATTTATAGAATAGTTACAATCTACGAGACAAACCTTTCTCATCGACTGGTTTAGTTTCTTGTTCAGTGGCATTTGTTTCGGTATTATTCTGAAAGAAGATTCATTGCTATTTTGTATTATAGATGAATATGGTCTTACTCCGATGGGAGCTTCTTCAGTAGTCGTGTTGGTTGAATTGTTATTCCCATCTTCCGATGATCCACTACGTGCTGAGAAGAAACTGGAGATCTTGCTGCCTAATTCTATAAAATCACAGCGAGTGATTGAATCTTCTGAGAGATACATGAAAACAAACTGACTTGACAGCGTTGATGCATCTTCCTCAGTAGTATTTCGATCTGCTTCGGTTTCTTTTCGTTCGAAGGTAAATTCTATCTATGAATTCATCAAACGAAAGTCAAAGAAGTATATCTTTATGTAGGACATACTCGATCCAAACTGAGAAGACAGTTTTCATCGAGTTGGAAATGGGCCTTAATGCCTTTCGATTCAGCTGTATCTTTATGTTTTTCATAAGCTGCACGAGCACCAGTTACACTGACATGAAGTAATTCTGTTTGACCGAGTGCTCTACAAGAATAATAAAAATCGCACCTATACTTATCATCGCTTGATTGTTTACCGTTTGTCAGTAGTAGAAAGATGTGAAACGTCACCATAGTGAACATCGAATGAGAAATCATCCGTATGTCGATTGAATGTCATCACCTTTCGATTTGGATAAAGATTATTTCGATTGAATAATGTCCGATCAACCAGCTTCTGTTCTGAACTTTCCGATGAACTGCTATCGGTATGTCGTTCGAATTGAACGTTAATAGGATATTGATTGGCATCTTTGATGAGAAATTTCTTCACACGGTAACCTTTGGAAAGGGCAGCAGCTTGATACACTGCGCCCATCGCAGCCGCCTCATCGGTATTCAAACTTTTGCCAAGGTCAATTCTAGAGAAATGAATTCATGAAGTCTTTGACTCTTTCGAAGAAAAGTAACCTACCCGCCGAGTGATTTAGCTAATTCATCTTGAACACGAGGAATGCGCGTTGCACCACCGAACAAAAGTACTTGTTGAATTTCACTCTAGAAAAACAATCACTCAATGATGTCTTGCGATCTCGCGAGAAAATTCTTACCAGTGTTATTTCACTGGCATTGAGAGCCTCTTCAATAGGTCGTCGAACTCGTTGAAAGAGATCTTTGCATAAATCTTCGAATTGCTCACGTGTAATTCGTTGTTTCAAATCGATTTCATCCACTAAACCTTCGACCTGTGCTGTGTATTCGTTGTTGGCACTTAGAACATATTTAGCACGTTCAGCTTCACGGAATAATTTGGTTAAAGCTTTCGCATTCTTCGACAGATCGATGTTGGGGTGCTGCTCTTGAAATTTCTTAGCTAAATAATCACGTAAACGTATTTGAAATTCTAAACCACCTAGATCCCGATCGAATGCGATCGATTTTATTGTTAATTGTGGTACTTCTTCAAGGTAACCATTTTCTTTGATTTTAACAATATGAAACGTCGCAATTGTGCATATTGTTGACTGTGATCCCATGTCATAAAACAAATAAGTTGAGCCAGTTGCATTGAAATCTTTACGACGAAAGATGCCATAATTAAGTGCAACAGCGGTGTTATCGTTCATTAATTGGAGTAGTTTGATATTAGCTAATTCGCATGCACGTTTCACAGCCCGTCGTTCAGCTTGAGTAAAGTATGGTGGAATAGTGATAACAGCAGAATCAACCGATTGTTCAGCAAAATCTGATGCGTATTCACGAGCTTTTTTCAATATCATCGCAAGAAGTTCTTCGATAGTATAGTTCGTTTCACTAGAAGAAGAAATCCAATGTCTACTCGAACGGATGAATATCGAAATACATACCTATCGTGTTCGAAAACGAGTTCACTTGTATGTGCGTCTGTTTTTAATTTATAGTATGGAAAACGTTGTAAATATTGTTCAATAACTGGATTATTTAATGATTTGCCAACTAATTCCCGTAAGTACATGTACGATTGCGCTGGAATTTTACTTGACTAGGAAGAAAACAGAGAAGCATGACGAAATAACAAAATAATCATTCATTTCATACTCGAGAGATAGCCGCTTCACCAAATTCTCGATCTTTGCCTTTGATAGCAACAATCACGGGTGTTTTTCGCCGACTTTCCCTACGAAAGCAAAGAAATCAAATCAACGAATCGATGGAAAGTAAACTTACTTATTTAAAGCAATCTCCATCGGTATTCCAGGTTTCACAATCGCAATCTTCATAAATTCCGTACCAAGATCGACTGACATCACAGCAAGACTATCGACTGTGAAGACAATCGACATGGTAAAAAGAATAAAAATACTAACAATCGTCTTTGGGCGGATCATATTTATGATCTAGAACAGAATAAAGAAAAGAAGGATTCACCGTGGATTGTACACATATACATATATCTTTTTACAACAAGATTTTATGCTAACAAGAAATAAACAAGACAATTTAGGATTGAACAATCTGTTGTTCATTGCCATTATTTTCTGAAGGATTTCCTTCGGCTAATGGTTCGTTCATTTCTGTTTGATTTGTAGACGGAGGTGGAGATGGAGCTGAGGCATGTGCATCATCAGCGAGAGGAATTGTATCCTCTTCGTTCTTGGAATCGTTTTGTTGTTGATCGGGAATCGGAGATTGCATCTAGGAAAAGTAAAAACAAGTATAACTATCACGATAGACAAGTGTTCTAGTACGTACTCGTGAGTCATCGTCGTTGACTTGATTTCCTTCCTCGTTCGTTGAACGATTTTGATTGCCATTATGTGCTGATGTTACTTCGTACAGGTGTTGTTGTACATCACGTAAACGTTTTTCAACTTCACTTTTCTCATATTGTAAACGGTCAATATTTGCACAAAGTGACAAGACTTCGTTCAGTAGGTTAGCGCGACTAAATGCAGCATAGCGTTCGTATCGACATTGATAATAGATATCGTTGAAATCACTATCACCGGAGGGATCAACACCACCGATACCAAAATCTTGATTGCTTTCAGTATCATCACTTTGAGCATCGACATCGCCCATGTCAAACAGTTGATCGTAAGGGAGTGAGGGTGGATTTTGTGTCGTTGATGGTGAAGAATCTGAAATAGCCGAAAAATTTACTTCAGCTTACTAAGGAAATGCATGTATGGCCTACTTGTTTGATGTGTTGGAGTTGGCGTAGCTATAGATGAAGGTGTTTGTCGATTATGGTCACGTATAAGAAATTGTGTTGTATTCGACGGTGCAAGTACATCGAGTTTCTTTTTATCTCGTTGTACTTGTGCTGAATGAATCAATTCGTACTCGGATTGCGACATACCAGGTGGTGTACCTTAAGATAAAGAAAAATCAGTTATGAATTGTTGCGAGTCATCTACTTCTATTCACCCATCAATGCTGCCGGAGTACGTGGAATTGGATGAGCTGGTCGATAGGAGCGCTGTTGTTGAGGTGGTAATGGTTGTCGAAATGGGTAAGGATGATAACGAGAACCGGCAGCCGGACGTTGTTGTCGATGAGTCGGCGCCGATCCACGACCAGTACGGTTTCCACCACCACGTTGATGATGTTTCATTCCACCGATCCCACTTGCTGACTGTTGGTACGCGCCAATACTACCACCGCCATATCGTAAGGGTGGCGGACCAGATAGTAAGGGTACAGGTGGTAAAGACGAAGAATACATCATAGGCATTCGTGTCGAATTGCCACGACGTTGCTGTTGTTGTCCAACTGGATGCATTTAACTGGAGGAAACTACTACTTATTTATTGCGCAAATAAGATACTGTAATGAAATCAAATGAAGAAACGATGATGCGGATCAACTCGGCATAATATAGTTGGTTGATTTGTTTCATTTGTTGAGAAAATAAGAATAACAAATCAGATTCAAAATGATAACCTCCGACTATGCAATACCAATACGCGATAGATGGGGTGAGTAGTTACACATTGTCGAAACTATGCCAGTTTTGCGTTATATGAACACGATAGAGTAAATTTGAAAATTTATTATCATACGACTACGAAAGCCATTATTTCGTCTTATTCCAGACGTTAGTTCGTATTGACCTATTTAAATTTCGTACTAATTATGATAATTGTACTGAGTACACCTCTGCCTACCTCTGTCTTTCGATCGATACAGTGTACAATTTGTGATTCATGTTGTCAATTGAATAGATGTCTATAGATATCTGTATTCAAAAAATCTTTGAATGAACATAAACAACGATAAGCTTTACGCTCTACTCATTGACCAAACATCGTTAAATTTTCATTTCAATAACACTAAATGTTGTCCTCTTCAGAATAATTATGCGTTGTCTGTTACTGCTTAAGCACGGATTTCCACTCCCTTTCAATATAGAGTTGAAGATTTCATCTAGGCATTTTGATGAAAGAACTGCTTCGAGTATCCAAGCATCCTTTTAGTATGCATGCGAGGCACACTTCTTTTTTTTCAAATATTTCAAATAAAACTAATCAGAAATTTAATATGTCATTATAAATTAATAAGTTCTTCACGACACTAAACGCCTGAACTCTATTTCGAGAGATCTTTATCTCGTTGCTCTTTTTCTCTTTTATAATAACACGCATTCGCCTTTTCCACTACTTCCTGTTAATGCGTACCCGTCTGGAAAAATAATCGGTGCGTTTGATCGTTTTCCTCGAAAATAGACATTAGTTCGTAAAAATTTATCAGTTGCCATTCCAATACTTATCATGTCGTCGTCATCGACAGAACCGGACGAATATCATGAGCAAATCGTGGCATTCGCACTGGCATCAGTGTTACTGTCTATCTGTATTTGTGGGGTTCTCGGTATATATAAGATCCCTCAATTTTGTACAGCTATACATGTTTGCCTGATTTGATTTTCTTGTAAAGGTAATGCTGTAGTCTTGGGCGTTGGAATTTATAAGCAGAAGTATCGTAAAAATGTTACAAACTGTTTTATTATGAACTTGGCAGTAACTGATCTTTTTTTCCTACTAACCTCTGTACCATTAACATCTTACTTGGGTTTATCGAAGCTTTGGATTTTTGGTGAATTCATTTGTAAAATGAACATCTACTTGGCACATGTACGCATATTTTCTCGCACAAATAACAATAATATAGATATATTTCAGGTATTTTTACAAGCAACCTGTTATACATTAGCAACAATGAGTATTGATCGGTATTTACACATGGTTCACGTACTCTGGTATCGAAAGTATCGTACACCGAAACATACTTTAATAATATGCTTATCTATTTGGATTAGTAAGTATAAATTCTCATTAGTAATACGATCGAAACTATGTTGCCCTTTTTTTTGTTAGTTTCACTTTTATTCATGTTTCCTTATAAACATGTCTTGCGCATGATTAGACGTACGCATACTGGATCAAGGCATACTCTAGATTGTTCTGTTTATGATCGAGATTCATTGTTTTCGTCGTGTATATTTACATTTGGATTCTACTATGTTCTGCCGTTGTCAATTATTGCTATGTGTTATTTACGTGTTTTCATGCGGGTACAAAGTGCTACTTACCACGGGCAGAAAAGTCTAGTAAGTTCTATTGACAGATGTAATATCTGGAAGGAGATTTGTATCAAAGGTCATCTCGCCTTGCCGTACTAATCATGTGAAGCGTCGTCGTGTACGCCGTATGTTGCTTGGACTGACTCTGTCATTTGCTATTTGTTGGTTACCAATTCATGTTTTGGAAATACTCAACTGCTCACAATTACTATCTCCATCGCTTCTTGAAAGACATGTCTATATTCTACAAATTATTCGAATGATCGCTCATGCTCTATCGTATTTTAATTCGTGTTTGAATCCGTTTTTGTATGCTTTACTTAATAAGACTTATTTTTCGAGTCATTCTTAAAAAGAAAAGTTGATGACGTCAAATAGTTGACAAAGAAAATCATCTACTTTTTTGCATGCGACGTTGTAATTACGAATGAAGAGGTATGCTAAGCGTATGCGTCACTTGAATCTGTGTTATTATCTTGAGAAGATGCATTCAAATATTAATGCGCAGAAAATCGACATACTCCACATTTGACCTTTCTTTTCGACCGACTTCAGAAGGCAAGTGAAGCAATGAGCGTTGTACTTTCAACATTTGATTTATTCGATTGTTAGAAAACAAGGTTGCAAGGATAAAAGTATGTTCTACATAAATCTACTAAGTCATATGTTGATGAATAAATTGGAAAAAGTATTTTCGTGCGTCGTTTTTGGCGAAATTCGACGCAATACTTCCATGTGAACCACTGACAACATGATAGTCAGCAGATTGTCGACAGGCTCGAAATCGTTCATAGAAACGCTTGCCATCGACTTCGAGACCCATGTCATAGCGTGCGGAGAGAATAAGAAAAGGTGGCAGATCATCGCCTTCTTTGATATATTCGATTGGCGAATAATCTTTCATCGTTTTACCTTTTGGGTAGATCAGATTACTGGAGTAAAGTATTTTAAAAATCCAACTACGAATATTGTTATGTGAATCATGAGTGGGATTTGCTAGACTGTAAATTCCGCTTGTGGCAATCACTCCACGGATACAAGATAGTGGAAAATGATGACGTTGAAGATGAGATTTATCTAGCACAAGCAAACTAATCAAATGTGTACCAGCAGAATGACCGGAAAGAAATATCTGGTTGGGATCTGCATCTGAACAGTGCTCCTGAATATGATCGCGAACATAAATAAGTGCACGTGAGATATCATCCATCATCTTGAAATACAAAGATGTACATCATTACTGAATTCATAACCTCGACTTACATGATCAATATTTACAGGTTTGCGAACTTTATAGAAAAAGTTATATCCGTACGCAACAGCCATAAATGCCACATAGCCAGCGATCAGTTGCCACGAAAGTAGACCAATGCCGACAATTATGATAACCAGACCGAAAATCAACGACCAAGCAAGGTAGGAGATGAGAGAGATTCGAGCTAATCGATAGGATATAACGACACCAACAAAGCCTTCTTGCGCACAAGTTCGTCCGACGGTTGGACCGCCACGCCCTTCACTTGTCCGACTACCACGAACCCATCCACCGCCATGCACATGAACGATGACCGGAATGCGTCTTCGGTCGATTTCGGTTTGAGCAGTGAACGTTTGTACTGAATTTGCCCGTCCAGCAGGAAGGAATATATCTAATTTATTGTTCACATGAGCATCAACGCCAGAAAAATATGCAATATTTCGAACAGTTAATGATGGATCATAGGTTGGCGTGATGTGAAGTAACGATTTCAATTTGTCAATAATCGTCATTCGGAAAGTCTACAAATGTACGAACAGAGTTCATGTGTGATTTGCATGTTTTATTAAGAAAAGTAGTAATAAGAAGCCGTACAATGTTAATAAAAACTTTTTCCCTCTAGAAATTGGATCAATGGTCAGAATTATTCGCCTTCTATCATGCACAGATTATTTTCTCTAGTTAATTAGCTTTGATATTCATTCGAACTTGAACACACCTCTCCTATTCGATCGATGTAACTTGTCTAAAAAATAAACACCTTCATTTTTTTCCAGAAAAAACATCATATACAGATAGAAATGATAAATTATCTTTAAAAGAAGAAGAAGAACGAAAACGCATACAAGAACAAATAAAAAGAGTTTCGAACATTGGAAGAGTCTTATTCAGCTATTAATCACGTTTCACTTTGGAGTAGAGCTTCGGGGCATCGACTAATTCTTGGCCCCAGAAAATCGTTATTGCCAATGTCGAAATGGTCGCCGCGCCCCAAAAGAGAACGTAAGTGATTTGTTCGCGAAAGGATGACGACGGTATCAACAAGCTGATGATACACATGGACAAGGCAAGAAACATTGTCACTGGTAGAACCAGATATTTTTTACTAATTTCTTTACTAATTGGACACGATTCCGGTGTGCGACCTTCGTCAGATGCCACACGATAATTACCCAAAAACAGATCAATGCCATCCTTTCGAAAAGAAGAAGAATTTTCGAGAAAATCAATAACATTCGTCTTTTACCTGACGAAAACCATCAAAAAAGTTATTTAAGACGTAACGCATACAAGAATTGTAACCATCTTTAAGCAAACCCATTGCCGATCGTTGACCAGTCCTACAACAAAGTCAATCGATGAGAAAATCCAGCAAACTGTCAAGATCTGCGTACCTCGTATAATCTGTTTTCAAAGCACCAGTTCCAGCATACTGAAGACTAATTACGTCGGCATTATCAGCCCAAACTAAACAAATGGAACTGTTCATCGTTCAAAGGCCCATCTGTAACTTACTATTTTTAAACATAGTACTCAATTGTTTGTAGGAGTCAATTGTTTCATTATATTTAATGACGTTATAGTGCTTTAATTGTTGTTCTAATACACGTCTCGCAAGTAATGTCTGTACAACATTGGTTCGGTCGAGGCAATCGACACAGTTTGTGCGAAATACACCCGTTTGTAATGATTGTAGAGAACCATCTTTATTCATTGCAAAATAACTGAATAGAAACATGCAGATTATTGTAGAATATTTCTAGTTGATTTCTACCTATAGTCATCTTGATCAGCAATGATACGCGCGAGAAGAATGGTCAATCGATCATAACGCATACCAGCACATTCTTTGTGGAAGTCAAAATCTTCAAATCTAAATATCGAGCTAGTTCGAACCATTCATTTCTATTCCTTTCCTACTTGAGATAAGAGTTTTGACTTGCTTCGTATAATTCTCGATATTTTGCATTCAATCTACCTTCTGCACCATGATGATTTGTCTAAGAAATAGTCAAGATGACAAAGACAAATTCTTCAAAATCATTCGACATACAAGACTAATAAGAAATTGTCGACCATACCAACGTTCTTGCTCTTCAAAATGTTGTCGAAAAGCACCCATCTAATCATGGAATGACTTTCAAAAGCTGATGTGTGAGAATATCGATCTTACATGGTTAGTCGACGGTAATACGGTCACTTTTGGTTTGTATCGAAGATCAGGTAGTTGAGCCCAAAAGCAAGGGACGGAACCACGTGTCTATGCAAAAACATATATTTCAGACATTCGTCCACCGTAACATTACTTTATGTTTTCCTTTACCTGTACATATGAACAAGCAATATCATCTAGTTGAAGAATTTGTTCTGTCTCCACAAAATTCGCTACTCGACCTTCATCATCAATACCACGAATGAACAATCTGAAAGAGAGAAAACTCGTCTTCTACCGTTACTCTAAACTTTCGAACTAACCGTGTACCAGCTCGGTAGGTACTTCGCCGTGAAATTACACCGTAAATGAATGAATGACCATTGATGTTAAATGTATGTAATGCAACAACTAGAATAGAGCAAAAAACAAGTTATTTGAACGAAGATTTTTCGCGTTTGTTTTCACTTACATCCATGAATAATTGGTAGAGCAAATCGTGCCGTTGCTCGATTGGTTAGAAATTGACTAAGTAAATATCGATTCCAAACAAAACGTTGATCGGCACGTTCTACAAATGGTATCGAATGAAAATCGGGCGGTGATGTTTGAAGTCGTTGAAATGTATGAGTTATGTCATATGTGTATGAGAAATAGAAAGCTTCAGTTCTCAGAACAAGTTCAATCATAGATAAATATTTCGTGTTATACTTCAACTAGAAAAGAGAGAGCGGAATAAATCGATGGCTACTCAGGATTCGAATTCGTTTACTTGATGTTCATTTAAGTGAGACATATTTCTTGCATATGGAATGATATCGGTTGTTTGGACTTTATAGATTGCCTGTCCGTTGATATCACCTACGCGAACTTTAGAAGTGATCACAATTAGATATGGGCCGGATATAAGATTGATGAGTCCAATGATTCCATGTATTGATCGGCGTATGGCACCATCAGTATTCGGCAATGTAGCTGAAAAATGAAATGTCATGTAGTTTTCGAAATTGTAACCGAAAAGGAATATCCTTACAATGTATTTGAATATCTTCATGTGTTCGATCGATAACAAGAAATTCTTTCGTATCACGTGTCATCGGTTGTACAACAATATAATCAGGCAATAGGTGACTAGAAAAATAATTAACGGAATAAGTTATTCTCACTCAATGTTACTCTTTGAAATCAGTACAGTGTATAGTTGTCTACGATATTTTGATAGTAGCCGCCGTACGTATCCGTCCATGACCAAAGTGATGTGTCATTCATAGTCGGTGTTGCAATTTTAGTGTTAACTGAATGTGATAAGACCTAATGACGATGAAATTAATTCATATGCACTAAGTTAACCGCCAGTAGCAATGCAATCAATGCCAATTGCAAAAATAAACTCGCGAAGACGAGTCGACTAATGCAACGAACGAATCAGATGAAAAATGAATAATTTCATCTACTCACGCCATCTTTCTTTTCCGAAGGCAAGGATTTCGTATGTCTCAATACCGTCCCGAGAGATCAGTCTATGAGCGCAGAACAAGTCTGAAGTGTCTGAGAGTATCGTATATTCAAAACAAAATCAATCTATTAGAAAAATTGTCACGAGGTCTCGAAAGAAAACCGATGTCCATTTGATGGAACGGTGATGACGACAGTAGCTCGAGTCGCGAATAGGCTAATATAAAAACGAGATTTGAATATTGTCTCCACTAGTCGAATGAGTTCTTCTCGATAAACTCGAGCCGAAAGTACGTATAGGAAAAACGAAGTAGTCACGGTGAAATAGAATGGAATTTTACAAATAATGTAAGCGAATTGAAAGTTTTCCGTCTGTTGTATTGGTAATGGGAGAATTAACATCGAGAATATGACACAGAACGGCAGAGTGAGAACAATATGTGTGCCAACTTGAAGAAAGAGCATACGCGAAAGTTGACCTTCAGTGCGTCGATATCGAGAAATTCGAACGGGGAGAAAGCGAACCTGTTTGATATTGTAGATTGTCAAAAAGCCAAACAGTATCATTGATATCGGAGCGATAATGACGTAGATAGCCAGATGAACCGTGAGAAAAATTTGATTGAAAAATATGTCGGATTGGATGGTACAACGATACTCTCCATTGTAGGAAATATCGAATGAAATTAAAGTCCCGGTAAAAAACAAGACGAAACTGATGATGAGTATTGCAATTGACCATCGTGCTACATGAACGTTACTTAAATTTCGTCTTCGGGCGCTTATGGAACTCGCGAAATAGCGATCAATCGACGCAAAAACAATGAAATAAACTGATAAAGTTGGACAAAAATTTAAAAGATAACTGAGAATTTTACAGAACACAGATGAGTACCGCGTTGGATCGAGATTATAACCATCAGCTAGAAGATTAACAGCTAATAATAGACTTGAATAGAAGGTGTTCGTAATTGCTAATGCGATAAAATAAAGCGAACAAGCGTGGTTGATTAGAGCTGGCCGAGTTAGAAGAATAATGTTCAACGAATTACTCAGCACACCGATAATAATTATGATAGGAACAAATATTCGTGTTAGTTGAGCTGCCAGTTCAAGAAGGGAATTCGACATAATGCTTTTTCCCTCTTAGTCATTCAAGAGACAGTCTCATAATTATTTCGACGATTAACATGAATAAATAAGAAATTCAACATGCCTTTCTCTTGATAACTTGCACTTATGCATCATTGAAGAAATGGAAATAGACGGAAATTAAGAGATTTGTTTCTTTCTCATTGGAAGAAAATATACAACGGAAATAAATTGCTATTTCAAATAGTAGACGCATGAATGCAAACAACTCGTAGATAAGTCGTCGTGCATTTTCTACGACGTTATAGTGTGAAACACCTGACTTACAAACAATCGAATCGCACGGGGCATACATTCGTGAATTTATTTAAGAAAAATATATAAAAAGATTACAGAGATTAATAAATAGAAAGCAAAATAGATTGTATTTTTCATTGTTTATTGAATTTTTTGACTAAGTCTCGTACTGACACGCGTGTCGTATCGTCTTCATTGTCAATTGAAGGCAAAGATGCGTGTTTAACTATCAATCCCGGGAGTACCGGTTGAACTTTCTTCATTTCTTCGGAGTAAACCGTTTCTGTTGACAGTCGATTGTTAATATTTTGATAAATATTATTCATCGAAATTTGCGATTGTCCTTCCACGGACACGGTGGGATATGTCGGAGCATGAACATCGGTGATATACGTATCTAAAATAGGCTCCTTGAAATAAGACAGATATCATTGAAGCAAGAGACTGAATCGAAAATGTGTTTTACTTTTTGAAGAAAAGCAGAAGGAAGCCAAGTGAGGATAAAGTCATCTTTCAATCGTCGTCCCAACCACCAGCCACTTATATGTTTGTCATGAATTTCAACAACATCACCACGCCGTAAAGATACGCAGTCGCCGACATCGTCATGAAAATCTGTATGGACGTAAAACAGCTCAGGAGCATTAGCAGGCGGAAGTTCGTCATTATCATTCTAAATTAGCAAAATCAGTAACAAGAATGCGTAGCTGTTAGGATCATACTCGTTCATAATTTTTCAAGCTACTTAGTCGTTGAAGAACCGTTGTTGATTCCGTGCTTGGAATCGTTTCAGGAATAACTCGTCCTTTACAAGAAGTTAAATAAACAGCCGGAAATTGACCAGTTCGGTCATGAAATCTTCAAAAGAATTCAAATATACGTGATGCATGAAGGGCTACTCAATAGATTTTACTTGACTATCCACCATCCCGTAAAAGATTTCTCTAAAACGGTTGCGAACGATCCTTGATCCAAAGAGATTTCATCTCGATTCATTGCCTCGTAAGATTTATTTACAATATAAGTCTCATCTAAATCAAAGCGCACCGTTCATAGCACACGGTCACATACAGATAGATCTCCTACTTCCTGTTGTCGAGAAGTCGTCTGTTTCTAAGACATTCTGCTGCTGTTGCTCGATGGGTTCGAGAAATGCTCCTGGCACAAAACCTTTTCGATCGCCATTTTGTACGAACCACCATCCTTAAAGAGATGCGGCAAAACTCAGTTAAATCTTCTGCACTCGATGTACAACGCGAACAAACCATTGAGATGTTTGTGAATAACCTGTACAAGAGTGTTCTTTTTCAACGATATCTCAATCTTCTCCACAGCTTCAAAGTCGCTGAAACATCGATATGTTGGTAATTTCAATGGTCTGCTGATGACTACTGATTCTTTCGTGACAGATTTCCTCTCATTAGCTGTTGTATCACTCGAGTTTTGCACATCAGTAGGTAATGGCTGAAAAAATTGCAGTACCGGTCGAGATCGAGAGATTTGTTCTGGTAGAGAAATCAACGTCTAAATAATGTTATAAAAAAAAAACAATTAAAAAGGTATGCTCGAGCTGTTGTTTATTTTTACTTGACAATAGATGTTCAATGCTTGTTTTCGTTCTAAGGCTATTTGACGAATTTGGCTTCGGCCGAGAAAAATTTTTCCGGGAAGAAAGGGAATCTGCCGTGGTTGGCTTTTGTAGTTGTTCGATGGTGATGGTGCTTCGGCAAATAGATCCAGTAATTTGCACTGGAAAACAGCTTGTCATCCTCAACGCAGTATCACAAAAGTTCTTACTTGAAGGTCGAAGAACTGAGCGTATCGTCGATAGATAATGAAAATATTTGCCGGATTAGACCAAGTAACTTGAATAACATACACCTAAAGAATCCCATGATCAAATGTCGCAAATTCTTCATCAAAGAACGTACGTAATGTTTAGGTCCTGGTCGATACCTTTTTTCTACATCAACAACTTTAACACTGACCACATGGCTCGTTTCGTTCGTGGAATTTCTATCAATCATCTAGAACAGGAAGTCGAAAGACTTGCTTTTATCTTCTTATTTGACTCAAACAATCAACGGAAAAACAAAGACATTATTTTTCAATTTTGACTTTCGATAACAATTCTTCCAGATCAAAATTAAACGATAAGTTCTGTTGAGATAACTTTTTATTATTCGTTGCCACGTTCAATGTGTTATCTTCACTTGCGAACATGATCTCATTGATGTCATCATCGAGCTTGACCGATGATAGGTGATGGAAATTCGTTGTCAAACGTTTCAAACAATCTTCACGATCATGGTTGGTGTCATCACGCGAAGCAAAATTCAATACAAACACACCGGGTTGAGTGGAAAGTAAACACTTCACATTTTCTAACACCGAATTATCGAGAAATGCGGGATGTGGGCACCGCAATGGACTTTGACTATCATTATTATTCACATCGAATATAATCACATCGTATTTCACTGAAAAAAAGAACAGCGTAAAAACCATGAGGGTTAGTTGAAGATGGTTAGGTACCTTTTTCTTCGACTTGACGTTGAAGAAATTGAATACCATCAGCGACTACACATGTCGAAAGAGTATCATCCAAGCCGAACCAAGTTTTCGCTATTCGGATCATTTCACTGTCGATATCCACACCGGTCAAATGTATCTGAAAATATGTCGCGGCATTGTGAAACCAAATGAGAAAAAAAATTGAAATTTCCTACTTTTGGAAACGCTCGCATCAACTTCATAGTCAGAACACCGCCGCCGAGGCCAACCAACAACCAATTACCATTTGGTTCAACTTTCTCTATTTATATTCTGTAAAAACGATCATACCCAAGATTGACAATTCTTACTTGTAGCAAGAAAATGAGTCTTCAAACAAGCGACAATAATCCCATGATAATCATTTTCCAATATCGAATAGTCCGGAACCACTGAAATCAAAGGTGGTTGCAAGCAAAGAAAATTCCTGTGTATTAACATACAGGCATTGGTTTTCTTATCTAAAGTCAAATCAATTTCACTTTGAATGAGATTCGGACTGGCATCAAAGCGTAATCGTCGCTTCCATTCATTCTCATTTCCACAAAGGCAATCTTCGATAATGAAGGAGGACGAATGTTCACAAACTTTCACCTGACCAATGCCCTCTGATGATGACAAGAAAGGAATCTAGACAAACGATCATTTTCTACCAATATGCACATCAATCACCATCTCACTTGAACATTCTCTGGCAAATTAGCTGGTTTAAAATCCAATACAGCATTAGTCATTTCGCTCTTAACTTGCTCTAGATCGCGATAGTCTTCATCAGGTTGTAAATAGATGAAAGCAATGGTTGTATAGGTTGCATTCGAGATAATTTGTTGTCGGCCAGCTGGTGTTGAATAAAGCCAGTCTAGATTTCTAATTGGAAAACGGACATCTTAGAATTCGAATCATCTATCAGTCATTACCTGGATTTAGGAACGATGAAGGCAGCAAATGGTTTATTGCGGTACTTTGTTAGGCTATTGACAACAATCATTTGATATCGACGCTTCGCTTGATTTCCTTCGGCATACAGATCGACAATCGGTGTTTCCCTACCAGGAGTGAATCTACACAGAAGCTGAAGGTTAAGTAAAACAAAACTAGGGATTTTCGAATGAAAACAAACTTCTGTTTGAAATCGTATTTTTTGAAGCAAGTCATTTGACATTGTTGAATTGCACTGATCGCTTCAGGTAAATCATGATATCGCAGCCAGTTGTTCTCTGCACTGTTGTACAACTGAAGTTCGATTAACTGAAAGCACAAGTGAGAAGTCATAGAACAAAGATATACACGAATTTCGTAATCTACTGGATTTTTCATTGGTATTTTGGTGAAAACAAATGCGAGGACGGGCAATGCAAATGCTTTACTTGTTTGAATATGATGATACCGAAGAAGCCATGATCTTGAGATGCATATTTCAGAGTCTTCTCATTTCAAAAGAAAATCTCGATGTCTTACTTGCTATCGAAAAAATACTGTGATATATGGTCAAGAATATGTTTTTGTGCAAGTGTTATGCATATGAAACGGCCTGTCAAACGAAGAACACGATCGATTTGACCAAGAATTTGATCAATATCTGAGAGTACCTATAACCGTATGAAAATCGAACTGAACAAATCAATTTCTTCTCCTGTTTATCATCATACTTGTTCACTCTTATTTGACATCAATGCATCGATAGTTCCTTTATCTAACACGACACTGAATTGATTATCTTCGAATGTCATCTGAAATGTATAACACACGAATAATCGTTTTTCACTTTTAGATAATAAAACAAACTTGTCGTGCGTCCATCTGCAACCATTTCATGTTTGGACGTCGTTTGTCATTTTGTTTCTTCATTTTCTTGATCACATTATCCGATAGATCGACATTGGTAATGTGTTCAATTCCTGTATCGTATAAATCACTGCTTAATGTGGAATTACCACAACCAATAATCAACACTTCGTCACGTGGCTTTATATATTTGCAAAGAACATCGGCTAGATCAATAAAATCCGAATACCTAAAGCAAGATCAATGCTAACTTTCGTACATCAATCATGACGAAGCACATACCATTCGAAAGCTTCTCCGCCAACTTTATCGAAAAATTGATCCCAATAATCTCGGCTACGAAATTCATCTGCGGCTTTTGGCAACAAATTCATTTTTAGTTGTAATGATACTGATAGAACGAAATATACTCAGCAAAAAAATGATCCTCAAGTCAAGTCAAGTACCTCATACGGTGATTCATCATTTTCTTTTCATCATCCATTTAGCAATGAATTACTGTTAGTGCCATCTATACACAGATGCTTTGAAGGAAATATGTGGTAGACCAAATAAATGTATTTCCAACAAGGCAGACAAAACTCTATCAAATCATAAAGCACATCGATCAAAAACCGCAGATATATCGGCTTCATTTACAATTGGGAAGCGACTTCTAAAGTCGATGTTGATAGAACCTAATATATATAGAATCACTCACGCATATACTATAATTATCAATTTGTGTTAGCACCACGTACCTATCGAAGAAATACATTATCGATCATGGGATGAGTCCGAGAATTTCAACAATTTTATTTCTTCATTTATATCTTCAATATCGTTGTCGAACACTCTGACATCACATTCACCTCTTTTTAAGGACTGACTTGGATTGAACTCAGGGCTATAAGTTCGCTTCTCTGCACCACTTGCTTCGACAACATACCGGTTTATATCCTACACAACTCGTATACTTCGCTGTTTACAACCACCAGAAGGTATGAATGGAAAATAATAAGTCAATCCATCTGATCTGACTGAGTGAACCGGCAATAACAATAGTTCATTTTCTCTTGATATCATCGCGTCTTGAATGAACTAAAATTAGCACTACCTGTATGCAAGAATTCATCAAAGGAAAGCGTGCGGGTAGTCCCGGAATTTATTGACACATAATCTAGGTGAACTTTTTATGCTCTCTGAATATAATCATAAATAACTTTAACTTTTGAACATGCAATTGACAAGAATATTGATTAGTTCAATTATAGAAAGAGTGTGTCGTGTTTCACATATCATCGAACATATTCGATAGAAGTATTGTACCTAGAAAAGTGGTGCGTACAGATCGAGAGGAATCTACTGAGTATAATATCATTTGTATTTTTGGCTTTTTATTCGAGTCGAGAAAGAGAAAAGAGGCCGGCTTAGACACCGAACAAAGTAAAGAGCGAAAAAAATGAACAGATCGAAGTAAAAAGAAACAAATAGAACACAGTGCGGATATACCCGCATTACACTGAAAAAGAGATTTTTGATTGAGGATGCAAAAAAAAAACAGAAAAGGATGAACAAGGAAAGAAATGATTTCCGTCGATTTCAGGATGTGGCTGGTGTCACCGTCATTTGGAATTCACTAGCACTACCACTATTGGCAGATGTCGATGTTGCTGTTCGAGAAGAAGTCGAAGATAAGACAGCAGCAGCAGATGTGGGAATGAGCTGATCACCGGCTGAAATCGTATTTACTGACACAGAAGAAAGTATATCGGAGGATAATGGACTTAACGAAGTTGACAATGATGTTGTAACAGTTTGTATAGAATCTACTTCATTGGATGATATGGTAGTTGTCATTATCGTCGGTGGCGAAGAACATGGCGGAGATGAATGTGAAATATTTGTCGTGTTCGATGACGATGGTGGAGGTGAAAGACGAGCCTGATACCAATCACGATTCTGTTCTAACGTTTCCAGTATGGCGCTTGCATCAGGATAAACGAGATCAGCCCATGTTTCCCATAGTGGATGAACGATAAATTCGATGAAGCCAACTTGATGCTTTTCTACACTAGCTACACGTCTATCACACATCGGAGAGATCTCTAATCGTAGTTCACGTTCTTTATCTCCTTGTCTCCAAAATTCTTCCATTATACGATCTGTCCATTTAATATAGATATCCAACGGTTTGGTCGGATTCGATAAATCCGCACAATGAATCATATTTTGAAGCACCTGGATTCGATCATCATATGATTCTAACATAATTATATTATTTCCCGTGACTTTCTTCGATTCGACCATGGTTTTGAGATCGGCCAGTAGTTGCATATGTTTTGACATATCGGTAGCTAAAACCATATCAATAACCATTTTTCGTAAGTTTTTCATTTGTTTGGCTGTTAAGTGTGAGAAGATATTTCTCTCATCAGCTTGCAACAACTTGAATGCTACAGCTAAATGATGATTTTCCAGAACACTTTCATCATTGTACATTAAAGCAAGGTCACTTTCTAAAAGGGAGAAAATAACGAGCGATGAATATTAGCGACTATTTTCATATATCATACTGGTATTTATCAAGAATTGATTTGTAACACCGGGATGATCAACATCGTGGATAGCCGAAGCGAATATAGCTGACATGATTTCCAATTCAGTGAATACACCCTGCCGTTAAAAAGACACATGTCAACAATAAACTAATTCGACGATGGAAAACACTTCTTCTTACCTCAAGCGCCGAAGCATTGAGCAAGACATGCATGGATTGACAGACATCAGCTCCGTGAGCTTTATTATGATAAGGTACTGTTTGATAATGATCTTCGAGTGTGAGCAAATAAGAGATCAACGTATGAGGTTCGATTCCATATGTACGTATCAATGAACGTTCTTGAAATATTCGATAAGTGATAACTGTTAATGGTCGTTGACCACTCAATTCTTCAATACGAAAAGTGTCTAAACCCCAGTCATTAATATGGTCCAACAGACAACGTAATTCATCAGCATTCGGTGTCTCGACGCCTAATTCAGGCACTGGATTTGCTATTGTAAACGTAGTAGTATGAACTCCAGCTATTTGACCCATGAGAGTCGCTGATGATATGGATGAATCAAGTGTTTTAGAAGTTGTAATTATTGTACTTTCATCGATCTGTAGACCACGTGATAGATCAACATCGGGTTCTTTTTTGTCTAGAAATGCAAATCGTGGATGAATATTTGCATGCAGGTGGAGGATTTGTACCTGTATAAGTGGAGTATAAATAATTACTAATCTGTGCTCCGGAAGTATTATTTTCAGCAAAATGAGACAGTTCCTTATTGAGCATACGTTTGAACTAGAAAAAAGTAAACAGATGAAACTATTTCATCTTGCTAATTGATTTGATCTTACTTTGAGCGAAGCGAGATCCGATACTGATTTGTGAGTTTGCATTGTTTCCAATTGTTCTAAACACCAGTCAAGTTCTTCTAATGTTGCAACTGCTTGTGATAAAGAACTATCGTCTATTGTCAAGAGATAAGAATAAGTTTCGTAAATCGAAAACTTCAAGATGGCCTACCTGCTGCGGTGGTTATCATTTTGGTGAAATTCGGTGGAGCTGTTTGACCAGAATTCAGTTGACTTGTTCTCTTAGCTCTAGTGCGAGAAAAACAATCTTCAGAGTTAACCATTTCGAAGTTTATTTTACTTCTCCGGTGGTATACGGGTGAGGTCGACGAAGTTTTTCCGCACATTCTTGAGACTGGCCAGAAGTTGAGCAAAAGGAGTGACGATCATGTCATCTTGATGCCTACAAACATACAAAAACATCAATCCTTTGCTTTTTTGGACACGAGCAAGCTGATTAGCGCATAATATAGGTTCATTACTATAATGAAATCGACAAGACTGCTTTTCTCATAACTGAACGATAAATAAGTATCAGTTGTCTCATCACCGAATTGTTCTCTACTGTGAGACTTTCTGTTTTAGTGAAAAAACCGATAACAAGGTAATTGAGTCATTGAAACGCGCATGGAAGTAGGTAAGTAATAAAAGAATAAAATGAGAGTGACGGCAGATCTTTAAAAGAAAACAAAGACGTGACATGTCAGTATTCTACTTAGAATCATCGTTGTCATCTTATTTTTCTTTCTTTTTCCCAACTGAAAAGCTTGACTGGAGAGAAGAAAAAAAAGAAGAAAACGAAGAGGAAAACTACACCAAAGTCGGCTAAATATTCTTTGTTTTGTTGCAAAAAAAAGGAAAGGAAAGCCGGCCCTGCGTCCTATTGATGCTGAAATTATGAGAGCGTCTAGTCAAGATAACAACTATTTATGTCAAAAAAAGATATTATAGGAAAGATGAGGATTCGTAATCCCAATATGATAATTCTTAGGTCTCTATTGGACAGCTATTGATTCGAACGATTTATTTCAGTTTTATTACTGTGATACGCATTCATGATAGTTTTATCGATGGATGTTTTGACTTTTAACAAGCATTTCATCCGTCTATAAATAGCACTATACGATCTGCTATTTAATTAACTTTTTTTGTTTACTATGATGGACTTGTCGACGTCATAAACTGACTGAAAAGAACTTGACTTTTACAAAATATGACGAAAGATTAGTGGTTCTTGTGGAACTCGACAAAATTCAAGAGAGAGAAAAACACACACACAAGATGAAAATTAGTACCTTTTTATCCAGGAAACATAGGAGGTTGGACGAAGACGAAAACCGAGTTCATTTTGATTAGATGAACATGTTTCTAATGAATCTAAATGTGGCCGAGTATCAAGCTCGGTGTGACTACGTGCTCGCATGATGAATGACGTGTGATGTTTCTGCGACTCTCACTGGTTCTGTATCTGTCTTTTCATTTTGTTTGCGTTTTGTAGTTGCTGATTGGTGCGGATGAGTTGAGTAGTGAAGAACAGAAGAGAGGAGAATAAAGCAAAGATGAGAAAGAGAATGGAGAAGAACAGACGACAAGAAGGTTCTATAAAAAAAAGTGAGCATGAGATAAGAAACAAATGTATGTCGAACGTTATTCTGTCAAAAAACGCAAATGAAACAAACTCTGATTGCAATACAGGAACAAAACTCTAGCACCGGACGTTTAATGTGAATAAGAAGAAAAGAGAAAGAACGAAAGATAAGTACTATAAAACGGTCTGACATTATCATGTAAAAAAAACAAGGAGAAGAACCGTAGCAAAAAAAAACTTAAAGATCAAAATAAAGATATTCTTAGTCTATAAATATATCTAATATATATTTATGAACCTTACTTTTGCGATGATTTTGATCCAAGTCTGAAAATTGGTCTTTTAAAAGCACTTTTGACACGCTCCATGCTTGTTGTTCTCTGTTCTATTGATCAATCATTCATATTCATTCTCTCCCATACATCGGCAACGCACAGTATATGTTTCTAGTGTGTGTGTGCGTAGTAATAGGTAGCCGACAAAGAGTCAGACGCCTATGTTATGCCCTCATAGTCCTATCAAGGTACAGTTGGCAACAAGAGCGTGAGAGAGAGAGAATGGTTCGAAAGAATAGATACGAAATGCTACCATCAATTATTACGTTTGCTAGAAGCTATAGTGCGCAATATGAAATGAAACAAGGCCCAGGTATACGAGATTTTCGAAACAATCAGAAAGAAAAGAAGAAAGAAAAATGGGGGTATAGAAGAAAGTAAGTTCTACTCGTTCTTTCTTTTTCTTTTTCTCTTTCCTTCGTTCTTTCGTTCTTCGATTTAGCGATAGAATACATTTTAACTATTACTTACAATTCTGATCCGATGGACGGATTACGCGAAATACATTTTGGTGAAAGATCATTATCACTATCACACTTATATAGAAATGATTCGCGTCGATGCATTCCACCTCCGCTCCCTGTCGCTGTTGTTTTATTCGCTGAACTATGCTGTTGATAATGTCCTGATGTTGTTGTAACATTGTGATGAGAATTGGGAATACCACGTGGTGACGATGGACCATCCACATCAAAACTATGAACGATAAACATAAAAGAAACTTTTAGTCAAATCTTTTTAGCTTTTCAAAGTCTATGAAAAAGACAATCATCGGCTTCCTTTCACACTCACTACCATTACCACTGACAATACCAGGGTGATATCACTCAACTGTACTTTGGGCATATTGTATTCGTCTTTTTAGTTTCCTTTCTTTTTCGAATGTCAACAGAGATGCGCCATGTGCATCTCTCAGGAGAAGCAAACAAACATGTTTGAATGTATATGCACACAAGTGTGATGTTAACTTAATCAACAAAACAAAACGTATTAAGGATGACGACGTTAGAATAAGTTAATAATAACGACGGAGAAACGAAACAAATGTGATCAATATGAAATATCTGTATGTGGGATGTATCGAGTGATAGTCACGCTTCATTTACTCGTTTCATGTCGATAGATAAAATGATTCGATATCGAATTACTTGAAATATCGCCTTGATTTATCACAGAAAAGAATTTTCCAGTTCCTTCGATAACATGATTATTCGCTTCTATGAAAAACTCATTCTTAGATGTCCTCTATCATTTACTGATTACAACCGATGAGGATAAATTGCAATCGACGATGTGTATTCATTGTCTTCGGAATCGATTCGATTTTCCGGATAGGATGCTCATCACCTCTTCGTCTCATGAAAAGAAACTAACTATCGAAACAGATAAAAGATTCATTCTTTTGGTAAGACATCTTTGTTTCAGAATAGAATGACCTTCTTCCTATGAAGACAGTCTCACTAGTATGGGAAAATATTTATATTAATGAATTTTCTCTCCATCAGGGAAATTTTATTATTATTATTATTATTACTATATCTATATCTATATCTAATCGTATGCTCTCTACGAGAGATTACTTTAGTGCTAATTGATTCAATACTGCTGATATTTAGATAGTAGGAAATCCTCTAAAACAGTCTTACTTGTTTTCAATTAACTGAACTTGTAGTTTTTGTCGTAGATAAGATTTGAAATCGTAGAAACGATGTCGATTATAATTATGCATGAAGCAAGAGAATATTACGAATACAAAATGAAAACAACGACGAGCAACTGATCTGATTTCTTCTTGCAGGTGACACCCCGCCTTAGGTCTGTTTCTTCTTTTTCTACAAAAGTTACTATATTTATATGTACATTAAACAGAAGCGCACAAAATTGCGCAGAGAGAATCTTTCTAATGACTTTCGGGAGATTGTTTATTCGATCTATGTAGCACTAAGGCGACGTTAATATGTCTAAAAGTGTAGAAAAACATCGCAAGATTGACACTAAACTAGTTGTTTGTATGATCCTATGGCAAGAAGCTATTGATCACGTCGATGATATGTATATATGTGTATATACACAAGTCAACGAGATTCGCAATAAGAAGAAGAAATCTGCCAAACCAACCTTATGTTATCATCAATATCTACTCTTTTGTTCTGATGAGCGTGTCGTAAACTACGACGAAATGTAAACCGTCTTCGCAGACGAGCATGCGGTTCGCTCAATGGGTGGGCTGGATCAGTTTGTAGTTGTGACATCGCTGTAGGCGATGGATGATTAAATCTTTCGAAAAATGTTTTCGTTCTCTTGAATGATGGTTGTCGTGTTTGAGGTGTTGACATTGTTGATGAAGTATCGGCTAATTCTATGTTTGTTAATGGTAGTGGTCTCGGTTTTGTTTTGATTGGATTCGAAATAGTTCGAAATGATTGAAGTGGCCTTGCTGATGACGATGGTTGAGATGGTGGGGCCGAGAAAGCAAAATAGATGGTGAGAGTCGTCATGAAAATAACGACACTGATGATGGTGATGATGCTACTATCAACGATGATGATGATGCCAAAGTGAAAATAGAGAAGTGAAAAGAATAAGTCCGGAAATCGACGTCGACCGTCGACAACGAACGAACGACAACAACAACAATAAATCGAGACTCTCTACGCTTGTCTCTCTTCTTTTTTTAAGTCATCCGAACGAGGAGTAAAGAGTGTTCTTAAAGAGAAGATAGAGCTGCCTACATAGTTAGAATGCTATAGAAGAGAAAGAGGGAGAGAGAGAGACAGACAGACAGAGAAAAACTCTACTACATACAATAGTGATGATGCCTTGTCTAAAGATAGCAATAGTCTTTCCATCCGTTTTTTCCTTTCTCTCTCTCTCTCTCCTCTTTTTTGGCTTACATTCATGAAATTCCCAAACTCAAGCTATTGATAACTACTAGAACTAACCGAGGAAGATGCAGAACGCGAGAGAATAACAAAGAGGAACATTCAACTTTACTATTGTCGAAGGCAATCATTCTAATGAATTCTCTCGCTTCGTCTCACTATAACTAGATATAGACAAGCATTTCCAGTTTCAAGTTAACAAGTTCATTCACCGATCGAGCGAACAACAACAACACCATCATCATCGTCATCAACAACAACAACAATAAAAACAACATGGGAGACGAAGACGAAAAAGGAAAAGGAAAGAATGAGAAGAAGAACAGCTCGACTTCAACTGATAGAAATCTTGACGATAGTGTTGGTTTATGCATCCAGCGATTGTGATGATTAACAAAATGTAAGATATTGTCTCAGATTTTCATCTTTATGTTAATAAGCAAATCTGAAATCAGTCGTTCGACTTGAATGACAAGTTATATAACTATCTACGGAAAGGAAGATTAATTTAATTCACTTTTTTTCCTCTGATTATTATGAGATTCGAAGCAATCGTGTCAAACAAAATTCAAGGGAGAAATATAGAAAGAGAAGTACTACTATTATCATTATGAAATATGCATGTGTATATTGGTGCGTGTGTTTTACATAGACTATCTGTTCTCTAGAGGCGTATTATTCTTGTTTTTGGACAAAGTAAATCATTTTTTCCTCTTCTCTGTTACTATCTATTCAATAGTGAACATGTCTTTTTTGTAATATCTGTAAACATACCATTATGGAACAAAGAAAACTTCTTGAAATCTACCTGCTATCGTCTGCGAGATATAGAAAAAGACCTTGTCATAAAGAGTATTCGTAAAAAAATGTCAGACTTTTTCCTTTTCTTTATTTAACAACACAGAATATTTTAAAATAGTAAAAAAGGAAATAACCTGGAGGGCCGATTTCTAATATAATATCTAACGTAGTTTTTGACGTGCATAATATTCAATTGTAATTATTAATTTATAGAAGTCATTCACGTCATGAAATATTTCTTCAAGTGAAAAAAATTATTTACCTGATTTTGCTATTGACTATAGTACTATTAGTATTAGTATTATTCGCATTGGTACCACCAACTATTCGTCGTCTTAATATAATCTGCCCGAGACGAGCTAATAGAGGCGGAGTTTGAGAAGATATAGGAGAGTGGGAAGAAGATGACGCAGGAAGAGTCGGTGTGACTTCATCAAGTGCGATTGAACTTCGTCGACGATTATGGCTCGATGAAACGCATGAAGTACAAGCTGAAGCCATTCCTCCGCGCCGTCGACGTTTCTTCGTCGATTTTGTTAACGTTGCTATTGTTGTCGACGATGATGATGATGTGATTAAATTTTTTGTAGTTGTTTTTCGATGATTTCGTACAATGGTCGCTGAAGGACGACTCGATGAAATACTTGGCGTGGAACTCTTTCGGCGTGTATAACCAATCGTTGTCGTTTGTTCGATTGATTTGACGTGAGGAGAAGGTTTTTTCTGACCGCAACATCGAAATGGAAAGGAACGTGTAGTGTTAGAAGAAAATGAGGTAGTCGATTGTGGCGCTATTTGAGTAACTTTTTGTTCGCGTTCAACGAGAAACCGACGAACAGAAGGCGATAAGATCTCCGACGATGATGACGATCGTGTGATCGAAATGACCGGCGGTGGGGGACTATTGGTGACACTCGTGATTGACTTCTATGTAAATGACGACAACGACAACGATAAAGAACCGACAATCGGCGCACACACGAGAGTGTTGTTGCTTATTGTTGACGAACTACACGCGGATGAGGGCGTTTCTTTTTCTCTCTCTCTCCTTCTCTCTGTCGCTCTCAGTCGCTATTACTGGTATTGCTACTACTATTGCGGCTGCTGCTGCCTGCTGCTGCTGCTGAAGATGATGCGAGAAGCGGAGAGCAATGACGATGCTCCTGGTGACTGTGGCACCCAGCGCAACGCCACAATACAGCGCGCGACAAGGAACAGAACGGACGAATACAACAACACGAACGTACAACGGTCGCCTCCTTTTCCTTTTTTTTATTTAGCTGTCGGTTTTCTTTTTCTCTTTTTTTTCTTTCTTGCCTTTTTTCCTACATGTAACGTATGAAAATAAAGTATCGATGTCGGTAGCAAAAGGAAGATGTGTGCATGCATGTGTATTTGGCGGTGAGGACAAGCGAACGAGCATCAACAACGATTTTTGCGTTCTTGCTTGCTTATTACTGCAACAGTTTTCATCAATGCTATTCTAGCAACCCTAACTATCGAACCGATAATGATGAGGCAAAGACAGTAATATATCAGAAAACGTCGTCATTGCTTTAAACGTACTCAACTAACATGGGATGTCAGCAAAAAAAAAAGAAGAACCTACTTGCTCTGTTCTTTACTCAAGGTCGTCTCTCGTTTTTTCTCTCTTCATATTGCGACATACATTTCCCTACATACAAAAACTTGTGTGTCAATCAGTGTGTCGAGCGAAAACGAGTCTCGCTCGTCTGCTTTTCTAATGATCAACACCAATCGCATTAAAAGATAATCAAAATGGACAAGAAAAAAGAAAACGAGAAAATAACATTGTCACCTAGTATTTTCAAGATAAAAAATCATTTTTCTGTCAGATGTTTTCTGCCACCGACTTGACTAACGTATCACAAACAATTAGTCATTCAAAATATCACTCGTAAACAAGTATTTTCCTCTTTAGAAACTTCAAACGAGAGAAAACCTAGATGAGCCCTTTGACTCAGCAGGATTATTCATTAAATATTTAAATAAATCCCTCTAAGTAGGGATTCTCTCCTTTCATCGGATGAGACTTTTGTCAAAATATCAACTGATTTTACTTGCGATTTCAAATGACTTACAATATGGCACTTGGCGATAGGAATCTTGCAGCCATTGCATCGAAAATGTATTAAATAATAAAAAGTCTTTTCTCTTTTTTGTGTATTGATCGGCAAAAGAAAAGGGCAATCTAGGCGTTTTATATTTCTCTCGCTTTTCGTCGATGCCTCCCTATAATAAATCATTATTTCGAGTTCAGACTCTTTTGATTATCGACGATCAGTACAAAGCACCAATAATAGATTTACGAGAACAGGTAGAAAGAAGAAAGACATTTGAAGTGAATCAAGCTTTGAATGAGATACGCAATTACCATTCTATTAGGAGAGAGAGAGATAGGGAGTAAGAAAGCTACGAAAAGTTTCAAAGTTATCAGTTCTCTGCTATTCAACGACATAATTCATCTAGTCAATATTTGATAAGTTGATCTGAATTTTCATCCTCTCTCTCTCCCCTTGACCCTTTTCATGGTAATCTTTAAATTATAAACCTCTATTTATCATCGTGTTGCATAGTATATTCGAGTTAATATTGAAACGCTTTTATTTTGCGTGCAATACGATCTTAAGAACTAATCATCCGATCACGAAAAGTATCTCTTGTGTATCCAGGACTGAGAATGAGTACGCAAGAATGGAGTCTTTGCTGGATGTCAACGTTCATTTCCTGAATAAAACAATGAGAATTGAAAATTTGGAGTGTAATTAAAAAAAATAAAATATAGACTTTCAATTCTCTAGCTGTTCTTCTCTTTCAATTGGCAGTGGGCCCATGTGAAGTTAAAAGAGAAAGTCACCGAGCGCCACAAGGAAAGTATAAAAGGGAACGAGAAAGTAAGTAAGATAAGTGTTTTGACTAGAAATGAAATGAAATAAAGAAATACTTTTGCTCACTTATCACGTTTGTTAGTTACTGCAGGACCAATTGAATGACGTCGTTCAGACAAGGGTAATGCAAGAAAACGCCGATAAAAGTCCATAATGATGATTACGAGAAAAACGGTAATTACAATGAGAAATTAATTTTCTTCTTTGACTGTTACAAATATGAACATACACATACAGACACACATACAGATGACGGAAGGAAAGTGCTAATGAGACACGAATAAAAGTATTACAGAGAATATACCCAATGCTAGTATAAAGTTATTTTCTTCTTCTTCTTCTTTTTTTTTATTCTAGTTTCTTCCTCTTCTTCTCGTGTGCCTTATTATGATGTCAAACATCAATTTATTAATAGCAAATAAAAATATCTCACCTGATAGATTCAACGTCGACGGTATTTACAGATGTATTTACATCAGCATCTCGTGTAGATAAATGTGAAACAACGTTTCCCCATGAATGCCGACGTTCAGGATTAAACAATGGAACAATAAGAAACCGACGATTCGTAGACGGAGACTCACGCTTGATATCTTCGCCTAACGACATGATGAGAAAAGACGAACTGGCTTGTTGGCCTTTAGATCTCTCTTCTTCTGATAATCACTAAACGTTTTGGAATAATAATAGAACACGTACAACTTTGTGCACACTATTGCATTCTTTAATCTATCGTATGAATACAAAATAGGAACGTCGTATTTTAGATCGATTGTAAAGATTCTTGGAGAAGAACAAGAAAAGAACAAAAGCCGAGTGTGTTTCATCGAAAGACGCGAAAACAGGCACAATGAGGGAGACAAAAAAAGAAGAACGACTTGCAAGAAAACGTTATTTGAGAGAACGGATGTTACTAATTTATATGGGGGAGAGTTGGTACTTCATATATTCTCTCTCTCTCTCTCTCCCTTTCATATTTTTAATAATATTGTTATCGTGCTTCTAGTGACAATGTTATGTCAGAAGACAAAAGGAGTGCGTTTGAAAGATCTTCTAATCGGACTGGTTTTACACCTAATAATCGATGGCGAATTGATTCGATGATAGTTAATTAATTGCAGCACAATTAATATAAATCATCGCAGGATAGAATTTGCCTGCCGACACTTCCTGCACGCAGTTGAATGTGTTTGTGCTTGGTTCTTTCTCAGATAGTTTTTTTCTCTCACGCTCTATCTTATCACTGATCTTCTGTCGTTCTCCGTCGATCATGTGTGATTTTTTCAGTCGACTAAGTTTGATTATTATCTCGCGCACTGTGTAGATTTTCTCGATTGGTTTTATTAGAGAAATTTAACTTAAAAGAACTGAATTAGTCTTTCCCTTGGAGACATAAGAAAGAATGCATCGCTATCTCTCGCGCGCGTCATCATTCGAAATCTTCGGCAGTCTCCGATAAAAGCGTAGACAGTGATCTATGCTTTTTCTTTTCAAGCATCATTAGTGTATTGAAAAAAAACAAAATAAGTAAACGAATATAACGCATCAATGTGACTTAATAGGAAAAGAGAGAGAGAAGGAACATTAAGATAATAATTTTTTCCGACGTCAACGACTTGAAATCAAAATTTCGAGCAAGAAGAGGCTTATTTACGATCGGTGATGATTTTAACCGGCATAGGTGAAATACCAATGAAGTTCTATTTGTCTTCTGCAGCAATCGACGAGAAAAGCGCTTTACTCTCCTTCAGTTTTTCAGTAATATGCTAAATGCTTTTAATTTTTAATAGAGATGCGTGTCGATGGAATGTCTTAGCGATAAAAGAAGTTCATTGACATTTAGACAGCACTACGACAAAGTTTTTCTATTGTTGACTCGGAGCAAGAATATGTCATTCAGTTTGTTATTCCAGTTAGAAAAACATGTATATCATCTTGATTACAAGCAATTTCTGTTGGCATATTGATAAATTAGGAAAATTTTTCTTCTTAGATGAAAGCGAAGACAAAACAACATCGAAATACCTTCGTGTGTATGCGCTCACACGAGCCCAACGTTGTCGACTAGTCGCAGCAGCCATGGACGCGTTTCAACTCATATAAATGAGACGATTCGAAGACGATTGTTATTTGAGGTAGAAAATGAGTAGTGTTATTTCACACTCGTTCTCCGTTTTCTTCCTCTGTAAGTGTAAGTTTTTCCAAATAATATTGGGAAGCATCCTTCGAGATGGAAGAATCGATGACGCGTTCATTTATATATTTTTCCTAGCCGTGATGTTGATACAACTACTTTACTCTCTCACTAAGTATCTATCCAAAAACATATTCGTAGCGCGGCAACTAAGAAGCAACTCATCAGCGTCTTTTTTTTGTCTTCGAACAGGATTCCACGGCGAAGAAAGATATTATTCTTTTCTTTATTTGACGTTTATTAAAAACTTTCGAGATCGTCGACCTCCTGGGTCGAAATTATATATTCATTTTGGACGAGAAAATATGATCGATAGTACTTCGTTTGCATGCGAAAACTTTTTTATGACCCAATTCAACAAAATATCATCGATGATGCACTAGTGGCACAAATCTTCCGTAGCGCTTAGATAGGAAAAGAAAAACGATGCGAGACGCTATTAATAATTTCTTCACATATGAAGAAAAATATTAGTTTTTCTTTCTTTTTGAAAGATTTCTTTCTACACCAGTGTAATAAGACGACATTGACGTCATAGGGCTGCTTAATTTCAAAGAAGAAGTAAAATCAGTATGTTGAAGTAATCAAATCTGTTTGCACAATGTTTGACTCAATTAGTTTTCAAGTATGAATACAAAGGAAAAGTAAGTAACATATACAAAACAAGCGTCATGGTGAAAATTTCAAGCCTACGTCAACTCAGAAGTAAATGATAGAAATGTTGACATATGTTCTCCTAACGGATGCAGACGGACCTACTCGGTAGCACTGAACAGCAGAATAATATTCACTTGATTATTATGGTATGTGTCTACTATTTTGAGTATCACCAAGCAGATGGAGAAAATAAATCGATTCCGTTTGTTGACTCGCAGCTATTCTGGTCGCGGTACAAACGGCATGGTCATGTGAGAAAGTACTGAAGATTTTCATACGCTTTCATTCCCGTAACCTTAATATACGATAGTTACGATCAATTCTAAGGACAGGTTCTGGTATGTACTTGATGATATTTGTTGCTTTGAGGATAAAAAAAGGATATCAAGATCAAGGTGGAACAAATGTTTCATATCAAAGTCAAAATCCGTATTCGTACATAGCAGAAAATGACATAAACATATCAATTATTCTCAAGAAGAATGTATTACACATAAATCAGTAAGAAATAGTACTCAAAATTTCATGTGCATGATCGAAAAAGTACAAGATACCATAAATCAAAAACATAAATGTCGAAAAACCTTGACAGTTAAATGTGCAATATATCAAAATGTACCTTACCCGATTAGGATTAGTGTTTGCTTTCAATACTCGAATATTTGGCAAAGAAAGCGAATCACACCAACTCGGAAGTCAATATCAGCGTGAAATCAATCGATCTTAAAACAAAACTAAGTGTCGGTTGTTTTTGCTAGACCAACAAGCACATTTTCTCACTTGCACTAGAATCTTATCCCACTAGATACGTATTTCGGAGTTAATCGCCTGTTAACATATGATTAAGGAAAGATTTTACGAACTGTGAGACATGTCGACAGAGACTTATTATTCTAATCACAGGAAATAGAAAGACAAAAATTCAAGTAGTTTTTGTCTGTGAAAAAGAACTAATTATATATAATCGAACAGATTTACCGTGTGTGTCGCCGATGATGGTGATAGTGTATTCGAAGACCATTGACTTTCAGATAAGACATCGGTGGATGTAAAGAATTATTTGCAATGATTGTCGATGGAAGTGTCGTTGTGCTTGTCGATATCGACACATGCTGGCCAATATTAGCTCGACTGAATTTTGCAAGTGATGGCGAGCATGATTCCAATGGTGATCGATTGAGAATGTTGTTCGGAGGCCGAGGTTCTTGACGTGGTAGACAAAAATCACGAAATGCGGCTGGTTGTGGTAGAACTTGGAAAATAGGTGACCATGCCGCTGGAACGAGAGGAATAACGAACCGGCGAGAGGATTTGAGTATGGGTCGTTGTGGTGAAATTATTGTCGGACTTAACGAGGATCGAATGGAAACGTCACTCCATCGTTGATTACTACTGGTCGTACAAGTTGAGCACAAACTCGAACTTGTTAAATCATATCGACGACGGGCGCCAATCATGTTTATAACGAGATTTTTCGTTTTCTCTTCGATTTGAAGTTAATAGTACACTTCCATCTATCGAAAAGCTTGAATCGACATCATGTATAATCAAGTTGAATCAATGAGCACTTTGTCAAGCTGATTATGAAACTAATATGGTTAAGAATAACTTACCGTTTTGTTTTCTTTTCTCCCGAAAGACTCGTTCAAGTCATGTTTCTAGAAGAATAAGAATAAATATGTTGAGATATGTCAGCTACTAATGATGAGAGCGTAGGAAGAAATAGAATTCGATGTTCTGTTGGACATCTCTCAGTTAGACTCGCAGCAATTACAGATTTCCGTTGTGTTTCACTATACTTATAATAAACTGAAAACATGCACATACACTTAATATTCTTCGCTTTCTTCTTTTTTTTCTCTGTTCTTCAAACAGACTGGTAGCATGTATTGAGTTAACTCGAAAATATATGCATCTCCGGGGTTTCACACATTTTGTATCTGTGATCTATATAAATATGCAATGATATGCATCGGAGTAGATCATCTCGCATTGAAATTTCCGGAACTGAACTGGTGACATAAGAGGAGCTAAAAGACACCAGTATCGATTTATGTTTACTTTTCTACAATCGAAATAACGACCTTGAGCGTATTTCTCCTAATAGAACGATAATTATCTCGACGAGAGAAAAGAAACCAGATCATGTATATTTGCCCTTTACTCTAAATGTATTTGTCGTTGTTGTTGATTTGATAAAAAAAAACAGGCAATTAATGTCAGTCAGGAATAGTAAGTCAAACATATATTTTCTAACCACCATTGGGTTTAACTTGTATGTTGCATGTCCATTTCGAATGAGAAGGTTTAGCAGTCAAGAAAGAAGTTAATCCATACGCTTCATTGCTGTCTGAATCGATCAATTGAAAGTGCGAGAAAAGGAGATATTAAAGGTTGAAGGAAAAAGAATGAAGAACGAAGAAATATTGAATTAGTAATCTGTAATAATTAGAAGTACTGTTTTCCAATTTTTTCTGTGATTACGACTATTAATTTTGCGTAATTACTACGCAAGGCTTCGACACAGAAGGCGTTTTAGAATGGTACATTTTTTTCTTTTACTTTCTCGCGACGAATCTTCTGGTTGATTTCAAAAGAGCTTCAGCATAAAAGTTCTTTCTTCAGATAATACAACGAACAAGGGTGGTAAGGACATCACTTGACTTCCAACAAAAGAGCCAGGGTATAGAACAAGCAAACCCTAATTAATTGAGCCCTTTTCCAATTAACGTAAAAGTTTAATGAGCGAATATCTTCAAGCGCAACTTTATTTATCGAGAGAGAAGGTAAACAAGCAACGACAGAGATCTTTCGAAAGTTCTTAAACAGCTTCGATACAATCACGAGGACAACTGCCACAACATTTCTCGCTCCCGGAATAGTCCCTGTCATCTGTACAGCAAGCTAAACAAATACCAACATCGTCCAATCATTTCGGACATGAGCCCAACTTTGTGTTAGTTCTCGGTGTGCTCTGTTGTGCACGCTGGCAACAGACAGCACAGGAGTCGTTGAGTCCAATGATACACTCATGTGTTGATGGCAGTCTTGACGGTTACTGCCACGCCCACAAAATTAACTTTCAAGTGGTCTACCATCATTTTTACATGGATTTACTTGCTTCTTTCGGCAGAAGTAATTGCAAGTAGAATGAAAGAAACGAGCATAACCTTCAATAAAACCGTCTTTATGCTTCGCCGATAAAACTATTTGAATCCTACGAATATCACGTTTTCCAGCTTCAATCTATACATCGATACATTCATGTGACGATCTAGCTGGTGACAGCGGGAACAATCTGCATTCTCTATCTAATGGAATATGATTAATTGTAACGACACAATGACACGTTGTAATGTATAAACAATACTGAAAAATACTCCCAATCAAAGACTTGATGTTGTTTTTGTGATACTGTTATGAGACTATAATGTAAATGTATGGCTCATGACAGTTGATGCGGCTCCTATTCAAACATTATGTTAAAAATAGTCATATCTATTTTGTTAGCGTAGGAAAAACTATAAAATTGTTCATTAGTGATTTTATTTGAGAATTAACATAGACACATTCATGAAAGATTTTGATAGATAAGCATTGAAGTTATTTCCGAGGACAACAGACAGCATAACTATTATTTGGTGCGATGACACATTGATGAGTCGAGGGACAATCCTTTCGATTTGGACCTTTTCCACAGAAGTATTTGTCGAGTGGAACTTTATTGTCAACACACGGACTTTTCTTGCATGCACAGATAGCACAACCATCTTTGTCAAGCTTGTATCCAAATGGACATGTCATTCGACAGTGTGGAATCTTGCAATCTGCTTTTGAACTTGTAGCAATAGCCACTGTTGTAATTGCACAGAGAAGTAAAATGATTGTAAGGCGTTGCATGTTGAACGTTGCTGACTATGGTATACTTATCACGATAAATCTATTCGCTATTTATACAAGAAGATAAAGTCCATCGAGGTGTGTGCGTGTGTGGATGCCTTTGTTTCCAGTGAAATGTCACATGACAAGCGCATTACAGCGATGAATATTTCGTCTATGTCGACAACAACACAAAGAAAGTTCTAAGATCACCCTGGACACGAAGAACAAGCATAGATTCACCAAACAAAGTATGTTCTCGTCGTGACGTTTCAAGTCAATAGTCGAAAGGAATAAATCTTTATGTAGATGAATTCACATATATAACGTATAATGAAAACATCGGAAACAACAAATATATATTGTGTTTTTTTTTGTTTTGTAACGACTATAATGGTCGATTGCGAACAATGTTTTGCAAAACATCCGGTCGGAAAATATAGTATGCCTTGTTTCTTATCGTGCTTTCATTGAACAAATCATTATTTCTTATTCCCGTGATATTACCGATACATATCAAATGGTTAATTTGAACTAAATATATAATTAAACACAAGAAACTCTCATTCGTCTTTCACCTTCGTTATGTGAGAATGTTTTCACGCTAATTAAAATAATCATGGGTATGCCATACCTAATCACCTTCTATCTTGTTAAATTGTCGTTCATAGATGTGCGCTTTGCGAGGGTGTTAATGAGAAGCATTCACATCATTATCGAAATAAGCTTAGAGAAAAACATCTTATCTTACAGCTGTTCGGAAGCAGAATAGGATGTTTATGTCGCACGATCAGGTCGATTTTACACACGTTTGATGGAGTCGAACTTTTATTGCTTAATCGATTGAATTCATCCACGAACAACTCATTGACCATTGATAAAGAAAACAAATAAAGAGAGGAGAAAAAAAATAATGGTTACAGCATTGAACAACATCTAATCAAGACTGTACATTCGGGAATACTGCTCAAGACAAGAAAAAGAAGAAGAAGAACATACGACAATGAAAAAAAACAAAACCGGTGACCAGTAACAGAATTACGCACGATTATCTCTCGTTATTTATTTTCCGAATTACATTCGCGTCTTCAACTGCATCTTAATTCTGTAATTAACAACAGAATGTACGAACATACAACGAAAGATCACATACACAACATTAAAATTAAGATTTTTTTCATTTAGACTTTTTGGATTGATTTCTTTTGTCTGTAATTAAACTTTTTTTGGCCCGTATTCCATCGCTTCGTCATCCCATTCTAATTGATGATGATGTTTTTTCGCATGGATTTCGTTGATTTCGTACGCTTCATCCTCCTCAGATGAATATTCATTTGGACTATGCTCACCGCATTCTTCATCATCTTCTGAACTTGTACCTTCGTATTCATCCATAATCTGATCCATATTCTGTACATTCATTGGTGGGACGGATTTCTAAGAAAGAAACGAAATGATTTCGAGCTAATTCAACAGTTTTTCACTGACCTTTGTTTCCTCTAATGGATTAACAATGATGTTGAGGCCAATATCGTCCTCCCATTCCATTTGAGAATGCATGTCATCGCCGGGATTGGACACTGTGCAACGTTGTTTATGAGCAGATCGAATACGGACAACAAGATAAAGAATCAACACACTAGCAATGCTAACCGAGACACAAATACCAATGGCAATAGGCCAAGCTAGAAACACAAATCAAGAAAACATGTCAGACGAAAATATTTACGTATTTCATCAATTCACCTATCTACTAACATCATATCTAATAAACTCATTCATCGGTATAATCATGTTAATGATCATTACTTTCCTTTTGATCACTTATGTAATCGCTCAGTAACATTTCTTTCTTATCACTTGTTGTTTCTATCCTATATCGTTGATGCTATCAACGCAAATTGAGCGATCAGTTAAGCGGCAACAATAAGAAAAGGACTTATATGTAGAGCATACAGTTAAAGTTCATGATTTTCTACGACTTCTAATGATCGAAGGGCTAATTAATAGAGCATGGCATTTGTCTGATCGAAGGTCAAGGCCGAATTTCATCGATTGAAAACTTACTCGGAGCTGGTGGGAGAAACATTTGAGTAACACAAAAACTCAATGATAAGAGCAAAGTACGGCACCACTGTGAATCTTTGCCTTTGGTAATGATAATGACAACAGTTGAGAGGATGCTTGACGTCGAAGAATTCTGACGACAACGAACAGAAGAAGAAGAAGAAAAAGAAGAAGAGAGAAAATATTGTCCAACGATGAGGCGCGCGGACGCAAGTATACGCGATTATTTTACAATAGACTTGCATTCATTTTTCTCGTTTTTTCCCCTTCGTATTTCTTCATCTACGCATAAGCCTAAGAGATAATTATAAGCAAGAACGAATAGGAAAAATAAGAAGAAGGAGAAGATGAAGCAAGTAGACGAGGAAAAGGAAAAGCGTCTTCCTTTTCTTCTCTTCTGCAGAACGATGTCAGAATAATAATAATAATAAGAAGAATGTTACATATTGAGCAAACTCAACGATTCATTTATTACATTAGTTCTAGACTCAATGTCTAGTCTATCTGAACAATTTGATCGATTTCTGCTCAATTATTTCTCTTGTTTTCTTCTTCTCATATCAAGTCTGGTGTTGATATCATGTTCTTCTTCGACATCTGTACACACCGAACATGTAAACACAAGTTATTCGACTAGTGGGAAAACAAATGGGCAATTGTCTCGTAAAGAATATCAGTCATCACTTTGCACTCAGAGACTTATAAACAATCTCGTTTTTTACCTGTCAGTTTTTCCGCAGTCGAAGAACTGCTGACATCGATGTCGAAGAGATTCTCTTTCATATCATCATTATCCACGTAGAGTTTGTTATTGAGAACTGCCGCGGGTGGCGGCGCCGGTTGTGTTTGTTTTTCAACATGCATCTAAGAAGAACGAGAGAAGTAAGTGATATTTTTATGAGAAAATTCCTATTTACTTACTCGAACACGGACTTCGTTTGTTGTGATTTGTTCTTGAGCTCCGATACACACGAGGGAAAACGTTCGATCGACGTATTTCGCCGGCGTTTTAGATATGAACGCGGTTTGTTGCAAGATAAATTGATAAGTGTCAATGGAACCGAAGCCTAAATAAAAATGTATTCTCGGTATTCCTCTCCTTCGTTTCAATACAATAGGAAACAAGAAGTGTAAGCCCAAGAATTGTTGAAGTTTAGTCTTTAGCGACGAGTTTAATCGATCCGGCATAGTTTTCTTTCGAAAAGCACTCCTGATCAAATTGCAATGTCGCGGACAAGTGGATTCGAACCTTTCACTCGACTCATATCTGACTATTCGACTAAACGTACCTGACAAGACTAGACCAGTTTGTGTTAGATCTTTTCGAATGTTATTGATTTCAAGATTTTCATCTGGTACAATGAAATGTTCACCATTGGATAAGTCTGGCGTTGTGTTTATACTGCAGTCGCTGATATCTACTTGATCTTTCTTCAACGCATCGGTAAAAATGGACACATGTTGAAATAAATAGATTCCTTGATTGAGCGCCTCTTCCGTTGGATGAAGATTTGTATCACCTTTGAGTTCAATGTTTGTCGGACGAATTTGTTCATCAATTGCTAAACGCCGCGAGAACGTTGGCAAATTGTATGTATAGTTTTCACCTAGACATTTGACTGCCGTTTCAATCGAAACGCTTCGTTGACCGGATGGGCCAATAGGTTCAAATGTATTGCGATAAACAACATGTTTCAATAACTGTTCCATTGATTCGCTCGATTCGGCACGTAATGTCCATACAGATCGATTAACATTGCTGACAAATTCCTACAAACAATAACATCATATGTACACATGATTTGTCTTCAGGCAAGCTAAAATATCATACAAGGCCAGCTTCTTTTTGAATATCAGGCATGTCAAGATATTGTTGACAGTTTTGAACACAAGTACTCGAACGTGATAGTTCTTCTTTTTGTTGAATGACAAGGCCTGATAATTGTCCGGTGAAATATTGAGCCATGCGGGCAAATCGACCTAAATTATTTGAAAAATATGATGTTGTCAACTAAATAAATCTATCAAGTCTAATCTAATCAAAGTGTCAAGAAGAACTTTGTTTTTTTTTCTCTTGATGATATATACGCTCAATGACGTGCGCATATTTCTCATCACGAAATCATTGCTGGCATGATTTTTTCTCGAAGTTTGTTTTTCGCAAAATAGAAAATAAGTTCCGAGCAATTAGAAGCCAACGAATCGAGAGGAAACTAAGAGGCACTTTAGGAAAAGTTTTGTTTTTGACATAAACATGATATGGACTAAAAGCACAATCACATCTATGCTTACCATGCCAACAAGCGCCGACAGAGAAGACTGTGTCACCCGTTTGTTCGATAATGGGCAAGGCAAAATCATGCACAACTCGATAATTATCATCCCCTGGTACAAATAATTGGTTATCAACATACAAATCGACCTAAAACATTCGGATGGATGATGTACTGCGAAAAGCGCGTCTAGATTATACCGTATTTGGATAATCAACAAACAATTTGTACGAATGCCATTGACTGTCGTTTAATTGGGACAGTTTCCACACCCATTCGGAGCTATAAACATTCTTGTCATTCGATGAAACGGGTCCCTTGCGTATTAATAATTTCAAATAGCCACTTTGAACTAATAAGGCTGCATGATGACGATTTTTCACTAATAAATAATTCAAACAAATTTCGCGAATACTTCTTTCTAATCAACATTAATATTTACTCACATTTTTCATCGCTCTTGCAAAATATATGTTCTTTTTCATTACTTTCGCTATTCGAATGTTTCATCCACATACGGATTGCGAATGTATTCTTCAACTGACCGGAAAACTCTGTCTTTTGCACAATTGATGCTTGATTAAGACCATCAAATGACATGTAAATTGATTGCGGTGCTCGATCCGAATCCACATCTTTCGGGACGAACACATATTCATGATCGTCAAGGGCTACAAAAACAAGAGCAGATAAGTAGAGAAGTGATTTCCTATCGAGACTTACTGCATTGTTCAAGAGCGCATCCACTATCGATTCCATTAGTGTCCAATGTCACTGTACTGACGATATTTTCAACTGCACATGTTTCATCGCATGTATCAACGTGAACCGTATCAAATATATGCGTATGATCGGAGCGAATAGTTAGTTTGCTTGGATTGTCGTCTAAACAGAGGCAAATTTAATCGTATGGGATGCTACGATGGTTAATGTCAAAGATAATTATGTCGATATCTGGTTAGTTTTCCATTCGGATGCTGATCAAATAGAAATATAGATCTAGAACGGCTCGATCTCTTCAAAGGAAATTCACCCAGTGTATTCTTTTATTTCGATGAAACTCGCTATTAAATAATAGATGAGAAAGAGAGAGGAGGCAAGGTAGTAACACTCCGGAAAGCCTGACTTTCATAGATGTTCGATGGTGCATCGCGTGAATTATGCGAGAGTTTTCCAATTATTAAGCAATCAACGATTCCATTAATTTCTTAAGTGTCTGACAGAATAGTAGTCGGAAACGGTTATTTCCTGTGAACTTTGATAAGTTTCTTCGTGTTCAAAAGGAAAACCCCTGTTTTCTTTGCTCATACCTGTGATTCTTGGCTTGCATGATTTAATAATTTTAACCGTCACACGTGCTGGCTCACTAATTAATTTCACGTTTGCGTTTGATGATGATGGATAGCAATCGACTGCAACCACATCGAACTCGTACTTGTCACCAGTTAACGGTTTTGATATTGAAATCGACCCGTTGGAATCAATTCGAAACGGCACATTAGCTGTTTTGATTTGATAGTCGCAAACGCGATGATTACTATTGAGACAATCATCATCGGTTGCTTCGACCTTTAAAAGTAAATATCAGACATGTTTATTAACGTTCTTCTGTTTTTACATACACGACATGACGAACAAACTTGATCTTGATGTAATTTAAATAGATAATTTTTATGCGTAAATACTGGAGGATACTCATTAACATCATCAACAGTTATGATGACAGGGGATCTAGAATATTGAAGAATGTTCTAATTGAATTTCATTAGTAGGACAATCTACCTTTCAGAATAACGCCGTTGGTTACCACTGGCACAATCAAAAGCACGAATGAACAAACGATAGGTTTGTTTAATCTCACAATCGACAGTTTCAATGTTGGATTTCAGTTGAATGACGGCATGTCCATTATTTAAATCGACATCGAAAGGGAGATTTGATGTTTTGTCATTCATTTGATCGTCATGATTGTGTCGCGATAACTCGTAACCACAAATTTTTCCTATGAGCAAACAAAACTTTGTTGAATCAAAGAATAATAGGTTCTATTTGACTAATAACTCACCATTTGGAGAGTTGATTGAGTCAGCATCGGATGCATGCAAAGGTGGTTGAAGTTGAACAATGCGTTCATTTTCTTTAATGTGACCAGTATATGCATCGGCTGAGAGAACAGGATCAAACCAATTCGGTTTTGTTCTTGTTTCACCGACGGTCACATAAGGAGTGGCCAGAACTAAATCGATGAAAAAAGAGTAGGTATCAATCAACCTTGGACGAGTCAAATGCAAAAGTCATCATACCAGCTACAATCACCAGAAGATTTGACCATAACATCGTCATTGAGGTAGATCTAGAAATAATTTATCAAATTAGCGATAAGTATGTAGTACAATGTAATGGCAACGCGTGAAATGATGCTTGTGTTGTGTCCCCTTACTTGTCGATGGAATGGGAGCGAATGAAGAAGAGAGAAAAACACAGCAAAGAAGTTCTCTCTTTTTTTTATTACAGCTCATTTCGTCTGGTCTGTCGTCGTTTTTTTTCCCTTCTTCCACTCTCTTTTTCTCCCTTCCTGTTCCTCATCAGCCATCATTCTTCGAATTCTCTACAAGCAACTCGACAAGCAGAATTTCATCATCCATACTACTTTTTTCCTGACATTCACATAGCGTTTCCTTTTCTTCTTTCTCGTTTCTGATTCTCAGAAGAGAAAATGTGAGCGCAAACAAAAAAACTAGAAATATATATATTAGATAAAATGAGAAGTAAAACTGACGTTACCAGTGACGTCTTTTCATTCCTTTGGCAGCCGTTGTGTGAATAAATAGGAAATCCAAATAACACCTACTTTTTTTCTTTATTTATAATACAACAACAACAACAGAAAATTGAAAGAACGCGTTTTTTCTCGTCAACAATAATAGAGAAAGTTCCTTTCTCTCCTAGTCGAAAGATCCTGTGACACATCGCACGACATTTCCCTCGCAACTGTAAGGTGTTTTGAGGATGTCTCTTAGCGAGACTGTCTTCTCTTCACGTTTGGTTACATTGCATGTATCCAAATGATTTGTCTCAAACATATCTTCGGTTTGTTTCTCCTCAGGGATGGCATTGTCATTGTCATTGATTGTAATCACATTTGCTTGTTCGATTAGTTGTTTTGGTAGCAACATCGTTTCCCCTTCTAATGTTTCGCCAACGAGATACGTTGTGTTCGATTCAAGTGCGTCCCGATAAGTCGTTTCTAATGCCACTATGCACCGTTTCGAATCTTCAATTATTTTATAATGAGAGGATTTTGGGTACTGAGGTGTTTTTCGTGCAAGACTCAATCTTAAATTGTCAAGTCGCTGATTGAAATGTGAAGCAACAGATGGAATATATAAAGCCGATTTGCAATATGCCTGAAGCTAATGAAAACTTGCTAATAGATATTTTGATTTTGTCGAGAGAAAATTCTTCTTACCTGACGAATTTTATTTCTCATTTTCAAATTGTTATTGATCTGAGCCAAAAGTAACTCGGCATTTTCGCGTTGATCGAGTACGACATCAATGCGTTTAATCAATGGCAGATTCTTGTTGGAAATCCGTTTGTTTTTCCAATAGTTATAGATCTTGGTCGACGTCGATGGGTCGTAATCTTGAGGACACTCATAGTTTAGATGAGAGGGATGAATGAATGTATGGAAATCTTCGTAGCATTTTGAAGTCCACTCGTCAGATTTAAGTTTCTGGCGATGATAAACTGTGAGTGGAATTGAAGGGAATTGACAGGCAGAATCATCGTTAGTGCTGGTAATTAATGTTGAGTCAGGTTCAGAACGTTGGCGAGCTCCTTGCGAATGTTTGAGACAGTAGGCAGTAAACTGAGAACGTGAAGAAGCCGTTCCGTCGGATGACGTTTGTTGGACGTCGAGAAAATAACCAGCCGAAAGACCACAAGTGACCTTCAAGTATAGAAAAAAAAGAAAAGATTCCATAAGCTCGTAAAATCATCGATTATCTATTCAAGAATTTGCTGTAAAAATACGCTCAGGTTGAAATGGAATGTTTTCGAACACTACGTTGTATGACATGAAGGACTGTGAAAACTAAGATCAAACTCAGTTAGAAATACATGGCAAATCGAAGGAATGAAGTGGCTTATTAAAATAATCTATTCACTTAAACAGGCAATTAAATCCTACTCAGAAAAGCATGAACTCGTTTATGCAATCTCTTTTCTCAAAGGAAAATAGCTATTCTAATCCAATGTATTAATTATGAATATCCAACGTTCGTATGATCATGGTTCCTAGAAATATGAAACCAAGAAGAACATTAATCAGAAAACAGTGGAATAGAAATGAGGGTGAGGGTGACATTTTTCCTAGCAGCGAAGTCTAAACGAAAAGCATACATGAAATGGTGTTCGACAGTTTTTATGAGCACATTGAACACAAGCACCTTCAGACGTTGAACACACAACACATCGAAGAGTCCACCGAGCATGTGGAATTTTATCTAAATTTAATATAGGCTCCTAGAAATATCAACATCTCAATTAGTATTGCCAAAGAGTTTTTTTTCAAATGAATAACTACCATCTTGACGTAATCACCAAATTTTAATTCCGGCAGCCAAAGTGCGCATGTTAAATGACACCAAACTGTTCCGCTTGGTGTGCATTTCATTGGCCCGCCAAATCTAAACCGAGCCATTCGGGTCCGAAAATCGAAATTCAGATTAAAACTACTTTGGGCAAAGTAAGCACGCTGGTCGTCTGACAATTGAACACGGTTTACAAAGCCACGTGCCGTTCGGTATAGATGATATTCCATAACAATTCTGATGTACACATGCGTTACATCGCTCACAGAAGACCATTTCATTGCCATCATCAGCGTCAGGTAGTAGACAGATATCACATACAATGTCTTCGTCGTCACAAGATTGTTGTTTTAGATGTAAACGTATTTTCTCGGCTGTGTAGTATTCAAGAATGATAATAGCATTTTCGAATTCTTCTTCTGTTATTTGTCGTTGTTCTACAGAGAATGGAAGAACAAACAGAATTTCTTGAGCCTATGTCGAAACTGAATAGCATACGTCCAGCGATTTTCGTCGATTCATTCAATGCCTCGAAGTATTTTAGATCATCATCATCCATGTCATAATCCAGTTCGTGCATGACTACTTTCATTATCAACTGAGTTGAATTTCTAGAATAAGAGAAAAGATTAGCTGTATCATCCGGGATTTTGCCTTTCAGCGACACAATGGAAGCGTGTTAATCTTACGCATTTAGCATAGAGTAGAAATGTAAATACATACGTTAGTTCCTCATTTTGATCATTTAGATTCGTACTGGATTTCTTTCGTTCGAAGATATTTGGTAATAATCGATAGGGTGTGATCAATGATGTTTGACTTGCATGATTAGCACAATTATTTGTCGATTGATTCACGGGAATAGTTAATTTATACCATTCAGCTTGTCGATCAGTGACCGTCCAGTACGATGAGTTCATATTTAATTTCGCTGTTTTAAAAACCAGTTTATCGATGATTACTGGTGATGAACGTCTTTCTTTCTGATGATTATCGTTCTCTTTCGTTATGTCTGATAGATCATCGTTCGTATGAGCATTTTCATTGAGGATAGTGGTTGTTAATGAACTACTCCGTAAGTTCTGTTGAACATTCTTTTGAGCAAAAAGAGAATAGAGTCACTGGATGAAACAAAAGAACTCGTTTGATGGAAACTTTACTGTTCGTCGTCGTTGTGATCGTCGATTAGAATATGTCGTTGACGATTGTGAATCAACTCCAGTGCTACTCGTCGATGACGATTGCGAATCGATTTCTTGGTTGCTGCTATCTGTCATTGGCATTGATATTCTTTTCTAATGTTAAAAGTCGATTAGAGGACGATTGAAAAAACAGTTATACCTTTGTTTCGATGGTAGATTTTAGAATTTGGGTATGTAAAGACATCAGAAAGAAGATTTAATCGATTAGAATTGTAATTATCATATAAATGTAGATAAACAAAGAAAAGAAAATCTAGAAAAATGATAAACCGATATTGTACTTTGTAAGATTTCGGACAACCAATTATTAAGATAATGAGAACGGCGTGGTCCCAACGATTTGACTATGTATAGAAAACGAAACCAATTGGTATCATTCAGATGGTGAAAATTTCCCGCTGATTCATAGAACCATTCTATCAACTAAAGCTCTTGACTTTGAAGTGTATATTGTTCTTGTCGGATGTGTAAACAAATATAATCCTTCGAATAGTTCGATTCACAAGAACTGCTTGTTGATCGGCTCTCAAATATGACCTTCAAAGGATTTCTATTACATCGTTCGAACTCTGGACAACAGTATAGAAACCATTTGCAGATCGACTAGAACATATCAGCGTTTCTCGATTTGAATCGTTCTATTCGATTCTTCATTCACAAGATTTACTTTCCTGAACTGGTTTTTATGGCGTTGATTTTCAAAAACAAAGACATTTAACGATGATCATCCTTTGATTTTTTATTCTTTTTCGCGTTTATACTGTTTTTATAACAACAAGAAACAAAAAAGTTAGATTTAGTAAGCAATATCATAATCAAGATAATCACTGTCGAAGTGATGTACTCGCACGAGACCATCTTCACCACCACTGGCATAACTGAAAACGAACGTATACAAGATGAGAAATGAAAGGGAGACGAAATGAACGAACCTTTTTCCATCGGGATGAATAGCGATTGTGTTTATGGGTCCAAAATGACCTTTGACTCGGGCAAATTCTTCTTCGAATATCAAGTGGAAAAACCGGGCTTCGAATTTACCTGTTTGAACAGAAGTTTGGGTGACCTAAGGAAAGATTTCCATCTTGAGGGTACGAATAAATCGGAAGAAGATCGTCGCTTACTTCGATAGCTTCTTGACCACCGCCAAGTATGACATGATCTTTCAACGGGGAAATGGCAGCCGAATTGATTGGTCGTTCGGTGACATATGTTTTCAAATGATCTAATGTTTCGATATCAAATAACTAGAATAAAACAAGATGGTTTCTTTTTTTTAAAATATGCATTCGTCGAGTTTAACCTTAGCTGTGTTATCTTTGGATGAAGAAATTAAGAAGGACATATCCTTGTTAGTTTGTAAATCCATAATTTGTCCGCCATGTGGTTTCTCTCTTCGAACTTCGTCCATACTCTAAATATTGAAGATAGTTTCCATCTCGTCCATTCAAATCGATATTTACTTTGAGATCCCATTGAACAAGTTCACCGTTATCATGGCCAGTAACGATAAATTCATCTAATGTACCCCATAAACTACTTGTTACTTTTCGAAGTTGTTTTTGTGTTATATTAATACGAGCCGATGCACCTTCACTGGCTACAGGTAGGAGATCACAACATCAAAAACTATCGAAATGGTCAATTAGTGAATACATACGTCGCGCTCTGATATCGACTACGTACATTTCGCACGGCTTGCCCATGACATCGTCGTTTGTGTATAAAATTCTATTTCCATCGTAGCTGAACGCGCAACAACGGCTTGGTGCTTCGAGTTTGAAAATATTACGTTCGCGTCCTGTTTGAACATCCCAAAGTCGAACAGTACTATCAGCAGATGCAGATACAAATGCTGTCGTATCCCAATTAACATCTATTGTCCAGACGGAACCGTTATGTCCATTATACGATCCCAAACGTTCTCCGTTGACGGAATACCATACCGATGGAATTTTATCTTTACCGGCTGAAAATAAAAGATCACCTTCGCGATTGTAGCAAATTTTGGTTAATGAACGTTCATGCCCATGAAGAACAATTGGTTTCTAATCATCAAACATGAACTTATCAGAATTATTCTCTGTTCAAGTTGTTCGCGCTTACCATGATGATAAATAGACAATAGATCGAATGTTATTTATCTAGAAATAAAACTAGAAGTTACAGTCGATGAAAAATAAGGTGGTAGTCACAGGGATTTTTTATTTCGAAAATGACAGAAAAATAAAATCAGATTAGACTAGTGTTGTTGAGAATATAGGTGTGATATAGAAGGAAAGAAAAGAATATTATGAAAGACGGCTACTACTAAATAACTGCAATCAACGTGGTATGTGTTATTACGCAATTTTCTACTAACAGAATTGCGCAAAGTATTCGTCATCAAATCAAGTTTTCGATTGTCTAATTCTATGAGCGATTAAAATGTTAAATATATATGATCTACTAGAAGCAAGTGTGTCTTCTGACTTTCTATCTAAAAGATAATTTTTGAAAGGCAAATATTCGTGGTCTATTGTTTGCTGCTGGTTGGTGTCCATTTTCGATGTTTGTTAATAAAATTGATTAAACCATTTGTTGACGGATCATGAGCAGTGACCGGTTGTGTTGAATCTAATTCAGGTAAGATCACTTTGGCTAATTGTTTACCAAGTTCGACACCGAATTGATCATAGGAGTTAATATTCCAAACTTGTCCTTGAACGAAGATCTTATGTTCGTAGGCAGCAATCAAATAACCCAAAACGAAGGGTGTTAAACGTGGTAAAACGATGGAATTTGTTGGTCGATTACCACGAAATGTTTTATGATAGACAAGAAGATCGTCATTAGCACCGCCGCTCTTTCGAACTTCTTCTTCGGTTAAGCCGCGCATTAGAGCTTCTGTCTGAGCGAGAAAGTTTGCCAATAAAATCTTATGATGAAGATTATCACGAATAGGATTTTGAGTTTCCACCGGAGCAATGAAATCACACGGAATTAATTTTGTACCTTGATGAATCAATTGATAAAATGCATGTTGACCATTCGTACCAGGCTAGACAATCACAAAATACATTCAACTCGAATCGAATTCAACTCCATCAACTTACTTCACCCCAAATTATTGGACCAGTTGTATAATCCACTTGTTTGCCTTCTTTTGTTCGATATTTACCGTTACTTTCCATATCACCTTGTTGAAAGTAAGCCGAAAAACGGTGCATGTATTGATCATATGGGAGTATAGCTTGTGTTTCAGCTCCAAAGAAGTTGTTGTACCAAATACCTAACACTGCCATGAGAACCGGTAGATTTTTTTCCAATGGAGTTTCTTGGAAGTGTTTGTCCATAGCATGTGCGCCAGCTAATAATTGCTGAAAGTTCTCAAATCCAACTGCGCATACAATCGAAAGACCAATAGCCGACCAAAGTGAATAACGTCCACCGACCCAATCCCAAAATTCGAACATGTTTTCCTTCGCGATACCGAATTCAGTTACTTTTTGGGTATTGGTTGATAATGCAACGAAATGTTGGGCGACATTCTTCTTGTCTTTTGCTGCATTGAGAAACCATTCTTTAGCTGATTCCGCATTCGTAATCGTTTCTTGTGTTGTAAACGTCTTCGAAGCAATGATGAACAATGTTGTTTCCGGTGATAGTTTGGATACAGTTTCGCTAATATGTGTACCATCAATATTGGAAACGAAATGAGCGCGTGGGCCACCTTTAGCATAGGGCTAAAATGGATAAACGAACTATTATCTTTACTCTTGTTGTTGAAACTTACTTTCAAAGCTTCTGTGATCATCAATGGACCAAGATCAGATCCACCGATACCAATATTGACCACATCGGTAATGGATTTACCTGTGTAACCTTTCCATTGTCCACTGCGAATAGCTTCGGAGAATGTTTTCATTTGATCGAGCACGCGATGAACATCCGGAATGACATTTTTACCATCGACTTTAACTTCCTTTGCATCTTTTGGTGCACGTAGTGCTGTATGAAGAACTGCACGTTTTTCCGTAAAATTAATCAGTTCTCCACTGAACATCTTCGTCCGCTGATCCTCGATATGACATTCTCGGCATAAAGCAAACAATTCCTTTAAAATCTCATCGTTGATTAGGTTTTTCGAGTAATCAAACAAAACAATGCCATCGGGAGTATTGAATTCCAATGAATACGTTTGAAAACGATTGGCATCGTCAGAAAACAATTGTCGAAGATTGAGATTAATACCCACCGTATCATAAAGTTTCTTCAAATTTTTCCAAGCATTCGTTTGGGTCAAGCCAGACATGTTCGCTTTCGTTTATCTACAATGATAAACAATCTGTTTCATGTATAATTACAAACACGATTATTATTCTATAATGGTCGAAAATATATCTGACCAAAGAAGACATACGAAATAGAGAGAAAAAAGAAAGCAATGACATTACAGAGTAGATTATAAAACAAAGACTTGTCATCTGACACGATCAAGTTTGGCGACTTTACATGCAATATCGATAAGAAAATTATGTCGGTCACAATCATCATAATAACCGTACAAATTCAGTGTTGAATGTATCCAACGTGAATGTTCGTCGGTAAATTGACAATTAATCGAAGGTAAAATTTCAGAAATAAGCGAAAGAATAAATTGAAATAATGATGTCGATTGAAATTCAATATTTGCCACGGATTGCTTTGATGGAATCCACTTCTTAACTATTGTGCTGTTAGTAGATGATGAACGTAAACGTTTCGTCGAATTGGATTGATCGTTTTCATCGAGTGTGCGTTTGTCGGTTGACGACGATGTAATCGAACTGAATGAAGAATCGGAATCGAATGGTGCCGAAGGAGAATGAACGTTTTCCATGTTATTACTCGTTCCATTCAATGTCGATGGTAATTGAGCTAAACAAGGAAACTAAACACAGTCCAACGTGGCAAATTCAGCTACTTACCATCTGTATTCGGTTGGAGATGGTTGTTCATTTTTAGAATTTGAGTGGCTGTGTGTGATGTAAAACGACTTTTCACACGGTTGGTATCGGTGATTAGCTTATTGAGTTCATCGATCATTTGACCGTTACCGATGGTAGAGTGATCGGTTCGCTTGACGGATTTTCGTGAGATGATTTTAATAGTTTTTCGTTTTTTCGGAATTTTGATTTGAATATTAGCTTGTTGAAATGCTTGTTGACATTTCGATTGAAATGTTTCGTTTGCATCATCGTCATCACGTTTCTCATGCAGAATTTGACACCAAACTTCTTCGAAATAATGTTTGATGTTTTGAACGGTGCAAGTCGAATCTTTCAAGACATGTGTACGTTGTTCATCTAGTAATTTCTTTTTCCAAAGTTCACTGATTAAATTCGTTGAACGATTATTTCGAACACGACGTTCGAAGAGATAACGGAATGGTAATGTCCGAGTGTAAGGATAACCAAACGGGTGGATTTGATATTTTTCAAGTGAGGAAACCAGTACCGGTGATAGCACAGGTAAACGCGAACAAAACACAAGAACAGTTGGAGAAGATTGAGCTTGAAGTTTTTGACTAAAATGATTTTCAATCCAAGTGAGAAAGATTTGAGGCGTCAAATGACCCAGTTCATTATAGGAATCCTTGCCATCGGTGATAGTATTATCGCGAAGTGAAAGCGGAAAAATAAAATAGGGCTCCGTCATCTGGCCAGTACTGGAAAATGCGTAGAGAACAGTGACCTTAGGAGTTAAATTCATCGGTCGCAATTCGTTCCATTCAGGTAACTGAAGTACAGTCGATTTCTTTGTCAAAGGAAATTCGAATGTATCGATAGTCCACAATTGCGTCTACAAATACATATGTACTTTGTAGCCAAGTTATGACAAACGACACTACTTACGCTCTCTTGATTCAGTTTATGTTCGCGAAGATATTGATGAAAGTCGTCGTGTAGTTGGTCGACGTCGATGACTGACTCGTTATCAAATTGAATTTGATGAATGTCTTCGAATGCACGCCAAAAGATGCCCGGTGACTGTAGATCACAACTACGAATTGAGCCCATACTTCCATTAGCACACATATTCATCGAACGTTTGCGCGTAATAATGCCAGTTAATTGGTAGATTTCTCGTAAAAACAATTGCTTTGCACATGGCCAGAAGTACAACGAACGTAAATGGCGAAGCCAATCGACTGTCGATTGTGATTGCATGAATGCGTTCAACTGAACCAAATGTGAACCAGTCATCAATGATGAATTCGATTTGTATGAAAGGCAATATTTTAAATAATCCAGTTTCACCCCGCCTAAACATTTACTTGCACGGGAAATCGACAGCTGCCGTTGAAGAACGTAGGATAGAATTTGCTCGGGAGTTAACCCACTTGGTGGATCAGTCATCATCATCGACGAGGACAATTTCTTTTTATTACCTGTAGGAGAAACAAAATGTAACGCATAAATAAGTATGGGTACATTCATACGAGACGTCGTTACCTGTTTTCACAAGTATTTTTTTCTTTTTCTTCTTCGGTACGATTAATGGCGCTGCTGCTCGCGTTGATAGCAAATACAATTCATCGCCGTCTCGCCAAAGAGGCGTTCCTTTAAAGATCTGACATATTTGCTCATTTTGCTTCAGTGTTCGTAATGAACACCAAATGGTATAAATGATTCGTTTTAAATCATTAGCCGGTTTGAAACACATCTTTTCCACGCGATTCGTTTCAGAATATCGTTGATCGAATAGAGAGAAGATCGGTGTAAGAATATGAATCAAATAATAATTCAAATCGATCGTTACTAACTCAACATTGGACTTTTGGCATAAAACATCAATATCAGGTGTGAGAAGAGTCATTCGAGGATCGATAAGAATGGCACTAAAATACAATTTTCCTCATTAACAAATGACATCCGAAAACAGATCTGTATAAACGTACCTATTATTCGATCTATTGGGCAAAGAAATAAAATCTTCGAACCATTGTTGCATAGTTTCGTAACTGATATCTCCTGTTGGTGTTTGGACGATTCGTGTAAACTCTGATGATGGAAAATTGTTTTTTAAACATCGCACCTGCTTACAGACGATTAATTGATTCGAAAACTTTCCACTTGGTGTCAATGCGAATATGCAATGCATACGTGTTGTATGTCTTTTGTTTCTCGCTGATAAACGGGTTACGCCATCATCTAAAATCAATGTATCTACTGCGCCTTCCACGTCATTGCCAGATGGACGAATGGAGATGGAAAATAAGAACCAGATTTGATCGAAATTGTTAAAGGATTGGCCAATATTATTTTCTGCTGTTAGGTTTTCGATCGAATCAGTTAACTCCGCAAGTGATTGAATGTTCCACGAATGAACCGAATACTGTTTGAAGTAGTTCTTAAAATCATCGTGATCTTTTTCAAATAACTTCAACCAGCGAGAGAATGAACGTATGGATGGACAACTCGGATAAAATCGTTTGAATGAGGTATATAAGATTGCAAGTGGATCATCAAAACCTTTGTGTGCAAGTTTTAAGGCAAATGTTCGACATTCATTCCAAGTAATTTCATTAATATTTAAACTACTCAAAGGAGGAAGAATAGATTGATGAATGTACTTATCAAATAAGTTCGGTGTTAACGGTGTGCATACTTGAGACCAATCAACTCTAAATTATAATAAATTACATTGAAATATGGGAAAAGAAATTTAATCTCTCTTACTCCGATAATTGTTTATCCATCGTTTGATTCTGCGTTTTCCTTTGTTTATTGGTAAAGAATATATAAACCAATAATGATTTGATAGTAAAGGATCAAATGTAACGTGGTTATAGATGTCGCTCGACAAAGAAAAAACAACATACAACCTACGTATATACATCATTTTCATATTGAATCATAAGTTCTATTCTATTGATTCCCTTTTCATGTAGCTCGAACGTGAATCCGTCAAGCGAAAGAAGATCATCCGTTCTTACAGCACTGATTACGCCGTATTTCATCCGAAGTCTACCATGAAGTTTCTCAAATAATGATAAATATATATTTTCTTTCACGTCTACATACACACGTACACGAATAAATATATATTTTCAAAGAAAACGAAGCGGATAAGTAACATACGATATACAACAACCAAGAAGAAAAAGAAACCGGTAAATGATGAAGTTCAAAAACAAATGTAGAGATAGAAACTTTTTTTTTTCAATGATTTTGGTTTGAAAAGACAGGTATCACATCGAGACAAAAGGAGTACAAAGGAACATACACGCACAGTTGACAAAACGATATTAAAATATAAAAACAAGAAAAGAAAAAGTGATCGACCAAAAATCTTTTTATATTTTGTTTTTTTCTAAACTCTCTTTAGTGAAAGATCTTTCACAACTGGATTATTGAAAATAGAAATCTTTTTTTATGTTCGTCTTGATATTGTTTACGTTCGAACTTTCTCAAAGTTAGCGATTTCGAATCATATTCATAATATCCGTGTCCGGTGATCGACCTGCACCATTGAAGAATAGATTTTCGATACCTTTGATACACCAGCCACGGATGGGCGGCATACGAAGAAGTAATTTAGCGAAACGCGCAACGTCATCACTGTGAACCTTTTTGCAATAAGATGCTAATGACATGCAGACTTTTTCGCGTAATTCGGATATGCGAGTTGTATCGAGAACATCCTTCGCATCTAAAAAGAAGGAAGAGTATTTGGTTTTTTTTTCATTTCAAATCGACAGTATGCTATCGCCATACCAGGATCAAAGAGAAAGATGGCCTTGAGACATGTGATCTCAACTTTGTCGACATTTAATTCGCGTAGAATTGTAACGACATCATGGTACAGACGGGTGATAAAGAACTGAAGAGATTGATCAACAGCTGTGTGTGGGCGAATATATGAGCCATCCTAAATGAAGGATATTTTCAGAAAAAAAAATGTCCTGTAGAGAAATGTGAACACTAACGGATAAGATTAAACCACAATCGGGTGCCATAATCGAACGATAAGCCAGTGAGCAGCATAGAATATCTCGCCATGATGCTCGAACAAGTGCGACTTGATCATCGATTGAAAGAGTGGCAAAATGAGGCACACGCTTAGCCCATTCGGTTAATTGAGACAGTTGAGCACTAGTTGTTGATAAAAGTCGATCGTAGGAACACTCCTCTTCATGAAATGAACTGATTTTCGGTTCGACATATAACTCTGCTGTAATCAGTTTCTCGATTAACATCTCATCATCGCCTCCCGCACCAAGACCCATGTTGACATGATCACTGCCTGTGCTAGCAGTTGGCGATGAAGGTGATTCGCCTTCGCCAATACCCATCTTTTGTCGTTCATCTTGAACCGCTACAACACCAGAAAATGAAAAAAACAGTCGAAATTGTGTCTAAATAACAAATTATTTCATTCATGTTACCTTCTCGTTTCATGCCAACAGCCAGACATTTCTGATATCGGCAATATTGACAGCGATTCCGTTGTCGTTTATCAATGATGCAATCTCGGTTATCTCGGCAAGAATAGGTTAAGTCTTTACGAACAGTACGCTTGAAAAATCCTTTACAACCTTCGCAACTACATTAAAAAGCAATGAAAATAATCAAAATGATGTTGCTTTTTTTTTGAAGAGCGTACCTATGAACTCCATAGTGTTTGCCCGATGCTTTATCTCCGCAAATAACGCAAGCGTAACGCGATGCGCCAGCAGTGCCACTTGTCGACGCTGTTGGGGTCGAGCCGGTTGATGAATTTGAATTACCATCAATACCACTAAATGGGCCACCGGACGACATTGGTACTAAAGAGAACGTTATATGGCTTCTTACGTAACGGAAAAGATTGTTTTTTGCTGAAATTACCCGGACTCAATGATGTTGGTGAATCTGCGCTTGATCCGCTCGAATAATTCGAATTTCCGCTTGTATGTTGAACACCGTTTGGCATTTGATTTGTGACATCCATTGGTGGCGAAAATGCCCCATTGTCACCATAACTAAAACCTAGAAGGAAAAACAACACGAAAACGGAGGTTGATCATGTGTTTTGTTTTTCTTTTCTAGAAAAGATCACGTACAACTTGATTCGGACATGCTTGGGAAGACGAACGATCTGAAAAAAGACGACAGAGAATTATTTGTCTATAGTTATTTGCATTGTTTATTCATCTGTTACATTTTTACTTTCAAGGTCAACAAAAAAAATATTTTCTTCCATTCGTTTTTAGTCAACAACCAGTAAAAACACATCAACGCAATTTCATAGAGGACGCTTTTGATAAAAAAATCCTTCGAGAAGGGTTTTAGATAAAAATATAAGAATCGAGAAAAAATATCTTTCGAGAAAGTATGAACGGATAGTTACATAATTAATTAACTTTCATGCAACGAGTAAGATACAAATCCGACTCATTCGCCTTGTAATATAAATAACAGAAGAACGCGACAAATAGAATAATGAATATATTAGATAACGAAAGTCAGGAGAGAGACAGAGAAAAAGGAAGAGGAATTTCGATGTATACAAATAAAAGATACGATGTTCATCTAATGTTTTAAGTTACACAAAGAAAAAAGAATATGATATTGTGATTGTTTCATTGGAAATAGTCGGATATTTCAATATGCGAAGTACTTCTATCAAAGGAAATAAGATCTACAATTCCACTCCGTTTTGTATCAAGTACTCGCAGACAGCACCCTACACATCGAACGCATCTGCGAACAGTAGAAAATTGTTTTTCTTTCTACCTTACCACTGTATGAACTTATCTCGTTCTTTGGATATTAAATATGATAAATATTTTGTGAGAAAATTCATCTCATATTCGTCAGAAGTTTCTTCCTTATAGTCTCAACTAGATATTTAATTGAAAAATGAAGTTTTCTTCCCGTTGGCTGCTAAACGTTCATATTGCCGTCTAACCTTTTTTACATATCTCTCAAATGCAGAAAGAACACATTGCATTAGCAAGTTGGTTTAGCGACGGTAAGAGAAAGTAGAAGAAAAGAAAAGCAAAAACGACAACGTCGACGACCAGATATTCTAGAGAAGAAAAAGAATGAACCTGTTTTATATAAAAAAAAAAGATGAAAGGAGAATAAATTATTCAAAATCTTCATGTTCAATATGACACATGCTTTGCTAAACCTACAGTTTAAACCTATTAACAAACAGAGGTACACACATCAGTACACTTGACAAGAGTTGTCAGTAATGCAGCTATATTATCAGGAATATAAGCTAAAATATGAAATGTTACTGTAAAGATGAGGATCAGACGTATCGGATGTTTTCTCGCAAATTATTATCACAGCGTCGACGTTCTGCGTGAGAGGAAAACAAGAAGCTGCACTGGAAACCTTTCCTATAATGAGCTGTTTTGCAATACGATATCATGGAGTCTAAATAGCCCATGTCGTCGGGCAATGCCTTTGGGTTCTTTACTTTTACTAAATTTGCATACATGATCAAAGATAAACATGATTAGAGTTGGTAATATTCACATGGATTTTCATTTGTCAATCGCATTAGATTTGTAGAAAGTACAAGATCTGTCTTCGTAGTCATTTTTTTCAACATCGAAGATTAGTGAAAGATTATGTCGTCAATGCAATCCGTGTTTTATACACTCTGCTCGACCTTCTTCTCATTCTCTATTCTCTATCTATCTGTTCGAAAAATAAAGATTAGTAATCCAGCCGGCAAAGTAAAACAAAAAAAAGTCATTCTAATATATGTTAGTTAAGTACAAACGACTAAGTCTTGTGAGATCATTGATACTAAATACGTTAAACAGATAACTGCTATTTCGTCGATCGAATCCGAAGTGTTTCGAGAATCGAGAAAAGTCAATAGTCATACAAAAAGAGAAAGAAAAATACTTATTCCTTCATTTTTCACGTTGCCTTCACATGTCTAGCAAAAAGTAATAATATCAATATTGATTGAATAGAAAAAAGATGTAAGTGCTACTAGAACGAGCAGAGAGAAAAAAAGAGAATAGAAAACCGTATGTCCATTCAGAGTTATCTATTAAGTAACCAAATAATACACTAATTATAGTCTTGTCATTGGTCTAATGAGTCTTGCTTAACAGATATAATTCAAAACATTGAGCAATTCTGTATTCTGTTCGCAATCTATTTGTCTTAGAGCAGCATCTGACAGGTTATACTTGACATCTCTAGGTTCGACCGATATACATAGCATACTTGATGACGAAAACTAAGTTTGTTGACATGAGTATCGTTTCGATTTGTTTTTCATGTGTTTTTTTTTCTCCTTATACCTTTTTGCTTTCTTTTGTCATGAACCACTTATTGAAAAACCTTTTACTAGTGAGAGCAGCAAATTTATGTGATAGGTATCGCAGTGTCGACATGTTACTGCCTCGAGAATTTCTCTTACGTTCAATTCTATTAATCATCACTATGTCGAACATTCAACATGTTGTATCCGCAAAAAGGTTTAATATCACTTTAAAAGCTCCTGGTAACACGTCAGCACCAACATCCACTAAACATGTACGTATAAATATGTCCTTGTTCGCCGGATTTTGCTTTGATTTTGCCATAGAAATCAGTCCATGTTCTATATATTCCAACGAACGACGAGAGACAACAAGGAACCATTGGTAAGTTTGTCATTGGAGAGAAACAGACTCAATAAGTAGTCTATGCGTCTAGTTGGTTTTGAACCATTAATCCAATTTCATCAACGAGCAGTTCAACAATTGACTGTGCATATATGTAATTCACGAATATCGGGAACCGTTTGGTAAAACAAAATAAACATTCTACTAGGAAAGATCTGGACTCTACGATTTTTCTATTTTGATAGGTACGATGATGAAGATGTTTGTGATAATGCTCGGTCAATGTTAATTTATGAATGGACACCTTCGTCATCAGCGGCTATTTTTCGCTTATCAGATGGTAAAACGACTATCATGAAAATCCTTGATTGAAATCTTTCTTCTAATAGACTGTGGTTTCGAATTCGATGACACACATTCTATTATATTGTCGGTCACATATCAGAGAGAAAGACGACTGCACAAAGAACAATCTGGCATCATTTTGTACATATCCACTCACTCGTAAGTTGATGTTTGTGTAATCAGCCATTCTACCATTAGTTACGCAGAATGCCATGCACTTGAAAAGGGAGAAAATTCAATAGTACTTTTTTGTCCGTAAATATACGCAGAATGAAAAAAAATGAAATTGAGTATAAATAGCTCAGGGCTGTGTTTCTATTATTCATGCTAAGATATACTGTTTTTAGCCCTCGATATCATATGGCAACTATGATAGTCGGAAACAAACAGAGAGGAACACGTAAGCATCCGATAAGATGTTATTGATGCAGAAGACTTCATTTTCGTTCTATAAGGTTTTTCTTGTCGGCCATCGACTTCACCGCGTTTACTCTATGCCGTGAAAAACTTGAATTCAAATGCAAATAGACTTCCATGGCGTATGCATATTATTCGAGTTCGTCTATTTGGACGGAAACTAGTGCAACCGGTGTTCGATTCGAGAATGGCAACCAATGCTAATCAAACTTCGATCGAAATAGCTCTTCCCGATCTCTTTCTTATGAAAGGCGATTATCTATTAACAGAATGCGACTATCCAATCGAATTCAACTGCTATTTCCTTGTCTACTATATCTATAAAACCCAATCAATACCCAATGCAAAGACTTGTGAAGATAATAATCATGCAGATCTATTCAAGTTTGTTGAACTAGAAACTGATTCGAAGTTGCACTGAACTATCTTCTTTGCTCATATTCTATAGATTAATACCATCTAGAGAGAAAACCAATGAGAATCAAACTGTAGCAAATTCCATCCACATCGATGGTTCATCAAGTAACGTCTTCGAACTTCGTATCAGTCCGAAAAATATCTTGCTTTTCTCTCCTTAGTTTTCTTAATTGTATGCCTATTATTGTTAATCATTTGGATATCAATTATTATCGGTTGTATCATAATGCGTAAGTTAATTCTGACGAACTCAAGATCTACTGAATAAATTGTTCGAACTAGGCCGTATTCGTGGACTAGTCAATTTCCGAACGGAACCCACATCTTCATTTTCGACGCAGAAGAATAAGTTGCTGCGTGGCGCAGCAGCTACTAATGATAATTACCATCGAACAGGTGAAGTCGATCAAATTATGCAGATGGACGCTGATCACGGTGGTCTGATGGGTTAATGTTAGTTCATTTCTCGTTATAAATAGAAATCATTCCATTATGTCCAATTCCTCGACTGAAAAGAGGATAATGCGAAAAAAACGAACATGTGTTACCTGCTTGCTTGCGCTAGGTCAAAGATGAAAGATCCAAAACTGATTAGCCAACTTTCGACATCCAAATGCGCATATTACGTTCATATTGTTCAGTTTTATAATCCTCGGGAACAGTGATTAGATAGATTTAGTTGCGCCTCTTCGTTGATTGGCCGTAATATGAATAAGCAAACAAGCTAGTTTTTTTTCCTATGAACTTCGTTTCAGTCGGGGAACTCAAATGACCATATTCTGTATTTAATAAAATCTCAAAAAAAAAGTAATCATGATAACTGGATCTTCAATAATTCGGTCATTTCGATGACTCTTAATTTTCACTTTTGTAAAACCCAGTAGTGTCAAATGTGGAACTTCGATTCAACTATCCACAATACCTGAACTATTCAAAATCAATGTACAATATTCTCCGCACACACGCATACATAAGTTAATCATAGCCTATTCGATCATATTCGACGTTGTATGACATCTAGAGATTCTTTTCTTTTTATTCGTCTTGAATTTTTCTGTCACCACTAACAATATATTAAAGCATAAGAACATACCTACGAAAAACGGATGTATACGAGAGACAATATAAACTTAGATATTATCAAAAGAAATTGCCAAGAAAAAAATGTCGCCAATGAAGCAAACAAGTACTTGAAATGAAGACAAATGGAATTTCATTCTATAAAAACATTGGCTTCTTGTTTCGTCTAGTTGTGTTTTACTCACCACTGGCTCTTTAAATCCAATTCATCGTTCGCATCTGAAAAATCTTTCATTAGTTAAAGCATATCTTGAAAAACATAAAGACCGACCGTTAAATGTGCTAGCTGCTTATTTATCACCGTCACAGTATGTGTTTTGTTTCTATTTTTAAAGCATTTCAACTGTAATATTACAGCGATTCATACGTTCGACACAAATTGGGTGAAACGGATTGGATTCCTGGCGCAGAACGAAGTGATCTTTGCCACTACGCTATTAATCATGATAAATTAGAAGACTTTGTGTCTGTTTCAAAAGCTGAACTCGAATGCCGAGGTTTTGTTGATTTCGATCAAGTGACCATTGAGCTCGAGAGATTCCTTAATCGCGAACTGCATGAATCCCAATCAATTCTTTCTCATCCGCTGAAAGTTGTTTATGTCTGCGGACTGGATCATTTTAATAAATGTCCTTACGTGGAAACATTAGCTGCGGCAAAGAACGTTGCTTGTGCTATCATTTATCGTCTCGGTGCTTCGGACAATCGTATTCAACGTTTACAAGAACGCAATTCCAAAGTTTATTATATTACATTGGACGACGAACGTGAGACCCTTGTTGATATAAGTTCTACGGAAATTCGGAAACGATATCGAGACAGTTTCCAACAAACAGATGCGGATGAGATCACGTATCCATTTGTACAGGAATATTTGACAAAAAAATATCAAAAACGCTAACAATTTTATCAGAAAACTTCTGTCGATGCACATCACATGATTATCTTAGACATCTACTGTTTTATCAATACTGTCAATCGCACGTCGAAGTGTTTCAATCTGCTCGCTTTCTTTTTCGTACCGTTGTCGGACAGCTAATGCTTGTTTCAATAAATCTAATGCTGATTGATTCTCTCCAAATATCCTATGAATCGTTGCTACACGAAAAGAATATTCTGCCCAGTCGAGCGTGTCATTCGGCGCATGACTCATTGCCCGTTGATAAAAATCTCGAGCATTAGTAAAGTCACGATTCGATTCGTAAGTACATGCAATTTGTGCACAGTTTCTTGCAGTATCAAGCATCGACGTTGTCGACGAATCAACAGGATGAATTTCCGAATTGATCGCAGTAGAATCAGATTGATCGGTTGATCGTTTTCGTTTACCATTTACACGTTGAATTTTACAATGACTTACTGCACGATTAGCAAGAAGAATCTGCTCGATAATATCATCTTTAACACGGGCGAATGGTTTCTGTTGTTCGCGGTTGAATTTTGCTATGTCGAGAACGCTCGGTCGAGTTTGTTCCCCAGCATTAACGTCAGCATTGAATTGACTGAGCAGTTTTTCGATCAAAATCTCATTGCGCCGTGCAACAGCATAGTGTAAACATGTATCACCGAAGTTATCCTACCGGAAAATGTAGCAAAGCTTTGTACTCGGAAGAGAAAAATCTACGTACTGTTAAATGTACATCATTAATGTTTAATTCATGTAAATAATCAAGACAGCGAAGAGATTCGTGTTGACAGGCAAGCATAAACACCGTCATACCATGTTTTTCTCGTCTGGACAACGCTTGTAAGCACCGCTCGTGGATGGCCACGACTTTCTCCGTTGGAAGCGGTTTGATATGTGAAGAAAATTGTACTGTTAATGCTTTGAGCATCTCTACATCATCACGTTCAGCAGCATAGTGTGCCGCAGTGTATCCGTCAGCATCCTGATGGCATGGATCACATTCACGCATCAGTAACAAACGTATCCAATGATAGGGATAAGCATGAATAGTTAAAATCTGTAACACACTCTAAAAGAACAACCAAAATCCACGAAATGTTAACAAAGCTGACATTTACTTGTTCATGTTCATTTTTCATTAGAATGATTTCTTTGTGATGAATGTCCATTGAACGATGGAATGCATCCAATCTGCTATGACGTAGATAAGCAAAGATTTCTGCCGAAGAATTTGACGGTATGGTATACAGAAGCGAACCACAGACACTCTTATCATAGGATTCAGCTGATGACGAACGAATTAGATTGTTCAAATTGGACGATTGAGATTCGTTCGCACTACTTTCACTGCACACATTATATTCTGAAATAAATCAAATGTATTCAGAAAGGGTCTATACAAACAGCGTTTTAATCAATTAAAATTGAATCTACTCTGCGAGAATCTATATTATGATTAGTAGCATACATACCTTCGCTTCTATGCTCGATATTCATTGTCTTGGCGCGTTTGGTCATTGTTAGTTTAGCCTGAAATGAGAATATAAGAGAACGTACCTTTAAATTTATACAAGAAAAAAAGGAAGTGATCACTTGGTTGCTTACCGTACTACCCCACCTGTTCGTCGAATAATGTTTTATCGAGTATGTTAATGTCTGGATATGTACTGCATGTAGTTCACATAATTTTCCTGATTTTGTCATTGCTTTCTCTGGGTGTACGCTTGTGATTAATGAATACGGTTGTTATTCGTAATTATCCAGTTAAAATTATCATGAAGTGTGCGAACTTTCTTCTTCATATACAAATGTGTTATATCAATCGCTGAAAAAGGGAAGTGAATCCACCAACGAGAACATTGGTGTCAAGTTATACAGCAATGTTGTTTTCTTTTCTTCTTTGCATGATTAAGCGATTCGTCGGAATTAAATTACGTAGAATGAAAAAAAAACATCAACAAACCTGACATATTCACCTGATTTATTTTTAAGATGTATAGAAGACGTATAGGAAGAAAAATACATAGTGCACAAATTCGCACCGAAAAAAAACAAGTAAAATGCAATTAGGAAAAACTTAGATGTGATTTTGGCGTTTTGATTTCGATCTATCAGGTAGATCTGTATTGCAAAAATATGAAAACAGGGTAGGCAGGATTTTTCTATTCGACGGACGTGTTCGCATTCGGTTGTCGTAATAATTCTAAGTCTTGTTCGATGATTCTCCGACTCATGCGCGTCTTTGCTCGCCGTAATACGAAATCGACAGATGTACGTTTTCTTGGTAGCAATGACTTTCGATTATGAATAGATGTTTGAGCACCAGAAGAATGCGTTAGTGAACTACTATCGCATTCGTCATCTTCATCAACCGATTGCTCATCTTTAATTCGAAAAAAAAATCAATTCTGTGCAAGAGAACTTTCACTAGTAGTTAAATTTACTCGGCTTTTTTGTTAAGATAATTTGCTTTTCCAAATACATATGATCATCATTAGGACAGGGAGTTACAACAGTTGATCTTAACGAAATCAGATCAATGCATATATGTTCAGTAGACAATATGTCTCACTTTTCATTTAATGTAACTGAATCGTCACCTTGCGGATGCGGTGATTTATTGTGTTTGTTTCTTTTCGACGGTCGTGGCGAGGTTGACGAGTAACGATTGTTATCGTTATCTAAATTATATCTGTAAGAGAGAAAAAACACAGGCCTGACGCTACTTCCTACTTCGTAGCGTTCGAAGTGAAGTTGATGATGACATTGACAGCGCTCGTTTGTCACCTAAGACGAATAAAAGGAAGTAATGTTATTTGATCAAAACATAAAGTAAAGTATTACGCATCTACTCATGATTATTTCCAAGAATATATGATCATTTAGAAAGCTTTGTTTTTATTCTGTGAGTCCGACAGTTACGACATTTACTGACTTCGTTGTTTACTCGCTCGTAAATTGATGCCTTCTGCGAAATACTCGCAAGTACATTTGTATTTCTTATTTCTGTCTAGATTCTATCTGTTGATTACCTTGACGCATGCATGATCAGTTCTTACCTGTAATAGCATATCCATGGTCTGCGTTTGAATTGCTCAACGCTTTTATCTGTGTCTCTTTCCCACAAAGTTGCTCATAAAGACGAGGAAGTGCTGCTCATGCATGAATAGAAATCAAAATCGATGAAAAGAGATAATGTTGTTATTTCTTACCTTTCGTTTTCACTGTAGCTTTCGGTGGGAAATGATGAACAACCATTTCGGACGTCTGATTACTCTCGCTGCGTAGTGAAACGCTCTTATTGTCTTGCAAAGCTACATTGCTTAAATAAGCTTTTGTTAATAATGGTCGATAGTACGGATCGATCGTCCACATGGAATTTGATTTCGCTGTTTCGTGTTTGGTTTTAATAAAACATGGAATTGTATTTAAGGTTTGCTTCAATGCATTTTTCCAACCGCGTTTATTCAGAACTTTCGGATGATTTCTTTGTATGTACTCATAGATTTGTTTGATTGATAAAGACCATGGCGATTGCTGATCGTTGCGTTGAGAATGCATTGCAAGAAATGTCAGTGCGCCGTATGACGCTGAGTCATTATGAACGCGTGTTTTCAAATCGTTGCTGAGTTTACTTATTGAATCATGAGTAGAATTGTTCAATCCAGATGTTTGTTGTTTATTTTCTTTGAATTTGAATGTACTTAACCATTTCAATTCTGTTAGATCGTCGATTGTGTTGGCTGCTTGCGAGGAAATTGACGCAAAGCACGAATGACTTAAACAAGTTTTTGGCACTGTCGATCGATGTTGAGTTAAACTCGCAAATAGATGATCATTGATCGAGTTTTCATCATCATCATCATCGTCGTCGTCAGTTGCTGTTGCACTCAAACCGGTGAGTTTGACTGTTTGGGAACGAAGAAATGACGCTACATCCGATTGACTAGCCATAGGAAATAGACTTGATGAATCACACTCATCTTCTTCGTTAGACATCAATGTCGAAGTTAGAACCAAAAGATAACACTATGAACTATATTCCAGAAGTTTTTTTTACGAAAACTTCTATTTAATAAACCATTGGCTATACTGTTGCGATGTCAAAACCTCTTGTACGACATTGAACATATTCTATTTGGCGAAAAGTACTCAATTATTTCGAATTTCATCTATTGACACCGGAGAAAGTTTATTTTTCCGTTCGAAAACGATACGAAACGAACAACTCCAGACACTACCGCCATCTAGAGTTTTGTTCATCGTATACGAAGAAAGGAATATTCACTCGCTCTTTCCCGAATAAAGATAACCATCAACACCTTTGTTAACAAAGAGATTGACAGAAGTTAGCATACACCTGTAAGAACAATGTTCCGCACGCAGGATGCACAATAACAAATGTCTACTCGGGTGGCGTGCGATTTACAAAGGCAATAGATTGTATGATGGCATTGTTTTTGACTAAACACACCTAAAATTTTTGTACATTTGTCGAACACGCATTTTTCACTTTGTATGTAATCGGATATAAACAATGACATATTGGTTTCGTTCGTTGAAAACAACGGACATTCGACAGAAACATTTCTTGACACCCCATTCTTCATCTCTAACTTTCATGCGCGAGCGCACAGAGAATCCACAACATGTCAATTGGAATGATGCCGAAAAATTCATCGATATCTTTTTCCTTGAAACTTTATCTTTTTCAATTTTCTGAACACAACATATACAAACAAAGGAGAGCAGAGAAGAAGCAAATGAACGAAACAAAACAACATTTCTAACTACAAGTGATTCATGATAGAGATATGCATCTATGTACACGTAAATACAAAGACAAAGGACGATCTGCTAAATGGTTTCAATCGTCTATTTTCCTTGTTTGTATTGAGCTATTTCGCGATCATATCTCTCCTTTTCTTGTCGGGCACGTTCTTCATAATGACGTTTTTTATCATCACCAATTGCCCGCCATCGTTCGCCAATAACTTTGGCAATATCCGAAACGGATAATGAAGGATTTTCTTTCTTTATTTTCGGACGTTCGTCTTGCGAAAATAGGAAAAATGTTGACAATGGTCGTTTGGGGGCGTTGGGGTCTTTTTGTGATTTTGGTGCTCGTGGCATTTCTAAAATACAGTTGAGAATTTCTTTTTAGGAAACATTCGTTGAAATACATACTTTGAAAGTAGATGTCGTTCGAGTGTTTGACGTGTGTGTGTGTGTGCGTGTCAGCTAGTTTGAGTTGAATATGAACAGAATAAGCGAGCGAATGGCTTATACTTCTCTGTCGTCGTCGGTCGATCGTTGTGTGTGTATGAGAATAAGCAAGCGCAGGGCAGGCAGGGATACAGACGTTTTCTTCTCTTCCTGACGTCAAAGAGACAAAGAGAGAGAGAAGAAAAAATTCTTCGCAGGCTTGCTTGCCATACGTATACACGCACAAGCATACAACGGGCAACGTTCATTGTGAAGAGAAAAGCATAGGGCAAGCAACAGCAGCAGCAGTTACGATTCGATATATATTCCTTCTTGTTCTCTCCTATTGCACGACGAGCTCAAGACAAAGGCAAGGGAAAATAGAAGAAGAAGAAGAAAGAGAGGGAAAGAAGCAAATAGATGGAAATGAAAACGACGTTGTCACCGTTGCTACTTGCTTGTAAGCAAGGAAACATTGTGAGCACTTTATTTCAATGATGACAGCTAGAAGAAAATCATTTGGAGTGAGCGCAAGTCTTCTATGCCTTCATATATGATCTAATGATGCTGGGCATAATAACGACAATGACTGAAGTTAGACAAAGAATTGTTAATATAAAAGTTGCGCTGGAATCTCAATCTCCATTTCGAAAGCATTTAGTACACAATTATCTCCTTGTCTAGTTGAATATTGAAACAATCCATCGGAGTTCTATAGACCGTTTGTACATTGACTGATATTTGTGATCAACTCATCGGGTCTCTTGATTTGCTTTAGTATAACTATAGAAAAAGACAAAACACGATTGCTTTCATATTGGAAAATATTTCGATCTAGATAATATTTTTCTCTTGTTTCATTCTTTTGAAAGTATGGTATAAATTGTAATCTATTAATGATATAATTAATTTTGAGGTATACAAGACCAAGCCTATCTAAAGTGACGAGTCAGTTAATTTTGCTCTTCAATGATAAAATCGAAACGTTTTTCTTAAATTAACTATGCAAATAATTGCACGAAGAATGTCAAGGAAAAGACTCCTCTGTTATCGAAACGTTCATACAAGTATCGAAGATGAAAATCTTTGCAAAAGATGTCATTCATCGTAGGCAAAAAAACAACAAGTTACACCAAAATAGCAATGCTATTGAAACACAATCATTTGCTTGTCTATACCTGATAATCGATTTCACCTGACGGTCTTCTATGGTGAATTATCACCAAGCAATCTTTTGAATTTGTCTACTAGAACGTTAGAAACGAACTATGCTATGGTCAGAAGACGCGTAAAGATGTCTCGCCGTGTTACATCGAAGTATATGATGCGTTTGCACGCCTACGAAACATTGAATGGATGTTTCAATTTAGTTACGGCCGGACACGGTGATTATAGTGCGCCCTTCCCCTTCTCTTCTATCGCGTTGATGATAGATCATTTTCGCATTGAACATCATTCGTATGATTATTGTTAGGAGAAAAAGAGAAGGTAGGTGTTCAGCCAGGCAGAACCAAAAAATGAGGCGAAGAGAGAAGGCTTCGTTCATACGACAGACCGTTAAATACAATCGACAAACGAATAGTAGTAAGTATCATTATTACGCATCATAATAGACAATTCTAATCGAGAAGCTACATATGTAACAAAAACTCGTTTTCATTTTCTGCGCTCGTGCTTTCGAACATACGAAAAACAAACATTCATTTTAGTTTACCAGTTCCATTTGCCGATCGAACGTTTTGGTTTAACAGACAACCTATATGCCTATTAGTCAATACTAAAACATATCGAAATATCATTTTACAATTCGTACTCGAAACACTGTCCTTGTATCTAACCTATACAATACAAATATATATATATATAATATTTTTTTCACCATACTCTTTCCATCTTTCACCCTCAAGACTCAGTCGTCCGTGACATGTCTTTGCTTATTGTATGCACATATTGATATATATATAAATTATAGTCTTTGCTCCTTAACATTACCGTGAGCTAATAAGATACGTATAGGATATTTCGTGTTTTTCTATGGCATTGAAGAAACCATTCATACCTACTGATCAGGTATGTTTACTTTGCCGAAAATAAAAACAAAAGAAGAGCTGGAGGATTTTGAAAATGGACTTATCTAGAGGTGTTTATTTTTTTTTTTACAGAATTATTATCATTATTCAAGCCTAATGGACAATGAACGTGATGAAGACGATGAGTTTGATTTAACGGTGAGTTACTTGCTCGATTTTCAAAAGAACTAACTGAAAATAATCTTCTAGTCTGTGCAAAATAAATCAACTATTTCCAATCTGCGTCCAATCGGTGGTTTTCGGCAGTGGTCGAATACACGTGAGGATATTCGTGTTGAAAATTGTTATGCTCTAAGCAATACAGAAGATTCCATTGGTCAAGACACATCGTATATCGTCAATAAAACGAAATCGGATCTGGAAGATGACACATGTTCCAGCCGAATGGACGTTTCATCCAATCATTTCGATATTCAATTACAAGTTAATAATGGTCAATTAGGACAAGCGCTTCGTTATGAAGTGTTCTCTTCGTCATCACGCAAAGATAACGGTACATTAAAATTGCATCAATCTTCACAAACAGTTGAACCCGAAATGGATATGGACAGTGGCAATGGACGACGAAATGGAAATCATAAAGGTTACTCGCAACAATATGGTGGAAATAATAATAATAATAATAATAATTATGGTGACGGCCGAGGAAACCGACGAAACAATGGCTCATCAGGAAATGGTGGTGCTGATGGAAATGGATCAAATCCAAATCGAAATAATAATAATTCAAGGCGGTAAGTAAAGCCTTGGAAGACCAATGTTCACATGAGATGTATTGTATTTGTTTTTAGACCGAATGGTGGAGGTAATGGCGGCGGCGGTGATGACAATGACGATGACGATAATGACTCCGATGAAACTATTGCACGTCGTATAGGTTTTCGACTTATAGATAGTGAAACAGTTCGTGTTATTGGTCGTTTACGTCGTTTAACGAGTAAACAATCATTTGATCGACGAGATTTCGAAAGTGCTCAGCATTTAATTGACGAACTCATACGCTTACAGCATCTAGAAAATAGTCCGCAAGATCAACTCGAAAAAATCATTCATCATCTAAAACTTCATCGTGTCCTACGCAGTAAATCTCAGGCATTAGAGTTTATACAGAAACGCCTTCCCCAACGTTACGCAAGGTCGTCGACGGAGCAAAATTCGAACGTCTTTGATATTTGGCGTGAAAGAGAACGCCGTGCAAGATTGGATTCCAAAGATAGTCTTGAAGACGAGACACAGAATACGAATGCACAACATATTCGGGATGGATCTGAGAGTAATATTCCATCAACATCGATTCATTTGTCAAATAGCTCCTTAAATGGCTCAAAAGTTCGACAAATGGCTCGACACATTGATACACGATCCGAATCATCTCGAACAGGTGATCATGGTGGACGAAGTTCATCGCCATCGCCTGTCAGTTTCAATCGAAGTTATGATAGTTAGTTACGAAAGTTTTGCCAACATTGAAATCCTTTGTTTTACTCTGTTTTCTGATAGATATTTATCGAGAAACATCAGTGGATGACCGCACGCGATCGAAACGAAATACCTCACCGGGACTGTCGGCCGAGCGTCGTGTCCGACAAATGGTTGATCGTCTAGAATCATCATCGTCAACAACGAATGCGAAAACTACACGACGAGTGACAACGAGAAAATCCTGCCAAGATGATCAATCGGACGGATCGATTAGTATCACAACCTCACCGCCGAATAAACGAGTAACAAGACGAGAAAACTTCGAAAGTGGAATTACCAGTAATGATGATGGCGGCTATATTTTTCGTTATCGAAGTCCAAATGACGATGTTTACTTTCGAGATGAAAATGCCAACGTAACACGATTTGAACTTAATCGAGATGAAATCTTGAATGGCGGACAACGGTCAGCTATCGGCACAACTGTAAGTAAACAATCTTGTCTTTACACGATAGAATAGTGTATGTTTTTCTATCGTTGGATAGACCGATGACTATCTCACATCACTGGTACCAGGCGCTGAAACATCCATATCGATGGTTCGTGATGTTCGTGCACGTCTTTATGAAGTTGAATCAGGAATTGCACGTCCAGGTGTAGAAAACATTCCTGTTAAAGTCGATGTCGAAACGTTGTATATATTAGAACAAAAGTCGGATAAGAAATCTCTCACAGCTAATGAAAATATTCAGATGCATAACTTGGAACAAAACCGTATCGGCGGATCTGACCGACATGATTTTGCCATGCAAACACCCATCCCTATAACAACAATCAAAGTATCGAATCGACCCATCGGCACACAAGTCGATTCGACTGTTGAACGCAGTACGGTAGCTGCTCAAACAACCGATTCGTTACATCGACCGATTAAGGAACGACAACGATTGGCATCGACATCACCTCTTGAAGAAGGCGAAGTCAGTAAGGTTATTCGAACGACAACAACCACAACAAGATACGAAGTTAAACGACGACATTCCAGCCATCATTCCAGTGGAGATGACGAAGATGGTGCAGGCAGTACAGTTATTTACATTGATGACAAAGAAAACTTTCAAACGAACCCTCAGCCCATACCGGGACCACAAATTGAAAATATAGTCGAACATCAAACATCTTTCAATCAAGTCGCATCACGTGTAATCATCGATCAAGGAAATGAAATTAATCGAACTAATGTTCGTCGTCAAATCGATCGACAAGAACAGGAAGATCACGAGAACCGTTCCTTGGAAGTTTACGAAGTTCATACACGCGGTGCATGTAAATGTCTCGTGGTATCGTACGAAGAAAAAACTCAATATGGTGCAGAAACACGTTTTGAAAAACAATTAAAACGTATCGAACGAACATATACAAATGAAGAGCTGAAATCGACCGAATTGCATGTCATTGTCACTGTACCTGACAATGAATACCAACTTGTTCGTCGTGATTATGGTGTACATGTAAATGTTGCAGATGAAGATGAAATGCAAGATAAAACTATTCCACCGACGATAACTATACATTATTACAGTAAAGAAGGACATCGAGTGAGAACGGAACATGAACGTCGATTAGAACATTTACCATTATTTATTCGTTGTGAAATCGAATATGAACTTAATCATTATGGTACGTTCAATGAGTAGAAATCGACAACTTTCTTTCGAGATTGTCAATCGAAATGGTGTATTCTGTTTTGTAGGTAGTGCACAGTTAGTATTACTCGCTGCAACGAATACTGAACGTCGGCAGATGAATGTTTCTGTAAAGAAAGAAATCGTCGATGATATTGTCTCACGTACGAGTGGTCGTTTTAAACCCAACAGTCCCGAACTAGAACATGAAATATCACAACAATTAGCTGAACTAATATCTCTGTTACATCTTGTTGACTATGCGTCACGTGATGATTATCAACACAGTAATTCGGTTGATGTTCGCCGTGTGTCACGTACTGATGTCACAACATCTCTACGCATTGTTCAGCGTTATCGAACTGTTATACATCGACTCTGTCAAATTCATCGTTCTCATCTTCGTCTAACATCTCAAGCAGAAAAACAACGTCATTTAATTCTGGTAGCACGTGATGAATACTATCTATTAGATTTAGCATCTCAGACACCATCGGTAGTGGTTAAAAAGACACAGCAACAACAACAACAACAACAACAACAAGAGATTATCAAACGAGAAGTTCCTCAGAAACCATTCGATTATGCGAAATATCGTCGAGAAACTGAACAACAACAGCGCATACTTGAACAACATTATCGACAAACTCACGGACAACAGCCACCACCATCGAAACATCAATCAGAAGCAGAATTTTATCTCGGTTTGATTTTTTTCTGATAGAAAAACATTTGTTCACAATCACTAAATTATTTCTTCTTCTTCTGAAACTTAGGTTCAGGACGTCGTGCACTGATCGAACGCGAAATTCATTCCATGCGTGAATCGATCCGTCCACATGAACATGCTCCACCACGCTATAAGAATGAGCCAGCACGTCGTTCATTGTCAGTTTCTTATTCTGGTGGACAACGTTATGTTCGTGCACGTATAATTCACGTCAAAGACTATTATGATGAAAGTCAACAACAAATCCAACAGCAGCAGCAGCAACAGAATGCCAAAGAACAAGAATTGTTCGTTCGTGTTGATGATTACATAAATGAATCTGCAGCGAACTCTTTACGTCGTTCATATTCAACTGACTATTTACAAGAAGATGGACCACGCTCAAGAATTCGCTACATTCGTATACCCGGAGAAACGATTAAGATTGAAGAAAAAACTACCTATGAATATCAAGGTGTTATGTACACTGATTTACCATATGCATTACGCTATTGGAATATTCTCTACATTCTCGATCGTGAAGCTCGAGAAGGTCGTCCACTTGGTTCATCACTTCCACATGTTATTGTAAATGATCCATATCGAACAGTGATACCACCGTTAACTCAACAAGAGATTCGGCAAACTGCTCAACAAGTTCTTTCACCACAATATCCGGCACAATCCTATACCGATCGAACGTTGCGCTGGTTTCTCTCACGCGACAATCGTACTGAAGTCGAATCGAATAAGTATTTACAAACATTACAACAATGCCGTCAACAGCAGCAACATCTCGAAAAGAAACAGGCTGGCGTTAGTGTACGCGGTGGTGGACAAGCGGCAACGGCGAAGAAATACTACGTCACCGAAACACTTGTACGCTATGAAAAGATGCCTGACCGCTTGGTACCTGTATCTACTAATGATCGTGCACAATCAATTGATAATATTCATCATCGTTCGCCATCGACAAATCGAACGGTTCAACAATCGTTTCACTCACAAAATCATCTAGATCGTTCTCAATCTCAACCGCGTCCACGTATTCAACCTTCACCATCAAATCAGGCACCTACATTTCGTGCACAATTACCCACAATGCATTCACCCTTATCACGACATCAATCAGTTCATGAATTACATGCTCCTCCAACATTATCTCATCCACCTTCACCGTCACCTTCACTTCATAGCTTGCATAGTAATCAAAATTACTCACAACAGCATCATCGACGACCTGTGGCATTCAACAATCGTTATCCAACACCGTGTCCAAACCAAGGAACGTCACAACAAACACAGCAGATTCACCATCAACAACAACAGACAACACAGCAGAACTCAGTATTCACAGAAATTATCGACAGTCAAACAGGACGAAAGATTGTCACGACCAGTCAAGAACAACTACCAACAGAAGTACTGGGACTTTTAAATAGATATAATTTACAATAATATAGACAAATAAATTCTTTTAGTCTATCTTTTTCTCGTTCATTTGTATTTATTTCGAATATTACATAATAAAATTCTTTAAGATTCATTCAAATGAACCGAAAGTTATCCAGTGCAACATCTTTCATTGTCAGAGGTGTATCAGTATATGACGCATTATTATTATTTTCTTCTACCTGACGTCATCATCTATGAATAAGATGATGATGCAACATTCTCTTATTTTATTTTTTTCATAATTTAGAGTCGATGTACCGAAATTAGTCTGTTCGTGCATGTTGCCAACAATCACCTTCAAATGCGAATGGATATTCATTGAGTAAATATAATCATACACTACGCATATTTCGAAACTCGTCGTCATGAAAATCTGCGAGACATTCATTTTGACATCGATCAGAGACAGACAGACAGAGAAATAAGCAATTCATGGATAGTTTCATGATTCGCTCGATACAAATTATTCTATGATGAATGTCTTGCAATTGAATTATGATGATGTTGACAATGTGTGTCATGTCGATGCGTCTTGTTCGATTATTTCGACGAATATTCTTTTTCGCTGATTGGAAATAGTAGAACTTTGCTAATTGCCAAATAGATGATTCACACAAACAATATCCCACTGTTACGTACTTTTTAAATACACAAAGATGCAAGACTTTGAACTGTATAGGTGTCGCTAGTCCATGTACCCAGCTTTTTCAGTGCATAGATGCTTGAAAAATGTATTCATTTTGTCATTCTATTCTGATCGAAGGACATCGACCGGAGACATGGCTAACATCATCAGATGAAAGCTTGTGTGTGTTTTGTATATCGAACTCTTTCATGGTCATTTGATTTAACAAATATTTTTTTCACCTTTTCAGATCCTTTTTTCTTTCCTTTCCTTTTCCATTCCCATCGACGGAAGTCAAAGAAATCTATCAAACTTCAACGATGGAAGTCAATGCACCAGGCACCGGCTCGTCGTTACATCTTTCAGCAAAAAATGAATTTCTGATTGGTGGTAAATACCGTCTCGTTCGTAAAATCGGTTCAGGTTCATTTGGAGACATTTATCTTGGCATCAACATCACAAATGGTGAAGAAGTCGCAATCAAACTTGAATCAGTCAAAGCACGTCATCCTCAGTTATTGTATGAATCAAAATTATACAAAATTCTGCAAGGTGGAATCGGCATTCCACATATTCGATACTATGCCCAAGAGAAAGATTACAATGTTCTTGTTATGGATCTACTTGGACCGTCACTTGAAGATCTCTTTAATTTTTGTTCCCGAAGATTTACGATGAAAACTGTACTAATGCTTGCTGATCAAGTAAATGAAACTGATCTGAATTGTACTTTTCTTCAACCGAACACGTTTTCTCTCGTTTAGATGATTGGTCGAATTGAATTTGTGCATAACAAAAACTTTATACATCGAGAGTCAGTTTTTCTTCAATTGAAAACATTTCCTATGCATTCATATCNTCTTCTCTTCCTGACGTCAAAGAGACAAAGAGAGAGAGAAGAAAAAATTCTTCGCAGGCTTGCTTGCCATACGTATACACGCACAAGCATACAACGGGCAACGTTCATTGTGAAGAGAAAAGCATAGGGCAAGCAACAGCGGCAGCAGTCGCGATTCGATATATATTCCTTCTTGTTCTCTCCTATTGCACGACGAGCTCAAGACAAAGACAAGAGGAAAATAGAAGGAGAAAGAGAGGGAAAGAGGCAAATAGATGGAAATGAAAACGACGTTGTCACCGTTGCTACTTGCTTGTTAGCAAGGAAACATTGTGAACACTTTATTTCAATGATGACAGCTAGAAGAAAATCATTTGGAGTGAGCGCAAGTCTTCTATTCATTCAGATATGAACTAATGATGCTGGTCATCATAACGACAATGACTGAAGTTAGATAACGAATTGTTAATATAAAAGTTGCACTGGAATCTCAATCTCCACTTTGAAAGCATTCAGAACACAATTATCTCCTTGTCAAGTTAAATATTGAAACAATTTATCGAAGTTCTATAGACTATTCGTACAATGACTGATATTTTTTATCAATTTATCGAGTCTCTTGATTTGCTTTAATATAACTATGGAAAAAGACAATACACGATTGCTTTCATATTGGAAAATATTTCGATATACATAATATATTCCTCTTTTTTTAATTCTTTTGAAAAGCATGGTATAAATTGTAATCTATTAATGATATAATTAATTTTGAGGTGTACAAGACCAAGCCTATCTAAAGTGACGAGTCAGTTAATTTCGTTCTTCAATGATAAAATCGGAACGTTTTTCTTTAATTAACTATGCAAATAATTGCACGAAGAATGTCAAGGAAAAGACTCATCTGTTATCGAAACGTTCACACAAGTATCAAACATGAAAATCTTTGCAAAAAATGATGTCAATCATGATAGGCAAAAAACAACAAGTTACACCAAAATAGCAATGCTATTGAAACACAATCATTTGCTTGTCTATACCTGATAATCGATTTCACCTGACGGTCTTCTATGGTGAATTATCACCGAGCAATCTTTTGAATTAATCTACTAGAACGTTAGAAACGAACTATGCTATGGTCAGAAGACGCGTAGAAAGATGTCTCGCCGTGTTACATCGAAGTATATGATGCGTTTGCACGCCTACGAAACATTGAATGGATGTTTCAATTTAGTTACGGCCGGACACGGTGATTATAGTGCGCCCTTCCCCTTCTCTTCTATCGCGTTGATGATAGATCATTTTCGCATTGAACATCATTCGTATGATTATTGTTAGGAGAAAAAGAGAACGTAGGTGTTCAGCCAGGCAGAACCAAAAAATGAGGCGAAAAGAGAAGGCTTCGTTCATACGACAGACCGTTAAATACAATCGACAAACGAATAGTAGTAAGTATCATCATTACGCATCATAATAGACAATTCTAATCGAGAAGCTACATATGTAACAAAAACTCGTTTTCATTTTCTGCGCTCGTGCTATCGAACATACGAAAAACAAACATTCATTCTAGTTTACCAGTTCCATTTGCCGATCGAACGTTTTGGTTTAACAGACAATCTGTATGTCTATTAGTTAATACTAAAACATATCGAAATATCATTTTACAATTCGTACTCGAAACACTGTCCTTGTATCTAACCTATACAATACAAATATATATATAATATTTTTTTCACCATACTCTTTCCATCTTTCACCGTCGACTCAGTCGTCCGTGACATGTCTTTGGTTATTGTATGCACGTATTGAAATATATATATATATATATATATATATATAAATTATAGTCTTTGCTCCTTAACATTACCGTGAGCTAATAAGATACGTATAGGATATTTCGTGTTTTTCTATGGCATTGAACAAACCATTCATACCTACTGATCAGGTATGTTTACTTTTCAGAAAATAAAAACAAGAGAAGAGGTGGAAATTTTTGAAAATGAACTTATCCAAAATTGTTTATTCTTTTAGAATTATTATCATTATTCAAGTCTAATGGACAATGAACGTGATGAAGACGATGAGATTGATTTAACGGTGAGTCATTCGCTCGATTTTCAAAAGAACTACCTGAAAATAATTTTCTAGTCTGTGCAAAATAAATCAACTATTTCCAATCTGCGTCCAATCGGTGGTTTTCGGCAGTGGGCGAATACACGTGAGGACATTCGTGTTGAAAATTGTTATGCTCTAAGCAATACAGAAGACTCCATTGGTCAAGACACATCGTATATCGTCAATAAAACGAAATCGGATCTGGAAGATGACACAAGTTCCAGCCGAATGGACATTTCGTCCAATCATTTCGATATTCAATTACAAGTTAATAATGGTCACTTAGGACAAGCGCTTCGTTATGAAGTGTTCTCTTCATCATCACGTAAAGATAACGGTACATTAAAATTGCATCAATCTTCGCAAACAGTTGAACCCGAAATGGATATGGATAGTGGCAATGGACGACGAAATGGAAATCATAAAGGTTACTCGCAACAATATGGTGGAAATAATAATAATAATAATAATAACTATGGTGATGGTCGAGGAAACCGACGAAACAATGGCTCATCAGGAAATGGTGGTGCTGATGGAAATGGATCAAATCCAAATCGAAATAATAATAATTCAAGACGGTAAGTAAATCCTTGGAAAACTAGTGTTCACATGGGAAGTATTGTACTTGTTTTTAGACCGAATGGTGGAGGTAATGGGGGCGGTGGTGATGACAATGACGATGATGATAACGATTCCGATGAAACTATTGCGCGTCGTATAGGTTTTCGACTTATAGATAGTGAAACAGTTCGTATTATTGGTCGTTTACGTCGTTTGACGAGTAAACAATCATTTGATCGACGAGATTTCGAAAGCGCTCAGCATTTAATTGACGAACTCATACGCTTACAGCATCTAGAAAATAGTCCGCAAGATCAACTAGAAAAAATCATCCATCATCTTAAACTTCATCGTATCCTACGCAGTAAATCTCAGGCATTAGAGTTTATACAGAAACGCCTTCCTCAACGTTACTCAAGGTCGTCGACGGAGCAAAATTCGAACGTCTTCGATATTTGGCGTGAAAGAGAACGCCGTGCAAGATTGGATTCCAAAGATAGTCTTGAAGACGAGACACAGAACACGAATGCACAACATGTTCGAGATGGATCTGAGAGCAATATCCCATCAACATCGATTCATCTGTCAAATAGCTCTTTAAATGGCTCCAAAGTTCGACAAATGGCTCGGCATATTGATACACGATCTGAATCATCTCGAACAGGTGATCATGGCGGACGAAGTTCATCTCCATCGCCTGTCAGTTTCAATCGTAGTTATGACAGTTAGTTACGAAAGTTTTTGTCAACATTGAAATCCTTTATTTTACTTTGTTTTCTGATAGATATTTATCGAGAAACATCAGTGGATGACCGCACGCGATCAAAACGAAACACCTCACCGGGACTGTCGGCCGAGCATCGTGTTCGACAAATGGTTGATCGTCTAGAATCATCGTCGTCAACAACGAATGCGAAAACTACACGACGAGTGACAACGAGAAAATCCGGTCAAGATGATCAATCGGACGGATCGATTAGTATTACAACCTCACCGCCAAATAAACGAGTAACACAACGAGAAAACTTCGAAAGCGGAATTACTAGTAATAATAATGGTGGTTATATTTTTCGTTATCGAAGTCCAAATGACGACGTCTACTTTCGAGATGAAAATGCCAATGTAACACGATTCGAACTTAATCGAGATGAAATCTTGAATGGCGGACAACGGTCAGCTATTGGCACAACTGTAAGTAAAACATCTTGTCTTTACATTATAGAATAGTGTATGGTTTTTCTATCTTTGCATAGACCGATGACTATCTCACATCATTGGTACCAGGCGCCGAAACATCCATATCGATGGTTCGTGATGTTCGTGCACGTCTTTATGAAGTTGAATCAGGAGTTGCACGTCCAGGCGTAGAAAACATTCCTGTTAAAGTCGATGTCGAAACATTGTATATATTAGAACAAAAGTCGGATAAGAAATCTCTAACAACCAATGAAAATATTCAGGTGCATAACTTGGAACAAAACCGTATCGGCGGGTCTGACCGCCATGATTTTGCCATGCAAACACCCATTCCTATAACAACAATCAAAGTATCGAATCGACCCATCGGCACACAAGTCGATTCGACTATTGAACGCAGTACGGTAGCTGCTCAAACAACTGATTCGTTACATCGACCGATTAAGGAACGACAACGATTGGCATCGACATCGCCTCTCGACGAAGGCGAAGTCAGTAAGGTTATTCGAACGACAACAACCACAACAAGATATGAAGTTAAACGGCGACACTCCAGCCATCATTCCAGTGGAGATGACGAAGATGGTGCAGGCAGTACAGTTATTTACATTGATGACAAAGAAAACTTTCAAAAGAACCCTCAGCCCATACCGGGACCACAAATTGAAAATATCGCCGAACATCACACATCTATCAATCAAATTGCATCACGTGTAATCATCGATCAAGGAAATGAAATTAATCGAACTAATGTTCGTCGTCAGATCGACCGACAAGAACAGGAAGATCACGAGAACCGTTCCTTGGAAGTTTACGAAGTTCATACACGCGGTGCATGTAAATGTCTCGTGGTATCATACGAAGAAAGAACTCAATATGGTGCAGAAACACGTTTTGAAAAACAATTAAAACGTATCGAACGAACATATACAAATGAAGAGCTCAAATCGACTGAATTGCATGTCATTGTCACTGTACCTGACAATGATTACCAACTAGTTCGTCGTGATTATGGTGCACATGTAAATGTCGCAGATGAAAATGAAATGCAAGATAAAACTATTCCACCGACAGTAACTATACATTATTACAGTAAAGAAGGACATCGAGTAAGAACAGAACATGAACGACGATTAGAACATTTACCATTATTTATTCGTTGTGAAATCGAATATGAACTTAATCATTATGGTACGTTCGTAGAGTGGAAATCGATAACTTTCTTTCGAGATCGTCAATCGAAATGATGTATTCTGTTTTGTAGGTAGTGCACAGTTAGTATTACTCGCTGCAACAAATACTGAACGTCGGCAAATGAATGTTTCCGTAAAGAAAGAAATCGTCGATGACATTGTCTCACGTACGAGTGGTCGTTTTAAACCTAACAGTCCCGAATTAGAACATGAAATATCACAACAATTAGCTGAACTAATATCTCTGTTACATCTTGTTGATTATGCGTCACGTGATGATTATCAACACAGTAATTCGGTTGATGTTCGCCGTGTGTCACGTACTGATGTCACAACATCTCTGCGTATTGTTCAGCGTTATCGAACTGTTATACATCGACTCTGTCAAATTCATCGTTCTCATCTTCGTCTAACATCTCAAGCAGAAAAACAACGTCATTTAATTCTGGTAGCACGTGATGAATACTATCTATTAGATTTAGCATCTCAGACACCGTCGGTAGCGATTAAAAAGACACAACAACAACAACAACAACATCACCAACAAGAGATTATCAAACGAGAAGTTCCTCAGAAACCATTCGATTATGCGAAATATCGTCGAGAAACTGAACAACAACAGCGCATACTTGAACAGCATTATCGACAAACTCGCACACAACAGCCACCACCATCGAAACATCAATCAGAAGCAGAATTTTATCTCGGTTTGATTTTTTTCTCATAGGAAAACATTTGTTCACAATAACTAAATTGTTTCTTTTTCGTCTTCTTTTTCTAAAACTTAGGTTCAGGACGTCGTGCACTGATCGAACGCGAAATTCATTCCATGCGTGAATCGATTCGTCCACATGAACATGCTCCACCACGTTATAAGAATGAGCCAGCACGTCGTTCATTGTCAGTTTCTTATTCTGGCGGACAACGTTATGTTCGTGCACGTATAATTCACGTCAAAGACTATTATGATGAAAGTCAACAACAAATCCAACAACAACAGCAGCAGCAACAGAATGCCAAAGAACAAGAATTGTTCGTTCGTGTTGATGATTACATAAATGAATCTGCAGCGAACTCTTTACGTCGTTCATATTCAACTGACTATTTACAAGAAGATGGACCACGCTCACGAATTCGCTACATTCGTATACCCGGAGAAACGATTAAGATTGAAGAAAAAACTACCTACGAATACCAAGGTGTTATGTATACTGATTTACCATATGCATTACGTTATTGGAATATTCTCTATATTCTTGATCGTGAAGCACGAGAAGGTCGTCCACTTGGTTCATCACTTCCACATGTTATTGTAAATGATCCATACCGAACAGTGATACCACCGTTAACTCAACAAGAGATTCGGCAAACTGCTCAACAAGTTCTTTCACCACAATATCCGGCGCAATCCTATACTGATCGAACATTACGCTGGTTTCTATCACGCGACAATCGCACTGAAGTCGAATCGAATAAGTATTTACAAACGTTACAACAATGCCGCCAACAGCAGCAACATCTCGAAAAGAAACAGGCTGGCGTTAGTGTTAGCGGCGGTGGACAAGCAGCAACGGCAAAGAAATACTACGTCACCGAAACACTTGTACGCTATGAAAAGATGCCTGATCGCTTGGTACCTGTATCTACTAATGATCGTGCACAATCAATCGATAATATTCATCATCGTTCGCCATCGACAAGTCGAACGGTTCAACAATCGTTTCACTCACAAAATCATCTAGATCGTTCTCAATCTCAACCGCGTCCGCGTATTCAACCTTCACCATCAAATCAGGCACCTACATTTCGTGCACAATTACCCACAATGCATTCGCCCTTATCACGACATCAATCAGTTCATGAATTACATGCTCCTCCAACACTGTCTCATCCACCTTCACCGTCACCTTCACTTCATAGCTTGCATAGTAATCAAAATTACTCACAACAGCATCATCGACGACCTGTGGCATTCAACAATCGTTATCCGACACCGTGTCCAAGCCAAGGAACGTCACAACAAACACAACAGATTCACCATCAACAGCAACAGCAACAGACAACACAGCAGAACTCAGTATTCACAGAAATTATCGACAGTCAAACAGGACGAAAGATTATCACGACCAGTCAAGAACAACTACCGACAGAAGTACTGGGACTTTTAAATAGATATAATTTACAATAATATAGACAAATAAATTCTTTTAGTCTATCTTTTTCTCGTTCATTTGTATTTATTTCGAATATAACATAATAAAATTCTTTGAGATTCATTCAAATGAGCCGAAAGTTAGCCAGTGCAACATCTTCCGTTGTCAGAGGTGTATCAGTATATGACACATTATTATTTTCTTCTATCTGACGTCATCATCCATGAATAAGATGATGATGCAACATTCTCTTCTTTTATTTATTTTTTTCATAATTTAGAGTCGATGTACCGAAATTAGACTGTTCGTGCATGTTACCAACGAACACCTTCAAATGTGAATGGAAATTCATTGAGTAAATATAATCAAACACTATGCATATTTCGAAACTCGTCGTCATGAAAATTTGTGAGACATTCATTTTGAGATTGATCAGAGACAGATAGATAAGCAATTCATGGATAGTTTCATGATCCTCTCGATACAAATTATTCTATGATGAATGTCTTACAATTGAATTATGATGATGTTGACAATGTGCGTCATGTTCGATTATTTCGACGAATATTCTTTTTTCGCTGATTAGAAATGGTAGAATTTTACTAATTGCCAAATAGATGATTCACACAAACAATTCCTATTGTTACGTACGTTTTTTAATACACAAAGATGGTGAGACTTTGAACTGTATAGGTGTCGCTAGTCCATGTACCTAGCTTTTTCAGTGCATAGATGCTTGGAAAATGTATTCATTTTGTCATTCTATTCTGATCGAAGGACATCGACCGGAGACATGGCTAACATCATCAGATGAAAGCTTGTGTGTGTTTTGTATATCGAACTCTTTCATGGTCATTTGATTTAACAAATATTTTTTTCACCTTTTCAGATCCTTTTTTCTTTCCTTTCCTTTTCCATTCCCATCGACGGAAGTCAAAGAAATCTATCAAACTTCAACGATGGAAGTCAATGCACCAGGCACCGGCTCGTCGTTACATCTTTCAGCAAAAAATGAATTTCTCATCGGTGGTAAATACCGTCTCGTTCGTAAAATCGGTTCGGGTTCATTTGGAGACATTTATCTTGGCATAAACATCACAAATGGTGAAGAAGTCGCAATCAAACTTGAATCAGTCAAAGCACGCCATCCTCAATTATTGTATGAATCAAAATTATACAAAATTCTGCAAGGTGGAATCGGCATTCCACATATTCGATACTATGCCCAAGAGAAAGATTACAATGTTCTGGTTATGGATCTACTTGGACCATCACTTGAAGATCTCTTTAATTTCTGTTCCCGACGATTTACGATGAAAACTGTACTAATGCTTGCTGATCAAGTAGATAAAACTGATTTGAATTGTACGTTTCTTTAACCGAACACGTTTTCTCTCGTTTAGATGATTGGTCGAATTGAATTTGTGCATAACAAAAACTTTATACATCGAGAGTCAGTTTTTCTTCAATTGAAAACATTTTCTATGCACTCATATCATTGTTTAGTATTAAACCCGATAATTTCCTAATGGGTATTGGACGACACTGTAATAAGGTATGATTTGAACATATTCATCGATTGTCTATTTTTCGTTTTCCGCTTTTTTTGTCTAGGTGTTCTTGATTGATTTTGGTCTAGCAAAGAAATATCGTGACAATCGAACTCGACAACACATTCCCTATCGAGAAGATAAAAACTTAACTGGTACAGCGCGTTATGCATCTATCAATGCCCATCTTGGTATTGAACAAAGGTAAGTCGGATGAGATGGGAGAGAAAGGTCTATGATTGATATTTTTATGCTGATTTTAGTCGTCGTGATGATATGGAATCGTTAGGTTATGTTTTGATGTATTTTAATCGTGGTTCATTACCATGGCAAGGTCTTAAAGCAGCAACTAAAAAACAAAAATACGAAAAAATATCCGAGAAAAAAATGTCAACTCCTGTCGAAATTCTCTGCAAAGTAAGACGAGCGGAAGCGTCGAGTTCTTATCCACTCACATTCATCTGTTCGGTTTTAGGGATTTCCAGCCGAATTTGCTATGTATCTAAATTATTGTCGAGGTCTTCGTTTTGAAGAAGCACCCGATTACATGTATTTACGTCAATTGTTTCGCATTTTGTTTCGAACATTAAACCATCAATATGATTATACATTTGATTGGACGATGCTCAAACAAAAAGCAGCCAATGCGGCATCCTCAACTACGACTGCAGCAACTGCTACAGCTGGTAATACCGCGGCAGCAACTGCCGGTACAACAACTGTAGCACAAGCATCTTCAAGCGCGCAAATGGCGATGATAAATACGGGCAATAATGGACCGACATCAGGTAAAGGGGGAGGAAAAACTGAAGATGGCACCGATCATGATGAACCGTTCCTTGCCGCCACACATTCATCAAGTGGACCCGACTGATAGAAAAAAAAAAGTAGAGAGACCCATAGCCATGCCATTTCATTGTTCACTAACTGCCACACAGAATGCATTTTACGCTTCATTGTTTTTTTGTCTTCTGCGCGCGTTGTTTTTCTAACGGTGCTGGTCGATCACAATTTTTGATCTTCATTGATTAAGCCCGTTACTTAATCTATTTTTTATTTTGTTTTAGACATACCAAAAACAAATAACAATGAATAGAAATGTAGAATAAATCACATATACACATGCAACTGCACGTCGTGTCGTTTATCTTCTTTTCTTTCTTCTCTCTCTTTTTTTCTGTCACTCATTATCTGTACTCGTTCTTGCTCTTCTTTTCTTCTTCTTTTTTGTCTATCCTGATCGAAAGTGTAAATGCCGTCGGCTTCCTCTACTTTACTTTTTTTTCCTTTTTTTTTCTCATGATTATTATGATGAACATGATCGGCAGCAGTGAATTCTTTCAAAGAATGCAGCTAGACGGATGCTCTGATATGACTCAAGACAACGAAACAGCCAAGTCTACTTTCGAATTAATGAAATCATGTACAGAAGATTTAATTTTTAAAGATAAATTTCAAACAACGATCAAATATTTTCTTTGCAATTATTCAAAGGCCAAATAACTATTTTTCTTGTTACACATCGCTGCATTTCTTTTGCTTACTCGATGCTATCGTCATATACATTTTCAAAACAAATCAACAGTAGCAAACCTTGATCTTTGATTTGACAATCAAATCGATTCCTATACACCTTTTTTTTCAATGAAGTACCAAAACAACATTCGGAAATGATGATATCTTAACAAATACGATCGTGTCGAAAACATCAATCTGAGCATCGTGTGTAACAGAACATAGCTTCACGTGTTGGTATTCGAAGGAAAGATAGAGAAAATTATTTGAAATGAATATGACTATCGTTGAATTTAGAACTAACAGATCGTACGTAAAAGATGTTCTATTTTTGCATTAATTTATTTGCTGAAAAGAAAAATTCGATGTTTTATGGGAGGGTTTTAACGTATCCTAAAACCCAGTCACGGAAAGCTGAAGTACGAGTGTACACACCACCATCACCACAACCATAACCCTAAATAGATGTACATATTCCATGGATATTTCTGTTGATGGAAGAATCACTTACCCATGAAGTTAAACCAACAATGTACCATTTACCATTAGCATGTTTAACAACCAATGGACCACCGGAGTCACCTTGGCATGTATCTTTACCTTTTCCAGTATCACCAGCACAGATTTGTGTTGCGGGATTTAACATATTGTTGGTTCCACCGAATTTTGATTTGCATGCAGCATCGGTTAAGATTGGCATGGCAACTTCCATATGAATGTTTGAAACACTGCCACCAGAGTATGTTGAACCCCAGCCAGTAGCCCAACTTTCTTTACCTTCATATGTATCAGTTGCAGCTGGATAGCAAACAGGCATGTTGTAATTGTCAGGAACGATGTCTTTCTAAACACCAAGTTCATCGTTTATGTTAAAGAACTACATGCAGCCTCGGGAGTAAAAGAAACTCACTTCGAGTTCGAAGAGAGCGATATCATTTTGAATCAATCGGCTGTTGTAGCTTGGATGTTTGATAACAGTGATTGATTTGATATGTTGGGTGTAGGTTTCCTAGAAAAAACGATTTCATTGTCTATAGATTTTCATCTTGTTTTCTTTTTACGTTTTTGTTTAATTCGTGGCTACCACAGTTCCATTGATAGTTTGCGGCGACTAATGAACTTCTACACAATGCCAAGGGAAAAAATCGTTAGCATTTCAGAATCACTTCCAACAAATATTAGACTTACACGCAGTGAGCAGCAGTGATGACCCATCTGAGGTTGATCAATGATCCACCACAGATATGACGACCGTTGTAACGCATGGAACACTATCAATCGTATAGCACACTCATATATAATCTGTAGCGATGTAACTAGTAATGAATACTTACAGACCATCCCCAATCACCACGAGTAGCGACGTTACCACCGACGACTTTGTCGCTGTTAGGTTTAATTGGACGATCACCACATTGAGCTGCAACGTATACGTTGAGCACTCCTATGCAATGACCGGCATTGAAAGTGAATATATTCGAAACTCAGCCATAAAATCTTACCGAAGAGAACACATACAAGGGTAGTGACAATTTTCATGTTGTCTTAATCGACGATGTTTGTGAAGAGAATGGAGGTAACGATGCCTATTTATTGTGAAAAACTCTGACTGTAAAAATAGTGCGTGAGCGTGAGAATCCGAACAGCTGAGTGTCCTTTCTGTGTCTGTTTATTAAAAGAACTATCTATGTGATGATATGGCACTTTGTGAATTTATTATTACTTTATTGTTCTTAGTAATCAAGGACAGCATTTGACAAGATGCTGAAGTTCGCATCGTATGCTGCAGATATGAAACACGAAACATTTGCATTTTTCCCTTAAAAATCAAAAACCTTTATTTTTAACTACGCACATCGAAGTGCAAAACATTGTGTAACGGATAATCGTAAGCCATCCACTAATATTTTTCAGAAGGAGGTCATATTTTCGCAATAGTAACAAAATCAGATTTTCACTCTACCGCACGATGCTATTCGAAAAACAAACACGTGTTGTATTGATATTGAACTTCATATGTCGTAAAAGGCAATATACTTTTTAACTCGCTGAATGTTTATGCGAGTAGTACTTTCTCGAACCTGTATTCTGTTCTGGATTAATACCAGTGTGTGTGGTTTTTGTTCCCAGCGTCATTAAGGTCGTTGACAAAACGAATAGGATATTATTGGATAAAAAGTACTCCTGTTCTTAACTGTTCGGTGGTATCTTACAGAAATACCAGACGTAGAGTGAATCGAAAAAAGACTTGTTATATAATGTTCAAACTGCAACATAAAATTCTTTCTCATTTAGAAAACCGAATCTGATCAGATGACGTGAAACGTTTTCGTGATCATTCGTTTCGAATGATTGTGTTTGTGGAAGCATGTCACTGTATGTTTCAAGAATATCTGTATGCATTACGATATCTGCAACACATTTTGGTGTGTACAATTCTTCAGTATTATGTTTTACAGACACAGAATCGATTGAAATTTCGATCGTTTATTCGTAAAATTACGCAATGGATATCAACTGATAACAAGTGATTGATGACTGTTTCTGTATATACAATAACTGATAAGAAAATCATGATTCTTGAAAATGACTTGTATGATTTTTTTTTCATGTGTAATCATGAAAGAGGGCAAAACAGCTCTGGTATTCTCATATTCATAATAAAATTTGTCTATTCAGCGACTGTTTACCGTTTTATAGTTGAAAACACACTTCTTTTTCATTCTTTTTGGCAATAGACAAAGAAATACTAATATGAATTATGTTTCCATAACAATATGTGCGTTTCGTAAACGATCTTACCCTCTGTTTTGCGAGACACAGTGAGAAAGAAAGTAAAAAAGGTCGAGACAGGCTTGAGAGAAAATGACATGGAGAAGAAAAACAAGACTGACGAATGTTGTTGTCACATTTATTATAAAAATTTAAAAACTCAATTCTCTTAAATTTTCTTTGTTCGAAAATCCAATGGAAGACGATCAATTGTATCGTGGGCGATTTGACCATGTCGGAAATCGTCAGTTGAATTCAATACGTATATTTGTTAGTTCAACGTTTACGGGTAAATTGCTAGGAAACAGCGCTTTCACATAAAATACCGTGAGCATTTGCTCTATTCCTGTTGATAGACACTGCCGAGGAACGAAATGGTCTCATCGATCTTGTTTATCCTCGACTGCGAGATTATTGTTTAGCGACGTACAACGTTCAGTTTCAGGTATGAGTCTTCGCGTTTATCAACATGTCGAAAGAGATTTCGTTCGTTTTAGTACTCGGATATGCGTTGGGGAATTCAGTCGACTGCAGCGAACACTCATGCAACAGTTGATATGTGTCTGAATGAACTGGATACCTGCTGTCAATTATCCATGGCTACCAACTGTATTGTAAGACTTGCTTTTTGACTGTTTCTCTGTCTTTACCTTTCTCGTCGATTGTAAGGTTTTGTTAAGTCATCGATATGGAAGTCGTTTTTCACCGGCATGGATTCCTGAACATATTTTTCATTCGTTCGAAAAATGCCTAGCTTCGAATCTCGAAGAGAAAATGCATCTCTCTCAAATGTATCGACTGGATGAAAACTTTCTTGAGAAACGGTATTTTCTTCGATCAATTGAAGATCAAGAACAGTGGGACGAATCCGAAAAAAAATTACAAAACATCCTACGCAAAGCAGCGGACCTCTGTTATGAACAGAAGTTGATCACGAAAGATGAACGCGACGACTTTCATATCTCAGGTAGATATACATTTCAGCAAAACAGGACAGAAATATCATACCATCAAGCATTGATGTTTAGTCACAGCACAGGAAATCTATCGTGCTCTGAAGAATAACAAAGATAAAACTCGACGAATGATCTGCTTTCTTCGAGAAATTCATGATATTGACCAACTTGATTCGAAATTTCAAGAAACGGGAAATATCACTGAAATTCAACAGTTACTGAAAAATGTCAAAACTGACCTTCATCAGGCACTTGATCCATCCGATGTTTACACCTACCAAGTCAGTCATAGACTTTCTTACGGTTCTGTGCAATATCCTTATTTCGGATTAGGTACGATGGAAAGACGATAGCGATCGAACGAAATATCTCAATCGATTTTTCGAAGAGTTTTATCAAGCTGTGAAAGCACAAGTTGATCTTCACTTGAAAATCTACGAACGCAAAAGAGACGACAAACTATACAATCAAGTGCTCGAACATGCCATCCAATCGAATCTACTTGCCGAACGATTCTTTCCTCGACCGGAAATTTTCGAACAAGTAATTGAAAAATAATTCTAATCGATACATCGATGTGTAATTCTATAGATTAAAGCCTATTTGACGTCAACCACAAATGAACCGTGCGTTTTAGTCGGTGAATCAGGAACTGGAAAGTCATCGATTATGGCCAAGATCGTCAATGAAGTAAGTTACAACATTGCGCTCTTCGAAACTATGATCCTGTTCTTCAACGGCTGGTAGATTCCGAAATGGTACCCGCAATCGAATTCTATTTCTGTGATCGTTCGTTTTCTCGGTGCTACTCCTTCTTCAAGTGACATTCGTCGACCGCTGATATCAATAATTGAACAAATTTGTCTGATTTATCATTTGGATCGACCAATGAGCTCCGATAATGTGAAAGAAACTCTTGAGAATATTCTACAATACATTCCTAAAAACGAACATCTTGTTCTACTCCTCGATTCTTTTGATCAACTTCAAATAAGTGACTTGACAGATTTATCCATTTGGTTACCTGAAAAGTTTCCGACGAATGTCAAATGCATTCTCTCAACCATTGCCGAAATCGAAATGGACAACAAAACTTATCGAATTTACGACCAAATCAAAGCTATCTACAAAAACGAACTCATCGAAATCCAGATCAAACCGTTCAATGAACAAATCGCTCAACAAGCTTTTCAATCCTGGCTTGAAATAGACCGACGTTGTCTAACCCCAATTCAATACGAATGGATCAAACCGAAATTCAATCTTCGCCATTACGCCACTCCCCTCTTCATCTCATTAATCTACGATCAAACATTAACATGGCATTCCTATGACGACACACCTGATAAAGCATTTCTATCCATCAAGAATACACGTGATGCGATTGGCTATTTGTATAATCAATTAGGTATCAAACATGGTCAGATGTTGTTTCGACGTGCGATGCGATACGTTCAGCTAGCTGGTGGGTTGAGTGAACTTGAAATCGAAGATATTCTGTCATTAGACGATGAAGTCTTACAATCGGTATTCGTTCATTATTTACCTCCCTTGGGAATATTTCGTTTACCATCGAATCTTTGGATCCGAATTCGAAATGATATGCATAAATATTTGGTTGAAAAGGATATTGATGGCATTCCATGTATCTATTTGTAAGTTATCGCTTGCATACGATCTGTATTAAATATTCTTGTTTGAGTTTAGCTATCATCGAAGTTTTCAACATTATCAGCCAATGAATGTCAAACAGCTCATTCTTGACGGTGAAGAAAAAGAGATACTCGAAAAGATTCGTCTGGCTTACTTTTCCAATGAATATAAGTCAACGTTTGATATGAGTTATTCGTCGAAATTGGTGAAAAAATACAATTTACCAACAATGATTATCTCCGTGAATCGATGTTTAACTCAACAGAAACCGTGGAATTATTCGCACTACAATCTTCGACGTCTACATCAACTGTGTATCAATATAAATCGATATGATTTTGCTCATCGTTTTACCATGTTTGACTACGACTTTCTTTCAACTTACCTTCTCTGTCGTGAATTTCAAATGTCTGATTTACTCTACGATTTCTCAGTCGGTGCTCTTGATCCCAACGGTGAATTACGATTTCTCTTGAAACAATATGAAGCATCTACACAAATACTAAATCAATATCCTACAAATCTATCGTTTGAGCTGATCTATCGTTTGCATTCATTTATTCATCAACTACCTGATTTAACCTTGAATCTTCTCGCACAATGCATCAATCATTGTCCATTACGATTGTTAACAGACAATGAACGACAACAATCGCTTGTCGAACTTTTGCTATCGGATATAATCGATTTAGCGATCGATGCACATCGCGTGTTTGTTTTGACCTCGAATGATAAGTTATATGTATTCTCTCATCATTACTATGGTTTGCTACGAACAGGTTACTTTGATATATCGTACAAGAAACGAGGTGGCAAAGAACGATTAGTTTCGTTTTTATGTCAATATCCGTATATATGTTGCCTTTCATCGAATTCATCGATGGTTGTGCTAGATTGTGAAGGAAAGCAAGTCACGATGCAAACATCGTGTGGAAAACTAATCTCGTTTCTCGATGATGAACATATTCTTCTCGCAACAGCAATGAATGACATGTTAGAAATATGGAATTGTTCGAAAAACTGTCTCGTGTCAACCTACGAGTTCCCCGATGATATTATTGTCAATTGTACGTATAGAAAGCCCGTTGTCCGAGTGACATTAGAACGAAATGAAATCGTCTCGTATTTGACAATTGATGACGATCACCAATTTCAATTATATCGAGTAACGAATGAAAGACTGCCGAATGGTGACCAGGAGATCTTCTTGAATGACCATGCAGAATTCTGCTATTCGTTTAAACATCCCAAAGCAACGTTAATTCTGACTGATGAAAATAAAGCTAGACAATTGATTACCAATATTGATTTTCAGTCTCCACCAATATCCGTTGTCTATCTTTCGAATAGCAAATCGATTGCATGGTTGAATCGAACATCATTGATGATCTTTCATCCGTTGTATGATGAGAGGATCTTCCAGCCCTTTTCTATTTTTAACACAGATGCGGACATAGAATATGATGTTATCCATGATAACGCACCGGCAGGAGATTTCGAAGGCCAAAGTTATTTCTTAGTGGGATTTTGTAAAACCAAAGGTTTGATTGATGTATTTGAATGGCGATATTTATCAGAAGAGCAACGTCATGAATATCGGCAATTAGTTCATCTTCAACTTCCCATATCGATCGATCAATGTGTGTTCACAGCAGGTAAGCGAAACTCGATAGAAGATTACGTCTAGTCTATTCTTTTCGAAATATAAAACATCAGGCTGGTTCGATGGTATCACTCTCTACTGTTCGGACAAGAATTCTATTTACAAATATAACGCGACCATGCTAACGTACCTCCATGCATCGAAATCAGTTGTTCCATCCTTGTCAATTGATCATTTGCCAAAGATTTCTTCCGATCAATATTTGACGTTTACAAATAAAGACCAGTAAGTTTCAACTGGCAATGCATTCTTTTTCGTAACAATTGCCATTTTCTTAGTTATTTTCAAATTATGACTTTAAATCCAACTACTCATACATTCCAGTTATGTCTTTTAATTCATGGTATTAAACAATACCAATTTTCTCAAAATTCTTCATCCATTCTACTGGTCAGTAGAAAGAACATTGTATCGGTTTACTCGTTAAAATCATCGAAATTACTATGGACAACGAATGAATTTGAGCATCGACGATTACAAATTCATTCGTTTCAATCATCTTTTCTTCTAGTTTGTCTCCAAACTAAACAAATCTTCTTGATCGACGGAAGCTCATTCGCTATCCAATGTCTGCAACCACTTCTCATCGAATGCTGCTTAACTACTCTGGCATCGGATAACCGATTGTATGCATTATCCAACGATCACGACCATCTGGTCGAATTGAATCTGAATAACAAAAACATGAGAACGATTTCGTTGACATCTTTGAATGTGGTGAAAATTGCTCAAATGTACTCAGTTGACAACTATCTGATCTTTCATACAGATGATGATCAAGTATTTCTCTGGCACAGAGAAACAGAAATGATGACACAACTCGAGTCAACTGGACGTTTGTTGATCAAAAATAATCAATTGCTTCTCGTTAGTAAAGATAACAAAAACATCATAATCCATGATCTGAAGAAGAGTTCTCGTCAAAACATCCAGATCGATGATGAAATTGTCGATTTCTGCATAAAAAATGACGATTCGGAAACCTATCTATTTGTTATTTGTCAAGATCGATTATTACGAATGTATCAAGTATCGAATGGCAAACAGATTTTGAAGTTATTCATTCATAAAGATGTGAAACCATTTATTGGCATTCTTCATGATCATTTATTATTAAAAGTAGCAAACCATTTATGTTTAATTCAAATTCTGAATAAAAACACTTTACCACCAAAGTAAGATCGATCTTTTCGTGAAGTCGCTTCAATTAATCATCGATTGATTTTCAGAAGATCACTTGATACCTGTCTATTGTTTCAAGAATCCATGTGGATGACATGTCACCATCATCATTGTTCTTGGCTGAACGCACTTACCGCCTAGAAACATTGAGCGACGCTGATTCGAACTCATTCACAAATCAATTATTCTTTTTCGTTACCATTTATTATTGTAAATCGAAACAGCGTCCTTGTCTGTCTCGTATTTTTGTCTGGTTGAAAGAAAGTAATGAGTGACAACATATACAATAAAATTTATGAAGAAAAAAGGCCTTATCAAAGGAAACAACAGTATAATTATTGATTGTTTCGCTCGACTGCTTCCACAGAATGTCGATCTTTTCTCTTTCTCTCGCATTATTCTTTCGAATTAAACAAGTCACACACAGCACTCCATGTGAGTAGCACATACGTAAGTAAATCAAGTGCGAAACATAGTTGATCTTGTTCGTTTGTATATGATAGAATAGTTAATGTGAAGGACATAGCAAGTGATCAACAAAAAAAAAGGTTGCTCATATCAATCGCTTATTAATAATGAATGGCCTCAGCTTTAATCATGTTAAACCGGCGCATATTGACAAATATTTTTATACATTATCGGATCTCGATATGAAAAATTTGAAGTGTTATCTGAAAGAACAAAGTCGTTCACTCTCCGACTTGACAAATCTTGAAAACAATGATCAAGACGATATATCTTTAGATTATTATGTTAATAGAATATTAGCAGATATGTCGGAGCCTGTTACCGAGAACTATCGATATCATCATCATCACCAACACCACCATCATCATCGTCATCAACCGACTACAAAACGCGCATATGATGAATCGATACGATCGCTTCCAACTGATTACAGCGACACGTTTGCAATAGAACTTGCGACATGTGGACTGCAAAAAAATGTCAAACTTCCGATTCCTTACGAAAACTTCTCTCTTTCGAATGGAACATTTGGTGACGATGCTGGTTTTACGATGCAACGTGATCAGTATACTTTTATCGGTAAAATGAAATATTCCTAAACTGAAATGGTTTCGTGTTGTTTTTTCTTTCTTTTCTTTCAGGAATATCTGACGGTGCTGGTGGTAATTTGATGTATGGCTATGATCCACGCGTATTCTCAGAAGCGCTAATGCGTCATTGTTCTGAATTATCCCAAACCGGAAAATATTCGATATCGGAACCAAAACGTCTCCTATGCGATGCCTTCGATCGTGTTCAAGCCGAAAAGTGTTTTGGTATGTATAATTTTCCCTTCGATTCTCTTTTCTAAAAGATGTTCTTTCAAAGGTAGTGCAACAGCATGTGTGCTCAGCATCGATGGTCAGACTGGTCGACTCCATTCAGTGAACATAGGTGATTCAGGTTATGTTATTGTTCGACAAGGTTATGTTGTTTATCGATCACAATCACAAGAAATGAATGGGGATTGTCCAAGACAATTAGATGTTTATCCATGGACTGCATCATTGAAAGGACAAGGTCTTAATTACACGCAAATATCGTATGTTCTAAAGACAATTTTTCTTGTTTAGCCTTGTCTAGTCGATTAAGAGAGCAAAATATTTTGTATTTTTTTTCCTACTTATTGAGTGTAATTAGTCTTTGTGCAATGTACGATTATTAAGATTGACAAAACAAGTGAATTTTTTCTGTTTTAGTGTCTTTGATGCTATTTGTCAAACATTTGAGTTGGAATTGAATGATATTATCATTCTATCGACAGATGGTCTTTTCGACAATGTTTCAGATTTTCAAATCGAACAAATTCTGGCACGAGTTCGTTCAATTGCGTAGTACTGCTGGATTTTGCTATGTTTTTTTTCTCTTTGTTTTCTAGAGTAATTCGTTGAAACAAGCAGCAAAGGAATTGGTAACTTATGCTGTCCGATACTATGTCAAGCCAGATGATATTCTTGTCCTTATGGCACGTGTGACAACAAACACAAACTTGCTATATGCATAAAGAGTCGCTATGCTTATCTTCAAGATTTTCGTTCTTTTCATTTGTATCACAAAAAAGTTTGAAATATATTTTGAAAGAAACGAATGTGTTCATGATTAGACGGATGTCTCCATTAGAATTTCAACGATAGTTTTCAGTTTTATTCGAGTAACAAATAACAAACCTTTTCAAACATAGCAACTTTATAATTTCACATAACTAAATCAACAGAAAAGAAGAATGCTCCTAGAAGGCCTTTTTCAATGCATCGATATTTTTCTTGTAGCTATCTTTCATATTTTGGACTTTTTCAGCATAGATCTTTTCACCTTGAGCTGCCCATTTTCTCATTAGTTTGCGTTGGCAAGTATTTTGTTCATCGGACAAGTTTCGACTGCAAGCAATTGTCGAGAGTTCTTGTTCAGTACAAAGATCAATCATGGCTTGAACATTTTCTTTATCCACATCGGCAGTTTTTTCAACTATGTTCAAGAATTTGAATAAATTCGAATCAGTGATCATTGTAGACAATTGAATAAAAGGTGAACATGAACTAAAACTTGCGATGACATTCGATGTCATTTTTCCATCGAAACACTTATCCAATACATCATTTGTGTTGCCTGATAAAACTGTTGCAAATAGATTGGATTGTTTGTGAGGACAGCATTGGGTAATTACGTCACAAGTAGTTCGAATAAAACGACGAGCTATCTCAGGTGTATATTTGAGAAAATCTTGTTCAAGTTTGTTAATTTCGACTAAATCGGTATCGATAGTTAATGATGCAATAACGATCAAACTTGCAAAGAAAATCACAATGGACGAAAATGTTCGCATGGTCTTGTTGTATGTATTCAATAGTGTAATGACGATAATCGATGAATGTAAACGGTGAAGGACAAAGATCGTTGATGTGATTCTGCCTAGTCAAAGCTCGAAAATTGAATTTCTTTTTCTCTATCCAACATATACGAAAGGAGTGCAAGCACGTGGGAAAAATATACTTCATCAGTTTGTTTGCTAAATGTTTCTCACCCATCTGATATTTCGGTCAAACATGTGCTTACCGTATCACTATCAAAACATCATTTCATGATTTCTTTCCACTGTAAAGGCACCATTTCGAATCGGACGATGCAAAATGTGTCATATAGAACGTCACATCTGTTTCTCGACAGGGGAAATAACGTTGAAATCAAAACTGGGTGTTAGTTAAAGGAAGTAACAGAAAGTTACTTGTGTGCGCTCGTTGTGGAGCACAAAACAGAACATTTTGAAAAAAAGAATGGCGACGAGAGTGAGATTTGAACTCACGCGGGCAGAGCCCATTAGATTAGCAGTCTAACGCCTTAACCGCTCGGCCATCTCGTCGGAATAAGTCACCGGCGACTGATTCCATAAGCTACACAATAAATTATCTGACGCTCTTCATCGATAAGATTGATTAAGAATCAATAATTTTCACTCAATTTTGTGAAATTATGGAGAAAAAAAATTATGGTACGTTCTACAGGCGAACACTCGATATGTAATATTCAAAAAAAGTGGCGACGAGGGTGAGATTCGAACTCACGCGGGCAGAGCCCATTAGATTAGCAGTCTAACGCCTTAACCGCTCGGCCACCTCGTCGGATTTGACCTAAGGAGAACAAAATTTCAATTTACAATATTATCTATTTTATTTCTAAGGCAGCAATAAATACAAGCAGTGCAACACTTTATTTATCTGAGAAACAATTCGTTAAATTGCTCATAGCTATTTTCTCTGATATTCTGTTGTTCTGTACTCATATAATCTGGCAGAATTATTTCTTGCTTGTGGTCGGATTCTTCTGATGATGCTGAGATCAGTTCATTTGCTTCGAGAATCTTCTGTTTGTTTTCGCTTGAATCATCATGTTCTGCAGATTTGCTGTCGTCTACTGAAGCTTCGATAATGTTATCCAGTGCATTATTTTCGAACAATAGAGCTAAAAGTGACGAAATCAAACGAGATAGGTTTTATACGAAAATTGTCTTCTTACGAGCACAATTTATGTGATTGGCAACCATGCAGAGAGATATGAGTATCAGTAGAATCCCGTTGATTTGCATGATGATTTATGCTGAAATAAGACAAGAAAAAAAGAAATTTATATAAGGGGATAAAGGTTTATACTATGACGTCAATGTGAAATGATCACGTTCATGATTTTTCCACAAAAGGCGTAGTCTCTTTTTCCTCTGACGTTTGTCTTTGCTAATTTTACCAGGAGAAATATTGAACTATGATTAAAAAAGCAGAAGGAGTCAATATTAGTCGGTTTTACCATAATCACGCGTGTGAAAATATTAGTTTGTTGATGTCGGACTCCTCTCGCCGTCGACATTCTCGTTTCTTGTTCAATAAAATCAGTCAATGTATTTAGTAATTGGTCACGAATGCCTAAGATATCCTTTTATTATAGTCTTTCCGCTAACATGAAAAACGAATAAAAGAAATTAAACATAGCTTATGTGAAAAAAAACGAATGTCTTTGTTCAAAAGAAAGAAGAAATTAACAATGACGTTAAATCATTATTTCAATGTTAAGCTGTTTCTAATTCAATTAATATGATGTTACTCCGAAACCAATTGGATAGCCTTGAATTTGTGGACCATAACCGCCAGCAACTGGTAGACCTGCGCCATAACCACCAGCAACTGGCACACCTGTGCCGAAACCTCCGACTGCTGGTACAGCAGCGCCATAACTGCCTAATCCAGTAAGTCCACCAAGTGCACCAACTGGATATCCACCACCATACGATCCGTAGCCACTGTTGACAAATTGTTGATAGGCAAGACCGAATTGCTGGGTCCAGGGAACCAAGATGGTTATTGCTGGTCTGCCACCACCAAGGCCAAGACCGGGTCTACGGAAAGCGACTGTAGTTGTGGTATACATTGTTTGTTACGATAAATTTCTAAATAAACGTATACTAAATGTTGTTCTTATGATATATTTATTTTCGACTAATGATATATAAATAATAATGCGGTTAAAGAAGGACTGATATATGTGATTGGTTACATATTGATAAGGAAGAGAGACACGCGTGCATTCAGCTGGAACATCGAGAAATATATTTGCTAATACATGAATTGCTTTTTTCCTTGAGAGAGGGATAGAAATAGGTAAGCTTTCGCTAAATCGCTTGAAGATGACGATAAATAAGAGAATAGTAAACATAAGAAAAGTGAGACAAAAACCCCAAAGAGAGAGAGAAAGAAATAGTGAGAAAAAGAAAACCAAAATCCAGTCTTGGCGAGTAGTCTTATTCAATAGACAAGCAATAATCTAATAGAATAGATACAACGTCAATTTTTCCTGACAAGAGAGAAAGAGAGAAAAATAGATATAGTTGTATCAGAAAATATGCACTGGACGATTACATCGTATGAAGAGAAAAAAATCTTGGCTTGAAAAGAAAATATGTAATTAAGGCTTTGAGGTATTTTTTTCTCCATATTATACGTTTTTGAAGGTTATATGTACAATAAAAATATTCATTCGATAAGTGGTATCTAATTAATAGTATCAAGTAATCGAGAGAAACTTTTCGATTATTATGATAAATAAAATTGAGTGAAAGAAATGAAGGAAAACGACATAAAGATCAAATTTCTCTAAAATATCATTAAATACATTTCATGTATGTTTATTCGAAGATAACCGTGGAATTATGTAAAGTTTAACGATGACATTCAAGTAAACATATTATTGGATAATATACTTTCTTTTCGGACTTATCTGATTTATGTGGCTTTTTGCGTTGGAGTGAAAAACAAGTCAAAATAAAACAGGCATCTCATTAAACATTGATCAGTGCACTGAACCGTAGAAAAGTTTGTTTGAAACAACAATACCGATTTATCGAAAAACCCTATGATGACAATAGAGCTACGTACATCACACAAACAATATGATCGATTCGAATAATATTTCGACAGAATGTTTGCAGGCACATTCGTTTCTTCGTATGATCGTGCACTTAGAGTATACGAACTATTCGATTATATTCGTGGGTATCTCGTTTGAACCATTTCTGATGGTGGAATATCTCATTCTTTTTTACCGAACGAAATCGACTGGATTTTTGAAGAGAGAATCGAGTTTTTATGATCTTATTCAAAAACGATTCGTATTTGTCGCGATTCTTTCGCAAGACTTGTACTCGTATTAAATATACACTCTAAGTCCTATATGATGTGTAAACGTGCAATAATATGTTTGGCTCTCAATGAAGTACATCAATATTCATTCTATATCGAGATTTCTTTCGAAAATGGGTGACAGAGGAATAATCGAATTAACATCGTTCTAATGAATATGATCAATAGCATCTTTCGCTAATTTGATTATCGGCTCATCTAATGTGTGTCCACGCCGTCTTCGATGTAATACATGTGCACAGCGATATACAGACATTTGATCTGATTCATTTGATTTAACAAATTCGAATTGTAAAGTAAAATATCGAATGCAATAATTTGTTAGGATCTTTCGTATTGTTCGTCCGTATTCATTTGTACATGTACTTAACAGAATGTCTTGATCGCAGACCAAATGCATTGTAGCATAGATTTCTTTAGCTGACGCTCTAGGAAAGCCATCTTTAAGAGAATTTATTAAAAATATCGAAGTAAACCTACCTCCAAATGTGACAACTATGTATGCTTTTTATTTCCGGAATGGCTTTGACAATCTCTTCCATTAATATGCGAGTATCAATACCACCGGGCACATTTTCGATTAAAATCGCACTTATCGACCAAATCACCGGGATAGCACGAACAGCAATGATAACAACCATAATTAAAGTTAGACATGGATCGATATATTTCAGCCAAATGTTGATATCTTTATGTGTCACTGAATCTTTGTGTGGAATGAAATGAATTAGTAAACCGGAGACTACGACAATTAATGATTCCAATAAGACTACCTGCAGAGATACTAGAGAAGATAAGCTACGAAGTGTATTGAATGAAAAATCTTACGAATGAATGTAAACATAGGGCATGCAGAGTCGCATAGATTCTTGATTCTTCGATTTGAACATATTCATATGTGAATGCGTCGAGTTCAGGTAGTGGTTTTGTTTTGATGTCGACAGTTGTATCCGTGGTGACTTGTTCACTCGATGGGATTTGTGATGCTAGTAATGGTGTTTCTACAATCGTATGTGGCTGTGGCGTATCCGGTGATTTCTTTTTCGGTTTCAAGTGCTTACTCGTCCAATGCAGAAAATCGACTTTTTTCTTTGCGTTAATTTCTTCTTCGATATCGTGATCGTGATGGTAACCCCAGAACATAATCATTCCAAGTATACCAATGAATATTCCGCTTATTCCCAGAATGATCATCAACATAGGATCATTGACATGAATGGGATTGACTAAATGATTCACCGCATCGACAATAATGCCCAAGGATATCGAGAGAAGAAATACTTCTTGAATTAAACCAAATAATAATTCTAAACGTTCATAGCCAAATGTGTTGTTTTTCTTCGTATAATTTCCGTACGAATAACGAAGTACTATCATGACTCCAATCAAACATAAACCCTCTGCGAATGAATATAATCCATCGGCGATTAAGGAATTCGAATGTGTACGAATGCCATAGATGATTTCAACTATTGCTGTTGAAATGGTTAGGATAAACATAATGAAAACTCGAACATTTTTCGAACAGACGGTATGCTTGGCTGACCGGAAACACTCAACAACTGACATAATAGAAAAAGATCCATCGTTCTAAATGTCGACTTTGGCAAGAAAACTTACTCGATGGCATTATTTAAGGTTATTCGATGTGAATCAATAGTCATGTAAATGCGATTTCAATGTGAAGAGCGATCGGGAAAAGACGTGTGAGAAGGACAAGTGATTTTTATTGTGCGATGTTTATCGAGTGATACGCGCGTGTATATATGTATGAATGCAATTGCAAAAGAATGAATCAATCAGGTCAGTCAAGTATATGTCAAAATCACGGTTTTTGAATGTTAATCAGCATGTCTTATAGAAGAACGCGTTTTTATTTTGCAATCTGGCAGCTTGTTTTCTCTTTGCTTTGCAAATAGGAACAAGGCAAATATCCGTTGGATACCCAAACCGTTCTTATTTAGAATTACCCTTGATATCATTTTTCTCTCTATTGTTTTCATTGAATTACGTATGAAAGAATCGCATTATTCGTCAAGGTTTGCTTTCGTATCGAAGACGCGTTCGGTACCTTATGACATAAGAATGTGAAACAAACATCTCGACGTCGAGTCTGTTTATGTTGTTCAGTATGAAAAAGTCATTAACCTTTTTGTGATCAATAAAAACAACTATGAATTGATGTCAAGCATAGCAATTAATTTGTATTAAGTTAACAGGTGATTTGCCGTTCAGTCTTCTTTGGTAATTAACGTACGACAAAGTATGAAATAGTAATGATTTAGTATTTCTCTCTCGTTCTCGACCGATGGAACTNTTTCTGTTTTAGTGTCTTTGATGCTATTTGTCAAACATTTGAGTTGGAATTGAATGATATTATCATTCTATCGACAGATGGTCTTTTCGACAATGTTTCAGATTTTCAAATCGAACAAATTTTGGCTCGAGTTCGTTCGATCGCGTAGTACTGCTGGATTTTGCTATGCTTTCGCTTTGTTTTCTAGAGTAATTCGTTGAAACAAGCAGCGAAGGAAATGGTAACTTATGCTGTCCGGTACTACGTCAAGCCAGATGATATTCTTGTCCTTATGGCACGTGTAACAACAAACACAAACTTGCTATATGCATAAAGAGTCGCTATGCTTATCTTCAAGATTTTCATTCTTTTCTTTTGTATTACAAAAAAGTTTTCGAAATTGTATATTGTTATATGCTTAATATAAGAAATATATTTTGAAAGAAACGAATATGTTCATGATGAGACGGATGTCTCCATTAGAATTTCAAAGATAGTTTTCAGTTTTATTCGAGTAACAAATAACAAACGTTTTCAAACATAGCAACTTTATAATTTCACATGACTAAGTCAACAAAAAAGAAAAAGAATGCTTCTAGAAGGCCTTTTTGAATGCATCGATATTTTTCTTGTAGCTTTCTTTGATATTTTGGACTTTTTCAGCATAAATCTTTTCTCCTTGAGCTGCCCATTTTTCCATTATTTTGCGTTGACAAGTGCCTTGTTCATCGGACGAGTTTCGACTGCAAGCAATTGTTGAGAGTTCTTCTTCAGTACAAAGATCAATCATAGCTTGAACATTTTCTTTATCCACATCGGCAGTTTTTTCAATTATGTTCAAGAATTTGAATAATTTCGAATCAGTGATCATTGTAGACAATTGAATAAAGGGTGAACATGAACTAAAACTTGCGACAACATTCGATGTCATTTTCCCATCGAAACACTTCTCCAATACGTCATTTGTGTTGCCTGATAAGACTGTTGCAAATAGATTGGATTGTTTGTGAGGACAGCATTGGTTAATCACGTCGCAAGTAGTTCGAAGAAAACGACGAGCTATCTCAGGTGTATATTTGAGAAAATCTTGTTCAAGTTTGTTAATTTCGACTAAATCGGTATCGATAGTTAATGATGCAATAACGATCAAACTTGTAAAGAAAATCACAATGGATGAGAATGTTCGCATGGTATTGTTGTGTGTAGTCAATAGTATAATGACGATAATCGATGAATGTAAACGGTGAAAGATAAAGATCGTTGATGTGATTCTGCCTAGTCAAAGCTGGAAATTTGAATTTCTTTTTCTCTGTCCAACATATACGAAAGGACAGCAAGCACGTGGGAAAAATATACTTCATCAGTTCGTCCGTTCGTTAAACGTTTCTCACACATTTGATATTTTCGTCAAACATGTTGTCTACCTTATCACGATCAAAACATCATTTCATGATTTCTTTCGACTGAAGGCAACATTTCGAATCGGATGATGCAAAGTGTGTCATATAGAACGTCATATATGTTCCTCGATAAGGTGAACAACGTTGAAATAAAAAACTAGGTGTTAGTTAAAGGAAGTAACAGAAAGTTACTTGTGTGCGCTCGTTACGGAGCACAGAACAGAACATTTTGAAAAAAGAATGGCGACGAGAGTGAGATTTGAACTCACGCGGGCAGAGCCCATTAGATTAGCAGTCTAACGCCTTAACCGCTCGGCCATCTCGTCGAAATAACTCACCGGAGTCTGATTCCATAAACTAGACAATACGTTGTCTGGCGCTCTTCATCGCTACGATTGATTAAGAATCAATAATTTCCACTAAATTTTGTGAAATTACGTGGAAAAAATAATGGTAGGTTCTATAGGCGAACACTCGATATATAATACTCAAAAAAAAGTGGCGACGAGGGTGAGATTCGAACTCACGCGGGCAGAGCCCATTAGATTAGCAGTCTAACGCCTTAACCGCTCGGCCACCTCGTCGGATCTGACCTAAGAAGAACAAAATTTCAATTTGTAGTGTTATCTATTTTATTTCTAATGTAAAGCAGCATTAAATACAAGCAGTGCGACATTTTATTTATCTGAAGAAAAATTCGTTGAGTTGTTCGTCACTATTTTCTCTGATATTCTGTTGTTCTGTATTCATATAATCTGACAGAATTATTTCTTGCTTATTGTTGGACTCTTCCGATGATGTTGAGATCAGTTCATTTGCTTCGAGAATCTTCTGTTTGTTTTCGCTTGAATCGCCACGTTCTGCAGATTTGTTGTCGTCTACTAAACCTTCGGCAATGTCATTAAGTGCATTATTTTCGAACAATAGAGCTAAAAGTGACGAAATCACACAAGGTTGGTTTCATATGAAAATTGTTTTCTTACGGGCACAATTTATGTGATTGGCAATCATGCAGAAAAATATGAGTATCAGTAGAATCCAGTTGATTTGCATGGCGATTTATGCTGATAGAAGACAAAAAAAAAGCAATTTATATAAGGGAATAAAGGTTTATACTGTGACGTCAATGTGGAAAGATCGCGTTCATGATTTTTCCACAAAAGACGTAGTCTCTTTTTCCTATGACGCTTGTCTTTGCTAATTTTATCAGGAGAAATATTGAATCATGATTAAAAAAGCGGAAGGCGTCAATATTAGGCAGCTTTAAAGTAATCACGTGTGTGAAAATATTAGTTTGTTGATGTCGAACTTCTCTCGCCGTCGACACATTCCCGTTTCTTGTTCAATAGAACCAGTTAATGTATTTACTAATGGATCATGAATACCTAAGATGTCCTTTTATTGTAGTCTTTCCGCTAACATGAAAAACGAATAAAAGAAATAAAACATAGCTTATGTGAAAAAAAAACGAATGTCTTTGTTCAAAAGAGAGAAGAAATTAACAATGACGTTAAATCATTATTTCAATGTAAAGCTGTTTCTAATTCAATTAATATGTTGTTACCCCGAAACCAATTGGATAGCCTTGGATTTGTGGGCCATAACCACCAGCAACTGGTAGGCCTGCGCCATAACCACCAGCAACTGGTAGACCTGCGCCATAACCACCAGCAACTGGTAGACCTGCGCCATAACCACCAGTAACTGGCACACCAGCGCCATAACTGCCTAGTCCGGTAAGTCCACCAAGTCCACCAGCTGGATATGCACCACCATAAGATCCGTAACCACTGTTGACAAATTGTTGATAGGCGAGACCGAATTGTTGGGTCCAGGGAACCAAGACGGTTATTGCTGGTCTGCCACCACCAAGACCAAGACCGGGTCTGCGGAAAGCGACTGTAGTTGTGGTATACATTGTTTGTTACGATAAATTTCTAAATAAGCGTATACTAAATGTTGTTTTTATGATATATTTATTTTCGACTAATGATATATAAATAATAATGCGGTTAAAGAAGGACTGATATATGTGATTGGTTACATATCTATAAGGAAAAGAGACACGCGCGCATTCAGCTGTAACATCGAGAAACATATTTGCTAGTGCATGAATCGGTTTTTGACTTGAGAGAGAGATAGAAATAGGTAAGCTTTCGCCAAATCGGGTGAAGATGATGATAAATAAGAGAATAATAAACATAAGGAAAGAGAGATAAAAACCCCAAGAGAGAGAGAGAGAGGTAGAGAAAGGGTGAGAAAGATAAAATCAAAGTCCAGTCTTAGCGACTAGTTTTATTCAATAGACAAGCAATAATCTAATAGAATAGATACAACGTCAATTTTTCCTGACAGGAGAGAAAGAGAGAAAAAGAGATACAGTCGTATGAGAAAACACATACTGGACGATTACATCGTATGACGAGAAAAAAATCTTGATTTGAAAAGAAAATATGTAATTAAGGCTTTGAGGTATTTTTTCTCCATATTAGATGTTTTTGAAGGTTATATGTACAATAAAAAATATTCATTCGATAAGTGGTGTCTAATTAATAGCATCAAGTAATCAAGAGACATTTTTCGATTATTATGATAAATGAAACTGAGAGGGGAAATGAAGGAAAACGACATAAAGATACAAATTTCTATAAATTATCATTAAGTACATTTGATGTTTGTTTCTTCGAGGACAGATGTGGAATGATGTAAAGTTTGACAATGATATTCAAGTAAACATATTATTGGATAATATATTTTATTTTCAGGTTTATCTGATTTATGTGGTTTTTTGTGTTGGAGTGAAAAACAAGTCAAAATAAAACAGTGCACTGAACCGTAGAAAAGTTTGTTTGAAAAAATAATACCGATTTATCGAAAACCCTATGATGACAATAGAGCTACGTACATCACACAAACAATATGATCGATTCGAATAATATTTCGACAGAATGTCTGTAGGCACATTCGTTTCTTTGTATGAACGTATACTTAGAGTACACGAACTAATCGATTGAATTCGTGCGTATCTCGTTTGAAATATTTCTGATGGTGGAATAGCTCATTCTTTTATCGAACGAAATCGACTAGTTTTTTGCTTATTCCGTATTTTTGAAGAGAGAATCGAGTTTTTATGATCTTATTTTAAAATGATTCGTATTCAATATACACTCTAAATCGTATATGATGAGTAAACGCGCAATAATATGTTTGGCTCTCGATCAAGTAAATCGATATTCATGCTATGTCGAGATTTCTTTCGAAAATGAATCATAGAGAAATAATCGAATTAGCAGCGTTCTAATGAATATGATCAATAGCATCTTTCGCTAATTTCATTATCGGCTCATCTAATGTGTGTCCTCGCCGTCTTCGATGTAATACATGTGCACAGCGATATAGAGACACTTGATCTGATTCATTTGGTGTAACAAATTCGAATTGTAAAGTAAAATATCGAATGCAATAATTTGCCAAGATTTTTTGTATTGTTCGTCCGTATTCATTCGTGCATGTACTCAATAGAATGTCCTGATCGCAGACCAAATGCATTGTAGCGTAGATTTCTTTAGCTGACGCTCTAAGACAAAGCCGTCTTTGAGAAAGTTCATTAAACGAATCGATATAAACCTACCTCCAAATGTGACAGCTATGTACACTTTTTATTTCCGGAATGGCTTTGACAATTTCTTCCATTAATACGTGAGTATCAATACCACCGGGAACATTTTCGATTAAAATCGCACTTATCGACCAAATCACCGGAATAGCACGAACAGCAATGATAACAACCATAATTAAAGTTAGACATGGATCGGTATATTTCAGCCAAATGTTGATATCTTTATGTGTCATTGAGTCTTTGTGTGGAATGAAATGAATCAGTAAACCCGAGACTACGACAATTAGTGATTCCAATAAGACTACCTGCAGAGATACTAGAGAAGATAAGCTACGTGGTGTATTGAATGAAAAATCTTACGAATGAATGTAAACATAGAGCATGCAGAGTCGCATAGATTCTTGATTCTTCGATTTGGACATATTCGTATGTGAATGCGTCGAGTTCAGGTAGTGGTTTTGTTTTAATGTCGATACTTGTATCTGTGGTGACTTGTTCACTCGATGGGCTTTGTGAAGCCAGTAATGGTGTTTCTACAATCGTATTTGACTGTGGCGTATCCGGTGACTTCCTTTTCGGTTTCAAGTGCTTACTCGTCCAATGCAGAAAATCAACTTTTTTCTTTGCGTTAATTTCTTCTTCGATATCGTGATCATGATGGTAACCCCAGAACATAAACATGCCAAGTATACCAATAAATATTCCGCCTATTCCCAGAATGATCATCAACATAGGATCATTGACATGAATGGGATTGACTAAATGATTCACCGCATCAACAATAATGCCCAAGGATATCGAGAGAAGAAATACTTCTTGGATTAAACCAAATAATAATTCTAAACGCTCATAGCCAAATGTATTGTTTTTCTTCGTATAATTTCTGTACGAATAACGAAGGACTAGCATGACCCCAATCAAACATAAACCTTCTGCGAATGAATATAATCCATCGGCGATTAAGGAATTCGAATGTGTACGAATGCCATAGATGATTTCAACTATTGCTGTTGAGATGGTTAGGATAAACATAATGAAAACTCGAACAATCTTCGAACAGACGGCATGTTTGACCGATTGAAAACATTCAACAACTGAAATAATCGAGAAAGATCTATCGTTCTAAATGTCAACACTGGCAAGAAAATTTACTTGATGGCATTATTTAAGGTTATTTGATGTGAATCAATAGTCATGTAAATGTGATTTCAGTGTGGAGAACGATCAGGAAAAGACGTGTGAGAAGGACGAGTGATTTTTATTGTGCGATGTTTATCGATGATACACGCATGTATATACGTATGATTGTTATTACAAAAGGATGAATCAATCGGATCAGTCAAATATATGTCAAAATCACGTTTTTTGTGTTAATCAGTATGTCTTATAGAAGAACGGGTTTTTATTTTGCAATCTGGCAGCATGTTTTTCTCTTTGCTTTGCAAATAGGAACGAGGCAAATATCCGCTCGATACCCAAAGCCTTTCTTATTTAGAGTTACCCTTGATATCAGATTTCTCTCCATTGTTTTCATTAAGTTACGTATGAAAGAATCGCATTATTCGTCAAGGTTTGCTTTCGTATCGAAGGCGCGTTCCGTACCTTATGACATAAGAATGTGAAACGAACATCTCGACGTCGAGTCTGTTTATGTTGTTCAGTATGAAAAAGTCATTAACCTTTTTGTGATCAATAAAAACAACTATGAATTGATGTCAAGCATAGCAATTAATTTGTATTAAGTTAACAGGTGACTTGCCGTTCATTCTTCTTTGGTAATTAACGTACGATAAAGTATGAAATAGTAATGATTTAGTATTTCTCTCTCTCTCCCTCTCTCTTTCTTTCTCGACCGATGGAACTTGATATTGTCAATATGTCGAATGGCCTTTAATTAAACAGTTAATTATTTGTTTTTTAATTGCTATCGTATATAATTAATCATTGACGTTATTCATGTGAATGTTGAGAAGATCGCCATTTTCGCTAGCCTTGAACAGTGAAAGGTAAATACAAGCAATTAATTGAATCTATATTAGATGTAATGTTAAAGATTGTATTAATTATCTTGTTTCCTCTTGAGACGAGTCTAGTGCTTAACCATGACGAATATTTGTATTTCAAGTATAAGTTTTTCTGTTAATTACCGTTTTCTCGAGATAGAAATCAACCACGATGTGTGCTGTCTGTTTTTATTGGTTAGCAGGCGAGTATCGTACGTTTCTTTTCTGAAGTTTTTTCTTTACGTCTAGTTCATCAGTGTGCAATTACAAAGAAAGGAAAGGATCAATGATGCATGACAGGACAGGTTAAAAGAAAAGGAGGACGATAAAAATTAACCATCTTCAATGCAAATATTCGTCTCTGTTCTAGCTCGTTAGAAAGGCACGACTAATCGATTGGACACAACTGTCGTTCTCTCCAGATGGGCATAGAAAGGAAAAAAAGCGACCGACTGTAAGAAAAAAAGAAGGAGGCAGATATTGCAGCTGATTGTATTACTAACCACAACAAGAGAAGCAATATACTTGCACGTACTCCGAGAAAATATACTAATAGCATATTATCATTGATTCTTTCTTTTTTTTCTTCTCTCGTACATAGTTGCTTATATTGTATAAACCATATCATTAAGATTCGCAATTGCTAAACGATACAAAAAGTAATTTCTTCTGGCTTAGTCTCGTGTTTGTTTTAATCTGATCCGAAACAACGATGAGTACCACAGCGAAAACAAATACTCGTGTTTCAAGTGATTCGGAAAGAACCGATACTCAGCGAACTAGTTCTTCCCGATCGCCAGCACAACTCGACGATTCGACAATTATTCGTCGAACATTAGTCGAACGTGGCCTACGACCAGCAAATGATGAGAATCGACCAAGTGGACATCTCTCAACTGCAACCGTCATCACAACCATTACTAAACAACATCAAGATGAGCAACGTGAATTGCAAGAATTAAACACTAAGTTTGCCGTTTATTTGGATCGCGTACATTACCTTGAAAATCGTAATCACAAACTATCATCGGAATTGAACGATTTAAAACAAGCGTGGGGTGGCGATGCAGCACAATTGCAATCCGTTTACAATCCTCAACTGCAAGCCTTACGAGAACAGATCGATAATGCCATGCGCGACCGAGCTTTTCAAGATCTTCAATTGAAGCGACATGAATACGAACTTTGGCAAATCCAACAACAAATCGCAACATTCGATGATTACGAGGATATCAATCGAATAAATCATTTAAAACAAGAATTAGATAATACACATCTTGAATTAGAACAATTGCGTAATCAATTTGATCAACGCCTTGGTGATTTAACTCGACAGCGAAGTATAATGGATGATTTACTTAAAGAATTGGAAGGACTGAAAAATGAATTAGATAATCAACAGTTAGAACGTATTGTCATTGAAAATGAGTTGCAAACATTACGCGAACATGCCGCATTTCAAGATGCTATACATCAAGCTCAAAGGAATGAATTAGTGTCGCTTGGTACACCCGTACTCGATGTCTCTGGTTTCTACCGTGCTGAATTAGCGCGAGCTATATCGGATATTCGACAGGATTTCGAAGTTCTGTCTCAATCTCAAGTTAACGAATTGGAAGAATATTATCGTTTCAAAACTGAACAAGTTCGTGCCGAATTGGAAGCTGAATCGGAACGCAAACGATTATTAGCAAGCGAAGGCGTGATTGAATCGATGGATAAAACCCATCTGACGTCGTCACTACGTGATAATCAAGACATGTTTTCAGCATTACAAGCAGAAAATCAAGAATTACAATCGCAATTAGACGCCATTTTCGAAGATTTAGAACATATTCGACGAGAACGCGCACGTGAAATCGAAGGATACGATCTCGAATCAGCACAAATACGAGCACTTATCGACGGAAAACAAGAAGCAATCGATGGTCTTCTAGAAAATAATGTTTCATTACGTTTCGAATTATCAACCTACGGACGTTTACTACACGTCGAAGAGCAACATCTTAACCGAATGGAACAGCAATCACAAAATTTATCATTAACGTCACCGTCATTATTGGCATCCAGCGGTTCGTATCAAAGTCAACCAACAGTTGAACGAGTTCCAAGTGATTTAGCAACAAAGAAAATGACTGTACAAAAAACAGCACGAGGTCGAGTAGAAGAAAAGAATATGATTACGAATTGAATTCCATTCTTTTTCAGGTCCAATCTCATTCGATTCAGTCGATCTGGAACTCGATTGTGTAATCTTAGTCAATGAAAAGTACAGTGGTGACAAACAATCATTTGAAAAATGGATTATTCGCCGGCAAGTTGATCAACAACCAGAAGTTGTCTATCAATTTCCATCAACATTCTCTTTACGACCGAGACAAACAATACGCATTTTAACGAAAAGTAGTCCGAATACCGCAAGATCAATCAGCGATACGCTTGTGGCTGATAAGATCGAAACATGGGGTATCGGAAAAAAGATGGTAACGCGTTTAATTGATAATAACAATGAAGAAAAAGCTATTATCACACAAATATTTCAGTAGATACAAGCCATTTCCTATTTGCAATGTTCCCTTCTTCGTAGTTGTCAATTTGTTGTCTTCTTGCAAAATTCTTTTTTTTTAAATAAAGCCGATAAATAATTCATACGTAATTGATATCAAAGATTAAAGTCGATCGCACTGCAAGATAAAAACATGTGCGATCATTTCTCATTGACACCTCGGACATTATAAATACTGTTTGGCAACAAGCATTCAAAACATTTCAAGATGTCTTCAACTCTGACACACGCTCTTATTCTTTTGGTTGTGTTTGTTAGTCTGATCTACGCTGGATCCAAACAAAGTCAGGATGTAATCGCACATGAAGGTAAGTGTGAACATGAAAATATCCAAACAAATATTTTTAATTGGATACTATTCAGGTAAATGTCCGACAAGAAATCCACTCATCCACATCCATTGTCGTCGACGTGTGTGTCGACCAGAAGATATGATTCCCCTCTGCAAATCGGATGGTGATTGTTCGAGCGTACAAAAATGTTGTCGACCAATGTGTTCGTGCCGAACACGATGTGTCGATGCTGTTAAGGACTAAAATCAAATTTCGATTAGGATCGAATAACACAACAAATTTCGTGTCAATGATAGATTATTGAAAGTCATCGATCATTTCGAATAAAATACGGTTCAAACGATATAATTAAAGAATCATAATCATAATCTTGTTGAGATATCATGATAAACGGAGATAGTTCTTATCTTTTCCTATCGATCAATTCGATGTTTACAATGACCATAGCGATCAAACATTCGATCGGACTAATTCGTTACGAGTGATGTCTCGATCGAAGGTTACGATGTGCGAAAGCAATTTCATCGTTATAAAATGCATTCTTAAGATAAGATGAAGAAGTGAAAAAACAAAATAACATCGTTTGTTAGTCGATCTGATATCCTCGCACATACTTTCGCGCAAAAGATTAATATTTAATCCAAAAACTAATGTTATCATGAGAGAAAGAAGAAACTCAACAATTCGAAGACGGGTTTCATTCTCATTCGAAAATGTATCGATTTGTTCTTGTGTTACTCTGTATTGAAATTCTTCAATGTCAAAGTCAGCTAAATAAACAAAAAAGTTTTACATTGATGCCAGTGGAACTTCGCGGTTTGTGGTGTATAAGTGAACGGAATCAGAACTATTCTCGACAAATTGGTCAAGCATTTATGTACAACAATGAAACATTCACGCTGAATTTACTGGATGATATCAAAGACACTTGGGTAGATATGGTGCATTTCTCCTTGAATTTCTTCATTCTTTTCGTATAGATCAATAGTCTTGTCGCAATCAACAAGACAGATAACCAAGGCACTTTTCAAGCGTTCACTGATACTTCCAAAGGTAAGTCATATGCGAACAATAGTTCATTCATGTTTTTCTCGTATTTCAATCAGGTCCTTCGATTTTTGTCAACAAAATATCTTGTTTCTGGCGACGAACGATTCCCAACGGTGATATTCTATGGGGTCGACAATCGAATGGTACTTGTACGTCGGCGTTTGAACTGGACGACTCTCCGACGTCGGTACGTTATACACGAAATGAAATGAATTGTTTATATGTCGATGATGAAAATCCCAATGAAGTACTTTCGAATAGTTCACTGGAACGCGAACTGCTTGCATTTGATCGTTCGTTATCAGATGCCAAACGACAATCGATTGTTTTCTATGGAAGTTCGTCGATTCGTTTTTGGTCAACGTTGACCGATGATTTTGCTCATACGAAAACAAATCTTATCAATCGAGGCTTCGGCGGGTCGACATTAAAACAATGCCTCCAACAATTCAAACGAGTTATTCTGCCTTTGGAACCACGCATATTGATTGTCTATGCTGGTGAAAATGACATTGCTATCGGTGAGACGCCTGCAAATATCCATGTGATGTTCCGTCAATTGATTTCCGTAATCCGTCGATTTTATCCAACATTACCGGTAGCTTACATTTCGGTGAAACCAAGTCCAAGTAAATTGGATAAATTCTCACAAATAAACCTAACAAATCATCTTATCCGAGAAGATATTCGTAACATGTACAATGTTCATTACATCGATGTCTTCAGTGAAATGCTAACAGACGATGGTAAACCTCGAAAGGAATTATTTCTGCAGGATGATTTACATATGAACGAACAAGGTTATGCCATATGGACACGAGTAGTGGATAATTATTTGACGACGAATGGTTTGATCTCCCAAGGTGTGAATCATACTAACATCTTATATTTAGTAATTGTCGTCGAGTTTCTGCTAGCAGCTTTCTTTTTTTGACATGTATCAGAATTATAATAAAACGTTAAGACCATGAGCGACACCTATTTGAAAAGTTATATCTCTGTTATCCATTATGGATTTCGTTTCTTTGAATATCTCCGCGTTGTCTTCTTTCATATTGAAATGGCTTCGATCATCAATCGATGTTTTTCCAATGCCAATTATGTTTTCTCAATGAAATGTATTCGTTCCATGTCAACTGATCATCATCGTCGTTTGATGCTAATGAACCTCCCTCAGATCGCATCACCAAATCTAATCCAAATGATGAAAAATATCTTTTCTCGAATGGTCATCAATGGCTCCTTCGATTCCACATTTGCAATCAAACCATTTTGCCAAGGCGCTCGACAAGCACTAATTATCGTTTCGCATCTGGTTGGCAACGGTCAATTTGATGATCTGCCTGGATTTGTCAGTCAAGAAGTAAAACTATCGCGAACCATGGATTACTGTAAGACATACTATTATTTAGGCTATTCATGAAGTCAAACAAAATTACATACAATTATCGCATCAACAACGACGACAAATACCTGTTGAAGACAATGAAATCATTTTCTCATATCCCTATTCGATTGCCATGCCTTTCAATGAACAGACAAGTAAACAGCCTATTAAGCGTTTTTTACCATGATCGACACCGGAACGAATCTTTTAGATACGCGTATGATTGAAATTTCCATGATTTTTCATATTCTCAAAGATCCAGATGCTTATCGAGAAGAAATAATGCAAAGTTCAGATGCTAGTGTGGCTGATTGGTTATCCAAATTACGGAAAATGCGTAATGAAATCATTGTTTGTAATTATAAATTTTTACGCGACACCAATCGCAATTCGACAGATAATAGTTGGATTATAACCGGTCTTAATCACTGGTTGCCCAACGAGTATTTTCATTAACAATAAATCTTGTAAAAAATGTCCTACTAAACAAACAACACATTTACCGTTGTCTAAAGATGTCAACATCCGGTAACGGTTAGGTGCGATGGAAGAGTCAGGGCGTACAAAGGTAAAATAATTTATAAAGAATGATACAAAAAAATATCGAATCAATTATAATAAGATTGACGTCGATGGTCACGTTTCAATATTCGATTAAATGTTCGACGGAAATGTTTGTTTGAAAGCGCATATAAAAATGGATTTATTGTTGAATTGACATAGCCAAGCCATATCGTTACAGTTAGGAAGCGTTCGGACACGCACGAACCGCAGAAAGCGACGACCATGTAAAGAATAAAATATGGAAGAAAACATACAGTAAAGCCAAAGACAATAGCAAATAATTGTCGAAATGCTTTTTCTTGTTGATTCCACACCGTTGCCTGCTTCATCTTACTTGCTGAACGTGTACATTGATAAGAACTCGAATGTGGTATGATATTGGATGCCATGCTATTTCGAGCTAAACTATAACTCGACATGGCACGTTGTCTTCGACTTGTACTAGATGATGCAGATGACGCGGATATTTTTCGCGTGTTTTCATATGGGTCAAGATTTGAATCAATTGTTAGCGCTGATGTTGCAGATGAAAAACACTGACATAGATTGAAGACGTTCGTTTTTGTTGTTGTAGCTGTAGACGCTCGCCTATTGTCAAATGAACAACGATGACAGACTAGCGTCGTTCGATGTGAAGCGGGATAATACTGATAAGAATCACGATGATGCTTCGGGGAAAGATCCACCTGCTCATTGGTGTAGATGGGACATGTTGGACAGTTATACGAATGTTTAAAACATCGTTCGTCGACATTTAAACGATATTTCGAGCCAGTACGATGAGATCGTGGCGTGGGCATTGGACTTAATGAGGAACGTGACCGTTCATGGTGAGCAAACCAAACTAATTCATCCTAAATCGGAGATTTAGCCTGAAGACAAAGGATACATTTTAATTTACCTGAGCACAATGGTTTTTTTCAATGAATGGATAAGAAGTTTTCTTTGGTAGAGGTTGCGAAATGGACAGGTGTGAAGTAAGTATCGGACGATTTTTCTTTTCCTTGTAGTTGACTCTCAACGTTGGTGTATTATCATAATGATTTGTTGATATTGGTTTCGTCATGGCCAGCGTGTCAGCATCAATGAAATTGAACGATGTTGGACACAGTTGTTTGTCAGTATCACATATTGCTATTGTTACTGGTATACGAGAATTCTTTCGTTGTGAATGCAATTTACACGTATTTGGGGAGTCACTCGTTGACCTACTCGAGTATCTTTGCAAGAGTGCGTTTTTGTAACGTCGCTTGATTTCAAAATACATTCGACCGTTCAGTGACATTAAAACTAGCAAGGGTAAGTAAAAATTGATGATTGCAGTCGAAACTTTAAACACCTTTGAGTGCGTATACTCGGGTTCACATTTTGTCGACTAAACAGCGGATTTTCGACTACATTCATTCTTAGAATTGTTTACTTACGTCGATATATCTTGTGTCATGATTAACTAAACGATGCCAACCAAAGATTGGAATAACCCAAAGAACTGACAAGCCCCACGCCAAACCGATGAGGAAAAGAGCACGCGTACGCGTTCGTTTACCGAGATATTGTAGTGGGGATGTGATTGACCAGTAACGATCCAAACTTAACGTGAGTAGATTAAATATCGATGCCGTTGAGGCAGTAAAATCAACGGACAACCAAATCTGACAAAGAAGAAGACCTAAACAAGATATACAAGATTAATCCAATGTTGTTCTCTTTATGTTAATTTGCGACGTTTCGATGAATCCTTTTAGACAAAACAACATGAATGTACTTTCACCAAACAAATATCTTCCATCTCAATAAGTAGAACATCAGACAATCACATACTCAAACGGATGGTGTTTCTCCTCCGCAGAAGTCACTTCAGTTTTCGCAGATTTCATCCTTGTTTATATTTGTTTGTTCTATATAATTCATCGCTAATTAGTAGGAAGAAACGATTATGAAAGTATAGACAGTATGGAACTGACAGGAAGTATGTATACATTCAAATAACGTACCCATATTCCAGTTTTCCATAATTGCATAGATTCCAGCGATAGGCATAACAAAACAACCCACAATTAAGTCAGCAGTGGCAAGACTGAGTATAAACAAGTTGCCGACCTAAATGAAATCAAGCGAAGTCTTTATGCAGTGGTGATCAAAACGAAACAACACTTGAATGTTATTTTTTCTCCTAATCCTAAGCTTATCATAGAGTACTTACTGTTCGTATGCGACGAAATGTAATTAGAACAAGAAGATTACCCGTTATGGTTAATAAACAAAGGCAAGCACAAATCAATCCCAAACTGATTTTGAGTATGAGACTTGAATATTGGAAATGTGTCACGATATCAATAGTAGTACTACGATTCGTGTTTCGTTGCACGATTTCCGTTAGATCGATCTCGGTCATATCATTCAATGGATATGCCTGAATATCAGGACTGACAGACGAGTAGAGACTCTGCTGTTGTTGTTGAAGCAGATTTTCGTTAACCGGATAGCTGTCGATACTACTCATAGGCGATAGGATATAAAATAATAAAATAGTTTCAAGCGAATAATTACATTATTTTAACTGAAGAAGATTATCGACAGTAGTACGAAAAAAGAAGAAAGCACAGGTTGAGTTTTGTTATTGAAAAAGGAAGTGTCGGAAGGAGACAGAAAGAGAGCGAGGAGGAAAAAAAAGAGAAACTCAGCTGCGAATATGGAAACGGAGAAAAAAACGATGATAGTTTTTGTTTAAATAATCATGACAAGCAAATGTGTTCCTGCACAAGTCTACGGTACTCAGTATCTTTAAGAGGTGAATGGAAAACACGATGTGTTGAATGTGATAAAACTTGTTGCTAAAAGCGGCAAATTTAACGACAACGATCAGATGGAAAGTTCCTCTAGTCATGAAGAAGAACAGACGTCTCTCACGAAAATTTTGAATACGATTAGGTAAAATGACGTGGGCGTTACAGACTCATTTATTGAGGCGCGATGAAGAAAAAGAAATCATGATTGCAGTTTTTGACAAATGATGTACATCTGTTTCTAGTTCTCAGATAAACGAGAAAAAAAACTCGTCAATGACATCCTTGTTTCTTTGCTTAGTTTTTATGTGTGTAAGTAGTCGTTTGTCGCATAGACAAAGTACACAAACGGATGGAAAGGACATTATTTATCTTTAATGTTTCATCAAAATCTATTTGAACAAGCTGATGTGTTGTAAAATGTTAATTAAATATGTTGTACAGATCCGTCGAGAAAAATACACACACAACAATGACTATTAGATCAAACACTCAGGAAAGGCTTCTAATGAACTTACACTAAGAGGAATTTCAATACGAAAGCGATTCTTCCCTTCTTCTTTTTCTTCATTTCGACACTTTATGAACATATTTGTGTTAATGATGGGCAATTCGGCAAGTCCGTTCGTATAGACTATCTGACACGACAGACTCAACTGGTGTTCTCTTCTATTTCTTTCGCAATAAGATCCCTGATTATGTACCTGTCGTGTGATAATCATATGTTATCTGATATATAATTCATTAAGCATAATTATAATCAACATCACATTATTCTCGCTATCTATTTTTGATGAATTCCTATTGGCTGTATGCCTGTAAAATGCAAAGCAGCACAAGATTTTTATGTTCTTTGATTATCTAATCACAACAGTACGTCGGTAGTACAAAAAAAGAATTATACGGATGACATGTCTGACTTTGTTTTTCGCAACAAGTTCCGTAAGTCTTATGATGTACTGCTCTCATGTGGAACTAAGTAAACTTTTCAACGAGACTAACAATGTAAGGTTGAAATGACATAAGACAATGTTTACTAAAACAACTTTCGTATGAAGGTTCGACTTACAAGGGATTAATGAACATGAGAAAATAAAACAGTATGCATAACACATTACCGTTCTCAGATGACGATTAGTTCGTAAAGCATAGATTACAATTGTGTTGCCGATAATCGTTAGAATAGCCAGACTGGACATGATTGTTGCCCAAACGATCGTGTAAATTATCGTGAAAACGTCTGGTAAAGTTTGATTCATAGTCTGGTTCGTGCTGATCATTTTTATAGAAGTCAAATCTGAAATTGCCTACCCACATAGCATAAGAAATCGTTGTAATCTTCGCAAGAATTCTCTCAGTGTGATAGAAAGGGTCCGATTACCATTATTCTGAAGCATACGACCGACATTTTAGTCATCACATCATTCAGAAAAACATCAGAATTCATCAGACAAATGGGTTTCAGTTCTATCATGTGTCAGCAAGTAAAACTCATGACACATGGTAATTAATCATGGTTTTGACTATGCTATCACCTCTGATAGTCGTTCGAAAGGCAAAAGAAAAGATGAAAAGCAAAACTTTATGGGCCCATTTATCTCTCTTCAGACAAAAGAAAAACCATTCATTATATATTGAGAATGAAAAATCAGATCTACTCACTCGACAACTAATCGACGAGAAGTTACAGAAGTTCGATTCGACATGAAAAGAAAACAAATCGCCGAGTCAAACGATAATGCGCTTTTTTTTTCGATCAATCATTTCCTTTTTCTTGTGTTCTTTCTTCTTCAATAGTTGCCAGTCTGTAATTTTCTGCGTCGACTCGATAATGATAATGATGGCATTCTCTTTTCTCTTCTTTTTTCAAACACGCTACAAAATTTTATTTCTAACACAAATCAACTGAAAGCTTTCATCTTGAAAAATCTGTTACCACTTGTTTCCTCCCCTTACCTAACAAACGAACGAACGAAAACAGGCACCAGTTGTATACATAAGTCGCTTCTTTGTGATATCTAAATAACACTGATTTGTTTATTCAATCGTCTATTGACGTTGAAATCGTATGGAGAAAAACTTGATTGATCAACTTCTCAGATAACACATTCCCATCTAATAGAAATATTCCCTATGCTACCGAATCTCTCAAAGCAAGTTATTTGTCAATCAACTGATACCTAAGCACTTGATGTAAATGGTATGTCAACATCATCGAAAACAAAACGTGCGACGTACAAAATTCAGATGACGCGTTCGAAAACATCAATAGACAGACCTCATTTCACTCCCGAGATGAAACAGTATACGATTCCCATTGATTATTTAGGATCGTAATGTATGTCGCCTACACATGCACTTGATTGCACGGATACACTCAAAATATCTTCCAGATTCGAATTAACACAAGAGCTCCTAATGTATTTGGATTAGAATCATGACTTCGCCGTTTTATGCATGCCTATATGAACTAAAACTCGATGAGAGGATGTTGTTTTTCTCGCCACATCGAAGAAAATGTTCTTGTTTTCTATTTATGAAGTGCGTGCTATCGAAAAAACTCATCTTAATCTCTCGAGCATTCCCAATGATCGAAATCTTTTGTAAATGTCTGCTTGATGTTTCACAGCGTGAGAAAAATCCATTTTCTATGTGGGAGTTCAGTGATTACTAGCAAAACAGGCGCATTAGTCAATAATTTTAATCAATAATATGTGCATGAACACTCTGCGAGATATATTTTGTCCAGGGATAGTATCAACCTGTGAATTTTCTATGTCAGATGACGACATTGATTCATTTTCAACATCATAGCTAATCTAAACAGGAAGAGGAGGCGGAAATTGAAAATGAATATCATGTTCAAATATACAAATTGAACTTATATTAGATTTTACATCTCTACTCTCCATTTATCCGCGCTCGGACTTCTCATTATTTATACATCTAGAAAGATTTTTGTCAGGAGTTCGTCTTGTTCCACTTAGACTAAACATGTTAACTAGTGACAAAATTACTGTTGACATGGGGATGAAACACATTTATTGCACTGGAAATAATCTTTCCACTATTCGGTCGAATGCATAAAAAAGACGATCTGAATAAATTTATCATTTTGTCTCGTGTAAATGCGCGGGACGGAATGATACCAAGATATTTTTCGTAATGGAAATGCAAATTCTTTTTTTATCAAATAAATGGAAAAAAAACACGAAGAGCCAGTAGAAGTTTTGTCTATAAGTTTGATATATGAGCTAGATTATCAACAATCACAGCCATATGCTTGAGCTTTACACACAGATAAACATGCATCAAGATCAGAAATCCAAGCCTGGAAGGAAATATTCAAACGTTACTATGTATGAAGAAACACTGATACTCACAAAAAGAGAGCGATGCATATGAGTTTATCTGAAGTAGTCGATCCGGCTGGAACGTCATTTAGAACCACTGGTACTAGTAGATTGTCTGGCCGACTTGAAAGGCTCATTCGTCGGACGTTTTCAGTCGGCGAAACAGGCACTATAGTTTCATTTCGACTCAGACGACGTTGTTCTGGAATTTGGTAGAAATAAAAGTAGTCTGAATGAGTTTTCTAAGTTTTCATCTTTACCTATTTTAAAATTTGAAATGAGATCGAGGCGGTTATCTAAACGAGGGAAAAGATTTCCTTTTTGTTTCTCGATCTTTTTTAGTACACTACTTAGATCCTTTAAACCTTCCAGTGATGCGGAGTACGCATTTCGTTCAATAATTTCTAAACAGCAATAATCCCAAAAGTCTTCATCGAGAAAAGAACGACAGTTTTCGAATACAAACGTTTTATAAATCCCATCACTGCTTTGTTGTACACGATATGTGCAGTAACACATAGCTTCGTTGTCGTTATCGATGTTTGAACAAGACAAAAACGTATTATCAATGAAAATGTGTCACTAAATTTGACACCTTCGTTAGACACTTCAGTCTCGACCATATAGTGCGAACCGGATACTTCATGAAAGAGTATCTAAAAAAGTACACCTCTCAATGGAATTGATTACGTTCGATATCGGCCTTACTTGTCTTTCTCGAGTACAGATCGTGCCTTTGCCAATGAAAGTCGATTCATATGGGACTTTATAGTTTAACATTCGTTCTCTATAGTTTGTCGCTGGATTTTTCGCCCATTCAGTGGCGGTATCATCTAAATGAAAAAGAAAACGATGAATCAAATTTTGGTATATATTTGTAACCATAGAATCGCTGAGCTCGTCGATATGTTCGCACGAATTCGTTCGAGCCGAAGATTAAGTCGAATAGTTTGTCTACGGTAATTTCGTAATTTCTTTCGATGAGCTCTTTTTCATGATGTGTTTCACAAGGACACCGATTCCGGTAGAGAACTGGCTGGTCAGTTGGTATCAAAAGACCATTCGATTGAAATGCATCGTTTGACGGAACGGGGATTTCCTTCGGACGCAATGAATTCTTATCTTTTTTCTTCGTTTTTGTTGAACGATGCAAAACTTCACCCAACGATTTACTTTGTTCGCTGTCAACTAAAAGGGCCTAAAGGACAAATCGATTGGATTTCATTCAATATTTGTCCTACTTGAGATTTTGATCGCGAACGTTTCTTCAACGAAAAAGCCATCTGGAGATAAAATAACTGAGTTTAACCAAAAAAAACCGGTTGCTATTGAGCGTTTATTGACATACAAGTCAGAGCTGTTTGGTCATGTGTGCGTTTTTTTTTACTTCGACAGCGAGTAAAGAAAAAAACACATACTGCCGCTACTTGTGTACGTCAGAAGTAGGGATGCATGTTACTGTTATAAAACGCTCTAAGTCAGTCAATCAGTATTATATACAACGAAGAAAGAAAGAAAAAAAAATGGAATTTAACTATTGAATCATTATTTACGAGAGAATTGCAACGTATAATGAAAAATATTTATTTGAAGGAATGATCAACGAAGAAATAACAAGAAAACTATTATGGGGAATGTAGTGACACAACATTTTCTGCATTTGAGGGTTGTTTGCTTAGTAACATCCGTATATATCGAACATTTCGATTATTCTCGTCGGCTGACATGTATCGATACGGAAGGACGATGTTTTCAACATCATTAAACAAGCATTGGAAACACGAAAGAAGTTTCTAAAGTAACCTGAAGCAGACCGAGTTGACATTTTAATATAGTTTCATTTGAAAGGATCAATATTGTTATATGTTATAGAATAGTGACGGTTAAATATTCATTTTATTAACAACAAGAATGTTTCGCCAGGAGATTCTAGAATGAATCGGGTGCATTTCAAGCGTGGGTGAATGACTGCAGACACGGTCGATGTTGCCGTTAAGCATAAATCACTTCGCGAAAGTATCGAAAAACATTGGGGTCTGTATGACCGATGAGAAATCGATTAGAATCAATGCGTTGAAATGGATCGAAACACGTTTGAGGTGCTAAGACATTGAAAAGTATTGAGCGATTTTGTAGATGATGACGAGCAGAAGGTTCGTCCGTTCCTTTCGAATTCGGATTCGAGTAATCGATGAATTGATTCATCACGGAAACATCATCTGTCATGGCAAATATTGATTTAAATATCGTTTTTCTTCAACAACAAGCCCTTTGACATAATACGAAAGATCACGCCATCGACCGTATTCATGCCCAAACGAATCTTCATCAGCTTTGCCACCCCGACGAATATACAAACCAGCTAGATCTGCAAAGGGATTCCTCACATTCGGTAAAGAATATTTCTCGACCAGATAATTCTACCAATACTCGGCTAAGAATCTATGAGAGATTTTGATTCGTGGCGCATTTCGCGACGTGAAAAATAAGACGAACATATAACGAATAAATCAACCGAAAACATAATCTTTCCAAGTTAAAACGTATTTACCATGATTTGGTAAGAGATCGGACGAAAATGCATCGGGACGATTTCGATCGGTCCATTGTCCGATAGTAACATTTCCCGCTGCGTAGATATGTTCATTCGAATGATTCGATAGAATTTCTACTGGAGAGTCGTATGTTGCCTTCGAGTTCTTTCGATCAAATAACCACTTTCGAATGGTACATGATGATAAACGTATTTACAATACTCGTTGGAATATATAATATGAGCGCCGTTATTCGCACCACGTAAATGTAAACCATCACTACGCCTGACTTGACGCCGTTGTCGGAATCGTTCACGTATTGCTCTGCTGACGTTCGTACTGGAATTATCGATATATGCTGGATAGATGGAGAATGGAAGAAAATCGTCATGCTGATACAGAACGAACATTGATCGTGCTCGGCAGATATTGATAATATTATCAAAGGTTGGGGATGAGTTTTGATATCGATGTATGCTGGCAAGCTGTTTCTTTGTTAAATAAGCCAGCACCTCGCGTTCGGCAACTCGATTCCAGCGAACATCATAGTGTTTATCTAACCATAAGATCGGGAAAGAAGCTTAACGAAACCTATACTCATTGTAAGACAAAAGCTCTGTTACATATTCACGTCGTGCTGCGGGTCTATCAAGCTCACTTGGAGAACGTCTGAAATCGGAAGATATTCAACATTTCCTTTCAGCAATCGGACAACATTGTGTTCTCTATTGCGAATAGTATTACAAAGCGCATAGTTGACTAACCTGATGTGAGGAAGTTGTATTCGAAGAAGTTCATCTTGCATCGGTGCAGTAACATCGTTTGTGGTATGCTGGTATGAAAACAATGGTCTATCGCGATGGGCTCGATCCTTGTTCGATAGCGATGGTTTTGATAAATATGCCAATTGTTTGATAATTATGAAAATAAGCAAGCTAAGATGAATTACAATGAGAAGACTAGAAAAGACTGGTTGTCCGAAGAAACATTACACTAGCATGAAATGTATCTACCAACGAGAAAAAACATTCAACTTTTTATTCTTTGTCTGTTTTGCATCGAACAGATGAGTGAAAGGTTTTACTTTCGCTTCAAATGAATCAGATTAATGTTGTCTTCTTCTTTCATTTATTCGAGCTATATATATATATATTTGAATCTGACACATAGGAAAAGTTAAACAGATAGAGTTTACTGCTCATAAACAAAGACTTCACAAAGTACAGCAGTAAACAATTTATTCCAACGATTACGAACACCATCAGCTTCAATGTAAACAAAACGACCATGTAATGAACGTTGACATTGAAAGTGTAGACGAGATGATGATGTCAGTGTTTGATCGGTACGTTTGATAGATGAACATAAATTAGCATTTTTAAAACGATATCGACGAGGATAATGATCCACATAAACATTGTATTGATTCAAATTTACTAAGTAATCTCGATACATCGATGAAGATCCATTGGACTCTATTCAAAAAATAGTTTTCAATTCTATCTTCGCAAATTCTTCTTCTTCTTTCTCTCATACCTAGACCATCATACCATGTTCTGACCAAAACGCCAGCGACATTCGTTGCTCGTCCGAGATCAACCATCCATACAGGCTTCTCCACGAAATAATTGTCAATAGTTGCACATTTTGCCCAGTCTAGCGGTTCTTCAAAGCCATCTACAGCCAACGAAGGATCACCGTTTGATTCGCGTGTACTACGAAATTGAAATCCTTCAAGAGAAGTCTTGCGACGATAACGATTTCGGTCATTTGTCCACGTTCGTTTCCCATAAGCCAGATTTTCCACTAGAACAGCAAATGAAGTAATCGTTAAACAGTTGCTTTCCTTTAACATACCGCACTGTGCTTCACTATTAACACGAAAATAACCCGGGAAGCAAGCGCCTATGATAAATACGTAGATCAGCATGATCAAGAAATAGATTCTAGATTTTGCTACTAGTTACCCTGGTGTGGACACCCGAGAATGGCTGCACGCATACTAACATGATTGTGCCAATCAGTAGGATGAATTCGGACATATCGAGCAACGAACAGTTCGTTAAGAAAATGAATACGTTCGCTGTCACGATCGTTATTACCGGCAAATTCCTAAAAATTGAAAAAAATTCAAATCAATATTCAAGTGCGGTCATTTTGAATTCGAGTGTCTATGATCAATCGTTCACATAATTGCGTGTCCTTCAAAACTGAAGTCTCATTTTTGTTCTTTATGAAATCACTTGCCTTTGGTTCGGTTTGTAATTTATCCTTATAGTAAATCCACAGACGAGAGTCATTCGAAAACGAAACTCGATATTTCGTCACCCATTGTTCTTGATTCGTATCAGCTCGGCCTTTTGTTATCAATGATGTCACTGTTGATGGATGTCCCAAGTCAAATTCTAGCCATTGATCGTATTCTAAACAATCACTCTATCGCTTAAAGGAAACCTTATTCGAAAGAAAAACAAACTGTATTTCTTTTTTGAACACCATCCTTTGTTACTAAGTAGGTATCCATCTTCTGCTTGGCATGTCGCTCGTCGGCGAGCGGGCCATGTAGTTGATGCGGTGACTTTTCCATAAGGTGGTAAGCCCAAATATTGCTTACATTCTACAGTATCAATCAAAAGATAGGACAGAAGTGAAAATTGATCAAACCTTGACAACCAATAATTTCTACACGTAATGACGGATGTGAGTACCACTCCATTGGATGAAATTTAATGAAACGAGTGAGAATTGGTTCATCAAAGTAGTTGTTATGCACTGAATACGAATCTGTATTTGCCGAAAAGATCTAAGGGAAGAAAAAAAAACTAAATTGATCGATGCTACAAGTCTCTCTCGAAATATCCAACCTTTTGATTTCCATACTGGTCGACCAAGTATTGCCAACGATACGCATCAGTGCTGTATGAAATCATAAATGATGTGACATATTCATCCTTATTTGCTCGACCTTGTGTTAATACACCTGATATCTACGAATAATACGCTAACTAGGAAAAATAAAAACGGCGCTATGGTTTTCGATTTACTTTCGCCGGTATTCCCAGATCGATTTGTAGCCATTCTGAATCGGATTTATGTCGAGCACACCAAGCTCGATCAAGTGCTTGATACACTCGTGCATTTTTCTCATGACAATCATAATCCGGATAAGTTGATGATGCTGTTATTTGCCAATCGCGTATTTCCCCGCTAATCATTCCTAATGGACCATTACATACTTGAGCATTTGCATTGATCGCGAACAGAACTAGTACACAGATGAACATTTTCAATCTTATTCGTATTTTAAAACATCTAAAAATGAAGTTCATCTCAACAAGGAATCTTAACAGACAAACATCAATTGAGAAACAAGCTTACATCATCGACGTATACAATGATAGTGTCAAGTGAAGTATATAATCATTAAGTGAATTACTCTATAGCAAGTGTTTAGAAGAAGAAGAAACAACAACTTCAACCGCAGGAAGTCGAATGACTTCCAACCTGGTGTGTACATGTTCGGTGAATGATGATTACATCATTGAGATGCAATTCAAATGAACATATCGAAGAGAGAAAGAGAGAGAAATTTTCTTACTGTATACAAATGACCTTTGAATAAAGTTTAGAGGTGATTTTATGCAAAATAAAACAGATTGTCATTGGGTGTCTCTGATCGCCTTAAGTCAATTTCATCTGGTATTGATCATATATCGTCTAGTGTAGTTATGCTTCATTTGTTACAATATACAATAAAGAAAAAGAGAGAGAGAGAGAGCTCATTAAAAACGAATCCTGAGACGTACTTTGATTTCTATTTTTATCAAGTAATCCTCACATATATTTCGATTTGACGATGTGTAAAAAAAGAAGTAAACGTACTTGATAATGATAATAATTGACGGATGTAGTCTCGCGTATGCATTATTAGATGTGATCATCTTGGCAGAAATATCCTTTCGAAAACAATTATCAATTAATGAATAGACAAGCATAGAAGAAAACGAACACACATCTACCTATTTGTGTCAATGATGTTGTGAGATATGTGCTTATATTCGTGAAGGAAGAAAAGAAATATGCTCAATCAGTGACCTGCTATTGATATTCTCCTAATATCGATCGTATTGAAAGAGAGAATATGTGTAGGCGATGAAGTCATCTAACATTAATCACTGAATACGTACGATTTGAAAGTTATTGTCAGCAAATCGTCTCGAAAGGCAGAAAGAAAATATTGAACATTGATGATTAACAAGAAACACCTGCAGAATTGATTTCGATTGAACAACAAATGACATCATCATGTAAGCCTTAAGAAGTTTAATTCTTGCTTTGAATTAGTAGAAATATAAACAAGAGGATGAAATAGGCGTCGAAAGGTCATCGGCTCTGTCAATCCGATGGGATTTTCGATGATACATAAAAGAAGGTAGTGTTATTTTCAATCAGTCGAATGATTCAAATTCAGATATAATGTTTTTATGTGTAAATTTTCGAATTGTCGAATAGCGTCATCTAGACTACCTGTCAGGTAATAGGTGCACAAGTGAATATCATATTTTAATCGAAATAAACTACGGATGTCTATCTGAACTTCGTCAATAACAAAAAAAATACAAGAGAAAGAAGATAATCGGATGGGAATATTATTAATCATCAGTATTAGACAAAGAGTATATTTTTATTAATATTAAACAATAAGATGTCTATGACGCGTTCAATTAGCGTTGGTTCGTCTGCATCGACAGCGACAATGACGACGATTTCGCCAAATGACCTTGCTGCAGATACATCTAATGATCTCTATGAAAATCGCGAACATTTCCAAGCAATCTTTACGAATGATTCTCGATTTTTCGATACCAGTCTTCATCTTTTCAAATCTTATTATGCATTGGGATATATCCATCCAGAAGAGGAGAAATCTGACCGACTGAGTGTGCCTAGTCTCACAACATCCAATGGACGTAGACATCGTTGGAAAACACGCTTCTTAGGATCCAATTATTATCAGCATGATGATCATCATCACAATGGAACGTTAAAAAGTTTCTTAACGCCGATTTTACTACGAAAAAATGGTAAATGATTCGAAAGCATCCCTTCTCTTACATAAGATTTCCTTTCTTAGATCACATCAATCAAACGCGTGGAGAATCAGGCAATCCGACTAAAGATATTAATAATTCGTATAAAAGCAATTCATTCGCTGTTCATTATCAACCAACTTCTATACCAAGTATTAGTGTATCTGATGAGATGAAGTCCGATGAATCTGAAGTAACAATCACCAGATTATAATTGTTCATTAAACATCACGATTCTCTCTTTGTTTCTCAAGTATATCACTTTGTGAGCCCACAAGTCTTTCCATTCTTTCTCATTAAATATGTTGTGAATAAATATTCAATTTATCTTTCGTCTATTTCTATGCATTTTGTTTACTAATTCAAGTGTTGATTTAATTCTCAAATGAACTTCTATGTACAGTTTATTAGTTCTGTTTTTCTCGAGCACATCTATTGTTTTTTTTTCTCATTTGTTGTTGCACATCAAAGAAAATATAATACTGAATGTGTGTGTGTGGAGAGGATATTCTATCGCTACAATTATTCAAAATCGAGGAACGCACACTTTATTGATGTTGATCGACTTTTTTATTTGATGAAGAACATCTGTCGACAGGAGCTATTTTTCGCAACATCGAGATCAATGAATATATTTTAATAGGCCAAATTTTATGATTATACTAGATAAATAATGACAAATTGACTTGCTTTCAATGTTGATCTAAGTCTTAACCCTTTCGAGGTAATATGCGCCATCGATGATTTGCACCATAGTTTACAGCGTTTAGTCAGCTATAACAACAAAAGATTTGTCTTATCTAGCTGATTTTATACAGCTAACTGTGGTGCATATTTTCACAAAAATATATTCATAGTTTGCCCAATAAATAGCTATGCTGTGTTGAAAACACTAAAATGCTTTTCACGTAGAAGTGCTTGAAATTTTTCAGTACTTTGGTCGTAGAATGAAGATTTCTCGAACAAAATCTCCAGCAATGATAGACGAGGACACTTTAAAACAACCTCTTGTTTCTATATTTGACCATCCATAAAAGTGCGCTAGCAATACTTCTATAATTTGTGAAAATTTCCATGATTCTATAGGCTCTTGCCGTCCTATGAATAATTAGTTATATTGTTAAATCCCATTTTTAATGGACTTTCATTCAGTATAAAAGACAATCATATGCTTCAGAAAACATGTGTGAAAAGGTTAAGTTAACAGCCATCGACTGAGTCACCTTCTTGATAACGACCAAAACGAGCAAAACTTGGACATCCTTGAATCGAATCTGTTTTCTTCGATTTCGAACATATTGGAAGACATGAGTAGTGTCGACGATGGTGACGCTTCACTTGAGGATACGCTGCTTCATAGCCTGTTCGATGTTTGTGAACCGAATTCGATCTCAAAGAAATTGGAACATGAACACGAAACCAGTCGGATAGAAGCGTCACATATGAAACAGTTGCCATATTGATGAGTGAATATTCGAAACGATAGATATTAGGAGAGAGAGAGATCCTATGCGCAATTACGGATAATTACTTTGTTTTTATTCAATGGAATGAATTCAGGCTAACGTGTGCAAAAGAACGTTTTTGTTAATTATTTTCATGTTTAAATACGTTGTTTGTTCTTGAAATGAGTACATACAGATGTGTATCAGATCATTTGCTTTTGTCTTTGTCAAATATTTGTTCAGTTGATCGTACAGATTTTTTAAAGAAAGGATATAATAGAACATTGAGTTATCACGTGTGAACAACGAGAGAGAGAGAGAGAGAGAGAGGGAGGAAGATTTGATTTCATCTTATTCATTTTACTATGTAACCTTCTGTTGACAAATATGACAGAACGCGCAAGTTTTCTTTTGATTCTTCTTCATGAAAGCAAAGTTTACGGGACTTTTTCTTTTCTTTTTCTGTATGTGTACTTTAGTTACTAACACCACACGTTTTTACTTCATACACTCGCGCGTACATCAATAGTGAAGATGAACAAAACTGCAGATTCTGTCCTTGTCATGCAACCAACAAATAACCACACTGTTCCAAATGGTCTAACACAGCATCGACGAGAAGTCATGACACCATTAGTATACTTTCGAACTTTCTGGATGGATTATCTCGCCATGGCTGTACTGGGCGCACTGGGCTTAGGGATTTACTTTTTGCGACCAGCACCGAATCGTGTATTTCCAGTTTACTTTCGTGATGGAGAAGTCGTTAATCCAGAATTTACTTATCCGTATCAAAAAGATATTATACCTATCTGGCTAGCTGCTCTCTTAGCATTTATTATTCCATTTATATTTATAATGTTAATGCAAATACGTACGCGGAGTTTCAACGATGTGAATACAGGAACGATGGGTTTATTATTTTCGCTTATAACTGCTGCTGTTTTTCAAGTATTTATTAAATGGTTAATTGGTGGTTTGCGACCACATTTTTTCTCAGTATGTAAACCGAATATTAACGCATCATTTGTTGGGACAGGACAAGGTTTTGATGGTCTTCTATTTGATCGATCGATTTGTACAGGCGACGAGAAACAAATTAACGACGCCTTGGAATCGATGCCATCAGGACATTCAACTGCAGCTTTTGCTGGTTTGGTCTACTGTTCACTGTATTTAAATGGAAAACTGAAAATCTTTGCCAACTATCGACCTCAATACTGGAAATTCGTTCTCTTCTATGCTCCACTTCTCGGTGCTGTTCTTATTGCTGCATCTTTGACGATAGATCATTACCACCATTGGTACGATATTCTAGCTGGTGCAGTCATTGGAACCATACACGCATTTGGGTCGTATCGTTTCCAGTATGCAAGTGTTTGGGACTATCGTTTCAATCACATTCCATTGCCAAGAGTCGACGCTGAACATGGCTTTGATTATCATCTTGATCATTTGGAAGAGTCGTTGAGTGGATCGAGAAAAGGCGGATGGCGAAACGGACAAATTCATGGTGCGCCATTTGATGCAACAGCGACATTATCGATGGTGGAAATGGATAGACAATTAAGAGTATAAAACTGTTTGTAAAAACGAAATTTTTATAAAGAAATATTTGTTCAATAAATTCAAAATGATTTGCATTGTCTTTAAACTTCTCTTTCTTTCGTTGATGTAGTGACTAAATCTAATTGGTAGTTGGAATAGCTTCTTTTTCGTCCGACGCTATAATGTATCTAATTCTCTGCAGTATTACGTAAGAGCCAGAGAAGGAGAGGAAGCAAATGAACTAAAGAAAAAGAAAAAAACTTGTATCTTTCTACATTTTACTATATAACCCTTGACAGTTTCATACTACGAAGAAAGAAGCAGAATAAATGGCTTTTTCTATTCTTACATGAAGCAGTAGATTTTACAAAAAAAAAACTTCCGTTTCTTCTGTCATAACATATTTTCATACAACATCAGGAACACTCGTTTAATTATTTGATTTTTTTAGCTCTGTCAGAAACAATGAAAGTACCTCGCAATGATCTTATTGCCATGGAACAATCAACTATGAATGTACAACAAAGAACGATGTATCGGCCCCAACAAGATGTTCTCACTTTTCGAATCTATATTCGAACTTTCTGGATGGATTATCTTGTCTTAGTTATATTAGGTATTATTGGCATTGAGGCAAATATGCTTCGACCGATTCCCAACCGTCTCTTTCCCATCTATTTTCGCAATGGTGAAATTGTTAATCCAGAGTTTACGTATCCTCTCGAGAAAAATATCATTCCAACATGGTTATCTGGTTTGTTGGCATTTCTTATCCCGTTTATATTTATAATGTTAATGCAAATACGTATACGAAGTTTTAATGACGTTAATGCAGCTACGATGGGTCTATTATACGCAATAGTATCTGGAGCTGCTTTTCAAGTACTTATTAAATGGTTGATTGGCGGTTTCAGACCACATTTTCTTTCCGTTTGCAAACCAAATATTAATGCAGCAAGTATCGGCAAAGGAAAAGGCTTCGATGGTCTTCTATTTGATCGATCTATATGTACAGGTAATGAAAAAGATATTAATTTTGCATTACAGTCAATGCCATCGGGGCATTCAACTGCGGCGTTCGCTAGTCTTGTTTATTGCTCATTGTATCTCAACGCAAAACTGAAAATTTTCGCTAATTATCGACCACAATATTGGAAATTCGTTCTCTTCTATGCTCCACTTCTCGGTGCTGTTCTTATTGCTGCATCTTTGACGATAGATCATTACCACAATTGGTATGATGTTCTAGCTGGCTCAATCATCGGAACGATGTTTGCTTTTGGATCATACCGTTTCCAGTATGCAAGTGTTTGGGACTATCGTTTCAATCACATTCCATTGCCGAGAGTCGACGCTGAACACGGCTTTGATTATCATCTTGATCATTTAGAAGAGTCGTTGAGTGGATCGAGAAAAGGCGGATGGCGAAACGGACAAATTCATGGTGCGCCATTTGATGCAACAGCGACATTACCAATTTGATCAATATAGTTTGATAAACGAGTGCAGATAGAAGCGAAAATGAATGTTGTAAACGTTTTTGTATATACCTTGAAGAATCTCATATGCTGTTTATTTGTAAAGTATGTTTCACAGATATGTCGATTTTTGCAGAAAATACATTTATAGAATTCAAAAGAATATGCTGCTTAAAATAAGGATAAGACGAATCTAGAGACTATTTGTGTAAAAAATAAGTAATCTCAAGACATGACATTTTTTTGCGTGTAATCTCCAGATTAGAATGTAGAAAAACTAAAACTCATTAATTTTTCATACTCAGATATTAGGTCGGAAAACAATCCAACCTAATAAACAAACGTGCGACAAGTGTGAGAAAGCTCTTGTATGTTAACTTGAAGTCTTTCACAAGTAGAACTGTTAGGAAGTGAAGTTCGTAGCTCCGGTTAATAACTTCCTTTTTTTAATCAATTGTATTTGATACTATACATGTTGGGCTCGAATAGGAAATCGTTTGTATTCCCTATTTTCCATGCAAAACACTCTCAACACGTTCCTTTTCGATCTCGCTTGATTTTGATCGCTACACATCACCGGAGAAATCTGGTAAATATAATATCGTTCTGACGGTATTTCAATAAGCTACTTATACAATTCAAGATGACGTCACAAAAACACGAAATTGAGTAAAAGTAATCATAAATTCACCTTTCTATAGAATGACGAGTGTTGTCAATAAGAAATGAATCATTGAATGGCAAAGAGATTTTGCTTCGAAACAAGAGAGAAAAATATATTATCATCATTTTTCGTTTTCTCCATCGAAGCCACGACACAATCATATTTGCTCTGATATCAAACTGAAAAGCTTGAAATGATTGATACTTTTCCTTTTTCTTGTCTCAGACAATATAATTAAATATTTCTTCCTCTTAGGTCAGAATGGCATGTTTAACTGATATATAATTTCGTTTTTTCTCTTTTGTATCTCAAACCCTTAAGTGTTCATTACTGGACTAGTCGTTTCTGTTTTCTTTTCTTTCTTTCTTCGTCGTCTTCTGCTTGTAGTTTCTCTTGTTATTCTACTCGTTGATTGATTAGTGAAAGACAGTAGCAGAGTTTTTTTCCCTTGTAACGTAGAAAACCTTCTTTACATTGAGTATTTGGAAAGAAAAAGACTCGTTTTTCTCGTTTCTGCAAATATTTTAGCTCTCGCGGTCCTATTCTCCTCCTTCCATTCGTATGGAAATGCGAGAAAAAAAATCAGTCATGCTGGTTGAACATTAGACTATCGGCTACAGACGACGTTGTCGACTATAGAACGTTCAGTTCTTGCTCCAACTTACTGCTACGACAAGAAAACAGGGAGAGAGGAAAAAAAACTCCGATGACGACTTTCTCCATTTCTTCTTCCGCCTTCAAGTAATTGTGGATGCGTGCTATGACGAGCAGAGAGACTGGCAAAGAAAACGTCAATACTAAGAACAAACATTCGCTCCGGCGATGAGCGGCATCGTCGTCGTCGTCGTTTTACTTCCATGTTTGGAACGAACGAGAAACGAAGAAAAAGAGGTTCATTCATTTTTTCCTCTTTCATCGGCTACTACTATTAGTGAAGAAAAAGAGCGAAGAGAGAGAGAGAGAGACAAAAGCAGAAAAATGAGAAAAACTTGCTTGTTGTTGTTGTCGTTATTGTGAACTGCTCGTCAGAACTACTATCATCTTTATCCTTCGTGTTTTGTGAGCATCGCACACTGACAAAAAAAGTAAGCCAAACATCAGATCGCTCTCGAAACGTGTCTAAGCATACTTTGTAGTCGAGTCGACGATAGTGCAAACCTTAGCAGATAAATGATGATTTTTCTCATCATGTTGATCATTTGATGATAAAAAAAAGTACAAAGAATGTAAAATCTCGCATTAATCTTCCTGTGATTTTTTTCCTTTTCTCTCGACATTTCCATCGCTGTTTTTCCACATTTCATCGCATCATATATAACTATATCTAACTAGCTACTGACAAAAACACATCATATACCATTTATGAAAATAAATAATAAAAAAAAAGTTCATCATCAACGATTTCTTTTCTATTATTTTTCTTCTTCTTCTAGACATCAGTAGTTTTGAATAGTCTTATCAAATAAATCAGATGGGTATTTTACGACATCGTCGTTTTCGTCGTCAAGAATTGCCACCAGCTAATGATGATGGAGAAGATGAATATGACGAAGATGGTGAAGAAGGCGACGACGACGACGATTCAGCGACTACTCCAGCGGGTGCAGGTCTTCCACTGACAACTACTGAAAATCAATTTGAAAAGGCTAAAGCAATTGGAAAAGACGTCATCGAAAAAGTACCGAGTGAGTCTACATATATATATATACCTTTTGCTATTCGGTGCGACCTTCGCTATCCTACATTCTTTTTTTTTCACCTATCGGCATAAGTCAAAAATGAAAAGTATGATTGTGTTCTTCGTGAATATGTTTATATGTATGAGTGGGAGTGATTGGCAACACTAGCATACCGAAAATCGATGCATATGATGTAACGTGGGCAGACTGAAACATTTTCTCTGACGATTCTTCTCTTTGCGCGAATGAAACGAACGAATCAAAATCCTCACGTTTCTTATAAACTGTTAACTGTACAAAGCAGACCAAAATGTGTACGTGGGCGATTATTTACCGTGTCACTCTTAACTATGGCAATCGATGATATACATAAAAAGCATTACAACAAGAGAAAAAAGATTTTTTCATTCCTTCTATTCGCTTTTTTTCGTGTTATTCGATCAGTAAAATAGTGTATGTCGTGTCTATTCGAAAATACGTTGGTGTGAAAGGATACTTACAAGCGTTGGCATACATATGCCTTTACCATAAAGGCTTAGATAATGACGAGTACTATGACAAAACAGAACTATACCATCCATAAAGAAAAACGATCAGTTTTCAATATAATACCAGGTAAAAGATCACGTATGCACACAACTAAATGTTTGTTGTTCAATATACGATAGATGTCTGTAGAACGAAGAACTCTCGTGAGACTACGAATAATTGATAATGAAATTTTGCTTATTCAATTACTTTTTATATTTCTTACCACAGTAGCTTAGCCGAGAGAGCGTCCATCTCGTTAATAGAACGTCCACCGTTCGAGACGGTGTCTAAGCAGCGAATAACTTTTCTTTGAATTTCACTTTTCAGTGCCACCTTGGGCTACAATTATCCTCGTTATTATTGTTCTTCTTGCATTATGTGCGTGTATCGCATGTTGTATACGTCGAACGTGCCGAAAGTTATGGAAGAAGAAAGGAGTCAAAGGAGGCAAAGGTATTGATTTGCAAGCTGTCAAAACTTTCGGCTTACACAAAGAAAAGGTAAATATTATAATAGAAGAGGAGTTTTTCTTAATTCATACGTTTCCTAATCTTTCAGGTTCAACCTGACATTGAAGAACTAACACCGAATATGGAAGATAATGAAGATGCCGATTCGAAGAAAAGTGAAGCACCTAATTTAGGGAAATTAGAATACTCGCTTGACTACGACTTTCAAAAACAAGAAGTAAAAGAATAACAAACTAAATTGTTCGAAAAGAGAATTCGTCTTGGTGTCATTTAGCTTAAAGTTGAAGTCATCCAAGCTCAAGAATTACCGGCAATGGATATGAGTGGTACCTCGGATCCATATGTGAAAGTTTATGTTCTACCCGATAAGAAGAAAAAATTCGAAACGAAAGTTTATCGCAAAACACTAAATCCTGTTTTCAATGAGACCTTCATATTTAAAGTAAAAGACATTCGGCGGGAAAGAAAGCAACGCACTATGTTTTGATTATGAATAGAATTTGGCTTATGGTGAAATTGGCGGAAAAACATTGGTCTTTGCTGTGTACGACTTCGATCGATTTTCAAGGCATGATCAAATTGGTGAAGTACAAATTGCGTTGAATACAGTCGATTTAGGCAAAGTTATACGCGAGATAAAGGATTTATCACCTCCACCAGGAGATAAAGAAGCAGTGAGTTGACCATTAGAATTCGGCCATTTATTTATTGTATCATTCTTTTCAGGAAAATAAATTAGGTGACATTTGCTTTTCACTTCGATATGTACCAACAGCTGGTAAATTAACCATTACTATACTCGAAGCAAAGAACTTGAAAAAGATGGATGTCGGTGGCCTTTCTGGTAAGTAACAGTATTCTAATTCATTCGACTCTTGTAAGAATTGTATATTTTTCATTACTGTTTAGATCCATACGTTAAACTATCGTTAATGATGAATGGTAAACGGTTGAAAAAGAAGAAAACATCGATTAAAAAATGTACATTAAATCCATATTATAACGAATCATTTACATTTGAAGTACCCTTTGAGCAAATTCAAGTATGTCGCCTAATCTTGTCAGCATGATGCTGATCTTGAGAGACACGAATGATTTTTCGTTTAGAAAGTACAATTAGTCGTTACTGTTGTCGATTATGATCGTATCGGCACATCTGAACCGATTGGTAAAGTTGTTTTGGGTTGTAATGCGACCGGCACTGAATTACGGCATTGGTCTGATATGCTCGCATCACCGCGACGACCGATCGCCCAATGGCATTCTTTGAAAGATCCGGAAGACGGCAAACCATCATAAATGATCATTCCTATTTTTTATTGTCCTACACATGAAGTTTTTTTTCTTCTTTTACTTGCTGTGCAATACTAAACTTATTGTTGTTGTTGTCGTTCGTGTTGTTTTGTCGTTGAGACTGATTAATATTAATGTCTTTATTTATTTTCTCTTCTCTTTTTTTTCTTGTTTTTTATATGTATTTTGTCACCGTTGTTCGTATCACACTTTCACTCCTATTTTTGCCCCATTGACCGACACATACTATCGTTATTGTTGTTTGTGTATGTATACTTATATTCCTTTCTTTCTCTTTTGTTTCACTAGGGAACAGTCGTTTTTTTCCAGCTACCGGTTATCTTGTGTCGGTGTAAATAAAAAGAAAAAAACCCTACTTGGATTTATCGAAACTCAGTGCAGGAGACGATACGCTCAAGCTTGAGTCCATTATGCACAAAGTGTGCCACACGATGAGAATTCCTGCATGATCATTGTGTCAACGATGATCTTTATTGTTTGATTTACTGCATCAGTGCTTTCGTAATATGAATCTTGAGAAAAAGTCATTTTCAATTATTAAGTTTACATACCGAAGGCGCTAATAGTATTCTAAGATCAAGTCATTTTTTCTGACTTGTATGAACTATGCTAGTGTAATTTTTCGTAGATCATCTGAATTATTGATATGTAACTTGTATATTCTTATTTTGACATATAAAATTAATTGATTATGAGTTGTTATGCTTTGGAACTGAATAATTGGTATTCAATGAAAAATAATATTTAGTTTCTCATGGTTTCGGCAATCACATATTCTTTCAATGATATAAAAACACAAATTATTTAGTGATGACGACATAACGAACAAACGACCGATGTCGCTTTTCCTCTATTTTTTCTCCCTACACGTGTTGTTTTTCTCTTCATTTAAACTGAAAGACACTGTCGATTGATTACATTTTTCGAAATAAATATCATTTTCGATTATTTTTGTTTTGTCAATAGCACCACCTATTTGACTATTGCCGAAGAAGAATGTTTCAATTAATTCTTTTAACATGTTTATTCCCATTGTGTAGTAAGTGATTGTGTCGTTGCAACGATCAAACTTTAGTCTCTATTCATATTTTAGTCGGTAATAGTATTCATGGTCAAATTCTTTTGGATGGCGATGCGAATAAATCGGTGCGTGTTTCATCAGGTTCAACAACGACCATTTCTCTTCAAGACACGTCACTGGCTGATGCAGGAGCAGTGATGATCAAACAGATGCAAGTAGAGAATGTATTTGCACTTCCGTTTGCATTTGAAATGGAAATACCCGATGATCTCTCGTCACACAATACGTATACACTGTCCGTTCGAATTACCAAAGGCGTCAATCTTTTGTATATTAACGATCAGCAGATCCGAGTAAACGTCAACAGCAAAAATCCAATCACACAGGACATCCCTGTTGTTCGTGTTAGCCAAGGTTCGAAGATGTTTTATACAGAAAATACTGATAGAAATAAAATGATATTTAGATGAAATTAATGCTGCTGAGAAAGTAATCTCCAATGACGATGCAAAACAGACATCCTGGCCAGAAATGGTCGGCAAAGAAGGTTCGTATGCTGTTCAATATATAAAAGAAAAAACCGGTTCGTTTATTTATTAATCATTAGCAATACATGAACCTTCTCTGTGTTAGGTCTAACGAATGTTTTTACAATTAGACAAAACTCAGCAATGACAATGGATTATCGCCAAGATCGTGTACGTATTCCTGTTGATGATAATGGAATTGTCAGTGCAACGCCAATCATCGCATAAACTATGAACCTTGTCTTGTTCTACTTATAAAAACTTCTATTTTTGTGGATAAAGTCATGTAATGAAGCATGCCTCACGTAAAGACCCTTAAACACATCGATTTAATTAAACGATGTAAACAGCGCAATAATAAAGAGCTTATTATCATAAGTATAAACTTAGAGGTACAGTTTGTAATGTCATGTTCTGAACAACAGATGGAAATATAACAAGAAAAACATATTGACGATTATCCCTTGGCCACACAGTACCGACCACGTTTAGCATTGCCATCATAACACATTAGACCGGCACAACACGGCGGTAGACCTACTCCACATGTCCATACTTGTGGTAGACATATTGGATTTTGATTTTGCTGCTGCTGCTGTTGTTGTAGTTGTTGTTGTTGATAATGTAATGGCATTATTCGGTATAACTGCTGTCTTGGAGAACCAAATTTTCTGTGAGATTCATCTAAATCGGCATCATGTTGTTGGATGTATCTTTGAAGAAGATGATTCAGATTATAGGCCGATCGGCGTGGGTACGAGATGGAACATGGGATGAGTAACAAGAATAGGCAGAATAGGAGATTCATTTCATACGCTTTAAATTTGTTTTATGTATGTAAGGTTGTGTTAAAATAATTTACCATATAAATATGTACAAAGAGTTATTCATATACACGGAGGAGGCGGGTTTCACAATTACTGTGTATTGACCTATGACGAAGTGTAAAGAAAATACGATATTGGCATTTTGTTGTCAGACTAATCCAGGGAAGAACATAGTATACTCAACGGAAAGTTTACCGATTTCGTCACTGAATTATAGGCCAGTAATAAAACATTCGATGACGTCGGTAAAGTTCTGAATATCAACGATGCCATAAATGTGATATGATCATTTAATAGTAACGTTCTTTTCATCTCGTACACACTCCTTCGTTTCGCTTTGCTTCTTTACAACGGTCGAAAACGGTCAAAATTTCATGTGGTTTATGTAATTACAAGTGATATTGAAAAAATGTGAAAGTGATACTCGTTATGTGTAGACAGTGTGTATATGTAACCGAAAACGACAAACAAAACGCAATTCTATTAAGATGTAGTAGTATTCAGTGACACATTTGAAACATTATCTTGCGTAGCATCTAAGATATTATTGATATCATTCACTGCTAACTAAAAATAGAGGCGAACGTGAGCATAGTCTTTTGATCAACGAAATAACCGAACATACCATAAAATTGTGTTGACCTTGTGCCTCTGTTGTTTTTATTAGCTCTCGCTCTATGGCATTTAGATTACTAATAAAGGTCGATAAAGTCTGTTGCAATGTTTCACTAATAGTAACCATTCCGATATGGTCGTGATGGTTTCCTTGGAGCAACGTAAAAATGCTACCTTGCTTTTCTCGAACATCAAAACCCACACCGTGTGTTCGACAAATTTGAAAAAAGACACTGTAATGAACAGCGGATAGGCTAGTGTGATAAAGCCGAGAACTCCAAATTGCGAAACGATTTCTTTCGGAGATCTAAAATGACCATAAATGATCGAAATAATGTGGAATGAATGTGTGTTTTCTTACGAGATACTCTGGTGCGCCATTTTGCCAATTTCTCAATCGTTGTTTCGGTTGTTTCATTTGAACCGTAAATGAATGTGATTGAGAATTGAATTGTCCCGTCGTAATATATTTCATAACACGAAAAAGAGAAACATGCTCGGAATATCCAATGGACAAATCTGTAACCCAAAGATGCTGTTTGTCCGTTTCGGCATCGATAAACGTCACGAAATCAATATCAACATAACCATAGATGTGTCTTTGTTTACATTGTTCAGCAATGAGCGCACAGTAACCATTTAGCTCTTTCGGATCGACACTTGTCTGAGGAAATACTAAACCCCAACAAGAAAATTGTGATTCAGCATGAAGCTGATCGCCGGCGCAGATGAGTGAGTATTGTCCGTTGAATTCAATAGCAAGAGATACTGTCAAAGATGTGATCGAATTAGATGGGGGACAGGCTTCGATGATACCTCCTTGAGACAGGAAAACTGACAAATAACCCTTCCAAGAATTGAACTGAGCTTTATTTATATACACTGTATGTTTATGAAGAACATCAGGTAATTCCGATAGGATTCTTCTATAGTAATCTTTCTAAAAGAACAGAAGAATGTAATAAATGCTTTCGAAATTGTTTCGCCTGGAAAGTATTTCTCACTTGCACGGATTTAATTGACCAAACTTCACGCAACTTTTCTGCTTCTTTCACGACATTTTGATAGCACGGAAGGTGCATCGCAATATCACAATATGCGACACCTAGTCCATCAAATTGATCATCGACTTTAAATAACCATCGCTGAATATCCAAATGATCGAGAATTAATTGAGCTAATCCATTGAGCAGATGCTTTTCATCATAAATATCATATTCACTGAACGGTAGAGGTACATTACTGGATTTAAAGATTCGCTTGGAACCGGATTTTGTTGAATATAAATAAGATGCTTCGGGTTCACAACCTATACAGCATTCATATATCAATCAAGTCGATAGAGTAACTTACCATAGATGGGAATATCAAGATATTCAGCAATATACAAATCATCAATATGTGAAACACCTGATACCAGATAACATGGCCAATCTTTAATCAAACTTTTAATTCTAAAGCAATCGAAAATTCCTTATTGACAATTTCGCTTGTTCTGTTTACTGTTTCAAAGCTTTGGGGCTGTATTTCAATAGCGTAGCTAAACACATGTTATGTTTCTATACAAACAATAACCAGCATAGACATGTATTGATTATACAAAAAACAACTTACTGGAAAACTATGCAATGCTTCAGGTACAATGATCTTGAAACGTTCATTGACATTGTTGGTAGCTGAGAGTATCGATTGCTCACTTCCTTGTTCAACCATTGCTCGTAAGTTTATCTAAATCTCATAATTTAGTAGAAACTGAGAGCAGACGATTCATTTGCTTACTAATTTATCATAGTATTGTGAAATTTCCTTAGTTACATCGACTGGTGAAACGTAGATCACATCAACGTTTGGATCTTCGAGTTCACAAAGACGTCCAATTTGATAACTTTCTCTTAAGGATAAATCCGTTAAACTTCTTCGCGTGGATTGTGTTAAACCTAACGATGGTAAATGGACGATCATTCGACGATTCGATACTATCGATGGCCAATTTTCGTACAATTCATTTTGTTTTCTATGAAAGAATTCTAATTGACGTTGGCGTGTTAGTTTCAATCGATGTCGAATCTGAGATCGTCTCGCATACGCTGACCAAGCAGAAGTAATCACTCGAACTGCCCATTTACGTTTCTTAAACTTTTCATACACACGTCGAATGCAGAAACCACGCCAATAGGATTGAATTACAATAGCAGCTCGCTCTTTACCATTGTATCCAAGAAAACGGTACGTCTGTAATTGAAAAAACATGACATATCTTACCAATGTGTTGTCAATTAATTTCCTTGATTACTGACCGAATTTAGACGCCCCGGAGTACATTTTCTACTTCGATAATTGCTTTTTTCCATATCCATATTTGTTTTTGGTTCGTACCGATGAGCGTTTTCATCATACTCATCTAAAAATGTGATGTTGCAATGAAATTAAGTGGCATAAATCTACCTCTGTTATATGTTCTGATGCGTTGCATTGACTCATGTGTTCGCGATAAATTTGTATGAACATTTGATGCTGTGAACTCACATGCCGCCAGCCTGAGCAGTTCTTGTTTCGCATCTTCTGATGATGTTGGTATTTTATGATTCTATAAGAGAGTCGAATGGACGAATAGTTTTAATCGCCTACGTTGATATATATTTACGCGAAGGTTGTGTCGATGTTTAAGTGGTAGAACACCTAATGGTTCTGATCGTTTTCTCGATATCGAATTTCTCGATACGGGCTAGTACAAATAAATAATCTTCGAGTCAATGAAAAGAAAACATCTAACAAATTACTCGTGAATGATGAGTTTCGATTAATGGTAATTGAATAGCAGAGTTTTCAGGTGGAGGATTGTCATATGAAGTATCGATAACTACAAAAGTCTTTCCATCTGCACGCCGCTGTCGACTATTCACACGAACATGACTGTCAATACACGAAATAGAACTACAAATCGAACATCACTTTGAATTGCTCGATGTTCGATCACGTGATTGCTGAATTTGATAAACCTGCTCGTATGTAGTTCTATCTTGCGAAGGTCTTGCATTGAATTGATTAACTGATAATGATGAAACGCTGTTTCTATTGATACCATCGTTTCTATTCTACAAACACAGAGACAAATAATTACGGAATAATTTCATCGCTAAATATGATCAATAACCTTTTCATTATGTGCAGTCCGATTGTCGCTCTCGCCGTTATTTGATGGCACAAGGGCCATCATCTTTATGTCAAAGATAGAGAATTCTAGAAGAAGAAAAGTGTTGAACAATTACATAACGATCTGTCTGTTGCCTTTACAAATAATTCAAAGTGTAGAAGAAACAGTTGCATGTCTGAAAGATTTCTCATTGAGAAAAGAAAAAGAACAGAAAAAAATTGATCACGCATGTTCTTTATTTCTATTTATTTTATTCTTGGCTTCATGTCAGAATGTTTCCATGTCAAACACACTTTAATTCAAAACTCTGTAGTCGGCAGGCAGCCTATTGGTTGATTTTGTTTTTTCCGAAAAAAAGCGTTTCCAGGAACATTTCATTGATGCAACTATAATCATAATGAGAAGAACGTGCCAAATCATTTTCGTCAGTTTTCATCGTATCCATCATCAAGTTACACGTATTTGTCTATCGATCTACGAAATATTCGCATTGAAAATTCTTTCCAATACTTCTTCGAACAATCATGATTTACACACATGTCTTCTATTTCTCACATATCGACTATTGTTCGTGTAAAATGATAAAATAATACTCGCGTCTTTACACGAGGTCAAGCAAACGAGATCTTTGCACTTAAAATATAGAAAATCTATGCCTCGAAGGAGAACGAAAGTAGTATCAAATTTCTGATAGAATTTTCAAACCATCTAAATTGTTTGATGTCTCGGTAATAGACCTCTATCAGAGAAATCTACTAGATATTCCTTTTTGTTTCCTATATGATTCAAATGGTAGTCACAATCGACCAATAAGTTCAACTTTTCTTTTTTTTTATCTTACAAAGAAAAGACTAAACGATCGATTTGTACTAGAACGAGCTGATATCTTTCCGCGTAATAGAGATGACAAATAAGACTGTTGACGTGCAGAGGTGGATTGCATTGGGCAAAGTTATCTAGTAAATTGTAGACGACAATGTAAGATAGTCGACTGACGCTTTTAACATGTCATCAGAAGACGATATGTGGATTTGTTTATCGTATCAACAAAACGTTTCTGACATGTTTTTATTCGTTAGAAAAAGAAAATGAGAATATATTTTAGTTCGTGTCTAATTGAAGATTGCCTTTTCTCGCCATCGTTTTGATCGACTCTAATCTAATTACACTGATTACTTCTGTTCGGTACAGACAACGAGACTGAACTGAGCGTTGAATGAAGATGATCGTCATTCTGTAGTCATTCAGTGTCTACAAACGACATTTGTATATCCGTTGATTGATCGTCATTAAAGAACATGTTGTACAGTTTGGTTACATCATCTTATCACAAGAGGTCAGCTCACAGATAGACGTCGAACTAATGATTATTGGATGAACAGAAAGTGACAGCTGTTACTCTCTACTGACCCTGAGACATTTCCTTTCCTTTCTTCTTCCTGTTCTTCCTTTTCTCGTTCTTTATCTGCATCCGATAGGTCTTTTTTCATTTGTAGATTTCTATTTTATCTATGAAAATGTTCGGCTCCTATGAACATCAACCACCTTCGCCTGCTCTATCTTCATGCGACATGGAATCCATCGATGATATGCCCCCGCCATCGGTCTCATCTCAACTGTCAATGAATGACGACTTAACAATTTCCAATCGATTGAATATCACGGCCCTACAAAACTCAGTGTCACTTCGTTTCAAGAAAAAACGTAAACGTAAACTTGAACCCGATACGGTTTCGCTTCGTTCACTTGAAGAACTCGTTGGTGATCATTTCCAACGTAAAAAACGTCTCTCTCTCCCACGTTTATCATCAGTATCTGAACTTTTAAGTCCCATGTGCGATCGAGTTATTAACATGTTACAAACAACCAAACAGTCGTCATCAGCAAATCTACACAATCTCTTGAATAACAACACAAATTCGACTCATAATTACAACATTAGACGGAAAGGTTCCACATCACAACAAGCGACCAATGGTATTTCGTCACCGAATACGATTAAAAAGTTTCGTGCTGCTTGGTCAGAAACTTGCGATGGAGAAAAATTGAAACAAACAATGACAGCAACAGAAATCGAACGACAAAATGTTCTCTATGAGTTATTCTCAGAAGAACAACAAATGATTGAAAATCTTGGTTTAGCACAACGAGTAACTCTTTCATCAGCACATATACGATCCACATCGACAATTGTCTTTCCTAGGTCTATCGAAACGGCATGAAAACATTGAATATCCTCAATGATTTCGAATTAAAACAAATCTTTGGTCCGTTAGAAGATATTTTGCCATTACATGAAGGTAAGAGATCTGATAAAAGAAAGAGAACAGAATGTTATCAGTTGTATGTCGTGGTGAAAACATGGACGATAGACTCTGTTCTTCTTTCCGGAGGTTTAAATTCGATTACGATTACCAATGAAAAACAACCACTGCTGTTTGTTTAGATCTTCTCTTTCGGTTGAAACCCAAGGGTAATTCTTCGATCGATGCTGTAGGTCAGATCTATTTAGAATGGGTAAGAATCTTGGGAAAGGAGGAATGATTAATTATATATCGATACTTAGTTTCAACGAATTCGTTCATCTTACGTGTCATACTGTTCGAATTTAATCAATGCAAAAGAATTACTGGATGCAAAACGATGTGAAGAGAATGGCCGTGTTGATGATTATCTCAAGCGATGCACTGACTCAGGATTTAGTCGTAAACTTGATCTATGGGACTTTCTTGGTTTGTATTCATCGATGTTTCTTTCTCTCGTCGTAAATTCATTCGTGTCTTTTAGATCAACCACGAAGCCGGCTGATGAAATATCCAATCCTGTTCAAACGTATTCATAAACGAGTAAGATGTCTGACGTAGAAGGAGAATCTTCGATTCACATTTTGATATGAAACGATGAAAACTTCATTCGGAATAGTTTCATCGCACACAAAGTGTGAAAAAGCTAAACTAGAACTGTATTTAAATTGGGTATTTTTTTTCCTTCATTAATAATTTATACTCTCAGACATACAGTAACAAATTTTGTTATTTTTAGACTAAAGATAGTCATGAAGATAAACGAATCCTGCTGGAAACGGTAAGTGAAATGTATTATCGGAGGATTGCGATGAGTATGTAATTGTAGATCAATATTGTGGAAGAATTGATCAATGATGTTAGTCAAGCAACATCAGCACAGATTTGTTCGAATATAATTGCTAAACTTGTTTATACAAATGACGAACAGGTACGAACTTTTAGTTGGAGGAGTTGTTTTTTGTTTTTGAACATCCAGTTTTGTATTAACAGAAACATTCGTTAATCGAAACACAAACACGTTTGATCTGTCAAGGCGAATTGAAGAATAATCGTGGTCAAGTATGCGAAACTAAATTTTGCCTCGGAAGAGAAAGTTTATTGGAATCTTTTAGAAATTACATGTCTTTTTATTTGATGAAATCATTTTGTTTACTCGTATTGCTACACGTAATGGTGTGAAATCTTACCAATTAACGAACTATCCAATCTCAGTCGAATTCTTACGTATTGAAGATATTGAAGATGGAGTGAAGATTCCCGAATTATCATCGGGGAGTTTTTCCAGAACGTTAGCTGGATCAAAATCAGGTAGGAGAGTTCCAAAGAATAGAACAAGAAAATGTCATTTTATTGTGTTTAGCTCGTAATGTATTTCGTTGTTCATCTGTTTTCTCATCAGACAATAACAATAATCGAAATAATTCGATGTTATTGCAAGCACGCGATATCTATGATAAACAACAATGGTTAAGTGCTTTTAGATCATTGAAAATAACTAACGGTTAATAACATGGATATGAATATCATTGTAATAATAATATTATTATTTTTCCTTTCTCTCTTTTTTTGTTTCTCTCTTATATCTGTATAGAAATCTTTGTTTTTCTTCTCTTTCACTTTCACTTGACTATCGTTGAATCACAACGAAATAAAATAATGGACAATTTTTTCATCTCAATGAAGAAATTACTGAAATATGCACAAGGAAAAATTTGCTTAATTCTCTATTTATCGATGCAATTATTTCCTTATCAACATGTCTAGTCTTGTCTAGATTACGGCTCCTTGTCCTAATTGACTTGATCGTAATGTATGTATACTCAACCTTTTTGTACCAGGATGAGACTTTCCTCTCGACTGAGGAGTATATCTGCCTTATAGACTAGTTGCAGAATTTTTTCAAATCGCAGATGTCACTGACCGCTTGTGAAAAGAGAATCATATACCTTTATGAGATTTGTGCTGATTCATCACTAGAGACACGTTGTCATTTCGTCATACATTATAATAAACATAAAATGTGCTTATCTTGTATTCATAGCTTTTAGTGAATTAATAATGCGTAGACCGAATCATCATTCTGATCAAGAACGGCCAGTCGAACCGAATGGTTTCTACAATTCCCTTCTGTGAAATAATATTAAAATCTGCTCTGTTTTCGTCTAGTTCGTCCCAACTCTTCGCAGAACGCATTTTTTACACCCCAGACAGCATTCTATGGTCAACCCAATGACCCGGCGCTCGAAATGGAACGTTTGACAAGTAATCCATTTCTTCGTGTCGGAATGAAAGCTGTTGAAGACGGCATGAAAGATATTACCGGCAAAACTTTTAATGCCCTGCCAGATGAAGTTTGTCAACAGAGGAAAAAGCTTCTTCTAATTATTAGAGGTATGAATTTAGATGAAGAAATCGGTGTCATCGATAAGATATTACTTTGCCGTCGATCAAGCATATGTTCGAAAAAAACTCATCCTCATTCTCTTCCCATTTCGATCAAGGGTAGAATCTTTCAACAGGATCTCGCTCATTTGAAACATTTTGTCATATAGAAATGGTCATTGGACTATAGTGCTGATGAACCAGTTCCACCGCGAGTTGATACAAATGCACCTGACTATTACATTCCATGTAGGATATCGTCAATTGCACACTACTTGATTGAATAAGATGAGTTGATTTGTTTAGTGATGAGTGCCATGACTTACGTGCTCATTGCCAGTATTGTTCTCGGGACACAAAAAAGGTAAGCTGTTTCTTTTTTACTACCAAAATTCACAACTGTTGGAATTATTCAAAGATTTACACCTGAACAACTGGGCACACATGCATCGTCTGTTCTTATATGGAATATGATTGAGATAGGTCTTCTTTCTTTGATATTTTACATTTGTAATATTCATTCTAAACTACGTCTACTCGATTTAATTGCATATTGTGGTTATAAATATGTTGGAATGATCGTCGTGCTCTCTTCTTATTTGATCACACATTCCTTGCTTGCATATTATTGTTCACTGCTCTATACCGGTATCTCTATATCATTTTTCCTTGTAAGTCATCTTCGTTTGTACTCATTGATCTTTTACTGACAAGATTTTACTTTAGATCAACTGTCTAAGATTGCAAATCTTACCTGACACAAGTGGTTCTCAAGCATACAACGTAAATCGAAATCGCCGTCGTGTTTATTTACTCCTGCTAGTCACTTTCAGTCAGCCAGTCTTTATTTGGTGTCTAACTCGACATCTAATTGTCACATGAAAGGAAAAACTCCTTTCGTCAATGTTAGCCTTCTAAAAAAGATATATACAATAAATTCCACTTGACTCGTATGTTCAGAAGCGTACAGCTTGTCATGTGATAGCGAATACTACATCTATCACGATCTATCCTTGAACATCTTTTTTTGTAATACTCGCATTTTGGCTTCGACAGATATTCACCAAGTAGCGAGCAGTAAATAAGTTAGCGTGCAATCTTTTACAAAATATCCGAGAATAAAAACAAGACGAGTGATGGAATCTTTACCATTGAAAGGCTTTGTCTTGTATATGTGAGACTATACAGAGAAGAATGCCAATGAAGATAAGCATCATTACTACGAGTGATACAGAGGTTTGAAGCGGTCGGGATTTTTCATTAGTGTGATTTCGTCGCCATGGACTAAGCGAGAGAGAGTGCTGATACCGAATACCATGAATAAACTCATGAATACATCAATGGAAGCATGAGATTAAACAAACGAGACGAAATAAAAAACTGCGCAACTGTAAGCTAAGATCCATTTACTATCTGCTTGCTTGTGAAAGCAAGGATTTGTTCTACGAACAAGATTTATACTACACGTCTACATAACGACAAACAAAAGTGTCATTACTGATGAATATTTTCTATTTGAAATGAGAGAGATTGACTGATGAAACTTTATGATGATAGTACATATGGCAAGTCTAGCAGTACATTCAAACAGAAATGAAAATATTTCATACTTTCACGTTGTTAAATGCAATCAGCACGATAAGTCGCATTGATTCAGCATTAGAAATAGTATCGAAATTTGTTTTCCCCTCTTTCTTTCTTGGTTTCTTCCACACGCACATAGACATTCCATTGTTATCTCCACCTTCGCTCGCTTTACGACTCTCTCTGTCTCTCTATTCTCGGACACACTTGTTTCATTTTTCGCATACAATCGTTGTTGACTATCACTTCTATCTTAGTACATTATTTGTTATTAAGTTATATAAATCATGGGTGCTATCTTAGGTAAATCAAAGTCATCATCATCATCAACAACAGGAACAACCGTGAGTAAAGTTAATGGACACAAGAAAGAAACTCTTGACATATATACTCATCAAAATGGTAAAACAGGAACATTAGAAAAGAAAAACCAGAAAAAAGAACATATTAAAAAGAAGAAATCAACCGATGAAATGATCGATAAATGTACAGGCACAGATGGCGAAGTCATATCATCATCAGCATACATTAGAAGACTAGTTACTGCTAATGGTTGTTATATATCCAATGATTCTCTCAATGGTCAAGGTACTTCACGTCGGCAATCGGACACACCGAGCAAAGATGTTTTAGAACTTCGAGATGCTTGCATTCGTCGGGGAATAATTACACCAGAAACGAGTATTGCTACCCTACCAACAGCAGCTGAACAAGGATATGAAGTAAATATTGTCGAAGAATCAATCAATGATACACCAACAACAAATGTTGCGAATGATGAAGAGCAAGTTGAATCACAAACAACTAGTGAATGGTAATTATGCTTCATTAACGATCATTTCAACGCTGTTTTTGTTTAGAGAAGATCTAAAAGAATCTATTCAATCGATACAAGCTCTTACCCACAAGATTTATCATTCTTTTTATCTCATTCTTGCGCTTGTTGTTTGTTTTATATTTTAATAGAACATCATTTGTATTGATTGAAAACGAGCACACTTAGTCTCATGACATGTGGCATCTAGCTCTCGCTACCAGTAAAATCGTAAACTATTCATAGTGTTGCACTTTAATAAGTAACCTCTTCAGACAAGGCAAAGTAATTTTAACTCGAAAGAACTAAATACTCTCACACTTTCAGTCTGCAAGTCTCCTCAGTCACACATATTTCCTTAAAGATTCTTATGTATTCAAAAATATGACATTCTTCTTCATATTACGATAATCAGCACACATATAAAAGACAACAAGAGAAAAAGACACATTGAAATAAAATATAAATGCCAAATTGGCGTGATAAATTCTTCCATTGAAGTATTTCCGGCAAATAACAAAATAAAAATATCTCCATCATCGACTCTAGCACATAGCAAGCTCAACGTGACCTGCACGTAATTGGAAAACAAAACGAGAAACAAGTATGTGACAGGTTTTTAAATTTAAATTGATGGAGGTAAAAGATGTGTTCCGGTCGATGGAGATGATGTGGATGATGCTTCAATAACAATTGTAGGTACAGGCGACGAAGGCGGAGAGTAAATCTCTTCGGCTCGTGTACCGGATCCCAGTTGATATTCTTTTCCGCGCCATCGTATTGTTGAAGAACCAGTAAACGCTTTGAAATAGATGTAGTAGGCTGAAAGTTCTCTTACTAGCCATGCGATAGCAAACTCAAATTTCGAAAAAGGAAGTGGACCACCCTGAAAAGAAAAGAAAAACATCAGATTGTCAGGAGTGCAAGAATTCTTTGCTTAGTTTGTTTTTGTTGTTGAAAAACTTACTTGTGTTATTCGAAGCATAAAATAATCAAACAGAAACCATAGTAAAATATGACAAGCGGCGACAACAAGAGCATTCCATTGAAATAAATAATCTGTTACAACACCGGCGAGAGCAGCAGACGTGAAACATTCTTGTAAAGGTTCAATATAAGCTAATGGACTTAAACGCATACGTAATTTAAACCAACGAATCATTCGTTCGACCCATATTGATATAGAATAATCACCAGAATTTTGTTGAGCAGGAGTGGGGGCAACACGAATTTTCCAATGTTGTTTCGTTACTTCAGCAGCGATATAGAAATCTTCGGCGATATAGTTGCCAAAAGCTTTCAAACCGCCGGCACGATCAATGATCTCTTTACGGATTAAACAAGACATTCCTGTAACACAGTTTATGCCAATCAAGTTGATTGTCATGTACATACGAGCATGTTGAGTACCAAAATAAACCTAAAAACAAACAAATTTTCGATTAATGATTATATAACTATCGGTCTCAGTCTTCTCTCTCGAGTGCACTTTATTAAACATACCTTTTCAACTGATCCAGCAAAACCTTTTCTGTCGCATGTAAATGGCATCTGATGAACGAGACCAACATCATCAGTCATACAGGAAGCCATATCATACAAAGCATCCTCATGCATCAGTAAGCCACTATCTGATATTAAAAACAATGGATACTGGGCTTTATCGTAGGCTGGCAGCATATTGAAGATTTTGGGATTTTTGATTTCATCTGTTTCGAATCCGATTGTCTCTTCAGTCGTTCCCACCTTTTTCGAGCCTAAAAAATGAAACAAAAAGTATACGAGTCAATAGTGGCATTCATCTACATACCACACGGCAAAATTCGTTTCCACCAAGGTTTTTGTTTTCTTTTGTTTGGAACATCTTTGAGATTTTCATGAGTATTTTTTTCTTCCATTGGATTTCCTATAGACAATCTTTTCGTAAACTGTCTGCAACATGAATAGACTAGTTCTACATACCAACAAACAATTGTGAATCAACATGTGGATACTGTATACGCAATCGTTCAATGATATCGATTAATTCACTATTGTGCTCTTGGACGCAAAAGAGAATTTCATACTGAAAGAAAACGCATGAGGATTTTTTGCAACAAGGCAATCAATTAACGTACACGAGGGTATTTTAAATTGAAAAATGTCTTTAAATTCTCGGAGAGATTGGTATCAACACATGTCAATGGTTTAATAATTGAGATTCCCGGTAATTCTTTGCTGTTAATTGATAATGTTTTTCGATGAAATTTGTAATAACTAAAAAAAGAATGTTAATCGATTATTCAAATATTGTCATTTTAATCTGCGCGTTTCGATCAGACTTGAAAAAACATCAAGACAAAACTTCTCCGATTCAGATTGTAAACATCACTTTCGGCGAGCACTTAGACGATGACTGCAATTTGCGTCTTTTTCCTCAAAAAAAGTCTACACGTACTTTTGACAAGCATGTCAAATTCTCGTTAGTGACGGTATTATCGCTTGTAATTTATTTGTTCATGGAAGTAGATCAATAGAGGACGTCAAAGAAAGTAAAGAATAAATCGATATGCTGTTGAGAGGTAGACTTAACAAAATTGATCTATGTAGGGAATGTCTGACATACATTTATGCCCATTTTCACATAACTATCAGGAAATATGTCTGAGATGTTTATTGAAGGAGGAAAATCATGACTATAGTCACAAGAAAACAAAATTTGTTTTTCTTCTTACCCATAACTCATGCCACCCAAGTGAAATAACCAAACTAAAATTATGACTAGTATGGAGAGGACAAGAGTAGTCGTGAGAGCAAGGAGATAAACGAAATGAAGGAATAGCATGACCGGTTGTTGCGAATACTGTAATATGAATGTTTCATTGACACATTGTCTGTGGTAGAAATTGAATTATTTGTGATTTTTCTATGAATATGGCAACATAGACGTGTGTAGGAGAAATAGAGATGAGACAGAAGTAGAAAATGAATGGCTGATTTGACGGTGAGATTCAATGTAAAACTGAGTTGAAGAACGAAGTAAAAAAGAGAAAAAAAAACTAGAGAGAATAACGGTTTCTTAATAAAATAAATGACAGAAAGGAACAAGAAAAAATAATGCAAAAAGAAAGAGGTAACGCATTACTGACGGTGCCTCAGACTGCCGAGCAGAAAAGGAAAAAGAATTGTCTATGACAACCGTTTGACTGTTAGTTTTTATTTTATATCGCTACTATGTACGATGTTCAAAACATTTTTTTTGTATTTCAATTCCATCGTCGTCAAGAGTCTGGAGAAAAATTAATGAAGAGGCATAGAGAATTATTTCTTTACGCATTTCTCTCAAAACAATCGAGTACAATATGTACCGAAGAACTAAAAACATGTTCTTTTTCGTCTCAATAACATCATTAGGTAAATATGGACTCATTTTCTTATGAGAAATGAGTAATATCGAGTTCTGTATGAGAGATCGATCTGAATATTCGTTTTATCTCGATTAATATTCTTATTTTATGCATTGGATATTTTACAACCGATGTACTTCTCTATTTACATTCGTAGTTTGAATGAATGATTCATTTTCGTTATGATTCATCCGAAATGTTATCAAGATCGATCGATAAAGGTCAGATCTATATGCGCGCACTATTACATCAAGGACATGTTTAAAAATAAATTTGAAGGCCTATTCGAAAGAGTTTCACGTTCTTATTAAGCTGACAATGTGTTGCCGTACCCGTAACTGGAACCGAGCAGATGAAGTAAGACAAGAAAAACCCAACCGCCAATAAGTAGATAACAGAAAATATGTAAAGTTAAATCAAGCCCATCATTAGGATTACTTCCAATGGCCAACATGGATTAAAAAAGATGTTGAAAATGAAGACGACGACCGGAGAAAAAAAACCCAATAGATTAAAGTAATCTGTGTTGAGACAACTGACTCTCGGATTGTAAAGAGAAAGATGAGAACGTAATAAAAAAGTAAAAAGAGTAAATCATTACATTTTTTTATGTGTCAATGTTCTTCGTCTACAAAAATTGTGACTGTAGGAAGAAGAAGAAGAAGAAGAAGAGGCAGGATCGACAGCGAGAAAGGGAGACAAAATGCGTCATCGTTAATACCATGTCATGTGGATTTGAGTCACGCATTCTATCTTCATCGCACAACGATAGACGGGACTCCACACTGATGTTTGAAAGACTTCATTCAACTAATGTATTCACACACATGTTCCTGTTAACAACTTTGCTAGACAAAATCACGAATTTCGTTGTTGTTGTTGTTATTATTATCTTTACCTCGAAATATGTAGAGTTAATTTCATACATATTCGTATTACAATCGAAAAATGACTCCAAGCATACATATAAACACTCGTCAATTGTAATTCGATTTATTTTAGCATTTTATATGCATATCTAAATAGAAATTTATTCCGATAGTGCTTGTTATGTTGTATATTTCAAATGTACTATATGCTTCGTAAACGGATGCTTCTTGTGTATCAGTACAATGTGTAGAAATCGCAAAACTGAAGCCGATGATTAATAGAGACGAACTTTTTCAATGATTAGTGGAAAGAATAATCATAAGGTTGTCATTTAAACAAGCAGTGCATAATTGTCAGACGTGAAAAGGGAATGTGATGGCCTAAATATACCTAAACACGCTAAATCGTCGCGGCTGTTATTTTAAAGATGAAAATTAATGGGTATAGTCAAGGTTAGAACTGAATCTATTTAAACTGTAGCATCAGTTGCTTAGTATTGCTTCGACAGAAAGTGTGCGTCGTCCATCACTTGCCAGTGAGCAAGGCAATAGAACGTAGTTGAAACCTTAAACCATCTGTCTCTCGTGCGGCATCCTTTTTTTAATATAATTTATTAAAAAACTCACTGCATCTATACATTGGTGAATGAAACACATATAAAGCTATTTTTCTGCAAAAAGAAGTTCTAGACGCTCGACGTCGTATTCGGTCCAAAAGTACTAAAAACCTTTGCTTCATGCCGGGTTTCGCCTTCCGGGCAACTTCTTTGATGATTGATGACTGTCACTCCTCTGGAGATATTCTCGTCTTTTTTATATAAATTGGTTAACACTTTCTTCGATAGTCGTCGAAATACCGTTGACGAGATATAATTCACGTAGAACATCGAAACATAATTGAGGTAGAACATTAAATAAACAATTTGCATACAGAGCTTTTCTTGTGCACGTCGATATTTAGTTTTCGTAACCGTTTGAGTCAGATTGTCATAGATAATTCGAATACAAAACGGTGTTGATGAGATCATGGAGCTAAATATCTGTAAAAGTACCATGGCAATCAGTTGATGATCGAGACGCGTTGTGCGGACGAGCTTTGGCATAGAAAACGGATTGATGCGTTGTTGGTGAACGCGCCGAAGGTTTTTCAGTGTTAAAATTCCAAAAATGCTTGTCAAAAGCCATGGAAATGTTCCATAGCATAGTAAATTCAAACAGTAAACTGAAATCTTCGACCATATGAGCGATGAACTAGCACAAGTACCTGTTGTCGCCAGAGGTCTCGTATAAATCAGAACAGGAATGTTAAATATCATCCACAGGCTAATAGTTAATAGACAGATCTGTTTGGCAATGGGAACCGAAGTCAAATAGCGCCATTTGATTTGTTGACATGTCGAGAAGAATCGATCGATTCCCGACCAAACAAAACAGTACAAAGCGATTAATGACGCGCAAGATGCAACATAGCTTCGTATTTTGCACCAAGCGATATTCGTAATGTTCCAGTCAAACAGAAAACCATCGGATAATATTCGAGGTAATAAACCAAACAACAGTTGAACTAAACTCGCAAATGAGCCAAATACCAAGTAGATGCAGCATGAACTTAAACGAAAAGAGTAATGACGAAAGACAAGGATGTTCCAGATACATCCGATAATACCAAGAATGAACATGCATGTTCCAACATAGATATTCAGTTGGTGAGAAATATTGTCCAACGTTTCAGGTGTAGACATGATTTGTTAGAACTCGGCAGCTTTCAAGGTACGCAGATAAATTTGAAAACTGAAGGAGTACGATGGTTATAAATACCTTTTATTAAAAGATAATCTTTTTCATTAATTAATATCTTATTTCTAAACTATTTCTCAAAGAAAAGAACAGAAGAAGGAACTTTTTGCATGTTAGTTTAGCCAGCAGCAAATATCACCTCTAATTATTCAGATCGCACAAAAAAATCCGCTATAATTAGCTAAATCTCGCACTCATTTCGTGATTTTGCACAAGCCGTAACCATAAAAATCTATCTGGACTGGTTTACACTAGGTTAAGTATCCGAGAACTTCACTCAGCAGCGCCATCTATAAAAAGTTGATTTTCTATTGGTTCCTAAATTTCATCCATTGTCGTCCGATGTGCAGTGCACGCAGACAAATAGTTGTCTTTTTTAAACAACCATAACTGCTACTTTGCAAGGCGTCAGTGATTCTTTCAATCATTGATGCTCATTCGATTATTGATTCTCGGGGTTAACTGAGTTTTCAAATCATTTCTTCCGTTTAGTTCTTGTCAATGGCATCATCTTCCTCTCCATTTTCCAATAATGGAAAATTACAAGTTTTACCTACACCAGTAAGTCATTTCGGGAACAAACCATCGACCTCTGTAATCATCTTATCTTTTCAGACAACATTAGTATTTACACAACCAGTTAACAATAATATAACTGTAAATAATATTGCAATGACGCCACAAAACATTCGTCATGCAGGCACACCAAACGGAACGTATATTCATCAACAGTCGATGCCTACTGGAACTATATCAACGTCGACAGGTATTGTCCGTTTTAATCAAGCGAATCAGTTTACACCACAAAATGTTTGGACCAATAATGCAACGCAATTATCACCTAAAGTTCAATATTCACCAACGATCAAGGCTGGTAAGACCGGTGGTATTTTCTCATTCGAACAAGTAGTATTCTTTTGCATCACTTAGAACCATCGACGCCCGGTATTTCCCAACAAACATCAATTTTACCCACGAAATTAGTTGCACAACCAATTGTTCGCCAAACAGTCGCAGCACCACAAACACCAAAGTTTACCGAAGCACAAATCAATGATTTTGTTGGTAAATGTCGAACGTTTCTAACAACCTTACTTAAACTTGCCGAAAAACAAGCACCAGAAAAATTACCTATGGTACGATCTTGCATACAAGATCTTCTCGACGGTGCCATTGATCCTGAATCATTTACTCAACGATTACATACACTCTACAAATCCCAACCACACACATCACTTGTACCTTTTTTTAAAGTTAGTTCTCTACATGCTCGTCTATGATTTAACTAACTGTCACTGTGTATTCTAGTTAGCATTACCTTATATGCGTCAAATGGTTAAGAATACGTTCGGGCAACCGATAACAATTGAATTATTGGAAAGACTAAATCTTCCCTCGAGTAAAAGTAACACTTCTACGATGATGACCACAACAGCAGCAACAACACCAACGTCTCGTGTTGTCGTTAATCCATCTCTACTAACTCAACAATCGAATTCAGGTATGCAACAACCGCTATTATATACGACAGTTCAACCTCAACAAAAGATCAATCTACTACAACAACCAACGCCCCAAACCATCATCGGTACTACAGCCTCGCTACTTGGTCAGCAACAACAACAGCAGCAGCAAGCTCGCACACAAATAGTTCGTTGAAACACTTTCATTGTAAAACTAATTCATCCTGATATAAATATCATCATTTTTTGTAGAGCATCACAGGTATTCGACCACTCGTAGCAACAGTTTCTCCATCATCAAATACAAATCTTCTCACTGGTCAACAACAAATCCAACCTATAACTCAAACAATTATTCAACAACCTGATTCGCTCTTACACAGAACATTTCTTTCACCAGCAACAACAACAGTTCAGCAACCACAGATTATCACAGTTAACCATCAATCGATTAAAACTGAAATTGGTACAGGTTCTAAAACCTTACTAACTAACATTCCCTCGCTTCAGCAACAATCGCAACTTCACTCGCAATCGAGAACGACAACGAAGTTAGTTTCAATGAAACGAAAGCAACTCATTCTTCTGCTTCTTTAGGACTGAAGATGATTCATCCGATGATATTATGGGAAATACTAGTTTATTAACAACAGTATTGGCTACTACCGATGATCGTCATACTCGTCATATCACACATGATGATCGATTTCTTTCTGCACTTGCTCTTCGTCGACGGTTAGATCACTTAATAAAAGAAAAACGATGGGAAGGTGGTAACATGGTATTCCAAGATGATGCTGTTCTTGCACTAATCTCCCATGCTGCAGAAGAAAGAATGAAATGTCTAGTTGAACGACTTCGATTGATTTCTCAACAACGATCAAGTCTTTCCGTACAGGTATACCAGTTGACTCTTTGTCAAGGGGACAAGCAAAGAATTTCCTTTCTAAATAGATAGAGCATGACGAAGATGAAACAATGCTCATTCCTGGCCAAGGTAATAAACGTAAATTAGAAGAGAATATGAATCAACACGCACACATTTCGTCGACACAATCAAAACTGATCAATACGATTAAAAAAGCCGTATGTTTGATGTTTTACTTAAGAACCATGAACACTCATCGGTGTTTTTCTAGAGACTCGCTCGAGTCAAATGTCGATCGCATCTTCAAGATTTAATCGTGCTTATGCAAGACGATAAGCAATTGAAACGATCGTCGCTCCTCTACATAGCTCTTGATAAAGTTTCTTAGAACTCAAATAAACTTATCCAATGGTTTTTTTTCACATGGTTTTACATGTTGAATAGTTCACAAACAATCCTCATATAAAAAACAACACACTTTATATCTTGTTTATATATCTGATCTTATTTATTGTTTCTTTGATGTATATTTCTGTCATTGTCATTGGATATTTTCTCCTATTTTTTTTGTATACAGTCTCTTGATTTCTCTTTACAGTGAAAAAGAAGGATTACTCTTTGATAAACATGAATGAATGATTGATTTCCTTCATTTTCAATGATTATACGCTCAAAACTAATGTGGATAAAAAAAGATCCATTGGATCGCTTGCGTACAAAATTTCATATCGGACATTGACTTTCAATGGCGAAATGATGTCAAATGTAGAACAAGAAGAGAATGACAGACAATGGCATTTTTCTTTTGCCGTCATTATATAGATTATTGAATATGATGTAAGAAACTAGACCGGAGTCATGCTCTTTAGCGTTAAAGGAGAGTTGAATTGAAACTATTTGAAGTTCAATCGGTCAATTTGATGCTCTGAACAAACGATAACATAGAACAGATTTCTTGTTTGCGCATTGATAATCAAACTCTGTTCTGTCATCTATTCACGGATGTCAAGCTCATCGAATTCAAACTCGTCTTTATTTTCTCTCTCTCTTTCCTTTGTTCAATGTTCAATTAATAACAAGAGGCAATGAGTACACTGCTATGCTTATCCGCATATCCCACATTATCTACTGGTTCATGCTTCAGTAGTTATATCGTTTCTTTGTGCATTTGTGCATATATATATATATATATAATTGGTATCGACTTTTACCAGTTATACTTCGATTTGAAATGCTGAACGCTCTACCAGATAAACGCAATAGTGAAGAAAAAGATGAAGTTTTTCTTGCACCCAACGAAGATATTGTTCATGATAAAGCAAATGCACTTGTCGAAGCAGATCAACTATCTACTCACGAGACAATTGATCTGCATACTCGACGTCCTTCATCATTGAGTATAAGCAAAAGTGAATCGTCAGAAAGTGCCGAACCTCCAAAAATGGACGTAACTGTTGCAATAAGTAAATACAATATACCATTTTTTTTCTTTAGTTTTCGATGGATAAATGAAATCAAGTTGTGATGTCACGGACAAATATTTGCTTAGAGAATATTTCATTTCATTCTAGTAAAAGTTGACCAAGTGAAGCCTGATAGTATGCTTTTGGATGCTTCGCACCGATTCCGACCGTGGATACGTCTTCTAGCCGAGTGTATAGCAGAGTTACTCGGCACGGCCATTCTCGTTCTATTTGGATGTTCAGGCGTCGCACAATTTACTCTATCACGCGGAAAACTATCCAATTTTCTCTCTGTTAATTTCGCTTTTGGCTTTGGTGCATCGATTGCCGTTTATGTTGCTGGTCCAGTCTCGGGTATCTACAAGGGCACGCATAACTGAAAGCAACCTAGATTATTCTTTTTTAGGCGCACATATCAATCCTGCCGTATCGATTGCCATGTTAAGTTTACGTTCAATTACACCGCTACAATGTGTTACTTATATAATATCACGTGAGTGACGGAAAGACTTGAATATGTACGATAAGAAAATGTATTTGAATTAGAATTTCTCGGAGCATTTATTGCCGCGGCTTTAGTGTTTGCAACGTATTACAATGCAATCGTACAATTTGATGGAGGTGTAAGACAAGTCACAGGCGAACAAGCAACTGCTGGAATATTTGGTACTTTACCTGCTCAAGGCGTCACTCAACTGTCGCTCTTTTTTGATCAAGTTCTTTCAACAGCACTATTACTTATCGCCGTTTGCGCATTATCAAACAAACGAAATAAACTTGTTGCTAATGCGCAAATTCCTCTTGCTGTTGGCTTCGTCATTGTCGCCATTGGTGCTGCTTTTGGTAAATAAAAGCAACAGTTGCAGATAAATAAAGCTTGTATCGCATTCGTTCTTCTTTAGGTTATAACTGTGGATTTCCGATCAATCCAGCACGGGACCTCGGTCCACGTTTCTTCACCTATTGTGCTGGTTATGGATCAAAAGTCTTCTCCGTTGGCAACTATTACTTCTGGATTCCATGTATTGGACCCATATTTGGTGCACTGATTGGCACATGGATCTATCATGGCTATGGTAAACTTATGAAAATGCATATTGGACAAGACGAAGAAGAAATTGTACGAGCTCGATACCAAGTTGATGTACAAAATGTGACACGAATGTAATCGAATATCATATTTGGGCTGCATATATTGTTCAGTTTTTTTTGTTAATAACGATTTGATATCAAGTTTTCGAGTTTTATTGTTGAAAAAAAGCTTAATTAGAAATAGTGCATATTCGCATGCAAAAGGGATATTCCTCCAAAAATATATGTTAGCAGTGTGTCTATGATAAATATATATCCAGAATAGCCATTTAAATCTAATCGATCTAATATTTGAATCAATGCCAATGTCATTGTTATCCCAGCGCCAAACAACGTCGTTGGTACAAGAATGTAACATCGAGTTGTGTACTCCATGGTTGTCGCCATTAAAATAAATGATGATAGAGCACTCATTGCTAAAAGGATAATAGTGCATAGAACTAGCAATGTGATTGGACGGTCTAGTTCTTTTCTACTGCAACACAATACGTTTGAACATTGTTGGAAGAGACCAGTTCGATTTGTGGTCGAGTTTTCGTATTTAACGTTCCAGTGATTAGTTGAAATAGATAAGATACTTGTACTGAGAACAAAGGTGATCAAGATCGAGATCAATAAATCAATGGCAAATTTTTGATTCGTTAGCACTGCCATGTTAGAAGAATGACGAGAAGGGTCGAGACTCGCTCTTCTTTCTCTTTTACTTCATCGACTAGATGTCTGGGAAATTTGAGACTGGCATTGTCTGTTATTATTTACATCATTAAAATACACACAAATTACTCCCCCGATCAGTTATATTTCCAAGCGAAGGTTATGCTTGTTTTTCAAAACTCTGCTACATTTCTTTCATCAATGAATTTATTTCTAAAACATTTCACTTCTTTTCCCATTTCATCTGTTCTAGTGGTATGCAATAAAGAAAAACAACAGAAACAAAAACAAATAACAGCAACAATGACATATATATATATATTCATAAACATATCTAAGCATTCGATCAGTTTTCTCGTTTGATTGTCTACTCTCAGTACTCAGTATCAAACGCTATATACAAAATACTATTCTTTGTAAAAGGAAAAACATAGGAAATGTACTGAAAATCAAGAAGATTTCTCTAACTGAGCAGTGTAGCTTTGAATGAGATTTTGAAAATCTTCCATGGAACAGTCGTTTGGTATAGACTAGAAGAAACGCAATCGAAGATTAGAACGATGAAGAAGTTTAATATACGAACCAATCCGGAGAGATTCAGTAAATCGGTTACTTCGGTTTTCAAGCGTTCCGCTGATTCTCGCCAACGAGCTTCGTCAGTTTTGCGTTGTTCCACAATCTTCAATTAGAGAAGAGCAATTCGATAACCGTTGAAAAGTGTTTCTTTTTATACCTTAGTCATTTTTTCTCGATAAGATTGCATGAATATTGTCACGTCGAATTGACTAAGATCGTCATAACTCATAGAAGTGATTTGTTCACGTGTTAAGTCCCAATCTGGTGGTAGCATAAACTACAACACGAAACAGTTTCCATTCGCCGAAAACAACAAAAAAAAAAATCGAAATTTACTTTAATTAAAGCTTTGAATTTCTTTGCAATCGTGCATAATGGTTCATTGTCACTGGGAGCTAGTTCCATAGATGGTTGTGGTGGTGGTGCACCAATATAAGACCAAGCAGACGATTTATAACTGAACGAATAGTCGAACTCCGCCGTGGGAAATTCATCAAAACGCATTTTAAACATTCCACGTTTATCATTCACACTCAATACTTGACCGGGACGACGCGCGCCTTGGTACATTGCCCATACACGTGCACCAATAGTTGGCGGTGGAAGTGGTTCATCGGTTACTATTTCATTCTTATTAATATTTTCAATGTTATTATGGACGTCGTCATCGACAGCTTCTATTTTGGTAGATGTGACGAAATCTGATAAAGGTATTTGTGAGCCGTATGAATAAGATGGCTAAAAGTCAGAATGTTGAATCTTTATGCATCTTAATATTCAAGCACGCACTTGTTCAGATGAAGATGTTTCGTCATCGTCACTGGTGGCATCGTAAGGTTTTGCTGATTTCAAAATTTGCCGTTTCGGCTTCTTTTTACGTTTCGTATTTGATGCCGATGAATATGCGATCGATAGAACACGTTTTTGCGCAAGAATCGAGTTGACTGGAGCAATGCTTGAGCGCGTTATCGGCTTGGAAGTCTAAAGTTTTCACAGAGCACAAATACATGACAAGTGAATGAAAATGTTGGCTTACGTTATGGTTCGTTGTAGAGGAGATCTCTGCATTTGACATTCGTTTGGTAAGGCTGGTTGTCGCAGCACGAGTTTGATTGTTCGTCTCTGAAGTTCTTTGTTTCAATTCGCCTTCGGGTATGGTTTCCAACTTTTCATTAGCTGAGCAACTGAAAATACATTTCAGTTAAATAAGTAACTCAAAAGTAAGCTTCTATACGAATTATTCAGAAGATCACTGTTATTTGAACACTCCCATGATTCAAGCTGTGCTTGCGTTAACGCTGTCGCATCACCAGTGTAAGGCAAACGTCGCCATTTGAAACATTTATTACATTGAATAAGTGTCGGCGTTGCAAATTGCCGACGCTTAGTAGATTCTGGATCGTTGGATGGCAAATGATCGAGTTGATCATCTCGATAACCTTTTGAAAAGCAATCCAAGTATAATTCACACACATTTCGATCAATCTCACCATAAGCTTCCCAAAACTCTTTCACATGCTGTTCGATGCCTGCATCGCTCCAATATTGTCGCATATATTCTCCCATACTCTTTAGTAGGAAATGATACTCTTTTTCATCAGCGAATGCCTGTTTATTGTGAGTTGGTTGAAGTACAATCGAAGGAATGTCAACAACGCCAATCACTCCTCGACAATATCTAATAAGACCAGCTTTTTGGATAAATCATCGCTTGAAAATCCAACCACTTACAGAGTTTTCTTATTTTGTTGTCCAATTTTCTCATACATTCTAATCAATCGTCCACAATTGTACACAAAAACTCCGTCAGCTGCTCGATTCGCCATGTTCAATCCGAAGATGAAGGTTAACGTTTTCGTCGTGTTCAACTCAGACTTTTTCCTTGTAAGGCCATTGCGTAATCGATTGGCAAGATCTTTTAATCCAGCTGCATGAATTTGTAATTTCCGTAAACGTGAACGATCATCAGCAGATGTAGACATCCCGATTCGTTGTTGAGCATCATGAACTTGTGAGTCTGCTTCGCGAATACGTTCATCTAAGGCGACTAAGTCTTTTTCACATTGTTTTATCTCTTGTTCTGAGCGTGTCTTAAAACGCGTGGACTTGAATTGGTACTGTCGAGGTTTATATAATGTTAGTGGAAGTTTCTTTGTAACGACACGCCGTTGCTGAATAGTGATATGCATACGCGGATCGTAATAGAGTATGGAGACGTATGCCCGAAGTGAACGATACTCCGCTGGTGTACTAAACATCAAAGCAAAACAAACATTCATTCCATCGAAGTCAATTGATAGCCCACTGCACGCGATACGTCAGACAGGAATAGAAAACTTTCGTGATCATCTTCAGTGTATTTACCTATCGTCATCATCGTCGAATAGATTTTTTCGGTTTTTCGAATCTATCACAATATCATATGGGTCACTTCTGATATCAAGTTCAGCTTCGCCGGTGTTCGATAATTTGACATTATAGAGAACAATCAGTGTGCCTGTTGGTGAGGTGATCAAATCGAATTGTTTAAATAGATCATCGACTGTTTTGAATGGAGAATATTTCGTAATTAAATGCATTTCCAGTTCATGTTTTGTTTGATCATAGGTGTAAGTATGTGTACCATTCAATTGTTGATTGTCTGTGTTCTCGATTGGTTGACGAGTTGTTAAATCGAAACACGGCATCGGACACATGATCTGTGTAATGTGTTCCTCTTGATGAAACGTTCGAGAGAGAAACAGACACGTGCCAATATTATCTTTCTTTGTAAATAGTATAAAATCGTTCGCAATACGCATAGCACCGGATTTCAAACCATTACCATATTGACCAATTTGAGTCGAGTCCAGTGTATGTCGTTTAGCAGATTTGCCGAAAACAATGACATTAAATACATCGTCTAAGTAAACACAGAGGAATATGGAGATGTATACTTGATCGAGCTTACCGTAGTGCATTCCGCATCCATCATCTAAAAACGCCAAATAGAAGCCTCCACGTAATGATGGATGTTTGTGCGTATAAATATGCAGATTTTTGGCACCGGCATCTCTTGAGTTATCAACTAGTTCAGCTAATGCACCGAATAGAAACGTATGTGTAGTTGAGTTTGTGTGCAAGTATTCGAAGCTCAGTTGAGCTTTATTCAAACAATCGTATTGATTCATGATAATTATTATTATTATTTCATCATCAAAAACGAAGAAGAAGAAGACGAAAAAGTAAATAAAATATTGTTTACTGATACACAAAAACTGAATTTTTTCAATAAAAAACATTGTTACATGAAGCAAATGACATCGAAAGCAAAACAAAACAAAATAAAACAAAGATTCATCTGAAGAATTCGATCTTATTGATCACGATCGAACGCATAAGCCGCTTTTTTGTGCATGATTAATTGATTGTCGACGAAATAAAAACTGTCTGACTTGGTTTCATTCGGATGTTCAATCATTTCCTTAACTAAAGACAGATTAACAAGAATTATTCGAGTCACGATGCAAGCTTGGTTTTCTTTTACTCTGTTTAGAATTGAGTTCAGGCATTTCATAGATATGCTCAATGGAATTGCGAGTGTTTGGCGGACAAAACCCGAAATCAAAGTCAAACGATTTGATTAACTGATCACGGAAATAATGCCGTTCAATCATACGAAACGATTTCACTTCACGATCACCAACAGTAAAATCCACTCTAAACTGAGAAGTAACAAAAACAATATGGCAAATGCGCTTCGAACTTACAGCGCGCCCACTTGTTTCATTTTGAGGAATGACGGCGGAAAATGATATTGAACAAATCGACCAGCTGTTAATTCAATGTCATCATCATCTAGAAAAGGATTTTTCATCCGAAAAGCATGGTCAGATGAAGGCATAGATAGTACCATGAGCTCGTTCGACTTCAAAAAGAACTGCATTGGTTTTCATATCACGAATTCGAAAACGGACGAAATCGATTTTATATACATTCTCATCTGTTTCCGTTAGATAGTCTAGAATAAAAACCAAGCATGGCAATTAACAGCATCTTTCTCTCTCACTATTGGTCGCTTTTCTCAGTCGAAGAACATCATCGACAGTAAGCGGCGAGTCCTTCTCTAATAATTCTTCTTCCGTTATTGCCGTATCGTTTGAACTTGCATTGTCCGCTGTGCTACTGTTAGAAGCTTTACCAGAGTTCGCTTTCGACGAGATCAACGTTGATGCCATCGAGAGAATTCTCGTCGTCTACTTCTAAATAAATGAACGTATTTGCATGAGTTTTTAACCGACAAAAAAAGGTTAGATATGCTTTTATTTTTTGTTTCTTCGAAAGAACTGTACAATATAGTCTGTGCAAAGGAAGTCAAGCACACCACAACAACAAGAAAAACCAAAGTCATCCAATGAGAAAGAGAAAAGAAAACATGATTTTGCTCGACATTCACGTACAATGAAAAAGAAAAGCAACCTATCAATGTCATATTCGTTTTCTGTCTCATCAAGAATGTAAGCGGAGAGAAAAAGAACAGAAACAAAACGGAAAAACGAAACAACCAACAAAGAAATGATCAGAGTTGTTTGTTTCCGAAATGATAAATAACCAAAAGAAGATGATGAATAGTTAGTTACAAGCACACATTTTTAGAATAAATATGTGTGCATGCTTACCAAGGAAATTACACAACAAAACGGATAAAAATAGAAAAGACAAAAACCAAGAAAACAAAAGAGACAATGTTTGTATTGAGAACATTTCAACTTTCGTCCATCTATGAGCCAGTTGATGCTGTCAAGATTCGTACCGGTCTAGAAAAGAAGGCATCAGGATAACAATCCAGTCCAAAATGTCATCTACGGTTAGACTCCGATTCACATCTTCAAAAGAATGAGATCAAGAAGCTCGTTCGCAAATACTTCAACATGAGCAAGTAGCAGTTGAAACTTTAATTAGAAATCTATTTTTGTTCATTAGTTAAATAATAACTTTTTCAAATGCATCTTGCAATAAATACTTGTTTGAAAATAGTAAACTACATTTTAAAGATGCTAGAACATACTTGGCAACACCTTCTGTGGATTCATTAGATGCAGTTGACTTTGTTCGAGGAACATGTTGTTCTTTCTCAACTACTTCTTCGATATGTTTGGTTAATTCCATCAGTTTTGGATCACGTTCATCGCGCGGCTTGCCTGAAATGTGAGAATTCACTTTTTAATCGAATGAATGTTATAGTGTTTATCTACCAGAACCGAATATATTGGCACTTCTTGAAACCGGTTCAGGCGTTTGGTTATCATCAGTTGAAGACGAAAGCTTTTGTGATCGAGGTAACAATTGCAATCGTGGTCGATTTTCTATGCGCGAAAAGCATTCATTACCATGAAAAAACTTCGTAGGAAAGAAAATGTTTACCGGCTGAGACGGAAGTGCTATCATGATCAGTTGAACTCTCGCTAAGACCTTTAGTTGAACGTTTGTCATTATCAGCATAATTTCGATTATTCTGGTTCGAACGGTTGGAATTAACACGTTGTCGGTGATGCGAATGATTGTTGTTGTTATTACTGTTGTTCATATGATAGGACATGCCTGTATGTAAAGAGGGTGGATGTCCATGTTGATAATGGTAGAATTGTTGAGATTGATCGGAATATTGAGATGAAAATTGGTCGTAGAAACCGCGACCGCCCGACGTTTTTGAAGCACCACCACCACGATAGAAGTTTCCATTATTGCGACCACGACTTGATTGATTACCACCCATGGGACCTGATGAAGAATATTGATTTGGATGTGATTTGACATTTTTGTTACGAACGACCTATGCAGATAAGGATATTTTCATTCATCATTTGCTTGAAAGAAAGATCTCTACTTGAAATTCATCGTTCGTAAATGTATTATGGACACTTGGTGGCGGAGATGACTCTGTAACCGATTCATCGATTGGACAATCAGCCCAATTTCGACTCTGTTGTCGAGTCATAGTCGTAGTTTCTTGATCGACACCGTCCTCATTCGACGCAGGAGTGTCAGGCGCAATAAAAACATCATCATTCGAGACTTGATGTGCTAAAGTCGTTTTATTCTGTTGAGTCTGACTATTGCGACGTTCAATAGGTTTACTCGAGCCCGATGGTTGACGAGTGCGTCCAGAAACGGCATAATCTAAATGTGAAGATAGAAGAAGAGAAATCGATCTGAACGACTTTACCATCATGATATCCGTCTTCCACATTGTGTGGAGTTTCTGGTGGATAGTAATTGCTATTGCTTCGACCACTATAACGTGGAACGGTACTGCTATTACCTGATGGATTACGACGACGATTATCGCCAGCTTCGAAACCAGCTAAACAATTCTCAATGAACTATATACATGTTAAACAACGACAACGTACGTTTCTTGCGGAAACCTTCTGGTTTTGTTGCGCCCAATGGTCGAACAGCAACATCAATACGGATTGGACGATCATTGATACACTAGCAAGCAAGGTGTCTGAATGCATATCGAATTTATTTTGACTTACTGTTCCATCCAAATCAATTGCACGACGTAAAGAATCTGCATCTTCGAAATCCACGTAAGCAAAACCTAGATGAGAGACAGCAGTTCAATACTCAATCACCTATGATAATATTCAACGATATCTACCTCGAAATCGATCCGTTTGTCGATCACGTACTAATCGAACTTGTTTTATTTTCAGACCAACAAATAGATGAGTTTCGAAATCGCCTTGGACCATCGAATCAGGTGCATTACCAATATAGGCCGTAAAAGGAGGCTCGTTTGGTATCACATGATTTCGCGGCGCACCACCACCTCGAGCATTTGAATATCTAAATAAATCACTCGTCGATTCTCTGACACAGCATGAACATGATACGTACCCATAACTACCATAATTACCCTGTTGATTACGCTTCGGATCTCTGCCAGGCATAGTCTGTGTGAAGACCCAAACAACTATTGTTCGGGTCAAAATAAAGGTAAAACAAAAAATAGGCGGACTGAGTTTGTCTAAAAAAAACAAATAAGCAAAAAAGAAGTCATTTTTTAAAGTTCTTTTTGTTTGTTTCATGTTCACGTTTAGAAAAAAAAGACGAGAGAAGAGAAAGATGAAAATCTAAACAGTCCAACAGAAAGAGAACGACGAAGAAAGTCTGGATTTACAGAGAAAAGAAGAAAACGAAAACCGAATGAACGACGATGAGGCGTTTTTTATGTTTGTATGAGACAAAGAATAATGCAAACTTAATGTAAAAACGATGAGCCAGTGATAAACGACAAGATTAACGGATAGGAATGGGCTGTGCCCAATGTGAGAATAAGGATCAAATCACAGTTACACGTTAGAAACACACGCACACACTTTAGTAATAATAGCAGCAAGAGTGAAAGAAGAAGAGAAATGTTCGGTAAGTCGTTTATTTTATTGATATGGACGTTGTTGACCTTGTTGATTATTATAAACATTTCCACCAGTACGTTGCGATTGATGCTGTTGTTTGTTTACGCTGTGTAGTTGAGCAGTCGATTGTGCCGAAATATGCGGTGGTTGAGTAGCTGTTGCATACATGTATTGTCCTTCTTTGCTAGACGATGACGAGCCGCGACCATAATATTCTTCATTGCCTCCCATACCTGCTGATGAATTATGTTGATTATATTGTTGACCTTGTTGTTTCGAGAATTGCTGTGGCTGTTGCTGAGTCATAGCTGCTGCTGCTGGTGCGTATACAAGTTGTGGACCTTGAAGAAAAGAGAAGAAAATTAGAAATCTGATTTTGGTCATTCTGAGAGAACCAAACATACCAGACGAATAGTTTGAACCACCAGCTGGATGGCCAAGGAAAAAATTCATTGGTGAATGTGCAGCTGCTTGTTGGCCATGTTGTTGACTGTTCGTCGGTTGAAGATTTAATTGTTGCATTAACATGAGATTTTCTGTCACTGGTCCTCGGTAACTAAAGAGAAAAGGGAAATAGTTTGAAAATCGTTTTCGATGTGTTCTTTTCCTAAGTGTATACCCCATTGATTTGCTATCGCTATTGCTATTTGCTTGTTGTGGTTGATTCTGTTGTTGAACAGGTGGTGTAACTGATCCATATCCACCTGTTGGCGATTGAGTTTGCTGTGAGTTATTCAATTGCATAAATGAGTTTGTAAATAAATGTTCGGCGTCGTATGGTGCTGCGAATGCTGGCCCACCTGTCTGCTGTTGAACACCATATGGCGTTGGATATGCTGTCTGCGGCAAGGGAGGCGGTACTGTCGATGGAAACATGCCTGGTGGAACTGCTGGTGCTTTTTTGGCACCAGTCGATGGCGCTGTTGTTGAAACAGGTTGTGTCTGAGCAACTTTCGTTGCTGTTTGTTGTGGCGCTGGAGGTGGTTGTGGAACCATATAGCGCGCTTGAGTTTGTTGCTGTGGTACTGCTGCTGCATTCATTGCTGCCATGATATATGGCGAGCTGAAGTCAAGTGATGACAATGGAAATGCGTTTGGATCGTAGGATGCATCTAATGTTACTGGCTAGAAAAATTCACAACAGAAACATCAACATTTCAAATAGTTTGCGTTCTTTTCGTCTACCTCAGGTTGCTGTTGTTGATGAAAGAGTAATGACTGTAAAAGCATATTCTGTGTGTTCGCTTGATGTTGTTGTGGATGAACAGTGTATTGAGGTGCAACAACTGATTTCATTGCCATGGCTGGCTGTTGAACTTGTGTGAGTAATATTCGTTGTTGATTCATCACCGGTTGCTCGATCGAACGAGTCGATGGTGAAATATGTGCCGACTGTTCCACTGGTCGTTGTTGAGAAACTTTGTTCGTTGGTATTGATCCTGTTGGCTGGTAAAACGGTGCTGTCGATACTGCTGATGCATCATCGTAAGATTCACCTAGATTACCGAACTGTACATCGATTTTATGCATTCCACCATCGAAATGATCAGAGAAAACGACAGGCTGATGAGGAATACGTTGCTGAGTTTGTGCTGTTGGCTGTGGCTGTGACGATGACGATGATGGTGGTGGGGTGACTTTTGTATTGATTGGTTGACCAGCGGCTTTTGATTTTTGTTGTTGATCAGGTACAGAGGATTTTGGCGCTTGACCAATACCAATGACATCCTTGATCTGACGAGCTGCTTCTATGAAATCAAATTTTGTTGTCGATTGATCTGGATGTGCCACATCCGATTGACCATTGTGTACTGAAAGAGATGAAATGGAAAATTCGTATCTCAAGATTTCATTTCGCTTCTTACCAGCAGATGAGCTGTCTGCAGTCGCAGGCACCTGCTGTTCTTCATCCTTCGTTGTTCTTGAAATGATCAATGTTTCACCATTCCAGTTACCAACATCCCATTGATCTTGCTGTGATTTCGGATTCGAAGCAGCAGCTTTATTACGTCGATTTGTATCTGACGGTGATGAAGCATCAACATTCGAATCTTGTGTTTGCTGTTGCTGTTGTGGTTGATAATTTCTATCAGTTCCGCGAAAGCTGCCTCGTGGATCGCCTCGATTTCGACCTCGAAATCCACTTCCACCTCGTTGCCTTTGTTGTGGCATATCATTATCATTTTGGTGTTGATTATTGTTAGCAGTAGTAGCATTGTGAGTGTCGCCTCCATTCTGTTGAAATCTTGATCGACCACCACGAGTTTTACCACGAGGAACTGAATTATCTAAGAGAAGCAAGAAAGATGGAAACTTTCCATATACACACAATCAATCGTTTACTACTTCCTCGTTGTTGTCCATTCTCACTCAATTCTTCATGGCCGTTTTTTGTTGCCGCACCTTTTTGTTGTTGTTTCCTAGTCACCTTATGATTAGTTGCTGTTCGCCATTCGTTGGCTATATCATGACCTTTTTCGATAAGTAATGCAACAGCTTTTTCATAATCATAATCGCAATCAAATAGGGCGACAAGGGCGTCTTCTTGATTGGAATTTTCTACAACGTCAAGAACTTTACGAATGATTTTTTGAACTTCAGGATCATTATGTTTCTTATTGTCAATCAATTGAGCAAGACGAATTTGTTCTGCAGTTGGTTGATGGTGCTGCGTGCTCACGGCAGCACCCGCCGTTGCAACGCTCATTCTTCTATATTAAAAGAGGAGATGTGAAAGGCACGAAGACGGAAATATCTTCTTTCTAAAAGTAAATCAGAGAGTAAGACAAAACATTATGACAAAACAAAGGAGAAAATCGAAATAAAACAAATCCATGGAATATCATATTTTCTCTCTCGTCTCTAATTAGGAAAGATTCTACTCCACAGTTTATCCTCCCATCGCCATTTATATTTTACCTAGACTCCCATATTATCATCAAAACAATAAGATAAACAAAGACCCATTGGAATTCGGACCGAAAACGTATTCTGAGACAAAACTTTCTTCCAACTAAAAACGAATAATGCCACGATAAAAACAACACGGAAATTAAAATACACCGTATATTTCATTTGTATAGATGTCGCTCGACACAATGGACATAATAGAACATATTTATGTACTTCGCTTCGCTCTTGCAAAATAGGTAAGGGTGTTACATTTCTCTTTGTGAATCCGAAGCTCACGCATAGCGATATGACAATGATCTACATTAGTTGCACTCTTGAATTTTTCAAATTCTACTAAAATGTAACACACCATGTAGGTGACAAGGTTATTTACATTTACCACATTTAGTGCTGTGAAACATTCAAGAACATTAGCGCCGCGTTGTGATCTTTTACGTCTGTCTCGTTTTGCTTGTTTGTTATGCATGATTTTGTGTTTATCTTTTTCTTGATGACATCAACGAAGTCACGTATTCACCTTGCTTTCGTCCGCTATTATAATCGATGATTCGAGGCAAAAAAGATATATTTCATTTGAATACACTATGTGAGTTACACGTACAGCATTTATCAGAAAAATTAGAATTTATTCGATACAAGAAATACAGATTGAAGAAACAAAAACAAGAAAGAAAGGAATCATCGTATTAATTCATATCGATTTCGTCGATGGGCAATGTGTTGTTACTTCCCGTAGTATCTAGAACAACATCCGGTTGTTTTTCAATACTCGATAAATTACTGGGACAAGATGATGCCACATTGTTCATACTAGGCGCTGACGTTTGTCGAAGGAGAGATGACGAAAGAAGACTAACAGGCTTTGTTGGCGAAAAAGCTTTTCGAACAAGCATTGTTGCTTGTGCAGCTTCATTTTGTTTCGCACGGCTCATTGCACTAATAACTGAAGCTCGATCGATTTCACGTTGATCCGGCATTTGACCATCTAGCCAAATCTACAACGCAAGGAAAATGTTCTAAATAAACACTTCGTGATTATGCCCTACATCTTTTGCTCGATTGTGAAACACCGCGAACACACGTATGCGATAATCAACAATGCGTGCTAATGGATTATTTTTCAGCCAGAGATTTTCTAAGCATGGCAAACTTCCAAGTGATTCAATACTTTTAATTGAGTCTAATTTATTCGATGTTAAATTCAATGTGATTAACGAGTAAAGACGTGATAAGCCATCAGTTGTAATCAATTCATTGAACGATAAATCTAACGAACGTATATTACCAACACGTGCATTGAAATCTGAGACATCATACAAGCGATTGTTGGATAAATTTAAAGTTTGAAGGAAATGCAAATGCTGTAAATGATCAATATTTGTTTCTAATAAATTATAGCTTAAATCCAATGTTTCTGTTTTACAAAATAATTTCTAAACGAACAGCTTTCAGTGAAAATCGATCGATAACCATTCACTTACAAGTGATTCATCCAAGGAATGCAAAGAATTTTTACTTAGATCAAGGTAAGTTACAAGCTTCCACGTGCTAATCAACCATTCATTAGATGATGGCGGAATCTCTGTCAGTGAGCTAAGTGCAATTTCCTGCGTCAACGAAAGAATCAACATTATTCTAGTATGCAAAGATGATATACGTACTCGAATGGATGTTAGACTACGGTGAATGGAGAGACGACGTACAGTTTTCTTAAGATTGTCTAATCCAGTGATTTGACTGGTTTGAACGCAATCGAGCTACAAATGGAAAATCGAATTCGAATCAATTGATTTGCAAAGGGTTTATATCATACTTCAAGTTCTTCGACTGATTTACAGAATGAAACATCGAATGGAAGAAATTGTGTTTTCACTGTACTTGTACCAAAGTTATCAGGGCTGCCAATGATCTAAAACATGTCAAACCATTAGATAAACTTGTCCCACTCTCGCACCTTCATTGCCTAAGCTATGGCAACATACTTGTACATACTTGACATGACAAAGGAAATCGAGAATATGACTTAGATCTTTAGCAGGATCGTTGCTATCTATAAAGATATGTTTTGGCTTTGGCTAATAGAGAAAAAGTGGAAAGGTTTTAGTTACCACACGGTGGTTCAGGTAGTTTAATACGTCGAGTAATAGCATGTATTTGTAGTGGACTAATAGAGAATGCTTTCTTGCCCGGCGCTGCTAAGATTTTATCACCGTTTAAAAATAATTCTTTCGCTAGCTTTCGAACAATACCATGAACTTCCTGGAAAATCGGTACTGGAAAAATTATGTACGAAGGTTTGACGATTCGACTTACATAAACATGAAAATCCAGAAATTGGACAAAACATTCAGGTAGTTGCATTGTATTATTGGTAAAAAATTGAAATAAATATTTTAGATAATGGTCTAACGCTTGCCGTCGTCGTTGAATAAAATCAGGTGAAGTTTTGTTGAGTAATTTCTTTGGTGGCAAACTTTTCGCGTCGATTTGCGGAACTTCTTTGATCAATTCTTCATGAAAATCAGCGAATTCACTATAGCGTTTCGACACGTGCCAACGTATGTCATCCAAACATATGTCAATAGTATATTCCTACAAAGACACATGGAATTTGTCTCACATAAAAGTATACTAAACAAACTTTACTCACTGTAAAATTTTGATTCGTATTAAAATTAGTTATTTGGATGCCGCGTCGACTGCCCAATTGTGGTACTGGAGACCACAGAGCCATCGGTATGGAATGATCTAAATATTTTAGATTTTGTGTATGTATAGGTAATGATCAAGAAAGAATAATACAATAACAACAACAAACACTAATATATATATTTAAATACTCATAAACAAGAAAGAAAATAAACAAACGAATATGACGCGCTCGTGTTCGCTTTTAGTCCGTCTGTGTTTTTCGTATGGATGTGACTATACGATGGTTGCTGTTGGAGAATTATTAGAATTGAGTGAAGATTTCTTCGTTGGTGGATCTGTATCATTGTCCACTTGATCAAATGCTCGTTTGCTTGTTGTTGTTGTGCTCGTTTCTTGTTGGCATATAGTTACAATTGAAATTGAAGAATTTGGAGAATTGCGTTTAAGATCATGCGTAAGTACTGAAGAAGAATTGGTTGAATTGATAACACCTACAGCTGTACATAATTGTTGTTCTTGTTCTTCAATTAGCTTTTCAATCATATCGCTAAAGAAATGATTGGATTTCGTTCTTTCGAGAGTAGCGCGTGTGAAAACAACATACGTGACAGATGTGATTGCAGTGAGACGCTGTTGTTCTTCCATAAACAATTGATATCGTTCACTTTTCTTCCATTGGTAATAATAGTGAATGACTTCACGAACACTTCGACTTGGACACTAGAGAACAAGGAAGAATTCCTATCACAGGTGACGAAATAACTGTAAATGCTACTTTGATTTCAGATATCTTGAAGAAATTCTTTCCATATACGCGTAAACCTTCTTCGAGCGACTGAATTTCCTCGAGTGACCATTCCGGATAAGAATCTAAGGTAGATTTGCGAAATAACGGCAAGTGAGAAAGGAGGAAAACGTTCTTACAGATAGTTTTCACAGGTAATTGACGAAACTTAACAAGAGCGTTTTCCGTATTCATTTGACAATTGAATAGCGTTTGAAGTGATATTTCATCATCCGAAAGTGGATCTTTAAATAGAATAGATTCGATGTCGAATGAAAAGATGAAAAATTGACTTACATTCACTGCGAATTGTTTTCAGATATTCATCAATATTCTCATTCATATCGTCATCGACTGAAGATGATGACCAAAGGATTTCATCAACAGGCACTGAAATAATAAAAACAATTTCGATTTGGATTTTATGTGTATCTGATCGTACCTTCTCTGTCGTCTGAATTCTTATTCGTTGAATCAAACTCCGCTTGTGGTTCTACTTCCGCTTGATATTCCTCACCGACACGAATTGTCTGAAGAAAAAAAGCCCAAAAAAGTTCAATTGAATAGTTTCAAAAAGCGAAAACAGCACAAACCTTAATAATTTCTGGTTCGAATGAGTCATCTGTATCATCATCATCATCATCATCATCGTTATCTGGTAACAGTCGACCGTTAACATGAAGTAAATGATGCAGTTGAGGCGGACGATTGTTTTCCTCTTCATCATCATCTGAAGAAGTATTTGTCTAAAAGGTAACAGAGTTGAAAACAAGGTTTTTCTTTGAAAATAGCCCTACATCATCATGACTATGCGGGATGTTGTGAATGGCTGGCGCGTTCTGTCCGTACATTTTGAGTAGTTCATCCAGAGGCATATTTGCATCCTAAGCGATTCAAACAAGAATGATGTGATTCAAGTAAGTGATTGTGGGTATTACCGCTTCTAAATCATCCAATTCGTTTTGTTCGTCATCATCTCCAAATTGTTCTTCTTCTTCAATAGTTTGCTCGTCATCTTCTTCATCATAACCAGCTTGATATTCGTCATCATCTAAAGAATATTTCCATACATTTTCTCATTCAAACTTGAATTTTTTTATCTAAATAACCTTTTGCGGATGGATCTGTTGAATTCGAAGCCATTTTGAAGGATTCAAAGGAACTGAATACGATAAGTCAATGTTTAGTTCTTTCATATCATCCATTGGATCAACTTCTCCAAGCAATAATATTCGACCTATAGATGACGGTAGTAACAGATTGATTGGATTCTACATGGAACAACAGAATGACGTTGAACGCGTGAACTTAACGACGGAAAAGAACGTTCGGGAGCGGAAAAGCGTTGTTTAGTAGAAACATCTGAAAATCTCTTTCAATAAGATAGCATATGATTTATAATTTGTCGCAAATTGTTTTGTTTTTGAAAAAGACCGTAGTGCGTATGTTCAAGAGGATAGTAAATTCAATTCTATTCAATTTTTTATAACGAAAACTCCGATGTTAGTTCTATTGCTTTCGTAGTTCAGTTTTCCTCGGTGACAGTCGAATATGTAACCGCGATGGCGATTTTGCTTCTCAAATTTTGGCTTTTTTCAAGCGTACTTAAAGCAAATAAACATCAACGAAAGGATTGAAAACAAAAAATTTACATTCGTAAAGCTGTTTTGTTTTTTTACTTACCGAGAATGGCTGCACAAGCAAATCAATCGGCATCGTCGGCAAGCGTTCTAGTAGCGAAATGGGATTCTCGATACGCAGGCCATGTTCCTCACGATCTGTCCTACTATTCGAAATGTGTTCTCGGTGGTATTCTTGCTTGTGGACTTACACACACAGCCATCTGTCCGCTCGATGTAACAAAATGTAACATGCAAGTTAGTTTCTCTCTAAAGATCTCATTTGATTGATCAGTGTAAACTTCTGTGCTTTTGGTATATAGGTTAATCCTGAAAAGTATAAAGGTTTAGTAAAGGGTCTTCGATTGATTATTGCCGAAGAAGGAAGTCAAGCTATTTGGAAAGGATGGCTACCAACATTTCTTGGTTATTCAGCACAAGGAGCATTCAAATACGGTCTCTATGAAGTTTTCAAAGATCAATATGCGAATATACTTGGCAAAGAAAATTTCGAAAAATACAAAGGTCTTGTTTGGTGTGCTGCATCAGCTTCAGCTGAAGTGTTTGCTGATGTTGCATTATGTCCATTAGAAATGGTTAAAGTGAAAGTACAAACAGCACCCAAGGGTACATTTCCAACAGCATTCGGTGCAGCATGGTCGCAGATGAGTGCTCAGCGAGCAGAAACTGGCTTTCCATACCGATCACTTGTGCCATTATGGTCTCGACAAGTGCCATATACTGTCGCAAAATTTTTCTTCTTCGAAAAGGTTCGTCGAGTAGAACCAATCGATTCAATTTTCTCATTTTTATGTTTGAAGGTCGTACAACTGTTCTATACATATGTGTTTACAAAACCGAAAGAAACGTACTCGAAAACTACACAACTTGGAGTGACATTTTCGTCAGGGTATACAGCTGGTGTTATCTGTGCTATTGTATCACATCCGGCTGATTCGCTTGTTTCTCTTCTTGGTAAACCAGCTAATAAGGGTAAAAGCTTAGGGCAAATTATTAATGAAACAGGCTTTGCCAAACTTGCTACCAAGGTTTGTTCATCTCTTCTTATAGTTTCAAATGATTTCATATTTCTTTTACAGGGTCTCGGTACACGTATTCTGATGATTGGTACATTAACTGGCCTTCAATGGTGGATCTATGACACTTTCAAAACAGCATTGGGCATGGGAACAACCGGTGGCAAATAAATCCTCTCTGAACGATTTTGTTTTTTCTTTCTCTAGCCAAATACTTAGTTTAGTATTAGATACTGAGAACTTTCATTTCTTCATTGTCCCGATTCGTTTGCCTTTCTTTTTTACAATTATTATTCTGGCAATAAAAGAAATGATGCTTTATAGCCTGTAAGTTATCCTATAACGTCAAACAGAACTATTCATGATGAAAACTTCGATGATATGATAGAATACTATAATCAAAATCAAATTACTAAGATAAACATTATTCTTTTGCGTAATAAGTATAATTTCGTAGACGCTAACTCTAAAGTAGAAAATGATTAATTACCACATTGTGATCTGTAAGTTTACTCTGACGATTATAAAGAAAACATTCCCCATCTCTTCCTTTGATTCTATATCTGATCTATTCTATGAGTGATGTAAAAAAATGTTAAATAATATAGTTTCTTTTTGTAATGAGACCAAATCACAATCACTTGGCTGATTATGTACGTACTAAGTCATTTTATGATTTCAACGAACTGCAACGTGAATACAATTGGCTGCAAATGAATCCATTTCTTTTAGAAGGACAAAATCTTTCGAAGAATATGACTATGGACCCAGTAGTTGCTTTAGAGCCACCCCTGGTCATCATTACATCGATAGGTATTGCAACTGGAACAATTTTCTCCATTGTGTGCATAGTCAGATATATCACAGATCCCGATCTTCGTACTCGTTAAACATATATCGTAAGAGAAATTAAAGACAACAGATCATCACATATTGTCTGTTAATTATTTCTTCTTTGGTTTGACTCCAATTTGATCTACTGTTTAATCTAATCATTTATTGCCATACCAATATTTCTCATGGGGTTACTACCTCAATATTTTCAACAACTCGATTTCTCTTTGTCAATCATCAACTGTTCATCACTTAACTATCAGTATTGGTATGGTAACATTATTATCTTACGTCAGTGTTGAACGACATTTTCTGATATTTCGCAAAAATGGTTTGTGAACACGGAAATGTCAGTTGGTGCCAGTTTTATCCGTTTCATATTATTCATACATTGATGCTATACAACCGATTCGAAGTATATGATTCCATGGGTAACTATAAGTTTTTTCTTCCCACAGATGATTGTGATTATTTCGACTACTTATTTATTTACTCGCCTATACCAACAGCGAATGAATTCCAGTAAAAGACCTGAATGGTCAGTTTTACAAAGGATCGGCGCACAAATGAACATTTATGTTACATGATCCTGTTTATATTATTGTTCATTGTCATTCTATAATTTAAGTATCATCATTAGCCGAGAAAGACATCCTCGTCATTTGAAAACAATCATGAACATTATCAATACCGTAATTGTGCAATCATATTCGATATTGACATTTATTTCTATGTTGTTATTTGCAAGACGTCGAAAAGCACAAAGCAAGAGAAATTCCGATTTGAAATTGAATAACATATCAACAATTGCACCTTTACTAGTGAATGATTGGTTCAATCGTTGGCATTCAGTAAATAAGAAAATGAAGATAAAACAGAACAAGAGTGAAGCGAACTATTTGAAATATTTCCTGTATCAAACCACAACCACTGGTTCGTGCATTCTCGTTTCTTCTTCTTTTACCGTCATATGGGTAATAAATCATTGAAATCTTCGAAGAAACAGGTTTGTTCTAGGAAAATCGACTGTCATCATTGTTCCTGATTGTTTTATAGTCACCCTCGCTATTGATCACTCGTATGGATGATGCCGTCGGCACAAAGTCGACTTCAATGGCTCAGTATCCAATATCAACAGGCGCAGCGTCACTTTCATGTCTGACTGCTGAATACTATCAAATACATAACCAAGAAGCGCTGGATACTTGGCGAACAAGAGCATTGCATACGATCGATGATCTGTACGAACAAAAGGCAACATTTCTTCGACACGAAGCACATGTTAGTGCGCTTCTAGGACAACTGAGAGCAATAATTGATGAAGAATCGGCTCCTCGGCATGACAGTGGATACTTCATTGATGATCGACATGTAAGGCAAGCCCATTTTCCGGCAAACAATTCCAAAGAATGAATGAAATTCTTATTTGAAAAAAGAAATTTGTCAATGATTCGTTTTTGTATTCTTTTCTTGAATCAATAAATAATCTGAAATGATATGTGTCGCCCTCTTAAGTAACAATCCGAATCCTTCGGCGTTTTGTTACTTCTATACTTACTTGACAACCTACCATTCACTCTACCTTTTCTTTTCTCCTCATTTTCTTGATTTCGAATCTACCTGCATACGAAAAGTCTCATACAGCTTCATATCATTCTAACGGAAAAGCTCTATATAATCATCGTAGAACACAACATTATCCCACGAGCATTGATTCTTTTTCGTTCGCTCTATGTGTCTTTATTAGTCCTGTTCTATTCAAAATGTGTGTGAATCATAGGCAGTTCGTTTTTCGTCTTTCTTATTTAGTTGCTTCTCAATAGATTACCATTGAATACAACGAACACATGGAATTGGCCTTGCTTCTTTTTTCCCCTCATTTTTGTCTTGAAAAACGTCGGTAGTAAAAGAGCGCAGCGCAGATGTCTTATCTTTAGTTACTTAACTTTGCTTAAGCAAGATAACCTGAATCGACATGATTCATCCATTATTTTAAACGTTTGATTTGCTAAGAGACAAACTTCACTTCAAGTCAGATTAGCCCGCAGTTAAAAACGTAATTGCGCGTCTCCATTGTCATTGCAAAAGAAAAACAAAATATTCGTCCTCTACCGTATGTTATAAAATGGTTAGTTTTCATGGAAATATTCAATTCTATTTTATTTACTGGCAAATACACAATTCAATATTTTACTTATTGTATCAATATACGCATTAGATTAATGAACATTAGTCAGGTAGCTAGTTATATGAGCTTTACGATGCAAAGTCACGTTTGTCCTTTCGCGGAATTCTAAAAATGATAAATAGCCAAAGAAAACAGACGTAGATATTCTTCAAATACTGTTTTTTCTTCTTTTTTTCTTCATTTACAGATATCTATCTAGGTTGGATAATTATCAAATAGAATTTTGCGACGTCACATATCTCGAGTCGTTTTTTTCCAACTTGCATCGATTTCCTGATGTGACTCATCGTGTGACAACTCATAGCTACAATAAAACATATCAATAAAAACAATTGCATTTATATTTCTGCTTATATTTTTAGATGGATGCCAAAATTGAATCTACACCTACTTTCCAATTGAGTATCATTGTTGATCCCGCTGCATCATCATTGAATTATAAAGCACTGTATAGTCACTTATCAGTTCAACTTCCTGACAATTGTAACCATCATTACTGGCATTTTGGTGGCCTACGTTCGTATACAATTCCATTCTATTCAAAAGATAATGATGAAGCTATTAACAATGTAATGACTAAATTGAAATTGTTGCAAACCCAATTCCCACCATATTGGATATCTCTTAAACAATGTCATCAGCAACCTTCGTCTTTATTAGCACCATGCGAGGCCATAAAGAAAAACGTTAAATTAGGAAAGTTCTATACGAATGATACACATCAGATACAATTTACTGCAGGTTCACTTGTTCAGTTAAATCGATATATTTATGATCCTGTCACCGAAATTCGAGATGGTTGGTGTCTAGTGTTTTACCATGATAGAATTGATCTTGACTATGGATCAAAAGAGAATAAATTGCGGAAAACTTTCAAAGCTGAACTAATGGATAGGTGTGCTGTGATTATGGACGGATCGGATACTTTAACGTTATTTCTGAATGTGACGGGCAACTCGGTGGACTACAAATTGGTGACTGATGACGACAAATTAGATCAAGATTCTGAGTTGCAGAAACCAATGAAATCAACGAGTAAATATAGACGTACAGCTGATCGAGAAGCGCAACCATTCTATTCGACAATTCGTCTTGTTATTTCACTTTCAAACACTATTGATAAAAAAGAAGACGATCATCAAGTACAAAATCAATACATCCAGGACTGTCGACAGAATTTTATTGAATTCTTTCAACGAAATCGTATACATGTGTGTTTCGGTCTCATCAATAGTATACCGTCGATGAACAACTACGCATCGATGATAGCAAAGTTCATGAACGACGAATCGATGTCATTTATTAAACAGTACTGCTGGCAAATGTTGCTGTCAATTGGTTATCGTTTTCAACAAAGATTAGTTGACACCTTTATTCAACGTATGAGTTTAATTGAGGGCGATGATGATTTTTATCAGGTAAAAGAAATCAATAAGCTAAATTTCAAAACAAAAACTTTTTTACTGGTTATTTCAGACTTCACTTCATCTGTGGCGTCGTTCCAGTGAATACTATTTCCTAAATATACTCACTGAGCTAGACCGCTACCAAAAGAAAAGTGCTGATGCAGCTGCCCTGTCACATCAAATGAATAGACATCATTATACCGACAAGAAAACTGAAACTAAACAGATACCGCAACGTTGGAGTATTCATACACCACCACCAAATTACGCATACGTTCCATCGGTGACACTCACACCAACGACAATTTGTGTCAAGCCATTGAAATTAGTGAAGACAAATCGAGTTTTACGTGAATCAAAATTCGGCGGTAATCTAATGTTTGCTCTAGTTGATGTCAAAGATGAAAATGGCAAACTCGATCTATTTCCACATGACTGTATGTTACTATATTCATCATAATTTAGGTTGATATTTCGCTTTTGTTGTTATTAGATCGAGCGTTACGTTGGAAAACAGAAATATTACTTGAATCGGGTTTTGATCTCGGACGACAAGGACGAATCTATCGATATCTACATCATTCTCAATCACAACTAAAGGACAAACAATTTTGGTTTTATCATTATGATGAGAAAACGAACTTCTCCTTCGAACAAGCATTTGATTGGATGGGTGATTTTCAAGAAGAGAAGATTGTTGCCAAACATTCTGCACGCATCGCACAATGTTTTACTAGTGCTGAAGCAACGATTCCGGTAAGTAGAGCGGACCTTTGCTGTTCAACATTCGATTGCTTTGTTCTATAGATTCCATCCAATAAAGTCGAATACATTGACGATGTTCATACGAAAGATTCCAAATACAATTTCACCGATGGAGTTGGAACAATGTCAACTGCTATTCGAGATCTCGTAAGTGACTACAAGCATCCTTCTCAGTCAAATCACAGTGCTTAATATTTTGTTTCTTATCAGATTAATCCCCATCGGAAATTTTCGGCAATGCAAATTCGTTATGGTGGTTGTAAGGGTGTCATATCTGTTAATCCAGATCTCGATGATGCTGACCATCAATTGCGTATACGTAAATCGATGAGAAAATTCAAATGTGACCATGACATACTCGAACTCTGTCGGATATCAAAACCTCGTAAGTCTATTATCGGTTAACTGTTCGTAGTTTCTCATTTCTCATGTAGGTCCGTTGTACTTGAATCGACAAATTATTGTTCTCTTGTCTCATCGAGCAATTGACGATCGAACGTTTCTTCTTCTGCAAAACAAACATCAACAATTTCTTTCCGAGTCACTTGTTTATCCTGAAAAGGCTCTGGAATTGCTATCAGAGAAACTAAATCGAAAACTGTTTCCATCACCAGCACTGATTGATGAAGCACATTTGAATTTAATTGCCGAGCCATTCTTTCATCAACTATTGATCACTATTGGCAAATTTGAATTAGCGCAAATGAAAGAACGAACACGGCTAAAATTACCGAAGAACTCTGCGAGAAATATGATTGGTATTGTCGATGAGTATGGAATTCTCGAGTACGGGCAAGGTAGGATGAGAGAAAGAGAGATAGAAAAGACCAACTAGTTTCATCCCCGAATATCTGTTTCCATTTAGTATTTGTTCAATTTACGGAATTGAATAGTGATTATAAGAACAACGAGTCGAAAACAGAAAAAACCGTTATACTCGAACAATCAGTCGTTGTAACGAAAAATCCATGTCATCATCCTGGTGATATTCGAGTGTTCTCAGCAGTCAATGTACCACAATTACAACATTTAAAAGATGTTATTGTTTTCCCACAACGCGGCAAACGCCCACATCCAAACGAAATATCTGGTTCCGACCTCGACGGTGACGAATATGCTGTTATATGGGACCCGGAATTTATTCCTAAAACACCAAATGCAACTCCATATGAATATGACTCACACATTCCGATGTTGCGTGTTACTGATCGGCCAGTAAATCGATCCGATATTCAACGAACTATTCTGGACATTAGTGAGCAATCCTGTGCAGGGAAACTATGTTCACTTCATTTAGCTTACATGGATCGTCATGGCGTCGGACACAAGAAAACATTGGCTATTGCTGGACATATATCGGAAGAATTAGACGCACCAAAAACTGGACAACACCCATTATCGCCTGAACAAATTTCAGAGCTGCAAGCTGAATTGGGTAATGAACGACCTGACTACTTTGACAAACCTTACTATAAATCCTATCCATCTGCACATATTCTTGGTAAGATCAATACTAGACGAAGACGATAGATTGATTTGAAAAACTTTTCTCATTTAAGGTCAATTGTATCGTTCATGCCTTCGTTTTGAGCCGAATTGGATCAAAGTTCAAACGCCACCCACGACTGTTTGTGCTTCTCGAATTGATCCATTGCTTGTTCATGATAATAATCAAGAATATATGCCAGCTGCTGAAGAACTTGCTCGTATCTATCGTGAATCAATTATGGATATCATGTATGTCTATCGTTTCTCGTCGGATGTCGATATTTTCTGTCGATTCGACTCATCATCATCCCAATATCACACTCCATTGAGTAAACAACAAACCGAATCCGCTTGTTTGGTTGCCGATTCAGCACAAATCGAGTTACGACAATTAGTACATCGCATACGTCGACTATTCTTCGAAGAGTTACGTTCATCAAACAAAGCAACATTTCATCGATGTCATCCTCCTTGTGATCAATGTCTTGACAAACAAATGGCAAAAGCCAGTGCATTGTATATCTTCTGCTATAAGGATACACGTCACGCACGGCCAATGTTAAGCTTACCGTGGTTATTCGCATCTTTGCTACTTAAAACACGAATTGCCAATATTAGAAAACAAACCAAATTACGTAAATATTTCTTGTAAGAATATCGACAAACGTAGAAATTCATTGTTTATTTTAGTGTCAGCAGCTCTCATTGCACCCATGCTTGAAATTCAACCGCATCGTTCAATTGGCCAATCTTTACGATGTGCAGTGATGTATTTCATCGAGAAGAAAATACCATATCATTTCCATCATACATATTCATCACAAACACCAGCAAACGTTACTGTTTCGATCGGTCCAAAATCATCATCAAAATGTCTGTTACGTAAATCAAACTTGCCGGTTATTGATTATTTAGTTATTGAAATGCTGCAACACTATGTTCAAAATTCCTTATCAGCAAAAGCATCGGACGTAAAGTCAGCAAATCCGACGCTTGTCGACGCTGTCTGGCAACATATTTTAACACGCTTTGTTCTTGATAAATGTTCACCATTAATCATTTCACCAGCCACAACTACAATATTCATCGAAGATCCGCCCTTTTGGTCAGACGAACAAGCGTCTACAGCTTTGAAACGTCTCATCGATATAAGCATTCAATGTGCCTATGATGCACGGAAGTCAGAGGACGCAATTCAGCCACGAGATTATGCCCACGCAAACGAATATTTAGTTTCAGCATTGCAAAAAATGGCTGCGACAGGTTGCTTGTTTTGAACTTAAGGATTGACTACTTGTTTCGATAATCAAACCGAGTGATATAAGCTGATCATGACATTGAACAAGCCACTGATGTGTGCTTTAAAAAAATCTATGCTTTCTTTTTTTCCTGTGTGCTACTGTTGGCATTTTATGTTACTTTTTTTTAATTCAAGAACTTAAACGAGTTTGAACAAAACAAGGAAACATTGTATAAGTATTAGTTGTATTCATAGAACGTTTCTGTTTTTGTTTATCATAATTGAAATAAATGATTTTATACGAATGATTCATTTAGGATCTTTTTCTAGGGATCAGTATACAAACAAATGCAGATATGCTGTGTTGATAGAGCTGGATATCACTAATATTTTATTCTAAAATATTATAAACATTCTCGAGATAAGATTGTCAATAAGAAAAAAAAACAAGAGATAAAAATGAAGAATCGTGACTATGAATGTTATTATAGGTTATCTGTTACAATTTCAATTTGATCTACTTTTTCATATTACCTTACGAAGAATTTATAAATGAGATGACTAACTAAGTAAAGAAGTTTTTTCTTACAAAAATCTTGGTTAAGTTTGGTTTTTTTTTGTCCCTCTTATCATCTTGATCATCTCATAAACGAACATCAGCTTAATTTGTTTTTGTTAGTATCCATAGTTTACGACTACCAGCATTTGATGTAGCGGTAACCGTAAAACCAGAACGACTGAATGCTTCAATGATATGTTTAGCTGGATCAGTACACTGAACACCTTGTTCATGATCGCATAATTTTTCATTTGAACATGATTCTTGTAGAATACGGATGATTTCAGGATGAACACGATAGCTTTCAACGCCTGTACTATGAACGATAGTTGGTCCTAATTCTTCTTCGGATTCTTCGCATGAAACAGTAACAGTTGTATAAATTGGTAAAGTCATTCGTGTAAGCGGCGCAGTTAGCTACTAACTTGCAAGAACAAATGTATGTCTGAGTCGAATAAAGACGTGTTTGCCTGGCTATGTAAGATAGGATCCTCGGTGTGTTAGGTAAACGAAAAATACGAGAAAAAGAAGAGATAGAGCCAAAGAGAGACAAGAGAAATCTAGAAAGACAACAAAAGAATGACGTAGGGTTTTACGATATAATGATGACTTCATTATGCCAAGAATGATGAGTCGTGAATCTTCATTCTCCTCGATCGAAGTGCAATTGGTTCATATGAACTTTCTCCGTACTTCATAAGTCTTCTCATATATTAAAAGTACGCACATCATCATATTAATTATGAATTATTGATTTTTGTACGGTTGCATCGACGATTTTTATTTATTTTTAATGAATAGTAAAAAGAAAAGAGAAGAATTGGTTCTGTCTACGAATTATCATGGAATAAGCATTCAAAGAAAAGAGGATTTCTCAATGTCAGCTTTCGGATACTGATGAATCTTTCGTTGTTGAATTGAGAAACCGTTCTGGTAAAAACATTTTAAGAAAAGTAACCGTATGGTTCTCTTTCCCTTCCTTGTAAGGATCATCATTTGCAATCATTCGAGCGATAGCTTTCGCGCATAAGAATATATTCGGCATTCCGTTTCCTAAAGACGAATAAGAAACGCATATAGTCTCTTTGATCGAATGAGTCAAGTCTTACCATTGTAACCACATAGCAAGAATTGTTTGTTGTCACCTGGTAATGGCCCGACGAATGGTAGTTCATCAACAGTAAATCCCATGATACCTGTCCATTCTTGTTCGATTTCGACTGTGTGATCGTTTGCTACAATGCCTGGATGCCATTGGCTAAAAAATCGTTGATGTTCTTCGCGAATCAGTTCATTAATTTCGGAATCATTTTGATTAAGATGTTCCGTATCAGGACTTCTCCATCGACAACCACCTAACATAATTCGGCCATCCTTTGGCGATTGGTGATAATATTCTCTTCCGTCATTTGCTGATAAGCCAAATGGCCAGAAGATAATCTCCATTGGTTTTGAAAGACTGCATTGTCCACGTGTTGGGATAAGTTTTCCTCGAACAAAATCAAGGTATTCAACAGCATATGCATTCGTTGCATGAACGATAGCTTGTCGAGCCATAATCACTCGACCGCTCTCCAGAATGATTTTATTCGAATCTTCGATACGAACAACTTTACCTTGTGTAATTAAATCCACACCAGGCTGATCTAAACAGTATTTCAATAGTCCATAGACAAGTTTCGCTACCCAAACAGTTCCCGATTCACGCATGAACATTGCACCGATAAATTTATCCGAATGCAACATTTCTTGACATTTCTTTTCGTCCCAAAATTCGATGTTGTCCATCGTCATTTTTGATTCGGGATGTTTCTTGATATAATCTTCAATAATATCGTAGGATTGAACAATGAGTTTCAGTTCTTCACTGTTCCGAGCGAGAGCAGCGTTACCACGTGTTAAATTAACGTCACAGTCAATATGATTTTCTTTGATAGCCTCAGCTACTTGTCGAATATTTTCATGCTGAAAATCTACCCATTGACAGGCATTTTCATAGCCAAAATCTTCGACATAACCTGCTAAGTAATCATAGCTTGGCCAAAGAAAACCACCATTACGACCAGATGCACCTGAACAGGGTCGAGCATTTTTCTCTAATAACAGTATTCGTGGAAAACGCTCAACAGGATACAATTTCCGTAGCCAATAAGCACATGAAATGCCTGAATAACCCGTGCCGATAATAACAACATCATATTCATCATTGTTGGCTGCTGACTCTGCATGAATGATTCGCGGATGTTTTAATAGATTTGAAATGAATTCATGTTTTTCATCGATCCAAAATGGATTGGAATGTCGAACAGTTGATTGACTCATTGAACTGTTGCTTTTCGTTTTTTCGTCGTCAGTTCTAAGTAATTCCTGAAGTGCTCGATGTAGAAGCGAGAATCTGTTTGTACGTTTCGACTGCGAACGAGTATGTTACACAAGAAAAAACAGCCACTGTGAGTCGTCGAATAAGAAAAAAGAAATGTGTTTTTGCCAGATCAGACGTGAAGACTGTAAGGTTATCGGTCTTTCTTTTTCAACGTACTGTACCACTCGTATATATATATATTGTCGTTCTATGCTATATTTGTCTCTATGTTCGGATAGAAAAGATAAATTTGTTGTCGTGATTGACGTCATCTTGTTTAACTTTTCTTTTTTTTTCGTTTCGTGTTTTTTACTCGGTGCACAAATATGGTATAGATAAGAGCTTAGCCAGATTTATATTTACTTTTTTTTCCCGAACAGCAAGACACGATTTGATGACAGAAGAGAAAAAGGATTAGATATCGACATCATCCGATAAAAATATTCAAAATGATTACATATATAGAACACAACGACGAAGAATCTTAACTATTTTTTCCTGAGTTATCTAATAAAGAAGAATCTAAGTAATTTTTTGGATCCGTTGTCGACATGAAGACATTGATGATTACGTTGATTAGGGAAATTAACATGGTAATGAAAAGGACCAAATTGTTATACCGTTCTAATCTGATTTGTTTTTGTGGATTTTGAATGTTACCTTTGCCGACGACAGTGAGAAGAAATGCTAAGCCTATTTGTGCGAGTATCGACACACAAACGAGAATGAGAGAAGCAACCCAAATTCCATCTCGTTGCTTTTGAGTGATTAATGTTCGTAACTGCATTGCATTACTAGCTGTACAAGCATAAAAAAAGTGATTTCTATGAAAAAAGAAAATAAATTTCACCTACTGAGCAAAGCAAATTCTAAGAAACCGTGACCTGAAGAGGAAAATGAAATTATATTTCGTCGAATGAATACTATCATCTTACTAATTGTCTTTTTCGTAGCGTAACGATTATAATTGCAAGTACATTCAGTCTAAAGAAACAAAAACGAATATAAAGTCTTTCACGTCAAGATCAATTTAACTCTTACTGGCATCATTTTTCTTTCTTTGTAGTACAGTATTTTCTAGCTTTGTCGTCTCGATATTATACATTAGCAAGTAGGCACCAGATTTATTTATATTTCATGAAAACAGACTATGTAGATGTTTATTTAGTCGATATCATCAATATTCCTCCTACAGTTTTTGATATAATGCCAGAAGCGGAGAGAAATATCGTTTCTCTTATGGAATCTGAGCATTGAACAATTCGTTTTCTTACCTGCCGCGACAAAGTTGATGTGTTTTGTTCAGGTACATCCATTCGTGCTGGTACTTTGGGCAAGAAAGGTTCTTGTTGAGCATCGTGCGCATATTCTGCGCGAACAGGTGGCTTTGGCCGATTGGCATCGTCGGAGTTCGGATGCATTGTTAAAAATTATGCTATGTACTAATGCGATACGACTAAAAGCAAAAAAACAATATAATCGAGAATATTCACTGTTGACTAGAGTGTCTACTGTCGTAATTTCTTTCCTTTTTTATAACTTGTTACTCTTTATACTGTCCAAAATTCAATGTTAATATACAATACACGAAAATTTCGTATATAAATGCTATTCTTCGTTTTTTTGATAATCAATCATTTGCAAAGCGAAGTAAAATATTGAGTCAATTTACCTTTAATAGATTTCTATTTAACAACAAAACGTATGTTAATGATTGAAGAAAACGAATGTCTTTCGAAATGGAAGGCAACAGCTTTTTAATAAATGTGTGTAAGAAAAAAAGAAGAAGAAGGGAAGTGGCGTGCACAACTGTAGACTAAAATGACAAATGTTGAGCACAGAAATGAAAAGAAAGAAAATGCGGTAGAACGCCCTTGTCACAGATTGAGTCGTTGTTGACGAAGAATGAGAATTTTTTTCCTCTCGCGTTCTTTTTCTTTACTTTTTTCCTCTACTATAGCAACAGATTGACTCTATTCATCATTTTATGAGTCTGCATGTGATCTGGCTGCTGAATTGTAAAATACTTCCAATTACTTGATTGAATCATCAGTATTAATCGGCGACAATCTAATCCATTTGAAGTGCATGTCTATTTTCCATATTATCTTAAAAGAAAATTAGCATAAGAAAGAAATAATCGACGATCGTGCTTCATTCAGCATCGTCTAGTAACGTCTCGAACATGTGATCGACAGAAATGTGTCCTTCTTTTCGTTGTGCTTATGTTTTATTGATTAAGAAATCTATATAAATATAGTCTTTCACGACAATGTGATTGTTTATAATCTATTGAAAATAAAATTATTAATCTTGTTGTGTGGGATGCTGGGTTGTAAACTCTTTCAGTAAATGTTGAATACTTGGATCAGCCTTTGGTGCACTTGTAAATATACAACCAACGAATACATTCGTGCCTAGAAGAAATTGAAAAGAGATGTTTTTGTTTTTTCGTCAAAACCGTAGTTACCATGTTGGAGATGTTCAATTACGCGACAGCAGCCTAGATCGACAACATTCAGGCCGAAATGTCGGAAACGTTCATCGGTTTCGAAAAGAGCATCGGTTGTTGGTGGACCGTAATAGGGTTTACCATTCGATGGATCAATAAAGTCAACCCAATATTGTTGATTACTAAGATAAGTTGATATTTCTTGGGCAACTTGAATGAATTTGTCAGTCAACTGTTTTCGTTCTTCTTCGATTTTGACAGACCATTTTGACATGTCGGATTCCGTTTGAAATACTATTGTAATGGCTGTTAGCGGTTGTGTTATAGTATCGTAATTAAGAAATAAAGAATTGAATTCTGAGCGAATCGTATGTGAGCAATTGTAACTACGAACTTCGAAACATTCTCCTTCGATTTTCTTTAGTGCTGATAGAATATCCTTTGTAGTATTGAATTGTTCCAATAAGTCATTGTTAAGATGATTTGAATTGTGTTTGAGTAGCTTTTTGGTTTCGAGACTGGCAAATCCAACGTGTCCCGGTAAAGGAAAAAGTGTGTTCAGCTCATTAGTCGAATCGAAGCTTGTTAAAGATGGAACCGATGGACGTTGTTTGGATGATTCGAATTGATTGACGAGACTTAACACCGCTCGAGATCTCAATTCGGATAAAGTCGGTTTAAATGATGACAAATGGCGTGTTGGACGAAGATATAACAATGAACGAGAAGAAGCAGATGCTAAAAGACGATCCATAATGACCTCCAATGTACCGAGTCAATAGTCTTTTGCCTTTGCAAAGCGATAAGAAGCAGAAATGAATCAGTTGTGCCTTCCTTTCTTTCGTTCTTTACATACACCATCACATTTTGTTGTTCTCCTCCGCCGCCACTTTTTACGAACTACTACTGTATTCAGAGAGTCGCGTGTAATCGAATAGACTATCGACTGATGTGTACGTGAAACATTTGTTTATTTACGAATTAAATTTCTTGTTAAAAAACAATGGGTATTCCAGTGGTGTCACAGGAGATTATCACAAAGGAAAATTTGTTTGAGCGTATTATAAGAAAAATAACCTACATAAATAAGAGGATTATACACTGAGTATTATCATTCTCGATTAGTTCACAAAAGTATCCTATGAAATTCTAGTAGAATCGTTTCGACCGATGGCTATAGCTTCGCATATACCAAACTGAACCAATAGCTCCCAAACAGATCAAGATAACAAATACCACAAGAAGGAAGATTTTCAAAACCGACCAACTGCTGCTTTTCGAAGTATCATTCTCAGTTGAACCTGGTTTCGCTGCTGGAGCTGCAGGTATAATATTCTTGCGGTCTTCCGATCGTCGTTGTTCAGATGTGGCTAATTGAAAAGTGCGAACTGAAATAATATCATGATTATCGCTAAGTTGACCGGTTGCGGCAGTGAATCCGAAATAATAATTCGTGGGTAAATGAATATTATCAATGCTAAAACATACAACCCAGATATTTTTCCCATCGACATCCGTCGAAACGGTTAGCCGATTATTTTCATAACGAATAGCAACAAGTGTGTCAGTCGTACGACCACGAAAGGATGATTCACAACCAGCAATACTAATATCCGTACCATCGCGATCATGATTATAATGCAGCGTACCATTATTCACGATAGCCGAGATATATGGATATATATGCTACAAAACGACATTCGTTCGACAACTAAACAAATAAGAGTGACATACTTTCTGACGTTCATGATCATTAGCGTAAGTATCCATAATAACAGCTAAACCATAGAAATAGTCAGTATAACCAAAAACTGGACCTATAAATAACGTATTTGGTCAACTGAAAGTATGCAGATTAAATTTCGTGTTTACCGTCTAATTTCGGATCTCTTGCGTACCAGATAGCAAATCCATCACCAAAGAATCCTTTCCCTTCTCCATGCACATGAAAATGAACATGCATTTCCCAATCAGCATACGTCACTGGTATCATATTCCATAATCCACCATATTTACTCTGCGTGTCTGATGTTAAACGAATGTATCGATCAGTAGCCAACGAAAAGCCATGTAAATGCCAATATGAATTCGATGTAGAAAAAACTAAAGAAATAAATTCAAGGATTTCTTGTTCAACATCGAATCATTACCGGACGGATATGGCCGAGTTAGACTATGCTCACGATCTTCGTATGGATCAGATTCATCTTCATATGTATAACCAACGAGAATAATCAGCAAGAATGAGATACTTCCAATGAATTTCATTGAGTCCAAAAAAAAATCTTTATCGTGAAGTGCAATAAGGTAATATGACAACATCTCACTCACCAACCCATTTGGATGATTTTGATTGGACAGAATATATGAGTAAATACTACTGAAATATTACATGCGGCTTTTTATTAATGCCAATCGAATTCTGGGATAGAATTCAATGAACGATAGTGTTCAAACGAAGATTAAAGAGAGCATAAACGATACCTATCGAACTTACTTGTAATTGGTTAGTGAAGGTGTTTTTCAAAATTTTTTTTTCTTCGTCAAGCTAAGCTCTCTTTCATAGTGAGTAAAAGAAACTCTACATATGAGAAACTTCATTGAATACACTGGTTCTGACATCTTCTTATCGGTTATCAAAAGATCTGATGTAATAAAAACCATTATCTCAAAAGAAACCACTGACTCTGATAGTTTCGTTTCATTATCGATAATTCATGAAGAATTACAATACATTTAACTTCAATGAATGCTCATATCTATTCACTCATCATCGTTCATCTGAGTATACCTAATGAGCATCATTGTACACGAGTTAATCTTTGGCTAAATCAACCATGAAGAACATCGAAACATTCCTTGTTATACTCAAAACATACTCGAACTTTATTCTGATGTCTAGAATACGATTCTGTCCAGTATTCAGTAAGAGTTAGTTTAGTACAGAACATCAATCACCAGGTGCATCCTTCAATGACGGTATAGAAACACGAAAATTCGAGAAGATTCCATCGACTTTATCAGACGTCATGTGAATGTATGCAGACTTAGTCGTGATACGAAGTACAACTGTAGACTATTTTTAAATCCTAGATCACGAGCTGGAATCGATAAAAATGATAAGAATATGATGATGAAGCATTTCGGTTATTTTTATCCTCTACTCAAACAATAAAAAATACTAAATCAATATCAAATAAAGAAGAAAAAGAGAGAGAGAGAAGCGATTTCTTTATTTGTTCGTTATCAATATCGTCATCCGGCAATTTTCACATCTATGTTATTGTCGGTCACATGATATAAACGTTTATCACTTCGTCAGCGCTGACAAAGAATGATTCATCTAAGATAACGAAACAATCGTTTTGCTCTTCGCCAAGAAATATGTGCTCCTGGAACATTGCCTTGATTCCACAGATCAGATTCTTTTCAAACTAAGCCTACTTTTATCATCAGCATTGCACCATCTCAATCGTGTGCAAATACTTATATGAATTGAAAAACAATAGGAGTGGTAAATGTGAGGTTCGAACATAGACATGCACAGATGTTCTCTTTCTTTTATAATAGCAAGAATCTGCTAAATAAATTTAGGTATTGAAGTACAAATGGAAACATTGACCCTCGTCTGTACTTTATACTTACATTTATTTAGTTGGATTCTTGCTTGCTGATGATATTTTTGGCAATTTACCGAGAAGATTTTCAAATGTACTTTCTTAAGGACAAAGAGCAATAGAAACATCAGGTGACATCGTCAATAAGAGCTTTCGTTTTTTTGATTCAATGGATATGCGCCGTCAGAAATGCGTGAGCGTGAGAGAGAGACAGAAAGATTAACATCTAAGCTAACTTCTCTCTCGGGCACTTATCTATTTCTCTTATTCACTCTCTTTCTCTTTTCACAGAACGGGGTGTGTCTCACAAGACTGTAACCCGTTGCATTTTTCTCTTCTTCTGTCCAGGTGCTATGCTTCACACAATGATTTTTCTCTATCTGAATATCGATAGATAATTTTCTCTCTTTTCTCTCTCTCTCCCTCTTTCTTATCTGAATATGCATATATAAAGTGAAGAATTCAACCACTACTTCATAAAGTATTCGATTCTTGATCTTTCCTTCTCTAAGTCAAGCAACAAATCGACCGGGAAGAGATTTTGACGGACAGTCTGAAGACTTAATGGTGGAAGTTTATACGGAACCCCTTTGTAACAAGATTCAATCGACGGCAGGTGGTATCACATTTCGTAGTTATAAGAGACAACGTATTAAGTCCAATATATCAAGTAATTTTGGTACAAAATAACCATGAAGACTGATTTAGTACAAGAAACACAAAATGTACTCAATCTGATCGCTAAACGCGATCTAGATGATGACGGTAGGATTCAATTGATCAACTAGAAGGAAGTTTATTGAATTTGAAATGCTTTTTCTTTAAGAAAAACAACAATTGATCAATGAAACCGTTGATAACTTCAATGAATACATCAATCCAGGTTTCTTGAAATATCGTAAATCATTTTCACCTGATTACGTAGCCGGTAAGATTTGTGAAAGGAAGAAAAACTTCCATGCAAATCATTTCAATTCATTCTAGTGGAATGGGCTGATAGTGGTTCAACCTTCACCTGTGTTAAAGGTGTCGAATACATTGATTGTCTAGGTGGATACGGTATATACAAGTAAGTCTTATTGATGAAACTTCGTGTGAACTATTCGAGATGTTCGTTGGTATTTTAGTGTTGGTCATCGCCATCCGAAAGTAGTTAAAGCAGTTAGAGATCAATTAGAACGTCAAGCATTGCATTCACAAGAATTACTCGATCCACTACGTGGCTATTTAGCGAAGATTTTAGCTGAATTAGCACCAGGAAATTTGAAGTATGCGTTTTTTACCAATAGTGGAACCGAATCTGTCGAAGGTGCACTTAAAATGGCTATGCTTGCTACTGGTCGTCGTACTATTATTGCTGCTGTTGGTGGCTTCCATGGTAAAAGTCTAGGGTCATTGAGTGCAACTTCCAAGTAAGAAAATAGCTATTCATGAGAAAACATACGTTCATTTTTCCTATATATATTCTAGAGCTGTTTTTCGTAAACCATTTTTACCGTCATTACATAATATGCGTCATATTCCATTCAATGATTTACATGCACTTGAACAGACATTGGCCTGTCTACAATTTACAGGCGATGATGCCGGTAAGAATAATTCAGATTTGTTAGTACAGATGAGAAAAATTTTGTCTTTGTAGCTGCTGTTTTACTTGAACCAATTCTTGGCGAAGGTGGTATTATTGTACCAGGTGATGACTATTTTCCAGGTGTTCGTCGTTTATGTGACAAATACGGTGCACTTTTAATCGCAGATGAAGTTCAAACTGGTATGGGACGAACAGGCAAAATGTTCTGTGTCGAACATTGGAGTGTCGAACCCGATATTCTCTGTTTGGGAAAAGCATTTGGTGGTGGCATCATGCCAGCAGGTATGTCATCTGAACACATCTTGTCATTCACATTTTGCATTCTTCGATTTTGCTAGGTGCTTTCATTGGTACCGAAAAACTGTGGACACCCATATTCTCCAATCCATTTTTGCATACAACAACATTCGGTGGCAATCCATTGGCCTGTGCAGCCGCTATTGCAACAATCAATGTTATACTTGAAGAACGTCTTTGCGAACGTGCACGAACTGTTGGTGACATATTCTTGGCTAAATTGAAATCAACCATCAAGCCATATACACCGCAATTAACTATTGATGCTCGCGGTAAAGGTTTAATGTTAGCATTAGAATTCGCTGACACAGACATCGGTTTCCGTGTCTCTAAAGGCTTATTTCGCGAGAAAGTTCTTGTCGCAGGAACTTTAGTTAACGCCAAGACCATTCGAATCGAACCACCATTAACGATCACTTTGGAGCAAGTTGATAATGTGATTAATGCGTTAGGGAAGGTTTTGAAAGAGATTGCAAGCGAATTGAAACCTCAATTAATCAATGAACCAATTCTTAAACCATTACCAATAAATATTCTTCAACAAACTGTCCTTTCAAGACAATTATAAGAGACATTTCAGACTATAATACATCGAACTTTGTCTTTTTCGTTTGTATACTTTGCTTATTTCGAATGTGTGCAATTATATATATAATCTGTTTTTTTTTCTTTTGACTGATTGAATTTAATATGAATAAACCTGATAATAATTTCAAATCTGCCTTTATTCTCCCCATGAAAACAAAGCACAAAGAAGTCTGAATGAATCATCATCGGAAAAGTTGTAGACTATTCTTCTCTCTTAACGTACAAAACTGTCGAGTCAATTATTCATCGTTTCTTTATCTAGTTAACTTCACATAAGTGCAGTTTCATCGTCTTTTTTTTTCTCGTGCTTCTTGCTCTACGAGTTTCTAATCAATGATTAACCAATCGATCGATATTCCTGCGAATCCATCACCAGATCTTCCCGTGGAACTGGTTTTTGACGTCCTCACACCTCGGCCGCATTTCATTATAAAACACAAGAAAGAATTTCGAAAGGCAACGCCGACTGAAAATGAATTAAAAGACGTGATAAAACTAATAACAGATTTTCTCATTGAAAAGCCCGATTACGACAGTAATACAATTCTTTCATTTCATCGAGGAATTTGGTATAAACAAAAGTGTCCCGATTTTCATGCACATCTCTGCGTTCCAAGAAAACCCTATTGTCGAGAAGTACAACGCATGGTAAGTACTTTTTTGTTAATTATTGTTTGATTTTTCAGTTTGGTTTGGTGTTCGATTAGGTATCGTCCGATCAATGGTTATCATCAATAGATTATCTAAATCGATTGGAGAAAAATTTAATCTGCTCGAAAATGAAATACAGTGAATATCAAACGAAGTGTTTAGTAATGGCCTATCGATGTTTCAATGATCCAGTTTCACGTTATCTTCCACTTAGTCAATTCAATACATCAAAATTTACTCTTGTATTTCTTGCTTCGTCGCCCCGAATCGGCGTGATAGCGAAGACGAAAACGACTGAATTGAAAATTTTATACAATTTCATGGAGAATTTCTATTTTTCTGCTCGCAAAAAGTTAAGTGCAATTAATCCTTTGTATGAAAATTTCGGTGCTCATCTATGTCTACATGTGGGTGGCAAGAAGAAGAAGAATGTGCATGTTGTCGAACGCACCGATCGTGTTTTATTTAATACAATTGAATGCATTAAAACTGAACGAATTGTTGGTTATGTACAAATGGAAGAGCAACTCTATCTGCGTTGGTTGCCCAACATTTTTCACCGGACTTGGCTTCATGAATTTCGAAACAATCAACATTTCGTTCGCACTTAAAAATAGTTTTTTTTTATTTATTTATTTTGATTTTGTTATCTAATGCCATCTATCGATGGAAATCTCTTATTATTTATTGTAAATAACTAATCAATCATGAACAATTTGCGAAAAATTTACTATTTGATTTCTTTTCGATATCGATACAGTTGAAAAAAGGCGTAAGAATTGATTGATTTGGTTATGGCAAGACGTGGCTAGATCTGGATTTTAACATTGCGTGGATTCATTCTTTTACCAAACATCGACGATTCGATCGCTTCGAGTCATTCATTTCTTTACTCTTTTATTAGATCGAATTTTAGAAGAAAAATCATGTCTAACCAACGATCAACATCTCGCGATGAAGATTTACTTCTTCAAGACTTTAGTCGTAATGTGACAACTAAATCACGGGCTTTATTCAGTGGTAATGCTGCTGTTGTATCTGCCATACCGCTTTGTAAGTTAATGATTTGGTCGAGAATGTTCAATTGAAGATGAAATTTGGGTGTTGTAGGGCTTTTCTGGCGCATTCATCAAATGGATTTTTCCTCGTATTTCATTCATTTCATCCTTGGTACCATTGTCAGCACCTATTTTCTGAATTTAGCTTATCAGAATATGAAATTCATTCTGAAACACAAGTTAGTGTCGATGCTCGGTCTGATTGTGCATGACTAATGAATGTTTTCAGGATTGCACAAAAACGCGAAGAAGCTGTGAACCGTGAAATATCGAAAATCTTCGCCAGTGATAAAAGTGCCAACAAGAAAGACAAAGATGATCGGTACGAATATTTTTCATCGTTAATTATGAACGAATTTCATCATATTCTGTCTAATAGAGTTTTAACACGCAAAAATGAAGTCGCTGACTTCGAAGCAACAACATTTTCCATCTTCTACAACAACACCTTCTATCTCGTTTGCTTGCTTGTCTTATCATTCTTTGTCTTGAAGAACTTCTCACCAACAGTCAATTATTTGTTCTCGGTTGCGCTCTCAACAGCTATGGTTTTTCTCTTTTCAACTGGACAAAAATAGAATGAAAGACAGAAAACACTCGATTGAATGCTTTGTTTAGGTTTTTAGACATACGTTTTGTTTTTTTTTTCTCTGTTATTGACTATTCTCACCCCAGTGCTTTCTGTTATTGTTCGAATAAGATGTGTTCTTTTTATTGTTTTTAACTTCTGTGATTATTAGTTAAACTTCGGTGATGAAAATAGAAACACAACAACATCAATTAACTGAACAACGGAATTCTATTCGAGAACATATGATTTACACATTGAAATTCAATCTGACACCATGAGTTCCATGTTAAACACTTGTCATTGAAATCGATTCGATTTGAACTTCACCTTGAATGATTGACATTGATCTTTGTGTCACTATTCTATTAATTCTATTGATGATCGTCATCATTCTATTTGATAATTATCTTGAATTATTGACTTCTATTTAATATTTGTTTTGTACTGAAGCATATTTAATAGTGTCAAAAAAAAATCGATTCACCTCAGTGCAATTCTTTCTCGCTTATCGATGACAATGTTACCTATCGTCATATTCATATTCATCTCATCCATTGAAGGTAAAAATCAACTCAGTTCATAGATAAATTTGTTCATTTTCGTATTCTCTACTAGTCAGTTATGGAGCATCTTCATGCTACTCATGTAACCCATGTGGAACAACATGGAATCCTGCTGCAGCTCAAGTTATTCAAACATCAACAATCAATGATTATTGTCGCGTAAGTCGATCATGTCTAACGGAAAAGAGGCGTCGATGTTTTCGCTTTGTCGTTCATAGAAAACAGTAACCGGCACTCTTGTTGTAAAGGATTCGGTATCAACATGTAATCCAGTTAATGTTCTCAATAATGGCGTTTATTGTTGTCGAACAGACCTATGTAACACCGGCAATAGATGTTCATTGAAAATGTCGAGTATTCTTTTCTTATTATTTTATTCTCTATGGAAAATTTATTCATATTATTATTATTATATATGATAGATTTGATTGAAAACATGAAAAGATCGGACAAAACAATAGTGAAAATAATCTTTTTTTTTTCTTCTTCTTCTTCTTTCTATTCTAATTTCGTAGATGTTTATTTGTATCATGATTTTTTAATCCATGATGAAGAGTAAGTAAATAAGTAAAGACACACTTTTTATCCAAATGACCATGAATGAGATCATCACTATCGAGCAACGGGTGAATTTGTGCTTTTTCTCTACATTAGAAAAGAAATCAGATTCGATCAACGTGGACGCTCGACTTACTCAGCGACGCGGAAAGCTAAATCGAAATTTGTTTGTTTGTCATCACGATTTAACGTATTAAAATCGAATTCATTCGGAAAATAATGGTGAACGATGGCACAGAACGCCAATCCATCAGCAAAATCCGTTGTAAAATTACGTATCTTCACTGACTAGAAGTAAGATGAAGGCATCAAAGTGAGCGACATAGGTCATCACCTTCTAATGGCTTACTTCATAATTCCTAGTGACATTTTGACACCATTTTAAAAGCCGTTCTTGTGCTTCTTTATACGATGGACGTAAAGATGATGATGTCATCTAGAATAATACGGTGTAATTCAATCGCACTGTCCAACATTAAAAGAAAGAATCAAGAGTACTATTGACGAGACAAATGTTGGCTGGTATATATATATATACGTGTGTGTGTGTGTGTATTCGGTTGAACTTAAAGGAGAAAAAGGTAATGACGGTACCGGTGGTCGATTGTAATCGGGAGAGTGAACACAGCGATAGATAGGTGGACGTTAAAGAGAGAAAAGAGAAAGAGAGGAGAAAAAAAGAAAATTTTTCTTCTTTCACTTTCGAACGAGTAGAATTGACAATCTTTGTCTCAATAAGAAAAGAGAATAGGTGACCTTTTTTTTGCATTCATTCTAAAAAATGATTGTTTAACCATGTGAAATGACTATAGACTACAATGATCAAATTGTTCTTTGTCATAAAGTAATTGTTTTCTGTATGAAATATTTCCTTTTTGTATTATTCGGCATAAATCCGGAGTCGGGTGTCATTCATATCGGTGGAGAAGCAAAACAACATCTCGCTAATAGATGTACGGATGAAGACCATACAAACGAATGTCGAAGGACGCATAGACAATTATTAGTTTTAACAAAAAAAAAGAACGAAGAACGGTGTATTTGAACGATAAACAAAACTTTATTTTTTTTTTTCTCTACACAGAAGATAGATTTTATGTAAATGTTATTCGAATAATTTATTCAATCGTTAAAAACGAGGGTAGATATTTCAATTCTTCTGCAAGTTTTTGTTTCTCTTTCGTTCACAAAGAAATTTCCGGTTTCGTCTCGTAGGTGCATTGAATAATAAATAAATCCTCCATCGAGGTAACAAGTTAAATATTCACTCTTTACTCTATGATATTTACAAGCGGAAATCGTGTATGAACAATGATGGATCTATAATGTCACCTTTCCTTTCCGTCTTAATCAACAACAACGATTAGACGAATCGAGACACCGAACGTATCCTTGGAGGCTATTCGATGATTTCTTTTATTCGACGATTGATATGAAAGTGTTAGAGAACACTCACGACCGATTTTTAATAACACCGTTTGACTAATTATTTCTGAGACGTTCGAACAGTTTTATACTTACTTGCAGCGTGGTAGATTTCAAAGTGATTTACAATCTCATATATTTAACATATTATGTGTTACAAGGACGTTCATGTTGCGAACTTGTCGCCATTCGATGATGAATGAATGAAAAAGAAAAGAATTGACATAAACCATGACAAAATACTCTCGCAGTAAAAGAGAAAGACGATATTCAAGACGAAGTCTACATTAGACTTTGTAATTAGTTTGATGAAACGCTGTGATCATAAGCAATTATTATAATTATTAGAAACAGCAACTGTCAATGATAATAATGAATAGTTGTATTGTCGAAAGCAATGTTATTAACAAAATCGTATAAATGTACTGTAACGAAACTTGAACAGCGGCGGACCGATGTCGCTATCATCAGACGATTCTAATACTCAAAATAACGGAAGAGAGGAAAGAAAGTATAGAAACGTCAATCCGTTAAGATTACCATTGGTCGATCGATTACACAATACGAAAGAATAGACTAAGTGGTTGCGTTTTGTCTTTGTTTATCACTTTTTCATTTTGAAATTATTATCATCTGAAAACGTAAAATCTTACATAATGTCAGCACCAAATACGAAACAGATCAAACTTGATGGTAAGATTATTTGCTTTTCAAGATTAGTCGTCTTACGTCATTGGTCATCTTCTAGAAGCTGAAATGCAAAAAGCATTCGAAGTTATCGGTGATGTTCAAAACGAAATCGATCGTTTAAATGAACAAGCCAGTGAAGAGATTCTTCAAGTTGAACAGAAATACAATAAACTTCGACAGCCGAATTATAAAAAACGTATGTTTCAATGTTTATTCTTTGTAAAAGAAGACAAATTTTTGGCTTTTGTTTTTCAAAGGCTCGGATTTAATCAGCAAAATTCCATCATTCTGGATCAGTGTGTTTCTCAATCATCCTCAATTGTCGGGTCATTTGGATCAAAACGATGAAAATATTTTACAATATCTCAAACGTGTTGATGTCGAAGAAGTAAACTTCCTTTTTCAGTTTAGTGTTAAGTTTCTTCATTGCATTTTTTTAGCATGATGATATCAAATCAGGTTATCGAATTAAATTCGTAAGTTTCTTGAACTTTATCAATTGGTTTCAATGAATCTCTTGCTGTAGACATTTGATACTAATCAGTATTTTGAGAACGATGTCATTGTCAAAGAAATCAGCGTGAGTGAATCAAGTGAAACAACGTGTAAATCAACACCGATCCGATGGAAAAATGTTTGTGAAATTCTGTTTTTCTTTTCTAACGATTTTCTTTTGATGTACTTGTAGGAATCGAAAAATGGTCAATCAGCGAGTAACAGCGGCAAGAAAAGTGATGGCGAAACAAGAAAACGTGCTCATGAGGCAGAAAATAACAATGATCATGGAGCATTCATGGCCTGGTTTACAGACACTAGTAACGAAGGTAATAACGAAGAATTTGGCGAGATAATCAAAGATGATATCTTTGTGAATCCTTTACAATACTATTTGGTAAGATGGAAAGATTGAAATCGGAGCATGACGATGTTGTTCATTTTGAATAGGCTGCAACAACAAACGATGGAGATGACGAGAGTGGCGGAGAAAATGACGAAGATGATGATCTCGAGGTAAGATTGTGTATGTGTGGTGGATGTTGAAGAAGATGTTTTGATTTTCTTTTAGGAAAAAGACGATGATCAAGAATAGACAATTGATTGTAAATTGACATATTCTGTTTGTTATTATTCTCTTTGAATCGAATCATAACTACTTGTATGACAGATCTTTCATCCAGTTATATCAGTAAAGCTGGATATGATTTCGTCTTATATGGAGAATAAACAGATGTTTATCCTAAAAAAACTACAAGGGATCATTTTATTGACTTTTTTCTTTTTCGAAAACTACAATACATAAGAACTGTTATGTCAAATTAAGCGACAGTAGCATTTGGATACATATCCAAGTATCGACATGAAGTAATGTTATTTTTGATTAGATCTGCTATCGGTATCATGTCCTCCATTGGTTGCATGGTTTTTTGTAAATCGCGGGCAATCTAAATCAATCCCATGTTATTTTACGATAGTTCACATTTTTCTAAAACTACCTGTTCATTCTCTTCCATAACTCGTAAGATGTTGCCACCAGCCAGTTTAATGATATCCTCATCTGTCCAATTACCTTGTGAAATCAAATATTCGATCAATTTCGGATAGCCCGATACATCGACCAGATCGTACGGTGTTCTTATAAAAGAAACGATTTTATTGAAAGAAGAAGAACTCATAAGTAACATACTGATCAATTCCATCGAAATCACCTCCTAAACCTATACCATCGACACCAGCTAGATTACGAATATAATTGATATGTTCTAAATAGAAATGTTTAGAAATTGTCATCTACAAAATAGCGTGTGCTATTACCAGCGACATTGGAAATGTTTCCTAAGTTTTTACTGTCGCATGTAATGAAACCGGGCGTAAATGCCACCATAACTATACCGCGATTCTTTTTCTAGAAGAACAGCATAATCGCGTGAGAATTCATCTTGTGTTCTTCTCGAAATGTACGTACTATTAGACGGAGTACATCGTCTTGAACATTTCGTGAATGGTTACACAATGCCCACGCCGATGAATGGCTGAATATGATTGGTGATCGAGTGACATTCAATACGTCAAGCATAGTTTTTTTCGAAACATGTGCTAGATCAACTAACATTCCAAGACGATTCATTTCTGCAATAATCTTCTTTCCAAATTCAGTTAACCCATCATTCTTGGGTAAAGTTGAACCAGGTCGATCAACACGATTCTGATCAGCCCTTTCATATTTAAACGAAATCTATCCATACGAATTCAGATTGAAAGAGAATACATACCAGGGTGTATTACAATTATGTGTCAATGTCATATATCGTACTCCCAGTTGATAGAAAAGTCTCAGGATGGAAAATGTGCTTTCGATAGCTTGTCCACTTTCCACTCCCAAGAGACTAGCAACACGTTTGGCTTGAAAAGCTTCTCGAACTTCAGCAGCAGTTCTGGCCAACTGGAATGCTTCTGGTTCTTTCGCTATGATTCGGTTCATCAAATCGATTTGTTCCATAAAACTTACCGTTGCATCTTTTCCTTGATGTTCACAGGGTGTATAGATGGACCAGAACTAAACATTCCAAATTGGTTAGATGAATTACAAAATAAACTGTACAACATACTTGGCCGCCAACTTGACCTTTTCGCAATCGTGTTATATCCGTGTGTATGGTCGTTATATTACGATACTTAGTCATTTCGTTCAAATCAAGACCAGTTATATTATTCCGGAAATATTTACGAATAACCCAAGCCCAATCATTGTGCCTAAAATTCATCAAGGGTAAAACTAACCATGTTCGTCAACGACTCATCTTATGTTTATCATCAATGAGTCTCCATACATTATCTGTCGTTTAAGAATCTCACGAAGAAATGAATTTTTCAAAGATCTTACCCGTCAATTAATGGATTCTGTGCTAGGATATCATTCACTCGCTGCTCGACTGTTACACTATCAGATTTTCTTCGTCCGACAACAACTCCTACGGTAACACCGACGATGACACCAACTACAACAAAAGTTGCAATGCATCCGATGACAATCCATTGCTTTCGTGTGAGCGCCATTGCTGTCTGCCTCTCACTTTTTTTCGTAACAAAAGAATGTTTTTTCGCAGCTTCGAAAAAGTTGCCAATGAGAGATTTATTTGGGGGTAGATAAGAAGATATTTTATCACTTTAATTCTTCTGTCAATAGACACGTATTTAGATTAACGTTATAGCATCTTTGATATAAAATTTTAACGATTTGATAAGACATACATAGATTTTTGCGCGTTGCTTTATCGTTTTATTCATAGATCTGTTTACAGTTGTTGCTTTGGTACACACATACACGCGAACATTCTACTAAATAATCAACATCAAAAGAACAAACAGAAAAAGAAAACAGTGAAATATAAGTATAGATATCACGCCATTAGTTTGTTTTTTTTTTATACAGAAATAAGAAGAACAAGTAAGGAATACCTAGAAAGAATCACTCGTTCAATATATTTACACAAAGTTTAACATTGAGCGAGAGAGAAAGAAGAAGAAAAAAAAACAGAAAACACTGTCACCGGGCTTGAGATTGTGGCGAGTTTTTTTTCCAATTGATTTTGTTTTTTTATAGCACATAAACAATAAACATATTCTTCTAATCTCCATTCACTTTTCGTCGACATGTTGGACATGAATCATTTTCCTAGAAAACCAATTCGACATGTATTTGTTTTCCTTTCGATGACGAAATAAACAACTTACACTAAGCCATGTTGATATACATTGAAGATGAAATAAATGTGCGCAATGTAGTTTATTGATAATTTCCTGATCGGTAAATTCCGTTAAACAAATAGGACATTTTTCAGCTAAAAGAATCGATGACGAGTCCGATTTATCGAGAAATTGGATTTTCGGCAAAGCATCAATTTCATCTTGAGTTAAGCGGGATGGAAAGTTAATATTCAATATTCGAGACAATCGTATCATGCCCTGTTGAAACGAAAGACAATTAGGAGGAACAGTTTTTTGTTCAGACTTACCTCTGTGCCATCGTATTCTGTACGTGTATTCAATCGACCATATATAAGACTAAAGAAAAGTTGATCGAAATTATTTACAGCACCTTCGAGAGATTGAATAGAATCGATAACAATCTCAATAGCACGATCGATATGAACAGGACTGACGCCATCAGTGGAAAAGTTTTGATTATCTGTTCGCGTGGTGTTCGTTGGATCAGTTGCGGTGCGTGAACTAAAACCAACGAATATGTACTGACGAATGAGAGAATTTCTTTAATCATTTACCGTGTGTGATGGATAACATTAGATGTTGGTCTTGCCGTGCGTCGGGGTGGAATAGATTCATTATCATTAGCTAGATTAACAATAGCTGCTGAAGATGATGAAGTTGTTGGTTGATTGTTATCATCATCATCAGAAATATAAACAAGACGATATTGACGTGGTTGCATAGTAGATGATGGTGATGTTGACGATGACGATGATGGGTGATCATGTTGGGTGATGCTACTTGAAGTAGATATTGCTGTTGATGTTTGACGTCGAGCGCGACGCGGTATTGTAGTCAGATGTGAATTAGAAACTTGAGGTAAATGAATTTGTACTGGTGGACATCGTGGTCGTAAATTGTAACGCTGTGATTGTGCTTCGGGTGTTGTTGAATGATTACGAAGTGGATAGCTGTTGTGTGGTTCTGCTGAAGATTGATTATTACGTTTACGCTTCCGGGGAGCTGGATTTGTTTGATGAGATGAAACTACGGTTGATGTTGATGGTTCATGATCATCATTGTTGTCTGAAAGATTTCTTGAACGTGTTCGTTTCCGGGATACTCGTGCTGATGAAGGTGGCATAATCAGTGCGCGTGCGTACGTTCGCTTTTCGATATGTAACGGTATCAATGGAAAAAATCAAAAGACTGAAGAAAACTGGTCCGTAAATACAATATCGACGCTGGTGAATCTAATTGATGATTTGGGTGATTTAATCACTAGTGAGAAATGGTGAAATTAGCTTCTTGTTTATTGTTATTTCTCAGTATTCATAACAGTTTATCTTATAGCCAATGAATACCTGTTGTTTGATAGATGGCAGTAGTGAAAGTACATCGATGATAGATGTACAATAAATCAATCTGTCATCTACGAAACAAAATATCAATGCAAGGAACAGCATACGTGATTAGTTCGTGAATATTTATTTTTAAACGTTCAATACAATAAACAGGCTATGGAAGGTCTTTTATGTTCACTGTTAGAATTATAACGAAATTCGATGATTTTCTGGAATAAAGTAGTTGATGTAATAGATGTTGGTAATCAAGATTTGCTTTTGTAAAATGTATGATTTCCGATTTTCTTTACGAATACACAATTATGAACCCATGATGGAATACCTTCTTTATCCGGATTATGATAGTGATCGGTTCCATTCGTTGGATCATCATTAGGATCAGCATGGTAAATAGCATCAACTACTTCACACACTTGTCGGTACACTTCTGGTTCATGGATAGAAATATCATTTACACCATTCCAACATTCAAATTGACGAGGATGTAAGCAAACATCTTTTATTTTAGATCCACCCCAGTACTGTCGATTTAGACGTGCTCGGTTCTTAATAACCCAAGCGACCCATTTTTGACCTTCGACCGATTCTCCTCTTGCTTCGGCATAAACAGTTTTTCGAAATACTTCTAATTCTGAAAGTTGAGCCATTTTCTATGAAACAAAACGATGTATATACAATTCGCTTTTGCTTTCGATGACTTACTCTATTTGTCTTATGTGTTTCTAATGAATTGCATATAACTGTGTAATCCCGCACTATATATAGACGTCAGTAACGGTTGGAATTTTCCTAGAATCGAACATATAACTTATTCTGACAGTGATAAAAAATTATTCGTCAATGATTTAGTGTTTGCTCACATCGAAAGAAAAATCCGGAATGCTTTATAATATTCCTACCATCGAACATAGAGTCGTAATGTTGACTATGGTGTCTTCTTTCATCGTTTCTCATAATAATAAATACTGTTACCATAATGGTTCATTTTGCTCAGTCTTTCGTCAATTTGTTTAGATAAGAGATGGTCAGTGCGAATGGATGCATTTTAATTTACATCGCTCACTATATTATTAATTGTCATTCTCAAGTAAATAGAATAGAAGGGAAATTTCTAAAAGATATTAGACGAGGATATCTGAATCATATCTGAAAGGACACAAAGCAAAAAATAAAATGTGAATTAGAGCTCGGAGGATTACTGTACGAAAACAATTCCATTCTTCAACTACATTGAAATATTTTCATTAAAATATAATACAAAATGGTTACTGACGCTCGGCAATATAATACTGAGCTGCAAGTTTCAATAGGCATTTAAAGTACTATTGAAGGTCGGATTGCATGTGTCGTCTCTATTACGAACGGCTCCGCACCAAATTGAACAAATTCTTCTTTCGGAGTTTTCACAATATTCCTTGAATCCTTCTACCGACATCTATCGGAGAAAGATTCAATACCGTACGTATAGAATAACAGTTTGGTAGACAATCATATGCTTTTTTATCACAAATCAACTTCGATACAATAGAAATCTCGTTTTTAGAATAGATAAATATCTATATTATCTTATCATTGACTATTTTCAACTGACCATGTCAACCATTGATAAGCGAGCGCTGCATATCTATTTATTTTTTCTCTAACGTCAACAGTGTTCGTTCACCGGATGATTGATGATAAGAAAACAAGTTTCTTTACACTCAGCTGTTTACAGCTGTTATAGAAGGAGGAAGGTTTCCTTTCTATATAATTAAAGATCCGAAGAATTATAGGATAAACAGATGAAACCTACATTATTTGAATAAGTGAAAACGATGACTGATGTTGTAAAGACCCACAGCATGATCGATCCTATTTGGAAAGATCGAGCTGAACGAGCATTGAAACATATTTGTCGTACGATTGACATCAAACAGCGACGTGATGCTATGTAAGTACAATACTCTTGGTTAACCTACTCTATTCTCTCTCTATTGAAGACCACTTTTTGCAAGTATTGCCGAACGATACAAAAATGTACGACGTCCAACTATTGTTTCTGAACCTAAACCAGCTGACAAATGCTCAACACTCTACACAAGTTGTGCCTATAATGAATTAACGGGTGATAACTTAACTTGTACGCTTTCAATCTTACCTCACATTGATCAAATACCACATATGTTTACCTATGTTCCTTTACAAAGAAATTTCGTCGTAAGATATTTTCTTCTGATAAAAGACATATCGTTTATTATGTATTTTAGTGTGACACAATGACAAATTTATCTGATTTGATACTAGAAGAAGACGATGAGGATATTAAAAATCTTCTAAGATCAGTTCAATCTGACCAATCATCATCAATTTCACAATCAAGCAAAGACATGCGACCATCTTCCTCGTCGAAACGAACACGTCGTTCGTCGAAAACATCACCTATCAACAATAAAGACAATGAATATATCTTCGACGAAGAACACTTGTTAGAATTATTAAAACGCCTGAAGCAACAACCAGGACATACCGCAGCACCGATGACAGCTGATGATGAATTACATCTTCTTGAAACATTGCTGCGTATGTAAAAGTTCTTGACAAAAGACAGTCGAATGCAACATATCGTTTTTTTTCTATAGAACTTTATCCTGCTTCTGCGGATCTCATTCGTGATCGATTCGGTACTGTCTTCGAATCGAAACGAACACAACCGAAAGAATTCACTCCCAATGTCGATAATTGCTCGTTAGCATTGGACACAACTGTTGACAATCTTCTACATTCATATTTTATGCTATTCTGTCGTCGCTGTCACCGTTACGATTGTTTTCTACATAGAGATAAACAACCCACGCCTGACTTAACTGTGAAACCAAAGAAATTCCATTCTCTTTACCGCCCATGTGGTCGTCACTGTTATCAAATGAACGGTGTTTCATCCCGATCAGCAAAAATTGAGTTAAAACGAAGTTTTAGTGAATTACCTGATAATAAAACATCCAAAATTCCTATCAATGGTTTTCATTCAAAACGTCCAAAGTTATCCATAGTTAAAAGTGAACCATTATCACCAAATTTGAATGGTTTAACTAATGGTTTTCTTCTCAAGCCATCTGTCAAGCGAAAACTAACCGATGAAATTTTGGAATGGTCACCAAGTGACAAATCTTTATTTCGAGTTTTTCATACGATCTATGGTGATAATGTCTGTATGATTGCTGATCTGTTGGGTAAACCGTGTTCACAAGTTTACATGTTTTATAACAATGAAGTGTTAGTTAACGAGAAGAATCTTCTTTTACAACGGCAAAATTCATCTGCGAGCACGTCAACAATTGAATCATTTTCCGGAATAACTTCGTCATTGTCCTCGGACTCGGGTGATGTAAGAATCAACGGTGAACATAAGAAGAAAAAATTGAACGGAGCCAAAGCAACAACAACAGATGGTATAGAAGGATCTTTACCTAAGGAAAATGGAAAGGATGACCATCATTTGGTATGTGAGAAGAATCTACCGTTTTTTTTTTCTAACACAAATACTTCTTTTAAGACGAATCACTGTCGTTCATCATCAGCATCACGCCGTACTCATTCCTCGTCATTTCGTCGCCAACGCAGTTATCAACAGATCTTACTAACTCATCATAACAATCATTCGTCAGAAAAGAAACGCCATACCTACTATCCTTGTGATCATGATCGGTCAATGCCGTGCAATGAAGATTGCTTTTGTGTTCGTTCGGGTAACTTTTGTGAAAAATATTGCTGTTGTTCGTCAACCAAATGTGATAATCGTTTTCCTGGTTGTCGTTGCCGGTCATCGTGTACAACCAAACAATGTCCATGTTATGCAGCTGCACGTGAATGTGATCCGGACTTATGTACACAATGTGGCGCCGATGATTTCCGAAGTGTTAACAATGAATTAAAAACGAGTACATCATGCTCATGTCATAATGTTGCCATACAACGTAGTTTACATAAGCCACTCTTGTTAGCTGAGTCAGATGTTGCAGGTTGGGGCATATTCACCCAAGTGAATATTCAACGAAACGAATTTATCGCTGAATATTGTGGAGAGATTGTAAGTGAAATGAACAAAAGAATTTCGTTTACTTTATCAGACGTTTTCATTCTAGTTAACTCAAGATGAAGGTGAATTGCGCGGTCGGATGTATGATACAATAGGAACGAGTTTTTTATTTGATCTTAACGAAGAATATATGGTAGATGCCACACGTCGTGGAAATAAAATACGTTTTGCTAATCATTCGATTAATCCAAACTGCTACGCGAAAGTGATTATGGTCAATGGCGATCATCGAATAGGTATTTACTGTAAACGTTCGATCAACGCCGGCGAAGAATTGTTTTTCGACTATCGTTATGGAGCGAATCATCATTTACGTTTTGTTGGTGTCGAGAAAAATACTTCAGCAGATCAACTTGATACATAATTGCTGTGATGGAATGTTCATAGAACATGTTTTGCAATCTCAGGAACTGTTTTATTTATGTTTATATGTACTCAATTAGATTAGTCTTCTTCTCTTTTTAGTTCAATTTAATACTATTTTTTAGTGTAATCTGTCTGGGTTCCTTTTTTCGTTTTGATTATTAGACAATGTTTTTTTTTTCGTATGAATATTAATAATTGATTTTAATGGAAGTGTTTTTAGACGAATTTCATGAGAATAAACATGTACGTGTTTAGAAAATGGGCTTCGTATTTACACAGAGAAGAACAGGAGAATGTCAACTTCTGTACAATATGTGCTTTCAGATCGATTGGTTTAAAGAACTAGAGACATCTAGTTGGTACATCCGACAATGGATAATCCATTTCCGTCATTCGGGTAGCTATCTATCCAATGTTGATAGATAGCAGCTATTTATAGTTTGTCCGTGTGATACAGAAGTCTCTCATTGCAAATAGCATTGTTCTTTTGAATTCTAATGGAGCAATTCGATTTTACCAAACCAACACCATTTTATGATGTTATCCTCAATATCGAAGAGAAAAAATTATATTGTAATCGGGCATTGTTGGCTATCTGGTCACCGGTATTTGAAACCATGTTCAAATCAAATTTTCGTGAACGTGATTCCATGGAGATTACTTTACCTGGTAAATCATTTGATGATATCAAAGAATTACTCGCAGTTATTTATCCACCAAATCGACCTATTGTTGCAACAAATGTTCAACGTTTACTCGAATTAGCTGATGTAAAGACCAAAACTCGGATTTTTCATTTATAAAAAAAAACAAGATTTTGATATTTTTTTCTCTAGGAATATCAAATGAATGAATTGACTAAACGTTGTCAAGCTTACTTAATGCAACAACGTGGTACGATCGACTCCTTATTGTTGGCGCAGAAGTACAACTTCGACGATGTGATTCGTCGTTGTGCTGATCACTTGAAACACAATCTGAATCTAAATCTTTTACCAAACTGTGGTAACAGTGATCCACGATTGAATGAATTATCCTTGAAAACAATCAACTTGCTCTTAGTATCACGTGTCAAACATCTAGAAACTGTTTTAGATTCCTACAAACGTAAAGTAACATGTGCCAATGAGAAATTTCGTAATATCAAAGAATTGCCGGGTTACAATGATGAATTCGATCATTGTTCACGACATGAAAGTCATTGTGTAGATTGTTATGATTGTATGAGAATGGTACGAGCTATAATTAAGAAGCTGAGTGAAGAAGGTTTTGAAGAAACTGATTAATTCATTCTTTTCACGTTTGTATCTGTTTTTCTTTCCTAGTCAAATAGAAGTTTTTTTTATCGCACTTTGTTTGCTGTGTATATGAATGAATATTTTTGCGGTGCTCTATTTAATTGTTATTCGAAAACAAAAAAATCTGCGTTTTTTTTTCATTGACATCATAAATATTTGATATAGCCATGCGATTCGCACTCCGCTCTCTCTCTCTCTTCATGTTAAAATCATAGCGATCGATTCTAGATGACTAATGATCGAAGCATTGATCCGTTGGATTTCACATTTACACTTGATAACCGTTTCAGTGAAAATGGTCAAGAACAAGGCCATCGGTATGGTTACCAACGTGGTTTTCGACAAGGTTTCAATCGTGGCTTGGATTACGCATGGGAGAATCATCGTGAAGTTGCGTTGATTGCTGCTTATTGTGATGATCTACATCAAAAGCTTTCGTCAATGAATGATGCCGATCCACGACAGAAACGTTTAGTTCATGGCATCATGGAATCGTGCCGTGAATTTCGCACATTGGCACCTGATGTACCAAGATATGCGGAACTACTTTCATCTGTACGAGCTCGATATCAACATCTCACGGGTTCAACTAATCATTCCACTGATAAAACCAATCTAACTTTTTAGTGTTGATTCTTTATGCTTGTCTTTTGTCGTGAAATTGTTCATTTATATTCCAAATGAATGAAATATATTCCGTAAAGTATAATATTCAAATAGAACATGATTGAACAGACTCGGAATCGAGTGAAACACGACTAGTGGCTTTCTTTCGGATACACAATACTAATCTTATCAAGCCTAGAACTAAAGAAAGTATTCTATTCATAGTCAATAGCTCTCCATACCGCGGTCAGGAAAAAGTTTACTATTGTGATTTATGTCAAACTTCACGATTTATTTGCTTTTAACACTGAAGAATGTGTCTCATCTCACTTTCATTTCTCTCTCTCTCTATTTGCCATTGTGATCATTGCTAGCACACATCTATTATTATCATTATAGGAGTGAATGTGCATATGTATATATGTGTATCTCATTTTTAATTAGACGACATAAAGATGTTTGCCTATCAAAGATTGAAGTATGTGTGTCTGAAAGGGAACAGTAGCAGTTCTCTTTTTTTTCATCATTGAAAATGAGAATGTATGAATGATAAGATACATACTCTTTCGAAAGACAAATACACGCCCCTATTCTTTTTCTTATTCTACCTGAATATCTATGTATTTCAAGAACATTTTCTGAACAAACATAATGGGGCGAAAATGCAAATTGACACGAAAAAAAAGCTCCTATATAAGAGAGACTAGAGAAAATGATCATGATTTACTATTCACAGTTACAATACTTCACTATCAAACATTAGCACTAACATGGATTGGAGACAATATGCTATGACATTCTGGGTAAATGATTTACACTTCAAAACCTTCCTCTTCTTCCACGTACTTGACACAGGACATACAAGATAAATCTATGTTCACCAGTGACTGAAATGAATTTCTTGTTCAGAACATGTTACATCATCATGTTAGATATTTCTTTGCATGTACACTCTTGAAATTCCATCGAGTCTCATTTCATTTTCTAATATCGGAAACAAAAACATCATCGTTATTTAAGTAGAAAGTCATACAATCGCTTCCTTTGATCTTGATCAAAAGAAAACAATTACACATTCTCATTTTCTTTTTCAACAGAATGACTACCAATTTGTTGTTAACATGCAATTAGCCATGTATCAAATGTTAACAAATCTCGCATCGAATTCGACTCCACCAGCGATTCCATCGTTACGATTTCGACCCGTTGCTGAAAATGCATCGCCCATCATCACTCATCCAAAACCACTCAAACGGCTCACTAATAAACGACCGCGATTAGGAAAGACAACTCCAACGGGTGAGTAATCGATAAGGAATCGATGAGAAATACGCATCTGGATCATAACTTGTCACCAACGAAAGAGGATAGACACGAGAAGCAAATGAATATCAATGATCTTTTCGACACAGTATTCAACGTCAATAACATCAATGGTAACCGTTTAAGACAGGAGGAGAAGAAGAAAAGAAGGAAAAATCTGAGTCGTCTGTTCAGTTCACGTCTATTTACTTTCGTTCGCTGTATATCGTATGATGGGAAAATTTCTCCAGACGCGTCGACATTGTTGACGAATGATTGAAAGAAATGAAAGAGAAAAAACGAACGATATGATGTTCATTATATGCTCAACTTAATTTTGAATAGGTAGCGGAACAGCAACAACTAGTAGCATCAATATGCCTACATCGACGTCTTCACCTGATGCGTACAATGTGAATTATAACGATGAAAGGTAAAAGATTTTCGATGCAAATGAAAAAGATTTGGAAACAAACTTTGTTTAGTTACGAAGAACTTGAACATCGACCAGTTACACGCGAAATTATGGCTGCTTATTTAGCTACTCGTCGTCATCGGACAGTGGCGATTCATCATGCAAAAGTAGCACAAAAATCTTATGGAAATGAGAAACGGTATGGAGATAATCACATACGACTTCCAATTGACTTAACCTGCTTGTTTATTTTAGCTTTTTCTGTCCACCGCCTTGTGTTTATCTGTCTGGGGAGGGTTGGAACGATGACTTCGAACAAGATAATATGTGTACAATGATAGGTATTGGTGAACCGCTGTACCACAATGATAATGGTTCTCCATCGGCCAATATTACACAATCGAGTGAAATGCAACACCTACCATTTGAGAATGAAAAAGTAAAATAGATGTCTGTATGGTTATCCTATATATTCTCTCGTTTTGTTGTAGCATTTTGGTGCAGCTAAAACTTTGTTTATATCCGATTCGGATAAACGTAAACATATTAACTTGAACGTCAAGATGATGTATACAAATAATTTTCGTGAAACTCCTTATATTGGCATGTTTGAAAGTCGAAAAATTAAAGTTATATCTAAGCCATCGAAGAAAAAACAATCAGTGAAAAATGCTGAATGTAATAGAATGCTATTTTCTACTTTCACATGACATAACTTGGATATTGTTTTTCTTTAATAGCAGTATGCATTCAATCTGGCACGAAAATTGCCCTGTTTAACCGTCTACGGTAGGATCAAAGAATGTCTTCTCGAATGATTTCATCTGTCACGACATTTTCTTTCGTCTTCAGAAGTCAAAATGTTAGTACAAGATTTTTACATGTTGACGAGAAGAATCAATTTCATGCAAGTGGACAAGAGTGGGGATCATTTTACATTCACCTTATCGAGAACGAAGAACCGTGCATGGAATCAACTAGCTTTGCCGTTAAGGAAGGCTTCGTTCAATACGGTTCAACAGTAAAGTTAGTTTGTTCAGTGACGAATCAAGCATTACCTTACTTGGTAAGTTGTGATGCATCATTCTCCAAATGATCTTATCTATGAATGAAATCGACATTTAGGTTATTCGTAAAGTGGATAAGAATCGAGTACTACTCGACTCGGATGAACCTGTTTCTCAGTTACATAAATGTGCCTTCGAATTCAAAAGTGGACCGTCGTCACCATCAAATCTAGTATATTTATGCTTAGCTGGTGATCGCATTGTTGGCATCGCCGTAAGTGGTCGTGTTCGTAGGGAATTATCTCTAAGTATTCTATCTATTTTCAGGGTAAACCATGTCCGAACGAACGTTTTCGCGTCGATATTAATGATTCGGCATGTTGGACAATCATATCGACTGATAAGGCAGAGTACACATGGTTTGAAGCCAGAGGTCCTGTGTCACATCCAATTACTCCTGTACCTGTTGCCAGACACATCGTTGTACGTCGATGAATTTCGTTTTTTTTTATCCAATTCATTTTTTAATCGGCGTAGGTTGAAGGTGGTGGTGCAGCTGCAACGATTGAGTTAACTGGAGAGAATTTTGCGCCAGGTTTAACGGTTTGGTTTGGAGATACTGAATCTCCTTGTACAGAGTATCGGTAAGTTTCTCTACGATTGTATTAATAAATTTTATGAAGTGATTTATGAACAGGTCAACACAAACAATTGTTGCTGAAGTTCCTCAATTTACATCAGTGATGCCAAGCATGCCATGGGTTCAGCGTTCGGTGTCGACACCGATCTCACTCGTACGTCGTGATGGGATTGTCTATTTAACTCCATTAGTTTTTACATATACACCTGAACCAGCACCACCTCGAAAAAGTTCGGCATCGCCGGAAACAGATCAGCCAACTACATCTGACAACAATTTCTGTGAATAGAAAGAAATAATAACTTTTTTTTTGTGTTCTTTTTTCTCTGTTTTATTCAATGTGCTTGATTGTTTTTTGTTTGTATAAAAAACGAAGAAGAGAAATATAGTTACAAAGAAGATGAAGGAGGTGGTGTTTTGGATTGTTGGGAAAGCATTTTAAATGTCGCTCGACCACTTTTGCCTGTGTAGGAGAGCCAGGAAACTCCAGTTGAAAGAGCAGAGAGTGCATATATAATTGACATCCAGCCAGTATTATGATAATCAAAAATTGGTGCTGCCATACACAATGTTAACAGTCCAATTTGAACGCCAGTATTTACCTTTGAGGAAAGAAAAGGTGTGTACGTGATATTTTTCGTATCGATCGACAAAAGAATTCAACATACTTTACTGATGAGTGTTGGATAGAGTTGTACCGTGGCGTTTTTCATATTCAAAATTTTCTTCAATGTTCTTGGTGGTGGCACAGATTTGACTCGTAAATAACCAGCAACACACATGATTGCGATATCACGGCTGAGAATTAGAGCGAGTAACCATAATGGGATAAGATGAACATAGGCAAGTGATATAACAACAATTCCAACAAGCATTTTGTCTGCAAATGGATCGAGAAATGAGCCTAATGCCGATGCTTGCGATGGATAACGACGTGCAATCCAACCGTCAAGTAAATCTGTAAAACCTGAGATGAGAAAGAGCGTTAATGCTGCTGGATAATGATGGCTAACAATCAAATAGCCAAGAATAGGTGATGTGCCAATTCGAGCGAAGGTCAAAATATTCGGTATAGTCCATACCCGATCAGTTTTCGGCTGATCAATGGAATTTGACGAATGCCGTAGGAGAGAGTTTGTCGATGATGATTGTAAAGGATATAATAATCGTTTGTTACACGTCAACGAAGAACAAATACGCGATCGACATTGTAGAATCAAAGTTGACGATAGGCGAGTAACTAACAATCGTCCGAGTAGCAACATCTGAAAGAAAAAGAATAGTAAAAAAGCATTTTCTCATTTACGCAGCGCTCCGAATTGTAATTTCGATGTCTTTTCAACACGTCGGATAGTTAAAGATATTCGTGTTTTACGCGTCAATGTCTTTTCGTCTTTACTTTGAACATCTTCGAAACATCGATCGAAATTACTGATCAGTGTACGGTTGATTGGATCTTCATAACGTTCTTCAATTCCGTGCAGGTAATACGAATACATCTCGTCTTTGACGATGAATAAACTACGTGGTTCAAGAAGGACTCGTGCAATACATCGAGCAGATAGTGATGGATCCTAAATAAAGGACATTGGAAACATACATTATCTCTCAAAACTAACCGAAATCGTTTTAAAATGCATTTCAACAAATGAGATCAGTTCTCACCTCGGTGTTCAGATTATCGATCGGTCGATAGAATTCAATAATCGTATGTGATTGTAATGAAATTGTTGTGACAATCGGAAAATAGACAGGTCCGTCCGTATGTGCCATAATTCCTTGACCTGCTTCGTATTCATTCACTAAACAATGATTAAATTGAAAGAGACTATCAGTGAAGATCGTGTCTTTTCCAAGTTGAAGTATTCGCTCCGTAAATGGCTCTAACCATTTCGGTAATGATTCTGTTTGAATCATTCCTTTCGCATGTGGCTGTCCACCCCAATTTTGTAATCTTCGATTTCGCAATTGGACCCAACGTGTGCGAGGAACATTATTCACACATGAAAGTAGTTGTTCTTCGTCTTCGCTGGTTATAAAATTCGGTACATAGTAGAGTGAATCGGGTAGATTCGTCAATTTATAAATCTCCATGAAAATTACAAACTAGAAAAATCACAATTATTAAGAATCAGTTTCTATTCGTAAAACAAATGAAAATAGTTCTATTGATTTTCAGAAACAAAACACTTGAAAGAAAGAACGCACTGTAACGCATTTAACGTAACAAATAACAAAGGAAAAAAACAAGATATGGCCGATCGAAAAAGTTTTCATTTACAAGACGATGATAATAGAAGCTCGTTGGTGGTCGATTGAGCAGCTAGAAAACAAAGAGATGATGTGAAAGTCGAAATTTAAAGTATTATTTGACATACTCGTCAATTTTTGACGTCGAATAAAAAGCCTTTTCTGTTTTTCTACTCTTGTCAAGGCACTTTTTAGATTGAGAAAGACTTTTTGGCATTGTCGCATACGATCTTTTAAATGTGCTAAACGTTCATCGCCGGTGATGTCGTTGTCTAAATCGAGTCGAGAGTGAAAATAGTAATATGTCGAGAAAAATCTTACTGAGATCAAGAAAATTGTAACGACTTGGTCGGCTTTTGAACATGTCTTCTAGTTGTTCTCGCAATGTTAAATTAACTGAAGAATTCGTATGGTAATCTTCATTTTCATTATCTGAAAAAGTTTATTTAATGATGTGGAAGAATCAAAACGAACTAATAATGTACCTGTTGGATTAATCGTTCGTTTTCCTCCTCGTTTTCCATTCAGTCGGTATCGTTTCACTACGAAACAAATCCAAATGACCAATTGGAATTTCATCAATGTGTACTTACATTCAATCGTTTGTTGCTGTTGGTCATTTATCATTAAAATTTGTTCGTTATTGTTCGGAAGATTATCGATCGAAGAGTTGCTATTTAAATCTGTCTCCAATCTCGTTCGTTTCTTTGCAGAAATCGATGATTGTCGATATATACGTCGTTTCGGTTGACGCGTTGAAGCACGACGATTATCCATAGGTGAATATGGCTGAATATTATTAGGAAGATATGGTTCTCTTGGAGATGAAGTTGCTGGTTGATTACTGGAAGAGTTATCAATGATCTCTTCTTTGACATAAACTGGATGTATAAAGCTAAAATCAACAATCGGATACAAAGCTTTCTAACGGATATGGAAGGCAATTTACATGTCAGGTGTTGATGTATTATCGTCGATTTGAACACTCTCGGCTGAAACAATCCTTAGATTTGATAGTTGCGTATCAGGAATTGCTTGTTGACGTGGATTATCATCAATGGATTCCAACGTATCATTAATGCTAATGAAGATTGGATTCTCACTTGTCGTGGAAGATGTAGTTCGTTCACTTGAACTAATGAAATAGACCGAAGATGGAGGTGAGTTTCAACGTACTAGTTTGCTCTCCATTCAACTTACGAAAACTTGTTATCATTCGTTGTGAAATTAGGAACCGATTCGTTTTCATTTAACGATATGATTTCTAAACTTTTCCATACTAAACAAGATTACTCGCATATTTTCTGTTGACACACAATCGAACCATATGATCTTACTTCCATCATCTGGATTACTTGTCATAGTTTTATTCGTTCCTTCTCTTCGAGCCTTTTCTTCTTCAATAGATATGAATGACACAGTTGGATCGACACTGATCTCTCCTTCGGTCGAATGGCTTCGACGTTTCACAACCTGATCAAATGCAATCCATTCATCATGTCTAGAATCAATCAAATGATGTTATAAACGCATCCCATATCGTCAGTAGACGTCTTACTTCGAATCTACGTCGATGTATTGAATGCGTAATTCTTTTGTATGATCGTTCTTTTCTAAACATCGTACACAGTACTGTTTCTGGCGATTTGTATCACGTTTTATCATTAGTTTGTCATTGACAAGTAGATCATCATACGTGAAATGCTTGCTACTGCTACAAGAATGTAATGAATTAAAATAGATACGTTGTTTGAATGAGAACCACTTTACCTGCTCGTGTCAATGCTATCTAAAGATGAACGAGAACGTTTCGATGGAGACAGTTGTTCCTCGGTTTTGTAGGTGAATTCGAAATTGTCGTCCGAATAGGTTCGTTTCGTTAGCCATGATGGAATTAATGTTGGTAATGTTGTAGAAACTTCAAGAACTTGAATATGTGAACACAGGATGAGTAAAACGGTGCGAAAAACTGACTTCGTTTACCTGGCACATCATCAGATAAAGTTTTAATTTGTTGATTACTTGTTGACACCGATGGTGATCCATCGGCCGCTGAAGGTGGAGGCGATGGTGACACAGGAGTGACTGGTAAAGGTGTTAAGTCATGTGTTTCTGTTTGCTTCGATGTTCGTTCTCGATGGTTTTTATGGGTTACTAGTGTCGATTCTTTTCTATAAATTGAAACATCTATCGAGAAAACATACGAATGTTCAACATACAAAAGTTCTTCGGAAATCTTCGCAATTTTGATAACTGGTGTCATGTCATTGTCCGCATCGTTTGTTGATTTCGGTTTTTTCCCTGTTGTTACTTTTTGTGTCTGATTCTTAGGTTGTTTCTTCTCCTCAGACGAAGGTGTGAACTTTTTCACAGGCGAGTTGTTCGCTTGTTTCTTGATGCGATTATTACTTGATACTGTCGATGAATTTGTTGTTTCATCGTCCGATGTCTCGGAATCAGATGTGCTTGATGATACTACATTCGATGATCTTGTTTTGCCGATTGGTAAATTTTTTCGTCGAGGCTTGCCTGGTGTTAATGTCGGTTTCGAATCGATGGATTGTCTCTTTGAAAACTAGAAGTATGAATATGACAAAATATATATATATATATATATATATATATGACATTTGAGTCGAGTCTTACCTGACGCTTGTTCGAAGTTGAATTGTATTTTGATTTTGTCTTCTCATCTGATAATTGTCGCACACGAATTAAACTTCGTCTTGAATCACTACTCAAACTAGTACGTCCACCAAAGTATGCGTTTGGTGCCGTCATTGTACCTAATTTTTTTGACAATTCCTCATAAGCATATAAGTGTCTAGATGCAAATCGCATGTCAGTTGCAGTTTTGCGTTTTCAAGCGGTTCTACAAACTTTTTATAAGCATTTTCAACCAGACGACTATTTTTTACAGATGATTCATCAGGTAAACCCATTTTGATATATACTTTCCCCCATTGATCATTTTTCACAACCTATAAAAGACAATTCATAAAATTTGGATGAGACTGAGTAGAAAATGACGAACTTTATTGTATCCTCCATATCGTCGAACAATTTTAAATAAGCGATGAAGATCGAGATTATAGCCGTGAACTTTCGGAATATTATTCATCGGTGTTCCTAGAAAAAGACATACCATCATCCTCAAGTTCACACTATTTCGATCGTTACTTACCTCGATCCTCCATGAAGGCAAATAATTGTGCAACAAATGAATCTTTTTCTTCAGTTGTTTCTTCATCACTATCGTCAACGTCGGTATCACTTGTGCTCGATTCATTATCACTCAAATGTTTCTCTTCAGTTGAATCATTTATCACAGATTTCTTCTTCTGCCAAATAACCGGTATTTGATTATACTTAATAAACTTCTCACATGCTTTCGTCGCCTGTTTCGACGTTGAACGACAGAGAGACTGAATTTCGGAATTATTCTTGTATGGATAAACATCATCACGTTTGTGAACAATATATTCTCGACCATCGAGAAAACTTTTGATCCACATGTAATCTGCTAGCGATTTACGCTTGAGCTTTAGAGCAGGAAAAACTTGTTGATTGCTTGTTCCACTGCGTTGAACAGCAACAATCGATGTCATATCATTACTATTTGTAAATATAGCTGGTGTTGGAATGTCTTCGAGAAGTTTTTGTTGATCGATTTGATTTTGATATAAACGTATACCTTGGAGACAGAGTGATGAACGTCTTAAAGATTTCTCATCACCATCATTGAATACTACGGTATAAGTACTATTATCATATATTCGTTTGATAGTTGCTTGTTTTTCTTCGTAATTATTGCTAGCATTGATAATTGCTGCTAGACCACTTCGTGATAAATGTGGCGTGGCTTCATGGCGAATAGATAGAGGTAAACGTATGGTTACTATACGTCCCATACGTAGCAAAGCGGGTTGAACAATTTGTTCATCAGAGATAGTGATCGTTTCACCAGTAGTCAAGAGTGTTACTTTAAGTTGAACCTGCTTAACTACTGTTTTAACTTGTGCTATAAAAAGAATTTGTTGATGACGAGCGAATCCCTTTGCGAAAGAATTTTACCTGAACAAAAAGCTCCTCGATACTTGGCACTCACTGAGCAACCAATTGGAAGGCATGCGGATTCACTTAATGTAGATGTATTCGTATTCGATTCATCGGTATAGATAGATTGAGACAGTGTCGATGAAGATCGTCTGTCTCTCACACCGTACATCGTGAAAACTAAAATACTTCAAAACTATCTGAAAAACAAACAAATGAAAATATATTATTCGAAAAAGAAAATCACACGTATTCTTGTTCAACTTTCATTTTTCATTTTTATATATCACTTATCGTCATTCACTGTTAATTTCTCTTGCATGCAATGACACAGAGATTGATCATCTAATGGAAAAAGCAATGGTGAATTGTCGTGAATCACATGAAATTACTTACTGCAACATTCATCCTTCTTTTGCATTTCTTTTCGATAACGTTCGGTTTTTCCAATACCTAATTTTGGTACACCCTTATTCAAACCTTCGATTAATAAGCATGCTTTACAGATTGGCATCGATGAACAATACGAACACCGTTCACAAACACGTTGAACAGGCATTTTGGCGGTTTGTTTAACTAACACTTGTTCACCACTATGGATAATATCAATGATTGATGATGGTCTCAATCGTTCCAGATCTTTAATATACGTTCTGATATTTCCACGATATGCATTAGGAGAATAGAGACATTCGGTTGAGAAATAATCCAAGCGTTTGTAGAAAGCATAGAGAACAATTTCTTTTTCATAAGCGTATTTTAATGGTTTACATCGAGGTATTACTGAACCTTCATTTTCATCGGATTCGTCACCGGTTATAATCGACGTACATCGTTTTAATCGTGCTATATCACCACGAAGTATGTTCATTAAAATCGTTTCAGCAATGTCATCAGCATTATGACCAGTCGCAATTTTGTTCACAGATAATTTCATTGCACCACGATCAAGCGCTTGACGACGAAAAACACCGCAGAAAGTGCCTTAGTGGAAGAACAATAATGCCAATTTGTTTGCAAACTTTCATTGAAATTCTCATCACTTACAGTTATTCTTACGCCCCACTGCTTTGACAATTTCATCCTATAAAACATACACATATGTACGCACTGCTAATCAAAATTTTACAGTTCATTACCATACTCCAACCATATAATTCTTTATATGTAAGAATAATTAAAGGTAAATCATATTGCTGCTGATTACGTTTAACTGTTTCAAGTGAATCATCTCGATAGCCTGTAATACCTTCATCAATAGACAATAGAACAAGTTTCAGACCGTAGGAATGTCTTTCATTCAATAGCTTTAATACATGAGCGAGAACAGTTGAATCTAAATGGTGATATTAATCGTTATAGTCACATTTGAAATTTTCTTCCTCAATACCTTTTCCGCCACTAGCGGCTACAGCGATTGTTTCACCGGGTTTAAACAATTGTTCTTTAACGATTGTTTCATGTATTTCACGCTCGAATGCTTCGAAAAAACATACTTTACAGTATGGCTCACTTGTTTTCGGACGAACAAGAGCCGCTGGTCGTTGGCCTTGACATGATACACAAGTCGCGCTCGGCATTTAACTACTATGAAATTACGATCAATCAGAAATAAAATGAAATAACACTATATTACATATCGACAAATCAAACAACGATGAATCACAAACTAGTCGACCAACTAACCAATATAGGTTGTAGTTACTATAGATGGCACTTATTTACACACATCTTCGTTCTCGAAATGTTTCGTTTTACACGTAAAATCTATCGAATCGAATGACATACATGTGAAATTGATCATCTTTATTACATAGCATAGTAGAGATCGAAGAGTATATGAATTCACATACGTACATAAAATGCAGTGTACAACGAGAAATAGAACTCTGATTCAATAGTCCAAATCAGCATGGTCGTATTTTAATCTCGAAAACGATATTCTCAGTTCAGCTTCTGAGATATTTTCACCAAATCAAATAGAAGAATAGTATTCATTTTTGGATTGTTCTCATGTTTTCGTTTCATCAAGCCGATGCCTATAGGTTTTGTTTCAATGATCATTTCAGAAAAGTTTCTTCTGATCAGCGTTCAGTGATTACGATACGTAAATGCGAAAAACATGTCATAATTTCAGTTTGAGTGATCTATTTTCGTGTCTAAATCAGTTCGAACAGTCCATACCGTTATCTCGATCATTCAAGTTGTACATCACAAACAGAAACGCATCTGTCGATAAAGAAAGAAAAGTGGTGTCAAACTACCTCCACGCAGTGCTTTGCACTGTATCAATTACCACAGAAAAGTTTATTATTCAAATTCTCTCCTTTTTACATCTATGCACAAGAAATTGTCGAATTAATCAGAAGCACTACTCCATTGCCACAAACGTTACCTATTTTCAAAACAAAGTTGAAAAATAAATACAATCAGTGATAACAAAACAAGTTACTCACTACTTATCACTTTTGACGTTGATTCTCCATTCGTCGGAAAAGTTGGTGAGCCACAAATCATTTTTGGATCCTTAGATACTATTGCATCATCTTGTGTGACATAACCTGATTTCATCGAACATGTACCGCCACGATAACTTGACCACGTAAAATGAGTACATCGTGGAGTTGTTGCACATGCACCTCCACAATCTTCACCTGGTATTTCGACTGATTTGAATTCTCTTCCATTAAAATCACAGCCTATTGCCCAGTTATTCCCATTCCAATTGATTTTACTTTTCTTTGGATATCTAGTGTCTAAAAGATTCGTAAACGACAGATTATTCAAAATCAACAAGAATAAAAGACATTCTCGTTCCCTAAAGACTTACAAAGTGCTGGCTGTTCATATTCAGAATCTTGGACGAAACGTGGTGAACCACAGATCGCTTCTGGGTCATCTGATGCTACTGCATCGCTTTTTTTAACACGCCCCGTTTTCATCCAACATGTACCATGTCGATAGGGTGTCCATGTAAAATGAGTACATTGCGGAGTTTTTCCACAAACGATGACACAATGTTGTTTTCCAACTCGGATATCTTTTAAATTCCTTCCTTTAAAATCACATCCTACTGCCCATCCCTTTGCATTCCAATCAAAATCGTCAGAACGCTTAATGCGGGGAATATGCAAGCCATTTACCAGGAATAATAAGCCAATTAAATTGAATATACATATAAAAGTCTTCATTTAATCTGATTGCTTTTTTTCCAGATTTCTATGCGATCTCTAAATAATATGTTGATACTTGTTATGTTCGAAATCAGTTGGAACACAATCGTTAGTTTCATACTAGAGCAACGGAGGGTACGAAGAAGAGGAGAAAATAAGCGTCAAGGACTTAATCTTATATCTTCTGCTGTTCAGGTAGATGTCCTAAGTCAGTTCAACTGGCAGAACCTATTCAATCTCTATTTTAACGTTGACAGATTAATAGTAAACGCTAATCCTTTACTATTTTAGGAAGCTATGCAGGAAAGCAAACATACTGCTATCCAGTTTTGTCACTAAATGTCAGCTTTCTATCGTACTTAGTCTCCAGCCAGTTGGGGCATTAATAGGTCGGACGAAAAGTGACCGATATCAATTGTAGTTGAAAAAATAGCTGGAGCGAAGGAATAAACTAAATTCAAAATATCAGACGACAAAATAGAGGAAAGAGAGAGAGAGAAAGAAAAACATATATATTCCTATATGTATGTCGAAACATCGAACTGCGCATAGGATGCATATATTCAAAAAGAAAAAACAACAAATGATGATAATGTACTATCTGTTATTGCCAGCAATAAGTGTTATCTTATCTCACTTTCGCTTTAATTTATACTCAAGAAAAGGGAGACAGTTCGCGAAATGAAAGAACTGTAGATATGTAAATATATGACAGAGTATAACATGTAGAAATGGCGCCAGGATTTTTGTAGTCGATTATGACTTTTAATTGCTTAAGGAAAGACATGAATTTCATAACGAAGGCACGAAAACAAAATTTTATTGGTCTAAAATATAGCAAAGAAATCGTTCGTTTTAATCATATTTAGTTAAATTCAGTCTATGAAACAAACTTCAATAGCGAACTATGCAACACATTCTTTCAAAAAAATACACTGATAATAAAATCCGGGGGTATTTTTCTTTGAGATAACTCGCTTTTCGTATTATTTGCATTTTGAACGGGTGAAGATCTATATGACTGAGACAATTCAACTAGTCCTGTTGTATAACTTGATTTCTTTCGTATTATTATTTGTGTTCATTCGGTAACTCTCAATTTGAAACAGAAGCACCAGCGTGTTCAGCTATTTGTTTTAAGAGAGAAGGGAGACAATAAACACAATTTTGCTCAAAAACACACTTCTTGAAACTCCGACAAAGAAATTTCAGAGGTACAAATGTTTCCCTTCGTTTGCATAGCTGTAGTTCGTCCATGGACAGGAGGACTCACTTCATCGTTGGCGCAGCAACTAGTAACAGTATATTTTCTCGTTTGTGTAAACACAAAATATTTTGCATACCGAACTATGCTGGATCATTCACAGAGTGACTTCGAATGAAAAAATGCGACGAGAGCACATATATAAGATTGCAGAGTGACGAAGCATCGCCTTGAAATCCTTATCTTTAGGTTATGAAGACAAGAAGCATGAAAAAGTCTTTTTTCTATTCGGTCGTACCGATACATTTGAATTTTATTGACCAAAAGCTAATTGATTGCTATTCACGAGGGTGACTACTACTAGACCTGTATCGAGTTCAAGTACTTCTGTTTTGATATTAACAATTGTTCTCTCCATGGAACACATATGGCTCCATCCTTCGACATAGAGAAAAAAGACGAATGGGAAATGGATTACACGGTATGGGTCTCTCACTGAATGATGTGAAGGTCGACTCACATTAATGAAGATTGAAACTAGCTTTGATACAGCCATGAATAACAACTATGAGAAAGGACATCTTTCTTTTCGCAAAATAAACGAAAGTATTTGTAAATAGACAAATGTAATAACGAATCAGCGACAAGTTTTAACGACGTCGGCGTTAGATAGTTAGTTTTAACGCATACACTCATTCTATCTCATCCTATTTAACAAATGTCGTTTACCAACCATCTATTTAATGTTAATAGCCTTCGTAATCAATACATTGGCGTACGACATGGTGAATCCGAAGCGAACGTTGCTCATCTTATCAGCAGTCATCCACCTGTAGGAACTAACATCCATGGACTTTCTCCGACTGGACAAAAACAAGTTGTGGAAAATACAAAATCGTTTCTTGAGAGCAGCTCACCTAATGCTTCTTATGTGATTATTTCAAGTGACTTTCGTCGTGCTCGTGAGACAGCCGAGATTCTTGCATCGACTCTTTCTTTATCTAATGGAAATAAACCAAATGTTCAGCTAGATCCACGCTTACGTGAACGTTTCTTCGGTATTTATGATGGCACAAGTGATGAGAATTATGAGCTCATTTGGAAAACTGATGAAGATAATCCAGCGAAAAACATTACTGATCAAGTAGAACCTCCGGAGAGCGTTCGAGAACGAACAACAGCTTTAATTAAGGAACTTGAAGATAAATACGAAAATCAAACCATTTTTCTCGTCAGCCACGGCGATTCGTTACAAATTTTACAAACCGCTTTTCAACGTCTTCCAAATGCAAATCAACAAAGACATCTGAAACATTTAGAAAGAGCTGAATTTCGACGTTTAATTTTGAAATAAATTTCATTCACACGTTAAACAATTTGACGAAAAACTTTTCCTTTTACAGTAAAAGTGCTACATACAGTGATGATTTATCTATCTATTCTATTGACTCATCTGATGACGATTATTGATAGTTATCAGAGGTAGAACGTGATATGTATTTAATAGAATACAAGCTTGAGTTAATGAGTGACATCGCCAAACTATGCAAACTACTTATAATCGTCGTTTCGCGAAAAATATATTACGGCAACGCCTATACCTGTTTCTAGGATGTAAAAATAAAAGCAAATGATGAATGCATCGCATAGAATATACCCTTCATCGATATAGTGTATCTATATATACTAGTTATTTATTTTTGTTTTTCAAACATCATTCTGTTGATAAAAAAAGATGTAAAGCGCCATTATATGCACGTATATCGACACGTGATAAACAATCTTTACCTATTAATCGAATAGACTAGGCTAGGTAATAAATATCCGCGACAAGTATGCTCCCGCCTTTCATTTTTCTCATCTGTATCATTCGTGGGCGCTTAGCTATCTGTATCTCTATCAACTTATACATCAGCACTAAGTGTACAATATACTGCGTATATTAAAGACACGGTATGATGAACAATATTAACGGAAAAAAAATGAATATCTTTGTTTATGTTAGTTCGATTGTTTACAATGGTAAAGCTTTTCGAGAACCCAAGTGATTCTCCATTGGCAACTTTCTTAATGCAAGTGTTCATTACGTTAGTTGTGTGCAAGATTCTGGCGAAAATTCTTTCGTATATTCGACAACCTCAAGTTATTGGTCAAATCATTGCAGGAATTATTTTTGGTCCATCTCTTCTCGGTTTGGAAAAATATACATATAAATATAAAATAGTATTTTGCTCTTTTTCTTCATCCTAAAGGCCAAATTAACGCCTGGACCGAGGCCATTTGGCCACCCTCAAGCATTCCTGTCTTTCAGCTCATCGCAAATTTGGGTTTAATCTTCTTCATGTTTTTCCTTGGACTTGAATTGGATCTCGAACAAATCAAAACCAGTTGGAAAACTACAATTCCAATTGCTTGCGCAAGTATTATCATTCCAGGTGAGTAGTATGTGTGATTCTATAGGAAAAACAAAATATGCACTCGAATAGTTGGCATTGGTTGCGCCGTAGCTCTTTGGCTTTATGACATGAACACAGGTCTAGATACAAATAAAGCGGCATTTATATTATTTATTGGTAAGGCCAACGACGGAGTGAACTTAACGATATGAAATATTATTCGTATAGCATCTGGTTTTGGTTTTTCGGCTTTTCCTGTTCTTGCTACTTTGCTCAATGCGATGGACCTATTAAACAAACCGATCGGTATTCAAACGATTTCATTAGCTGCTGTAGAGGACATCTGTGTCTGGGTAATCTTAGCAATTGCTAGTGCATTTTCATCAGGAGGTTCAGCTCTACAAGGTCTTTATACACTGTTATTAACATTAGCTTTTATCGCGATCATGGTTCTCATTATTCGACCAATTCTCAAACGAATTCATGAATATTATTGGCGACGGCACGATGACACAAATGTTTACTTAGTTGTTGGATGTTTTCTATTACTTATTGTTTCGGCATTTACAACCGAAGTGATGGGTGAGAGTTGAAATCGATTTCAATGTAAAAGTTTATGAAAATAATTTTTCATACCGTTCGTCTAGGTGTTCATGCTTTTTTCGGTGCTTTTATCAGCGGTTTATGCATTCCACGTAAAGGAGAGTTAACAGACTTTTTAGGTGTACGAATCGAACTTATCATCGTAGAATTTTTCTTACCGTAAGTGTTTTGTCTTTGTTTGATTAAATATCTCAAGTAATTCGTAATATGTGTTGATTTTTAGACTCTATTTTGCAAACAGTGGTCTTAATACTCATTTGAATTTACTTACTTCCGGCAAAGTTTGGTGGACACTAGTTGTTCTACTCATTCTAGCATCGACAGCTAAGATTGTGCCAGTGGCATTGATGACAAAACTGTGTACGAAGAAGCCTTGGTCTTATTGCTTATCAATCGGCGTTCTGATGAACACGCGTGGTATCGTTCAATTGGTTGTTCTGAATATCGGTGTTCAATTGAAAGTTATCTCGGAAATCATCTTCGCATTATTCGTGTTAATGGCAACGATCTTAACATTTCTTACCTCGCCTATCTTGTATTTACTCTATCGCAAAAATTTCAATATAAAAAAGCTATCAACTCCACAAGTAGCCAATGAATTGCGACACATTCGAGAAGGTGATATCGGTATGGATGACTACAGCAATATGAATCAAACAGAGGCAATCATCGATTTGGAAAGAAATGAACTAAATCGTAGTTCATCTACCTTGACCAAACAGCTATCGACAAGTAATGGTGCACTCAATACACTGTTTACAGTTGATGAACAATTGAATTATCCACAAATTAACCAAGATCCAGAAAGAGGCCAACTAGCCGTTCTTGATAATATAGTGGCAATGCCTGTATGTCCCCGTCGTCCGATTTATATGACGAAGTTTTGATAAATTGCTTTGTTTCACTTGGTTTTTCATGTAAAAACACAGGACCCGTTGATTTTCATCATTAATCATGTCTGTTGCCTATCGAAGTGTTGTTAGTCAGATGAAAAATGAGGAGCAATTCAAAAGAATAATATTTATTATATTCACGATTTGGTATAATTTCTCCCAATTTCTAAATTTTCTATCATTTCTCTTTGAGTAGATAACATTGACAGACACACAAACAAACAAAAAATATATATGTGTATATATATATATAGTAAGAAGAATTGCACGGAGACCGTATACACTAAAAAATATGGTAACATTGTTTCCCAGTCAGTTCAATATAATACACAAGAAACAAATGAATACACACACATACAAGGAAAGAATTTTTTTCTTTGTTCTTTAAACAAATCAATCTGCATTTATCGAAATTGAAACACGCTCGATGTTTTTTGTGGAACATGTTCCAAAGTTAAACTTTGAAACCATTCAGATGAATTATGATAATAGTAACCCTGTAGTTTCCCTGTACTTAATTGTAAACAAATATAGTAAAAGCCAGCGAATGATGCACCTAGAAAAGAAATGTTTGCTTTTTTTGCTCGAAGAAATAATTAAATGAGAGAAACGAACCAGTTATATTTCGGACAGTATGATCAGGAACAAGAAAATGTTCTTTCCATCTCATGAAAACAAAATCGGAATTAACTCCACGTTGTAATTGATCATAATCAAACGAATCATTGTTAAATGTGTCCACATAGGGTAAGAATGCGTCGAATTTACTCCAATGTTGACGGTCGACTTCTTCATCAGCTTCCCATTTTCGTGTCAAGAATGGGTAACGTTTTGAGATAATTTCTGCATCGAAGAATGTCGATAGTTTCGGATATTCATCAATTAAGCCCGTTATTCCCAAGTATCCACATATATATGAACGTTCTAAGTCGACATGATGAAAAATAACATCGACGTTATAAGACTTGCCTTTGGATTTTTGGCTGCCCGTGAATCGAGATGATGGACAGAGGATTGAAGTATCTTTATTGGGTGGACCCAAATTCATATCGGAGAATTCTAATGAGCCTAATAGTTTCATTTTTTTAAATGTGGTTTGTGAATAAGGGACGGACGAAAGGCAATGTAATGTGTAGAGTAGAACAGAACGAACAGAACAAATAAACAAAAAAAAGTAGGTAAAATGAATCCGAAAATGAACCAATGAGATTTTATGAGCGACAGAGTACGCTAGTTTCTATATTGACATCGAAGTAGGAAATTTTATCTATATGTATATACAAAATATAAAATAACAGACAAAAATGATAAAAGTTTGGAATCTATTTCGAAGTAATAGGTCCACTATTTTTCGATGACATTTTGCGACGATGTGCTAATCGTACTAAAATACAGCATTTCAGATCTTCTGTGCGATGATCGTAAACGATTCTTACAAGCATCTTTCAACGATGGATGGGCGTAGATCATTGCTTGTTCATAGGTCATTAATTTATCCGATTCAGGTGGAGGAACATGATGATGAAAATGAGGACTTGGTGATGTACCCAAAGCCATCGGTTTCGTTATTGATGATGCGCTGGGATTCATTTGTTGTCGTTGCTGTGGTCCGAAGTTTAATGATACTGATGATGCGACAGATGCTGGTCGTACTGGCAGAGTAGTCTGAATAAGAACGCTAAACGAGAAATCAAATTTTTGGTTGTCAATTTATACCGGTTGATAATGTCGAGCATCTTGATGATGAATTTGTTCGTGTTCATGGAAAATCTTAACTAACTCTTTGTTGATACGTTTTGTTTCTTCCAATTCTGTCATTCCCTTCTTGATTTTATTCATTTGTCTCAACTAAAAATGAGGTCAGACATTAGTTTTGTAATTTATAAACACAATTCGTCTTACATATTCGATTCTATGCAACATTAGTTGATTCCATTTCGAATCTTGATAATCAAATACCTAGGAAACAGAGAATTCCCTACTAGAAATATTCTTATGGCATATCAACACTGTTACATCAAATAGCTGTTTGTACATATTGGCGTAAAGTTTATAAATTTGTTCGCGTACTTGAATTTCAGTAACATGAATCAGTTCATGGCGTGGTATAAATAAAACTTTTATCTGTGGTGGCAACTAAACATGTTCGTTGCAGTCACACAAATACTGATGACGGATGGCTTACATTAGAATTAATTGGATAGATATGCGTAGATTTCGAACAAATTATACCTAGAAAAACAATATAGAGAAAGATCAAATGGAAATATCTCGATTTACAAGTATTGTTGTTGTTGTTCATGGTTTCCATGGCACAATCTCGACAAATGATATGGCCACATGGATGACAGTAAGCTAATGGTAATCGAGTATTGCTCGTACTATTATGTTCGCGTCGTTTGCATACTTCACAGTGGACCCATTCGGGTGTCGTAAAGTTAGGTATAGGTACAGGTGTTTTCGTCATCTCCGATTGAGCTGACTTTGGCGTTGGTGCACCGATACTATTGTTTAGCATAGATGAATCCAAATCCTATCATATCATTGAATGAGAAACTTTCTGATGAAAAATACGTTACCACCGAAGCACGATTAGCAGCCGTGGTTGATAATGTTGCATTTAGATTCATTATTCGAACGTATGTATGTATAGATTGAACTGAATTGAACTATATTACATTTTAATTTACCGCTAAAGAGGCTGATTATAGTAACAAACATCCTATCGGTAATTAGTTGATTTGACATATTTTCAAAATCGAAAAACTCCAGTATAGAAAAATACTTATTAGAATGAATTAGCTGCTATTAAAAGTTTATAGAGGACAGCACTGAACAATAGGTCTAGTTTATGGGTCCAATATGACTCACTGGTGCGAAAAAATCGTTGAAATTTTCATTCTCTTGATGTTGCAAGCAATGATAAAATAGTATGTCTGTAGTCGTAGAAAAGAAGTTTTTATCGAAATACAAAACACATCACATATGTTAAATACTATAAAACGAAAAGAAAATACGATACACTTTTGTTCGCTCAACAGTCTGTTCAGTCTCATAAAAAAAAGACATCTGAGATTTATCCTAATTAAATATAAAAAAAAATAAATAGTTTAGGAATCATTATTCGTAGAAACTGTTGCAGGTTGAATTTGATTTTGTAGAAAATCGATCGTATCTTTGATTATTTGTAAACGTGTACGCAAAGATTGAGAAATGAATGCCGTGTACTGAAGTTGGGATTCAATTGGCAAAACATTCAATATTTTCCAAGCCCAACTAGGTCCATCCGCTAATAGAAGGGAAAAAAACGACATTTCAGTGAGAATCAAGACTCCAATGCAATTTTTACTTGAATCACGAGTGAAATCGTCACATGATGGATATTCTTCTAATTGACGAGAGATTAATTCTTGTCGATGTGTGCCGAGTTGGTCAAACCAATGACGAACATCTGAATAGGTACTACGATTCAGTTCAGACAGATCTAATCGAACAAAAAAGGAGAACAATGATTGAAAACAAGAAAGGAATCATCAAACGGACCATCAAAGTCTTCTTGTTCGATCGGATGATCTCGTATAAGTTGAACACGCGCTGTGTAGTATTGATCTCTCATTCCTCGATCAATAACACGAAAACGTCGTCGACCAATAGTATCCACAATGGAACGTCCATCGCGAGTATATACAAGGCCACGAATGTATAACAATGTTCCGTGATCAGTAAACATTCTAAGAAAAAGTACATTGAAATTTGATACGCTTCTTGGTTTTGGCGACATTTTTTCTCAGGTAAAAGGTGTTTTTTTTTACTCAAAAAAACAAGTACGTCAATATACGTGTACATAGTTCAGAAATGTATCTACTCAAATCGAATATTTCCCTTGATAGTCTTACTCTGTTTCTTCGTCGTATGTACACATGCCGAACGTTCTAGATTGCGTAGACATTGTTCGTCGGATCAACAATCGATAACGTGGCTCGAATACATGTAATGGACAAGAACAAAACGGCAAAGGTAATACACAGACAAATATTGGAATTTCGAATACGATCGATGCGTCAGTATTATTTGACAATAATTTTGGAATTAGTATTCTAAGAAAAAAAGACAATTTTAGATGGAAATTTAGTACAAGATAGTGCATTACCCATCGATATTTTCTTGTTCATGTAGAGCTTGTCGTTCTCGATATTCCTCCGGAAAAAAACTTTCAATTATTTTCGAAATAATTTCCGTCGTGTTCACATAAGATTGAATCAGTAATGGAAAAAACTAAACAAACAAAGATAGGAGTTGGCAAACTTTTTTATCAACAGAAGTTCGTACTTCGTCCAATGAATTCTTGCACATTGGGCATTGAGCTTGCGTATTATCAATCGAACGAATTAGGCACTCTCGGCAGAAAACATGTCCACAAGGTGTTGTCATCGGTAGCCACAATAGACTTAAATGTTCGAAGAATATTATGACAAGAATCATTGAATACCATTCGTATACATACTTAACACATATAGAACATTCGAAATCTTTGACGGACAATTGTTTGTGATCAGCTAATGAACAAAAACAGGAACTTGTCGCTAAATTTTTACAAATCAATAGAGAAATTTTCAATTCGAAGGGCACATACACGTTGAACGACATGTAAGTAATTTAGTATCACATATACCTGCAAGAAAAAGAAGGCGTTCGTGTCATAATTGGAGTCTGTAACGGATAAACGACAGATCACTCGGAGCGTAATGCCCTCGTAATTTTCTCTTATGAATTAAAATCTGCTCATACCAGAATTAGTTACGATTGTCGATGTGTCATTTGGTATGACTGGGGATGAACGTATTTCTATCGGAAATGTATCTTCCGGTTGATCATTATTATGTAAAACTGCATGAAGATGCTACAAGAAAAGCATCAAATTCATCAAAGTAAAATCTCTAGTAGATTGTCACTTACTTGAGCCATTATTTGTTTTCCTATTTGATCGTCGGGGTCAATAGTGAGTCCTTGTAATGACAACAATAATGCTGACGTAAAACGCTTCGTTTCAAATAGGATTTGACTACGACAATAATAACCCTATGAAGATCATTGGTTGCTAGTTACATTTCCAATATATGTCTTACTTTTTTCCAGAATGGTTTTAATCGAATAACGTGTTCACTATCAGTTAATGCTTTATCGAATTGTTTCAATTTTATATATGTTTTTGCTCGGCCATAAAATGCTAAATATTCATTGTCATCTAAAAACAAGAAGAATAATGAACGTTAAGAAGAGAAAACGACTCCTACATTTCGTGGTGATCTGAGAATAAATCTCGATCGCTTGTTGATAGTTTTCACGCATACATTCATTTCGTGCTTGTTGGTACAGTCGAATGTTTTCACATTTGAATTCTAAGGTTTTTATGCGTTCAATTATTTCCTTGAGAAAATGATTTCGACTGAACCGATGGTCAATTGCATACCGAATCGATGATGTAATCTGTCCTTGAATATTTTTCGGACAACGCGGGCAGTCGATTGATGTATCTTCTAAATCTTTAATGCATTGTTCGCAATATGTATGACCACAGTAAAGTGTCAATGGTTCATAGATAAGATCTTCGCAGAAGGAACATATCCATGGACAAGATATAGCCAATGATGATGACATTGCCATTTGTTGAATAGCGAGTTGATGACAAATGGGTTCGAGTTCTACCGATGTATAAGATAAAAATCGTGCACCTGGCTTTCGTAAATCAGCTAAGAATTGTTGACAGCACTGAACCAGTAAAGATGATTTGACTTTCAACAAAGATTTCTTCTTCTGTTCTAATATGAGCTTTCGTTTTTTCACGCGAACTAATGAACCCTTTGAAGAATTAGGATGATAGTTAGAGTACATTTTCGATTGAAGTGAAAGACATTAAACATATGCATAAATGAAATGTTCTTGATAAAGTAGAAAATATCGACTTCACCAAAACGAACTGATTACGTGAGCAACGTCTATATGCTCGCGTTCTCGATTTTTTTTCTTTTTCTCTTTCTTTTCTCCCACTTTCCGAATGACGCGCTTTTTCTGTTCTGCTCCACTTTCAGTGCTTTCTACAACCTTCTCGGACTGATTACAACATCGCAAATACTGCTTCCTACGAGACAATTATGTAACCGTTCTATAACATACATTGTGAAAAGAACGAAATAACCTATTTCTTTTTCCATCGATCCGATAGAACTAAGTACAAAACAACAGTTTGGAGTATTATCATTAGACACTTTTGATATCGCCAGTCAGGTGATATACATTTTGATAAACATCACAGCATTTTACCTATTTATACGTGAAACACTACCATCTTTTGATTATCTCGAAAAGCACTTCAAATAAAGGTGGATCGGTATTTTCATAGTTGAACTCTTTGAGTCCACTTCTATTTGAATGTATCGTACCCCCACACAGATAGACATTTACATCATACCTACCGGATCGCACTTAGAGCACTTTATTAAATTATACCATGAAGAGAATTTGTTTCGTCAAGAATCAGAGTTATTTTTTTCTATATATCTATGTATATATATATATATATATATGTGTGTGCTTATAAATATATAATTAGAAAAAAAAATCAATGTATCTACAATAATTCAATATATAAAAACAAATCACACCGTCTTTCAAATTCGTTTGTTTTGCTTTTCTCACAGAGATTATGTTGGATTCATTTACGTAGCTGTTTACAAAAATTCGATGCCACATGAGAAGTTTTCGAGATAATTTTGCTTTTCATCGGAATCGAACGTTTTTTCGACAAAACAGATGACGAGGCATGATAATTTTGTAATGGTAAATAACTGATACCATTCGGTAATGTCCGAGATGCTCGACGACTCCATTTGTCGTGACCATTATTCCGCACGATCTCCAAATACCAGGAAAACATTTGATTACGATCAGCAAAACGGAAGGAAAAACCAAATGGTAATTGACTAGAATTTCCATCGGGAATTTCAGGAGGTAGAACAGTCATAATTCGATATTCATTCATATCAAATGGAGTGACAAAACGACAATCGGCTCCAATGTAAAGATAAATTTCTTCAATCGACCAAGACTTTATCAGTGTTTGTTGATCGAACGAGACGCTGGCAGTTAAATCTTGAGAATTAACATTTCCTTTCCATTTCACCGATTTTTCATTTGCACTTGTTACTACCCGATGAACTTCAAGCTAGAAGAAAAGAATCATTTCAAAGCTGATTATGTAAAACTTACAAAATGACATTAGAATGACACACACACCTGTTGCGTCTCACTAGCGAAAAGAGAATAGGCGTGCACTGAGTCTCATATTCTTAATGATACATCTATACTTCAATGCATCTCTAACTCGAGGACACGAAAATAACCTGATTACAATTGATAGATCTGTCCTTATTAATTTCGAAAAGAACAAAACGCATAATAATTGCGCTATTGAAAGTTTAAAGCAATACTTTTCTTCAACATATGATTAACTTACTGTTGCCTTTTCAAAGATCCATAAACATGGCATCCATCGTTGATTAGTGATATCAAAATATTCACATTGAGTGGAATGATTATTTACTATAGATTGTCGTTGCGCCAAACGTTCTTTTTCGAATTGAATATAATTGAGTTTAACTACAAATGTTGCTTGACGATTCAATTCATGCGAGAGATATGTTCGATAACGATATAGAACCTCGGAGATATTCTCACAAGAGTACATTGGTCGTTCAAGAGTTTGATCAATGATAACTTCGAACAGACACCAGAAAAAACAATCATTTTGATTTACTTGTTTGAGTAACTTATCGACAACCATATCGGCAGTCGTTTCTTCTTCGAATATATTCATAGCGTAACCATTCAATTCATCGGAACGAGATTCAAAATAAACAGATATCATTGCGCCATCTAACAGGCGTGGATTGAGTTGATTTTCACGGAATGAGATTAGAGTTTCTATACAATTCTTCTCATGTTCAAGTTCATCGTATGTTATATCAAATAATTCACAGTAATATTTACAAAGGTTCGTGAGAATAATCAGATTGGCTTGGATAGATGGTGTGACATGAACGTAAGCTGATGAGACAGGAAATTGAGAAGGAGATGCAGAGGCGATCGACAGACGACGAGATGCTGAATAGAAACAGTTTTTATTCAAGTTTTGAAGAGACATTTCAATTACCTTTGGAATGCAATGACTGATTTCTCTTCAGATTCGCAGATGTTCGTCTGTTGTTTTGATTTAAATATGATTCTTCGTCATCTTCCGAATCTCTTTTATCCAGATCATCAAGTGATCTATTTCGATATTCGAATCGGTTATCTTTATAATCCAGTGGGACAGAAATATCTTGAGAAATAAGACACGGTGCAAATGTTGATATCAAATTTGATAGAGTCATTCCATTTCTTGAAGATAACGCTGCAACTGCATGCATATGTATCAACATTAATCTCAATGTTGCATAATTGATCGGTAGATGTTGTTTGAGATCTTTAATCAAAACTCGATAATATTGTATTAGCTGATCTTCGGTCATCGTATCATCGACAGTTGAACGTAACCATGCATGGTAACTTTGCCGTGTACCGAGTAATGGTACATCTAGATGACGAAGGAAGCGTTTTAAAGCATTGGCAACATCATGTTCGCTGTAGTTTTCATGTGATAACAGATGTGTAAATGGATCTGCTAGACATTCATTTAATAATTGTCTCACTTTTGATTCTTGTCCAGCTTGACGATAAATGCCTGTAAACCAACGAAAAATCTCATGAGAACCTTCTTGATATGAGCACAAGTATTGTTACCTTTTGTTTGTAAACCGCGTTCGAAAATAAAATTAACGAACCGTTCGACAATCACTGGTATGTTCTGAGATGTTAATATCTGTTGATTTATATCTGTCAATGTTCGTACCTGGACAGCTTCACGTAGACACGAATATAACATATTTGTTAGTTTACTAATCGGCGATGAGAGGTAAAGAAATCGATTCGAAACAAGACAAAGAATCACACCAGTAAATTCTCGAGTTTTTTGATAAGCTAAATGGGAAAGAAACGAATGATTCTTTCGAATAGAAGATATTCATTGCTACTTACTTAAACTTGAATATTTTCTCAAGTCTACTTCGTCAAAGATGGTATCTGAACAAAGAACGAATCGTCCGGCATAGACAATGGCAATAACCTGTTGTTTTTCTGCATTGATTCCCTCTTGTACATTTAATTTCATTAATAAAATAAAATTCGGATAAATCAATTGATGATAGGAATATTCTCGTTTAATAATTTCACGTATCCAAACGGAACGTTCGATTTCACTGGCAAAAACACATTCATATTCATTCGTCGATATGCGATCATCAACAATCAATGAACATTGACAATTGACATTTGCTGGCGGCGCATTCGATAGCCGACATTTCAAAGAAATACCATGTATAGATTGATTATGAATAGCAAGAATGTTATTTAGATCGATTTCGAATAAGCACCGTTGAGATTTGTCAGATGTAACCGGAAAGATTTTCAGATGATTGTTTTCATAACGTGTTAGAAATTCTTTCAAAACGCCATATTTCGTTGATAAATAAACGATTGACTCATTGACATCTTCTAAGTTGCTTTTCATGAAATCAAAATCAGAAAAACCTACGGACAAACAAAATCGTCATTCGTATTGAAAATTTCGTTACATTCTAAACCTATCAGACATAAGTCTAAGACACCAAAAGGTACTTGACACAAGGTCATTTTTATTCTGTTACAAAGAATCATGATTACAAGCGTCTGTCTCAGGTACTTGTCAACATACTCGATGAAAAATCATTGCCGAGTAAATTGCACTGTATTCCTTTCAATTGATATGATGATGAATGACTACATACTATGATCATCATATGCAACCCACTATGCACATACTACCAGCGACGACTAGTTTTCAATCGCCGAGAACAATACACATGGGATGTTAGTCAAGTTAACACTACTCATTCTATTAATTTTAGTGAATATACATGCTGTTACTAACACTTCAATTAACTTCTTTCGCGAAAGAAAATAAAACTAAACAATAGACATATGAACATGAATGAAGAAAATTATTTCGCTAACGAAACAAACAGACTTACCACCATTGGCGAGAATGATTTTCATCTGTTTAGTTTGTTGATGTCGTTTAGCATGATCGGCAACGGAGAACATCTTGTCCGAGTAGTTTGCATTCGCTCCTAACATGAATAAATGTATCGTTTTGCCATAATCAGTGGTTTCGACGTTTTCGTATAACATTCTATTCAATTCATCTTGTGATAGTGTTCGATGCCGATAGTACGATTGTAAATAAATTTTCTCAATATACTTTTTTCTTATGTACTGTTGACGTTCTAAATCATTCGACTGTTCAGTTGGTTTCACCAGTAGTGATGAGTCATTTTCCAGTAGGTTATTGGAAAATTGATTTCCAAACTCAACTAACAATTCGATCAAATGAGGATCACACGCAATCGTAAGTAACGATTGAAGACGAAGAAAATCTGATGTTATTAAACGGTGAATAGCTATAACAAGTGAAAAGTAAGAATCGAACGAATTTAACAGTCAAACTTACCGGCACATTTTTTACATATGACCAAAAGCCATGACATGATGGCAACGGTCGGATTTTCTGAATTACAATCAGCACATTGACAATTACTCGGATTTTCCTGTGCTTTTTCAAGATAAATCGTTGTTCGTCCTTAATACGTGAAAGATCAATTGCGTTTTCACACATTTCTTCTTTCTTTCTTCGACTCACTCGATACAGGCGGACCGCTATTGATACTAATTGATGAATTGGCGAAATCGTCGATTAGAATTGAAACTGGACTCGGCTGTTTAGACATTAGTTCAGCTGGTAATCTAATCGAAAAGAAATTCTTTCATTTCCATCAATCTGAGTCTTTTCTACATACCGCTGATCGGCTTGATCATGTGATACCAGAGAATCTTCTTTGGAAGTCACTGAAACTTCTTGTTTAGGTACCTGGAAGGTAATCAATTAAAAGAACTTTTCAATTAAATATCAGTATTTGAATCAACTTCAAATAATCATCTGTTCCTTTTTTTTTGTATTCTTATCGAATGTCAAGCAGCGAGAAGAGAAATAGCATACTTTTCTTTTCTTTTTTTCTTCGTCGTCTTACTCTTTTGTTCCCTATGATGTAAAAGATGACATTGAAACATATACATTTTCTTTTCCTATTCATCTGAAGAAAAATATTCACAAGAAATTATTTACCGATAATGAAGGCTGATCAGAAGTGACTGAAGAATTTGAATAGGTCATTGAATTGTCATCAGGCGTCGATGATGTAATATAGAATAAAGTTGTATTTGACGGATTAAATGAAATTGAACGATGAAAAGCATCGGCCTTTGTGAGATTTTTAACTCGATTGGCAGAATCCACACTTGGCGTACGATATACAACACGATTATCATTGTTCTCGGAAGTCATTTCTGATTTTTCAACGGGATCTGGGTCACCTGAAAGATAGAGCGAAAGAGAACTAAGTTTCAGTTCATTTACTGTGTAGTTACCAGGCGTTAACTCGGCATTATTCAAATCGGCGGTAATTAGTTTTTCTTGTTTTGATTTCGGCGTTTTATTTTGATTTAGTTTCAATCGGTTTTTGAAAATTGAATTTGATAGTCGAGCTTCACAGGGTATATCAAAGGAATGATCCATCTAGAATTAAAATAAACCAGAAAATCAATGAATCGAAATCATCGTTTTATCACTTAGGAAACAAATGAAAACAAGAATATCACAAAAAAAGAACTTTTCTTAGTTGCTTATTGATTGATTATCTTTTGAAAGAAATTCTTCACGAATACGTTGAGCTTCGAATGAATGAGGATTCATAATACAAACGAGATCTTGCCAACGTTCATCATCGCGCATTTGACGATAATAACTGTACGATTGTAGACGTTTTTTCTTATGATAATCGCTTTCTTTCTTAGCAAACTTCATTGTTACTAAACTTGCAATCGGTTCAGGTTTATTTTCTTCACTTTCACTTCCTGATTGTTCGCCATCGCTGCCATACGCTTCATCATCAATAAAGTTTGAGTCTTTTGCATTAGCACCACCAGATGTTGAGGATGTTGTATCGATATAATTAAACTGTGGTCGGAGTTGTATGATAGATTTCAGTGGACATAGAACTAAACGACGATTTTGATTGTCGAACAGGCAGACAAAATAATGGTCACCTAAAATAGAAACGAGTGTAAGCGATTCTGATTCAAGAAAACAAATTGTCGGAGAAAAATCACATACGCAAACAGACGTGAGTCTATTCGTCAAGTTAAGTCGAATATTTTTGAAAGAAAAATGCATGAGAATATAAATTCGCCTGAAGGATTACGAAAAGAAAAGATTTTTCTTTCACAAAAAACAAATCAATGTCATGTATTCTAATTTCTTCAAGACGGCGATCGTCACTTTAGAACGCAAATACAGACAAAGGTGAAATGTTACCGTTTGATGAAATTGTTGATGCAATAGTCTGTTTATCCATCCGATCACTATTGAAATACTGTCTTCCATTCTCGTTATTCGTACTATCTGCAAATTGTTTACCACGTGCCGCATAATAATTTGTTGATTGAGGATCAATTAGTAGATCCATTTCTACTAGAGAATGTTTTTCCTTGATTCGTGCACTTGCGAACGTTGTTTCATCATACGAACGATAGTGAGGTCGAATAGGATACTGAAATAGGTACGTCGATTGGGGCGTTCGCCGTAGCTCTACATCAACTTCGTAGAGAAGTTCATCGTCGTCATCAATATCCATTGATGTATGACCATTCGTCATGATGAAAACCTAGGTGGTGAGTAAAACGAGAAAAAAAAACAGAACAGGTTTATTTCAGTAGTAAATCATGAAATCGAACGAACAAGGACGAAGCGTGAATCATTCAGTAAGCAATTCCCTGTGGCGACACATAGGAGAAATTTTATTTGTAGCTAGAAGTGGACCATTAGGAGAGTTTTATAACTCGTAGGTTTGATTCATACATCATCATTTTCAATTCAACATGCTAGAAGGATTGCCACGTGAATACGACGTTATCGTCGTTGGAACCGGTAAGAAAGTGATTTCTTGGAAAATTGATCAACAAGGAATTTTCAATGTATAGGAATGGTAGAAAGCATTCTCGGAGCTGCCTGCGCACGAATTGGCAAAAGTGTACTTCATATCGATGTGTAAGATCGATTTACAGAAGAAAATATGAACTCAAACAATAAACATTTGTTTGTAGAAACGATTATTACGGTTCGGAATGGGCATCATTTTCATTGGACGCTTTGATGGAATGGACACAGAAACAGGAAACTGCTGAGATAAACATCGATCCACACGATGAACATGAGAAAATCGTACCGATTAGTAATCCAAAAGATGTTTGTCGTAATGTGCAATTGAAATGGAATATTCCGTAAGAATAATAAGTTAAAATTTGATCACCAAAACGATTGATTATGTAGAGAAACGAAAGAGGAAACAGAGACAATGGAGGAGAATGCATCAAAACCAATGACACTGGATGTTTTGAAAAAACAATCACGAAAATTCAATATTGACTTAACGCCGAAGGTTAGTACAAAAGACAGAATATTCATTGATTCTCGCTTGATTCTTTTAGTTGTACTATGCGTCTGGTGGTCTGATTGACCTACTCGTTCAATCGAATGTAGCGAAATATTGTGAATTTAAGCTTGTTTCTCGTCTTCTATTAGAACGCAATGGTCAACTCGAGAATGTAAGATAGAAACAAAAGTTTGTTCAAAATAAAAATCAACAATTCTTCTTCAGGTTCCAAGTTCTCGTGCAGATATTTTTAATTCCAATGATATAAGTCTAATTGACAAACGTCTATTAATGAAAGTGATTATGAATTGTTCATCCATGTCCATTGATGACCTGAACGAAGGTGAGTTTCTCATCTATTCTATGAACAATTTTTATCAAATAATTCTAGATCAAAATCTTCCATTCGTTGAGTATTTGAAAAAACAAAAACTAAACGATAAACTATGTCATTTAATTCTCAATTCAATTTCCATGGTCGATTACACTGCTACGACAAAAGACGTACTTTTCTATCATGTTCATTACCATTTTTTAATGTAGAATTTTCTTTCATGTAGGGTTTTATCAAAGCAAAACGTTATTTAGACTCAATTGGTCGATATGGAAATTCGCCATTTCTTTTCCCATTGTATGGAAACGGTGAAATGACTCAAGCGTTTTGTCGTCTATGTGCTGTTTTCGGTGGTATTCAATTCTTACGTTTTCCACTAGCTGCTTTTACTCTGAATTCGTCGACGAATCAATGTACTGGTATTATTGCAACGACAGGCGAACGATTTCATGCCAAGGATGCAGTTATCTGTAATCATGCATATATGAAATCCATTTCTGAAAGTCAAAATACCATTCATCGCATTGTTTTATTAACAAATCAATCGATCAAAGCAAGTGAAAAGGAAGAAGTATGCAAAAATAAGTTTACTCTTTCGTCAAATTCCAATGTATTTTGTGTTTGTGTTTGTGTAGATCACATATCTTCGTCTAAGCAGTCCAGATGAAACGGGTATCCATGTGATTGAAGTTGGTTATGGACCAGGATGTGCTCCAGATGGCCTGTGTATGTGATGTGAACATCTTTTCCATATTGATTGAACTTTTTCTTCTTTAGTCCTTCTGTATCTTTTTCCAGAAAAGTCACAAACGCATGCAGGTGATAATACCGATAAAATTATCGAACGTTTATTGAAACTGACTGGAGGTAAAATCATAGAATTGGTTTCTGTTTTAAATATTCTGTTTGTAATAGATCATTTCACCCGAACGAACATTCTTGGACAATTTACATTCGATCAAATCGAAACAATAAGTCTCCCACCGTCATCTATTGACAAACTTTTCCTTACTCACGGACCCGATGGCACCATTGATCATGACGCTGCTGTCAATACAGTTCGTATTTCGTTCTTTTCTAGCTATTCATGCAAAATTTGATTTTCTAGGCGCGCAATCTTTTTCATGAGATATATTCGAATGGTGAAGAGTTTTTGGCGCGTGCACCTGATCCAGAGGATATCGTCATTGAAGACCCAAGCAATACAGACGATACGTCTACAACTAAAACTGAGAACGAAACTTTGTGAACGATTTGATTGCATTTTTTTTTGTAATAATAAATTATTCTTTTACCTAGTCACGTGAACACCGGGCTGTTCTTTCGTTTATGCTTAGCTTTTTACCCAGAGGTTCTAAAGCGAACGAGTATTTAGGTGAAACACACGATGATTTGTACTCAAAATCATGTCCATGTCTTTTTGATTTCGTTGTATTTAACAAATAGGTAATTAACATGATTTTGAGATGATGAATTGACGATTGTCTTCAAAATAACATATTTGTCCTCTCGGTACTAATCATATTCATATAATGTGTGATTATCATCCCATTTTCGTGATTTCATTACATATATTCGTCGATTAGCAGCAACACCTCCATAATATACTCTATATTTAATTCATAACGTTGCTATTCGCAGAGCGACTATATATACACACAAGTTCGCAGCTCTGGTATGGTCAATCATGGCTTCAACTCTTCACTTAGCTATCATAGTATTGCTGTCAATCGTTGCTTTTAGTCAACAGCAAGGTTATTATTGCTACCGAATCGACTTTTTTATTATGTCAATTTGTATTCATTTAGATCTGTTGACGTTGCTCTTTCGGTGTCGCCAGAATGAAGTATATAAGTGCGGTTCAACATGTATTGAAACATGTACGTACAAACCCGAGATATGTTCAATGATATGCAACTATGGCTGTTTTTGTGCTGATGGGTATGTGCGACAATCTGATGCAACTGGAAGTGCTTGTATTAAACGTGAAGAATGCAAAACTGTCAGCGATTCCTTACTAGTCTGCGGACAAGATGAAGAATACTCGACATGTGCTTCAGCATGTCCTGCTACGTGTAGCGATATACGTAATCGTGTACAAGAATCAGCGAAAACTTGTATTGCATTGTGTAAATCAGGTTGCTCTTGTAAAAAAGGATATTATCGGGACGACAATGGTAAGTGTGTATTACCAGAAGATTGTTGTGGCAAAAATGAAAGATACAAAACATGTGGTTCATCCTGTGTTGAAACCTGCAGTGAAAAACCATCTATATGCACACAACAATGTGTTGCTGGATGTTTCTGCGGCTGCTCAGATTATGTTCGGCAGAATAATAGTACGAACAGTCCTTGTGTTCATCGCGATGATTGCGCAAAACAATGACCTAACGATTGGCTATATTCTTCATTTTAAATTTACAAGAAATAAAAATATCTATTATTCAAACAATACAACAGATATTCGTTATGAACATGTTCTCTGAAGTATGTCGAAATAAACTAAACATCACTGTGTGGTTTTTGTTGTATAAAATTGTCATCTATCTCTTGAGTTTCTGGCGGAGGACAGAACGTATCTTCTATATTATCAATGCGGTCGATCTCCAGCTGTTTCTGTGCACTGATTGTAATGCCAACGAAATTTCTAGAAAATAAACGAAATAAAATATTGTTGTTTTCAAATGAACTTACTCGATCATTTTAATTCGAAGAATTTCTCGGAAACTAACTTCTAATTTTTCTGATTCAGCTTTGGCAGTAATCAAAAATTCCGTAAAAGCAATGAGACAGGAAACAATGATACCAAACAAAAATATGTAGAAAAGACCGGTCACACTAGAAAGGCTCAGTTCACTGAAACGTTTGTCTTTCGACGATAGTGAACATTCCGAACGTTCATACCTAGAAGAATTCAAACTCATTCTCCACTTTCATTGCTATAATTAGAAAAAGATGAACACTATACCACCAGCGTTGTTTCAATTTATCAAGGAATCCTGATTCACGTAGATTAGTCACTATCATATTGATTGCTTCCGTTAAATCTGAACCTAATCGTGTAGCTATGCCGTATCCTTTGGAGTCTAAATCAGAACCAACTTTCATTGTATCACATGGGACGCGTTCGTTGACGTATTCATTTTTTGTCGATCTGAAATTGAAGCGTCGCTTTGATAGAAAAGAAGTTCGCTAATCAGATTTGTGTTTACTCGATGAAAAAAGCATATTTGCCTTTCGAACTTCTAACTTTAGCTACGCCTTCATCATTTGTAGCGACGAAAACTTCAGCTGAACTTCTCTGCATCGCTTCCCACATTTGTGGAAAAACGGAAACATTGGATTTCTCGAAGAAAGCCGACGTTGTTCCATTTCGTACTGATCCGTATTTAATTTCATGCTGTTTAGCTAGACGAAAGAAAAAGAAAAGTATTCAGCGCAATTCAACCGAAAAACTCACCCAAATCTTCGACACTTTCAATCGGTGCAACTAATTTTTCGACTGTAAGAAACGCTACTAGATTAGCAGTGTAGGACGAAATGAAAATCAACGAAAAACACCACCATGATGTTGCAGCTATACGGCCGGAAAACGATTTAGGTACAAGATTAATCGATTGCCTCATGAATGAGGCAAATGAAAAGAATAATGCGTTTGATATTCCAAATAAATGTACATCTGTTTGTTTGAAACCTTTCTCGTTTGATTTGTGCTGTTGCTTCTTATCATTATCTGTTGTTCCAGTTTGTTGTCGTGGTCGATAACGATGCCGGCGACGAACAGATGGCTTGACTGGCGGTGGTGGTGGTGGTATTGCTAATTCACTGGAACGTCTTGAATCCACTGAATCACGTTTTTGACGATTTAATTCAATTTCAGTTTTATGCTTATCGCTAACGCTTTTCGGGTATGTATATGTTCGGTATGATGGTTTTCGAACGATACGTCGGCGCCACGATGAATTGACAACCCGTGATGTAAGAAATAAGACCACACTAACAGCAACGTATGCTAATGAAAAGCATAGCCATACTTCCATGGAAACAGGATGCATAAATGAAAAGACGCCTGGTTTCTGTGCATCAGGTTTTCGAATCTAAACAACGAATAACATAGAAGATGTTAATCTCTATCGATAAACCAGAACATACCATAATAGAAATACCCAAGTTCATAAATGGTTTACTGAAGTCCACTGCTTCCATACGTACTTGGCTGATTGTTAACGGCGCAATGGCCATATCAGCCATACGAGCCACTATTTCACCGACCATTCCTTAAAGATTAACAATTGAAAATTGAACAATAATATGCTCATCCCACTCACCATTCCAAATACCTGACGATGCATTTTTACTTCCGAATCCTCCATCTTGAACGATACGAAACTTGCATGTGATGTTCAAGATTGAACAAACTTTTTCAGCTAAATCAACGCAAAATCCTTCTACTTCATGAAAATCAAATACATGACCACGTAAATCTTTCAAATCCGCTTGTGGTTGAGCGTATATCGTGTGTAAAACTGTACGTTTACGTAACATTAAAAATGGTTCATCGAATAAACTCGTAATATAATAAGTTCTCGATGATGTTTCTCTCTCTTTCTTCGTTAAATCTTTTCGTTTATCAATCAAACATGGATGATACTCATCGTTGGCACCATTATATCTTCCAATAAGCTCAACGGGTTGTTTTCGTGGTTTCCTTATTGTATACACGTTGATATCGGTTAAGTTCGGTTTGAATGTTTTAGACTTCGTTTGCCGTAAACGTAATGTTCGACAATCGATGATGTTCGAATTGAGAATACGAATAATAAAGTTAAATGCATCGTACAATGGACGAGCGCGTGTTTGTGACGATTTCGGTAATTGAGAAAGAAAATATGAATAGGAAAAATATTCAAATGCTTGTGTAAGTTGATCTTTACATGAATTATCTTTCGTACTATCAGCATCCGACAGTCGATCGGAATTGATTTGAGACGAATTCGTCACATTAGATCGTTGACGTTGATTTCGAAAGGTTAATGTTGTTTTATAATATGTCATATGATGTTTAGATTTCGATATCAACGAAGATGGATCGTTGAAAGTAGAGATTTCTTGTTCGTCGAGTTCACAATCATGCTGATGATAATCGAAATAGACCAAATGGCCAGTTAGATTCACTTTATGCATCCAAGTACAAACATCAAATCCTGATAGAAGTATATAATAGTACAAATCACTGGTTAGACCTACAAAACAATCAAATCTTGTAATATCTAGAGACAATAAAAACAATCCTCTTTTCACCTCCCCCTCCCCGCCCCCTTTCCCGATCCCATAGTTACTCAGAAAATAATAACAAGTATACAAACCCATATGTGAGATTTTCTCGAACATCGTTTCATAATTCACATACAGTTCCAAATCTAGTAGAATGTATTTTGGCGGTTGTTCTCGATTGTTGGAATGAATATCAAGACTATACAGAAGTGAATACACATCTTCATGTTGTGTTGCACGAATATCTAACGAGAAATTGTTGAAATATTCATCATAATTCGTTAATTGAAGAAATTCGTATATGCGATGTTTCGCTTCTTCGTTATCATAAATATAGACTATTTTTCGTATGGAATGATGCTTTAAATAACTGATCAAGACGCGAAGAATATTCGGCATGACAAAATAGGTTTGAGGAAATGATCTGCAACAAGGAGAGAATGAATCATTTTTACGAAAAATTCTGACATTTGAACGAAATACAAACGTTGTAGTTATAATCCCTTGTGAATTCATAATAACGAATGGAAGACGATATGTTTGACAAAAACCTTCAATTAATTTTGTTGAAAAATGATCCATATGTGCGAGATAGATATGTGTTTGATTTGCACGTACATCTAATTCATTGAGAAGATTCAACAACGACTTTCTAGGATTGATCCATCGAATTTGTAAAATTAAACCTTGATGATAACAGAAGGTTGTGTTTGGCACAGCTATATTTAGAATTCCTTGGGGAGAATCATTTTCATCAATAACTCCAATTGATATTGTTGATTGTGAAGATGTGATGACGATGAATGTAGAAAAAATCATTAGGACACGAGAGAAAACCATGTTGTCTTCTACTAAAGATCAAGAAAGACTAAATATGAACAAAAATCGATGAAGATTTTTTTGTCTTCTTCTTCTTCTTCTTTTTCTCTTCAGATCGCGCAGAATAAATTAGATTACACATTCTATTCATATGTTCGCACTTGCCTTTGTATGCCTAGTCGAGATTAAGAATACAAGAGAAACTCTCGAGAGATGGATGAAATGACAAAATCTAATCCGTTTAGGAGCAATGAGAAAAAGAAACTGCTAACTAGTCGATTTGATCATCGCTTCTTCTTTCGACCATCTTGAGTTTCTTTTCTTTTTTCGTCTACATGCTTTTCAATAGATTAATAGCTGGTGATCATTGAAACTATTCTCACGAGAAGAAAGACTGTTTGATCAGAGAATATAAACATCAATGACAACCGGATATAACACACTCCAACGAAGAATTTCCGTTCAATAGACGATAGAAAATTGTTTATAATCTGACAATCATATCTACCAACTGTAAGTCATGAACGATAGATCTTCTCGATCATCATTATATAACATTACAGATTCGTATTTGTAGTTCGATTTTATCGTATAATCTATGCAAAATGAATCCGCATTGGGAGATAGGATACTGCTATTTTTGCAGTACAAATGTTTTCAAGTTAACCTAAGAAATGTCTTCATGTTTTGGTTATTAATTACTATAAAATTGTCAATACCATTCGTAGAGATCTGGTCATATCAGTACGCTATGTGATTGACGAACTTAGAGTTGTAAATATCTACGTTTTCTGCTCATATCGTGTACTAATGTAGATCTGTTTCTCTTTGCATATCAAGAATACAAGGTTATCCATTCATTCCGATTGAATTTAATCCACCATATATCATCAGACTCTAGTTAACTGTTTGGCTTTTGTATGTCTTACAAAAAAAAACGAAAATTATTGGTTGGAGACCGCAGTTCGTTATAATATTGATTCTTTCTCTTTATGTCAAGGATAATGTCGAGTGACTCAAAAGAAAAAACAAATTTCATCTATTTTATATCCGAAAATCAAATCACTTTTTTATTTGTTCTGATATCTGATCATCTGGTATGCTCGTCAATATTTGTAACAATGAAGATTAAGATCGTATAAGCTTCGATTTTTATTTGCACACAATTTTTTCTTTCTTTCTCGATTTTGTCTATTCGTATGCAATTGTACTGAACATCGATGAACTTTTAGAAGTCATACGCTGCAAATCAACTAACATAACGTATTGGTACTAACAATCGTATGTTACTAATCTATAGACAGAACTGTTGGAGTTGGTGGCATTGAAAACAGAACGATATGTTGTTTCTCTCTTTATTTATATTCCCTTCTATATGTTACGCTGGTGTCTTTTTCTTAACAGCTTTCCTCGTCTCCTTCTTCTATTTCTTGGAGGGCGGTCTTTTCTTTTCTGCCATTATTTGTTTTCTTTCAAGATGTAACCGGTAGAAGTTGGTGTGTGGCAGAGAAATGAGGAAAAGAACGATTCTATATGCGGTAATGGGTACTATTTCATTCATCCGATATGCTTCTCTTTTTTGCTTCTATTTCTATCATCATCAACAACGTCGATTACGGCGAAAGAAAGAATAGATTTAAAGTGACAAGAAGAGATTATAATGTTGAGAAGTATGAGAAAATTAATTCTGATCGGTTCTTTTCCTTATAGATGGCTTCGGCAAAGGATGGATCGAAAACGAATGTGCCAACTCTATCGCAAGGAGCTCATCGGCAGCCAACGATGGGTTTATTCGATGCAATTAATCTTCTATTAGCTTGCATTATCGGTTCAGGTATATTTATCAGTGCTAAAGCCGTCTTAGAATATTCAGGTTCGTACGGTCTTTCGATTACTGTATGGGTTGGTTGTGGTTTACTTTGTATAATGGTAAATCGAGCTAATGATTCAGAATGTTTAATCAGAAATTGTAATTATTATCTAGGGAGCACTATGTTATGCTGAACTCGGTTGTGCATATGTTTCATCAGGCGGTGATTATACGTATCTTCGAGTTGCATTTGGTGATTTTCTTGGTTTTCTTCGTGTTTGGATTGAAGTTGTTCTATCTCGGCCAATGATTGTTGTCTTGAGTGTCCTGACTGCATCGAACTATCTCGTTTATTGGTTCTATCCGACTTGTACGCCACCCGATATTCTGGTGAAATGTTTATCGTCATTTCTTCTACTAATTGTCGGATTTATTAATTTAATATCAGCTGATTGGGCAAATCGACTTCATCAAATTTGCAATTATTTCAAAATTGGTAAGATGATTATCTGTCACATTTCATTGTTGTTTACCTCAATCTATTCCAGCTTCACTATTGATCGTTATTGGCGCTGGATTATATCGGATGATTCTTGGTCGTGTCGAAAATTTCGCCGAACCATTCGAAGGTTCAACATACAGTCAACTACCCAGTGCACTCTATGCTGGCTTATTTCCCTACGCTGGATGGTAAAGAAATCGACATTCAATAATCTGTATTTTCTGAAATTCTTCTTCTATTTAGGAATTATCTGAATAATGCCATCGATGATCTAAAAGATCCAAAACGACTTTTACCACTTTCAATTGTTATATCACTTTTTATATGTATAATGATTTATTTTCTAACGTTCAGTTCGTATTTCACTGCGTTATCAGCATATGATATTTTAATTTCTGACGCAACAGCAGTGACATTTGCTGAACGTGTTTTTCCACCACTTTTATATATCATACCAATCGGAGTGACAATGTCTTGTGTAGGAGGTACGGAAATATTCTTCGTTTTCATTTCAATGTTCATTCGATACGAATATATTTAGCTGCATCGGGTAATATTTTCACTGTTGTGCAAATGTTTAATGGTAATAATTCATTGCTATTTGATTGCTAATTATATTCTAAAATAACACTTTAGTTGCCGGTCGAGATGGTCTTATGCCATTCATATTCTCCATGCGACACTACGAAACTAATGTACCCATGATTGCAATTATGTTCGAAATCATAGTTAGTTTTATTTTCCTTTTCTTCATGTCAAACATCGGAAAGTTAATCATTTGTGTTGGCATGATCAATTGGACATGTGATTATATAATATTCATTATTCACTTCATTAAACTGCTTCTTCTATTGTAGGTATTTTGTTGGCAGCAGTTGGCTTAATTGTTCTTCGTTATAAACATCCGGATCGAGAACGACCAATCAAGATTCCATTATTAATTCCTATTCTTTTCATCACCGTTCTAGTTGTATTGATCGGTGCAAGTGCTGTGACTGATCTTGAAAATATTAAAACATCGTTAACACTTCTTGGCACTGCTGTACCGGCCTATGTCTTCGGTGTGATGTGGAAAAAGAAACCGGCTAGTTTTAATCGAAAATATAATTCCTTTGCGATCACTCTACAACGATTATTTCATGTTGTTCATGATGAACACACTGACTAGTATAGAAATAAAAACAATTGATTTTCTCACGGTAGATTTGCTGGATTATTTTTTTTTCTTCTTTTGACCACGAATGTCAATTCCCTTCCATAATTTTTCAAAAATAAAACAAATGAATGGTTTAGAATCACGATACAGAACCGACAGCACTGCCATCTGAGTTTGCGGCAGTCTATGAGGGATCGTCAAGGAAATTTACTTTTCAAATGATCGACAATCAGCTGTTCAGCTGTTATTGTTTCGTTCGTCTTCAACGATTATTTAGATGTGTTTTTCACGTTATTTCTTTCATACCGACGTCATATTTATTCTTCGAATGCGCTTTTATTCTTAAGTACTTTTGCACTTTTGTTTGATTTCGGATGGCGGTAAGCACGTGTGGCTATGAAACGATGTGGAGTGGTAATACGATTCTATACTTCGTAAATCGTGATGGTCTACCACTATCAGAACGATGTAATGAACGCATGTGGTCATTTTGTAAAGAACAATATCCGAAACGTAAATAGATCGAAATTTCGAGAGTAACTTTAATTGTCAATGACTACGAACGATTGTTTTCCTAGATGAGGAAGAAATTCAAACATTGCACGATAAAGTTATTAACTATCCACCAAAACTATGTCCTGAGCCGCCGTATCATATTGCTTCGAATACTCGTCTGAAAGTTCACGAAAAACTACAGCAAATACAAAATTACATATATCGTTTGGAATATAACTATACAGGCATGCAATTCTTCGATCTAAATCCAACGCGATCCATATATGGACTTATGGACACTACTCGACAGATGTAAGAAATATGAATGATATAAATATGTGATTATCATCACAAACCAAAACTGTTTTAGGATGACAGAATCATTACCAATCAAATGTTTTGAAGCATTTTTAATTGGATTGTATCTAACAACTGGAATCATTGGTCTAGATCGTTTTAACATATCATTTAAAACTCGTTTCAATTCAATTATCTATCGTCACGTTGTTCTCGGTGTGAAATATCAACAATTTTACGGTGCATTAGGTATAAGTCGTCGCGAAGATCTAGCTTACAAATCTTTGGATGGTAAATATGAACATTTTTCTGAGCTGATCGACGATTTTATTTGTGCATATAAAAGATACGGACATACAGTTTTACGCGTTCGAATTGGTTTGCCAATTATTCATGATTTGAAATCGTTTTTAACAATTAACTGGAAAGTTTTAACTATTCTACCAAGTAAAACCGACAAGAGTGAATACGATCGTGAACTGAACAAAATTACTCGCATATGGAGACAAGTTGACATGCATATGACGTACAAATCAGTTGTGTCGTTAACATCATTGACTCAACCGACTGGCACTTTGATAACAGCAGCATCACTACCAAACCGTTTGCAACCGATATCATTTCGAACAAATGGTGAACCTCCAATGACTTGCCGTCGTTCAGTAACAAACAAAACCTCAATGACCACACGTGATCAAAAATCAGACGATAAAGATCAAACAATTCCTTATGCTATTCGTGTATAATTATCCATGTGTTTTTTCTTATTCTGAATAAAATATGAATTACTTCGTGAAAAATCTTGAGGTTTTGGCGTCAAACAGGTAGAAATCGATCGATGACAATTTTTGCGCATGTCTTTATTAAATAATCAAATACATATTTCTTGGAGAAAAACGAAAACGTCAACAATATACAATCGAAGTATATAGAGTACATCGAAAGCGTGTCTAATACATTGATTCATCAAGAAATTTACAGACAAAAGAAAAAGAATAAAGATTGAAAATATAAATACTAATTATAATCCGTTACATTTACAATTTTGTCAGTTTGATCATACTTAAGTGTAGATTAAATTAATAGGAATTGAATGGCTGTGATTGCTGTGCGTACGGATTGAAACTTCCGGGATAATTTTGTGGTGGATGAGCATATGGATTTGCTGCTGGCGGAGGTGGATAGCCCATTGGAGGTGGTGGTGGATTATAGAATGGGGGTGGTTGATTCATAGGCGGTTCTGTCGGGATCATCACCATATCTTCTATTAATATGTATTAATGATTTTCAATAAATAGAAGAATGAATTTTTAATAACATACTCTGTTTTCGACAGCGTCGCGCCCATAATAGAATAACAAGTAGAAGACAAGCTATAATCAACACTATCCATGCAAAATGAGCACTGCTGTTTGAATTGCGACTAAATTAATCGAATAATATTGACATATAGAGAATTTATATGCTGAAAAATCTCAGACCTGATTGCTCTACGCGAACAACAATATTGTTTATTTGGTTCACCACAACAGTGCAGTTCATCAGGAGAAAATCCGTAAAGCGGACAACGAAATGTTCCAAAACTAGTTCCATTCATATCTTCATTATTCACACATGTATCGCCAACTGAAAACAAAAGAGAAACTAATTAGTATTCAATCAAGTATGATATGATAACCTACTTCCATAACCAGGTCTATAATAATCATTTGGCCGAGCATGATATGAATGAGACATTGACCTCATTAATGCGTATGCTGCAAGACCACCAGCTGCTCCCGCAGCAAAACTCGCAGCATTGCTTTTAAAACTACTTCCAGATCGACTAGAAACGTTAATAATTAATCATTCAGTAGAAACAAAAACAGCAAACACACTTACGGTTTATTCATCGTATTGATACTATTTCCTCGGCTGAAACTCGATGCTCCGCCAAATGTACCCGGGCCTCGAGAACCTGTTTTAAAGCCGCCACTACCGCCACGACCACCGAATCCTTTCCCTTCCATCGAGGAAAACAACATTATCACTAAATTCATCAGAGAGTTGACATTACTCATCCATGCAAGAAGGTTTGATCCTTACGTAAAAAGATCAACGATTGATATAAGCGATTACAGACCATGCTTACTTTTCTTTGAATAATCTGAAATAAAGACTAATTTTAGAGCATTCGTTAGAGAAGGATTAGAACAAAAAGTAAAACAAAACAAAATATATCATCGACTTGTTCCAGGCTTGGAAAATTCTAAGAAACTTACTGAATTACATCCGACTCAGTAGTCTAGAATGTAAGGCAATTAATTTCCATGGCCGTATACTTGTAGAAAAGTTAGTATATGCTCGGAAAAAACAACAAGTAACTGATCGTTGACGATTTCTCAATCGAGTATTTGTGTACACTTATTGGTGATATGATTACAATTAACTTTGGAGACAGAGAAAAACAAGAAAAGATCCTGTATTCGTTGTTTTAAGAGAACAATAGTTACACGAATAGACAGTTATTTCTTAAAATCAAATGCATTGAATATAGAAAATATCTTAATTAGTTTACATATTGATTCCATCAACTCCGAGTAAATATAATTTACATGCCTCTCGACGTACTGCTTCAGTATTTGAGGATAGATTAGCAAAAACCTTTGTTGTATTGGTATTGACCTTTTTGGATGAATGACGTCGACGACGTCGTACCTACTGCACATCTAACACTGAAGTAAAGACGCATAGAATAAGCTATACGATACTTTCACCAAAGAATAGTTGTATCAGATTTCATTAATTTAACTGGAAAGATGAGAAATTCTTGACTTGTCAATAAAATGTTACTTGATATTAAAATATATTTCAAAAACGCTAACATTCGTCGAACATAATTGGATTGACGTTATAGACAAAATAGAATTGAGTACGGGAAAAGAAACGTTTGTTCCGTCTGCATTCAAGAATGACTTGTAATAGTTGAGCAAAACATATATTCATTCTATGAGTAAACTGTTACTATCAGCACTATGTTACTTCTATTGCGATGACAGAAGAAACGACTGGAAAAAATAGAAAGAGAATGCAAATAAAAAGACGAGCAACAACCAGGCTAACTTGTCGAGAGAGAAAAAGAAACAGCGTAGAACAGAAAGAAAAAAAATCGAATAAGAAAATAGTACTTCTTTCTCAAGGAATTACTATCTGGCTGATGATACGCATCATAATATTGTCAAGCACTCCTTTCATAAGACAAGATTCATCCGACACGAATTTATCAGATTTCTCTCGCTTAACAGATGAACCTGTTAGGTCATCTCGAGCTTAGTAAAAGATGAATAACAAAATAGTTCTATTCCAAACAACATGAACTGCTTAGGATTCTATCGGACTGTATAGATTACCACTCAAGGCTCATGATTGTATTGGGAAAAGCACGGATCGAGGACATTGTATTTTTTCAAATTGTACTACGAAGTAAACATTGACTCTTGTTCCAAATGCCACTGCTATTATAACAAAAGTAAAAGCAATGTAATTCAATAGATTTTAAACATTACGTCAGTAATATTGAAAAATTTATCATCATACCGTTGAGTATTGTATTTTCAATGCTCTGCATGAAATTTACATTAACTCTGTATATAATTATCATAGGTGTGTTTTCATAAAAGGATAATTTGACTTGCTAATCTCTGAAGAGTTAGCGATTGCATGTAAACATGTTTCTTAAATATAATCACTAAACATATTATTACTAAACAAAGAGTACTTTACATTAAGTACTTCAGATAATTACATGTACGTGTTTTTAATAAATCTTCTTGCGTCATTTAGCTTAATATTTATCATCTCTCATTAAATTGAAGCACCATAAAATAAAACTCTTGGAACTGACATTGTCTAGTTTATATGTTAATCAATCAGGAAAAATGAAATTCACGAATATAGTTCTTTACAGTGAACAGAATATATTATTGTTAGGGAAAATGATTCATAAACACGAGTTTGCGTCTTCAATATCGACTGTCACTTTCAAAATTACACTCAGATAATCTACGTTATGTTCATTAACATCTGTCATACACATGTCAAATAAGAATATAGAGAAAGAAAACGAAAAAAGTAATGTTAAATTTATCACAGACCGTTTGTAAAAATAGCTGATGGAAGATGAAGTTTTTCCAATGAAAAGATTGATTTTTAGACGATAAAATAGAAGTAAACTTGAATTACATAAGTTGATTTTATCTTCGATAGTTGTTTCGCTACAGTTTTATGATCTTCTTTCATAATCAAATGGAATCAACATTAAAATAGTTTCATTTAGATATTTCGTTTTACTAGACAACGTAGATATACATACGAATATTGTTCAACTGTTAGTTTTTTTAGCAGAAATGTGACACTTTCTGAATCAACGTCAATTCGTTACCGTTCAATAAGCAATCGACTGAATTTTTATCATGTTCTTCTTCAATCGAAAATAACTTACGTTGTCACAAAGAAAAAGATGTTTATACAATGTTGATCAATCACCGGTAACTGTTTGGGAAAAAGTACCGAATACACACTCATATGTAATTTATATATTAATTACATTTTGTTATAGAATCTATATCTGGTAAATAATCATGTTGTCAGAAAATTTTGTTTCAATTATAACACCATTACATGATGACGATAGTTTTATTAACAAATTCTTTGAAATGAAATATTAATTCTAACGTGAATAACCTATATGAACAAATACATTTCTGTTTTTCTATACCGTAAATTTTCGACGAAAATAACATCTTTCATATGCAATTACCATGTACGTAGATTATATTTCGGGGTATGTATATCCTTGATGATGACACGGATGTATAAGATTTGATCATTCAAACATTTGATTGTCGAAAATATCCATAGAAACAATTGACGGTCTAGTCTATAGTCTACAATAAAACGTTGATCAAATGCGATTTTCCTCGCATACTTAAATAGTGAACTACTTATAACCAGAGTCAACATTAGAAATAAATTGAAATATTTTCATTGCAGACTATACAGCCTGGCAGTTTTCATATATTTTATTGTTTTAAAATAAGAAATCAATATGCTCTGTTGTATATTTTCATTCTATATGTAGAACTTGGAATACTCAGTATCACACTACAACAAATAATACAATAAAGAACAAAACTTGGCAAGAGAATGATCATGCAAATGTATAAAGTTATATGTAATATAATTGCTCTAAACCATCAAATTATTCATATTCTCACTCATATCCTAATATTTGTTATTTAATGCACTTCAATGATCGTATTTGTCATGTATCATGTTTTGAAGTTTTTCAAAAATAAGTTAGTTGATTATAACTACCATGATCTTCTATGTCCTTAGCTCGGTGCAACACGATAGAAGCGACCGCAGCATGGATAGTTGTAGCGCCAGACGGAATTTATAACTTTTTTTAGATGTTCTCGAAATGAAGGTGATGCTAATGTGTATAAATAGAACGATGATGTTGAATAGATGTATGCTAGAGTTTCAGTTGTATAGTGAATAAATGAATCGATAGCTATACGATCATTTGTCTTATTTGTTATATAGAATGTAAAAGCGTTGTATACTAAATTTATAATCCATGGTAATGTTAACGCTATATAACAAATGATTTGGATAAATAGCATAAACAATGTCTGACGATCTCGTGACGCGACAATTCGATCTCTCGCGTTTCCATCAGTTGACTGTTTAAGAGTTCGACGAAGTTCACGTTTACTTTGAAGATTCTTTCGTATAATTATACCGGATAAAATCATAGTGGTTATTGGAATAATTCCGCCTGCTACAACAACCAACATGCTATTGTAGATTGCCGAAGCAACAGGAAACCACATACATTGACCATCAATGATATTCAGATAAATGAAATTGTGTACAGGCACAATGAACCAGATCATTGCAATAATTACTGTAACACGAATTGCAGTACGTGGACTAGCAAATAGTCGTAAACGAACATTGAATGATGCTGAAGCACATCGATCGATACAAGCCATAGTTAGGGACCATCGATATAACATTGTACCACATTGTCCAAAATAGGTGCGCGTTTTGCACAGGCCATTTATTATATTTACTGGATTTGGATGATCTGTTGAATAGATGCGTGGCACCAGTCCAATGCACATGGCAATGAGCATTCCTACTGATGCTCCAATGAGATCTATGATGAAGATAAAATAATTTGTAAACATTTTTGGTTTTCAGTCACTTGGAAAACTGTGATGGACTTTCTAAACTTATCTCAATTTGGTTTTAGATAGAACTTACAGATGCAACAGGAGTTATTTCTATATTGTCTCTGCGAGAAGAGTAAAATATTGAGTAAAGATCCAGTAATGCCGAATGCTAAAGCTGTTGTACATAAATAACGATTCATTTGCGTTTGAATTGTTGAGAGAATAGAACTCAAGGACATTGCAGAATATTTTTAGTTTCTAGAAAACGATAAGGTTAATATCTTTCAATGGAACAGTAATCGAAAATAAACATCTTCTTTCCAGCACAATTAACCTGAAGTTCGATGACAATGAAATACTGCTACTTGATGTCAGTCCGTGACATTTGGATATATTCAAACTATAGTGCGCTTGTCAAGACGGTTTATATTGCTCATCTTGTTAAGTACCATGTCGCTTTTCTGAACACGCGTATAAGAAAACATTTACCTACTCGAAGCTATCTATGCGAATTTAAAAGGATAAGACAACTTTTCTGTTTTAGAAACAGACGCAACATAAAATCCTGGTTCTTCAACAGGGGAAACATGTTCAAGAAGATAACAATTAGAAATTACGAACAATTCTTCGAAAGAAAAAAAAATAATTAAGAGGAGCAATTCCAAATACGCAATACTAACCTAATTATTATTTTCAGAAACAAAGGCTCAAGCAATACATGAGAGAAGTTGTTCCGTTATTATTCTTTCCATATTCGATTCATCTAAAGTACATCTTAAAATTCGAGCAGATTCCTCTGAATTGTCTCGTCTAACCGAACTTAATACTAAATTACCAGTAAGGTTTTCTCATCTGAACGCTTCAATTGAATACCGTAAAAAAATATTGAAATTTTCGCGTCAGTAATTACTTGAGCGACGCAGAAGTCTTTTCTGCACACGAACTGAGAATATTTTGAGAATTAGATGTATGAAATCAAAACACTCTCGATTCAGATGTTATCATGCATAGAATAATAAGACAAAGTAGATTCATTGTCACGAACAAAAAAGTCACTTATCCTTAAGAAAAATATAAAATACACTAAAATTTTCTTTTGAACTTATCTTCTATCTCGTCTTATACAAAAGTAAGCGCGTGCACGATGAGGCTAAATAAATTATCATGGCTTAATGAATGAGAAATTGCATTCTATTCTGATGGTTGACGTCGATGAATTTCCTATTTCGATCATCACACTTTGCGAGACTTCATCAAAAGTTCAATTTACCTGATATTGACTTGTTAATGATGAATTTAAAGCTGTTATCTCGAACGTTCGATACTCTCAGCACAGTTCTGATTGTAAACACATTCAAGTGTCGCCTCAGGGATTTAATAACCGGAATAGATGCCTGGCACCACAAATATTAGTCTGCGACTCGGAGCATTATGTACATACATTTTGTCAAGTTATTTCACAAAAGAAATTTATTTGACTTTTGACAACGAAAAGACCAGAAAGAACAAAAAAGAAAGGGAAACGACGTTTTCGTCCCTGTATAAAAAGAACGCTAATCAAAGATGACATAGAGCGCAAACCAAGCGTGTACAAAAGTAAAAAACAAATTGAATTGAATTAGATTGCTTTTGTCGAAGACGTTGACGAAGATTCAATTTTTTGAAACAAGGTTAACGCCGATTATCCAATTTGTGAATTTCTCTGCGAAGTCAACACTTCTTACACATAATTGCCAATGGCGTAGGTTGCACTTGGGAACAAGGACATCATCTTGTACTTGGCATATATTGTTGCATAAATAACCTTCAATGCCATTATAATCTTTAACAAGTGGTAAAGAATAACGCTGATGATATCATAAATGTACAAAATTCGCCTATTCAAAATATCCATAGTACCTTTGTTTACAAACGAACAGATAGGTTTGCGCATCGTTGAGAATCTCTATCCAGACGAGAATCATCTAATCAAATCTGATGGAATGCTTTCTAGAAAGTATTGAGATCTTTGATTCAGGAATTCTACGGAAAATGCTTGGACGTCGGAAATATTTAGAAGCCTGTTGGATTACTCGCCTTACATCTCAACACATATTCCAAAAGCTTGTTCTATATTTATACGTTATTAACTTCTTCAAAACTGATCAGGAGCATGAAGAAAAATTCTCTCAGAATCTGGTATTTTCTAAAGTATTAACTGTTATAATTAGAATTTATTGAGGAATCGGATGGCCATATGAACACAGCTTTTCTAGTTTGTAGAGATTTTATTTGAAAACAATTATTGATCGTTCACAACAAATCATCAAGTCAAAATTGAAATTCATTTGAGAGAACTTTTCGATGTGTAATTTCATAAAATTTAATTGAACGCTGAGAAATGTTACTTTTGCGGATAAATTGCATCATTGACATTTATCTAGGTTACAGTCTACAGCTAATTTTGAACATCCAAAGCAAGATTTTCTTTTTTGTCGAACATATAAACGAATTAAAACGGTGATCCCCTTGTTTCCACTAAGACTTTCTTCAATGACACTAACGCCATCTATAAACATTTCATCGATTTTTATATGAATTTAGTGCAAAATCTACTTAGAAAAATCATTTTCATTGAAATTAAGTACTGTTCATTGATTTGTATTCGTCACTAGTTGAACCTATCTGGCAATCAAAATTGACTCTGACATGCGTATGCGCGTGGATAAATCCACTTAAACAGAACTGTTACTCTCTGCGTATTCGACTACTGATAGTCAATGTAAGCGTACAGCATATATATATATACAAGTATTTTTTTTCTAATTTCATACTATTTGAAGATCATAATCGTACAGTCAACAGATAATATAATTCTAGAGATGAATGATAAGGAACGTTTCACTTGAAAACATGATCGTGATTGAATAATTTCATGTGAAATATTTTACAGTAATTGTTCTATAATAGTGTTTAGAAGATCAAACTCTGGAAAATCAATCAACTCTAGCAATAAGTATTAAGATCTTCATGATGAGAACATATTTCAAAGGGATATGTTCGTGATTACGATTACATGATGCAAGTATTACAAAAAGGGTATCCTTTCTATTTTCTTACTTTCGGAATGAACAAGAGTAGTATGCGCGATAAAAAGCAGATGGTTTCATTTCATTCTATCCCTCAAGGCTTACTGAATATGTCCATTGGATAACATATGTTGCAATAATTGAAAAACAAGTATGATTTTACTGACTGAACAATCGATTGAGTAATCATCAATCGACGATAGTGTTATTTTTTAATATGACGATCATGATTCAGTTCTGATCTGATCGGATTGTGTATCAATCATTCTCATTTATTTATGTTATTAAGTATAGTTAACTTTCTCTTTTGTCTATTTACAGATGAAGACTAGTGAATAATTTGATTTGTAGAAGAAATGGCTAAATCTCTTTCTACTAATGTAAATAAGCATATCAATCAGTAATCAGATTAGAAAATTCCTTATTTCTTCCTACTCTCGAAATCTATTCTCTATTGTTATTCTTGTTTTACATTAGTTCTCCGTTTACATAGTTTCTTATGTAAATTCTCAATGAGGTAAGATTTCATTGGAAATTAGACACTTTTGTTTTTTCATACTCAATCAGAATGAAAAGAAAAATGAATAATTCAATGATATATGTTTACATCTATACTTGAAAGACAAGTTCTCTTGTAGATTTTCTTTTACCTTATGACCAAACGCCTTCATCGGTCATTATCATCATCATCTTCATCGTCGTCAGATCTATCTCTTCTTGAAAACGATGAACTGAATTTACTTTCGTTATCCAATCATACGCCATGTCGAACAAAATCTTCCGGTCGATATCAATCGGATATCTATACTGGTTTAATATCATCCAATCGTCTGTATTCCAATGGGAAACCATTTACTCGTTTAGAGCAATTAATTACTATTCATCATGATGATCAAATTCGTTCCTTATTGTTAATACTGCGTCATTACGCTATGAAACATCAATGGACCAAGATTCTCCAATATCTCAAATCACTTTTGCAATCATCATTTTGTCGAGCCTATATGCGACTCTATTGGCAATTGATCTTTCGTTATCTAATCGAACACATTCATGATCAGAATCAAATTGATAGTTTACTTCTATCACAAATTTTCGAAAATCTATTTCACTCACCAACAATAAATCGCACTCAGACATTTTATTCACATCTTTGTTTAAATTTATTCAATCCTCAAACAATTCATCTGTATCATGATATTGAAACACGCTATAAAAGTCTCCCGGCACCATTCTATTCTGGTCGGTGTAAACATGTTTCATACATTTCAAAATATAATCCTAAATTCGAACAGTTATTGTTGAACAATCTGCATTTTTTATACGATTATCAGCAATGGTTACAAGACTATGCTTTATTTCAAACCAGTGTTAATCCATTTCACAATCCAATTAAATTTCTGATAGAAAATGAACGCGATTTGGAATTATGGACATTCAAATTAACAACGAATTTTCAAGAAATTCAATTTCTTTCCAATGAATATTTTGATAATTATGATCTGTATCTATTAAAATATCTATATTTTCTTTATGTGACCGACACAAATGTAGAACAGATTCCATCGATCCTTCAGTTGTATATTCAACAGCATGGAACATATATTAATGCATACAAATATCATTACTGGTTTGACTCGAATGTGAGTATATTGAAGAAATTAATCGAATTAGATCCAAGTTCATCTCCATATGTATTGATGTATTGTCAAGCAATAGGAAATTTTATTGAAATATTCGACCGATTATTTGATTATTTTGATTATGAGAAGAATAAAAATGATTATCAAGTATGGCAATTCTTTCTAACAAATCTCTTACGATTTGACGTGAATGATCAAGATATTATTCGATGTATACAAGAAAATTGGATGATAAGAAAGTCGATATGGGAAAAGTTTCATTTTCAACACTTCGACAAACTTCATTATGAAAAGGCAATGCTCGGCTATATTTTGATTGATAAAGAAGATATGCGATTAAATATACGACAGCGATGGTTAAATGACGAATTCAATGAACATGCAGAGATGTTACATCAATATTTGACAGTGATGGATTAGGATCTAGTTAGTTTTTCTTTGTTGTATTGTTATTAATTGTTGAATATAAACAGAGTATCGATTCTTCTTGCAAATGAAAAGCGAGAAGGGTAAACGAGTAGTTATCTCATTGAGAATATCTTTTTGACTAAATGGTTACTCATTAGGAAGTGATCTTTATCATTCGTATAAACGTAGACATACGTTAAGCATCTGTTTTAGTAAATGCATCCGAGTGCCATATAGACTTCGTCATCTCTCTATGCCTATCGCAATGGTCATTATTCGTCCGAGTATACTTAATATATAGAAGAGAACGAGAAAAAAAAACATGCAGTTCATTGTTGACTGGACAGAACAGGCGTGCAAAGAAAGAAGAAGAAGAAGAAGAGAGTTTTTTCCTTCTCTTTTTTCTTTTTCTCTTCTTTTCTCTTCCTTTTGAACCATTGAACGCAACAAAATAGCGGCCACACATACTACTCCATATTGTAGATCGAGTATATACTGTGTGTGTATGTTGATTTGCTGTGTGCCTTTTTTTTCCTCATTCATTTGCAAAAGAATCGATTTCCTGAAAGAATAGTAAAAGTAATAATAATCAGTGCATTCGATAGTTCTCTTTTTATTGTTCGCACATAGCACATTCTTGAAATCAGATTCAATTTCTTTCTTTATCATTTCATTTTTAGAAGTATGTTTGCAAACGAACAATTCAAAATCGAGAAGAGTAACAGCAACAATAACAACATTCAATAAAAAAAGAACGATGGTAACAAGTAGCGGATCGACAACAAGCAATGGAGACAGTCATCAACAGAGTGGACATATGATGACCTTAAATATTCATATTCCACGTGACAGTAGCGTACATTCAATGCAATTCGATGTTCAAATGTTAATTAGTGATATAATACATAATATTCAACAGTATTTACCACTAGTTGTCGATCACGATTGTAAGAAATTTGATAAGAAAAGTAGCCGACATAAGTTTCTATTTTAGTGTCAGAATACGGTCTCGTTGTTAATGATATTCAACATTCATCAAGAAGTTATTGGCTTGATCCGACAAAAATATTGAATTATTATCCTTTAAAGAATGGAGTATGCTTGAAAAAGAAATAGCTCTAAGCTTGAAAACAATTCTCTTTCTCCTGTGTAGGATCACGTTGAATACAAAAATCGATATCGTCCACTTAAAATTCGTCTACTCGATGGGACTGTTAAAACAATTCTTATCGATGATTCATTGATTGTCGCTCAATTGATGGTTTATATATGTACAAAATTCGGTATTGCGAATTATGATGAATATTCATTAGTATACGATCTTGAAGCCGATGATGGGAATAATAATACAAAAACGGCAACTCTTCTTCGAGTAATTTCATCTGAATCGTAACTAGTCGAAAGGTGTAATTTTTTTTTTAAAATATTTGTTCATCAGGATCGATCCTTGCAACGAACGGACAAAAAGATGGAAGAATTACGAAAAAAATGTCATACAGATGATGATAGTGAGAAAAGATTAGGACGAATTCTTTTTTTATGTCATTCATTGTGATCTTTAAGCACTTTGGCTTGATCAATCAAAAAGTCTTCGTCAACAAGATATCGACGAACAATCAACTGTTGTTCTACGACGAAAATATTTCTTCTCCGACACGAATATCGATCAGCGTGATCCAGTTCAATTGAATTTGCTTTATGTTCAATGTCGAAACGGTATTGTCGATGGGACACATCCTGTCACATACGATGAAGCAATTCAATTCGCTGGTCTACAGTGTCAAATACAGTTTGGTGATCATGAAGAGTCCAAACATAAGCCAGGGATTATCGAGTAAGGACACGACATATCAAATACGAGCTATGTTCAGTAAGCGAGTTAATTACAATCAACGGAAACATTCTATTCAGAACCATCGACTACCTCGACATGATTTCTTTCTCTTGTTGCCGACGGCAAAGTGAATTCTTTCTAATGGAATCTTTGTTCGACATTCTAATCAAGTGATTCGATGGGAGAAAAAAAAAGAAATAATGCATTTTTTAATCATGACTATTTATAGGACAATATCTATTCTCGGTTTTATTTTAGTATACGTGATTTTCTACCCAAAGAGTATGCCAAAACGAAAAATGTGGAAAGAAAAATCTTTCTTGTAAGAAGAATTTTTTTATTGAATTGTATACTTTGATCGATATTTGTGTGTTAAGGAACATAAGAAACATGCTAGTATCTCAGAATTGGATGGCAAAGTCAAGTATACACAACTGTGTCGCTCATTGCGAACGTACGGTGTAACATTTTTTCTCGTTAAAGTAATTTCGAATGAAAAAATAGTGAGAGAATGTTCGTATAAATCGAGTCGTTTTAGGAGAAAATGTCGGGCAAGAACAAACTTGTGCCACGCCTTCTTGGCGTAACAAAAGAATCAATCATCCGAGTTGATGAACGAACAAAAGACGTAACATTTCCATTTCTCCATTATTACTCAATTGTTAAGCCTTTATCCGTTTAGTTTTTAGAAATCTGGCCGTTAACACATGTCAAACGATGGACAGCATCTCCAAATACGTTTACATTGGTAAGAAGAACAAAACTCCAATGGAAAAGATCTATTTTTCTTTCACATAGGATTTCGGTGATTACGCAACGGCTTATTACTCAGTACAAACACATGAAGGTCAACAAATTTCTCAATTAATCGCTGGTTACATTGATATCATTTTGAAAAAAGTGAGAAATCGGTTTGTTTCCGCAAGCAAATCTACTATGAAGCTTTTGTAGAGAAAAGATCGCGAGTGTACGACAAGTCGAGATGGAATTGCTGATGAAGAATCGACAATGATTGAAGATATGATCGCACCAGGAAAGTAAGTTTTTCCTAGAGATAAGAGTATGGGAAAACATCGAAACAAATTGCATTCATTTCAAGAGCAACCATCATACAACCAAATCGCCCAGCAATCGATTTCGTACGTCAACAAAATGTTTACTCACCGCCAGTAATTCGTGGAACGTTTTCAAGTACGTCGATAAATTGTTTTCAAGATAATTTATACTAGAGTAACAAATGAAAGTTATCAGGACTCTTGCCGATAATTAATACATAAAGTGTGTTTTTTTCCTCCTGCATTCAGACAACGACATCTTTCATAACCTGTGAGAGTATTTGTTTCCTACGATTGTTAATTGAGTAGAATAGTAGTGACGAATCAGAGATGTAAGATTACCAATATCAGATAATTTATCGGTTACTGTCAATCAGATTGCTTATTAAAGGTTTGACCCTGACTACGTCTGATAGCTTTCTTCAGACATAAATTCTATTAGGAATGAGACCTATCATTACCGTTTTGCTAATACCTACTTAACTCTAATAATTTGCAAACAAGATTCTATTAATGAGAGACATTTAACATCTTGTTTTCTTTCTCATTATTTATCTTTGTTAATAACTAATATCGACTTTAGACGGTACCAATTCTTCTGATCAACTTCAACAGCAAGAAGGTTATTTTATCTCACAAATTCATGTAATCGAGTAGTCAATACTTTTCTTATCTTCAAATTAACCTTGTATTTTTTTTCTTCTCCTGTCAAGGAACAGCCAAGAATATCATCGGATAATCATTCGAACCATAACAATACGATTCTTTGTGCAGCTATAGAACATGCTCGGAATACTATTCATACAGCTCAATCTCAGCTAGCACGTGAATTGCCATTCGATCAATCACTATCATCCATGATGGTACGACTTTCTCTTCCCTGCAATGAACATTATCATCATCTGTTTTAGAATAATCAGAATCATTGGTCAAATGAAAATCGTCTCGATGTTAGTCGTCAATTGTTAACTAGTGAACTATCGACAATAAATGCATCGACAGCGCAAATTATTATATTAACATCGGATGTAAATAATCCACATCGACGTCATGATGATTCGAATCATTCACTGAGCACTGCAATCTCAACCATAACCAACAATTTGAATGAATTCTGTAGAGAAATGGATGTTTATCGAAATTTAGTCAATGATAAAACCAATTTACCCGATCAAACACGTCGTTTATGCACAGTGTTCAATGAATTGTTAGCCTATATACAAACCTTGACTGAAAATAATTATGATTCAGCAACTCGACAGAATGTTTTGGTTACAGCAAGTCGTCTAGGTGAAATCAGCCAAGATCTTGTACGTCGCCTAACCAATGATGCTGATTGTTCCGTCGAATATCAAGAGAAACTATTAACATTAGCCAAATCTGTTGCCAATACGACTGCTCTGTATGTTCTCAAAGCTAAAGATATCGCTACAAATGTTCAAGAGCAACAAATAGTCAATGAAATTATTTCAACAGCTACGCAGTGTGCTCTGGCAACATCACAATTAGTTGCATGCACAAAAGTAAGATCTATTCTGGCATTTGAAATCGATTCAACATTTGTCGGGTGTTTCAGGTTGTAGCTGCAACGATTTCCAATCCATTGTGTCAAGAACAATTGATTGAATCTGCACGCGGTGTCACACGTTCAATTGAAGCTGTTCTTCAGTCTTGTGTACCACCAATGACACCGGAAGTTTTCTTTTCTGATCTGACAGATGCCGGACGAATCGTTCGAAAAACTCTAAATGAATTTCTACTTCATATTAAACTAATAACCGATACAACAGCTGCTAATTCGGATCGGATGTTCTCTCCACTTACGAACGGTACACCAAAATTACTTGCTCGTCGATTGGTTGCCACGGACGATATCGAAGAAATCGACGAAGAAAATGAAGAGAAACATCACGATCAATCTATCGAGCAGATCTTAGTAGCTAGTGATCGTTTGTTCTCGTCGATGGGCGATGCAGCTGAAATGGTCAAACAGGCAAAAATTTTAGCACAAGCAACGGCTCAACTTGTTTCATCATTACGTCAGCAAGCTGAATCGATCGATGACAATACCAATGAACAGAAACGATTTCTATCAGCTGCGAAAATGCTTGCTGATGCAACATCCAAAATGGTCGAATCCGCTAAAGGCTGTGCAACCAAACCTCATGACACTCACCTTCAGTATCAACTGAAGAACTCAGTGGAAGAACTTCGTTCAGCAACGAACCTAGCAATAACAAATAGTAACAAACGAAAAGTATTCAAACGAGTCGAACAATGCGCTAAGCACTGCGCTTCGTGTGCCACTCAATGTATTGCAGCAACATCAGCTCTGGCTATGATGAATAAAAATCAATCATCACATCAAGAACTTGTTCAACAATGTAAAATCATTGCCGATCTCATCCCAAAGGTTGTACAGAGTATTCGTGCTTCAATGATCAAGCCAGATTCTTACACATTTCAAAATAATCTCATTAATGCATGCGAAGATTTTCTCGATCCAGCTGTTCATCTCACCAACATTGCTCGAATTGTCGTGCCAACCGTACATGATCAGTCACAAGCATTGCATTTGAATAACAGTTCGAAACAATTAACACAAGCATTGAATGATCTAAGAGCCTATGTTAATCGAGTATGATTGTCCGATTTGAATAATACATCGCTTTATGAGAATGTATTCTAGGCACAAGAATTAAACAACTCAATTGGAATAGATAGTGAATCGATTCTTGAATTAAGCGAATTACTTGAAAGAGAGTTGAATGATATCAAACGGCAAGCAAAAAGTGGAGATTTACAAGTACGACCCAATGAAACGGTTTGTATATCTGCAAGAGATCTTCTATCGTGCTCATTACATTCTTGTCCATTATATCGGTTAGATTGATACGTGTTCATCACAATATGCATCTGTATGTAAACAGTTTAATAGCATTATTGGTCGATTGCTTAACGCAGTGCATCATGTAAAGCTCAAGTTGATATTCATTTCTTATTTGAAGGCATATTCTTGTTTATTTTTCCAGAACGATGAAAGAGGTGTCGACGACTGTGCACAGGACATGCTTCAACTTTTGCGTCGATTTATCAATTCAACGCGTGATTTAATTGCAACGATCACCGATCATCAAATGCAAGATTCAACTATGGAACGTTCACGCGATGTGTTAAAACATACAATTCAACTTCTTCTTGAAGCTCAACGTGCTCTTCGCACACCACATGAGCAAAATAAACTACCTACCATCGATCATGAACTTTCAACTGCTGTCAATGCTTGTCTGTCAAACATGCCATCGCAACGTTATCTGAACGAAGTCATTAAACAAATGTCGGAATATGTCTATACGTTAGCTGGACCGTTTGATCGTAAAACAGGTCCACTTTCTATTTCCTCCGAAAATATCGACCGTGCTGCTGCTGATCTCAATCAAGCAACTACAGATCTAGTTGTTAGTACACATAAAGGTGTAACGAATGATCTAGCCAAAACATCGGCACGATTCAGTCGAGCATTCGGAGATTTCATTGATAATGGTATACACTATGTTAATCATCAACATGAAGATGATAAACGATCGCGTCTAATCGTATCACTCAAAAATGTTCATACATCGTCGAATCAATTATTGGAACGAGCAAAATCAGTTTCTCTCGAACCGTCAGTAGTAGAACAAGATATGAAATATCAATTAGCAAATGCTGCCAGGTAAATGTCTTTCTATTCTTGAATATTTTTATTAATTGTATTTCCTTCTAGAGCGGTAACAGAAACAATCAATGATGTTATCACCGCATGTTTAGTGTCGAAATCTGCAAACAGTGTCGAACACACTGAATGTGATAATGCCATTGTAAAAATGGAAACATCAAAGGCTATATTACAACAAGCAGTCTTACAGCCATGTGCCAACTATACGTATTTTGATGCACTCGATCATGTAGTGGAAAATTCGAAGCGTTTAGGAGAAGCGATGACACATATTGCTAGTGCTTCGAAGAATATCAATCATAGTCTATTTGTTCAAGCTGTTCAAGAAGCATCGAAAGCAGTTTGTCATTTAACGGAAGCATCAGCTCAAGTAAATTTTCTTTGCTTTCGCGTCATTCAAATGGTGGTAGATGTCCGTATATTTAGGCAAGTTATTTGATTGGTATATCGGAATTGACATCAACGAAAGGAAGTACACCTGTACTCGATCAAGTGTTATTCAATCGAGCAGTTGAAGCCATTCGACATGCATGTGCAGATCTAGCAAATTCATCAATCAACCGAGACGATGTTAGTATACTAGTTTTTGAAAGGCAGATGCGAACAATCATTTGAGACATTTTCTCATTATCTTCGGAACGATCATCGATTTCGTCTTTCATTTAGATTTTAACCTTGGCAGCAACAGTTGCTAAGAACACATCATCTCTATGTAATATCTGTCGCGATGCATCGTCGAATACAGCTGATCCAGTCGCTCGACGACGTTTCGTACAATCTGCTAAAGATGTTGCCAATGCAACTGCCGAACTTGTCCGTGCTATCAAAGTATATAAATAGCATTTCTCTCTCTCGATATAGAATAATCTCTTTGTTTCGTCATTATTTACAGATCTTAGATAGTTCGTATACACCAGAAAATCATCGATATTGTATGGAAATAAGTCGACCGTTACTTCAATCAATTGATGAACTTCATACATTCGCCATGTCTAAAGATTTCGCAGGCGCTCCACCGACAATTAACGCTGCTGTGAGGCTTCTTTTCAATTGCAAACGTTCTTATAACTAATCATTTTTATTTTTCTCAGGGACGTCAATCACAAGAACCAATCTTATCGGCTGCTAGAAATGTTGTTGATGGCGCATGTCGTATTGTTGAATGTTCAAAAACTTTAATCGTCAACTCCAAAGAAGCTTCATTATGGCAACAACTTGCTACACATACAAAGACTGTTTCAGAGGCAATCAAACGTTTAGCCACATCTGTCAAGCACGTTGATTAAATTGTTAGCTTCTTAAATGAATACATATCTATCTTTTGTAGGGATTTGACACCTGGACAACAGGAATGCGAACGAGCAGTTGAAGAACTTCGAAGACTTTTTCAAGAAATTGATAAAGCAATGATGAATGTTGATTCGATACGTAAGACGGATAAATCACCTCAGGTTCGTTTCTATCTTCTTCAATATTACATCTTTGCACAAGCGATCATTTCTAGTTCCACCACGAGCAAATCTCCTCGAGTTCTCATTTTCTTGTTGAGCTAATCAATAATATTTGTCAATCATCGAAACGCGAACCAGAGCGTATCGGTGCGTATGTATCGCAATTTATCACGTATTTACAACCATTCATTCATCATACAATCAATTATACCTCCTATGTGATTCATAAACACGAGAAACTTCTAATTTTGGAGCAAATTAAGGAGCTAGTAGAAACAAGCCTACAGATGATCCTGAGTACTAAAGAAGCAGGTGGAAATCCGAAGAACGTTCAATGGCATAAAATTGTCGAGACGAATAGTGATGCTCTGATAAAATTAATCAGAAAATTAGTTCAAATATTACCAGAACAATCATCAGCCAATGGATTAATGAACGGTTTGTGTGAAAACATTCGTCAATTGATATCCACGTTAGAGACAACGAAAATAACCAATCAAGGTCAATACATTGATTGTCAAGCTCGAATGATTGAAGTTCTCAGACAATTAGCTAGATCGATGAAAACGATCAATGATTCGATCGATATTCGACATTTAGCGAATCAATTAACACGTGAATACAATGAATTAGTCCATGCGACATACGGGGCAGTTGGAACTGCAAATACAAATGAGTTATCAATACGTATTAAGAAAGCTGTACAAGATTTAGGCTTTGTTTTGATTGAATTAATTGAAAAATTGACACAAAACAAATCGAAATACGAATTCGATAGTGTTTGTCAGAAAGTAGTGGAGAAGGTAAGAGAAATCGATTGGATTAACTGTGGATTTATTTGCTTTTCACTTGTTTAGGTTTCGAACGTTTTAACAGCATTACAAAGTAACTTACGTGGAACACAAGCTTGTATCAATGCTGCAAGCACTGTCCGTGGAATCATTACTGACCTCGTAAGAATCGAAGAATGTTTCATATATCGATAAATATCGTTTTTTAAATTCGAAAAGGATACAACCATTCTGTTCGCTACAGCTGGTTCATTGAATTCTGAACATGTTGACGAAACATTTGCTGACCATCGTGAAGCTATTTTGAAAACGGCCAAAATACTTGTAGAAGATACGAAAACATTAGTTGCCGGTGCTGCATCAACACAGGAACAATTAGCATCAGCGGCGCAGGCAGCTGTACGCACGATAACTAAAGTAAGAAATTGTAAAATAATAGAGTCCAAGTAAATCGTGCGCTATTTTCAGCTTTCTGAAGTGGTCAAAACAGGTGCTGCATCTTTGGGTGCGAATGATGGTGAAGCACAAATTATGCTTGTCAATAGTGTGAAAGATGTGGCTGTTGCTTTGAACAATCTTATCAACGTAACGAAATCAGCAAGTGGAAAAAATATTGATGATCCCGAAATGCAAAAATTGAAAGAATGTGCGAAAATTATGGTCACGAACGTCACATCTTTATTACGTACAGTGAAAACTGTGGAAGATAAAACACAGCGCGGAACGAATGCACTAGAAAGCACTATTCAATCAATTGCACAAGAACTTCAAACATATAGTAATGGACAACGAACAGGAAACTACACTACACCCGAAGAGTTGGTTCGTGCGACCAAACAAGTAAATCATTACCTATGATAACTTGCTTTGAATTAATCTACTGGAATTTTAGTTTACAATAGCAACATCAAAAGCGGTATCAGCTGGTCAATCGTGCCAACAGGAGGATATCATCGTTGCTGCCAATCTCGGTCGTAAATCAATATCTGATCTGTTAGCTGTTTGCAAATCCACTGCATATGCAACTGATGATCGAAATCTACAGCAACGCACAATGGATAACGGACGAGCGTGTGTACAAACATACAAGGAATTGTTAGAAGCAATTCATACGTTAATTCAAAAACCATCGAATGAAATCAGACAAAAATTACTTCAGTATTCACGACTTATCGCACAGTCAACACATGAACTTGTTCAATGTGCTGCGCAGTTGAAAGGTAAATCGATGAAAATTAGATTTTAGTTATGAAAAAACGAAGAAAGTCTTTGTGCATAGGTACAGATTTGATTGATCCCGATGATCCAACTTATATTGCAGAAAATGAACTGTTCAATGCTGCCCAATCAATTGAATCTGCAGCAATGAAACTGTCACATTTGAAGCCTCGTCGAAAAATCAAAGTGATTATGAATCTCATTCAAAACTCTCTTTCAGCCGCACTAGACAAAGATCTGTTGTCGTGATATGTTTGATATTTGGTTGTTTGATCTTTAATTCAACCGAATATTGTTCATATCTGCACAATTTATCGACTGCGAAGTGTTCATGGAATTATCCATAAGTTGTATCCTATCCATCTATCATATTGCAAACATTGAATGATCTTAAATGTTTGAAAGTTTTTATCTAAGTTATTGATAAATATGTCAGATCAATACAAATGTTTCGTATATATCTAGGAAATCAATGAAAATTTAAATTTCGATGAACAAATCCTGGATGCAGCCAAATCAATAATGAACGCAGCAAGTGCATTGATAACAGCAGCAACATCAGCTCAAAAAGACCTTGTTGCACAGGGCAAAGTAAGTTTAAACATTCTAACTAGTCTATAGAAGTAGGCATATAAATAAAAATCAAATTAATAGCATTTAGCTACAATGGTAATAGCGATAAGCTATGTTTTAGAAATGCACAGATCTGTTTCTTCTGAGAAACAGCGGTTTGCTTCTTCTACAGGTATCATTTGGGGAAAAGTCATTGAGACGGATTCTTCTCGCGTGCAAATTGTCTAGTTCTTTGTTTTACTTCTGAGCAAATCTTTGATTTTGCAAAACTGTTCTAAGCTGTCGGATAATGATTTTAATGTTATTTTGTTAGAATAATACAACAGACTTTGACGATTAAAACATAAAATGGTAAAATTTATTTTCAGCCATGATCTAAGCTTCATATATATATTTCCCTCAAGCTTAGCCGCTTTCTTCGCTTCTACTTACCTGGATTACTTAGGTCCATGTTCATATGCATGCGTGATAAACATATGTTCTTGATGCTTTCATTACATTTCGAATATAATCTCTTTTCTCTTTTGTGTAGCTTTCATCTAAATCAAGTTCCGATGAAGATGGCCAATGGTCTCAGGGATTAATATCAGCTGTAAGTAGACGATGATCTTCGTCGATTCGATTTCATCTCATTTTCGTTATTATACTTCTATTCAGGCACGTTATGTCGCATCGGCTTGTCATGTTTTATGCGATGCAGCAAATGGACTTGTACAAGGCTGTGGTACGGAAGAGAAACTGATTTCCAGTGCAAAACAAGTTAGTTCAAATACTGCTGCATTACTTGTCGCTTGTAAGGTCAAAGCTGACTTTATGAGTCAATCCATGGCACGTTTACAAGCGGCTGGTAATGCGGTTAAGCGTGCTGCAGATACACTTGTTCGAGCTGCTCAACAAGCTGTTGATATGCAACAAGAAGAAAAGCATTTCGAAGTTTCGACACGCTTTGTTCCGGGTATTGCGCAAGAAATCAAATGTAAAGAAGCAATCTTAACCAAAGAACGAGAATTAGATGAAGCACGTAATCGTCTTAAAGCTATACGTTTAGCCAAATATGGTCATAGTGAACAAGAATCAGCCGATAGTAGCTAAGCCTATTGTTTTCTTTTATCGCGAAAAGTGTTGGTGCAATTGAAAAAATTTGCGTGTGGATGTGTGTGTTTTTTACTTGTATAAATACCAAACATTGTTTTCTTACCTTAGATTTAGTTTTTGGTTTCTTATGCATGTGTGAACGTTTTGTGAAACAAAATATAACCTTGTTTTTTTGATTGGAAATATGTAAGAAAGAAACTTTCATTCGGCGATGAAAGTTTCCAATAAAATTCATTACATCAACACTCATTAGATTGAAACTTTTCTTTTTACCGTTGTCGTTCGATATGAAAGATATTTGGGGCGGTGCAAATGTGAAATCTAATTGATCTTAATGTCTGCCTCCTTTTACACGTGAGAAACTAATGGTTATTGATCGAGTCGAAGTGTACGCTAAAAATAACCGTTGAGACGCGCTGTAACTCTCGTTGAACTTTCGTTTGGTACACCGAAGAACTTGAGTTCCATTACATTTTCGTTGCAATGAAACAAATTCAATCATTGCTCCGGAAAACGACACGTTTTTCTTTAAATTTTCTCCGCTTGTTTATTGACATAGAAAAAAACAAATGCATAGTACACAACGAAATTCCGTGTATTTGTCAAATTATAACGCTAATTTTGATTCATTAGAAGACACCTGATTTTCTAATGAGTATATCGCAAGCATCTTCGTTTCATTTGAAGCGTTACATATCATCGTATATGGATTTTTTTTTCATGTACGTCATCAGGAAACATTGAAGCAGAACGCTAGAAAATATCATGTAACATTACTAATTGATAATTTGATGAAATCGTCTATCATCGATTTTAATTTAATGAAACATGTAGAAAATGAATGTGAAGTTTGATTTGAAAGAATTGTTCATATTTACAAGGAGATTTACATTCGTACACGAGTAAAACTTGGTTGTTGACTGTTCTTCGACAGAGAAACTCGCATGACAGCTGTGCTTGAATGCGAATGTTCGATACGGCGTTTCGATGAGTCACTATGCATGACAAGAGGTGATCCACTTGGAGGACGTTGACGATGATTTTCCTGACTTTTCACCGGTTGTATTTCTGTATTAATTGCTGATTGTTGTCGACGAGCACGTTTAGATTTTGTTAATTTGATATCGTTGGGACGAAACGTTATCTGATCGATCTTCGGTGTGAACTTATTTATCGACGTAGATTGTGCTGTTTGACGTTGAATGAGAGATACTTTCGGCTGTAAAGTTTCGAAGTATTTGTTAAGCATTGTTTCGTGATCAGAGCGTGGAGAATCAGTTGGTTTACGATGTTTATGCGGATGAGAACGTGATGACTGATGATTGTTTGGTACGGTTAATTTCTCGGGAGAATTTTCGTCTAAATTCGGGCGTTGACGTTTGTTAACAAGGCGTTTACTTCGTTCGATTAATGTCGCTTGATGATCGATTCCAACATAGATAGGTTTTTGTACAGGTGTTTGTGCTGGAGCTGATTTACGCGAATTCGTCGATGATCGGGGTACAGATGATCGATTTGATAATCGTTCAGGTTTTATTTGCGATGCACTACGTGATGGAGCAGAAGTCATAGAACGTGGTTCATGCCAGGATTGTGTATTTGTCAAGGGTTTTGTAGGGATGGGCTCGGCAGGTTGAGATGAGGGTGTAGGAGCGAAATGCACTCGTTTTGGTGATCGTTCTCCGGCTTTAATTTTCGGAGAATTGTCACCTATTGTGGTCGATATCTGAGGTTGAAGTTGATGATTGGGATCATAGGCAATATTGAACGGTTGAACTGATGGAAACATGTTGCCTGGATAGAATGGATTATTCATGTCGACAGAATGTGGCCACTGTTGAAACATCATCTCATTCTGACTTGGTGAATAACTACGTGGTGCACCAGGTGGATCTTATGACAGAAAAATCTACATTGTACTGCATTCTTTAATATGTTATCCTTACCATTGATATTCATTGTGAATTTGTTATCGTAGTCACTGTTCCATAGATCGTACGATTTCGTAAAATCGAGATTAGGATCTTGATTTTCATCGATATTTGTGATCGGGAAATTATTCTGGTTAAAACCAATGTCTGAGTCTGGATTTTCTTCTCGCTGTCGTTTCCGTTTATCTTTTTTGTTCTTTATCTTTTCATCATCTCGTCGGGCTGCTGAGCGATGCAATATTCCACCCATCGTTAAAAACTGTTTTCGTCAAATCACTGTTTTCTCCTCACTTTCGTTTTTACCTGTACTAATATACACTTCAACGAACCCTTACGGACGATATGAGAGATGATAAAGAAAAACATAAAATTATATGTCCTCACGTCGATTGAAAATTCGACGTTCCGCATTAATGACTATGTCCGGAGGGTATAAGATACTGACATAAACAGTAAATGAAAATAAGACATGGAAGAATTGAATTATTATTATTTTCGTGACACAATAAAATGAGTACCTGACAAAAAAATGTTATATGTTGACGAAACGAAGAAAACGGAACAAGACAAAACGAATGTTGTCAATATAATGAGGTTTTTTTCATGATTCGTAAGAATTCCTGTTCGTTGATTTCATCATCGCCATCCCGATCGGCTTCGTTAATCATTTCCTAAGTGAGAGATGACGAGTTAAATCAAAGTTTTCTACCAAAGTAATTTTCTTACTTGTAATTCTTCGTCGGTTAAGTTTTCTCCTAGTTCTTTGGCGACCCGTTTTAAATTTTTGAATGAGATTTTTCCTGTATTATCGTCATCGAAAAGTCTACGAGAACATAGTAAAAAAGTGCATAAGAAAAAACAGTTCATGTAGATTTACCGAAATGCTTTGAGTATTTCTTCTTTGGAATCCTTTTCAGCCATTTTTTGCGCCATTAATTGAAGAAAATCATTAAAATCGATTGTACCTAAATAGAAAGTATTAGACATGTTTGTTCAAAAGTAATCACAACTGACCAGCATTCTCTTTTTGAATATCAGATATCATCTTTTTTATTTCTTCTCTTTTCGGTTCGAAACCTAATGCTCGCATGGCGACCTAAAATACAGATTAACGATTAGAAAGTGAACATCAAAATAGAGTGCGTTTTGCTAACTTTAAGTTCTTTAACATCAATCGTTCCTGAACCATCAGCATCGAACAAATCAAATGCTTCACGTATTTCTGTTTTTTGCTCCTCGGTTAATTCGGGTCGATTACCAGTCGGTCGTTTCTTGGCACCACCGCCAAGTGTTGGTCGTTTGATTTGATTCGTCGCTGTGGCCTATTCGAATAAAAACAAGAGTTGATAAGTTCTACGGATCATCAAGATCTATGGTTACCATTGAGATTGGAATGTAAGATTATGGAGAGGTTGATTGAAAAGAGAATTCGCTCTGCTTAAGCAGGCACGATTGAGAATTGATGCCATGTTGTCAAGCTTACGTCCTCCGAGTTCAATAACATGATTTTATCAGAAAATTCTGCGTAAATTTGTCGATCATAGTTGTCTACTGATGTTAATATTTGATTTTTATAATAAAAAGAGGTCATATGTTGAATTATACGTGAACAGATGTCGCTTTAGCTCATATTGATAAGAACTTCTTCTTTTTAAAAGATATTTGTTTATTTTATTTCAAATAGCAAACATTCCTTTCTGTCTCATTTTAATTAATGACATAAAAACTATCACCATTGTTAGAAATACCACTACCATTCCAACGAATAGTACGTGTTGAAACTGCGTGACCAACCCACTAGAACAATTTTCAATTTGCGATAATGAGGTGAAATGTACCTTCGTCATCTCTTTACCTGATCCCAAACTTGAATACCCTCAGCATTTTGTCCAGTATAAATAGCAGCATGACCAGAATATTTGCCATTAGGGAATGTAGCAATAGCTGTACCATAAGGAATACCGGCACCACGAACCTATAAAGAAATGATCTTCGAACAATGAAAAATAAATGATTATTGCCGTTTACCTTTGCACCGCGTACCCATTGGCTTGTTGAGCGTCGATCACCCGTACAAATTCTATATTCATTTGCAGTAATATAACGAAAATTCAGACATGAAACTTACTTTACGAAACTTACACATTCACCGCAATAGCCACCTGAATATTAAAAGCAAAATAATCTATAATTCACAAGGAACAATATATCATTTACCAGCATGATCGCAGAGTGATTTTCCACCATATTGACCAGGATTGCTGCATGAGATAGCTACAACTCACATATATGAAAATTTTTTTCTGATGCATGAAGTTTACCTTCAGTTATAGAAGCAAAAGCCAGAAAAGCAACTGCCACTGATAAAAGAATACGGATAATTTGCATGATTGTAGCTATTTTTTGATGAATACATAGTTTGTTACTCCCGAAACGATCTATTTATAATGCTGATATTCAAACGATTGAAACCGGCTGATCGAGCTTAGGCGAAGTGCTTTTGAAAAGAGATTATTCTGTTTTAATTTTAATTTTGTCAAAATATCACCCCCCGCCTATCGTATGATCCATTTCCATATTAAATGGTATTAATGCAGACTTTAGAAAATAATTTCATCTTAGAAAGAAGACAAGAAACACTATTAAGAAGCTGATTGATGATAACAGATATGCCACTTTGCTTATAAATAAGACTATGAAATCAAATATCTGCATATCATTTCGCATATACATCATTCAAGAATTATTCATTTTCAATATCATGATTCTCGATTTTATCTTATCAATCTAAATTGTGTATTTTCTTGATTGGTTAAGATATCGTCTACTGAGATCAACACATGTTGGATGATTCGAATGTACTGGATGTATTCATAGGTATAGGCATGTAAATTGCTTCGATCATTCTCGACGTCCACGTGTACGCCTTTACAGAAAGAAACGTCTATCTTCGCTCAAATAATTCTAACCAGTAGCATGTAAGCAAGCATTGTCTACTCGTTCGTCTCTTGTTCTCGGTCCGTTCTGTTACTTCCACGTTAACACAGCAGCCGCATCCACTGTTGCTTCGCGTGTATGCGCCACGTTTTTATTTCTTCTTTTTCTTCTCGAATACACCCAATGCACTGCATGCATCTCGCTTCTTTACTGACTCGTAGTTCTATTTCTTCTCTTCTTCTCTGCTTTTTTTGTGTCGACGAGAAAAAAAAGAGCGAGAAAGAGTGCCTATAAATAAGGCAACAAATCTTCGTGAACATTTCATTCTAACAAGTAACAAGCTATCGTTATTCGTTCTTATTACCGTTCTAAAGCAAAAAGAAACAATGCAAAACGTTAAAGACGCCGCCAACGCTGTATCAGAAAAAGTCAAAGGTATTCAGAACGTTAACATATGGACGGATGGTAAATAAATCGGTATATTTTGTTTCTAGAATTATCAAGTGGTGCTTCATATGAAGCAAACAAGGAAGCTGCTAAAAATGACAACCTCTCAGCCGGCAGCCGCATCGGTCATGGTATTGATGCTGTTAAAGACAAAGGTAGGACTTCATTGTGTTACTTATTAGACGTGAAATTTCATTGGATGTTATGTATTTTTAGTCGAAGAAAAAGGTCATGAAGCTAAGAAAGAAGCTCACAAAGAAGCTGCCGAAGAACGAGGTGTGATCGGTCAAATTGGTGATACCATCTCTAATGCGTACAACTATGTTGCTGAGAAAGTTCATGGTATGTAAATTGAAACCTATGGATCAATCGATTGATTGTTTACCGGATTCATTTGCAAATTCTAGAAGCAACAAGTGCTGCATCGTACGAAGGACACAAAGAACAAGCCAAAGATTCGGATAACACTGTTGGTGAACGTATCGGCGCTGGTATTTCAGCTGTTGGAGACAAGATTGAAGAGAAATCTCACAAAGCTCAAGCTGCCGCGCACAAAGAAGCTATCTAAAGTGTCAGCTATATCAATCAGTCTACATTATACATACATATAAATATATTATTCTCAGATAGAAATACATTTATGCTATTTCCGTTTGTCTGTGCAAAATGATTTCTTTTTTATTCCAGCTGTTTTATTCGTTTTTCTTTGTGTTGTTAGTAAAGTTAAAAAAAAATAAATATTCAAGTGAAAATCTATTTTTTCTTGTTATAATTAAAAAATGTCAAGCTCTTAAAAATCTAAGACAGCTAGGAAAGGAAAGGAAGAAAGAGTATAAAGCTCGAAGTTGAATATGACATGATTGTTTGCTTACTACGTCAAATTATTCACACAAGACGAGTGATGTTTATACTGAGATATTCACTTGACAAAGATAAGATCATTTCACATTCTTCGGTTTATACGGTATATGTAAATACATTACATGATACTATTTATTTTATGTAAGAAATTAAATTCTATATTTCATTTTGGATTGACTTGATTCACACATGTACACGGTGTGTGATATTAAACGAAGATGTGCATATATCCATACAGTAACGAATGTGATAATGATGTTTTGAAAGAGTCATCGGGCGTTTTTCGGAGGGGTTCGAGGTGTTTGCTTGTGATTGGTTGATAGGATGAGTCATCGTTTTTCTGTCTTGTTGTTTTCTCGACTGGTCGACTGGTATAGTCTTTTATTATCGAACGGTTGAACTTCTTGCAATATTAAAGCAATTATGTTTGGTTCTAAAAAAGCTTTACTATTATTAGCCAATGGCAGTGAAGAAAGTGAAGTTGTCATTACAGTTGATGTAAACTATATTGAAATACATGTTTGCCAAGTATATTTCTTCATGTTTGTCAGGTTCTTCGTCGTGCTGGCATCAAAGTAACTATTACATCAATTGAAGCAAATCGTGAAGCATTGAAATGTGCCCAAGATACTGTCATCGTGCCAGATATATCTATTAATGAATTGTCAACTGATGATAAATATGATGTAGTTGTTGTTCCCGGTGGTGAGAAAGGCTCAGAGGCTATGGCAAAAAATCTAGCTGTTGGAAATCTTCTTCAACAACATTACGAAAAGGGAAAGCTTGTCGCTGCCATCTGTGCTGGTAAAGTCAAAATAGGTCCTGTCTTTTTCGCATTTCATCATTTTCTCCAGGTCCAACAGTATTTCAAGCACATAAAATTGGCCTAAAAAATGCTACGATTACTGCTTATCCTGAATGTCAGAACGATCTGAAAACAGACTATAATGTAAATAGATAATTCAAAGAAATGCTTCTTTTTAAATTAAGTTCTTTGTTTTCCAAGATTGTTGATCAACCGGTGCATCATTGTGAATTGAAAACAGCCGATGGTGAACGGCATATGATAACTAGCCAAGGACCCGGAACAGCATTCGCATTTGCGTTGAAAATTGTCGAAGTTCTCGATGGATCATCGAAAGTGAAGAAAATTCGGGAAGAAATGCTTCTCTGAAAGAGAAAACAAAGAATTCCTAACATTCTCCTTTCTTTTTTTTTATTGTTTAACATGCTAGTTTATAATATTCCAGCAATGTATATTATTCATGCATTCTAGATGACAAAAAAAGCGTTAGTCTTCATTGCTAATGGAAGTGAAGAAATTGAGACGGTCACCACTGTCGATGGTCAGTTAGAATAGCGGCAGTTTCACGGAAAATCTTGTAATTGTTTTCTAGTTCTTCGACGTGCCGAAATCGATGTTGATGTTGTTTCCATTGAAAAAAATGGGCAAGATGCCTTGAAATGCAGCCGAAACGTTCGTGTCCTGCCAGACAAGGCGCTTGATGATGTAAAGACTAATCAATACGATTGTGTCGTAATCCCTGGTGGAAATGATGGTGAGTAGAGATCCTCAATGAACTATAGACAGTGGTAATTTCTATACAGCTTCGTTCTTGAAGAACAGATGTTGTTAATTGTGAAAGAGCTCAGAGTATGTTAGTAAATATTCGTTTGAATTTACCTAGGATCAAAGGCAATGGCTGCCAGTACTGAAGTTGGTCAAATTCTAACGAAACATTATGAAGATGGAAAAGTTGTTGCTGCTATTTGTGCTGGACCACGAGCATTACTAGCTCATAAGATCGGGGTCAACCATAAGCATACAATAACATGTTATCCAAGTGTTCGTAAAGAATTCACTGACGGTGAACCGTACAAACTCGAAGCTCCTGATCAGGTTGTTTGCCATAGTAAACAAACAGCAGCAGGTTTGAATTCAATACTTCACAGTTAGACACGTTAGAAAAACAAAATATTTATTGTCTTGTAGGTGCTGAAGGAAAAGAATATCATATTGTTACATCTCAAGGACCGGCGACAACTATGGCTTTTGCATTGAAATTAATTGAATTGCTCAAAGGCAAAGACGAAGCAACAAAAGTCAAAGAAGGATTACTTGCATGAACATTGACCGATTTTATCATAGATTTCGATTTTTATTCGCCCTCACAGTATAACTGACTTGTAGTTTTCCTTGAAACCATAGTTTCAATAGAAATTATCATTGTAAAGACAATTATTTTGTTTGAAAATGCAAAGATCATGATGAGAATCATCATCATTCGGTTTGTCTTAATTGATTTACGACTTAAATCATGAAAGCAACACTGAACACTCGAGATCCGATTTAATCTCTGTTATCCTTCTATGTGTCTGATTAGTCATTTGATACGCCACTGATGTGGTCCATGAATATCCGTTTTAATTGAAACTGAATCTCCATGATTATTCATTTTTTTTCTTCAATAAAAACTCAAAGCAAATAGAACACGACTGCAAAGGTCAATGTATTACATCGTTTATAGAATAATGTTAGAAAGAATAAAAAAAAAGAATATCTGTCGTTTTCAAATAACCTATCTTGTAGGATTTAGTTCATGCAACGTGGTTTTTATCTCTTCAATTCTTTTTTGATCCTGCAAATTATTTCTGCACTATATCTCACAGATGAAAAAAAAGACGTCATCTTCATGAGAAATTTCCATAAATAAGTCGTGACAACAGAAAATAAATGAAATGCACAAAGTTTTCATAGTCGAATCTTGATATTTCACATTCCGCTCAATCAAACATACAATCCGATGAGTGTTGAAAGATAGAAAAGTCCAAGAGTCTACGTGTTTTTTCCCTTTGACAAACAAACTGATACTGATTATCAGTGGCGAAAAACTAATCCTATATTTAGCAAATTCATGTAGAGTGTTCTTCTATTATCATAATCAGATGAATCCGCTCAAACTTCTCTTTTCCTTTCCCTTCGTTATTGTTAATTTCAATGCATTACAATTATGAGCAGGAAATGTCAAAGAGAAAGAAAAAGAAGAAATGATAGACAAAGAAAAAACGTGCTAAGAAGATGCTTGCTCTGTTCCAATTGTAAATTTAAAACGAGGTATAACTCATGTCGTATATTTCTCATGTGTCTTGCTTTTTCTCTCTCTCTCTCCCTCTCTCTTCTCATCGCTATGATTTCTTCATTATACTACCACGTCCTTGTCGCTTTTTTTGAAAATATTATAAGAAGTTGCGCTCTTACCTATGCTCGAATGACGCTGTCATAATATATATTGGTAACAAGACGACATAGACCGAATTGAAGCAACAGCAAAGAAGATATTTGTCTAAACTCAGCTTCACAATCATTACTTACAGAATGGCTGTGCAAACGTCGACTAACTTAGGAAATCATCTTTATGATAGCGATGACGATGATGATGATAATCAACCGAATCAAACCAATGAATATGATGAAGAAATCGACGAAACCGAAGGTGACTTAATTGAAAACTATCTCTATCTTACACAACGTTGTGGAGTTTTGCGACACTCACCAACAACGAGTGCTTTAGCAACAATTCAGCAACAACAGATTCACCAACAAAATCTGCCAAATGTTCTCGGTCGACAAATGTCTTTGGCGATCGATGATCATCACGGTGAATTCGAACGTTCACTACATCATCTTCGTCCTCGAGCGTCGTTGAATGATTTTACTAATCCTCATCATCTTCATCATCATTCAGAGCACAGTCGTGTTCCACCGAATATCTATTATAGTAATCGCGATGACGATGATTATGATGAGAGATCATTCTCTCTAGTGAAACTGTTTGCACGTATGAAACAACGCTTGAAACACGATCGACGTTATCGGGCGAGATCCACCCATGAATTACTTCATGAAGAAGACTCACAAGAATGGTATGAGCTAACGAAAAACACACGAAGTATTCTTACGAAAGCACTTCTGCCTGATGGAGGATACGATGCGCTTGTTCGTCAAAATAAACCCAGTCACAGTCGTCGAAATTCACAGAAGAAACCTCGTGATTGCGATCCTGTTCTATCACAAGTTATTGAAGATGATGAAGATAAAATAAATTTATCTATTGACGTGGCATTAAACACCGAAGGTGATGTTGTATTCGACGAAGTGATCTGGCAGAATTTCGTCAAATGTGCCCGCGGTTTTGATTATCGTCGAGGCGGAGTTTGTAAAGCAATTGACCGACAACAATTTCAAGGACAACTAGTTTATGTCTATGGCGTCGCCAATAATATTCTAATTGATGAAAATTTGAAAGCATCTGGATTAGGTTAACATATCCCTTCTTTTTTGTCGTTGTTTGTTTACCATGTAAAATAATATATATCTTAAGAACACACAAATCCTAATTCATCAATATTAAGCAACAAAGCAATGTGTAATAATAAGCATTTGCTTCAATTTCCGCTTGAATAATACTTCATAACCAATTATGAGGCTCTTGAACATACACTGAGCGACATTGAAGTGATCCACTTCATTAGTTTGAAACGAATATTACGCTTGATATCATAGGCTTTTTGTTCTAATCGTAGACGAATGTGTGCGCAAAGATAATCCTTTATTAAATAGTTGTAAACTCTTGTTGAACTTCTCAACGTTTTCAAATTATACAATGTAGGTATAAGGATATTTCATCACTACTCAGACAGCAAATTCTATAATTAATTCGACTAATAATCAGATTCGGTTTTTAATGCATCGTGTTTATTTTAATCATTGATAATTACCTTCATTGTATCGTCGTTAGAAGATAAAACACCACGATCTTTAAATTAACAATGTGCTATTAGACAAACTCATCTGTCGAGGACGGCAATTTTCCTTTGTCAACTACATTATGAAGGATTTTTTTGTAAAACAGGTTGAGTATACATAAGATATTTTAATCACGTGTATTTTCATCCAGAAAGACTCATTCTTAACGCTTGAAATAAGGACGTAATAAACGATGAAGAAAATTATTAGATATACTCTATAGTTTTTATTCACAACCAATTAATCAGGAAGTTCGTTAAAAAAATATATATATATAACGAGGCAACGTCAGATATCTATGAAAGTAAATGTTGATTTAGTTAGTTAGAAATGTCAGTCGTATTCTTTTATGACAATCCTCCAATGACGACATGCTATGGTGAACTGCTGTTTTCGTCTTTTCAATAGAACAGCTTGTATTCAAACAAATCGAATAGAATTTTGCCACCTTTTTTGAGTTGAATTATTTTTTTTCGCACATATGTGTGTAGTTGACTTGACGCATATCTGACAAACATAGGTTTATACAACATGGCAATCTATTATCGCAGTTTGCCGATTCTGCGTTCATAGGATGATTCTGATGCCAATTCGTTTACACTAGCGCACTCTAACGAAATATGAACGTGTATTGGACGAAAAAGAAAACAAGCGCCTTCAAACAAAGAGCACGCGTTCGTACGTATACATAGGCATCAGCCGAACGAAAGAGAAGAGACGTTCATTCTTTGTTTTGTCTTCATATTCCATCTTTTTTCATTGTCGACTAGTTACAATTGTTTGTACAAACGCAGTTCGTCTAAGATTCGAGTAAGATAAATGAAAGAAACATTGTTTTGTTTTAATAATCATACTTTTCGTTGAAGATTATGAATTCGAATCGACATGTACTGCGTCCGACACATAATCGACTCCCGCTAACTGATGTTTCATCAGATAAAATCTTTGCTTCGAACAAAACCAAACTATGTACAAGTGCAGCTTATCAACAACAAGAAAACTGTATTTCAGCTGGTACACGGCCCATTCTAACTGCAACACGTTCAATAAAAAAGCTTCTGAAAGAAAACCATGATGAAAATCAAATGCTCATTTCACCATTGGTTACAACTATCAATAAAGCGAATGTTGTTCAAATTCAAAAGCAACCAGTGTGTCAAAAGAATAAGACTCGCGAACAGCTCGAACAAGAATTATTCGAATTGTAAGTCAAACAGTAGATAACTATATTGATAAATAGTTCTTTTTATTTAGACCTGATTATCGTCAATCAATTTTCGAGCATTTGAAAGCTGTTGAACATGTTTATGCCCCAAGTAAGCTATTCAACCGCTTGAACATAACTTATGAAGCTCGGAAATGTCATTGTAGAAATGAACTTTATGGAACATCAGTCGGACATTAATTCGGCAATGCGTACTATCCTTGTTGACTGGCTCGTTGAAGTAGCTGATGAATACAAATTAAATGATGAAACACTTTTCCTTTGTATTCAATATATTGATCGATTTCTATCGACAGTGAATGTCACTCGATCCAAATTACAACTACTTGGTAAGTATTTTCCTAATGAAATTTCATTGTCATGAAGATTTCCTTCGTAGGTACAACATGTATGTATGTTGCCTCCAAATATGAAGAAATGTATCCACCAGCATTGGAAGAATTTTCGTTCATTACGGACAATACCTACGAAACAAAACATATACTTCGTATGGAACAAATTCTTATGAAGGTACTTTATTAATCTTTCAAGTTCATCCGTCTCATATTCTATTTAGATGCTCAATTTTTCGATTTCGGGTCCGACTTATTATACATTTATGCAATATTATTTAACATGTCTCAAATCCATGAACGAGCATGATAATGAATATAAATGCTTAAGTTTGTTAACCAATTATTTGTGTACATTAGTACTTTTACAAGATCGTCCGTTCTCATCGTATCGTTCATCAATGACAGCAGCTGCTTGTTTGTTCTACGCTAATCGTCTCTTGAATAAAGATGCAACATGGAACAATTGTCATATTCAGACCACATCGTATACACAACGCGATTTAACCGAATGTGTTGCAGCGATTGATGATTTATATAGTAAAACATATCGTCAAGATCGAACAACATCAAGTGTTCTTCGACGTTACCTAAAATCGAAAAAAGGCAATGAGGATTATGAATGTCGGTTTCGAAGCTTAATTCATCACGCTCCATCAACATTTATTGATCACGATGATGATGATGACGACGACGGCGAAATACTTGATTTAACATTAGATGATTTTGATGAAGAAAATATGAGTATGGAACATCATCGATAATATTGGTTCATTTGTGAATTTAATCATAGTCATCATGCGCTTTCTTCATTTCGTGTTTATTTATTTGTTCAATAATTTACTTTGATTGGAATCTCATTATTTTTACTCACGAAGTCTATCTACATCATTGAATTTCTTCTTCGACAAATAATTGCTTATTGTTTTGTTTTCTTTTTCTTCTTCAATATTTTCTATGTTATACTCACTCTCTGTGGTGGTCTATGTGTGTCTTAAGTGAATTGTCTCGATAAAGAATTAATTCCAAAAGTATGTGTTTTTCTTTTGCTAACTTTGGCCTTTCCTTTTCTTTTTTTTTCTTCGAAAAGAAACATATTGAAATGTGCGTTCTTGGTCGCTCTGTTTTCTACAGATATGCATGTATTTACACAAGATTCCAACTTCTTCTTCCTTTTTTTGTTTGTTGTTTTTCTATAGAGTATGTTGGAACAATTATGAAGAAATGAATAAATCTAATAACCAGATCTTTTCCCTCAACTTTAACAAATGATTCCAAAATGAGAAATGTTTATGATACAACCGTTTCGGAACCATCGACCACATAGTAATAGTAGTCCATAGAGGAGGATGTTCAAAGAATGATCTCTACGAAAGAACATGCTGACTTGCTATGTGAATTGTAGCGATTATTTCATTCTTTATTATGGAACGACTTTATTTGTATTGTCATAAACCTTTTATTGAACACAATTTTATCCTTTGCTTTCGTTGCAAAGACAATCATTTACCTGTAAGAAGAAAGAAGGAAGGGAAGACAGGAGAACAAGGAGCAATTGGCGCATACAAAGAAGAAGGAGAGATAATAAATAAATAAATAAATAAATAAATAAATAAATATTTCTGTGCATGGCATTGCTCGACAAATACAACAGAAAAAACACTCACGATCGATTAATCCAAAATCCAAATGAAGAAAAGAAACATAACGAAGAAAAACTGCATACGTTCACAAGTTCGTCTTAAAGGAGATACACACATATGTATAAATAAATAAATAAATAAATAATGAAACATGTGTTTTAGACAAGCTACGACATGTTTGACATAGTTTTCTATCGAATGAAAGAAAAAAAAACTCATTTTTTGATTTTTAACGATTAATGATGAGGAACAGCTGCACTGCGATTTGCACCCGGTAAGGTATTATAAGCAAGTGAACCAGATGCTGGTACATAACAGAAGGTAGTTGTTGTCGTTTGTGTCATCGTAACAAATTGCTGTGGTTGACCATTGGTTGAAGAAGTACTGCGCGCAAGTACAGCAGAAGCTGATGATGGTTGACCCATAACACCAACTGTCGATGGTGGAGCAATTGAATCGATCGATGTTGTATTGCCTGCAATTTGGTCATGTGATCCAACCGGTGGTGCAGCTGTGGGTAAACGAGTACTAGAAAGACGACTAGCAAAACGAGGTTGATATTCAGCTGAGCCATTGGTAGCAGCGTTCGTGGAAAGTGACGATGATGACCGTTGAAGACCATTAGTGTTGTTGCTAGTACCATTTGGAATGGTTCTAGAAGAGAAAAGGAGAACAATCGTTGCTGCAGAATTGCCAGAATGTGTCGATATTACGTTGTAGCTGCTGAGGATAAACGTATTGTTGATGAAGTAAAACGGGGTCGAGTAAGTGGTGGTGGTCGAAAATGATGTTGTTGCTGATGCGATGGCTGTGGTTGATGATGAAAATTTGCATTTCGTAATGAACGTGTTGAACTGTGTAATTTGCCTTGGCGACGATTAGCAAATGCTGATGAGCCATTTGTTGTGCCACCACAAAAAGCCGATGCTGAATTGTTAGTGCTGGCGGTATTTGTGTTAGTGCTCCATAATGGAAATCGATCGAAAGTAGAGGTTAGATCATTGGTTGATGCATGGCGTTGGTCACGTTGTTTCTGTTGTTGATAAAGAGATGCCTGTTCCGGAAAAAGTGCATCAACAATTGAAGTCATTTGTCCGATGTCGTCATTAGACGATAGCGATGATTCGATCGGATTGAATAATTGGCGAATACGTTCATTAAAGACACGTTCGTCATAACTATTTGCTTGTTGTTGACTTTGAGCTTGAGATTCTGTTGACAACATTCTTCAAAACGAAATTTCGAATATTTCTCCCTGAAAACTGCTTAAAACTTACTTAATTTTTGTTTGCGTTCACACTAGGTCGATTATCGATATGCGTGTGTGTTTATTTACAATGTTTTCTTTATCTTTCGCCCGATTCGGCCGTCCACGATTTCTTTCTCTTTGTCTAGTAAATTCACCACTTAGTGGACGGATGACGCAAACAGACGAATCACACATCATCGTCAATCCAACTTCGATTTTTTCAAAGAATAGATGTAGGTAAACATTTGATTAGTGAAATGACACGCATGATCATCCATAGTAGAACAACACAAATCTCCCGTTCGAAAATAGTACTGAAGATGATGAAAAATCAAGTCATCTGCTATTGCTTGAATAGTATTATCAATTTATTCTCTTTAACGATTTACCTACTGAGAATAAAGAATATTGCATATAAATAGTACAAAAAAAAATCATTTGAAACAAGTATGAGATGTTTTAGAATTTCATATCTTTGATTGATTTACAATGAAAACACCATTTTTCTTTGTAAAACTCTTCGACGCACACTTTCGTCGATTGCCCATGGAATTGATAAGCGCCCTTCGACACTGCTCGAGTCAGAATTGTTTCATTACGAAGTTGTTCGAGCATCTTGTGTCGAATCTCAGCATTTTCTTGCATATGAACCAATTCATCAACTGTCAACTCAGATCGATGCAATAAACCACAAAGTATATTGAAAATGAATGTTTGTTCTTCACTCGTTGCACGACAGCGGAGTTTCTCGATTCGACGAAAAATATCATTCAAAGTTGCCAAACGAATCTCTGTATGAAAACAAACGATACGACTTCGTATCTAAAACAATTCATTGAGAACATACCGGTAAATGATACACCACTTTCGATTTTCGTTGCGGCATTCTGTAAACTCTTCAAACGTCCACCGTACAGATCATAAACTTGTTTTGCCATATCTTTTGAAAGACTTCGCTTTTCCGTCAGGTACGTCATGGCTTCTTTTTCATTTAAATCTCCGATTTCGATAAACGACGAAGCACGAGTGATACTGCTTCGACCTAAAAAAAAATGAAAACGAGGGTTTAATCAAGAAACAGTTCTGTGCCATACCTTCCATTTGTTCTGGTGTTTCGCCGACTGATCCGACAAAAACTGTGACCCATGTGGAATCGTCAATGGCTGTTTTAGCTGTATCCTGCAGGATTTCCAACATTTTCTGATCTTTTCTCGCCAACGAATCACAGTTATCGAAGATTAAGACGGGTACGTGGCCGTATCTTTTCTTAAAATCAAGAGCGTATTGTTGAAATGAAATCAAAACACGTTCCCAACTGGCTTCCTTGCCTTAAACAATCTAATAGATGACATTGATGGAGACATCAGACTGCTTACCGTCATCTGGTGGCGAACCGAACATTTTCGATTCAATCCAATTGGACAGACGAAGATGTTCTTTGAAATGAAATCGTATTGCACGAGCAAAAGCAAATCCAAATTTTTCCGTATTTGAAGGAACTAAAACCAACGATAGAGGAAACTTCGTATAGAAAATAAACTAATTAAGAACCATCAACGTAGATCACACCGCGACCAATTTTTCGTGCAGCTTGACGAATCAAAGTGGTTTTTCTGGAAAATGAAAACGAACAGTTCGTTTATCTCATTTTACAGTCACCACTTACCCAACTCCATGATCACCAACGACGATGTAATATGATGAAACGAGTTTATCTTCTACAGGTCTCATAATAGATTCCAGCGTACTACACAATTCTCTTCGTTCTAATAATTGATCTTCTTTTATTTTGAAATTTGGACATGAGCCATGTCGAAACGTATATTTGACCTCAAAATCATTTTTGATTTGCTCATAAATGACATAGCCAACACCGAAAACAACCTAGCAGACATACAAAATTCTTCGGAGAACAACGAATTCAAATGACATACAAAAATAGCGATTGAATTGATGTGAGATGGAAAGTATTTTTTCACTAGTTTCTCAATAAACGATAATCGCTCCCATTCAGCCTTTTCCCGTTCTTTTCGTCCTTCTTTTGTTTCGATCACAGCTTTCACATCTCTTTTCTCTGATTTACCATCTTCTTTCTCAATTGGAAGCTTATCAAAATCAATTTTTTTCTCATGCTTTCCAATTTCATTAGTCAGGCAACGATAAATAACTTTATCAATTGTCTAAACGAACAAGAAAACAACATCTTATGATCTATATACGAAAACAAAATTTTACTTGAGGACGTAAATGAACAACTGATTTTAAGTTGAACAACACATGCCGTAAATACATACTCGATGACCCTCAAGCAATCGAACGAAGCACTTGTTCGTACTCGTGAAGTAAAACTCACATTCAGGTTATGCTATGCTACGAAACTGTATTTATAAGCAATTGGTTCATATGCTCCAACTAGAATCCTATGCTTTGGCGATGATGGCAGCGACATCTGCTTACAACCACATTTGCTTATGCATTTTTTACTTCAGATCCATCCATGAAAGTTGAAATACAATTTGCCTTACTTAAAAACATGTCATTTATCAGACCCCATTGCTATATTATACCATTCTCGATACATAAAATGCGGATAGTAGTGATCCGTAGATAAGGCAAGTCTTTTGATATAACCTATACACTGCAATGTCGACTATTGATAATCATGATATTCATGTACCATTCATACAGACAGCAATTGAACTTTCGAAATCTGCTGTCGAGAATGGAAATCATCCATTTGGTGCCTGTCTGGTTTCAAAAGATGGTGAAGTATTGCTAACTGCCCAAAATACATGTGCTACACCTGTCCGTGATGTTACTCGTCATGCAGAACTTAATCTGATTAGTATGGCAACACAGAAATTAAGTCAAGAGGTTCTTGAGCAATGTACGTTGTATACGAGCTGTGAGCCATGCCTAATGTGTACGGGTGCTCTTCGATGGAGCGGCATTCGAAAAATGGTATATGCACTTTCAAATGAAACTTTAGGCGTAAGTAGACTGTAGTTCGAGTGGAATAATTAAAATAAAAACGAAGAACGGATTCGGTTACAAAACAAAAACAAAATAGGCTGATAGACAATAGATATAATATGATTGTCTCTTTTAGAAACACGCAGGTTTTGATAGTCTTTTACCATGCCGACCATTGTTACCAGCACCGCAGTACACTGTCATTGGTCCTGTTCTTGAAAATGAAGCGGAGATAGTGCATACAAAATTTTGGTCAAAAGAATAAATGATGTCACACATACACAAACATATTTTTCCTTCTGTTGTATTTTATCTGATTAAAACTAGTATGGATTTAGAGACGAAAACTGATGTGGTCCCTTAGCTCAGCTGGTTAGAGCGCCGTGCTAATAACGCGGAGGTCATGAGTTCGATCCTCATAGGGACCAAACCTTTTTTTTTCAAAATTTTACACCTAATGAATCATGCTTTCCTTCGTCTACCTGACAAAATCAATATTACGAAACTATTTTTCGCTTTCTTCGCCTAACACAAAAAAACACAGCCACGATCTTCAATTTATCATCATGTTTCGTCTGCATACGTTGGCTTAACGTTTATTTAAAATGTGTCGTTTTTCCCCTATGTGCATTGGGATGATTGTTTTCCTTAGCGCTTATCAACAGGACATTCCTTTGTAGTCGGAAGTGGACATACTTGACTCGTTCAGCGTGAAATGTGTCATTTTGCTGTTTGAATGTACTGTTGTCTTACTGTCACTTATTTGATTAGAATCAATTGACACGTGCGTAGGTAAGATATGTGCCATTGCCAACGGAACGATTCCAATGGTATTATTGTGCGGCAGATTCAACTGTTATTGATTAGTGACAATCTGTTGATGTTCTCAGATATTCAGACGGCAAATAATTCGATTAGAAGTTGTCTTTATGTTTAACAATATCAATGGTGATGACATAGCGGCAAATGTTAATAAACTTCCTTTTTAGTTGCTGTTTAATCTTCTGTTCATTTAATAATTCATTATGATTGATTAGTAACCGATGGTTGAATTTCTCAGATTTCGACTATTTTTCCTGATCATTAAGTTTCCTTGTGAGAAAAAACAACGGTTTCACTTTGCATTTCCTTCACAATAGATCAATCAACTTGAACAATACTGAAATGATCAACCTTTAATGATCCATACGAATTCTGCCAAAAGGCTTGATGATTAGTGAGCAATTTTTCCTTTTCATTTTCTTCACACAATTGATGTTTACATATCTAATGGATATCTATATATTGTCTTCAGTTCATTTGTAACTTATTGTCTGATGGCACATTGGGAAAATGTCTTGTTGTTATTGTTTTTTCTCTTTCTCTGATGGTGTCAAAGGCGTGTTCACTCAATACCGCCGACAATCCGGTAAATAGAAATGTGTGAATAAAATCAAAAAGTCCATCACGGTTTTTCTTCTTCAATATATATATATATATATTTACATAACAATCAGAAGAAAACACTGAAACAAAAAACATCGCATAATCAGATGAATAGAGATTTGTTACTATTGTTCAAAGTTTCGTGAAAACTATCATCCAGTAGTTGCACTTTCGGTAACATTGAGTGGAGAATCGTACGTAAATGTGCAGGAGAACAATCCATAGAGTCACCGAAGATTTCACTTGGATTTCGATGAAAATACAATTGATTACAAATAGCGATCTGTAACTCATTTTCTAAAATTCGAAGAGCGAACAAGTTGCAATGAAATGATTTGCATCAATATGATTACTTCTCGCCCATTGTGGTATGGGTTTCTTTTGATTGGTACTTGTTTTCGTAGCAAATGTCAAACTATCATCATCGTCGTCGCCGTTGCTATCACCGTCATCGATATTCAGATGTAGAATCGTCATGTCGTAGTTATTCTGATGTTGATAATCTTCGAACGGTTTATTCTTATCAACAATTGGTGGCTGTTGTTGATGTTGTTGTCTGAAAAAACAAAATTATGCCGGAAGGTAATTATTATTAATCTCACCTTGGTCGAAGTGAATGTTTCGGTTGAGCTTTTGTCTTTAATGCTTGAATACCCATCATTGGTTGTTGACGAACGGTTCGTGTCGATGGAGGCGGAGAAGGCGATTTGACTTCGAGAAGAAATCGAAAGACACTTTTGCGAACGTAATTAGGAATTGTATGAATAAGTCCATGATGATGATGATGTGGTTGCTGTTGTAATTTTTTCTTGAACAAAGTTTTCTTTTGAAATATTTGTTTGAATCGTGATGGATTTGGTGAGCGAGTTGGATGTTTAGTCGCAGAAAGGATCTCATGTGAACGAAGTTTCATTCCTAAAATCTATACTTTCATAAAACGAAAAAACAAATATCAATTCATTTCAAGTAATGAACATTCAACGAATGACCCATGTTTCCGCCGTTCGAACGTTAGACTTTTTTTTCTCTTTCTCTCCTCTCCTTTCGTTCTCTCATTAGCAATGCTGCTGCCGTTTTTTTTTTCTTTTTCTCTTTCTCCTGTTCAACGTATCATTAACACAGCACTCGAATGATTGATTCGTATATGCGAATTGAAATCTCATCATTGAAAGGTGTATACATGCGAAACTAATTGTCTTGACTGGCAGACACAAAAAAAAACGAAAATGAGAAGCCACGCCTTTCGAGAAAAGGTGTAGGCGGAAAAAAAGGAAATTGAGACTTTTCTCGATGCCTCCCCGTCAACTTTTGTTTTTGTCTTTATCAATCTAGTGTTAAAATGTTCGTTAATTCACTCAAGTTTACAACGAAGAAAATAAACGCCGCTTGCGCCCGACGGCAAAATTCTATCAAAGTTACTTACTGAAGTTTGCGTGAGGATACTAAAGAAGATAAATGACTCGGATCATTTTCTTCTCTCTTGTTTTATATGTGTGCCTCAAATGAGAATGATTGCCGCCCGTTATATATTTTTTTTATCGACTGTCACATGTGAGATGATGCATCTCGGAAGAGATCAGACGAAAACGTTAGGTCAAGTATCTGAACACTTGTACCAGTGACAGCTTGTCTTCTTCTCCTCCTTTTTTTTCTTCTCGATTGATTGGAAAGATTCCTCACACCTACTTTCCAATCTTGTTCAACGATGCATTCGATCAAGACAATGTGTCAAACGACAACTGTTGCTTGTTTCTGGACATCATCATCATCATCATCACGGCTAACACATCATAGTCATCATGTTTTTCCTTCTTTGTTCTTTTTGAACCGATCACTTCTAAGTGCTACTCACAGACGTTCATAATGTGAGAAGATATTCATCTATGTATCGATTGCATCAGATGCAATATGTGGCATCAAACAGCGGAAGTACTAACCATCGAATGGCTGATATTAATATGTTTCCTTTCTAACGTTTGTCGTTTTCTTTTTATTATTTGAAATCAGTTTGCTTCTGTTTTTCGATGAATCGATTGCTAAGACTCTTGAACAGTTCTAAAGTGCGTACAAGCAAAAAAAGATTGTTGAGTGACTATCGTGCAGAGATATGATATTCTTCTCTTTTTGTCACTTGTCGGAATATTTTTCTCCAGGGACATTTCAAGTAGAACACAAATCGAATTGATAAATTCAGTCAAGATGATACATTCAATATACACGAAATGTGATAGTTACGACTCTCAGCGTGTGTTCAAATTCATCTTGTCAATATTTTATTTCAATAATCAACTTAGATTGGTTTATTTACTCATTCATTTGTAAAATATTATTTACTTTGATCCGTATGATAATGAGACATGATCAAACCGAAAAATAAACATGCTTGCATTTGTCAACGGTTCATATGATTTGATTAATTTTGTTTCGTTATCATTTCGAGATCTAGATATGTCCGATTGATTGTTGACTAGTCAGTGATTCATCTTGTTTGAAGTTTCTCGTTCGAATAGTTAACAGATGGTGACTGAGAACATTTTCTTTTTCTCATTGGCTCAAATTGTTATTGTTCACCAATCGAATCAGTAAGAATCAAGGCATTTCGTCTTCCTTTTTTTATTTTGCTCAACAGATCAAAAGATTATGCAGATGAGTGACTGAGTAAATATTTGCTTGACTAAGTGCATACATGAACGCGCGTTCAAAATGATCATCACTTACAGATGAAGCTATTTCTAGAGTTGATTTCGATGATGTCATACACGCAAGTGTGGGCACGAGTCATGCCTCTTGATGTAGTGCGATGTAATGTGAATAAAATGATCGGCTATTGTGACGATTTCCTTGAGAAAATCTTATGTCACCTCGAGAGAAATCAATTCAATTGACAGGACATTGATGAGGAATTGAAGAGTCAGTTTATTGCAACGAGGAAAAGAAAACAATAGATGAATTGAAGAAAAGAAGTCGCGTTTAACGAACAGGGCAAGTGCGAATGAGTTGTTTGAAAGTGTGAAAATATAATGAATTATTTATATAGAATTACGTCGAGAAAGGTTTATTGCATCTTGCTGGTCGACTAGTGATCTTCAATCATTGATTGCTTCAAGTATGATAAGTGTTTTAATCGTTTCTTCCGTGTATAGACGTTGATCACATTTCGATTTGATCGAATACGCAATCAAATGTTTATACTATAGGTGAAATCGAAAGTAACGAATGAGTTGAAGTAGTTTTCTCGACTTTGAATAATGATCTGAGAATGTTTTCGACAGATAATGACTGCTCGTTAGTAGCTAAACGATTGTTAAGTACATCAGTGATTAGACAATGAATGATTGCTGATGCAGTGCGATATACTGTTGGCTGGTTTGATGTCTGTTCAATGCTAAAGGAAGAAGAAGACAATTTATCATTCGATTGATTGCTTATTTTTTCGTTCGATCCAATTTTAGCTATTGGTTGATCATTGGGCCAAGGATCGCTATCACACGAGCACAATTGTTCGCTGTCCATGGATTCTTCTAGTTTAGCAACATTTTTCCGTTTCTTCTGACAAATGTAGCTTATGAGTTGCTCAAAAAAATCATTCGAATTTAGTTGATGAACTTCCAAAAGATCTTCGAGATTGATTTCATTCCAGTTAAAAGTAGGTTTAACCGGAAACGAGTCCTCCTGCTTCTCGAGTGCAAACACTTGATCTTCCTTTACAATCTCTCGTTCAAGAGTACGTACACGCTTCATTTCTACGGAAAGAAAACAAGTTTGAAAATTACCATCGATTCATTCATCATCGCATAAATAGATAGACAGATTTAAGTGAGACAGTAATAGTAAAAAAAAACGAGAGAAATTTGAAATTGTGCAAAAGAAAATATGACAAGCGAAGAAGATATTGCATATGATGTGAATATAAAAATAAGCAAATACAATAGTGAAATGAAAAGCAAATTTTTCGGGAGAGAAAGGTCTTTTCGCTTCTATGTGAATGATTCTTCTCGGGGTATAATTGATCCAAGATTGGGAATGGTAGGCGAGACACTATTTCGATCTTGATCATTACCGGGTGATTCACGTGGCTGTGATTGGTGATGAGGATCGGAACGAGATCGTAGCAGCGGCGGTGGAGGCGCAAGTAAAACAACCGAATTCTTTTTATGCAGATCGACGGCTGGCAGTTTGTCCACAGTAATTCTACCTTTGTAGATGACACCATCTTGACCTTTGATATCCACTTCATTTCTAAATAGAAATTCAGTTAAGTACTGATAAGAGCAATGATATACTATGCCTGATTACCTGGCAAGTAAGGTTTCTTCAGGAACGGATGGTCTAAAATATGAGAGAGATCGTTACACATTTACGATGAAACGAACTATTTACTGAGTTTTAATTTGACGTTTGTATGGTAGAGTGGTTGTGTGCGAACCGCCACATTGTCGCATTGCTGCGTAAACATCCGGTATGCCGCTACTGAAATCATTACTAAACTGTTGACTAGAATATATAAATATATATATATATATATAACAACAGTAAAACGATCGAATGATGAGTTTACCTCTTTTGAAATTGCCGTATTTGATCGAGTTCGTAAGTTGTATACGGCCGGGGTGACTGGATAGGACGCATAGCCTGATTTACGGGTAGACTCGGCTGCTGTCTAGAACATTTAATTGCGCTAGTGAAAAGAAGATATGTGATGAGAACACGAACGGGTGCGGTTGAACGTCAATCGGACGATCACAGCTGATGCAGTGAAAACGAATAAGCTGTTTTCGTAAACCAGCCGCCTCATCTTCTGACATAACATGGACATGTTGCTGTTGTGTCTGCTGCTGCTGCTCTTTCTGTACAATCACAAAATATGAAACAGTTACACTCCGAGATATAAAAAGCAAAAATGAGTGTTTCTGACCATCTCTCACATTACATTTGTGCAAATAGCATGAACTGTCTCGATCATACAACTTACTGCTAATTTCTTCAATTTCTTCATTTGTTTATCCACATAATCCCGTAGTGCATCAAGTTCGGCACGATCTAATTTTTCATTTATATCACGATTGATCTTTTGTATGTCCTGCCTTTGTATATCATCCTAAAAGATATTCAACGAACAAAATTCAATCGAGACGAACATCGAGCGGCTCTCATCATACATGCACATGAAATTTCTGCAAACAATCGTTGATATTTTGCGATAGATCATTACAAGCAGCATTGAAATCTTTTTTCAAAACTCGAGTGTCCAAATCTCGTTTGTCTACTTTCTGTGAAAGAATTCGCATACTGATTGAATGTTATTCTAATCATTCATGTCCATATTTACCTTATCAAGTTCATTATTAACATTGATCTTATCAGCTTTTGTTTGATCTAATTGTTGAATTAATTTTTTCAAAGTCTAATGGAATAATATTTGATTTCATATGATTTATCATGAAGCAAAAGACATATCAACTTACGTCAAGTTCGTCGTTTGATAAATTTCCTTTTTTAATTAAATCTTGAATTTGTTGTTTGAGCCGATCCAAATCTTCACGTAAACGCTGCAAAGCTGTTCGAAAATCGGATAAATCACCGAACGAATCCGCTCTTGACTATAGAAAAAGCAAATCAACGAAACGATTTCATTCAAGAACAACCGTACCTGTACAGTCGTATTGTCTTTCTTGATGTCACCACCGGAGACAACATTCTACGAAAAACAAACGATCAAAATTATAGAACACAGATATGTTTTACAGATAATCGCTTATGATTATCATCAATCCAATTAGTTGTAAACAATATTTCAATAATTAGTTCAAATAAATCTTTGATTGGTTGAAATTTTCTACAGAAATGTTTTTCATAAACCCTTTTTAGTATCAACACACACACACTTAAGAAGCAATGAACGTATATTGGGTTCGTTAAATGTTCGTATTTGATAAAATACATAACGTAAATGAACACCTAATCTTTTCCAATTCATGCGATTTTGTGCAGACGTTAAAGGAAGGAAGACGCACTTTTTCTGAACTATGTTGATATTTGACATGAGCTAAAAAAATATAAGAACATCTGTTGTACCTCTCTTATCTCGATTCTGTCGTTCTATTTATTACTTGTTCAGTTAGCCAACATGATGAATAAAATGATAAAGCTATTTTCTTCGTGCTTATTTAGCCTATCTTTCTCTCGCTTAGCAAAATCATATATTTCTCTTTTTGCTCTACTCCTTCTTCTTCTTCTTCTGTCTGACTCTCATTTGGATTGTGAACGCACGGTTGAAGGTGTCAAATCTACTCGTGAAGACCAGCATGATTCGTTGTAAGATTTCAAATCGTATTATGCTGCAATTTCACGATATGATTGACATCGCAAATGGAAAGGAGAACAACTTACGGTTGTTTCATGCGTTCGAATACCATCTAGATCTCGTTCGAATGCAGCAAGACGATCGAGAAAATCATTATGTTTTGTTTTATAATCATCAAATGCTTCTCGATTGAGCTTTTTTTCCTAAGAACAAAACAGAATGTTGCTCGGACGAATATTCATTAGTAATTCTGTACTTCAAGTGCATCGGTTAATTCTTTCAATTGTTCATATCGATCATTCAATGATCGGAGTTGTTCAAAAACATCGGCTAATCCATCTGCCGATAATTCCTAAATAAATACGAGTTATTTTTAGATTGTGATGACGCACGAAGAAAAACCATTTTTGATTCAATCGAAGAAATGAAATGTTTACGCGCTTACCTTTTCTCGTATTATCTAAAATAAAAAAAGAGTAGAATGTAAAAATTTCGAATCCATGATCAGTTTTATCTACTGTTTGACTGTGCGCGGGAGATGATCGACTATTATCTCGTACGGAAAGTTTTTCCATTGATTGCCGAATGTCATTGAGTGCACCATCGAATTGAGTCCAGGTAACAAATTGACTCAAATCGAGTGCTGCATGCCCATTTAGAGTATCAGTTTCTTTTGGTAAATCATTGAAGCGATCTCGTAGTGAGGACTGAAATGGAAATAGTTCAGTTGATAATGCAAATGGAGAAGTATCTTACAATTAAATTCTCTAAATTCCGAATTTTTTCATCCAGATTTGCAAGATCAGATTTGTTTGCCTGAAGTAGAATGTTACTTGTAGATCAAGAAAAATATTTGTATGTACCCATTCATGTTTATCTTTATCGATCGATCCGATTGTTGTTTTAAGTTCATCTGCTGCTCGACGCAATGTTTCATGTGATTCTTTCAAATCATTCATATCAGATAACAGATCTTGAAGTAATGAAGCAAGCTAACGAATGAAAATATACAAGAAAACTGAAGAAATTCTAGCGATCAACATACTCGTGTTATTCCATTTTCAGCTGATTCAATTCGTTTTTCCATTTGTGTATATTGCCAGACTTCTAATATTGGACCTTGACGATCTGTTGTCTGATCAGATTCGTCCGTAGCTTTCTTTGGTATTTGCTTCGCTCGGTCGATTAATTCGGTATTGGATGGTATTTGATCCAGCGCGTTCAATTGAGATTCAAACCGAAAGACTTTCTCTTCTAAGGTATTGAGACGATCGGAACTTCGATCACGTTTGTTTATTTGTAACTTTTTCTTCATCTCGTTTTGATTGATGCTAATTGAAAGTTCATCGCGTTGATTTGTCGATGTTGAAAGTGCGTCTTCGAGCGTTTGTTGATCATCATCGGACATGATCGGCTTATAATTATATAAATTCATTGCACGAAGCATTTGTAAAAGAAGAGCTTTTAGTACGTTAAAATTCACTGCGCCTGTCTCGGGATCACCCAAGGACAGATGAACTAATTGTTCAAGCGAAAGTCTATCGGTCATCTAAAAATAAAGACGATTGCTTGACTAGACTTTTAAAGTACAAAACAAGAATTCTTTAAAATCAAAACGAGACATTCTCACTCTGTACGTGTTTTGTTTTATATCGTTGTCATCGACGTTCGTTTTGACTGCCGGTAAATCAATTCTCTTCCTTTTTTTTTTTACTGTTGTTACCTTTCCGACCGGTATATACTTCATATAACAATTGCTTTTCTTATCGTTTTTTTTTCTTCTTGATTACTCTACGAAGAATTGAATATAACTTCAACTGATGAAGAAGAAGAAGAAGAGGAGGAAAAACTCGGTTCGAAATAGAAATAAAATTAAACTTCTCCTCAACTTATTCTCCATTTGCTTTTTCTTTTTCCATGGTCTGATCTCTATGAATGAGGAAAGGAAAAGTATTTTTTACATCTAGCGACACCATTGAAAGTTCCCGGAAGTGTCAAGGTGAGTTTTTTCACAACATTCTCCATTTCCTTACCGTGCTGCCTTGATATTTTCAGCATACAATGAATGTATCAATGTTTATGCTTTATTTTTTTTTTGCAATAATAATTACGAAAAAAAAACGAACTCTTTGCTTTCGTATTAGCTATAAGAACAAACATATATCGTTTCGTGTTTAAATTAAAGAAGTATATATCATTACACCCTGCAAGTAACTCTGATAGATCAACACAAAGAAGAGGAAAGAAAGAAAAGGATTACGATAAACAGAATTTTCGAAAAAACAATCATAAAAAAAAACAATATAGTTCAAATCTTTTCAGGTGGACGATGGATACCGGTTTGTGTAGTTTATTAATCCTGTTCATCGACTTCGAGTCTAGAAAGGAAAACAAGCGGAATAAGAAATCAATTGTCACATGATTGACTTACTCAGCAGCATGATTACCATCTGTTTCAACTGCGTGATGATCACCATTCGGTGTTGCTGATCGGCGACGTTCGTTGCTTGGACTACGCGTTGATTGTCTTCTGAGAGCAAGACAACAACATGCATAATAAATGAGAAGAATAAAGATGATTATTTACTTGTTTTCTCGTCGTGGTGAACGGTTTGAATTGTGATCTGATTGTGACGAAGAATGTCGACGACGTCTGTTTTCTTCTCGTCTCGATGTTTTCTGACGGTCATCTCGACGGGGATCTCCTAGATTTGATATAATTTAAGATTGTTAAGTAAGAACAGACACAAGAGTTGGTTACTTCGTGGTGATCGTGAAGGTGATTGCGAGCCTGAACGTGGACTTCGTCGTCGTCGGCTATCGCCAGAACGTCGATAGTGTGGACTACGCGAACGGCTTCTATAATGTACAAAACATGATTTTAATAGAAATATTTCTCAGCAGAGAAAAAAGAAAACAAACTAAAACTGAACTTAAAAAAAGCGGGATATTCACCGGTTGACTTGTCTTTTAGAAAAGGATGTACTCAGATAACATACCTTTGTTCTTTCTCTGCCAAAGAATGTGACTAAGCACATGACATCGATCCACCCATTAGGTAGAAGATACACAAATAGAAGAGAAGGAGAAGAGTAAACAAAGAAACAAGATTCGAGCACAAAACCACATTATTCATTTTCAAACACTGCTGCTGATAGTCCACCCACGTCAATCATTTTCATCCAGTAATCATCAACAGCTAGAAAAATAACGAAATATATATCGACAAGCAGAGTGAACAACACAAATTGAAACTCTCTCTCTCATATCGCACACAAATCTCATTGATCATAACAAAAGCTAAGAACGAGGATGAATATTGAAACTTCTAGAACAAATTAGTGCCAAGCGAATTACCGTGAGTAGCGGCGACGACGACTACTGTAAGAATCTCGGTCTCTACGGCGATAAGGAGACGGTGAGCCTGAATAAAATAGATTGATTAAAGTTTTAAAAAACGAGAGCCAGCATCGTTATATTTACGGCGACGTGATCGGCCACCATAGTGTCGTGGTCGGGCCCAACTAAGGCCAATTCTTGCACCGGCTAAAGTTCTACAAAAAACGAGTTTAGGAATTATTTTCAAAACGCCGATTCACTTACGTTCCGTCAAGTTCTTTCATTGCACGTTCACCATCAGATCGGTGAGTGAAATTGATAAATGCGAAACAAGGTGGATTCGATGCGACCCAAATCTATACAATTGTTCATATTCATTAAAAACAAGGCCAATCGTGTACTTGACGTTCAAACCTCATTTAATTCGCCGTACGGACGAAATATTTTTTCGATTTCATGCTTACTAACACCCACTGGTAAGTCAGATAAATGAAGTCGATGACCAGCATTTCCATCCTATTAAATATACACAAATATTTGTTTGTCTCAACCGACCTATCGCATACCCATTTCTTTGATCGTGCTGTGCGTCCAGAGCCAGTTGAAGCAAGTGAGCCTTCACGATCTCGACTACGACCCATGTTGTGAATTTTGTGGATAAATTTCAAACGAAATTAAAGATAATCTAGAACAACAAATAAACACTAGTCAAACTTGGTACAATACACAAGAGAATTTGTTTAGCAAGACATCATTTAGTTAAACAAGAAGGAAAAAGCGACAACAGAAGAACTGATAATGAAATTGATTTATGTCTTTTTTCTTTACAGATTCCAAAACAAATCATTTAATTCGTGGATTGAATAATTAATCGATTAATCGTCACTTTCTTCGAATCTAAAATCAAGTAATTGTAAGAACAAGTTGCTTAATCGTAAGTAAATTACCTATGAACAACATTTGAAGCTTGTTGTTGCGGTGATCGATCTCTTGACGATGGACGATTACGGCGTGGTCTACAACAAATAAAAACATGAAATTTAAAAGCAAAAAAATTGACTGAATACATCGTACAATTGTTAAAGAGTATTATCTCGCTCTCATTGCTATAGAAACTATCTTATCTTACTGATTAACCTCTTACGAATGGAAATTTCTGAAAAAAAAAGGAACAACTTACCTTGGCGACGATGATCGCGACCGTTGGCGATAATCACGCTTGTTAGCTGGACTACGTGATCGAGAATAGCGTCGTCGTCGATCATAACTTCTATAACTAAACCAACGCAAACTTTTGCTTGTTCACAATAGCTGGATTATCAGACAAACCTATCGCGCCGATCATCCGATTGCCGTGGAGAATATCGTCGACGATTTCGTGACGAATCATAGTCTCCACGTGAATAACGATCACCGCCATTACCAAAAGATCCACCACCACCACCACGACGGCCGCCAACAGTACGTTTACGAGCAAATGATATACCAATACGCGAGTTATCAATAGATCTAAGACAAGAAAAGAAAACATAGAAATCCTAACCAATACAACCATCAAGTTAACTTACTTTCCATCCATAGCTCGTATAGCTTCTTCAGCATCAGCTCGATGTTTGAAATTCACAAAAGCAAAACACGGTGGATTAGTAGCCATCCAAACCTAAACACATCGGATTCAGATGAGAAAAAAAAACTAGACATCCATGATGCGATAACATACTTCATTAATTTTTCCGTATTTCATAAATATCTTTTCAATATCCTGCCGTGATGTTTTCGGATTTAATGGTGACACGTGTAGACGATAACCCGACTCTCCATTCCAATCTTTGGCCTTAGCTGCACGACCCCTATTCAAATTCAATGCGTTTTTCGCGTATCTTTCATACAAACATGAGAATCTTACGATGAAGTCGATGACAATGAACCTGATCGCGAGCGTGAACGTGATTTTGATCTCGATCGAGATCTTGATGCACTTTCGCTTTGGTTTCGGCTCATCGTTTGTCTTTTTTTTTTCAATAAATTTATCTGAAACATCAATCGAATTTATTACTTATCAATCTCATTGATGAAGAATGGTTTACTTCTATCTCATATCTCTCTACAATTGACAACTGTCTGCCATTGTCAGAATACCAAATTCACTCAAAATTCAACTGCTTTACTTTTTTTCAAAATACACGCATACCAATCGAATCAAACATCCGAAACGTATGGCCATGAAACAAAAGGAAAAAGGATCGAAACGTGTAGCTCATGAAAATCACTTGTGATTCGTTCGTGTCTGAAAGAAAACAAAATAATAAAATCGTATTATGAAGGTCAAACTTTGAGACAAGATAAATTGTTTGAAAAAAAAATTCTCTTCAACGAAACTTACTATTTTTCGTCGATGATGAAATTACCTTACTGTATTTGTTTTCTTTCTTCGCTGGTAATTTCATGATAGTACTTTACCATGGATAAATCACAAAGTCGCACGTCAATATATGAAAGTGACTATTGATGACACAAAAACATTCCTCGAATGAATGAAAAAGAACTGGTTATAGATTGGCTAAATGAATTGGTTAGTGACATCATCATTTCCTTTTTTTGTTTCTTCTCTGGGGCGGTGATGAAATTTGCTAAAGGAATCAATCTCATTGAAGCTTTCTCAAACAAAAGATAAAAACAAGAAATCGTAAAGATGTCGCTAGTTGACAGGAACGAGCATTTGCCGTGGCATGAATTTAAATTCTTACCGCTGAAAACGACAATTTTGCAAAACGATCTATGACTACTTCCAGCTGATTACACAACATTGAAGAGAAAATCACCAGCGAGTTCTCTCCGGTGTTTTTTGCTTTCTGTTTCTCATTATCAAGAAAAACTTAATAAGGTGATTACGATTGACAACACAGAAAGAAAGAAAAAAGGAAAAGAGAAGAAGTATTTATTCATCGACAACTTTTCTTTTTTACTCTTTCGGACATTCAATAACAAAGCACTATGCCTGAACAAGAATATACGGAAGAACAAGCTGAAATTCTTCAACATGTTTTCTATGGGAAACTGGACAGACTACCAAGTCTTGCATCGAAAATCGTTCGTATCTTCACCTCATCTACCTTTACCGGTAAATTCTTCTTCGATTTCGAAAGACAATGTATTCTATGAGGTTTCCTTAGATACAAGTATGGAACGTAATTCGTTGATGCAACATACATATCCCAAGTTGAAAGAGTATTGTCGAGAAAAGCACGGGTTAGAATTTCAAGTCGTAGATATGCGTTGGGGTGTGCGCGATGAAGCAACGGACGATCACAAAACAACGGAATTATGTATGCAAGAAATTGATAATTGCCAACGAGTATCTGTTGGACCAAACTTTGTGGTATGAGAATAACATTGAAAAAGTTAATTTTTTGCTCATAAATAGAAAGAAACATTGATTAGTTAAAGCAAATATTGATTTATCAAAAAAATGAATATATAATTTCTATTCTTTTGTTCCGTTGAAGAAGAGCCATTAATGTTTCCGAACGGAAATCAAACTTATCTGACTATATCATGTACATAGGTATTCCTCGGTCAAAAATATGGCTATCGACCGTTGCCAACAAAGATTGAAGAAGAAGAATTTCGCATGGTAATATCAGTTTCCAGTAAAGAAGATGCACGCCTGCTCAATCAATGGTATAAACTCGATTCGAACAATATACCAAGTTTATTTTGTTTGCAACCCGTCAGTTCAATTTTCACAAATTTCACGAATCGAGCACATCCGCGACTGATGGAAGAAGATCAAAGTTCCTGGTGGGAAACAATGGGTAAACTAAATCGTGCTGTCCGTGTTGCTGCCTTAGAATTATTTAAACAAGGAAAATTTACGGCGCAAGACAATCACCGATACAATTGGTCAGGTAAGAAATATTGAACAGAATTTTACCGAAAACGAAAAAGTTGTATCGTTTTAATATATTCAGTTACTGAACAAGAAGTAGTTCGAGGAATTATCAATGCAAAAGATAAACTTGAACATACGTTGGCATTTTTTCGTCATATTGAAAATATCAATGTCGATTTGTTACGTCATTCGATGAAGTTCATCGATATAGCATCGAAAAAGGTCGACATGGAAGCACAAGAAATGCTATCGGATTTACGAGATGTTCGAGTAAGTTGAAGCATGATATGAAAGTACAAATTTTTTTCGGATATCTCTAGGTGCCAGCCGTTCTACCTGAATCAAGTATTATTCGATATACAGTCGAATGGTCGGATGATGATGGTTTAAATAAAACAGTTCATGCTGACTATTTGAAAGATTTCATTGAGACATTCTATCGGCGTATTGTCGACATGATTGATGAGGGCGTGAGAAAACAGAATACTTTTCCGACAAATCGGTAGGATGAAATGAATCCTTCATTGGCTGGAAGAATATTTGTTTCTTTGCAGAGTTTTTACGGAGATTCTCCAACAACTTCATGTCGTCAATAATTTCAGCCAGGATTTTCAAGGCCGTACTGATATTCTCGAGCGTGTTCGCAATTACATTCAAGGCTCATCAAAACAGCCATTAGTTCTCTGGGGTGAAGGTGGTTGTGGTAAGTCGAGTATGTTAGCGAAGATCGCTTTCGAATCATCTTCATGGTTTCCAACTCGACATTGCACACCGATAAGAGTTGTCCGATTTCTCGGCACAACACCAGATAGTTCATCGATTGGACCCTTGTTACGAAACATTTGCCAACAGTTATGTTTTCTCTATCAAGTTTCCGAGAATACCATACCGACTGAGTTGTCTCAGCTAATCAACTATTTCAAACGTTTGTTGGAAAAAACGCCGAGTGATAAACCTTTGTGTATATTTTTGGATTCGCTGGATCAAATCTCATCTGCTGATGGCGCTCATTCAATGTCATGGTTCCCACCGACATTACCGAATCATGTCAAACTTGTATGAATTCTATTACGAAGAAATTTTCTAGTTGAAAATTGTCACTGCACTTTTAGATTGTTTCGACATTACCGGGAATATTTAATATTTTAAATACACTTCGAAATATCATTGATAGTCCAGAGAATTTCGTCCAAGTACACAGTATTTTCTTCGAACTTCGATTTGATTTTGTTTTTCGCGTGATTTAGATTAAGCCATTGGGTGAAGATCTGGGAAAGATTGTTTTAAAAGCTTGGTTAGCGCGTCAACACCGAACAATCACGGATGTTCAATGGTAAAGCAATTTTTTAACTTAATCTTCGAAATGCATCTGAGTAAAAATTTCAGGACATTAGTTCACGAGCGATTAGCTGAGTGTAATATTCCATTGTATGTTAAACTGGTTTTTGATGAAATCAAACTATGGAAATCTTATACAAAAGTTCAAGAGAAAGATTTAGCTAAAACAGTTTCCACATCGATCAATAAGTTATTAGGACGTATTGAAAATCAACACGGTCATATTTTGGTCGAACATGCTCTATCATATATAACTGCATCGAGATCCGGTTTAAGTGAAGCAGAATTAGAAGATCTAATATCATTAGATGAAACTGTTCTCAATGACGTTTATCAATATCATTTACCACCAATTCGACGAATTCCTCCATTGTTATGGACGCGTATACGAAATGACGTACCGAACTATTTAGTTGAACGAGAAGCCGAAGGTGTGTCTGTTGTTAGTTGGTATCATCGGCAATTCGCGGAAGGTAAACACACTAAAAAGAGCTTTGTGTTGAATGATACATCATTTTGAGTTTAGTCTCACATGAACGGTATCTAGTTAATCCAGATCAACGTCGTCGATACCATTCTCAAATGGCTGATTATTTTCTTGGTATATGGGCTGGTCGTCCGAAGCCATTTCAATTTACGGATAATCAAAAACGTATGTTTAATCTAAGTTCAACAGACGGCGAAGCTGATCGTAAAGTGCCAGCACAACCATTGATCTTTACCACAAACAAAGACGCAGCAGCGGCGGGAGCAAACTCTAGTTCATCAGCCATTCGATATAATTTACGTAAACTAAGTGAATTACCGTTTCAATTGATTCTGTCGGAACGTGACGACGATCTCTATCATCATGTTCTATTTAATTATGATTTCATTCATGCCAAATTATCTTGCATGCCACTGAACAGTTGTATTTATGATTATGAAAGTACATTTGAATATAATCATGATAAAGAGGTAAGTAGCATCTATTTAAAGCTGCAAGTATTCGTCTTCTGACTTGTTCAGGTAAAGCTAATGAGTGACGCACTTCGTTTGTCAAGTTCAGTCTTAGCTGCTGATCCGAATAATTTAACATGTCAAATCATTGGCCGTCTTCTGCCATTCTATGTATCATGTCGAAAAATTGCTTCGTTCATCGATCAATGCGAAAATATCGGGCTTCATCATATGGGACTTATACCTGCTTTCAATACATTAGCATCGCCAGGTGGACCATTAGTTTACTCCTTGGAAGCACATCAATTCGCTGTGTACGGTCTGGAAGTTGTCTCATCCGGTCAACATCTTCTTACAGTATCGAATAAATTTATTGTTTTCGATCTATCCAGTGGTGATATCGTCAGAATCATCGATCCGAAAATCGAAGGTATTATGACTTACTTAGCTGTTGCACCTGATCAACGTTACTGTGTGACAACAACAATCAGTAACCAGTATATTATATGTAATCTATTAACTGGAGAGTATATCTTACGTGATTATCAAGTTCCGGGAAATGGAGGCAAAAATCAACCAAAACCAACATCGGGTCAACAACCAGCAGATCCATTGTTAGGCGCCGCAGTGAGCAACACACATTTTGCCTTGTGGACTTCACAAATGTATCAAGTGTATACGAATAAAGGTAGGAAGAACGCATTTGTTTTGTTCACTTTGGATGAGAATTATTTTTCGAGGTGAACTACTCTCAACTCAACCAACGCGCTATCAAATCATTCAAATTGAATTATTGCCTGGACCCGAAGTTGAAATCGTGTGTCGTTCGGAAGAAATCAAAGCTGATCAAGAAGTTGCTCGCGATCGTATGACGATCGATTATTGTTTTGTGACGAATTCTGACTCTTCGGCAGATGTTAATGATAGTGCTGAACCACGTTGTCTAACGGGCGGTCATAAAAATATTCATAGTGCACTGATATTAACGCGCGACAAACGTCGAATGTATACCTGCTGTGAAATTAATGATAATAATGTTGAAGTTTATATAAATAAGCCACATCCAGTCAATTACACAACAGAACGCATCTGGGCGTTCGATCATCAGTTGTTCGAAAACAAAGATCGGTAAGGTTATTTCGATAGGCACTTGTACGAATGTTAATAACTCTGCTTTTCAGCATATTTGCATTCATATTAAGTGCCGATGAAAACTATCTCATGGCAGTCACCTTCAAAGGCTTTAAAATCTTTTCATTTCGATCATATCTATGGAAAACGTGTGTATTACCTGGAGGTGTTCGAAATATCATCAGTGGCACGAAACGTTTAACATATACAGCTGCATTTTCACATAACAACCGGTAATTATCACTACATCCGCATTTATTACAACGATCAGATTTGTTTGTCATTTAGCTATTGTATAGCGTGTGTAAAATCCACTGTTTTCGTCTTCGAAATCGAATGGGGCGAATTAGTTGCGTCATTCGATTCACATTTCGGTCGAATCCTTGTTCTTAAAGGTTTATCATCGGGTAGTAGTGGAAACAACTATGTCATCACGACTGGTATGGACAAGACAACCAAAGTATGGAATTTAGAGAACGCACGAGAAAAAGATATCTCAATCACACAGTTGGATAAAGCTATTGAAGTTATGCATATTTCCACTGATACACAAATTATTATGGCACAGACACGTACACAACTATGTCTGTTCGATATGAAAACAGGTTTTATCAAAGGACAATTGATTGCTAGTCCACATGGATCTATCTATCAATGTAAATCAAAAGGAAAAATATGGAGAAGAAATGAAGCAATGTATGTATATTTTATTTAGGTACAGTAATGTGCACAAATGGTTTATTTGCTGCAGCCGCTGAATCGGGTAATTTCGTTATTTGGGATATCGAAGAGCGACGAATAACATTTTTAACAAAGATTAAGAATATCTTTCAATTATTCCTTCATACAGCTGAAACAATGGTAAGAGAAGGAATTCAGTAACTGACGACAAACGTTTTCATTTGACATTTTGCAGGTTTTAGTGTTAAGTTTCGAACCGATCACAGCGGCAAATCCAGCACAAGTAAACAATGCAAATTCGAATAACAACCCACTGGGTCAAACCATTCGAGCTGTGACTTACGCTATACCCGACGGAGACATGGTGTACGAAAGATCGTATACCATCAAGCGTATGCTTCAACCAAAGAAAGCAATATGTACCGCAGAAGACACCTACTTATTATTTATTGAAGAAAAGAAAAACAACGATGTTCTCTCTGTACATGATCCAATTACTGGTGAACATATACATAATGTTAAATTAACTTATAGCGGTTATAAAGATGTTATAACCATGGTAACTATTCCAAAACAAGCACATCTGATTGGATTGATCGATGCGGATAAAGGTGTTGTTGTTAATGTTCGAGATAGAAAGGTAAGGTGATAGGTCAAAGTCAAATTCTCGAATCTCTTTCAACAGAAGCTTGTGTAAGTTTTCTTTACTGTCTTTTCTAGATTCATTTAACAATTCCGAAATGGGGTGGTCAGATATCTTCCGATGGTAAGTACGGTCTCTACGCTCCAACACGTGGTGGTCTCGAAATCTTTGAATTTCGAAATGGTAAAGTTGTTCGAACATTAATTGGCAAAGTTGCTGAAGGTGTCTACGATGTGATCGCATTTTTTACGCCGACAAATAAACATGTCATCTATTACAACAAAGGCAAACGAACGATTCGTGTGTTTCGCACGGTCGATGGCCAACAAATAGCGGATATGAAATGTCCAGCTAAAGTTCGACAAGCGATGGCAACACAGGATGGACAAGCCTTAGTCGTTGGTTATGAAGATGGAGCTGTGCAAATGTTTCTCATTGTTGATCGTTTTGAACCATCAAGCGTTGCAGCTTTGAAACAATGGCGACAATTTCAATTAGAATCACGAATGGATCCTACACAACTAGAGAACAATGATAAACAAGCAGATATAGACAGAGCGTAAACTTATGTCATCGTATGCCATGAAGAAATAAAAATGATACACTATATTCCTCTTAATTTGAGTGTTTCTGCTTTGAAGTGTATATGAAATTTACGAACTCTTATCAAAAAAACATAAAAGTGTAAACTCCAAATACTTCGACGCAAGTAGTATTCTCAATAATGATGTGCAAGTACATTATTAACGCCTCGGTATCACACTTTCAGATGCTTTTCTTCGGTGATTGCTCGAAATAAAGTAGTGTTCATTTAACCAAATTTTCAGCTCGATCAACATTTTTAAATATAGTCACAGCAAGCCGACGATGATATTTTTTGTTTTAAATTATATTTGACGTGTTCATAACGTCTCATTTGATATCGATCTCTCGTCCTAACTTGTATTTGTGTATTCATTTGTAATTATCTTGCTTTGACATCGATAATACACACACAGTATATATATATACATACCTTTATTTTAATACCAGCGCCATCTTTCGTTGTTTTATCAGCTCGATCAAATGTCTCTACGAATCAACCGTTAGAGATGTGATGTATATATGTGTAGGATGAGCATGGCGTAAACACATGAAAATAAACAAGAATTGATCGATTTCCCTTCCGATCGACATGTTTTCTAAAGCATCAAAAACGAAAATGCTCAACAGCGAGGATGATCGTATATTTAGTTTCATCAATCCACGTCATCGTGCACGATCAGCTGCACATTTGCTTACACCTGACATGGCTAGTGCAAGATCTGCGCCTTCGAATCAAGATCGATCTTTAACGCCTTCATCTACATCGTCTTCATCGTCTTTGGTCGTGTCGAGCAGTCCAAAGCCGACTTCCTCTTCGTTTCTGAAAGTTTCAATACCGAATGGATCCTCAAACAGTTCGCCATCTTCGTCCGATGATCTTTTTGTGATGACAATAATCAAAAGTCCATCGATCAGTAGTCAACGCACTCAAACCAATGAACCTGTGGGAACTACAGTTGTGAATGAAGACTTATCCAGCAATAACAAATTTCTCAAAAGTAAAGTAACAGCAGCATTGAATCATATGAAATATCGTAAGTTTAAGCACAAATCTATTCAGATTTTCTCTACATTGCTGTTTTATTCTTAGGTTGGGTCGTGAAAATGCGACCAAATTTTCGTACCAGTGAAACACCGATCTACTTTCTTGGTGCGAAGTATGATGGCAGAGAAGGTAAATAGAAATTGAAAAACTTCTAATAATTGATTTACTTTGTTAGTCACAACTCATGATGATAATCCTCGTCCACAATCTGACCATTCATATGCAAATTTTTTGAAATCATTTTCTCAACGAATTTATTTTTCATATCGAAAACAATTTGAACCATTGATAAGTTCTCGAAATGGAGATATCATTACTTCGGATGGTGGATGGGGTTGTATGATACGTTGCGCTCAAATGTTACTTGCTCAAACATTACTCGTGCATATGACGAATACATTTAATACGACATATTCAAACATTCAAATATCAGAGAAATGTATGACATGTTCTTGAATGAAATTTTCGATTATTTTGTTGTTTACAAGGTCCAAAACGAAATTCCATCGATTACACACGACACGTAAATCGAATCAATCAATACAAACAAATCTATACAGATATCATTCGATTATTCGGGGATCTTCCAAATTTGAGGTGTCCATTTGGCATTCATAGGTTAATTTTTCCTCCTCTCAATCCTTATAGAGAACTTTTCATTCTATTCGAATAGAATTGTTGAACTTGGCACGTCACATGGCATTCGACCGGGTGATTTTTTCGGACCTGTGAGTGCCGCTCACTGTCTGAAAGAAGCAGTTCAAGCTGCCATTGAAAGCAAACAAATTCCAGAAATGCTCCGTGTTTACATCAGCCAAGATGCAATTAGTACGGGTTTTCTCTTCAAAAAAAAAAACAATCCTCTATTGAGACTTTCATGTTTTTTCTTTAGTCTATCGTCAAGATGTCAATGATTTATGTAGTAATCCTTTATCAAATCCTAATACTACTAAGAGAACATCGCTTGATCCATCAAGAACAGCAGATCCATCGATACGTTGGTTAACATCCGTGCTAATCCTTGTTCCATTGAGATTAGGTTTAAATGAACTTGATCTGATCTACGAGAATTACTTAAAAGATGCCCTGAAACTACCGCAAACTGTTGGGATTATTGGCGGAAGTCCTCGTCATGCGGTTTATATCGTTGGATTCCAAGATGACAGTTTCATTAATTTCGATCCACATTTCATTCAAACAACAGTGAACGTTTTAGATAACACATTTGATACATCGGTAAAATAAAACAATTTTGTATTCAATGTTGTTCACCCATTGTCTTTTTTTTTTCTCTCTAGAGTTATTCGTGTACGGCACCAAAAAAGTTAACTGCAAAAAAGATGGATCCAAGTTGTACGCTAGGATTCTATTGTCGTGATAAAGCTGACTTTGAAATGTTTTGCGCACAGGTAAATATGCTCTTCCATCTATCACTATGAATGGTAAGAAATCTCATCAGATAAAATAGATAAATATCACAGAAAATCAACGATAGTTTTCCGCTCGTTAGAAAGTATCAGGCGATGCTCTAGAAAAAAAGAGCAAACTGATTAGTTGATGCCAATGAACGGAGATAATAATGCTTTTCTTGTTTTTTTTTTAGTGGAGTCACATCTGTCATGTGGCATCCGGTGATCGTCGTACGTGTCCCATATTTCGAATCGAACGTGGAACATTTCAAGAAAGTCACTCACGTACGATCAATTCTGATTATCCATTGTTGAATGATGACGAAGATGTTTTTCTTCGCGTCACCAAATTACCATCATGTAATACATCTCCACTATCAACAGCTAAAAAGCATTTTCTTGTGAATACTTCAACAAATAACAGCACATTTCGTGACTCATGGGATGATGCCGGTCGATCATTAAATGATAATACTGATGATCGTGTACATTCTCTTTCCGATGATTACGTTTTTCTATAATTGAATATACCGAATACAAAAACAACAGAAAGAAACAATAATTCTAGTCATGATTATTGTATAGCGATTTGTTATCCTACAGATTATAAATCTTTGGTTTGTGAGCGTGAATTGCGTGATAAATTTACATGTACACATATAAATATATCTATTTTATTTATTTATTTATTTATTTATTGAATAAGATGTGATTTGTTGCTTTGGATTTTAGATGATATCTTCGTTTATTGTGATTTCGTGAGTGACGAATGGAAGTGTGTGAGATATTTTCTACAAATTTCTCTTTAGTACTTTATTAATCAATGCGGGTGCAGTGATTAATACGAAATTGTATGTGTTTATGTATGAAAAATCATGTGTTTATAGTGAATCATTTTTAGGAAACGAAAAGAAATTGGTTTTATGATTGATAATCCATCGATTGGTAAGTCAAAGAAAAGAAGAGACAAAATTACTGTGTCACTAATACTCTTGGTTTCTTTTTCAACTGTTCTCGAAGAAATAGAAATTTCTTTGTTGATTTTAGGTGATAAGATCCGTGAATTCTTTGCTAGTTTGCAGTATTTTCGAGTTTTTATTGCTCTTTGGAATGTGATAGTTATCTTTCTTATGTTCACGTAAGTAACAATCTTTCTCAACGATTGTTTCAATGTAGTTTACTCAATTAAAGTATGTTTGGTTATTGAATATTGATCCAACTGGTGATCTATCAAGCAATCTCGTGATAATTTCTTCTAATCCAGGGTACATAGTCATATTAACGTATCTCTTCTCGAAATCTCTACTTTTATTTTATATTACTCTACTCACTGAATTTCGTTTTTTCCTTCTTAGCTATATAATTGCCACTTGTCTTTTTTTCTTCTCTTCTTTCCCATATGGTTCATTCAATATGACGAATAACTGTTAACTATATTCTCCTGTCTTTCTTTATACGAAAAAAAAATCATATTCATTCCTCTTTCTTTCTTTTTATTCTTGTATTATACGTTCTATACAGACCTCTTTCATCGCTTTTGAGTATATGTATACACGACCTCGAAACATAGTCGTTACCATCTAGAAGATGATCGATGACTAACGCTAGTGGTAACTAACGTATCTATGAAGATCTCATTGGTTCGCGATTTAATCGGAGAAATTTAGACGAAAGGCTTAGATCATTTCAGATTGATTATCGGATGTGTGTCGATGTCACCACACTCATCACGACTGCAAGTGGTGACAACACCATCATATGTGTCAGATGTCGATGTCAAGACTAAACTAAAATCTCATCATCGCCGTTCGCAAAAAGCTTGTTCGACGGAACGTCTTCCGGCTCTATTCGCTTGGCTACTTCTTCTAAGCACTTCGTTTACGTACTGGATCTGTATTCTCCCAGAGATCATTATTCTTTTACCATCGTTTTATTTATTGCTTCTTTTCCATTGTTTTTTATTTGCGCTACTATGTGGCAATTTTGTACTTGCAACTTATATGGATCCAGTAAGGCATATTTCTGTGAAATCTTATTATGAATACGGAAACATTGGTTTTAGGGTGTTTACGAACAATCTACACAAAAAGAACATTCAGATGTGAGCTTCTATACACGTCCATCGAAACGAAAAGGAGCTACTGATACAGATGACGACGACGATGACGCATATGAACCTCAAGCACGACTTGTTTATATTAATGAAGGTAAAAACTATCTGTTTTAGTGCAGTTCTGTACTTCTGTCTGTTAAATTTAGGCCCCATTCAGATGAAATATTGTCGGACTTGTAAATTATTCCGGCCACCACGATGTTCGCATTGCTCAATTTGTGAACGATGTATTGATGTAAGTTGAAACGTATTGACGAGCAACGAGTATTCTCTTTCAATGGATTTTTTTGACGATCGAGTACCGTATAAAATGTAAAGTTGTATTGTTTTGATTTCATACTTATACATTATTCGATACCTTATACATCGAGTAACAAATAGAAATCCGATCCATTTACCTTCGTAAATGTATTTCTGACAACATTGTGCATAGAACGACATATTGATGTTCCTCAGCATGAATTTTTCATTGCAAAATTTTCTTTTAGACATTCGATCATCATTGTCCTTGGTTGAATAATTGTGTTGGTATGTAATCATATGAAAATGAGCTTGATCTTGTTTTATTCTTCGACTCTTCATTCTTTAGGTCGTCGTAATTATCGTTATTTCTTTCAATTTTTATTTTTACTCTGTGTCCATATGACATTCATTTTTGTATTTTGTTTGTACTATGTACTTCGTGGTCGTCACCGACAAGTGCTCACATCCAATATGGTGACTGACGCCTATGATTCGCTAGTTCCGACGAGTGAAACTGATATATTAACAACAACTGTTCTTTCTAAAACGATGTTCATTGGCTTTTCGGACTATCGATTCATTATTTCCATTGTTCTACTCATACTCGTTGGTCTCCTAGCAATTCCAATATTTGGTCTAACTGGATTTCATGTGTATCTTGTTGCACGTGGTCGCACAACAAATGAACAAGTCACAGGAAAGTTTCGTCAGCAAGGCGATGTGTTCACGAAAGGACTTATTCGAAACTTTGCCCATCTCCTATGCCAACCTTTATATCCTCAATTGAAAGCGCCTAAACCTAAACGGTACAATGTTGCGTTATTTGAAAAAATGGCCTATGAAAATTATCGTCTACCAAATGGCAAGACGAAATCGTCGAAGAAAACTGCTACAAAAGTTGTCTACGAAGTGACTAAGGAAGAAGAACAAAAACGACCCAAACGAAAAAAGAAAAGAGTTGTACGAGATGAAAATGGAGGAGAGATAAAACCAAAACCTGCTATACATGTGAATCCACTAGATGAAAATGGTAAATCTACTTTCCTTATCTTTCTTGACAGTTTCTCAAAGCAATCTTTTTAGTTGCAAAACATCGAACAAAACCATCTTCTAATAAACCAATAAAAATTCCTGAACAGCAGGTAAGCTCTCGTTGAACATGCTGAGAACTAATATCAAATTTCAATCGTCTCATTTCATAGCCAACATCGTCAAGTTCGCAATTATCCTCGTCATCATCATCTCCAATTCAACCGATCAAGACTCAATCGAAACCGAAGACAAATCTTCCACGAACTCTATCAAATGTTTCATTATCATCACGTTATTCCTACGATAACATGGACGAGAACGAAGAATACATTTTCGATATTCATGGTCATCGTCAACGACCCACTCCTGGCACACCTAATGATTATCTTACAAAAGTTAATCATACGAAGAGAATGAATACAATCAATAGTGATCTTCAAGGTGACACAGCATCCACCACTAGTGCTATGACGCTCCGTACAGAATCCTATCGGCAAGCGCATCCACTTCAATCCTTTGCTTTTGATTATCCCAAACAACCACTACTGTCTCAGTCGTCTTCAAAAAAAGATAATTCACACGCACCTAATAAACATTATGAGATCTCTGTTTGAAGAAAGAATACGTTTGTATTTCTGTGATTATCATAGCCATTTATTTTTTTTTCTTTAATATTATAATCGTTGAAATAGTTGAAGATTTCTTTAGAGAGTAAAACAAAAGCTATTGTTGTTTCCTTTTCTTGTTTTTTTTTTGTTACATAAGAATGTTTGTTTGTTTTTTTTTCCTTGTTAGTTAATCGAGAGTGAACGCTTAGGAAAAGCACAGAGCAAGCGAGAGAAAATGAACATATGTATCTGTATTAATAATCTTCTTTTTTCCTTTTGCTTAATCATCGGTATTTCGCTCACAAAAAAAGCAAATTTCTATTTGTTGTTTCTTTTCATATTCTCTTTGAAAAAGAGCAAAAAAGCAATGTTCACTAATTCGTATATTTTTTCTTTTCTCTAAATACTAACAACGTCCACGACAGGATTTGCACTCACATCGAGTGATCTGAGGATATTGGATGATTCGTTGTTGTTGATCATCGCATGTAACTGAAATCTGCCGGTGGATGGTTACATTCGGCGAACAACAGTTTACTAGACGATGATGTTGTTGTGCCGTAGACTCCGCATCCCAATCATCAGTTAACAATTCTTCTGAATAACATTGACCGTCACAACGTGTTGTTTCGATATACATAGGCGTCGTTAGACAGTTTTGTACTCGTAATAATTCGGTGTAAATTTCCACATCACAAGACTCCATCTTCGACAAATCTGCATCTGTTGATATAAACGCACATAAGACAAAATATAGGATAAGAATATTTATAGACATCATTGTGCTTAACGAGTAAAAAGAATATGGAAAGAAAGTAACTCAAAAACGAGCTAATCTTTTCCTCTTTCACGGAATAAAACATCTTTTCTTCATCTAATAACTTTTTTCGCTACATCCACATTTATTTCTTTTGCCAGTGAAAACAACAACAAGAACAAACATAGTAATGTTAATACACAGAAAAAAAAGGACAAAGTTGTATACAAAAAATAGAGACAAGCGCACAAGTTCATACATACAAATGTGTCATTCTACAACAAATAGTACACACACAGAGAAGGAAATTAATTTTTTTTTCAGAACTTGAGCATCGTACGTTTAATCTTCATCATCATCGTCGTCTTCATCATCATCATCGTCATTATCTTCATCCGATGACTTTGCTTTTGATGCGCCCTTCTTGGGTGCTGCTTTCTTTGGTGATTTCTTGGCTGGTGCTTTTGCTCCACCTTTAGTAGCTTTAGCCGGTGAACCGCCACCGCCACCACTCTTTTTGTATTCCGAAAGACGTTGTTCGTACTTTTGTTTTTCAACACCTGCTTTTTGTTCATAACGTTTTTTCACATCATCACTAACAAAGAGACGATATATTAGACCTAATCGAAGTGAATGAACACGCGATTCTTACCTGACTTTTTTCCATCGTGCGCCGATTTCTTTGGAAATATCTCCAACAGACAAGGATGGATTCTTTTTCTTAATATCAGGTCGTTCATCTTGTGAAAAGAGAAAGAATGCTGATAATGGTCGTTTTGGAGCATTTGGATCTTTGCTTGCTTTCTTCGACGTTCCAGAAGCTGCACGAGGCATTGTTTAGACAATTGAAGAAACTAATGTGATAATCTATAAGGGAGAAACGACCACCTTGCTAGTGAAGCAACTGAATTTGAACACACAAAACAAATGAATAAATACGATCGTTGCTTGCTTTCATTAGAGTGAACAACGAACAAGAGAAAAATGTGACCTAGTCAGGCAGTGATGAAGAGGAGAAAACGCACAAACATGACGTGTATGTCTCTCTCGCTGCATTTTTTCTAAACATAAAGCAGTCATGTATGTGTTCGTCTCCGTCTGTCTACGTGAAGAAGCACACACACACACACGCACATACACTGTAAATGTGAAAAGGAAAAAGAAAGAGTGAAGAATAACGACGACGTCCACGACAGTGTGAGACAGCTTGCTTGCTTTCTTGCTCGTGTATGTGTTCGCGCATACACATAAAGGAGTGTAACAGCAGTGTAATTTAAGCCACAGTGGCTGAGAAAAATGGCAAATAATTTGCTACAATTATATTCTATGGAAGAAAATGATGTAGAAACTAAGTCTTAATTCTTCGGTCTCGAATCAAAGTGTGCTTGAGAAAGAAACATCTTCTGCAGTGTTTTTCTTCTCATTTCAAATAATAATGACGATAGAGTAAACAGCAACTTTCATGCTCTAGTAGGAAGCCTGACCAATGTGTATAACATATTATTTTCGGAAAGTCATACTTTCTTCTGCTATAAAAACAGAAAGATTATTCCTTAAAAATGTGTGCTAATCTTTACTCAAATATTCACAAGACAAAGTAATTATCGTACTGTTATTGAAAAAGGGATTGAAATTCAGATAATTCAATGATACGATACGATGTTGTGAAGTTCATAATGACAAGAATAGATTCGCTTTGACTCGTCTCAGGCGATGGATAGGTGATACTAGCAACAAGTATCATGTTCAATATGCAACTTAGATAGAAGAAGAATATGAAGTTCATGTTGCAGCTTTTCGATACCGTTCCCTTTTGTCCATCATCGTCGAATCGTGTTTTGAAAGTGCCGCATGAAGTTCAACCACAGGGCGAAATTGCTGACGCTTGAACATTCACGAACTAGTGCCACGCAGCTATCTATATTCGAAAAAAATATATAAGAAAATAGGTGTTAATTCGAATTGTAGAAAACGTTGTAACTTGGTTGGAGCACGGACTCCGGTGAAAGTATCAATGATCGAAAAAGTTTATAATCGGTCGACGTAGTATTTGCTTTCTAGCAATATATCGTCACTGACAAAAAAAAATTGAAGAAAAAGTAAAGAGTAATTGCATCAGTAAAAAAGGTTTGGTCCCTATGAGGATCGAACTCATGACCTCCGCGTTATTAGCACGGCGCTCTAACCAGCTGAGCTAAGGGACCATGTCTGTTTTCGTTCTCCAGCCTCGTATCGTCGATAACAATAAAAAAATACAGCTATTTCATGTCCGTTATCTTTTTATTGCACAAGAGCAATAAATAAAAGAAATATTTCTAATGAAGCGCTGTTTGCAACAATCTTTATTTATATTTATCTACAAAATGTTCATTTGCCACGCACACGAAAAAATTTACAGAAAAAAACAAGACGATAAGCGGATCAGCAAAGAATAATATGTAAAACTAAATCTGACACAGGTTTTATATTAGGCATGTCGCAATACCAATACTCGGTATTGAAAATTGGTATTGAGTCTTGCTTTTGAGGAGTATTGATGGCATTGAAGGTATTGGTATTGATTAGTATTGATCAATACCTTGTCAATTTCTACACTCATTCTCAATTTTACCAAGTGCCATATATAGTATTGAACACATATGGAGCGACGCTATTCACGGCACTAGACATAATTGGAAATGGTTGTAGAAATTGACAAAGTATTGATCAATACTAATCAATACCAATACCTTCAATACCGTCAACACCTGCCCAATATCAATACCCAATTCCCAAGAGTATTGGTATTGCGACATGTCTATTTTATATACATTTGCGCATGGTGAACAAACATTACTTTCATAACGCATTCGTGTTTTTAAGAACCGATTGCCCATGGCAAACCTTCTTTGGCAAGAATATATTTGATACCTTCTAAAACATCTTGTTCAATTGTTGTGGGTACTTTCCATGGGATTTTGCCATCGAGTTTTTGTTTATTTGGATCATAAACACCGGTACATACAAGAATTGACTCGCATGATGTTGCACTTAGAAATTTCGTATCAGCAAGTAAACTGTAACCACTGATACTTCCTTTGATGTTCATTGCTTGTTGTAACAAATGATTGTACATATTGGCTCCGACAATATCTACATCAGGATTATCGCCTATGAAGTAGATTTTTTCGATTTTTGGTTGTCCATTAGCCAAGGCAATTTTATTTGCGACCATTTCAGCATATTGGTACGATATTTCGAACGGTTTACCAACAAAGGATGTGTATTTGAGATCATTTCCACTTAGGTTCTAAATGGCAAGAGAAGAATATGTCATTCAGATTGAGAAGAGAACGTTCTATTCGTACTCTATACAATGCTTCCAAACATGTCAGGAAAGCCCCATGACCAAATCGTGGTAAATCAGCTGCTGCCTTGAATACCAAATCTCGGTTACAAGCAATGATTGGAATATGATCTCGATCGAGATTGGAATCATCAGGAATGACACCTGGATTGCCATCAGTTAGAAGAAGGTCAGTTATGACTTGTAATGATCGTTCCCATTGGACTGGTTCACCGAGTAAAACAATACCTTTTATTTAGAAAGATAATAAATATATTGATTCCAAATCAAAGGAATAAACCTACCGTCAATAGGACGGAAATTTTCATCGCGGACAAGACCTTGTGTTTTAATCATTTCACTCTATAAATAACGCAATGAAACATTCATTTTTTAACATTCATAGTCTTTTCTACGTACTAGCTGAACTCGATTCAAATGATTGACCATATCCAATTCTGGAAAGGCTGTGCAAACTTTTTCAATAGTTGTCATACTTTTGAAGCCAAGCCTTTAAAGTAAGAGAGAAAAATATTACTATTGAAACCCAATAGTAACACATACGTTCGGCCGATTTCTTCAACAGGTCCTTGTCCAGATATAAGAACATGCTTGTTATGATACTCGGTCAATGAGCGCATTGGCGTTTGAGCAAGCACAACTTGTTCTGGGTGAATCTATAGTAGGCATTGTTAATGATGAGGGCAGAAATCCCGAGTTATCAACTCACTGTGACACCGAGTACAGCGGACAATTGTTTGGCCTTATCTGCTTCGAGCATACATGTATTGGATACAAAGACAACTGGCACTTTGAGTTGAATCAATTTTTGAATGGCTGGTTTGGCAACAGTAATGAAATTCGGACCTTTGGTGATGACACCATCAATATCAAAAAGACAGGCGAAGTTTGGCTATTAAGAAGCAAAATATAGTTATACAAAGATTAAGTGCAATTGCTTTATCTACCGTTTTCATTCTTGAAATAGTTGGCTTTCAATAATGGGTTGCAGATGTGATTGATAGACGAGATAGTTTGTTGTAGCAAACAAGGACGTTTTTTTTTATAAATATGAATGAGCGGATTTCTGAGCTCTATATATACTTGGCCAGACACGTTAGAAGCACGAGGGGTGTGCGTGCACTGACAACAAGAGAGGAGGGCGAGAAGGCTGGTCGTAGAATGATGCATTTCTTTAAACTCTATTGTATTCATGATGCTCATGTGATCAGCTAACTTCGTTCTCTTAGTCAGCTGATATGTGCGTTCTTGCTCAGAATCACACGCTCAGCGAATGGTAAAATATATATTTTACCATGTTTTGTCGTTCTTTTCAATCATATGATGTTATGACGTTGTATGTGGTGTTAGCGAGGTAGAGAACCAAGTCCATGTTTTTTCCATTCTGCCAACATGTAAGAAGAGACAAGCAAGAGAATTTATTGTGCTTATTACTCATACAGCTGCACGCACAAATGCATATTTTTGCGGACATAACCGATCGAGGCAAGATTTCTTGCCAACGAAGCACGCGCAGAGTAGATGCGATGATTTATTGATGACAGTTAGATTAACCTGATCGCATCATGTGATCTTTGTATCGTACGACTTTTCTTTGAAAAAAGAGAATTTATGTTAATTTTATACCAGAACTCTTATGATGATTGACCTAGTAGCAGCAATTTTTGACTTTGAAACATTATGAAATGTTAAAATACTTGAAGAACATTCCAAGTAACATGAATTCGATTCTTCGAAAATAGGACAGTTTCACGCGTAATTTTATCAATCGGTAATCGATTATGTTTAGTTGATTACGTCGATAAGGGTTGACGAAATTTTTGTACTAAATGAAAGATAAGTTCGTCAAGGCCACAAAAAAAGGGGGAGTGTTTTATGAGAAAATATTGAAAGGCATTGTCGAAAAGTATGCACGTGCTTTTAATCTGGTTATTGCATCTTGTTTTTGTTTGATCGGTATTTGAGAAATAATAAAGTCCAACATGTCTTCTGATAAGAAATGTTTGAGTTCGTTCTTTGTTAACGAAATAATATTCGACATATACCAAGCCTCTTTCTCTGTCATGTGATCGTCTTTATGTACAAGAGATAAAAAAATATCGCCTCACTCTTAACCTTATATTTGCCCTTGTGTTGCTTTTCGAAAAAGAGAAATATCGAAAACAATGACATTGCATCATTTGCCTACAATTATCTCATCATACGAAAAACATCACATCAATATCACGTTTGAGATATCGTCGTGTTCGGTTTAATTAATGACGATGAAGTTCTTTGCGATACAGCTGTTTCGCATTTGAATTCATTCAGAACTTCAATGTAGTGCTGATAAGTAACAAATATCTTATCTCGCAAGTACTTCTTCTTTGTATTTGTACTGAAGTGAGAGTTCTTTCAACTGATGTTTTTGTCAATCGAGCTTTTTTTATATAGTTCACGATATCAAATGGAATCCGGAGAGGAAATTGTCATTTGTTCACTGAGTTGAACATAATTTCTGTATTTCAAACCGATTTGATGCTAATCTCATTTATTAATAGAATCATTTATGAAAAAATGCAACAAAGTATAGTGATATCTCTGTAATTTTACTGTTATATATGTTTCTTCGACCAGCTTCATATGTGATACTTACGCACACATGAACATGCGCGTGTTTTCATATTGGAAGAAATCATTGAATCTTGACAAATGAATTTCGCGATCATACAGTAGAATGTTAGTTTTACAAGGTGAATAAAGCCGAAATGCTCGATGTGAAACTAGTACCACGAGTTCAAATATACTTCTGAAGAGTGGGGAACTGTATAGACGGTGTGGTGAAGTTTTTGACTTCGGATAACAAATCGTTTACAGGGAAGTTTCCATATGATTATTAACTATTGCAAGAAACATTATCGTTATCTTAAATTGAGATTGATCAATTAGCAACAGGAAGATTCTATTTAAAAAATTGGAATAATCTAAATAAATGTGGAATTTTAACAACATGATTATGCACATCAATAACGTAGTTAGTCTGTAATAACCGAAAAAACATCACTAGTTGTTGCTGGTAGTTTGTGCATATGATTTGTTCTAAAACGTAATTTTCAAACCATATCTAATAGAAAATGAGCGGTTTTGTAGGAAAACAGTATGTTCACATGTCCATGTATGACTAACACGATGATGAACGAGTTACTGGTATTGAGTTGAAAAAATTCATTTTGACAGAAAGATAATATTATACATTCCATGCCATGTTATCTATTATGAATGGCTACGTCGGAGTCTCATCGCGAGCGACAATATGAAATGAATGAAGAAGATCAATTTAACTACAAACTAATATACTGATTGTTATACGTTGAACGCTTCATTTTATTTCATTGGCAAATTTCGATTTTTTTTCAATCGGAATACATAAATCCTAACTTGCATAGCGTAAAACAAAGGAGCAATCGGAGTTTTCAATTGAAACAAGCAACAAGGATCGAGTCAGTAGATACTTTCCATTGATCTCAAACAAACAATTCCTCTGAAAAGAGAACTTATGCTTCAAAAACGCCCATATGTTTCGTGTTTTTCTTTCGTTCAGAATGAGAAACGACGAACGCGAAGGTGGTCCTCCTCTCATTCCCATGAAAGACCAGACGCGCGCAGCAATTTCACGCGAATTTTCCGTTTTCGTGTCAAATTCTTCGACTTACATATTCATCCAAGTAAATCATCAATGACAGGATATGAGTGAAGCACTTCCACTGACCAAAAACATTTTGGCACGACAACTACACGAATATACTCTTTCTGCGAACCGATCAAATACAAACTATGAATGTTTCAATAAGGAAAACTACAGATTGCATTTAAGAGTGTACTCATTGCTTCGTCAAGACAGATAATCAACGAAATAACCTATAACTATACTGTATTGAATGTTATTCTTTCTGTTTAGCTACATTCAGTTCCATGCTGATCATGAAGAAGACTACGCGAAATAAATGACATTCAAATCATGACAACTATCAGTTGCATACTTGAAAAATTTTAATTACAATATATTTCTTCGGTAAGTTTAATTACTCTGTCAAGAAAATATCTGCTATACTTTTACATTACAGTTCATCTCGATAGTTTTTACGAAGCCATCAAGATGTTCATATGCATACGATGCCGTTGCCGAAGAAGACTGACTTATACGCATGACATGTTCTGATCAGATATACTCTTTCATGTCTTCTCGTAGCTAATCTGCTTGAGACTGATACATTCAATGATCAAATGCTTTAAAAAAGCTCATCTATCAAACATTAAACAATAAGGTAGATTCATTTAATTAGTATATGACACCGAACTCCATAGGCAAAGTCAAACAGTATAAATAAGGTAGATTTCCAAACGACTGAGAATATTTATTCTTGATACTTGACAGAATTCAAATGATATTCTGCTTCTGGCTGCTGTGTATGAATTATCGAGTAGAAACATACTACATTGAGGCAAGAATATTCAACAAATGAGTAGTTCCAATGGACCATGTATCGACTGGAGAACATCGATTTCTAGTCGACTAATTTGTTTCAATCAATAATAGATAGAGAAGAACTGTTGAAGCTTGAGAGAGCGAAATTAAAATAAAAAACTCATTTAGAGATCATAGCGGTTGTTATTTAATGATTCGTCGTCACGAATGTCAATCAACATGTTTCCTATGCTTGCCATTTTAGAATAGAAAGAAGAAAAAGAACGAACATGTATATATATATATCTATTTACCAATTTCATGACATCTAGTTAACTTTGGCTTCGAGCTAAAGTTTGCCTTTGTTCATTAAATCCGATAGATATACGAGGCGAAGGAAACCGAAAATTATCATTATTGTCATCGTTCGGAATGGCACAGGAAAACGGCGAAGAAAAGAAAGAAAGGAAAAGCTGAGTAGAAGAAAACAAATAAAAGACGATTTGAAAGGGAGAAAGAAGATACAGATGAGTAATAGATAATCTGGCAATTGTTTGACTCGTATTCCAATTTCAACACTTATTGACATATTTCTAGCTTTTTGTGTTTTAGAAGTGCTTAGAATGTCACGTCAATTTGGTTCAATATATAGTGGGTATGTGCTATGTTTCTACACATTGCAGTTTGTTATTAAAATGTATTTATCTTGAGTAAATATCGGTTAGAAATACTAGGAGCGAAAAGAAAAATATTCTCAAGTGTTGTTTTCTAACTTTTCTTTTCTCGTTGAATAATAACATTAAGAAATAATGATATAATTTGTAGAAAACATTGTCCGAACAAACTCGTAAGTGAAGTACGTGTGAAACGACACATTTTTGAAAAACAAAAAAGAATGCGTAGACGCTTAGGTGATAATTATTTCAGCAAAACTATGTAATTAGATGAGAAATGCAAAGAAAAGAGGCCAGCGATGAAATGTATTTGTACGCTGATTTCGTACTTGACTAGATTATTTATTGTAAGAGATAAACGATAGTTTTTGTTATTAGTACTTTTCATTTCTTTACGCTTTCGACTTATTGTTAGTTATATCGAGAGATTCAGAATGAATTGAATTAAAGCCGTAATTGAGCGATTAGATTGAGAACAAAGAGTACAGCCTTGATTCACTTTTGTCAAAACACAATTCTTGAAGATAAATAGTAAAAGTTTCACAGAATATAATAGCATCTTAGCTGTCATTAATATCAGTTCAACTATAAACTGGAATAAAAAAAGAAAATGAGGAACTAGACGTCCTTTTTTTTCTCTTCATTTCTCATGTAAAAGACGAGTTCGACAAATATTACTTCTATGTTTGTTATCTACACAATTTAAAGGAGAAGTCGACATCGTTTTCATTCATTATCGGAAATTATAAATCACAATCAGTGCACTGTTTTGTTCATAAAAAAGAAATGACTTTTTCTTTAGAACCAGCGGAGGGAGTATTGATCCTTCGTCGGGCATATCAAATCGTCCTGTATCATTAGCTAATATCGCAACTGCGTTCTTAAGCGAACGAAAAACTTCCGCGCGTCGTTCAAGTAGTGGACCGCGAAAACAGCGATTAGCCAGCAAAGGACAATCTATTTCCATTTCTAAACGTCAATCAAGTTATACGACAACAACAGATGAAATCCTAGGTGGCCGACGATCATCGGTTGACAATATGAATGACGTTATTGCAACACTTTTTTCATCTCATAATGGACCGACTAATAGTGATAATAAACATCGATCTAATGCAATGGTAAAGTATCATTTCCGTTTCTTATTGTTGATAAGCTTCGTACTTAGTCATTAACGAAATGAAGAATCTGATAGTTAGTGAACAATGGCATTACAAATGTGATCTATGTTGAAGCACTCGAAATGGCGCATAGGAAATGATTTCCTATTGTTGTCCGATCTCACTTCATCGAATGAAATACTTAGTAACATCGTCATCTTAACGAGTGTAGGATACTGCTCATGAATCGAACGAATATTTTGTGATGTTTATTACTATTTTTCATCTTTTATGACCATTCTTAGTGACATGGATTATGTTCTTTCTTTTTTTTTCTATCGACATAAATATTTGTCAAAAATCTAATTGACCAAACTACCTTAATGTTCTAATCTAATTTGAACATATAACCGCCTATGTAATCGTTGATGCGATTGACTAATGTCGCTGTTTTTTTTTCTCTCTCGTTGTCGAATGTGACAATTAATAGTTTGTCAGAGGAGAACCTTATCATTAGATTGTCTTCTGACAATGTCTACCAAATCAAGTTAGAGTACGTTTTGTTTCCTTTTTAATTTTTATCCTTTTTCTCCGTCTTTACTCTCTTATCACACATTATAAGGATGAGAATAAGAAAAAGAAAAAAATTCTTTGCATTTTCATTTATTCTGAGAGGACTAAATTGACTTCGAATGCATCTGGATTTACCGACGAGCCAACAATTGCAAACTTCATCTTTAGAGATGGATCCGATTGTGTCGCCAACGCGAAAAAAGCTAGCTGTTAACCTAAGTTACACATCCACATCGAGTCTTCTTGATGGACAACGTGTCGCACGTCTGAGCAGTTTGAGTAGTAGCTACGCTCAGTTTTTAAAACAACGTGATATGGATAAGAACAAGAAAGTTGTAAGATTTGATCACATATATTTGTTTATGTTTCGTATTATTGTCAAACTGTATGGATTCGTATTCGGTTTTAGTTATCACAAGAAGATCATCGTTTGCTGCTATCATCCAGTGAATGGATAGAAGATGTTAAAGATAGTGATCCCTACGTATCTGTGTGTAGTCGATTAGGTAAGATCTAAACGTAAAATTTTTCCTTTGTCTGCAATGTTTTCTTTGTTTTTTTTAGGTGAAGCCATTCAAGATTCGGAAACTTATTTTGAATTTGTCAAAAAATCTTTCTCAATTATTACACATACATGTGAGAAATCAGCTATTCTTCGTTGTAACAAGACTACATTACATTTCCTGAATAAGTCATGGAAATCCTTGTGGATTCTTTCCTTTTCCATCGATGTCCCGTCGGTTTGTCAAACTTAGAGATATTTTTAAAGAAATACGCTCAGAATGAACGAATAGTTATTCTTCGAGGAATTCTGTCATCCGCTATTCTCGTCTTTCTTCAAGTCCTTATTAATAATAGAGCGGTAGTTTCCCAAAAAAGGAAATCATTGTTTCTCCTTTTTTTCCAATTTAATGAAGTAGAACATTTATTTTAGTTGTTGCTACAGCTTTATTAATCCTTTTGACGATTTTTCAAGTGATACTATTTTTCATGGGTATGAAAATACAATGTTTATCTTTTACTGCCTATCCATAAACTTCGTCTTTCAGGTGTTAAATATCTCAATGACTGTCCAGTGCAACCTAATTTACCCGTTTATCTGCTCGTTGCGGGTTCGATGGGTCTTGTACGTGTACTAAATTTGTTATGGAAGCAGTTTCGTCGACGACGAATGCGTAAACTAGAAGGCGTCGAACTTGATCAAGAAGAAGAAACTGAAAACGGTTTGTTTCACACGTTGTTCTTTCTAACAAACGAACATTCTTCAACATTTAGACGGATCTGACTTTACCGATGCTGTTCTCAGTCTTTTCCTATTCGGATGGTTTATCGTTGGTCAATATTGGGCGTGGAGGATCTATAAACCAAATTTCGAATTTGGTTTAAGAAATCCGGAAAATTATTGCCACCGGAATGTTTATATATTTACACTGGTTCACATTGGATTTGTCTATGTCATGTTTTTGGCTGCCATTCTTTTTCTTGTTGCTTTGACGTGCTGTGCTAGATTTCCACATTTGATTGTGAAAACACCGCGTTAATGAAGAAGAATATATATATATATAAAGGCGGCTTAAGGAATACGTGTAAGACATTTAATAAGGAAAATAAACTAAAATATAATCGTAAATAGAGAAGTAGAAGCACAGTACTACACAATATGAAAGTGATGAGAAGACGAAAAATAAAGATGAAAAAAGGAATCAAAGTGTGTGTTCTCACTGATTTCTCTGTACAACCTAACACCGGGAGGTACACTCTTGCCGTTTGTTTTCAAACATAATCGACATAGAAAAGAAAAATGAAGAGACAAACCAGACGAACATCACACTGATAAAAAGAAGTAGAATGAAAAATAAAACAAATGAAAACTGTTCTAATTATGTAATAAAGGATCAAACTAAATAGGATTTTCGTTTCGAGAGATCTATTCAACTACGGATGTATTGGATAGTCGACTAGTTTTTCTTGAAAGCATTGTCGCCAGCGTATGTTGCGTTACTACCAAGCTCTTCTTCGATACGTAATAATTGGTTGTATTTTGCTAAACGTTCAGAACGGCAAGGTGCTCCAGTTTTGATCTTAAAACATCGAACAAAAACTTCAGAAGTCATCAAATCAAATATCGGTTCTAACCTGTCCAGTACCCAGACCAACGACAAGATCGGCAATAAAGGTATCTTCAGTTTCACCACTACGATGACTAACCATAACACCCCAACCAGCACCACGAGCCATAGTGCATCTGAAATGTTTCTCCGAATGAGATAAATGGTGTTCTAGGAAAATGTGTAACTTACGCTGAAATGGCTTCGGTAACCGATCCAATCTGATTAACTTTGAGTAGAAGGCAATCACATGCATTCTTCTCAATAGCTGTTTGGATTCGTTTGACGTTTGTCACTGTAAGATCATCACTAAATGAAACGAAAATCGCGATTAACTGAACATTTCTTTCGCGCTCCTCTTTACCCGACAAGTTGAACACTTTTGCCTTTGACTGAAGTAAGAAGGGTTTGAAAGCCAGTCCAATCGTCTTGTTCGAAACCATCTTCAATCGATATGATTGGATATTTTTCAATTTGTCTCAAGTAATAAGCAACCATTTCATCACTTGTTAACTAAAATAAAAGAGTAAATGAAACGAACAACAGTACTTAGAACAGGATTTACTTACATAGTTTGGTTTGCCCTTTTCTTTATTATTTAAATCATATTTCTTCTCTTGTTCATCGAAAAATTCACTAGCAGCAACATCCATGCCAATCTTTATTTTACCAGTATAACCTGCTTTTTCGATAGCTTTGACAAGGATATCAAGGGCTGAAAAGGAAATGCGTCGTTAATTGGCAAGTTATTGAACAACGAAATGTTTTATACCTTTTTCTGCACTTTCAATGTTTGGTGCAAAACCACCTTCATCGCCAACGTTCGTCGCATCAAGGCCATATTCAGCTTTGATCCTAAAAGAAATTTTCTTGTATGAACAAGTCATTCATCAACACAGAATAAATTGGCTACAAGCTTTTTAAATGATGGTATACTTCTGAACCCATACGCATGGCTTCCTTGAATGATTTAGCGCCAGTTGGAAGCAGCATGAATTCTTGCATGGCAAGTTTGTTGCCAGCATGGCTGCCACCATTGATGACCTAGTGAATTTCATTGCGAAATAGTTACGAAGTAAAAGAGAACAGACTTACATTGAAAGCGGGTACGGGTAGACGAATCGCTGAATTTGAGAGTTTGGCGATGTATTGATACAATGGTAAATTACTGTGTGCTGCGCTGAAAAGAAAAGAAAATACGTCGATATTTATGAACTACGGACAATGATAGCGATAAATTAATATAAATAAGACTGCCAAACATCCCTTCTTCGAGAGACATGTTTATGTTTTGAATAGATCTCATTTCAATATTAGTGAATAGCAAATTTACCCATCAATTATAAATGATATCTTAAAGAAAGTATTGTAACAAGAAACAAACTGATGACACTCAATGATTCAATACTCATACACGTACCCAGCTTTGCAGACAGCAATTGAAATACCAAGGATAGCATTGGCACCGTATTTCTCTAGAAATCGATATTGTATTTCAACATTGATTGATTGATTTAATTTGAAAATCCAAATAGTACTCACTTTTACTATCGGTACCATCTTCTTGAATCATAAAATCATCGATTTCTTTTTGTTGAGTTACATCAAAGCCTTTCTACAAGAGAACATTTCTAAAATCAATTCACACGTTCTTGAGCAAACAACGGATCAACTTACTTCCACAATCATTTTACCCAACTTTTCAGCATTAGCCACAGCTTTCTCGACACCTAAAACAAACCGTCATTTCACATGAGACAATGATAAATTTTACCTTTTCCATGATGTACACCCTTGTCTCCGTCGCGCAATTCCAATGCTTCGTAGATACCAGTTGAAGCACCCGATGGTACACCAGCTCGAAAAAGACCTATTAATAAAGTGAATGTAATTATATTAACTAAGACCTTATAAACGCATTATGAGGAAAAAGATTTGTTATGCAACAATCTTTTTACAAGGTTTTCTTCTGTTGCCTATTTGGATACGCAGTTCGTTTATTAATATTTATGTTTAGTCTATCGTATGGATATACCGTACCTTTGCTTGTCCAAAGATCGACTTCAACAGTTGGATTACCACGACTGTCGTAGATATAACGACTGACGATTTTGAGGATTTTATCACTCATTTCAGATGATTGCTATGATCTACAAAAACGAGAGAGAATTTCAAATAGAAATATCGATAAAGTCAGACACGACAGGGAAGAAAGTTATTCTTTTTTCCTGTACATGAAAAAACTTACTCAATGTTGGTCAATCGTGTGTCAGCCATGTTGGCCTGGGCGCGAAGGCCCTTTTTTTCTTTCTTTTTTTTCTCTTAACCAAAATCGACGAGAATCGAATAGTGACAGACAAGCCTCCGCAAAAACAATTTCTCTTTCTCTCTCTTTTTTTCTCTATCTCTTCGTTTTAATCGACAAGCAAAAACCTCTATAAGAAGCACTACTCGTCGCGTCGACAACACAAACCTATGTCTCCTCTCGTTGACAATTGACCTTGTATTTGTAAGCGTAAGAATGAGGAATGGAGGAAAAAAACGTCTGATATATTGAGTAAGCGACGAAGAGGAAGACGACTAGAAGGCAGTATGTACCGAATAAAGAGAAAAACGCAAGAGAAAAAGAAGAAAGAGAAAACATAAGGCAGATTCTGTTTCTCTTAAACCAAGGACAGACATGCAAACATAGACTATTACGAATAAGGACATTGACAAGTTCATTGATGAGGACATTTTACGTGAGAACAGATTGATTCCTTAATAGGGCAACAAAATATTTATATATGTACACATGCAAATGACTTCGATCTCATTACGAGTATATCATACTAGTTTGATAAATGAAGAAAAGAAGATGTTGTGATAACTATTAGATTATTTTACAACATGCGAATTCATTTATTTTAATAAAAACCTACGAAAAGAATTTGTTCGTCTCTTTTCTTTCTCTATTGACAAAACATATGTTTTATTCTCTAACTCAGCTGTTTTACATACGCATGAAATTTAAGACATTCCTGTCTTTAATAACAGGAACATCATTCAACCAACAGTATCCTATTATTGTTGTCGTTAACACGATTGAAACACGCTGCTATTCGGAAGTTGGATAATGTACGGATTTCTTCATATACTTATGCTTGTTTTTCTTCCGTAGAAAGAACAGATGAGAGAGAAGAGAAAAAGCAAAATGATAGCGTCTATGATCGTAGAAGAAGTTTCAGAGGAAAACAAAGAAGAGAATTTTCGATTTTTTATTCATATCAAACAATCTAAAGATCCAAAATGGAGGGACAACAAAAGGATGATGATGTTGTTGTTGTTTTAATGTGGAAATCAGCTGACTACAAGGAGTTGAAAATAAACACATGTCCACAAACTAAACTCTTAGTTTTTAGGCGGATTAGGCCATGAACGTGGCGGTGGTAATTCTCTTGGTGCCACCATAGCTGAATAACCTTCGCTGCGTTCTGCTGCTTGCTTCTGTTCAAGTTCAGTAAGATGGTCAACAACTGGACGATAGAACCATCCCTTAGCATCGCCACGTGCATGTTCCAAACGTCGTACTTTACGTTCAAGTGCTCTAGAAAAGATCACATCAAATTGCTAGTGAAGAGCAATGGATTTTATCTTATTCTACTTCATTTTGTCTCTCATCACACGAGCATAGATGGTATGAAGAGAAATTTCGTAACGTTCATCGAACGGTTGAACGACATAACGAGCCATAAAACGGCGAAGTGGATGCTAAATAGACAAATGAATAGTTTGCACTTTGTTCACTTACAGTAGAAGAGGAGAGACAAACTTTGTAATATTCCCAATGTCGCGGCTCGTATCCCTCCGGAATTTCTGTCAGTGTTGCTTGACCTATTAAACAATATTAAAATATGAAAAGCTGATTGTTGTGGAAGATTATACAATACCAACGAATACATTGGCATAGAAGACGACACAAAATGTTGGCACCAATCCGATTAAAAAGTAATAGTGCTACAATAGAGAGAGAGAGAAGATTTCCAAGATCGAATAATATTCTCATATAGTATATCAATAGAAGATAGAGAAACTCGAAATGATTGAATATGACACTTACAAACATGTCAAAGAACTTTCGTTCATGAAATTCCGTTATCATCACTTTCATATTCCGTCCGGAACTCCATCGTTTGACAACTGAAACAAAACTCACAATCGATTTGTTTTCTTCCATTCAACGAATAGATTTACTTGTTTGCAATTGCTCGCTAGGTTTTAACACCGTTTGTAACAACGGTCGAAATTTGCTGAAAAGAACCATCGTATCTAAACAGTTCTTTTGAACATATCTAGAAAAAAAAGTCGATTGTACTGATTATATATTTGCTCAATTTGTTTTTCGAAATTCAAACAAAAAAATAAAATAAAATAAAATTTCAAAAAGTGACACATCGACAAAGTGAAATTAGTACAACACAAATGAAGAAATAAAATGCGAGATTAAATTATTTTCGAAAAGAAAAAGGATTGACAGCAGTTTAGTAGAACTGATCTGACACATCATTCAATGACACAGAGACATTTGATGAAGTTCTCGAATGAATTGACTGCCATCTCGAACTTAAGATCGACCATATGAGGTGTCTCTGATCTTCTTCTTAGTCAACTATCTAGGTGAGAACAGGCATAAGAACAAAACGAAATGTGGTTCTGGTAGAAATGGGGGATGAAGCGAACAAGAAGAGAATAAAGTATGGATAATCCGAATGGTGTATATGTATGCGTATATTGAAGGGAAAAGAAAGTCCAATGACATATATAACTGGACATAAGTGTAACTCGAGAGAGACCTCTGTTGACACTAATATACTCATGTGAAAACTTGTTCTTCTATGCGAGAGAAACAAAGATGAATTTCATTGTAGAATAGAGCGAGCGAAGATTGGAATGCACAGTTCTTCGAAGAAAACAAAAGCAAGGAAGGAATAAGATTGAACACTAAAAAAAATAGAATTCTTCTAAAAGGAATGTTTTTGTGACAAAATACATGCTACGGAATCATATACATATGTATAAATCAACCTAAACGCTTTCTGATGGGTGAATTGGGCTATTTTCGTCTTCATTTGTCGATGGTTCGCGGTGTTCGGTAATATAATCAAGAAATGCTTGACGAATATTGTATGAAAATGGACTGTTTTGATCAACCATTCGTTCGGGATGCCACTGAAGTTATAGAGAAAGTTGAGAAAATATAAAACCGTGAATTGACAATAATTACTTGTACGCCCAGATAGAAAGGCTTTTCGTGTGCATTTTGCCATTGAATTGCTTCAACAATTGGTTCTTCAGCTCTTGCAGCAATTAACAAATTTGTACCTATTGTTTCGACGCATTGATGATGTGAAGAATTAACAGCGCCCTTAACACATCCTGTGATTTCATTGAGGAGAGTTTTTTCTCCAACAGATATTTCATGGCGTTGATCCATACCTGTTTGAAAATGTACAAGACTTTGATGATTCCCGTCATGGAATATTTTCCGAAACTACTTCGATATGTTCTTGATAGTATGTCTGTGCGGGTGAATGTATCGATAGTCATGAAATGATTCATACGATAAGAACGAGGTCAATGGGAGTAACAAGGTCAGAAAGTATATCTCATTCGGCTCCTTTTTCTTTCGAATGTTTAACATATGCTCACGCATTGCATCACTGTTTAAAGAATCATCTCTCGCGTTCATGAACTAACATATCAACAGGTTTTGACTGAGATCGAGTGAATCGTAGTACACGTGGAGAAACAGATAGATACAGTCTATCTATATTGGCAGGATGATTACCTTGAATTTTTGCATGCCCAGTAATATTTGTAACTGTTGGAATATCAAAAATAAGAGTACCACCATGATAAACATTGAATAATTGCATGCCTGTTTAACAACAAACTAGATTAGTATATTTAAAGGACAACAGAAAAATGAAATGACAAACCGCGGCAGATGGCTAAGATTGGCAACTTTAATTTTAGAGCACGTTCAATAATTTCCCATTCAAATTCATCTCGTTTTTCATCAATATCAGTCAATTCTAATCTACCAAGAAGATCAGGCCGTTTATATCGACGTGGATCAACATCCTCTCCACCGGATAAAACAACACCCTCACATTTATCAATATCATCCATATTATTTAAGTTGTACGAAAGACGAATAACATCCACCTTGGTTGGTGCATCCAAAAACCATCGTTCGTAGTTGGCATACCGAGCACAATCGGTAATACCAATACGAATACTGTTCATAGTCACAGGAGTTCTCATGTCAAAGAAATAACAATTGCCGATAACGGCAATAGGAACACTTGTTGATACAAAACAGTAAAAAAAAAACTAAATTGAGTAGGCGAAAAAGACTAGCGACTACTGACGAGATGAAAAGCAAACAACATCGGGAGGAATCAGCTGCTTATATTCCATTGGTGAAAAAACTAGTCAATCACAATTGTTTCACGAGCAGAATATTGTTTTTTAATATTTTTAAAATGAGATTGCTGAAGAGTACACTGGAGATAGTAAAGATTAATTTCGATGATAATAGAACAGCTAATGCGGTTTGTTGCTGGTAGAGTGTAGCGCTCTCTAGGTGTATTTATCGCACATGGTTGCTTTTATACTACAATTACGAATCGGAGTACAGAATCGAGAGAATATTTATCCATTGTACGTCAACTCAACATTTTGTCAATATTATGCTGTCGAAAAACAGAAAGGATTGTGAATATTGGAATAACAGTGGCAGAAAAAGAAAAAATCACTAGACACGTATATTTGAACTCCTCTATGCGAACTATTTCTCGTAGATTTCTCATTGGAACTGACTTACCTCGTATATAAATTAAAATTAGACATGGCATCATCATCATCAACAACAACTACTACTACCGCATCGGTAGTAACAGCAGAACCAAGTCCTCAGTTAAACCAAATCGGTAAGCTTGATGATGGATCAGACCAGAAGAATGCATATCATAATGAGAGCGATACAATCAGAATAGAAGCTAAACGAGATGATCCCTCACGGACGGCTTATAGCGGTATGTATCGATGCTGCGATAAACCTTTTTTCGCTATTCTAAAATTACTTATCTTCTGATGACATATTTTTGCTGTTTGAAACATGTAATCATATCCATGTTTAATAGTTCAATCACGTGGTTATGAACGTGCGGCTTGCAGATGTTCATCAGTACTTTATTCTGGATCACGTAAGACATTACCTGAAGTATATTCTTCACAATCTGTTGTATTTATATCTTTTAGAATTACACTCAAATTTGTTCGGTGGTCAATATAGAGGGTCATCAAACTTTGCTCGACCGTTTGATGAATTCCTAGCAGGACCAGGAAATTCAGATGAGCACAATATAACTGACACGAAACAAGGTGATAATAGCAAATCATAGGCACATCGCAAATATTCCGTATTACATACTTTCGAAGAGCCTATTAACTATTTTTATATATTTAAGTACAGATTATGATATGATATAGTTAGCCGTATATTGACAATAATAAATATTTTGTCCTTGAAGAAATCAATCATATGAGATTCTGCTACGTATCATTCATAGCTGACGTACGAACTTACGTCATATCTCAAGGTTAGAGTTGATTGAAACTATCTGTTCAATTGACGTCAAAGTAGTTGCCAAAACAAACCGATTTCTTTCTGGTATAACCGAAGACGTAATTTCATTAAAAGAAGAAGGTGTATTCAGTTGACGTCCAGATTCATGACGTACGTTTGTTTTTTCGTTAATTAGTGTCTTGTTTACACTCATAAATCAAACCACAGAACATTCATACCTTTCGGACTGCATTCGTCATCCGAAAATAACCTGCACAATATCGATGATAAGAAAAATAGATAAAACAAAATATATCCTAATACTGCGCAATTCAATTAAGAGAAATTGATCGGGTTTAGGCATCTATAAATACTGTGACGAGTACACACCGAATATCATACTTCTCTACAGATAAACTTCAATTCAAACAATGTCACATTTTCCAATTACACACTACCGTTCATTCAATGATCCATTCGATCGCTTCTTTGGAGATCAATTGAATTTCTTCGATCCATGGCGTGATTTCGATACGTTTCCAACAGCTTTCTCAACATTTCCTAATTCATTCCGATGGATCAATGCACCACGTCAAATGAGTCGTCGATCATCATCATCCTATCACACATCATCTTCATCGGGCAATGTAGGTGCTGGTAGTACCCTTCTTCCAATTTCTTCACCATCATTACCAGCTCTTTCTGAAAAATTTCGTGTGCAATTGAACGTGGCTGGTTTCAATCCTGACACAATTCGAACACACGTTGAGGGTCGAAAAGTCATTGTCGAGGCAAAAGAAGAAGATCGTCAAGCCAGTGGTGACTATAGTCTTCGTGAAATCCGAAAGACCTATGATCTTCCTGAACATGCTGGTAAGTCAATCGTTATCTATTGAGTAGATTTACCATTGATATTGTATAGATTCATCAAATTTGGCTTCATTTGTTACACCAAACAACATGCTTGTCATTGAAGTACCTATCCATGCTCCACGTATCGAACGTCGTCCATCACAAACGCTAGCCGATACTCAAGCACTTAGTTTATTTGGTCAATTTCGTGATCCACTTTTTGACTATCCCGGATTTATTGCTTCAGCAGACTTTCGTCCCAGTATTATTGATATTGGTGGTGGACAAAAGCGCATTAAAATGTCGTTGGCAGTGAAAAACTACCGACCTGAACAAATCAAAGTTTCAGTGAAGAATAATGAATTACTTGTACAAGCTGAAAACATTTACAACGATAATAATCGTTCCGAACGGTCGTTCTTAACAAAATCAATTACATTACCACCCGGCACACAAGCTAATGAACTGAAATCCTTTCTGAATTCGGACGGACAACTGGAAATCGAAGCACCATTCATCGAACCTACACATATGCGATCCATTGAAGTTCAACATTGATGAACTATTTCAATACTTGACAGTAATGTTTTTTTCTCTGTATCTTTTATTTTAAATAAATAAAGTCAAGCTCATTTCTGACAAAAAAACGATTGCTTTTCCATGGATGTATTCTCGTTTTGAAAACTGTCATATCAGATCAACTGACATGTGGCCTGACGTTACCTAAATAGACCACACGTTAGAGGTTGATTAGCAAAAGAAAGCGACGAAAAAAAAACAACAGAAAGAAAAAAAGCGAAGAAAAATGGTGAAGCCTTGCGATTCTTCTAGAATGCTCGCAATACTACTCGAATAATTTTCTGTGTGATGGAAAGCTATATATAAATATCCGATTGTCAGATTGTATCAAGCATACAAAAACAACATAATACACTTTCTATTTGTCTGACTATTACTCGCTTCGTTTGAAACAATGGCTTTCTTTCCTATCTATCATTATCGTATACATGATGATCCGGGTGTCCGATACTTTGGAGACCAACTCGACTTTTTTGATCCATGGAATGATTTGAATTCATCGCCAACAGCTGTAGTCGTTGCTCCTGACAGATTTCATTGGGTCAATCAACCGCGACAACAAAGACGCTCTTCAAATACCAAATCTCCGTGTCAACATCAAGTAGCACGAGCGCCGAATGTCGAAAAGTTTCGTATTCAATTTAATGTCGCCGGTTTCAATCCTGAAACGATCAAAACTCATGTTGAAGGTCAAAAGGTAGTCATCCTAGCAAAACAAGAAGAGCGTCTACCTGATGGTGATTATAACATTCGAGAAGTACGAAAATCATGTCCTTTACCTGAACATGCTGGTAAGTCTTTATTTCGAATAGTTTCTATTCTGATTGATTATTTGTCTTTTATAGATACAAATCAATTAGTTTCATACGTGACACCGAATCATGTCTTGGTCATTGAAGTTCCAATTAAAAATCCCGAACTTGAACGTCGCCAATCAGAAATCAAATCTGAAAATCAAAACTTATCTCAATTTGGTTCAAATCGTGATCCACAGTTCAACTATAATGCTTTCTTGGCTGATTCAGGTTTTCAACCACAGATCATCAATAAAGATGATAATAAGAAACAACTGGCAATGACTTTGGACATGAAGAATTATGGCGCAGATGAGATTAAAGTATCCGTAAAAAACAATGAATTGATTGTCAAAGGTGAACAGCGAAATAAGAACAATAACTATTCAGAACGATCATTCTTCTTCAAATCAGTGGCATTACCACCGGGTGCACAAGTTGAACAATTGCAATCGTATTTAACCCCGGAGGGTCAATTAAAAATTGAAGTACCTTTCGAGGAACAAAAAGAAGAAGCACAATCTGTTGAAAATCAAAAAGAAGAATCCAAACCTGCAGAAGAACAAAATAAAAACTAAATCTATTATGTCAGAATAGCTATAATCTTTTGTTTCGTGTGTATTTTGATTTTATTTCACAGTTTCTATTTTTAATTGAATAAATATAATATAGTTGTAAAATACAAAAGTTCTGAGAATTTTTCCTACTTTCAAAAGATACCTATCCTGGCCTTACTCTCGCCGCGGTAGTATAATGGTAGTACATCCGGTTGTGGTCCGGATAACGCAGGTTCGATTCCTGCCCGTGGCATATGAATTTTTTTTACCAACATTGAATCCTTAAATCGTCGGAACTCAATATCAACAAATGGATTAATACTTCGTTCGACCACATCCATCGTTCAATATAATAAAAATATTCTGTCGATACGTGAACGATCTGTTTTATTTTTATTTTATTCTGAAAGATCGAGTTGATATGTTCTGCATTCTAATGAATGAGCTGTACAAGTCATAGGCTTTGAACTTTCCATTGAAAGAAAATGAACATTCGCAGTTCCGTTTGAACTTAGCTTTACAAATGGTGGTTGGATTAAAACCGAGTTGTTTGTAAAGGTATCTCGCCGCGGTAGTATAATGGTAGTACATCCGGTTGTGGTCCGGATAACGCAGGTTCGATTCCTGCCCGTGGCATATGAAATTTTTTTTTCCGAGAAAATTTCATATCCACGATTTGATGTGGATTTAGAGCGACATTTTCGATTTGTTTACACACGCATTGATCATAAGGAGAAAAGATCTTTTCATACGTCTTTATATTAAATAACATCATTTTTTTTGTTTATTTCGATTTAGAAAAATCGTTCGTTGAATTTTGTTTTTCAAAAATCCATTCATTGAGAACGATTTAAATCATGTTTTCTTATTCTTTTTTTTGCGAGAACAACAACAACAATAACAAGAAGAAGAAGACAATTACAAATCGGTCGGTCATACAAAAACAAAACTGTTATTCGTAATGATGTTATAGATTCTTCTTGACTTGTTGTTTTGTTAGTCGATTTAACGTTGTCGAACTTCGAATACTCGAATTTGTTTGTCAGTGTAACCAGCAAACAATGTTTGACCGTCAGCGGACCAAGCCAATGATGTACATTGCTTGTCGGATTTAACTTCTTCGGCCACAGTTTTTGTTTCCAAGTCCCAGATTTTAATCGATGTTCCGCTTGCTAGAATAGAAAAGCAGATCATTTAGATTATCTTTCTATTTTTCTGGCGACCTCTATACCTGCGCAAAGCCAGTATCGATTTGGTGAGAATGTCAAAGCATTGATCATAGCACCGCTATCGAGTGTGTATAGGTGTTTTCCGTCGTTAAGATCCCATAACATAGCTTGGCCGTCTCGGTCACCACTGGCACATAATGAACCATCTGGAGATACTGTAACAGTATTTACATAGGAATTATGACCATGATGATTTGTACGTAATTTGCAGTTGGTTAAATTCCAAACCTAATATACGAGTTGAAATCCGAGTGAAAGTTAACTTATCGAATGCTTACTTTGACAAGTTTATCCCAACCAGCTGAAACGATAAGTGGATCTTTTTGATTTGGACTGAAACGTACACATGAGACCCAGTCTGTGTGGTTATCATCGACAATTGTATATTTGCCTAAATAAAAGTGTAAAGTATAATTTTCATTGAGTTCCAACGTTTGTCTTCTTACATTGACCAACGGTGTTCCATAATTTAATTGTTTTATCTCGACTTCCACTAACAATTTGTCGATTGTCGGCGGAGAAGGCAACACTTAGAACGTCTTTCTTATGGCTGACAAATTGGCGTGTGCTGGTACCGACGGATAAATCCCAAAGACGAAGTGAACCGTCCCATGAACCACTAACAGCGAAGAGACCATCACTTGAGATGACAACATCAGAAACGAAATGTGAATGACCACGTAATGCTTTGCTTGGCACACCACATGATGTACTTTCACCTGTTGGATCGTGTTGGTTGTTCAATTGCCAAATGATGATGGATTTATCTCGTGAAGACGAGAGAACGATATCAGGAAATTGAGGTGTTGTTGCGATTTGCGTAACCCAATCATTGTGACCGACGAGAACGCCTTTTAAAGCAAGATAGTCGTTCGACATAATCGATGTTTATTTCCTGGTGAGAAGAAAAATCTAAAAGAAATCGACAAGTCTTAGTTAAACCATGTTACTCAACAGAACAAATAAACAAAATATTTCTAATGTTGTTTTACATATGAAAAACCTGACGGTCATTTAGACCAATAAACATTTTAAAGAAGTGAAATCGGTACGAACAAGATGTAAATAAATTTTTTCTACTTTTCATGTTTTTAAACTAATTTTTATCACAAAAAAATATTCCTAGGTTTTATTTCAAATAAAACTCGGAAAAATTTTCAGTAAAAAATTTTCAGTTCGCTAGATGGCGCTAGTCTATGTTCACACGTGTTCTCGTTATCCTAGACGAAGGTATCTAAATTTTACTTGAATTGTTAGTTTTTTGTTTTTCATGAACTTCTAACTAAATTTATTGATTAATTCTTTAAGGCTGCTAATCGTGTGACTTCTATCGATATCGGCATGTTCATCCTTCGTCAACAAGAGAACATGACAACCTGCTGCTCGTCCTCCTTGGTAATCAAGTTTCACATCATCACCGATATGACAGAGATGTTCGTTGGATTTCACTTGTGCTAATTTTGCTGCACGATTGAAAATGTCTGCTTGAGGCTTGTACGCTCCGCAATTTCGAGGTGTTAGAATAAACTGGAAATATTGTCGGAGTTGATGTTGTTCAAGCAGTGATTCCAAACGTTCATCAAAATTTGATATAACACCGAGTGTTTTCTTTGGTTTCAATTCTCTTAAAACTTCATCAGCTTCAGGATGTTTAACCCACAGTTCGCCTTTAGCGAATTCATCATAAATAATTAGACTTAATTTATTCAATTGTTCCGATGAGAGATGATAATCTTTGAATGTATACTCAATCAAGAACGTCCACCATTGACGAGAAGTTATATTCGTACGAACACCATAGCCCGGATGCTTGATATTCAACGTACGAAAAGCTTGAATAAAATTTGTTCGAAGTAATGATTCATCGATCGATTCCACGCCTAAATGTTGACGAGCTAATCGTGCATACTGATGAGGCGCACCATTTCGAACTGTTAATAGAACGTTATGAACATCAAATGTAATAGCTTGAATATGTTTTAAAATAGATTTTGCCGACATTGACGGTGATCTAGAGAGATGCAGTCATCGATAGGTAACCGAGAGCATTGATATTTATATTCCGAATAAACAAAACACAAGTCGATTTTTTCGAAAAAGCTTTATTGAATATTTTTGTTTACGTTAGCGAGAAAAAAAAACACTATTTAATTTAAAAATTTCATGGACATTTTTTCGTCCACATCGATATTCGAGAGAGTTTCGCAAAATTCTTCAAATGTTATCGTCAAATCACCATCAGCATCCTAGAAATAAATAATCAATTATCGCAAATGATACGGAATTCGTTTACCAATTCTTCTATCGTATGATCTGCAATCGTGGCAATCTGTTCGTCGTGAATATTTCCACCAACCTAGATCATCCAATTATGGTTTTGTCTCAGTATTTCAATCACTGCGATTGAACTTACCATAAGTTTTAAGATTTCTGTTAGTTCATTTCGATCGATTTTCGAATCATGGTTACGATCGTACATCTACACGACCAAAAAAATCGATTAAGTTTCAGTTTTGCATGTACAATCAAGACGACTGACACTGAACAGAAATAATAACTTCTTATCTTTGGTATTCAAGTTGGTGATTATCTTGCCACGTCGAAATCGAGCAAGGACATTGGCGAATTGTCGAAAATCAATACGATTATTTATTCCTAGAGAACAGAAAGTGTTCGCGAATGATTTGATCATCGAATCGACTAACCATGATCTTGAATGATGATATCAGCAAGACGTTCACCTAGAGGATTCATTGAAACTTCACGAATTTCTAATAAATCTTCGCGAGTAAGGAATCCAGTTGGTGGAGTTCGTTTTTCAAGTTCTTGAAAACGAACGTACAATCGTTGAAGTTGTCGCGGGGTGAAGCCTAAGATCAGAGTTAAATAAACAGAAGTAACTCAACCGAAAAGGATATTCAACCTGTTTCGTGGCAAATCTCCTCGGCTTGATCTGCTGGTAGTACAGCGCTCTTATTCGCTCCCATAAAAACTATGTATTTACAACATGGAATATATACTACGTATTTATAAGTGAAAGCTTTCGCTTTTTTGTTCTTCTGCGGGAGGGAGAAAGAGAGTCTATTATAATGTAATTCACTTGCGCAGGTAGAGAGAACGATAACACAAGTCAACATGATTATTATCATCAATCAATATAGGAATGTTTGAAGTAATGAAAAGAACAAACGAGTGTTTTATAACTTCTTTCAATATTCATATTTATTTTCGATTTTTCCTGCGCATATCCTATTCAGACAAAATAAGTATGCAAGGAACGAGGACGAAGAATGAAACGATCTAATCTGACGTGGAAAAGAAAGTTAAGTTTCTGGACGGTGAAGAAACAAGAAAATTTTTTATGTTAGAAACGAATTTGACTAGATTTGATTGAAAATTGCTTTTAAATCTTATCTAATGGTTCATTAGAACTTCGACATCGTTGAAAGCAGGTCTTTATCCGTGCAAATGGAATCGATCCACAGGTGCCTACTGGTCCAATAATCGCACATAAAGGCAGAAAGAAGAATGTCGCAAATAGCCACGATGTAGACACTACAAAGTTCAAAAATACGATTCACCCAGTGATCGAAATATGGAGAACATACTGATAGTCATGAGAAATTGTCCCATTCGTTGGAAAGAACTGAGTGATGATAATGTCATCGAAAATCCTGCAGCAAATGTGGTGAATGCAGCCATAAAAACTGCTGATCCAACGCGTGACGCTGATTCTGTCACACGTGTTTCTCGCTCAGCTTGTTGCTCCTTGTATAGCAAATGATACGGACCGATTTCTAAAGAAAAGATACTCTTACTTCAAACTCAAACAAGAAAAGCATACCTGGTTGATTCGATTCTAACGTTGACGGTGTATAACGATGACGAATCTTCTTTCTCTCATTTTGAATATCCGTCATGTTCGTATGAATATATCCAACACCGAAATGAACAACAAAGTCAACAGATAAACCAACAGCCATGATCACAATAATCGCTTCTACAATACCCAATTCCCATTTTAGAAGAACGAACACTGCAACGCCATCAGCTAAACGAAAAGATCGATGTCATTTATTCTTTCTGAAGGATCGTTAACTACCTATAGCGAAACTAATGGTCAGCAAAGCATACAATGCAATAAACAAATTGCCAGACGTTAAGAATAAGACTAATAGAGCGATAGCCAACGATGCTATCAATGACGAAAAAGAGCCCACCAGCAATTCACGTTGAATACCGTAGAATGCAAAACCCGGCGAAGAGAACCAAGCGTGTTTCAAATGTTCAGGCGCATGTTCTTTTATATACGGATCAAAGAAGCTTTTCACTTGCAAATAGTAACTATTGTATGAATCATAATCAGTACGATTAAGAGCACCTAAAATCGGTACATCGATGCAAATAATTGCAAGAAATCGAACTTTATACCGTACCTCGAATGGTAATAATGACTGCAAATGGTCGAATACTTCCGTCGATTGGTGATGGCTTATCGGGTAAAACGGCCCAATTAACAGATCGTTGTTGAGTCAACTGTCTATCACAAAAATCTGCTGGGACATTATTCGCACCCGCTTCGCCAGTTAAACATTGCATAGCGGTTTTCAATGCCGACCGTTGATATTCTTCAGTTAAGTCATCACGCACGGAACCATTGAGATAATTTCGAATTTCTTCAATATCATAACTTCGTTCAATCTAAATGGAACGAAACCGTTTACAAAACAGAGTTTTTTTTTCTAATAGAAATCAAACCTGTTCTTTGTAAAGTCTTGCTAAAGTACGATTGAATAATTTCCGATAATTCGAATAAATTATTTTGGGATTTCTTATATTGGTCAGTTGTCTGTAACTAACTCGATACAATGTCATATTGATTCGCTCCATTTTCCTATCAATATAGCCTTCCTGGTTCGATAAATCCTCTTCAACCTTATAACTAGTTGTCCGTACAGTATCGGCGACTAACTTTTCGATTAATTTCATATTGACTTTACCGATATATTTAATCATATCGATATGATTCGTTTGCGAAGTATTCAATCGTGCTCGATCATCAGCTATTTTCTCGATCAGTATACTATCTGTGGTCAGCTGAAACATATTCGATATAGTTCTTCGTATCTAAAACTCAACTCCCTTTCTTACTTGATTGAATGCGTCGAAATCTTTTTCTAGATCATAGGTTGAGGAAAACAGATCTTTACGCGTTCCTAAATGTGTAATAAATCGTTTGAAAAATTGTTGTGTTCGTTGTTGATTCAAATAAACTGGCATTAGATGAAGCTTGCCGCGGTCATTCATATCGAATACGTAACCATCGTCAATATCACGTATGCCAAATATGAATGAAACGCGTGGATAAGCAAATAGACGACGTTCATCTTTTATATAACCATTGAATTTATGTTTCATTCCAAACTCGTAGTTTTCCATTGGATTGCCTTGTAGAAAGAAGATGACTTTTTGAGTCGTTGGAACTTGCAATTTCGGATAATAGAAAACTCCGATGAGACCTAAATCATCGTTGAAATTCTTTCTTAATCGAGTCAGAAATCTCTTCCTACCTAACACGCCGAGACATAGAAATAATGGTACTAACAAATAACGTAGTTTAATTACAATTTGCGGAATAAGATGGGCAAAAATGTAAATTCGAATATCTTTGCAATACAGCGCAAAACGGCGATAGAATGTCACGGGTGGATGAGTCGTTGTTGATGTTTGATTAGTCTTTTTCGAGCATATAGATACCAAACGAGAGAGTATATCAAGAATATGTTTCTCATAAATAACCTTGAACGAAGAAAAAAGTGACAATCAGACGAAGATAAAACAGCAACTTACTGCAAATGCAGCAATGGCAGTGACTGTGATAAAAAAGTAAAGTAAAATACATGTTCCAGTATAAACACCGAAAACTTGAACAAACGAGATGTTTGTTAACATGTTCGTAAAGAAAGCTGCCGATGTTGTGAACGAAGTGACAAACATGGATGATGCAGCATGTTTCAATGTATTGGACATGATTTCGATGAGTGCGGCTTCATTTAAGAGACTTTTTCGGATTTCTTCGGTTTCATGGTACAAACGAGTACGATGACGAAATTGAAATGCATTCAAAGGCCTTTTCGATTTACTTGGTTTTATTTTTTGATTTGATGAGAGAATTTCATGATTAGATGGAGCATTCAACGGTATGTCTGAATCTAAATATAGAATATTCAATAAGTGTATGATGTGTAAATAGGAACTCATAATACTGTCTTTCAAATTGAATCGTTCATGTACCCGATATACGGGTCAAACGGCGCTCACAATGAAAAACAAATAACTTACTATCGGACGTGAGTTTTTCTTGATGTTGTTTCAACCATGTCGCCTTTTCTTGTTCCCATGTATCGAAAAAGACAAAAATATCATCACAACCAATGCCAATCAAGATAAATGCTGACATTAAATTCATATACGGAAATATCGGTATACGGTAAATTACTCGATAAACAAAGTAACTGACGCCAAGTGATAAAATAGCACCAATGACGATAATCAAAGCAATAGTTATACTTCGGAGATAGAGAACTGTTATTCCAACAATTAAGATTGCAGCCATAAGAACAAGTAACATATCTAAATATTTTCATCAAGTGGAACTTTTGACGCATTCTTCTTTTTGTTCTACTAACCTTTGTGTATTTGTGCCATAGCTGCTTTTTCTCTTACATTGGCTAAATTAAATGCAATTAGCTTGATAAATCGATCCTTATATGCTGATAATTTTCGCTTTCCACCAAAATATTTTCCAGCTATACCAACTAATTCCTTCTCTTTTAACTTTGGCGTTAACAAAATCACTTCTTCCGTTTGATTGATGCATTCATATTTACAATGACAGTACTTCTCACAATTACCATTCGGTGGACCTTGATCGACGCATGATTTCGTAGTGAAATTGTTTCTATAATCATCGATACAACCACGTTCGTAGCAATATCTTCTTGAGAATGGTTGTCGTCTTAAACACATCGTTTGATCACGTGTACGATTGTATTTACTTATTTTATAATTGGTTATGTAGATCATCGATATCGATACTTTAGCGTTCACTTTCGATTGTTGAAAACTTTGAATGAATTGTTCATCAACGAAATGATCGAAGATGAATCGAGTGATATTCTTATAAAAGCATATATGTCTCAAGGCAGGATAGATGGCTTTGATTTGTTCTTGATGAGTCGAATAACCAGGATGATGTTCGATCACGACACGATTGAGAAATTCATCACTCAATGGAATGTCCATATAACCATCGATATAATATGGTAGACATGTATGAAGTATCGAACGAAAGTGTTCGACATCGTCTGTTGTGATTAATTGACAGTCAGTTTTCGATGAATATAGAGCAACAAATGTCGATAAGGATAAGCTTGGAGTGTCATCAAGTGAGAGAAGATGTTTAAATTTCTTTTCCCATTGACAAATGGATTGTAGATATTCAAGTGATAGTAGATCAGCAGTTGGATCAATGCGTTCCATGTAAAATTCGATCATACCATCACGACCTAGAATTTAATGACTTGATGGATGCTCGACCGAACGAATGTCCTTACCTGCTCGACCGCGATATTTTTCTTCGAGTAGAAAAGCATATGGTCGGAAAAGATCGAATGATAAACGAGCCGATTGGTAATTTGTTCGATTGAACTGTGGAAGATTTCGGACGAAATCTAATACAGAAATATTGATTCTATAGAAGAAGAGAGCAAGTATAGCTTTTTTGTTTCATAAAATATTGACATTGATTTACATTTTATCATCTACATATTTAAATATGGAATTTTTAATATCAAAATGTCGGTTACGGTGCCATTTGTAGATTGAGGCTGCTTGCGAACCGTCTTTCTCGTTCTCATCATCTTCATCGTAATCAGGACTATCATCATCTCCTTCTTGATCGACATCGTAGAACGTTTCATTCAAACTTCCATAGTCAAATAACTGATCCGATTGAGAATTGACACTTTTCTTTCTCCACAGATCATATTTGGCAAGAATATCAGACCGATACGTGTTTTCATCGAGATTTTCAACAGTGATATTATAAAACTGACCAAATGCACCGAATAATTCGTTGGTATCTAATGGTAATTCATAGGCGAGACGAAATCTTTCTGATGCATGACGTAGAACCATTAATTGAGAAAAGATCGTTCCTTTTCCACGCGCGCCCCATCCCTACGAAATAACAAACAATAAAGACTTATGTCTATTCGACTTCTTACCATTCGTGGATCGGAAAAATCTGGTAGTTGAGTAAAAACCAGACCAACAAGTGTTAGAATAACGCAGATGAAGACCACGAAACATAGTACAAGCCAGTGATGACGGACCAGTACACGCGAATAGCTTTACAGAGAAAAAACGTTTAGAAAAATGACAGATCAGTAAATAAGAACCAATCCTGCTTCTAGACGTCTATAGAGTTCGCTTACTTACGTAATGTTGGAGAAGTATGACATTGTCGAACGTTTTTCAATCAGAAAATAATAGACCGATACAATAATATAAAATGTCTGTTCTACAAAAAGAAGTAATAAAAATGAAAATGATTGATTGCTCTTCTTTCATTTTATTTTTCTTCTCTCTCTCTCCTTCTAACACAATTTACTTCTCTTCGTGCAGGTACTCGATTACATTTGTACTTCATATGCAAACTTAAAGTACACATTCTATGACATGTGAACACACATTATAATGACTAAAAATTCATCGATAATGCGTCATTTCGCCATCGAAAAGGAGAAAAATGTAATGAAACTGAAGTAAAAAGAGCGAACAGATAGCAATCTTTTCTATTAACGTACCGAGACGTTCTGGTATCGATGTTTCATCCTGTCACCACACCTACTCACATTGAATGAACCGAACGAAACTAAACAAGTCTTTTCACATGATCAACTAGCTTGTTTATTTAACTCTTTCGGTATTTAACATGAATACGCTAATTAGTTGACTCAGATATAATGATCGATACAAACTAGACTCTAAACAACAAAGGTAAAGAGAGAGAAAAAACAGCTTATCTAGTCATACATACATCGACTTTCTTGCTAAAGAATTCGTTTTAGTAAGGCTGTTAATGCCAAGTAAATTTATAAACAAACATGAAAATAAACGATCGAACGAGCAAGTAAGCAATGAAAATATACAAATCTTCTTAGCTCAATTTGTTGTTTTTCCTTCTGATTAATGTTTTTCTCCCGTGTTGTGATTCTGATACATTGACATTGTTGGAATTTCTATTTTTTTTTCTTTTTCTTCCTTCTTAAAATCTAAACGCGTCTACACACGCTAAGGTATTGTCTATAACATTACTATGACTCCTGATTAAAAGAGACGATCGAGATTGCTTTGTCCTTCAGAACTACCCGAAGTACTATTTTCAATATTCATGTGTTTCTACGTGCGGAAATCATCTTTTGAATCCGCTCAATACCCGCTGAGTCTAATGATGCATTGCAAAAAAGAAAATGAGCAAAACTTACCACGACAACATTGAGACGAGAGAAAATAGTCTTTTATCCTCTTATGAAAAACGCGACACGCACATTGAGAAGTAGGGATATATTTTCAAGGTCGCTCTAATGTGATGCAGAGAAGGAATGATATTGAACATTTGAAGAAATTGGTCATAGAAGGAAAATATTTTAAAAAATGTGTTCGTCGTTAAATGAAGCATTTTTTCATTCGACATCTTGCATTTATTTGTCTTGAATATTTGTTGTTATATCTGAAGTAGGAAAAGAGAAAGCAAAATCGCTGTTCGTAATAATGAGTAAGAAGACATTGACATGCTACAAATATCAGAGTAACTTTTTTCTCGATGAAAATGAATTTTATGTGAAGGTTTGTTATTCTGTTGCATAAAAGTATCTTGAAAAAGAAAAGAACAAGTTGAAACTGTCGTTATTTTATGAGTTGTGTCTACACCTGAATTTCAATCAAACAACGATATCTTTGATTGTCGATTGAAAATATAGCACAGACTATAAAAGAAAAAGGAATTCGTTTTCACCTTGAAACAAAGCTATTATTTTACTTTGAGGTTAAAAAAATGATCTCGGTTTCGCAGGCAATCGGCCACGAAAACAAAATGGTATATACTACTAATCAGTTTTTCAAACCATATTTACTTAGTGACAGATGAATACGTGTGTCATGGTTGAATGAAGCGCATTTTAAAAAAATGCATGTGTTCACCTAATATTATGTATTTGTGTTTGATCGAATCTATCCGCTGACTGTCTTCTGAATGATTAATGAAATAGCGCTCGTTCGGCCACGATTTGTTCCGTCGACAAGATTTCTTTTATCGCTACTTGTTTGCTTCGCATTTGTGGTACAATATGCGCAGCGAATTAATTTATCGATTGCTATTATCTGTATGGTTCGCCGGAAAACATCTGACTCTGATGAGCAACAAAATACAATTAGTGATCGCATAAGTTTCGTATTCGAAGAGACAACATTCCACTGGAGCGAATGGGATCAACAAATCATTCTCGGTTCTTATTGGGCTGGTTACCTATTGACTCTCATTCCAAGTACGCCTAGAAATATCTTTTTATATATAGAAAAAAGATGAACTCTTCTGTTCTTCAGGTGGTTGGTTATCAATATCCTTGGGAGCAAAACTAATGTCTGCCATTGCAATTTTCCTTAGCTCATCAGCTACAATCGCGCTTATTAGTATTTATTACTTCGAAAATATTTCATTTCTACTTGTTGTTAGCTTACGAATACTCATCGGTGCTGCTCATGGTACTCTCTTTCCAGTCACCTATACACTTTGGTCACAATGGGCAGTACCTAACGAACGCGGCACTTTGGCATCAATCGGTTTTTCTGGAACCAACATCGGAACGTGTATGACTAAGATCATATTTTTGCAACATTATAGAATTGATTTGTTTTATAGCACTGGCAGTCCTTGTCGGTGGTCTCTTTTGTCGTTATATAGATTCCGGTTGGATCTACACATTTCTTCTATCAGGTATTCTTGGCTTTATCTGGTTACCATTATGGTTATGGCAGGTGTCTGATGCGCCAGAAAACCATCGAAGTATTAGTAATGCCGAACGAGAATACATTGTTGGTATCATCGGAAAAAATTCACAGCGTCGTTCTATATCATTATCTGCATTGCCGTGGAAGACTATTGTCCGTTCAAAGCCGATTATAGCATTATTCCTAACGGAAACATGTCAACTTTTCGCCTTATTTTTCTTTCTTACTAATTTCGGCAAAATTCTGCGAGAAATTCAACAAATTCCTAGTCAATATACCGGTTATATACTAGCTTGTGGATTCATCTTCATGTTAGTCGGAAATATATCAGCAGGTAAATGCTATATTTTATAGTTAGACCTTGGTAACGATTATGAATATTGATTGATGAATAGGAATTGCTGCAGATAATCTCGTTCGAAGAAACTTTATGACATTGGTAGGAGTGCGAAAGCTATTCAATTCTTTGGGCTCATTCATACCTTGTCTATGTATGATTGTATTCTGCTTTTGCGATGAAAAACGGAGAATACTAGGCGTAATTAACGCTATACTCTTCCTTTTAAGTTCAGGTAAATTATTTTTTATACAGTTTTTTGAAACATCTGTCAAAATATAGGTTTTTCGTATGGCTCTGGTTATATTGTGAACTATGCAGATGTTGTACCGGCATATGCTGGTTTAATTTTTGGCATCGTCACTACAATTTCATCGTTTGGCGCAGTAATCGCAAATATAATAGCAGGAATCGTGATTAAACAGCCCATACTTGAAGACTGGAGAAAATTGTATATTCTCTTCGGTATTGTTTATCTTGTCGGTGGACTAGCTTTCATGTTATGGGCTTCAGCTACACCAGAGAAATGGGCTACTTTGGAATCTCAACAAGAAAAAGAAACTATCGAAGAGACAGTACCAATGAAAGAGAGTGAACCGAACGATATTGGAACTCGGAGGGATGAACATTTGTATATCAATGCTTAGATCATTCGAATTCCAAAATAAAATCAGAAGACTACTCAAGAAATATAAAAGATATGTGTATAGTGAAAGAAACATTCAAAGTAAATGACAGCAGTGAACTTCAAGTCTCAGTGACACTAATAAGTCTTGATATATCCTAATGAATGAATGGCATCACGCAAAGTACACTTTCTAATTGTTCTGTGAAAGATGTCGCTATCTGCCACCTTCGTGAGGCATTAGTAATTTCTTAATGGTTTTGTATACAATGCGCTATGAATCCAAGAGTTATTTCTTCTCCGTTATGTTGTGATGTTACCTTTTATGTCATTCGGTGAATTGTCTTTTCTATGTCTGCCTATACTTTAGATATAATCGTTTATTTGAAATAAAATGGCTTCAGGAGATGTTCAATCGGATGAAAGTCTTTATCCAATTGCCGTTTTAATCGACGAACTACGCAATGAAGATGTTCAAGTAAGTTCTTTCTTTTCACAAAAGATTTCGTGTCTAATCGATGTTTGATTTCAGTTACGCTTAAATAGTATCAAGAAACTGTCAACTATCGCATTGGCACTTGGTGTCGACCGTACACGATCTGAACTTATACCATTTCTTACCGGTTTGTTGATGGATCATTTCCATCGATTGACGTATGTTTCTTTCTTGTAGACACGATATATGACGAAGATGAAGTTCTTTTGGCATTGGCAGAGCAACTAGGAACTTTTACCCAACTTGTCGGTGGTGAAAGTTACGTTCATGTTTTATTGGTAGGAATCAATTAATAGATTCGTCCCATCGTCAGGAAAGATTGCTTGTCTGTTTAGCCACCGTTGGAAAGTTTGGCACAAGTCGAAGAGACAATTGTACGTGACAAAGCGGTCGAATCATTACGGACTTTAGCACCACAACATTCAGCAACTGACTTAGAAACGTACTTTATTCCAACAGTTAAGCGCTTAGCACAAGGCGATTGGTTTACGTCACGTACATCGGCATCAGGTCTTGTTTCTGTTTGTTATTCACGTGTTTCAAACCATGTCAAAGGCGAATTACGACAGTGAGTTCTTCTGGCTGGAAATAATGATTTTTCTAATTGAGTTTTCGTTATAAGATTGTTCAAAAGTCTCTGCCAAGATGATACACCTATGGTTCGCCGTGCAGCTGCATCGAAATTAGGAGAATTTGCTAAAGTTGTCGAATCCGAATATTTACGTCAAGAACTCGTCCCGCTGTTTACAAATTTAGCAAATGATGAACAGGATAGTGTACGTTTGTTAGCAATTGAAGCCGGTATTGCTATGGCTGCTCTATTTCGACACGAAGATTTGGAACAACAAATGATGCAAACATTACGTACGGCCACTGAAGATAAATCATGGCGTGTACGTTACGTTGTAGCTGATAAACTTGTTGATGTAAGTCAAGGCTGATGTCGAAAAGGGAGAGAAATCATTTTTATTTTCAGTTACAAAACGCGGTTGGTCCGGAAATAACAAAGAATGATTTAGTTGGCGCGTATTGTTCTTTATTAAAAGATCCTGAAGCTGAAGTTCGTGCGGCAGCAGCTTCGAAATTGAAAGATTTCTGTAATAATCTACCAGCTGACACACGCGAACAAATCATCATGTCACAAATTTTACCATGTGTCAAGGATATGGTCGGCGATATGAATCAACATGTGAAATCTGCTTTAGCCTCAGTTATTATGGGTCTTTCGCCAATACTTGGAAAGGATAAGTATGTCTCGCGGGAAGATATCATTTCGATGAACCATCCCATCACTTGTTCTTTCCTTTAGTACACTCGAACATCTTCTTCCACTTTTTCTTAATCAACTAAAAGATGATTATCCTGAAGTTCGATTGAATATTATTTCCAATCTCGAATGCATCAATGAAGTATGGTAGAAATAGTGCATAGAATCGATTGATTATCAGTCATTTGTTCATAGGTTATTGGCGTTCGTCAATTATCTCAAAGTCTTCTTCCGGCTATTGTCGAATTGGCCAGTGATGCCAAATGGCGTGTTCGTCTCGGCATTATCGAGTACATGCCGCTCTTAGCTGGTCAACTTGTAAGTAGTTTCCATTTCAATCAACGTGGACTATTTCTATGATTGAATATTTGTTCTAGGGTCCAGAATTTTTCGACGAAAAATTGAGCAGTCTTTGCATGAGTTGGCTCACTGATCATGTCTTTGCTATTCGTGAAGCTGCAACAAATAATTTAAAGAAATTAGTTGAAAAATTCGGCCGTGATTGGGCACAAAACACAGTCATACCTAAAGTCATCCAACTAGCTCGTGATCAGAACTATTTATATCGAATGACATGTTTATTTGCTATTAATGTACGTAGATCATAACTCCAACTCTTCTCCTTGCTAGACCTGCTTCTTTTCCTATTAGGTCTTAGCTGAACCCTGTGGTCAAGAAGTCACACAAAGAATGATGTTACCTACAGTCATCACGCTCGTCAGTGATCCTGTTGCTAATGTACGATTTAATGTTGCGAAAACTCTTCATCGTATCTATCCAGTATTGGATTCCAGGTAAATTAGTAAAGATGTCTATTTATTGCGTACATGTTTTTCTTTAGCGTATTGGCATCACACGTCAAACCTGCACTGGACAAATTAAGTCAAGATGGTGATCATGATGTTCAGTATTTCGCGAGTGAAGCTCTTGAAAGTAAGTTTATTATTCTTCGCAAAAAAGAACACAATACCGAAAATTTTCCAACTGTATAAAACCAATGTTGATCTTGTAGAAGTTATCGAAGCTTTATAAAGAAAAAGAGATTCTTGCTATTGGTTGGTAGTTGTTTGAACTATGTGTGACAGTATGAGCAGTACTTTTCTTGCTTTTGAATAATTCTAGATACTAACAGAATTGAAATTCTTTTACAAAAATTTGATTTCATCAATTTGTTTCTCTTGTATATTATAGTGTTACCCAAAGCTTGATGAATTTCAACATCGGACATCTTGTTCTCTTATTTTATTTGTAATTCTGGTTTTCTTTCTTTTTTCTGCTACCCTTTAATGTTGTCATATTTCTCGTATTCTCTCTTTTCTTTTGGCGTCATCAGTTCGATTTTACATTAGTTTTCTATAAGAAAACATTTCTATATATATACATATTACACTTTATTTTCTCTCTTTCTCTGCCAGAAAACAAAACAGAATAGTGTACTTTTTCTCTCTTCGTCTGATTGAACAACACGGAAATTTATCAAATAAAGAAGATCAAAAACTCATCAGTTGATCGCAAAGTGTTCGTTCGTTTCTGATAGACAACGTGCACCAAGAATCAGTTTAAAACATCAGTTCTATAGGAGAAGAACTTCGAACTCGGCTAATAAAATATTGATTGATAAGTGCAGCTGTACCCTCGCTGTGTACAGTATTTGCATTTAACATCAGGACGTATATTACACAGAGTGTTGGTGCTGAAGTTGTCACCGAGAAATATACCGACATAAATAAAGATAGTTGAATCTTAGCAATACGAAAACCATCGTATCAAAGACCCCCGAACGTCATAAGAATGAATTTCAGGTTTTATCTGAAATATTTGCTCTAATCAATCTTACACCACGACTTGGTCATAACACTTCATGCTAACCAATATATCTATGCATCCTCCACGATGAATCACGTTCGATGTATAATCGATGACGCGACTTGCACAACATTTTACGTGTTCTGTCTGTAATTTCACAACATAGCATGAATAAGATGCATTTGCCAGGCACGCTATAAAAGTGCACTTCTTCTTTACAATTTCTCATCGTCTACCATGCCAGGAAAAACTCAAACTGTGATGAATGGTAACGGTGGCGACAAGTCATACGCCGGTGCTTGCATTGACGTCGACACCAATAGTTTTCTTTTATTCGGTCCAGAAAATCGTTATAGTGAAATTCCAGCTCTTCGACTTTTCCTTGGTAAATACAAAATTTATCCATCGACTATTGAATGTCAAACTGATGACGATGGCCTTTATTTCCATACTACAACCATTCTGAATTATATTCATGAAGAATTCGGTCATGATCTCGGAAAAGATTGTATTACACAAAAATACAATCGAAAAATCAAGAAAAATTACAACAGTGGTCGTCTGATTGATCTTGGCAATGGAGTTATGATTGATTTCATTGAATCATACCTGGATAATGAAGTTCAAAATCCTAATAAACTCAAACCCGATCATCCGGAGAATTATTTTCTCATTTGTGAACAAATCAAAATCTATCATTTACCAAATCAAGAACCATTAGCTGAAAGTTTAGACAGCAAAATCAAAGAAATGACTGTCTTCTCATCAAAATCCTGTACTTTACAAATGGTCTGCCGCAATTCATGCGGTTTTTATCTCAGTGCAATTAAAATTAAAAAACCATTGATCACCGATCTTGCTCTGCATTATGGTAGAAAATTTGTGAATGTGCACGATAAGATTCTCAAAAATCTCAATACCAAAGATTCCAAAGGCATCGTCCTTTTACACGGTATTCCCGGTTCAGGTAAATATCCATTCAATTTGATGTTCTCATGTCTATTCACCTGGTGATCGTTTAGGCAAAACCCATTACATACGATATCTGATTCAAGAAGTTCAAGATAAAACATTGATCTATGTACCACCAGACATGGCGAAAGAAATCTCATCACCTCAATTTCTTCCATTTCTGATGGAATGGCAAAATGCTATTCTAATCATCGAAGACGCCGAAAATATCATCAAAGATCGAAGTGAAACATCAACACCTTCACAAGCTGTTGCTAATCTTCTTAACTTGTAAGTCTAATCTAAATTAGTGTCGACTAGAATCTATTGGTTGGTTTTCTAGATCCGACGGTTTACTAGGCGATGCTATGCATCAACAAATTATCGCCACATTCAACTGTGATTTAACAATTATTGATCCAGCTTTATTACGAAAAGGTCGATTGATTGCTAATTATGAATTCAACAAACTTGATATTGAAAGTTCCAAGATTTTATCAGATAAATTAGGATACGGCACTGAACAAATAACTGAACCAATGACATTGGCTGAAATTTATAACCAAGGCACCACAGAAGAGAATGAATTGGAGAATTAATTCGCATTATTCCAAATCGTTGTCATGTTTTGACTTGAAGTTTAATAAACAAAAAACCGATGTAAAAAAAAAACTCCGACTTTCGCCTCTCGTTCGTTCGACTGTACAAGAGGCTTATTTTGACAAACCCGCCGATATTTTTCTTCTATTGTCGATCTAACATCGCTTTGCGATTGTGGAAAATAAGATACTGTCGAAGTAATATGTATCGGAGGAAGAACAAGAGGAAAATGTGACGACGAAGACGATGTACATGTTTATAATACACACACACATATATATTCTCTTGACATGCCATAGGTATTGGCGTCATTTAAGCTGGCAAAAAAACATTTGGCATACTCGAGAATTTGTTATTGGTAGTAGGAAAAGAAAAAAAAAACATCAACAACAACAACAACACAAACGATGGGGATAGTTAGAGAGGGGGGAAAAGCATCTTTATCCTGTTTTCTCTGATTTTGGTGCCTAGCAGAGTAGAAAAAAAAGCTATCTGATAATATAAGTTGTTCTCAACTAGCGTTAGATAGAAAGGTTACACACATCTCAAGACCGACTAATCATATATTGAGATTACTTTAGACGAAAGACAAGAATTAAATAAAAGGTACTTATTTATATTTATAGTAACATGTCACTTCAATCAAGTATTTTGTGCGTAACTGTATGACGACAAACATATATATTACAGAGTTTTTTTCTATTTTAAAAAAAGAAGATTATTTGCATATTTTCGAAAATATCTCACCAGATGACAGACTTTTTTTGACATGATATTTTCTCCATATGGAGGCTAAAGAAGCGTTACGCTTTCTGAATGTGTTTGTGTGTGTGTGTCACTTCTTGTATTAATTTAAACGATTAGATATATTGGAATCTTTAGCGATGCCGTCGTATACAAATCTTCATGTTAAAATGCAACGTGATTCAAACGCGATACCATGGGGTTTTCGTATGCAAGGTAACTCTGTTCGGCGGGTAATTCCGATGATTTTGAACGTATGACTTTAGGTGGAAGGGACTTCAATTGCCCCATACAAATTCAATATGTCAACCCGAACAGCTTAGCTGAGCGATGTGGAATGCAAACGAATGATTACATTCTTCGCATTGGACAGGCTTCGACCGAACATCTTCAACATCAAGAAGCTCAAGAACAAATCAAACGACAGAGCAATGTTTTGGAATTCGTTTTGCAACGGTTTGTACGGAAACGAACAAAAAGTCCTTCTCACTCGTCTATTTTCTAGTGGTGCTCCACCGACAACTGCCGATTATAATAATCGTATCGATTTTTCAACACCTCAACCAATTCATCCTCACTTCTACCCACAATCTAACTATCAAACACCACCTCAATCACCAGGCCCGCAGGTATTGTTATAACTACGTGTATGAGTCGGATAATTCTCCATTTATCGCATAGATCGTTATGCCAATCTCGAACAATCGTACGATATCAAGTCAAACATACAATACTCCAATAGGTCTCTATTCAGCTGACAATATTACTGATACCATCGCCCGTACACTTAAAAGGTATCACCAAACAAACAGTGCATTCTCATCTTATGCTTCTAATTATATCTTGTTTTCCTTCATAAAGTATAAATGTAGCCTCCAATCCCAGCTTTGAAGAATCACCAAGAAAGTAAGGCATCCAACTGATTGACGGATGACTATTTCTTATATGAATGTGCGAATTTAAGTGCTAACGAATATCAACCAACAGCGGCTAAATCTATGCCTAAACCAGCACCAGCACCTCATAATAATTTTTCGAAACCAACACCACCCCCACCACCACCAACAATGTCAGCACCACCTAAAGCACAACAACCAACATATCCAACTCCGTTCGGTGCTCCTCCGAAACCGATCGGTAAGCATTCATATTGTGTGACAGAGATTCACATCGGTTCTACCATCCAATTAGGAAATAAACCGGCGTTCAATAGCAATGCTCAAGTGCCATCCGGTGCTGGTAATCGAGGACCTAAGAAAGGTACTAGAGGTACAGCTTTATTAAATCAAAATGATAACGCTAATCAAATTGCTATTTGTCATACATGTGGAGTTAAAATACGGTAAATTATATAGAAATCCGTGGTATTCTCATTTAAAGCTATTTTGATAGAGGCCCATTTATTTCGGCCGTTGGCAATTGCTATTGTGTCAACCATTTTACCTGTTCACATTGTTCGAAGGATCTTGTTGATTGTGGCTTTATCGAAGAGAACGGTAAATTATATTGTGAACAAGATTTTGAACAATTTCTCGCACCGCATTGCTCAAAATGTTCACAAAAAATATTAAAAGTAAGATCAAAAAACTTTTTGCCTCAGATATTTTAGCTTCTATATGATCAAAAACAAAAGGAATGTGTTCACGCATTGGAACAAACATGGCATCCGGAATGTTTTGTGTGTACCGCCTGCAAGAAATCGATTGGATCCGGATCATTTCACGTCGAAGAAGGTCAACCTTATTGTACCGAAGGTATTTACCAACAATATTTATCATTGTAATAAACTATCGAAAAGTAAATATTTAGATTATCGACGAATGTTTCAAGCAAAATGTACTTCTTGCGAGTTTCCCATTGAACCAGGAGATAAATATTTGGAAGCCATCGGTGGAACTTACCATGTCGAATGTTTCAACTGCTCCGTATGTTCATTCGTAGAGCTGTCGAAGGAGAATCGAATCCTACTGAAGTTCTTTTTTTTTTGCTTCTTTTTAGCAATGTCAAACTAGTTTAGATGGTCAACCATTTGTCGTGAAAAACAATCGACCTTATTGTCGTCAACATGGCCATCCGGTTGGTTCACTCTTCAATTAATCACTTTCTTCTAACTAACAATTTCAAATGAACCAAAAAAGACAAAAAAAAAGAAAAGAAATCACAGCTCATTATGACAGACATATACGTGTATGAAATTGATCTTTAATAAATAGAATAATATTACTTTGAATTGAAGCGATTTCTTTCCTTTCGTTCTGATGATTTACGAGAGAAAAGCAAAAAATATCAATCTGAAAATGTCCGATGACAAACATTCAATTCACTTCTTCTTCTTTCATCAAAGTGCGGATTTCTTTGTACTAAGACGTATTTGTTTTCATCTTCAATAACAAAAAAAACGATTTTTGTTGCTTTTTTCTCCTTTCTCGTCGTGAAGAAAAAGAAAACTTTTCAACATAAACATTCATTTCGACGTTTTCTTTTCGTTGTCTATGTTTGTTTCATATGGCATCGTCCAACGAACGAACTTATGTCGAAATGTTACCGTCTGCTAGTCGCATGCACGCGACTGGCGGAACGTTGTCATTAGATCATTATCAACCACCAACAATCACATCTGATTATCGAACAAATCCTGGTTCATCCAGAATGTCTTTGCAAAACATCACACTATCGACAAAAGCTCGACCGGATGAATCTTATGATGTACTTCAAAATCAGAAAGTTGACGATAACAATTCATCGAAGAAAATTTTTGTGGATAGACAAATAAAAAAAGTCAAATCTTTATCCGGATTAATCAAGTAAGCAGAAATCGAGTTTTTCTTTTCGATTTTATCAAACTCAATAAAAGAAAAAGATTAATATGACATTGATTGAAGCGGTTTACATCGAATGTACATTCCTATTGGATGAAACGTTTCGAACAACCTGAATGGTTACAGCAAATCTTTGAGCCACAGGATAATCATATTCAACTTACTTTTTTTCGTTTTATTGAAGAGGTACTGCTTTGACACGGCAACTTCCTATCCATTCAACAATAGCTGATCAACACTCGGACAGTGCATTTCTGTCTGACGCAATGCATCATCAGGAACATGCAGCCCTCACACGACAAGATTCTGAACAGACGAGTGAAACGCGTCGGCCACGGGTTTCGTTTTCCGACTTTGATAAAATACAGTACTTCGATGATCATAAACCACATTATCGGCATCGAGGTCGTTCTGCAAAACGAACAACTAACAACCTTAACTATACATCATCAGTATTAGCACCACATTCAGAGACACCAAACTCCTTCTATTATCGTCAACCGGAAATTCCACCAGGATCGAATGTTGAAAAACAACCTGTTATCACTTCACCGCGCGCATACTCGTCATCACGTTTAACTCTTTTACCTGATATAGTCAATCATCCATCGCTACCATCTGAAGTTTCATTGCCAGACGCCAAACATATTCTGCATCGTGAGAAACCTCTATTCCATATACCTGAACCTGCCATCGAAATACCTATGAGCTGTTCTACTGAAGTTTCACGTGAAAGTGCTCGACTGGGTAGTGTTCATCCATCAGTCAGTCAAGTTTTCAATGAACAGAATGGAAAAGTCGAAGCCAATGATCGAGGTTTACGAACGTCATTCAGTAATAGCTCATTATCTTCTCTATATATGAATCGACAACGTCCATCACTTCGAACTATTTCTCTTCGACAACAATTTGCCTCACCAACTCGATTAAGACCATCACCTAGTCAGCAAATGCCCATGAATACACGCCGGTCAACTTCTCTCAATCATACTACTGCTCGGACACAGTCGAGTAATAACGACGGTGAAGAAGTCAACGATGCTGTACTATTATCAGCATTCGGACATCGACCAATGACAAGTCTCAGCTCAGCCAAAGAATTAAAACGTAATTACATTGTACATTTTGATTCCAAACGCTCCATGAATGGATACACGTCACCGTCATCATCAACATTGTTAACCGATATGAGTGAAACAAGCCCAGCGACACGTGTTCAAAGTGCACTGAAACTTGTTCGATCACCATATTCATCAACGCGGACGAATACGACTGAGCATGTCTCAACTGACTTTCATCCTATTTCGAATACTATTTATGTATAAGAAATACACTGTTCACACAGTGACTATGCTAAGGCACGAGAAATATTCTTCTAAAAAAATGTTTCAAAAATTGATGACTAATGAATAAAACAGTTGTCGAAAGTATTGAAAAATTATTCATTAATGACAATTGATTTTTTGCTTTAGAAGATACAAATGTACAACAGAGTGATAAACGATCCTTCTTTGATCTCTCGCTGCGTGATAGTTGCATAAAATATAACATATTCGAACTCGTTTTCATGCTACATTGAACATCGAATCGTATTTTTATTTTATTGGCATAAAAAAGTTCCGACAAGTACATTCCTGTCGACCATGCGAACTTTTCGATGATCTACATGGATAATAATACATTGGTATTGGACGCGATGTATAGATCGAATGCGATTTTTCATAGTATGACAAGGCACATGAACAGCATGAACAATGTCGATGATTTGACGATAGTCGAGCGATGTCATAAATGTTCAGAGAATGATTATGATAGGGTAGATGCGTTTCAGAATTCGAATTGGATTGATTGATCACGAGTAATGACGGAGATTGATTGGTGGTTAGAGTGATGGGTGTGAAAGATTTGTAAGAGGCGCGGAAAATCTGAATAAAGAAAAGAGAAAGAAATGTACGATCGAACATGATCTTTTGTCTTACACTCGGCAACGAAGTAGACGTTTTGATATGATTTGTGTCGTTTGTCTTCTGGTGATATTGCTTTTGAGTTTTACGATAGATTCGAATTCTAGTGATCGAAAGAGAACTTTACAGATTGAAGTTTGATGATTAATCTTACTTGATTACAAATACGATCAGAAGAAAACAAATTGAAATCAGAGAAAGAACAATTCCAAATAGAATCAAATAAACATCGATGTTTAAAAAAGAATAAGTCGATGCAGATGGCGAAATCGTTGGAAGTAATTTTGGAAATGTCGGTATTCGAGGTGGAGGACGGAGACGGTAGCAATGTGAGTGCTGGCGACATATTTCATATATCTGAATTTGATTCCATAGCGATCGATTCATACTGTCTAAACTATAAGAAGAAGAGAAAGAAGTGTGATTCGCTTTTTTTGCCGTCTATGTATAGCATAGAATAAATAGTTCAAAGCATGATCATTTTTCTCAACACGAAAGGGAAAAGAACTCTTAGTGATATCTTTGCTTTATTTGATCTGTATAACTAAATGGCGATAAGTGTTGACAGACATAGTTTCGAAGAGAAAAAAAGTAAATATCAAAAGTGCCTTTTCCCTGAATTAGGCTGTTCTAGGTCGAACAGTTTTAGATACAAAACAGAAGATTAACCTTGCATGTACAAATTCGTGTACCTGAGGGGAAAAATAAAGATGTTTTTAATCATATTGTTTTTCTACTATATTCCTCGTAGGTCAAATATGACCTTGAATGAGATGTAATCATTTCTAGCAGCATCGGAATCACGACTGGTGAAGTTTATTAATAACAGAAGTGATACACTAATGTGAGTTGCACCTCATACGAATGAATGTTACTATGCAATTCACATACAAATAACATTCTTGTAATTATCGTTTTCTCCATCAATCTCACCAGACGAAAATAACATCTTCAAAGAATTTTATGGTCTCATGATAACGTAATTGTTTATACGAAGACAAGTGAGTTCAAAGCTAGTGTTCTTTGTTCATAGTGGCACTGTACACATATTTCTAATTCGATTCCGTTGAACAATATCTTTGTGTACAAGGAAATATGTCATCGTAATTAGTCATGTCATTCGTCGAATGTGTATGAAGATGATGTTTGAACTTACTCTACTTGTGTCGTACATGTGAACGGAAGAAGTGAAGTTTATCACGCAATAAAAATGATTCTTTCTTTTACGAACGCGTAAATGCGCGGAATTGACATATGAAATTGTATTAGGTAACCTATGTGTGTAGAAAGTTCTGATTAATGATGGAGGTCAGTAGGACTCTATTGTTTGGTTAATGCCTCAAGAGACAATTGCTATTAAGACTATTCAAGTAGACAATACCGATGATTTCCGTATTAGTAATCAATAGTGAGAGAATCGGCATAGGAGAAAAAGAGGAAGTATCTTTCAAACAATGGACAGTAAAAAAGTCTTCATCTCAGTTTGTTTAACCGAATTTTCTCTATAGCTCTATGTCATACTGTCTGTTAATTTTCGTTATGACCGTGTCTTGTCTTCACACGAATGAAATGACCTTGACGGTAGTCTCAAGAGTGAATGTGTATATGCCACTTCGATGGATGATGATGACAGAAGCGATGCTCATGCGAGTGTGTGTGTGTGTGTCAATAGAGGGCGAACTGCTAATACGATTATTTCTAATCAATTTTATCTACGTGTGAAGTTGTTTAATGTTGTGTACATTAGAAGTAGATAACAATCAAACATTGAATGAACGAACGCGTGAACATATTTTGAAAAGAATTTGTATGTCACACAACCTTGATGCACTATGCCGAAAATTTGATAAAAAATGTCTTTCTTTCTGGAAATTTGACTGGTTCACAGTCACACAGAATGATTAACTTTTCTAATTATCCGAGTATGCAGCTGGATCAATCAGTAATGATATCTACACTATGTGATACAGTCTCCGACCTTGTTTAATTAACTAATTCAATAGGATATCTTCTGACGTAGCGGGTGTGATGCCTATGTCAAGGCGACAATGATGATGATGATCAGAAGAAGATTATCATCAAGGATTTGTAGATCAATTTAAACCTGATTCTGTTTGTTCAAGAAAAAAAAAGAATCGGTTAGAATAACATATAAATACGCAAATAATATCAGTTTTCCATGCAATTTATCATAACTAAAGTGTTCATACTGTAGAACGACTCTCTCTCTCTCTTTTCCCGAATTAGCTACTTAAGAACAAACTTGTTCTCGTTATGAGAAAATAATTGCACTAGTTTCTTCATCTCACATATGACAAGTCGAACTAGTGGCATAGAATTATCTTTCTTGTTAGAGCAAAATCATCAGTGTTATATGATAATAGTACGTTTCCGACAGGATATATTTTTTCCTAGCACATTGAAGAGCAATGTTTTTTCCTTGTTCAATCCTTGAAAACGAGTTGTTGATAGCGAAATCGAATTCGCCTAACTATCCAAACAGTCTCTGTCGATTCATGACACTTATTGTGTAATTGAATCAAGTATAATCAGTTCTGTCATCGATCAACTAATCAGATAGACAAAGTTCAGTATGACTCTCTTTCCTTGTTGTCATCTAGCACAAAAAGAAAATGAGAGAAAGAGTGAATTGTCATCACTCTCGAGGGAATAGGAAGTCAAAGAAGTTTTCTCGTGTTTCTTAGAATAGTATTTATAATACTTGAAGAAGAAGAAGAAAAGAAACAAGTATTTCTGTATGTAAATCGTTGTTTCATGTCTAGATGAGAATTAGAAGAGCTAACCAATTTTGAATAGACTTTAGATCCTCTGCTACTAGAAAAGACCAAACATTTTGCATGCACCTGCTCGAACACTGATTATGTCTATAGTATAAGACCTTGGCGTTATTGCACGTCTCGACAATCATCATCATATATCTCTCGTCTTCTTCTTCTACTTCTTTTGTACGTAGGATTAGTCCTTCTCGTCTAATAAGAAAACAATGACAAACACCTGCACGCACAAGAATACGTGAGTAAGCAAGCTCATGTTTGAATCAGCAAGTCAGGTAGATAGAATGACTTGTTTATTGAAAAGAAAAATCAAGGACGTTTTCATCTTTTCATCAGCTAGTTTGGGATGATAAAGAAGACTGTCACTAGCTACATTTGATTAAACTATCAAGAAATATAGTTAGAATAACGATGAAGAAAAGAGCGAGCGTATAATAATCATTATTTGCTTCGTACATCCGGGGTGTCTGTTATGCGTTCCAAGGAGACACTAGTGTTACTATTATTAAAACAACGAAGGATAGTTAGTTGTTGAGATCCGTTTTGTTTCATATTTTCTTGAATGTTATTCTTCTTCTGTGTCAGCTGATGTTGAGATTTTCATGGTTCAGTCATAAACATAACTTATGAGACATAAAATCTTCCTCTTTTTTCTTCTTAGATATACGATGAATTAAATCATCTCATGATTCCAATTTCAAATTGATTTACTTATCGAATAATGATGCATGGCGCACACAGTATTCAAACGATCACTTAATTTCTTACTAACGCTGTTTTTCATATCAATTTGTACCAATGCCCATCATACATTTGTTGTCTACTGGAATCGTACGTCATTTAAGTAAGTCTAATATTGAAGAAGTTCATTCAGCATGAACACGCCTAGACTCGTTATGTTTGTCGATCTTCATTTTGTGTTGAGCTAATTTTCAGGTGTAAAATCTATTAATCATTGACGTAATCAAACAAAACTAGAACTAGAGTCATACAGGCGTGGTTTATTACCTCATCAGACACGTTCAAACATTATACAGTCGTGATCAAAGTGACCTTTCCTTTATAGAATGAACGAAGAGATGTGTTTTGCAGATTGCATAAAGACTAACGTAGAACACATCCGTTTGCTCATTAATAAATACACAACATTTTGTTTCGAGGATGTGTTTTTTTAATTGCACAAAGATCAACGTAATCGAATCTTGAATAAACACATCTGATAACAGCAAAAAAAATTACATCCATTCAATGTTCATTGAGACCATTGTACTAATATCAAGTTTACTTTGCTACCGAGAAATGAACGCTTAATGAGTCTTTTTCACCTATCACAAATATACACTTAGACGGCCACATTGACGCTCAAAAGTTTTCAATATGTACTCTAATTCTATAGTATTATGATATGACCGATGAGTGCAGAAATCATTCAGAAAAAGATAGAACCAGTTGGCGACTCGGTTTGTTCGAGCTCTTCAATCATCAATCCCTTGTTCGGATACGATGACACACTTTGGTCATTCATAGGGCCATATGCGTTTATTATGTTCATTTCTAGATGCACTAAAACATGACGAGCATCAATGAACAGAAGACAGGAATAGAATTAACGATCGATAAAATAAAAAAAGAGATAGTTTTGCATATAAGAACAATCTAACTCTTAGATGTTAGCCTATAATTAACCAACGATATTTTGTCTCGATAGAACAAGTGTATAAAGAGCTCGTTGCTATCACTATCAACTAGTCGGTTTCTCTCCCTCTCTCCTTCCTCTTCTCCTCGCTTGTCGGGATCAAAAGAGACGACAGAAACGATAATTGGACCATTTCTTTTCCTCATCTTACTACAGAAAGAGAACGATAGAGTGAAAGAGAAGGGCTAGTTGAATAGAATCGGAGCGTGTGTATACATTCAGTCGATGTACCGACATAAAAACTATGTTCATCAACGAACTAGTCCTAGTATTAATTATTCTATTCACCTTCGTAACTAAACAACTAACTCATTCAGTAGCTCTTCGATCATTGTATTGGAACCATACGACATTCAGGTAATTGAAAAAAATATCCTTCTTTCTTTCTCCTACTATTCTTGTTCGGTAATACTAAATGAGAGATATTTCGTAGTAATGCTGTTTTAATTAGTCATAATTGTTCAGATAAGTCGTTACTAAGTCAATCGTATTTTTTCTTCGACGCCTGTCTATTTGTTTAACAATGCTTGAGATCTAGACGTATTATGTAAGTAATGAACATGTAAAAAACTGTTTCTTGAAGAACATTGAAGAATAATTTCCTTCTCAAGGTTGAGCAGACAATCGAACATTCATGTTTCCTGTTTTGCTCGATAGATTTCACATCGAATTCTGTGGAGAAGACACTTACAAGCAAATGATTTCTTTTTCGATATTTTAACAGCGCCATTTTCAATAGGTCTGCATTTATTTAAAGAAAGATTATTGTTCGTAATAAAAATGTCACTCGTACAACATAGGAAACTGATTAGTTCATTGAAAGAACACCGGACATCCTTTGATATATATAGTAAATTAGACATTGAGCATGTACTTATCTACCGACAACTTCGGTCATATTTACATCTTTAAAATACGAGATCGAATGTAATCTCCATATAGAAATGCTTACGACATCGAACGCATTACGAGGAAACCGAGTGACCTTGTCTGGAAAGTATCCATTTCAATTAGATTTTCCGTCTACATTTTTCTTTTCAAGTGTCGAAGAACACTCGAAAGTAAAACGCGGAAATAGAAATCAAACAAATCATCGTATAACTTTATATCTATAGGCCATATCAAGACGGTTCATTGATCTTTGAAGTACATTTGGGCGATGTAATGGATCTTATATGTCCATTTTATGACGAACAAGAATCCTATTTGTTAAATGAACTCGAACAATACGATATTTACCATGTACGGATGATCTTTTCTTGTTTTCATTGAAACATTCATAGTTGATTGTATTCAGGTAACAAAAAATGAATTCGATATGTGTAATATAGACCAATTAAATATCAATCCAACCACTCGGATTCTAATTGCGTGTAATAGTCCTTATGAAGTGATGAAATATACACTTAACTTTCGTTCGTATCTGCCCATACCGAATGGATTGGAGTTTCATTCAAATCAAACGTATTACTTTCTTTCAACAACATCAATACTATCATTGAATCAACCATGTTACAAGTTAAAAATCAATGTACATGAGTACCGTAAGTCAAATTCTCGTGTCGTTCTAACTAGACAGTCATATACATTCAATATCGAAATGATGTTTCATTGCACAACGAAGTTATTCGAGATTGTGTAATCTAATTGAAATTTTTTTACTCAGCGAAGACGAAAACTATCGTATTGAACTCGATTTTGAATATAGAGAAGCAGAACATTGCTTGAAAAGAGATGTTTATCTACTTCATTGTTATATCACAAGTTTTTCTTCAATCGAATGTTTTTTCTAGAACGAATTTCATCATCGTCAACTGCAATACCATCTCTCGATGAACAGGAACGTAATTTTCCGATAATTTCTCATAAATCCAATAATCAAATAACTTCGTCAGCAGATAAAACAATCGAGTACAATGAACATCATCCTTTATTCTCAAAAATAGTCAAAGCCCAGCGCCACAGTGATCCTTATTCGATAAAATGGATCACCGACGTACCATCACGTTTCAACGATTTTCGTATGTATTCCGTTCTTTGCACTGACTGCTTTTATACGAGCTCATTCTCATTTCTTTCAATAGATGAATCCTACAGAACAGCAAATAGCGTGTCTTCATCAAAACCGAACACACTTAGTCTCGCACTGAGTGCTTCATCAACTACAAGTCTATCGATACCGTTTGTCAACTTAATACTTCTAATACTTTGTCAATTATAAGAAGGATGTTTTATCATTTCGTTCACTTACCGGTGTTCCGCTTGTTGTTTACAATCGAAAGACGATCAATCTGATGATGGCCTAAATATTATCTTTTTTCTTTTTGTTTTATTTTTTAAAAAACACTTCATCCCTAAGACACATACATGCATAACAAATAAAGCAATATTCTAACTCAGGCATCTTATAAGTATTGTTGTGCACCTTGATCAGAGATGAACTGTTGAATTTATCTTCTAATTATCAGTAAATATGCATATCTCTTTCGGACTAGCACGATACAATCATTCATAACTATAGTGTCTGAAGGAAATGGAGAATCGTGCATTGATTTTCCTTCTGACATCTTATCTTTATTTCCCTATCGAGATACCACCATAGGTGATACACCGGAAAGAAATGGCCAACATAAATTTTACAGTCATTGTACACTTTCGACCAATATATTCACAGTAAATTCTTCAACTGAAGCAAGTACAAACGTATGCAGAATCGTTTGCTGCTGTTTATTGGATTCAAAGAAAACTGACCTTTCAATGATACTTGCTTGACTTTCTATTCGCGATACTATAAAGTTAGCCTCGTTAGATTTGTTCTAGAATTCTATCTTTTGAATATGTCATCCATAACTACTTCTGCATCCGTGATCATATCCGATCGTGACGAAATTATTCGAGCATTTTCTATTTCAACAAATGATTTCAATCATTGACTAGTTTTATTTTATTGATGATTAGAGACATATTCATGGTAAAGAAAAAAATTTAATGTAATTGTGCCCATCATTCGTCAAAAGAATCATCCACACATGATTTCACCTTGTGAAATTGTAACGACACCATTACCACATTGAATGTCTAGAAGAAAAACGACGTATTTACATATCTGACAGGTCAAAGCAATCACGTCGATTGACAGTTACTATCTCACGCGCGAAATCTGGTCTCGAGATCTTCAGCTGACTTTAAGGAGACGATAAAATAGGTCGAAGATGATAAGCGGTATCCAATCACGAGAAAAATTTCAATATTACATATTTATCTATCTTTCACACTATCTTCGCTCTCTCGGTCGGAAGAAGATGAAATTCATTACTTTGACGTTTTTCATGGTGTTTTTCGAGTAATGGTTTTGATTCTGCGGTAGATTCTAAAAGTGAGATGAAAAAAAATCGTATCATCGAATATAAACATGCAACTGCACATACGTTCGAAGGTGATTTCGACGGCAGGTTCCGCGACTGATTTGTCGCCAATTGCCATTGCATTGGTTTGGTGTGCAGCAAAGATGATCATTGTGCATAAAAATAAGCAATAGATGGTTGATGATTGCATGATAACAGATTCACGAATTGTATTTAACTGTAAATGACGAATGAATGATGAAATCTCTCGCACAAACCCACTTCTATTTATACAACAACACGACCAATCGTTTACTACTTCTATCTCTCTTCCACATATCGAACAATGAGAAGCACAAAAGACAAGCCTCGATAGCGATCCATTACAAAGCAACTATTTCGATATCTTCCCTGGATAGATCTTCGAGAACAGTGATTTATGTGACACATATAGTGATGACTTCTTAGTCCACTCGGATAGTCATCGGACGATTTACTGACTTGCCTATGATAACTCGAAATAGTCGGCATGCGTGTGAGAGAGAGAGAAAGAAAATCTAAACCGTTTCAATCGCCGAGAAAGCGATGCCATTAAACAACACCAAGACTTCTATATCCTTTCGTTAAAGGAAAACAAATAGAATTATTCATTCGGAATAAATTAGCAAAATTATTCCCCGATTAAGCCATTTTGGATTACGCGAATAAAATCGCGTATGAGATAGTTCGAAGTGAATAAGTACATGCCTTGATACATGGATGATGATTCATTTGCGAAGGATAATTTGTTCGTCATGTTAGAAAGAGAATAGTTGATGCGGTTATTTTGACTGAAACGAAAAGGCATTGTTTTTGTATTTGTTTGAATGAACATCCAATCAATAAATAATGATGCGTAGCCATTTGGCCGATATATACATATATACGTTAGCTGAATAGGTCGGATTAGTTATTCTGTATTCGAATTCTGGTCAGTTAAATTATTGTGAATCTTTCGCCATGAATTCATCAAATATTTGCTGCTTATTATTGTGTTTCCTGTTCATTTTGAATGCACATCAGACAGCTGCAGCACCTGTCGTTCTCGAAATGACGACAAACTTTGCACCTTCAATAGTGTCCGTTGGTAGGCGCAGCATGAATGTGATTTTTCTTTTCAAATTGTTTGTACACTAGATGACAAGATACAAGATGGAGCACACGAACAACTTAGTGAAAAAAAAGTGAAACGTCGTTGCGGAAAAGTCAATCGTAAGTTTACTATACCCATTGAAGTTCTCTCGTGATGACACACGATTCAGACTGTAGCTTTATCAGCAGATACACCACGAGAATGATACGAATCTTCTATCAAATCAGAATTAGTCTCGGGTCTCACGCATTTCGCTTACCTGACTAATTTATGCATACATCATCGTGAATACTTACTTTTCATTCTAGTTGCCGGTAACTTTGGCTCTGGAGACGTCAACGGTGAGTATTCATGCTATTTCACATTCCATATCTAAATTCTTTTTTTTCTTTTCATCGCAGTTGACGTAGAAGGCTTTGGTATCATCAATGGCCGTATAAATGGCTGTTAAATCAGTGTGAACAATCATTGAATGGACATTTCATTGACCTATATGCCATTTTTCACGATAGTTTTCCATCATTTGTGCTCGTATCTCTTCCAATCGCTTCATGTAGTCTTGTTCACTTCGAATATTTAATAAAGAAAATAATTCAATGTACATCTAATCTAACAATTGTCATTTGTTCTTCCTATCGGTTGAAAATGTATTCATCAATGAAAGTATGAAAACGAAAGAAAAGTCTCATCAACACTGATATTTACAACTGTAAACGAAATCGCTGATGTCTGTCCGATTTTCGTTTCGAACGGACTGTTTGTATATAGGATAAAACGAGTTTGAAATGAAGAATGATTTTGATTAGTGTTTGAAGCAGATTTTATTTAACTACACAATTCATTAGACAACAAGAGAAGAGAACTATTGATAAATTTGAACAACTAATCATTGGTGACATTGTCACTCTTGTTTTTCGCTACGATGATTGGGTTTTGTTTGATTATTTGCAGGATATACTTTGACCAGATATATTGACAACACCGTTAGCAGCATTGGAGCCTATGAATAGAAAAGGACTAATCTGCTTGAATCGTAAAATTGACGGATTAAATCACATGGAATGATGAGAAAAACGTAAAGAAAACATTGCCACTTAAAAGTTTAGAAATATGACTCAAGTACTGACCGTATTGCAAATCATTCATACTTGAACATTCTCTCTTACAGGGGAAGAGATCAAAAATAGCTAGCGATAGATTTTTCGTACTTCCGATAGCTCAAAAAAAGCAAAAAAGTCATACTTATATTATGCTTCTACTAGCAGGGGTAGACCTTACTCTTAAGTTTATGCGAGTGTAAAGCGCGTATTGGTCATGTTCTAAAATTAAATTTTCACATACCTTTCGATGAACAACCTTGAGAATTACCACTTTGTCCTGAAATGAGAGCAAAATTTTCATAGGATATGTAGAACGAGTGAAGTGTCATGGCAGGAAATGAATCAGTTGAAAATATAGATCGTCTACTACAGAGTGCAGTATAAGTTTACGCTCTACAGAGGTTATTTGAGTAGAGATCTCTCCTGACAAATACTTTCAAATCAGGGAACGATTAAATATTTTGGATACTTTACCATTTGCTGACATTTGCACTCCCGCCAAAAGTTTTTGAATATCCAGTCCTGCAATTTGAACTATCGGTTGATTAAGTGATGCTGATTTCAACATTTCCTCTGGCGTGCTGGTAGCAGGTGCGCTTGATGTATTTTCCACTGGATTAGCATGTGTTCCGTACAAAACACAGGCCATCACAACGCAGAAAATCAAACACGAAACATTAAACGAATACATGTTAGAAGGTGTACAAAAGTATAGCGAATAATCAAATATATTCAGCCAACATTTACACACATGCATATATATATATATATGTATCACCGAAACGGACATTCATTACCGTTTTTTCTTTTCGACAGGCATCGAAACGAATATACAGACAATGCTTTTTCTCGTTCTTTCCAACATGCTATCATGACGAACAAATTATTCGTCATATATGATTCATCAGATCCATCACAAACCATGTACTTCTTGAACTACCTTGTGCATCGCTCATTAAAATAGACCTCATTGCAACACGAGTCATCTCGACCACATTCATCTGTCGTTGTTCAGAAATATAGGATTTCTATCGACATAAGCTATTCCATTTCAGGAATATCCTCACAAAACTGTTCATGTCGAATGACGTCACTCTCCTCTTTTCTTCTTTTTTTCGATACATGTCGACTGCTTCGAATTATCATAGGCAAGTCAGTATATCGTCCGACGACTATCCGAGTGGACTAAGAAGTCATCACTATATGTGTCACATAAATCACTGTTCTCGAAGATCTATCCAGGGAAGATATCGAAATAGTTGCTTTGTAATGGATCGCTATCGAGGCTTGTTTTTTGTGCTTCTCATTGTTCGATATGTGGATGAGAGATAGAAGTAGTAAACGATTGGTCGTGTTGTTGTATAAATAGAAGTGTGTTTGTGCGAGAGATTTCATCATTCATTCGTCATTTACAGTTAAATACAATTCGTGAATCTGTTATCATGCAATCATTCAGTGTCTACTGCTTATTATTATGCAGCATGATTATCTTTGCTGCACATCAAATCAATGCAATGGAAACTGAAGACAGATTGGTCACGGAAGTTCCATCAAAAGTCGACTTTGAACGTAGGAAGAGTTGCATTTTTAAATAACGATACTGAAGTTTTTATTGTATTTGCAGATACTACCGTAAAAACATGGCCACTACCCGAAAAAGTTCATGAAAAACGCGGATCTATTGCTGCCGGTATGTCATCTACGTCAGATTGCGATCGGGAATGAATCTAAATAGTAGCTAAATATATATCGAGAAAGGATGCTTGAATATGTAAATAGTTGTGCAACGAAAGGAAAGCATAATGATGAAGAAGTTCACTAGATGCAGAGGAAAGATAGGAAAATACTGTTGCGATTGATCAAATAGGTGAATTAATTTTTTGTTGTTTTTTAGCTGCCGTTTCAGGTTCAGGCTCACGTAGACCTGCTCGAGTTCGAGTCAACAGACCATCCAGTAAGTGTCAATCAAAGTAGTTTAGAATGCGTAACTTAATTGTTTCTTTTGCAGATATCCAATGCGCTAATGGTGTTGTTACTATTACCGATGGTCAAATCACATGTGGCAAATAATTGTATCGGCGAATGATATGGACAATTTGATCAAATTCAATATTTTTCGTACACATTTTCTTTCTTTCGCTGTTGTTAACATGTATTAATCATCAATAAAATATCACTCATCAAATAATAAAACCATTTTCAATGTGACTGAATAAAATCAAGACAAAAGGTACTCATTCATGTTCAGAGTGTCAAATGTATGTGTTGTTGCAGCTTTAAGAGCCATGTATTGTAAACAATTGCGAGAGAAATTTGCTATCCCTCTCTTCTTTTGAAGCTGTTTTGCGACCACGCGTATTCACTCGCGGGCGTCAGATTATCTAGCAAATTATCTTGTCATCGTGAAAGCTATTATATATGACAGTGAATGATCACTGTTCTTTAAGGATCATGTTCACATTTCTATTAGTGAATAAATAATTTCAAAGATTTAGATATATACATATATCTAATTATTTTCTTTATTCACTATTCAAGACAGAAATAAGGACAACAGGTGGTACAATTAAAGATTATCATGAAAAATGGCATGTTCGCAGGTAAAATGTTGTTCCATTCTTTGCCCATCCCAGTTTAACAAAAACCTCTACCACCATAATCATGTACCCTCGCTGTAAAAAAAAGCAACGAAACAAGTTGAATACTTACCATCGATATCGCCTATCGAAATGATACTTTCTCTCGCTGGAAGGCAAAAAAATACATATAGTGATGAACATGGCGTTAGCCGTTTCATTCAGCTATTGATCAGTAAGATCTTGAATTGAGGATGAACACAATACTACATTGATCACCCTGTTAACTACGATGGTGTTCATCTCTTCGTTTGTGAATGTATCCAGCATATGATTAACTCAAGCGAGATTTCACTCTTCGAACGCACTGTGTACTCGATTTATAAATATTATTAATTATGTTAGACTTTGTTCTGCCCTATCCTAAATGAGCTTTGCATGAATGCGGTACACTTACCATAGCTTCACGTAAACGATGTTGTCGTTTGAGATTCCTTTCGACCACTCCTAATTACTTGTGATTCATCTCGGATCTTGTCGTCTAGTGTACAAACCATTCAACAAAGAAACATTCGATCTACAATATGCCTACTAGTTAGAACTGTCGAAAGAATAAGATTGTCCGTCGCTCCAAACGATCAAGAGACACAATAGTAAGCAGCAAATATTTAATGACTTCACAAAAAAGATTCACAATAATTGGACTGGTCAAAGTTGAACTATAGGCCAAATTGTGAAATCTATAGTCAACTAACAGTCTATATAAACACGGACGAAAGGATCATTCAGTACCTTTTCTCTTTTCGATATTTCTTGAAGCCAATACACAAACAATAACTTTTCGTTTCTGTCGAAACAACTATTTTATTTCTAACACGCTAACTTGACGTGGCGAACAAAGCATCGTTCGTACACGATTCGTCAATTCATGCCAAAAGTCATTAAGATTGTCTACTGAGCACTTTTTAGCGTGTTTCTTATTGACCACAGACAGTTGCGACATGTGTTCAATCCTCAATATGATGTCACGAAATGAAATAGGGAAGGATTTTTCTACACAGGCAATGCTGGAATGACGTTCGTGTGAATACACACAAGTTTTTGAAAGTTTTCAAGAGTGATATATAGTCAGGACATGCATTCTAAACCATTCCGGACTAAACTTCATCCCACTTCTACCTTTTGACTGCTCCTCATCGAGTTAAAATTATCGGATAACATTGAATATAGAAAAATGTACTTTTCAAACTTTCTTAGTATGATATGGTTCTTATACAATGATCGAAAGATTTTGAATGAATGCGATCGGTCACGATAGCGCTGTATAGAATAGTAGATGTGTTAGAACTAATTAATTCCTTGATGAACATCGATTTTTGCCCGACTCTAGGCTGATTAGATCCATTCTTACTGTACTTAAGCGTTGACCATTTTCTGAACACTCGATATGCCAAGGAAAATTAGTAAACAAATGATCTGAGAATTTTAGACAGTGTGCACACAATTATATTCTTCATTTATTAGGTTGAGAATTAGTACAAGAAATTGACGAGAACAAAATTGAAATAGAAAGTGTATGGTTGCCATCTTCTTGGAACTATTGTAATTTACAGACGATTCTGCCACGCTCCATTGTAATCACGCCATTACCACAGACTGCAGCTAAACGAAATAAGAAACGAAGACGATCAAACATGATTGTTCGAAATGACTATTGAAAAACTTACTTTTAACTACTCCAACACGACGTTGTCGTTGTAAAGCTAAAACAAAAGGAAGTCATGAATAAACGGATATTAGAAATCAATTAAAATCGAAGGCTAGTTTTGAATGAGAACGACCAACAGTCTGTAAGATCTTAGATTTATACAAAATCCGTCTTGCATTCAGCGATGGAGCTTCGTATGAGGAACTGAATGCCCTCTTCAAATTTCTCGCGTAGCTCTCCGACTCGTTGTCAGAAGATCTAGAGATGAATTTGTCTGCCAATCGATTTCATAACTACACCAACTTATTCATATGTTCGACAATCAAACTACTCTCGTAGGAATATCATTCACTTACGAATATTAGAAACATCACGCTTTTTTCTAGATGACAATTGCACATTTACGCCCGTACCCACCGTTTCGTGTCCTCCTACAATGAGACGAATGTTTTAACAGCATCCGACAGCAACACAGTTACCTGTATTAACATGGATCGATGAAAGCCCTGGTCCTCCGATATGCACATTTGCATTGGCTTGGTATGCAGCGAAAATAATCAAGACACAAAAGGCTAAGCAGTACGCAATGGATGATTGCATGGTAAAGGGTACGTAAGGCGAAATTAATAAAGAAATTCGATAGAAGGCGAATGATGAAATTTATTCAAGGGACATAAACATATATACATTCCGAAGACCAATCGTCTCTTATTTCTTTCTTAAAGCGAATGATAGGAAAAGAAAAGAAAATCATGCCCTAGACGAATAGTCCCTGTATAATAGGTCGCTTTTGCTCTTTCTTTAATCGAAAGTTCGAGAACGGTGCTTTCTATGGTAAACATGATTGTTTTTAGTTAATGCACGTTTCGGTCGGACGATATCATTCTTCGCCTATGATGATCTTAGTATAATGGACTTGTGTACGAGAAGAACGAAGGACGTGACGTCATTCAATATAAATAACTTTGTCCAGAGGTTCATCAGAAACATAAAATTGTTCAATCGAAATTATCTAATAAAAGTCTTGTTCACCAAAATGGATGGAGATGAATGTTAATTAGTTAATTTGAGGTAGAGAGAATTGCTTTGTTCATATATGTGAAGTCGTATGGATGGGCAGATGACCGCTATCGGTTAAATGAGTCATGTGGGGGAAAAGTATTTGTTTTTTGATTCGTCATGTTAGTATGTTAGAAAGAGAAGAATTGCCGACGTTGGTTCGGCTGAAGTGAAAAGATATCATTTATGTTCGCATGAATATTGGAGAGGAGAAGAAAAACGATTGACTTCAATTTATAAGTAAGTGATCGAACGTTAGTAGTATTCGTATCATCATTACTTCATAGGACGATTCATTTAGCTATTGATATTTATCAACCTATGAACATGACTTCATTGACACTGTATTTCACTACGATCTGCACGGTTCTCATGTCTCTGACATATAGATCGGAGGGTGCTTTTTTACGATTTGGACCAGAAGGTTTACAATTAGGTGGAGGTGCTGATGGTAGTGCAGGTTTTCTGAATATTCCATTCTCAACCGGTGGTGTCAAGATAAACTCGGCCGTAGCCGGGGGATTTGCTAATTCGTTGGTAAACGTACCAATGGTGCAGCGATTTGGATCACGATACAATCGGTATGTGTATCCAACAAGCACTAGTAGACCATTCGCGCGAACGAATTGCGATTGGTATTATCGCTGGGGTCTTCCTTATTCAAATTTATTCAATGGTCAAACTTATCAACGAGGATATGGATCATCTGGTGCTCAATGGGGAAGCCAAACAGGCACACAAACCGCTTCTTCAGTAAATTCTCAAAGTATTCGTCCTTGGTTTTTTAACATCAATCGATTAGCTAATGTTCAAGTAACTCCACCCAATATTCCTATGACCGGTATGTAGTCTGTCAAAGCGGTTTAGTTATGTCATTTCAACCAGCCTATCCTGGATTTCTAATGGCACATAAATCGTCCAGTTGTATCCGTCTTGAAACAATGAGGAATGGTGGAGAAGCACCTATAGAACATATGATTTCTTTGAACTTTTCTTTTGCATCGACCATATCTGCTACAATTTTTTTTTCGTATCTTGCATTGATCTGAATCTTTGTTTATGTTTTAGGCTTTGCTAGTTCTGGAAGCGGATGTTCAAGAGGAGGTACGTGATAATTGCTCAAATTAATATTTCCTTCGACTAGCATGTGGATACAATGATCGATGTCAGATTCACTTCTATCTTGCTTTTTCTCTTTCTTTGACACGTCTATACATGAATTACCTTTGATTAAAACTTCAATTAGTAAGCCATAAAGCATTGCCTCCGACGATGATTCCATTTCAAATAAAAACTAAATGTTTCTCGTTTATTTTAGTTGATGCAAATGGTCAACAATGTAACTATCTGAACGACTATTTTTGATCTATAGACTCATGCGCACTAAATTTTTCTTTCTATTTATAGCCATCAGTGCGGCTAACGGTGTTGTCAATCTGTCCGGCCAAAGTATTTCCTGTAAATAGTCAACTCAATTACAATGATCATAGTGTAGAACAAGAGTGACAATGTCACCAATGATTAGTTGTTCAAATTTATCAATAGTTCTTTTCCTCTTTTCTCTTGTTGTCTAATGAATTATGTAATTAAATAAAATCTGCTTCAAACACTAATCAAAATCATTCTTCATTTCAAACTCGTTTTATCCTACATACAATCAGTCCGTTCGAAACGAAAATCGGACAGACATCAGCGATTTCGTTTACAATTGTAAATGTCAGTGTTGATGAGACTTTTCTTTCGTTTTCATACTTTCACTGATGAATACATTTTCAACCGATAGGAAGAACAAATGACAATTGTTAGATTAGATGTACATTGAATTATTTTCTTTATTAAATATTCAAAGTGAACAACACTACATGAAGCGATTGGGAGAGATACGAGCACAAATGATGGAAAACTATCGTGAAAAATGGCATATAGGCCAATGAGATGTTCAGTCAATGATTGTTCACACTGATTTAACAGCCATTTATACGGCCATTGATGATACCAAAGCCTCCTACGTCAACTGCGATGAAAAGAAAGAAAATGAATTCAGATATGGAATGTGAAATAGCATGACTACTCACCGTTGACGTCTCCAGTGGCAAAATTACTGTCCGCAACTAAAATGAAAAGTAAAGATTCACGATGATATATGGAGAAACTGATACAATAAACGAAAATGTTTTTGTCCATGTATCAATCGTGTGATGCATCAATCGGTATATCTCTCATTAGATATTTATGATCGATGAAATCTTTGACGAAGAGTGCTTAAGAGATTGAACTGCTCTGCTTGTTAGCTATCAAAAAGATCATTTATTTGGTTCCTGCATCTATCGACTGAAAGAAGTGTTTAGTCATCTCTTAAATATTTGAGCACACTGATTATGACAAGCTGCAGTTTGGATTTTGTCTTATCACAAGAGAACTTCGAACGATTGCAATTTACTTACAGTTGATCCAACCGCACGGTCGCTTCTTCGCCTTGTTTTTCGCAGGCATTCTCACGTTTGCCCTTGTTTGTCCCATATGATGCACATTTCCGACAGGCACTTTTACACGGGATTCATCCTCTCTTTGGTCATCTAATTAGTAAAGGGACAATTCAACAAGGAGACTTGTGTTTGCACTGTGCTTACCGCCTGTCATCATAGAAGGATCAGAATCGCTCATCTCGTCCATAGTGCCAATTACTGCAGCTGTTTGATGAACATTTAAAGCCACCAGGACACATAATAATAAGTAAAGAATTAATAATTTCATGATACAACAAGATCAATCAATATTGAAGCAAACAGAGTTGGGATATCTCGTGAATGACTAAACCTAGTCAGTCAACATCTATACATATGTTTCTTTTCCAAACGTTTACTTAACACTTTTCTTTTTCGATATTTAGTCAGGCAGCAATGATCGTTTTTCGTTTCAGTCGAAACAATTACAATAACTATATTCTCTTTCCAACATGCTATCATGACGAACAAATTATTCGTCATATATGATTCATCAGATCCATCACAAACCATGTACTTCTTGAACTACCTTGTGCATCGCTCATTAAAATAGACCTCATTGCAACACGAGTCATCTCGACCACATTCATTTGTCGTTGTTCAGAAATATAGGATTTCTATTGACATAAGCTATTCCATTTCAGGAATATCCTCAAAAAACTGTTCAGTCGAATGACGTCACTTTCCTCTTTTCTTCTTTTCTTCTTTTTTTCGATACATGTCGACTGCTTCGAATTATCATAGGCAAGTCAGCATATCGTCCGACGATTATCCGAGTGGACTAAGAAGTCATCACTATGTGTGTCACATAAATCACTATTCTCGAAGATGCTATCCAGGGAAGATATCGAAATAGTTGCTTTGTAATGAATCGCTATCGAGGCTTGTCTTTTGTGTTTGTCATTGTTCGATATGTGGATGAGAGATAGAAGTAGTAAACGATTGGTCGTGTTGTTGTATAAATAGAAGTGTGTTTGTGCGAGAGATTTCATCATTCATTCGTCATTTACTGTTAAATACAATTCGTGAATCTGTTATCATGCAATCATTCAGTGTCTACTGCTTATTATTATGCAGCATGATTATCTTTGCTGCACATCAAATCAATGCAATGGAAACTACTGAAAAATTTGAAACTACTTTTCCATCTGAAATCACCTCTGAACGTAAGTTGAATTACCTGCTTGGATTCAACGATAAGAAGCATTTATTTTCACTCTAGGTGCTCCGGAAAAGGTTATGACATTACGTGATGTACTTATTCACAAAACTAGAGGCGCTGCTGCCGGTAAGTGATTTTCCTCTGTTTGAAAGGCTTGTACTGAGAATGAATGCATGAAAGATATGATAGTCTGGGGGGGGGGGGGGGGGAAGAGAGGGGGGGCCTGGAAAGTGAAAAAACGAAAAACGTAGGGGTGGGGTGGGAGGAATTGACTAAGGGATGAATTTTTGGTCGACTTGTTTTTGGTGTATTCGTTACCCCTGTAGTAATTGAAGTCACTCGCTTCATCGTCCACGATCGGACGGTAAACGTCGGCAACCCATTCGGCTACGTTACCGGCCATATCATACAGACCGAAGTCGTTTGGCGGGTACGATTTAACTTTGTTTGTGATATCGGCACCATCATCAGACCAACCTGCGATTCCACCGTAATCTCCTTTTCCTTGCTTGAAGTTGGCCAATTGGTCACCTCTAACCTGTCTTTTTCCTGAACGGGTATAGCTACCAGACCAAGGATATTTCTTTTGTCCTTTGTAGATGTTGTATTCGCGTTGACCGACGTCGGCAGCAGCGGCATATTCCCATTCTGCTTCGGTTGGCAAACGGTACTCTGGCAAAATAAAACCTGAGGTACGTTGTGCGTAGACATTCTTTTGTTCCTTAACGTTGCCGTCTTTGTCTGCTTTGCCTGGTTTAGACAAAGAGTTTCTCCGGCCTTTCAAAACGATCTCCTCGTCACCGCCCAAAGTCTTGGTTGGTGCAGCCAAATAGGTTTCTGTGCTAAAGGTCTTATCGGCACTTACCGCAGTAACTTTAGAGCCTTTTTTCAAGTATCCTTGCTGCTC